ACCGAGAATATTCTGCAGTTTCTCCAACTCTCTCATGTGCTTATTCAATTCGTACGGATCAGTAATATTCATGATAAATAAATGCCTGTACCAATCTGGCTTATTACTTTTCAAACCTTCGAGCAAAATGCTAGTTTTCTCAATATCACCTAATTCCAAATCATTAAACCACTTGATAAAACTATCCGCATAGTTATCGACTGTATCTTCGTCTCGAAAAATTCTTGCCGTCATTTCCCTGCGAATATCTGCTGGAGATGTAGCAATATTAAAATGCTCAAGAATTTCTATCTTATAAAAATTTTCCCATTCGCGATTCGGTTTATCGCGAAGCAAACCTTGAAACCATAATACTGCGTTACCTTTCAATGCACCAACAACTTGCCTACACGTATCGTTGTCACTCCATCCATTCGACAATCGACACTGATCAACTTGCGTGAGCCAATGTTCAATCGAACCTGACTTCCGCTTACCTTCATATGGTTGCAATTTCATCACATTACTCGGCTTACTGGAATTTGCATTCTTCATCGCCTCCGCCATAATTTTGATTACACTAAGCCAATCTGGATTAGCATTCTGCTGTGCAGCAAAACCACCTACCGGCGCTGCATTCACATCTTCCATATCAACATTACCGTCATCTTCGATACCGCCATTTACCGGTATTTCAACATTAATCAAGGGAATATGCCCTGCATTAACCGCCTGCGTTTGACGCCTATCTTGCGACTGCTGCCTAACACGAGATGCTGCCGATCGAGGTTGATCTGATCTCGGTTCCATTACCTGTCCGCTATCATTACGTAATACTGAGGGAACTCGGAGAGAGTTTTCGCCCCCGCAAACTTGATTGCTGCTGCTACCGATTAAATTACTTGCGTAAAACTGACTACTTCCGTTACCATGACTATTCACATTCGCGTTATTGCTCATTGGTACAAAACCCTGAGACTGACCTGACATATGCGAAACACTGCTGTAAGCCGGTGGCTGATTAAAAGCCAAATTACCCGTACCTACTCGAACTTCTGGTTCAAAATTCCACTCTCTCTCGTGCGAAATCTGATTACTTTTTAACTCTTCTGCCTCGACTCTCAATTTTTCCATACGCTGCATTAAATCAAGAATTTCGGAATCTTTACCGTCAATTCTGACACCCACTGAATGAATTAATTTCTCCTTTTCTTCAAGCGCTGCATTAAGCTTACGTTCCCTGCTCAGAGCTGCTTTCAAATCTTTTTCCGCGACTAATTTCGCATTACATTCCAATTTACAGTTAACTTTCAACTGCTCAATTTCCAAAAGCATTTTCTTCTCATTTTCTTTGAAAATAGCTAAAGCCTGCAAATTACTCGAACCAAGCGATTTTGACGCTTCTGCCTTAACTCTCTGCAAATGTTCAGTTACTGACCGCAACTGAGCACTGAGCTCCTGATTTTCCAAAATTAATTTCGACGACTGAGAGTCTTCCTCCTCAAGATCGCGAATACGTTTCTCGTTCACCTGACACTTACTCGAAAGTGCACGAACATTTTTCTCATGTTCTGCATTACTTGCCTGAACTGCCAATAACTGCTGCCTTAGAGCCGAAATATCACCGTGCAGTTTATTCTTCAATTTGTCGTCCTTAGTCAAAATTTCATTCAACCGATTAATTTCACCGCTATTTTGCAATTGCCTAAGACACAATGCAACATAGTTTTTTGTACACCGAATCATGGTACCCAATGAATCACGAGTGACTGCTAACGCCTCTTGCTCCGATTTAGAAGCTCTCAACTTAGCGTCAACCTCACTTACTTCTTGCGCGAATTCCTGATTTAAAGGATCAAAATCTTTTTCAAAAATGAAATGCCGTAAATCTGACTGAAGTGGATGCAAAAAATTATTCGTATTTTCGTCGAAAGGAATATCTTCATCCAATAATGACTTTTCACAATTAAACGCCGTATTATTTTCATCGTCTGAATTTTCAGAAAAAGGAGTTCCTTCTCTCATCGTAATATTACCGAAAAGATTACTGCCAACCGCATTATTATTCTGATCATTGCTCACAGTAATCGCGCGTTCATCGGTTACTTGAGCCACTGCACTACGTTCTCTCGCCACATTGGACGGAGTTACAAAATTCTCTACCGCTATCGAATTCAAATTTTCAACTGCTGCATTTCCGATTACTTCTGTATTCTGTACATTTACTGATTGCCCTACTGAATGTGGATTTACCAGTTGCGATATCACCGATCTCCTCGGATCCACCACTTGATCTGGGTTTACCACTGACGGAGTTACCTGTTTCCCAGGATTAACCGTACCAACAGACTGACTTGAAGCTAGCTGCATACTGGACAGAGTCATGCCATTTTTCTGTGCACTCGAAGCCGAACGATCTTCCAAGTCCAACAACGACTCACTTACCGCATTCCCAGAATTCTCAATAATTACCGAGGCGTTTAACTGCCCATCTGACATAACTATGGTATCCCGAGATTTCTTATTAATACCTGACTCCTTTCTTTGCTGAACTTCTGCCTCGTACGCAGTAACATTCAAAGTCGCCCATTCTTTTGCTGCTTTGAAATCCGCTTCTGACATATTCAAGTAAGCTGACGGGATAGATCGTTCGTGCGAGAACCAAGTGCTATAATAACTCGGAGCTCTTACCAACGTTGAATTTTTGTCTTCCCAGTCAACCCATTGTTGACTACAGTACGCGCTCTTTTTCTCCGGAGGTTCTAACCCTACTGCTCTATACATTAAGCCAAGGGGAACTTTCTTCGGAAACTGAAAACGAGTATCAAACCCGCTTTCCACCGCTTTCGACTGCAATCTTTCTGATTCGATTTTTCTCACTGGCCAAAAATTATCTCGTTTTACAGTTAAATCTGCTGCTTCTGACATTTTGTTTGCAATGCAACCGCGACTAACCTTACCAATTAATACTGGGTTCAGAAAGTGAAGGTTACACTGTACCCGTTGATTGACGAATCAACCAACTCGTATGACCCACGGCTCTTGACAGAAATACACGTACGCTACTCAAAGCTGTGACTCCTGACAACACCGTTTCGTTAGGACGATGCTGACTCAATATCAACCTCCGCGATACTGAGACAACACGACCGAAAATCTCGTTGTTACAGCACACCCTCAAGCATGCGCAAACAACTCGTATTTATCTCGTTGCTACAACACACACTCAAGCATGTGTAAACAACTCGTATTTACAGCTGACCTTTAAGGTTTCAACTGCTAATCGTATTTTACCGCTAGTTACAACACTGTGACTGATTTCCAGTTAACAGTGACACTGCGTTACACAACAAGAGACAGCTATATCTGCTCTGTTGATTACCGAAAATTTTCAAAAATCGTAGTACGATGGCTACTCCGCTAACTCGGATACGCCATATTTACCAAGATTCAACATTTTTACGAAGATTCAATATTAAAGAACGGCTAAAAATAGGTTGCGAATATTCGCACGTTTGACTTACAAATTCCGATCAGCTAATCCTGCTGATTCTGCCGTTCACGTTCACGTAGTCTTTCTGGCTTGCCCGGTTCAAAAAAGAAAATAAAATGAAAGGAAATTTTGACCTCGAATGGTCTTACGGTGCTTTTTCAATCATAGACACGTAAAGTGCCGCATACACGAACAGTTTTCAAGTGCCTATACTGTTCTCAGTCCGTATTGTCACCCAAAATATATATCGCTAAGTGCGAATCAATCTATACATCAATCAAACCGGGGGACTCGGTTACCCTAGGTCAGAACTGGAACGCAGACCTCCTGCACCACACTAGTGGCTCCTAACGGACTTTCTTAAATGTGGGCTCTCTCGAGTTGACCACCAACCATCCTGCACCATCAATTTAATTATACTATCAAATTAAATTAAACTTTCTGCTCCATCGGGAAAGTTTGAACCACGTTGGGCGCCATGTCGTGCAATAGAGAATAGGGTGAACGAACGCGGTGTGCCGGTGGTGAAATTGCACTTCCCAACCACGACCAGTCGGAAAATAGAGCTACTCTTATCTCAACTTCTTATGTATTTCATGGAGCGAAAGGTTAAGGATGTTGATGTACAAGTATGAGATGATATGCTAGGATGAAGAAGAGGATCCGGAACTCGAAAGCCTGCTGAAAGAGAAGACACGAAAGGAAAGCACAAGAGATGCGTGAAGTTATACGTTACCTGTCCGACGCTAGATGGTAGCTGAAGCGTATGAGAACTCCATCAACCTGGCGCTACAGGGCATGAAGATCGAAGAGACCGAAAGGTCACGGCAAACAAGTGGGATCAAGTGGGTAACCTGTTACGTCACGAGACTATCCGAAGATGATAATGCACGTCGACGAAGTAGAGGAATGACCCCTGACAATAGGTGAAAGGTCACCCAGAGGTCAGTTTGAACAGCCTCACTTGGAAAGAGAAGACCAGAGCAAAAGCCTGAAGTTAATCAGATCGAGTAACAAGACTCTACTTTTGTTGGGATTACAACTCTTGACATTACAATGGGCGACGAGCGCCTTATATAGCCCTGGGCACCGCAAGTGCTGGCTCTTCGTACGCGCAGGTACGGGTCTGAGAACAATAGGGATTTACACGCTAGCCAATAGAAGACATCTAAGGACACGTGGACTAATCACACCGCTGCATCTCTACACGTGGACTAATGAGAACATGAGGTCAACTAGTACACTAGAACAATAGGTTGAGCTACGTCATTGAAGCGCGGTCAAGTCGAAATGGCAAGTCGCGGTCAAAGTTCTCTGCTGGAGATTTCTGAGAAGTCGAACTAGAGACTCGGGGTCAGGACTCGCGTAGAAGTTGTAGTAAAGCCTAAGCCTTAGTAGTAGGGGTAGAAGTAGTAAAGTAGTACCGATGTGTACTAAGGGACGCCAGTACACGTCAGTTTCCTTGTCGATAGTCCATAGTTTTCTATTTATATTGTCTGCTCGCCATCGGCACATAGTTGCATATACTTAAACTCGGACTTTTCCGGTCATAACGATGCCAATTTAGTCGCGTTTAGGTTCCGACATTTGACTCTTCAATCGTGTTTCCTTCGGACCTTGTATTAATAAGGTCCACACTTCATACTAACAGCCCTAGGTTGGCCTATTGTGCTCTTTGGCAATCGAATCGGGATCAGACCATTATCCCATTACGAAGCCATTTTGAACCGTGGCAGTTGGCACTTTAGCTAGCCATCATCACGACTCCAGACGCATGGGGACGATGCATCCGGCTGCACCGTATAAGCCGGCACTGGTGCACGTAGGGAGTTATTTGGCATTGCTGCCGCTAACTTACCGTATACCACAGCTTCCTGTTGAGCAGATCGATTATCAGGCGGGGTCTGAAAGAGGAAATGCCTTCTACTGTAAGTCACTTGTTGGCGAATGTGCAGAAGGAAGCTGTCTGTTGCGTGCCTATTCTTGCCGGGATTACTGGTAAATATATATGTTTAATTTATGTTTCCTATCTTTTTGTTGCTCCCCGTGTTGCTCTGGCCTTAAGCTGGGTGGAAAAATCAACCATCAGCCAAACACGACTTCCTGTCATGAACGCCCGAAACTGCCAGCCAGTAATCCAGTCAGTGATGCCATAAACGACAAGGACTGCATATGGAGCCATATGGACAATAAGTGCGCGCTAGCGCAGTTCCTTCGGATAATGGAATCATCTGCGATCATTTGTAAAATAACATTTTAGACGCTCCTTTATAAACACAGTATTTCTTTTCCTCCATTCCGGCGTTTTAGCAACGTTAATTATAAATAATCGGCTGGAAGTAGCGTGGATTCGTTACCTGCTACACAAGTCTTCCTAGCTTCGGACGCAGCGACGATTTAAATACACTGGTCGATGTCTGCAAACACTGATCAACAGAACGCAATACAGATGCAAACATACACGTCTGTGGTTGCATCCAACTCTGGGCAATCTTATTGAGAAGACAAATAAGTATACAGTGGCATTAATGTAATTAGATGTTACATTGGGAAAGAACTGGGATCAACGGGACGCGTTACAGCCGGAATGACCTATGCGGCAATTACAGACACTGCGCAAGAAAGCCATTATGACGATGCAGTCATTCATAAGGTAAAAGCTTTGGTTTATGTGTCACAAATGCTGGCAATTTTACGCTAGATTTCTCAATGGTGATTGTACGCTTTGATAACTTCCCGTTTTCACGTAATCTGTGGCCTATAAAATTATTTGAGTACTTTAAAATATTATTTACTTTAATAAATTTTTCACCATTGCCCATTCTCAGCATTCTGCAGTTCTACTTCTAGCAGTTCTACCTTGAAAGATAATTACGAATATTGTAAAAACAGTAAGTTTAATTTAATTACTGCTAGTATAATAATATGATCATGACAGACAAAAGTTATAAAAACATTATAAACTTTTCAAAATTAACAAAAAATTTTCTCCTTTGTTTAAGTCCGTTAACAGATTGGCTAAACGCTGTTTTTTTAACGTTTAAATTTCTATCATTTTAATTAGTGTGTACCAGCGCTGGCTTTTTAATCTAGAATTATCACGTTGTACAACGGTTTTAGCGACGTTTCTGCAATGATATTCATTTACAGACTATTCTGGTCGGCGATTCTGGTGTAGGGAAAACCAGGTAAAAGGTGTAGCGGAATGGCACTGAAGTCAGTACGAGTAGAAGTATTCTTTTAAACCTCCAGTATACTACAGGTGGATCTTGAAGATGAATACTTACTAATGTATTGTTACCGGCGTGCCGCAATAATAATAAGAGAGTTTATTATTTACTGAATTGAAAGGAAATTGGTACTTATTTTATCTGGCATAATTAACAACGAAACCTGTACGGTGGGTGTGGTAGTGCATTATGCGACTTACAAACTAATCAAAATTTTTTTGTAATATATATTTATTCCACTTTAAAAAATTTTAATAAAGTGCTGTTCAGAAACCCATAAACTTTGAGTAACGTATTTCTAGTAAATGCTTTAAATCTAGTAACTCTATCTGGGTTCATGATCTCTGTATCGATACCAGCATAATTTTTTTGTGTTTGGATGCTTAGTTTCCTGGTCCAGTTTGATACTGGCAAATTTCAACCTGGTTCTTTTGCCGCGACGGTCGGTATCGGATTCACTGTAAGTCCCGTGCTATCGGATATTTTTTGTACTGCATGCAATGCAATGGTTCAGTTGTCAACCACCTCATCAATAATGACTGATTATACGAAAACCGACATTAAAATTGCAACAGGGTGGTTCGATTTAGTTATGACAAATACCACGAGGAACGTTAATAATTTTAAGCACCATTAATAATCTGTAAAGCAGAGGAAACAGTATTGAACGTGTTACTGGTTTTGTTAAAGTAATAACATGGTGCGTTAACGATATTAATTACGCCACATGTTCCGACCATGACAGTCGCACTCTTAGCGTATCATGCAATGCTTCTGGTTGATGAGAATTTGAGCAGGGTCTAAGAGATTAATGAAACATAATACTTCGCTTTTTTGAAGTTGTTTCTGATCAGGTAATATACCTATGTAGTATGTACACTGTTACAGTATATGGATATGCCTGGATGTCTGCGTTAGGCGGACTACGTGTGGGTCCACCGATATATAGGGATACAAAATCATACAATCAATACAGTAATAATACGAGTATTAAGGCTGACATACTAGCTTCTAACTAAATTTTTATTTTCCTCTCAACTAACCATAAGTATACTCGTGTTCATTAAACAGGATCAACAAAAGGATACTATTACTGTTGCATGCATATGTCACAGTACTCACATGCATCGATTTACCGATGCCAAAGCAGAATTATTCAATGCAATACAGATTGAAATACCGTATTTCTGTTAACAGTGTACAGTATGTGCTGGACTGTGACAAAAATTTTCTATGAATCTACATTTAAGCATTTTGGTGATTCTTTCAGAACAAAACAGTAACAATGACCGACAACAGCAAAGTGAAGTTACAAATATGGGATACAGCCGGACAGGAACGTTTCCGGTCTATCACACATGCCTATTATCGAGACGCTCATGGTACAAAATTATATTTGCAGTTTTGTGTTATGGTAAACTGTTATCCGGTTTTTGTTGCTTCCAAATATGTTAGTTATGCATTGATGCTTCGTATCATCGATTGTTCGTGCTACATACGAATAAGTAAAGTATGCATGAATTAGCAAGTACTGTAAATGCTATCCGTATAAATATTATAGTATGTGTTCACGTCATAGCTCGTAAGCATTCTCTGTGGCAGTACAGTAGTTACTGACTGTGCTGTGCAGTATGTACTGTCATTCACTTGATTTTTATTAATTTTGTCAGCAATACATGCACGAAAATCCGATTGGCCAGGATTAGGAACAAACTATGATCAAACACAAATAATTAATTGCTATTGTTTTTGCCAATACCAGAAGCTAACCATACCTGACTCTGAGTGTCTGACATAAACTTCATTATAGCATGGACAGTGCAAAAGGAAAGGTTAACGTTACAGTCTGTTGTAAATATATGCCGCTTTCGGCAAATAGGGAATCCTTGACCAGCTCTCTAAATCGGAAATTTTTTCAGCTTTGTTGTTGCTATATGATGTTACCAGTAAAGCCAGCTTCGACAACATAAGGGTAAGTCAAACATAACTCTTTGCATGCTCTGAATCTGCAGAGAATGGATTATCACATCAGGTTCCCACAGGGCAAGGATTGCCGTTTGCGTCACCGCAATTGCACGAGTAGTACAACATAACTCGCCCATTTGCAAACTGATGACAAAACAATTTTAGAACAATTATTTCGTATTCGGTAATTATTGCGTACAGACTCTGTAAGTTCTGTATACTGCTGGAAGCAGATCGTGCCGGCGTTAGAAACTGAAATGCGTAGAGATATCGACTTGATAATACTAATATTGATATACTACTATACTTTCTAGTTTCTATCATTTATCTGCACAAACGCTAGTACAGTACTATACGAATATATTCATACTTCTGCAGTTATGCGCACGAGTAGCATACTGGTGTATTGGAAAGACACACCAGTAATTAACCAGAAATCTTTCGAACAATTGTAGGCTTGGCTTGCCGAAATCCATGATTTCGCTCAAGAAGACGCTGTAATTCTTCTAATCGGGAATAAAGCAGACATGACCAATGCAAGAACAGTGCGAAAAGAAGATGGAGAGCGTTTAGCAAATGTAAATAGTTGTTATTAAGGCGCGAAAACTATATTACCGGTAATACGAAAGGTTTAGGAAAACTCTTGGCAAAACGTGGTTTGTACGGTATGGACGAATGATTTGCTGATCTTAATTACTAACAATAAGCCTGAAATTAATTGCAGGAGTTTCGCGTAACCTTTATGGAGACCAGTGCAAAAAGCGGTCTTAATGTTGAGACTGCTTTTCGTACTATCGCATCGTTTTTACGAACCCGACAAGATTTTCCAAAGGAAAAGACTGTTCGGCTAACGGAAATTAATAACGCTACATCAAGTGCAGCTAGCGGCCTTTGGAAATGCTGCGGTTATTAAACTTTGCAGATTTGTGGCACACTGTCGTTGTTTTTCGTATAAGTTACTAGTACTTGTGGTTTTACCTGGCTTCGACTTTCTGCAATTATGTAGTAAGATAAAAATCATTCAAAACAGTGACACTGCTATCGTTTTCGGCGGAGGTACTTAATGAAAAATATTTCGGAAATTGTTGGTTTATAAAGATTCTTTCCCGTAAACTGTCAGCTGATCAAACAATTACGTACCTGTATTGCCCATTAAAATAATTATTGGTGAATTTGGTATAAAGTATTGTATAAAATTTCGCTTCTTTTTTTTGATTACGCAGTGTTTTTCCTTATGTAGAGTTACCACCTCATGAACCTTAGTTGTGAAAATACTGTAGCGTTAAATTCTTTAGAAGGTCACACGAAGCTGTGTTACTATTCACAACATTCGATTCGTGCCTAAAGTTTTTTTTTATTGGCGTTTGTTTTGCAAAGTTGAAACCTTGAGTACCGCATAGCAGCCATACTCAGCTGCCATAGCTTGAGTTCGTCTACCGCTTGCGCATAGTGATATGCGTCCGCATTTCGGAAGTCTGCCTCTGAGAAGCGGATACTTCATATTTTAATAACGGCCAGTGACGTCCTGATACCGTGATACGGTTGTTTGTTGGCGATCCTCCGGTGGACTTATTTTGACAATCGGTGTCAATCGTTGGTCTAAACCGTCTAATAGACCTTGTGATTCATCGTATCGAAAAATTATTAATAAGCTCAGCATCATCTGATTGGTGATTCGAGATGAGATCACAATGATTTTTTTTTCTTCACTGCTGGAATACAGGAATAGCAAAATCTCACTGTAGCTTTTGTGGGCAGTAACTGCAAGTAAAAGTAAAATGAATGGTTATGGACTCCCCTTCTGACTGGATTTGATAATGCCTCTTTGATTTCCCGTTGCAAATTGATTACTAGTATGCATTTCTTACTGGTGTTGTTTTCTGCTTAAATCCATTTTGACATTTCTTACGCATCGGATTCTGAGGTCTGCTTTTCGCGTTTCTGAATTTGTGTTTCCTTCCGTCTTGGCAACAAATAACTAAATGCAATCCCTGTCTAGCGAATGTCGGACCACGCACTATGAAGAGTGAGCGGTTTGTCGACAAGCCAAAGCCACTGGAGACTTACAGTTAGCATTATACTATGGAGCAGATTGATAAAAAATCTGAAGTTCCTGCCAACGCGCAGGCGAAGCCTAAATGGGTAAGGTCTAATAATAATTGTCAAAAAAGCCCTTCATGATTTGCTTTCGTACTTCTTTTCCGTAGGTAAAATATACAAATCGACACGGGTGCTAGCAAACAGAAATAATTGAATTTGAAATTACTAAGTTAGCTTTAGCCAATGGAGACTGGAGACGTCGATGTTTTTTGATTTTTAACAAGGCGTCGAAGCGCGTTATGAGCCTTATGGCTATATTCTATTATGTGCTATAGAGTAAAGCAACAAATTTTGCTGCCAGTTCTTTCTTGCAGAAGACATTGTTTGTTTAATAGGTGCAGTCGGATTTTCCAAAAACTGGGAAGCGATCAGCGAATTCGAAAAATACGGTGCCGCGCTCTCGCAATAGGCAAGAAGGTATACAAGTAGTCAAGTAGAGTGTGATGAGGCATTTACCGCAAGCGGTGTGATGTCAGCGTATAACCTCCATTTAGCAAGATGTGAAAATCCGGCACGATTACAAATGCTAATGATCTTTTAATGATTTTAACTCGCTGATAATATCTGCTTATCAAAGCACTTTGTGTACTACCCACCAGAATTCTGATACAGATCACGGGTTTGCTGGCTGCATAAAGCATGGTCAGTAGATTAATTTAACAAAGAGAGAGGTTGTGGTTGTTGTACTTGGTCGGTTTCATCTTGCAGACGGTCCGAAGCGACAGCGTTGTAACGTCAACCGTCTCGGCGCACGTGTGCGTATGCGTCCGCTGCGAAAACAAAAACTGCCACCCATTGAAGATCTGAAACTGAAAAATACTACGGAAGGCACCTCCGACGTTGAGGACATAGACCCATCGGAATGCGAAACCACTGCGACGCAGTACTACAGGCTGACTGCACAGGGAAGATTGGGCATCGACCACACTCCCAAAAAATCGAAGAAGTACTGCAACGTTCTGGAACCGAAAGCCGAGATAGAAGAGGAAATTATTGACAGGAATCCGAAAAAGAAGACTGATTGCGCCAATGTTGCCGCCGATCAGCAAAATGCTGCACATTCGCATGACGGGCAACCACAGGAGGCTGCTGGTATCTGTGCAGAAATTCCTCTGGGACAGTATAAAAATGTGGAATCGGAGAAAAATTGTACTCAGCCATATGATTATGACGCAACTCCCGATAAACCGGAAGCGGAATCTCACCCTGTAAACCAACACGACCACGCCGTGGACGGAGAGGAAAACCGCACCGAGAAGGGTGCTGATCAGGCAGATGTGCCGGGAGTAGTATTTTATGGGCCTTTTCCTAAGAATTTGTTGACCTGCACATTAAACTCAGATCTACCAACGAAACGAACGTTAATGTCGCATCGAAAAAGAGGACGAAGCGGATCCAGTTGCGCTTCTGATGGTGTTTTGGTTATTCCTGCGACTCCTGACGCTGAGATACCTGGGACGCCGGCAGCAGTCGCGCACACCTGCGACGACTTTGACCTTTCCGACGATGAAATGGAGGACGTGCCCTGCGTCTATGGAAACATGGTCAACGGTATATCATTCTTGAATAATCCCGTGGCAGTGAGGCCAAAACGAACACCGTCACCGGTAAATACTCCCGTGACATTTTCGCAGCTGACTCAGAATTCCTTGCAAGATGCGGAGGAATTAGAGCCCACCCAGGTGTTGCTCTTGGACGAAAACGGCGATCCCATTCCCCCGCCAGGTTTTTCTCAGGTGCCTGAGATCCAGTCTACACCTCGGTCGGAGGTCAAAGACGCTGCTCCCGACTGCATTATTGATCGCTGCTTCCGATACATGAATTTTGAAACACCACTGAAGACGGCCCAGTTTGTCCTAGCTGATGATACGCCGGAATCACAGTACCGCAACAGTTTTGACCGTGACGGATTGCCCGACACCCAGGAAAGCTTGTTTGGAAGTTTCAGCGGGAGTTCCAGTGGGACTAGCGATTAGATCACTTATTGCAAGTACTGTACTCGTAGTGAAAATTCAGAGTTGCGCAAGGAATTTTGACGATGACATTTTCAGGTTAATTACGGCTTGGCCAAATTTTAATTTTTTTCACTGCCTGTAAAAATATAGATTGCTTCGCTCAAGCTTGAGATGTCAATATGAATGTGTAATTATGGAATTCCAATGCATATGCCATGATTTTAAGAAATTTTAATTAGTAATTTCTTTAGTTAGCTTGTTTGATTTTATATATTCTATGTGGTACATCTCTGTTAAACGGTGTGTGTCATGAAATTTTGCTGGTGGCACAAAATGTGGACTTTTGTTAAAGGTTTTTTAACTTGAATTTCATCGTATGGCGCAGACTGGTTTCCGAATTCAGACAAATCTTGAACTAACTGACCGAAAACGCGGTCACAGAATAAGGTACAGCCACAAGTGCTGAAGTTTTGGCGAACAGAGCCAGAGGTTTATAAAATATCGAACTGTATTTTTTTTATTTTGAAGAGAATAAAATTTTCCACAAACTGGTACGTCTGAAATACAACACACCTAAGGTAATAAGCAAAACTGTTGTTGTCTCAAGTGAGTGTCTTCTCCTTTTAAGAAGTATCAACGACTGACAACGAGACAGCGACCACAATTTTTGCTGTGTAAAACCCGACATTAACACATTTCAAATTCACCGAAAGAAACGAATAATTCGTAAAACAGCAGTGAGACATACTGCTGAAAGGAATCTGTTGAAAGGAATGTCATATCTCGTCTGCAGTGCGGTAGGAAATCTGGTGTTGATAATATAGTATACAAGCCAGAAGATGCCAAAGGCTAAAATCCGGCCACAAAACTTCGACGAAACTCAAAATGGAATGGGACGCCTTTGGATAAAAAGCATAAATACAATTAACATACGGTACAAATGAAACATAATCAAAGCGTGCACTCGTGTATCTGTCGATACCTGCCACAAAAGAAAGTCACTCAAGCGGATTTCACCGGAAGTTCTTATTAACAAATCGGGATCGGAAGACATCCGCGTATATAAATGACTGGACAGCGCCTTTTCATCGATTTCACTAAAAATATAAAAAATGTCACTCGTCAGATCGATGCAGAAAGTTAGAAACTATAAAGGAAGCGCAAATCCCTCGCAAATATTATAATTATGGAACTTCCAGCTTACTCTAGTCTAATGTCCCCATTGACTGCCAACGTGGCCAATTCCTTTACAGAGTGTGCTATTTCTTCCCGTGCTGTGTACGCCATGCAAACATTTAAAAACGCCCTACAAACGTGAATGTACAGTGTTTGTTAAAGGGAAAGTTAAAACTATGAGTAAATTAATAGTCAAGCGGAGAAACGCACCGATTATTTTCAGATGTCATCTCCATTATTTCGTTGGCAATTTCCTGAATATCCAACGGCAGCATATGCAAATTTCCAATGATTCTCACACAAACACCATGTTGATGGAGTTTTTCTCTGCAAAATAATACTGTGTTGATGCCACAGAAAGCAGCCGTCAATCTTACCTTTCGGATAACAGTACGCCAAACTTCTGTCTGGCAAGTTCCATTAAACAATCCACTTCTTCTTTGGAACGTTTAAAATTCTCAATACTGAAGGCATAAACTGTAACTTCCGTTATTCCCAGATCCGAGCACCACTCTAGAGTCTCTGTTAGTTTATCGAATCCCATCAGATGTCCCTGCGCACGGTCAATATGCAGTCGTTTAGCAAATCTTCGATTGCCATCCATGATGAAAGCCACATGATTAGGAATTCGTCCCATCTTGACAACATCACACGCAACTTTCTGCAGCCACGAACGTCCATCTTTCCGAATCCATGTATCACCACCCCCCATGGCGATAAAGAATACAAGGAAGGAATCCACAGCAAAGCACGGAAATAATATCGCGGTAAACGGAAGGAAATAACACTAGCCAAAATTATATTTGTACTGACTTTCAAGTTTCGAGGAAACATTTACTCATTACTGCTTTACAGTTTACAGTGGCTTTACAGTGTACTGTACACATCCAAATTTTTACTCAACTTTTTAGAGCATTTGGGATCGGATCTGCCGGTTCGGGTCGGGGGTTTCCTTAAAATTGTGGACCGTTATTGCTACCGCCCAGGTATCCAAGTTTCGTAGTATGAGTCCAAAAGTGGACAACAGTACGAGTACGCGTACTGAGTACTAATGAAAGCAGAAAAGTACTAATATAGAATGTAGACAAAATTTTCGTTTTGCTGTTTTCCTGATAAATGTCTAATAATCAATAAAAACTTCTGATAATAGCATAATATTTGTTGTTAGGAAATTATTAGAATTTGAAGGGTTTTGTTGGTGTTATTCAGATTAAGTTTTGGCCACTTGATGCCTGCAGTTGTTTCCTAGCCTGCGGATTTGTAAAGTGCTACTAATCACTGCATAATGCTCTCCGCAGCGTTCACGTGCGTCGCATTCCTGAAATTCCAATGAAACTGGGGATTTCATACGTCATAAATATTCTTGGAAATCGATATTCCATCGCTGTTACCGCACCTGTGAGGATGTAAGAGAGTTTTTGCATGTGCATTCGTAAGCATTTTTGTCGTTGTATCAGTGATTATGCATCAGCTGCGGCCTGCGAAGTCCGTGCTGTACAAGTGTGAATACCAGCTAGGAGTTCTTTGGGTGTTATATTTTGAGTTTATACATTTCCTTAACAGCTCAGATACTTTATACCTTGCTCCTTGAAATCTCACAATCATGGCGGGAGATAGTCTGACCGACCCTGGATCATCCTACTCGCCTGCGGTACGTTAATGCTGCACAGTGGCGAATTGTTCTCATGACGCCGTTCTTTGACCAAATTGTAAGGCTTGCCCGTACCGTTTACATATCATTTTGTAGGTGGGTTTTTTCTTCATCTTCAACCTTATCGTCGGAACTGGTGCGCTGACTTTGCCGAAGGCGTTTTCTCAGGCGGGATATGTTTTGGGGACAATCGTGCTGTCCATAATTGGTTTCATGAGGTTTGTCGTGCGTGTGCATGATGTGCGAGTTACGAACAGCATGTTTTTATCGGTTGTTGATTTGCGTTTATCGATCGCAAATTAGAAAATCGATTCGTTAAATTTTGTAAGTCGGAAGTTCGTAACCCAAATTCGGAACAGTCAAATAAAATTATTAAGCCTATGTTTAACATAAATTTTTCCGGAAACGGTTAGTGGAGTTTGTTATTTGCTTAAAGTGTCTGGTTTGCAGTTACATTAGCGCGACATTTGTGCTGGAGTCTATGTCAAATGCCAATGCAATTCTCAGGATAAAAAAATTCGACACTTCCGTCGGAAAAGATGAGGTAGCAGGAATTTTATTGCCTGTTCGTTTTCATAAGTAAGTAATATTTCCGTGAGTATGGATTTCAGGAAACAGAAAGCAGTCGCGGTGAAAGGGAGTCATCGCCAGAAATAATTTCTGATCATGAGCCGCTGATTGATACTCGCGAACTGTTACCGGAAGACAGCACCGTGTTCCAAATACGCAAGCGTATTGAATTGGTATTTGGGGAAAATATTGGGCATTATTTCGTACTGGTCTTTATGCATTGTTTCTTTTAAGGGTCAAATGGCGGGCATGTTTTACAGGCGCAGTAAGGAAGTCAGGTTTTCGTGCCGATTTCAGGTTAAACATCTTAATCTTTGCAGTTGGGATCTATCTTTTTTATGCCTGCATGGTTATCTATCTGTTCGGCGATTTAGCCATTTATGCCACTGCCGTTCCCAAAAGTCTTCGTGACATCGCATGGTCGGTTTCTCATGTTTAGTCAGGTCCTTCAGGAAACCAAACAGTCATTAAACCCTCATCCTTTTTTATTAGCACATTTGTGAATGGAAGTTCAGTGTTCAACATGACTGAAGACGATCCATGTTGGGCTACGGCTGAAAATTTGTCTCGACGAAACGCTTACCGTATATTTGTGGTAAATAAGGCATCGAATTTTTATGAATATGTTTGACAGTATTTTCTATCTCATGAAGGCGGTTTTTGCATGCACTTTGGGGCCATTCTTGTTCTTCAACGTCCAAAAAACGAAGTACCTTCAAATCGTTACATCCGCAACACGCTGGGTCGCCCTGATTATGGTAAGTTGCAATGGATTCTGTCCTCAATTTGACAGCGATCTGCTTTGTCGCTGCTGTAGATGCCATTTCAGAGAAAGTACTGTATTGTATTTTGAAAACTTTCTAGATGATTATATTGGCCATTATTTGGATCGCTGAAGGGAAAAATGAAGGACATCCCGTCGTGGCTGATCTCACTGCCTTTCCAAATATTTTTGGGTGAATACTATTCATTTTTACGTCTACTTAAATTTTATTAAAGTGAATATTGAGAAAGCGATATTCAATTTCAGTACCATTTAATAATAGTCTAACTTTACTGACGCAGAACGGCCGTATATGCTTTCATGTGCCATCACTCGCTTCCGGGCGTCGTCACGCCCATCCGTCACAAATCCAGAGTTTATGGATTAATATTTGGGGATTATTTTTCCGCATTATGCTTGTATCTACTATTGGCACTCACTGGAGTTTTTCTGTACAAGCAGCCTAAAGATTTGTATACACTGAACTTCTTCGACGTTGGCGATAAATCGCAGATTGCACCCGATGTCATTCGTTATTTCCTGGCACTCTTTCCCGTATTTACTCTGTCAAGCACGTTCCCTATTGTCGGAATCACTCTTCGTAATAACATTCGTACACTTTTTGGATTATTCACGAAAAAGGATTTTCCTTGGATGATTGAAAAATTTGCATTCCCACTGATCACACTTATACCGCCCATCTGTATTGCTCTCTTGACCGACGAAGTGCAGATTCTGGTTGGCATTACCGGTAAGAATTAGATTTGGACAGGATATGGAGGATGGCCGATGGACAATATCTGCCTCTCAGTACTTTGTACTTTTATTAGCTTTACGTTTATATGGTTTTTTTTCTCATGCATGGTTTTTTTCAGGATCGTACGCTGGATGCGGGATCCAATACGTAATTCCTGCCATGATGGTATATTGTTCACGGAAAATGGTTTTGCGATTAATACCAGATACAGCCGGAACAAAATTACCATACCGATCGCCGTTCCACCATTTCTTTTGGATTGTGTTAATTAATATGTGGGCGTTTGCGAGCATCGTTGTTATTACAGTTAACCACATTATTTATAGAAAGTGATACACGAAATTACTTGGATCTGTGATTGTTTTTACATTTTATTCCCTCCACGGCCTTTAAACTACGCAGAATTTCCGACATCGCAGAATATTATTCTCGCAGTATTGTTTAAAAAATGTTTACTATTTTGTTACAAAAATAACCGTTCTTGGGACTCTGGAATGTTGATGACGGGATACGAAGTATCTGTATCTGGTTCTCGTTGTTCATTGACATATTCTTGTTTGATGACGAAGATAACCGGTTGAGAACTCCAGTCAGAATGCTATGGACACAAAACATGAAAACACCTTTTCACTAAAGCGAACTGCAAACATGGCAAAAGTAGCTTGTAATCCAGTTGAAAACACATAGACATTGCTGGTGGTGTATATAAAGTTATTCAAAATTAAATACATGCTATATATAGCAAACAATTAAAGACAACTTACTTTGAATTGTGAGTTGGCGAAGTGAAGCGATTCGAACCGGTTTGACACTATTTTTGGACCTTCCAGTGTAATTTGTTGAGGAAATCCAGTACATTTACCATGCACTAAAACAATTAATTCCCAACTGGGTTGGAGTCGACAAACCTCCTTGTCGACTAGCACTGCGTGACCTTTGGCAACTTTTCGTCTCAGTTGGTCAATTGAATAATGCTGAACACATTCAGTGACGTTACCAGAATGTTACGAGCATTTTTAGCAGTTTTCTTGAAAGCTTCCTACCTGGAATGTTGGTTGATCTAATAATAAATGCAAAACCAGGCGAAATCCCCAAACGTTCCACATACTCTGGCGAAGGCAAGGAAATTCTACAATAGCGAGCTCCATGACGCCTTTCGGAATTGTAATAGCCTACAAAATGCCAAGTATGAGCTACTCGTACTTTATTCGCCGATGCTAACCGTATGTTCAAACATTCAAACCTCGTTCACATGCGTACGATCTGCGTTTCATCTCAACGATTTATCCGATCTTTACTATGCATGTACTGACCTGAACGTTAGTTTGGCAGAGGAATGTTGTGGATGACCTTTTACCGGATAGAATTTGATAATCGCCTATGACGCATCCAGACGTTAGCGATTCCTCCTCTTCGATCATTTTTTGAGATGGACTGAGGGTACGAACCAAAATGGACTGAAAAACACATACTCAGGGTATTTTTTCCTTCGTTAGCTACTTTGTTGGCTACTATGGGCACACTCCACATGTACGAGTATCGATAGAATGCACAAAGTGAAATTAAGATTTCAAATAATACTTGGTTGTATCCGTCGATCCCATGCAAAAGATATGATTCTGCTTTACTAAAATAAATAAAAAATTATAAAATTAGAGCTATTATAATAAGTTAATATTTGAATGCCAAATAATTGAATGGCAAATATTTTATTTTGCTAAATTCAAGCGCAGCGCGCACGAAGCAAGTAATCAGCATAAAGAAACCGTGTTCCCTTGGTGTTTCTTTAAGGGATTTGGCCCGGTACATAGCACCAAATTCGTGTACACCGACGGGAACTTTCGCTGTCGCGCACTCCCAAACACTTTTTTGCATTGCTTTATGGTAGTTTGTAGCCAAAAGATTTGTATACATAGGCGTGAAATCCGTTTTTTTTCGAATTTTAAAATGAATTTTAAAATTTTTGAAATTCATTTTAAAATTCGAAAAAAATCATGAAATTCTGGATCCGTACCAAAACAATCTTCATGGTAATGCGCATTTATGTGCAAAATTTGAAAGGGATCGGTCCATAATGAGACTTTTGGTACACCTGAATGCATTTAAACTTTTTGGAATATTCTAACAGCCATAACTCCCGAACCGGATGTTGCGCGCACAAACGGATTTCACGCCTATGTATAATTGTATACAAATCTTTTGGCTACAAACTACCATAAAGCAATGCAAAAAAGTGTTTGGGAGTGCGCGACAGCGAAAGTTCCCGTCGGTGTACACGAATTTGGTGCTATGTACCGGGCCAAATCCCTTAAGTCGCATCCACAATGGTTTAAATTTATGGCCAGGAAAGTGGACCATAAATTTAAGTGTGAGGTGCTTACCTTTATTATTCCAGAAACTATCACAATAACGCCAAAAGGTTCCTGGCCGGCTAACAGAATTTTTTGCCGCTTGGAAAATTTTGAAATAGTCGATCGCACCTATTAACACAAATTACTTTCGTCATGCGGTACCATGTCCTACTATCACACCGTCGACGGGTGTTTTGATGAGTACTAAAATCCGGTACCATTAACTTTAGAGATCTTAGCCATTGTCATTTTTTAGTTCAAGCATACAAAACTATCTATGCTTACTACCTAATATTAGACTCATTGAAATTACAGAGCTCATTACCAACAAAAATGCCCGAATTAAAGGCTCGCTCTGAATCCAGTCAACCTGTTTCAAAAGGTCATCCGCGTTTGTGGCTCGATACGGTACATGCGAGGCTTTGTCCATCTTAACTTCAAGGGTCTAAAAATTAAAGATCTGTATATAAATGAAAAAGAGCGCTATTACAAGAAGCTGGCGCACTGCAGACATTTTCGTAAATAAATGTGCGAGCAGCCAAAGCTACATTTTGACTCACATTTCGGAAAATCAGCGCTGTTTTGTCGTCAAGAAGGCCTTTGGACCGCAGATCTTTTACATCTGCTCGCATACTATGCAGAACTTTACGCAGAACATAACGCTTTTTCGCTGCCTTTGCAATGTCCGGTCTTTCCGCCAAAAGAATCCCTAAAGCAGTTAGCAAATTTTTGTATTTGCCATCGCACTTCACGCACCTCTTTTACGACGGTAAGATATAGATAGACTGCACTGCATGTATGTAATCCGTGCAGCGCAATTCCGTAATCTCACGCTGCAGTTCGACGCTAGTACTGTCGCTAGTACTGTTATATTTATACTTTAACACAATTTTACCAAGGTCTCTCCAAACTTCCTTTTCGGCTTCTTCTGCTGATTCCTGTAAGTGCGACAATGCATCGTCGTTGCGAATGATATTCCTTGCCATTCGCGTGGCTTCTCCTTGGCCAATGATGAAGGCTTTGCCAATATCGAAGCCATGCATCAAGCGGTGCGTAACCAAGCCATCCATTATCTTTCCAATCATAGGGAAAATAACCTGAAATATTCACCGCTACCGTAAACTAGGCTGTCCAGCCGATATATTTTGTGCAGAGATAGCTGATAATAACTCAGCAAATGATACGCTAACCATCTCGCCTGCTTGTAGCAAATTAAGTTAGAACAACTCGTACCTTAAGTAGCCGAATTCCGCGAAGCACCCTCAAAAGGCTTAAAACATCAAAAAACCGCAACATCGCTTTGTGTATTGGAGTACCGCCATCCCCGTAGGCCAGTACGTAAATATCCAAACACAAATCCACTAGTAAAATGGACACTATGAGAATCTCTAATTTATTCCACAATCTGCTACAGAAGATGAGGAATCCGAATGCGCAAATCTGCAAATACCCGTCTTATGATCAGAATTTTTTTTAGTTGCGAGCACAATAAGAATTGAAGAAGCAAAGCAAACATTCAAACAATCGAATACGAAAGCAAAAGGTCAAGTTTTAGTAGCAGTAGCGTGTTGTTCACCACTATCGGCTTTTCGAACCAAAGTATACTTACGTTTAAAGCAATTTCCATAATATAAATAAGACAAAAAAATCCATTGGCCACAACAAAATAAATATTTTCATGAAAGAAGTCTTCATTCAGATGATGTCCGTGCCAGTTAAGAGCCAAATTAACAATGGCCGCTGTCACATGAATGGTTATGGTAACGTATAAAAGCGAGGTAAACCAGTACGTATGGACGACCGATCTGGCGAGATGTCGGTACGCTTTCCGGGGACATTTAGCATCCGCAGACTGTTCCGGCTCCGATGCTGTGGGTACATGTCCAGTCAATTTGTGAAGGATTTTTTGCTACAATTAAAAACAATTCGATGAGACAATATTTTAGCGCATAGACAAAAAAAAATCAGCTACGCATCCCCGCACGGGTGCTTGTACCTACAACAGTGTAGCTGCCTTAATACTGCAGCTCACAATATGTAAGATTTATAATACTATTTATTTATTACTGGCATACTTCTGTAGGTAATAATACTGTACACAAAAGCAGTACATTACGAAAGTATATAAATAGGTATACTGTATATACCGTATATACGCTTATCGTTAGTGCTGGCTAATGCAGTTGCCTTACGCAGTAGTTTAGTTTATGGCCGATTCGCCACCGTGCGGTAATCAAATCAGCGCTGATTGTACTGCTGCTCGGATCGACCAGTACACTGTCCACGCATCCTGCCAGGAAGCGAAAGGCATGGCGAGATATTAGACCGCTTTCAAATTGCTCCCAAAAGCTTCTTTTCAGCAATGTCAGCCATACGGTACGAGTGAACTGAAAATCCTGTTCCGATGGGATTATGGTGCTAATCACCGAACTACATGTATGGGTAGACGAAGGGACTTCTGTACATGTTGGTACGGTTGGTGTTGGAGACTGGGGTCCTTTGCGGTGCCGCTTTTTCCTTTTATTCTATTGTTCAATCACATATGGCATGTTGCTTATTGTTAGCTACAGAACAATTTTCTCTGAATGATCACATAGCTCCTACCTTCCGATATGGATTCGGTAAGTTAGTGCTGCTGATCACGTCTTCCCAGTTCGTATCCGCAAGAAAATGATCATGTTTAAGAACTGCAATTTCGTTAGCTCGAACACCCAGGATGTGATTAATAGCATTATCCACCGAGTATAATCTACTTTCCGAGACGCGATCCATCCCTGGAACCAGATAATTATGTGCTATATGTCATGCCGCTTATAATCCTCTGGGGATACACTCTGTATAACATAATATTATACATATACGTAAACAGCATCTTTTAAATAACTTGTGTATTATATATTTGGTTTTGTTGCTGATTTGTTGATAAACAGATCTTTAACCTGTCATCGGCACGGAATAGTTTTCGGTTGTGAAGGCGCTTGTTTATTTGAACTATACAAATTTGTTGCAGCGCACAAAACGTTACGCGGCTTAAGCATATACAGTAGTTGTGCGCCGATTGCAACCATCCAGTTTATCTCGTGTTACCCAATAACTGCAACAGTTTCGCGGTGGTGGTTCCATTAATGCACAAGGTCAGCAGAACGATTCCAATTGTGTGGATTAGGACCTGTCGAGAAAAACACTAAAAGCGTCATCAACTTTAACTGATTGCTAGTTACGTACAGAGAAAGTGAGAAAAGATGAGCAGGTAAAATTACAATACGCTTGCTAGTTGCTGAAGGACTCTGAAGGACTGAACATCAGTTTATAAATTTTTGTTGATTTTAAGTAAATGTTTCAACCGGCCGGATTTGTGCAGATGATGTGAGTACTGCATACCTTGGAACCTATTACATGTTGATCGATGCGTTGATCCAGATTAACGGAAATAGCCAGCGCAAGACTGACTGCGCCGCGTAATCCTCCCCATGACATCACCAACACTGATTTCCATTCGTATCGTTTTGACGGCTGGATATAGCGAATTAATGGCACAAATACACCGATACTGATTACACTACGGATACAGCAACAATTTCGTTGACCGACGCTGTCAAACTTAAAATGTTAGATATGTATTTACCGGATGACAACGACGGAAATGTACAATATGGATAAATTCAAGCAGTCCATGCCGGTGAAATACGACAATCCGCGTTCGGAGATCGTGATTCCGACTATAGCGAATATCAATGTGTTTGCTAGATAAGTCACCGTATTCCAGAATCTAACAAAACCGTATTCTTTGAATATAATATTGTTCGTAATAGGTATTAATGCGGATATGTCTGATGACTTACTCATGCACTAAAGGTTCAACTTCCGGACTGATAACAGTTCCTTCGTAGTTCATTAGTAGTCCCAGCACGACCACCGCCAGCACCCCAGAAATGTTAAGAACCTCGCTGATGTAGTATGTCAGGTATGCGGCAGCCAACGTAATGGATGTCTCCAGAATGGCATCATTGGAGATGCTGGATATACAAAATGTCGCGATTTTTCCGCATATAAAACCAAACAAAGGACCGCCCGCCACCATCAACACGGAATTTATTGCTAACCACTCGCCTGTGCACACCAGAAACCAAAACATTTATAACATTATGCCGTTTTTGTCAAAACAAAAGCAAACGTCAAATTGGTTTTAATAGGCAATATATAGCCATCAAATTACAACAGAGTGCAAGCTCGTGCACACTACTTCACACTTAAAATTTAAATATTAAAAAGGCAACCAACGGCATGTAAGTTACGGTAAAGTACTTCCTATGTGTATAAGCAGATTACAAATTTTCATACCGCTGAAATCGTCTTGAGGAATGCTGAGCGCTAGGAATACGTTAAATAAAATTATTGCAGTTCCATCATTCAGAAGTGATTCGCCTTCCAGGACAACACTCAGTTCTGGTGTTGTTCCTGTAAAATTCGAAGAAAAAAGTGTTGAAAATCACCACATTTTCAACCAAAAGGTGAGATCATTATTAACAACTGAATATCCAATTTGCGTTTGAGTTGCCCAATTCCAGCCAGCTGCGTCATTACTTGCTTTGTTAGTATGAGGCAAGTCATACATTAATTGTTAGTTTCTCGACGCTTAGGAACATAAGAACGAAGTTACAAAAGTTACGAAAGATTAATAAGTTACAAAAGAGTTACTAAAAAACAGCATTGTTGTTTTTTGCTGGTCAAGCCCATTTCCCGCTTACCAACATTTTTTAACAAGGCCACCACTGCCACAGGATCAGTAGCGGAAATCAGCGCTCCGAACATACAACACGATAGCCATGTCCAGTCGGTTCCAAGTGTAAATTTAGCGACTACAGCTGTCAAACAGGTAGCAACAGCTGCAGAATAATATTAAACATTACATCACTGTACAGACAATAATATTGTTAAAATTAGCAGATGTACCAAAGGTCAATTGGTTCATGAATAATAATCGGCGCAGTTACCGACACCTTGCAATGTTAATACGCCGTCAAACGTACCTAGACCTCCAGTAGCTAAAATGAGAATTTGTCCCATTAATTTTCTGAAGATTCGAAAGTCCAATGTAAAAGCGGACTCGAACAATAAAACCGGAAGAAAAATTTGCAGTATCCAGTGAGGATCCAAATAAACGATTTCTGTGTACTCCGCTAAAGGCTAAACATTTCCTCACTTTTACTACAGCATAATTTCCAGAAAATAAGCGCTAAAATGTATTCATACCGAGTCACTTACCTTATGAACAAATGTTGAAAGCACTCCGTAAAAGATTCCAATTAGTAAAATAACAACTGTATAAGGTATGGGAATTCTTGGCTGCAGCACTTGCATCGTAACTGCAAGTCATAAAGTTCTGAACGGCTTTAAATTACAAAAAAAACACTTACGATCAAAATTTCTCTTGAACTGTTTTTAATACGCGCAAACGATGAAATATACTGATTCTTAAAAGAGCATAAAACATGAACAATTGAACATCTGATATTAACACATCGATCATTTATGGTCTATCTCGGTGTAAGATAAACTTTTTTGATTTTTAACTATCTTCGAGCAAAGTAATGATTTGCACACAGAAACACTGCAACGGTTTCGACCTACTGCCTATGCAAATTGTCACGAAGACGAATAGGACCGTCCGAGGTCTGGGATGGCCGCCATACTGCAGCGAATGCGTGTCCAGATCCACTTCCGGTTCGTCATCTGCAGACCCGGAAATCTCTAGCAGGGTGGAATTATCCATTATCGTGTTATTTCACAGTGCGCAGAATATATAAGATACAAAAACTACCAAAAAGAAATTTCTAAATCATAAGCGCAGCTGGACTGTGCGCCACGGAAACCGAAAACAATGTTGATCAGCCATGATTTGGACTCTTTCCCCATGGTTTACTGCCACAGTAATTAACACAAGGATTTCGTTCATAGAGCAGTACATTTGTTGAAAACTATGGTCGTTGGTCTGCTAGATCCCCGTCTGCAAGTCAAAGGTGTTCGGTTCTGCTTTTGTTTGTCATAAGCGGAGTCAGTCAAGTTGAATAGAAAAAACAAATTTACTTTTCGAAGTATCGCAAGCGACGTTTGCTGAGCTTATTGCTCTGCAGAGCCCTTGGATTGCACCAACAAACGTATTAAACATTCGTCGCTCGCGCGCAACAACACTATCCGCGTTTCACTAACAACAACGACTATACCGGTACATCGAAGTAAGAGTATTACAGCTGCAATGCTGCATTTGGTTTAGTTATGGGTGCAAACTATCCATTGTCCACTTTAACAACGCGTGCAACACTTTGCTACATTTTTAGTTCCTTAATTAAGAACAAAACGCAAAGGAACAAAACTCAGGTCATGAGCAGTAAAATAACAAACAAGTCCTAGGTAAAAAACATAAGAAAACAAGTCCTATGGTAAGATTTTATCATACTATATAATTTAGTTGTGAAGTTCAGTTAGAAAATGGAAGAGAGACTGTAACTACCGTACATACATACATATTTAAATTAAACTTAAGTTTGCGCTTATGATAGTAAAATTAGAAGGTAAGCCTAATGTTTATGCCCAAATGCCAGTAAAGCTTTTATAACTGTTGAGAACTACGGTCATCTTCTCTTTTTCAAGGAGGAATAGGGATTTCTTATTTATCTCCATTGAAAGGAGTTGGCTACTGTTGAGTGATAATAATACTACTAAATTTAATGTGTTATCTGCCCATAGCCTGGTGGTAATACGTCTGGCTTTAAGATTGTATGTCCTGGGTTCGATTTCTAGATTGGGTACTTTTATCTCAGAAAATCAAACCAAAAAAAAGTATAAAATTTTCTAAACTAACCAAAAAAAATTTCCAATAGTCTGGTAAGGTATCTCCATTGAAAGAAGTTGGCGACTGTTGAGTGATAATAATGATAATAATAATAATAATAATTGCGACAGTAAAATATGCAATATAATATGCACATTTAATGCTTTTGATGTCGATCAACATATTACATGTATTATGGAGCGACAGTCACCGGCAGTTGACTATCAGATTTGCGTTTAGTAGTCAGAACACATTCCTATAATTTATTTGGATATGGTTGCAGTGCCTACTACCCGATCTACATTTGTGCTTATTAATTTGATTAAGTACAGTAAACCACCATCAAGGTTGCACGGTAACATTCATTGCGACAGAATGGCAACAAACCAGTCCGTTATTATTGTATTTTGGTCTGCCTCTGCAGGTTTTGTCAGTTGACCAGTTGGTGTGCCTCAAGGAGAAATAATTCACAAAAAGATTTTCTGTAACATGCTACACAAGTAAGCATGCATTTAAAGCCGGATTGAGTAGCATTGGAATTAATGCATCGCTGTTTAAATTTAAAGTGCTGCCATATATGACACCTATCCTTCAATTCGGTGACATACAACGTTTCGAAGTTTGTTTATTACTAATAAACTGTTATTACTGGATATTATTTTGATATCAAACAGAACTAAATTTAGTTCCGTATGATATCGGTAATACTGCCATGCTTTAAAATTCAAATGTTAAAGCATGACCAGTCAACTAGAGAATCCATCTTATTACTTGTGCTTTAATGCTGCCGACTGGAAAACGCAAAGAGCATAAAATGTTGCAAATGAAACTTAAGATTAATTTAAAACTGTTCGCATCGAAAGACGGAAAAGAAGTTTGAATTTTTTTGTGGTTGTCTTTCAAATAAAATTGTTCTAATTTGTCTTTACCAGATTAATGAAAGGCTCCTTCATAAAAGAAAAACTTTTAAACGTTGCTTTAAATATACATTTTGTCTGTACTGACTGTACACAAATGCATGATTAGATTGCCGTTATAGTCACCAATATAACAAACTGCCACGCAAAGCTATACATCGACTGCTTTAAAATTACAAATGTGGTGGGAAGGTAGCTTTCGTAAGACTGATGTAATTAGAGTTTTAATTTTTAATAATCTCTTATTGCGCTGCCGGCGGGGGTAATTAGAATTAGTGCCCTTTATAAGACATTTACACGGTTCATGTGCGTTGTGGACGAGCAGAAACATAGTCGGCATTGTAGACCACAAAGAACTGTACGAGTGAAACGTCATTTATAATAGGTAGAGCCTGCCATGTACGGTACAACCAGTGTATGAATTTAGCGTATACCTAGATTGTAAATAAGCTGTCCATTCATCTTCGAAATCCTTCAAAAAGAGCGCGGCATGTCATGCAAATGTTGTTGATCCACTTTTTTGGTTACCGCCTTGGCTACTGGTTTTATCTCATGATGCGGCTGCACAGCAGTTACCGACCGCATACGCACGCATATCAGTGACAGATTACACAAAAATATATTGCTCTCTCAAAAATGGTCCTATTAGCTGAGAATTCTTGTTGTAAGGGACAGCGTTATTGTATTTTAAAACTGAAATCCGCTAATTTGTGAATGGAGCGTCCCAAAAAATATCTCGCATCCATAGATAAGTAATTACATATATGGGCTACCACAGTCCAGTAACAAGATTAGCGGTAGGATTTCCGTTTGCACGTGGTGTTATGGACGCTTTGGTTAGTCGGAATATCGGATGGCTGTTATGATTTGAGATATCAATGATATTCATCTTTGATCTTGCGAAGAACTAAAACTCTGGAAGCCGGGTATGTATGCACTGGAGATAATAATAATTAACATCACATTGGCAGTGAGTTTTGTAAACTTAACTGTATTATCTGCGAGTAAGAGCAAATGCTTTGCGTTTGGGTATTTCTTTAAACTACGGTCTGTATTGTGATTCAGCCATGTAGTGTTACGGATGATGCCAGAAAGCCTATACTCTTGGTTTTCTTGCGCCCGTATTAACAAATAAATACGATTTGAAATAGTTGTCGCAATTGTTTACATTCCATGTTTTCAACTCTTTTTCTGGAATTCCCCGCATTTGCAACAAAGTAGGTTTGTTGCTTGCAAATGACGAAGACAAGCTAAGCAAGATAAACGAGTGATCGGCGATCGTTCAATACATGGCGATTTTGTGACTGCAAAATAAAACTGCCGCTTGAATGTGATATCAAATAAGTTTTGAGCGAACTCCACCATTTACTAGCCGATAAATGTTTTTTTTGCGCTTACATTGTTAATACAAGCAATTTTTAGGAAATTCACTGAACATTAAGCCTTGCACCACAGTGACCACACACATAAATATACAGCATATGTGCCGATCCCGTTTGCTTCTTCAGAGTTTTTAAAGGCATACTTCTATACCATGTCACATTAAAAGTGACACTACGCTTCACTGGACGTTGAAGTGCAAATGATTTACTGTACCGGTGATGCACACTAAATTAATTATCAACTTTGATTCTGTGAACACGGCTGCTCTCCATTGTTGCGTAAAAGAAAAGCGATCACGTATGGTTTTCTTCTATTTTCTAGAGCACTGGTTAGCTTATAATTTGTTTCTAACCTTATGTTAAATCCTTAAGTTAAAGTACTTTTTTCGTGAAGCATGTCATGCCGCGGAATCGTGAATAATTCAGCCATACGGCTTCACTTTAAACTGCCTTTATTTTTATTGAATTTTTTTCAAATAAAAAAACTGTGCGTTGTTTTGCGATGGGATGCAGTTTGCTAAAGTATCTCTGGAATAATATACGTTTGCATGGCACCGTTTAAATGTCTTTGCACTGGACTAAGTCACCGAGCACCATTTTTTGCGCTAATAAAAGGACAGCAGCTACCAAAAAGTGTGCGTGCAATTAAATCCATGTAGTGTGACGAAAAGTGAGCTTTCCCGTCTGGCAATGTTGATTCAAGTTCACGTAAGTTGATTCTTTTACAGACACGTTTAAAAGCGCGTGCATCAAACTGGACATTCGTTTATTTATGGGCTAGTATGCGTTATGGACATGAACTGTCTGCTATTTGAATGACATGGCAAACTGAAACGTTATACTTGATTGTCCGTCAGCCAAAAGAGCATGGTTTCTGCGAGTACACACTGCCCAACACCAACAGTTTAGTTTTCAAACCAACATATTTTTGTCCGCGATTCGCGTTAAGTTCAATCGATCGCTGACCACTAGGCGGTGATTATATGGGCTACTGTGCTATACTTACTTTTGCGAGCTGATTTCTTTTAAATAAAAATTCGATACAAAAATGGAGAATCTGTGTGGAAATACTTCATCGGAAATATCTGCGTGACTGCGGTTAATATTACCGTTTGTTTTTTTGCTTTTTCTACGTAACAAAGTGATACCAGCCCATGAATTGTGCGAATTTTGCATGCAACTGCTGTTCGAATGTTTCGCATTCAGGTGGTGGATTGTCATATCGTACGAGTGCTTTCGGAAAATAAGATGTGTTATTGACCGAAAGATATCCTGACAACTGAATATAATTTAATACAATCGATGATCAACAGGTGCACGTGGAAAATTTTGTTAAATCTGAGAAATTGCATGAGCCTATGGCTAATTATGGAGCTTTCAACTCTCGCATTCCATTCTGTCAACTTCCTGACCCCACACCGTACTATGAACTGCTGGAGACTATTGGTGAAGGTAACAGCAAATTCGTAACAGAAATATGGAATAAAATAACATTAAAATAAATGCTGCAAAGTTCGTAGAAATTTGTATTGCACAGTTTTCTCCTCGCATAACATGTGGAGAGAATTATTTTGCGTCGTGCAATGCAACCATTTGCATCACATTCACAGGCACGTATGGAGAGGTTTATGTTGCGGAATCCAAAGCAACCGGCTCAAAAGTCGCAATTAAAATACTGGATATTTCCAATGATATCATGGAAGAAATTGAAGAGGAATATATGATCCTAAGCGAGTTTGGCGGCAGGCATCTCAATCTTCCAAAATTTTTTGGCGCTTATGTCAAGCCGGATATACAAACCGACCAGCTGTGGTTCGCTATCGAAGTAAGTAATGATAGAGTGATTTATATGATAATTGTATGCCTGTAATACAGTATGCCTACGTACTATGTTATACATAAAACCGCTGAATACGACATTCAGCTGCTCCATAAGTAGATATCAATACGATTAGTTGTTGTAGATATCAATACGATAAGAAGTAGTGGCATTTTAATATGAAAAATGTGTTAGAGTAATTAGTACAACAAAAGATTGTTTCAGCTCTGCTCCGGAGGATCTGTAACTGATCTCGTCAAAAAACTACTAGAAAAGCATCGCAAACTGGAGGAGGAAATAATAGCGTATATTCTAAAGGCAAGTAACCGCAAGTAATATCATGCCTAAAACAAATCATAAAAACAATTGCTTGTATATTTTTTATAACGACTGTGTTTGAACCTTGGGATATGCGCATATCCCAAGGTTCAAACACAGTCGTTATAAAAGTTTAGCATGCTAAACTTTTGCAAGAAAACCCAATTGATTTTCATGGGAGGTATACGCAACCAAACGCATTTTTTTGCCCAGAACGCATTTTTTTGTTGCAGAAAACATTACAAGGTCTGGAATTCCTCCATTCCCATTATGTAATACATCGCGATATAAAAGGACAAAACATTTTATTAACGGATGATGCTCAAGTAAAACTGGTAGATTTCGGTAAGTGACAAGTCCGCTCAAAATCGGTGTAAAAGCGTGAACAGCCTAGCTTTTTGCGGAGCGTTTTGCTACATGCATACGCAAACTCGTATACAGTACTTTAGAAGAACCAAAAAATGTCGTCAGACAAAATAGGCGAACGCAATAATCTAAATATATTATGTGCATGATTGCGAAGAAAATTACATCATGTATAATGAAAACGATGTAATCTGAATTGTGACTGCTTGAAACAAAATTTTGTTATTACCAGTTATTGTTAATTTTTTGAAATGGCCGGATGATTTTCACCGTGTATATAGGTGTCATTTATTTATGTTGACCTTGTAACATTTATTTCTTCGATCGGGTGAGAAGCCATTTCAGTAAGCGTGATGAACTTATTTTTTAAAGACGGTAAAATTGATTAACACTCATTTGTGATTATATAATTACATCACCGGAAATCATATAGCATGTACGAATACTATGCGGGAATCTTTTTCAGGAGTGGCGGCACATTTAAGGACGGCTGACGGCAGAAGGAATACCAGTGTCGGTACACCGTATTTTATGGCGCCAGGTACGGTATTACAAAATACGGTACATTAGCCGGAAGTTTGCATTACTGTTGTCTGTTGCACACTGCAGGCCTACGAGTGTGTGACTGTTGTAATTGTTCAGATATTGTAATAGCCGCTATTAACAGTTGTTAGCAACATTTCGTCATTTTATAAAGCCAGTAGTTAAATGAGGCAGTTACAGCATAGTTATGGCATATCTACGGTAATTTAATGAACTTACCAGCACGTAGCGAAAGAGTAGGGTCGCTCGTATAACCGCAGCAGCAATTAAAATTTAAATATTGTTCGAACGCCGCTGTTTGCATAACTAAAGTTTGGTTTTGTTGAGTTTTTCTATAATTACAGAGGTCATTGCCTGCGAACAGCAACTTGATAGTTCGTACGATTGTCGTTCCGATGTGTGGTCGGTGGGAATAGTGGCCATTGAACTGGCTGACGGAGAGCCTCCCAATGCGAATCTACATCCGATGCGCGCACTTTTCAAAATTCCACGCAGCCCGCCACCAACCGTCAAAAATCCGAAAGACTGGACACCAGTTTTTATTGACTTCATCAAGCAGTAAGCATTACACAGCAGACAAATTATTTATGAGCTCAGCAAAATAGTAATAAAATGTTCTAACAACTTTGTTACAATGATATAATCACATTATTCAACGCATGCTGTACAAGTATGCATTGTCAATAAGCCCGCAGTTGAAGAAACCACACCATAAGATCGTGGTAATATTTTTTCGAAATGATTGTGTTAATCAGAACGTTTGTGGACACAGAACCGTGATATCGTTCCGTGAGGTGTTTTAATTTGTACTGTACATTTAGGGTTACGAACACCAGCCAAACAAATTAATTTACAAAATTTGTCTGTTTTCGTCAATAGGTGTTTGATAAAAGACTATGACAAGCGGCCAACACCAAGAGAACTGTTAAAACATCCATTTATTGCTCAAGCACCATCCGACTGCGGACCGGTACGTTTCAATAAGGTTTCATGATTAGAACGCCAAATTTAAGCTGTAATAGAAAGCGTCCGCTCCGTTGGCTCGACGCACTGGAACGAGAGCGTAGATTAATTATGCTATTAAGTTAAAATGCACGCGTATGAGTTTTTTGCGCAGGTGCAGTACAAACTTCGCAATTTGCTGGTCACACTTCATGGTCGCATGCAACCACGAATGCCCTCACGAATACCCATTGCAACAACAAAAAGGGGAAAACTGAAAACCAATCGAAAACTTAAACCCGAACACACATACGGAGACGATTTGGCTGCCCTGGAGATTCTGGATGAAGTATGTAGCGGTTATTCTAATTAATTATGCCTAAACATGGAGGTTTTCTCTCGTGTTGATTCTGAGGGTGTTAACCGGAAATGCTTTGACAGAGTATAATTGTGGATCATCTGTATAATCGCTACATCAAAGGCCAAATTTACACCTATGTTGGAGACATACTGATTGCCGTTAATCCTTTTTGCGCACAGGAAATCTACACCGACAACGTAAGCTGATTATTATTAAAATACGCGTATACGTAATAATGCTCTTATAGTCTCCTACGTTAAACCGGAAGCGGGTAGCTCCTGTTGACCTTTACAGATGCGAAGCGGTAAAGGTTCTGCATCTATCTACTAGCTGCATAAATAGGTTCTAACATTTTCTTAGTTGCACATGAATCGTTAATGTTGCTTTTTATGTAAAAATAAAATACTCGACATAATTAGAAAAAATTTGACTTCTAGTTGTCTCTGTTTATGTTTATACAGGTTAGAAAAGACTATTTTGGGTGTGCCAAAGCTGACAATCCACCTCACGTTTTTGGCATATCGGATTCTGTTTATCACTCTTTATTGCAACTGGGGCAAAATCAGGTACGTAATAAAAGTTACAAGTGAAATATTTTTGGACCCGTGCGCCTCGGACATATGCATATATCAGTTGCTTTAATTCTACTGTAGTGCGTTGTGATTAGCGGTGAATCAGGAAGTGGAAAGACAGAAAATGCTAAGCATTTAATACAACACCTTGCCAACCTTGGCCGCGTAAGTTCGTCTAATAATTCATCTTTGCCAAACTTCTAATGTAAAAATTAAAGAGTTGACCATCAAATTCGATTGCTCCGTAAATATGCATGTGGATAAAGTGTTGCAAAATTTTATGTTGCAGTCCGTTAATAAGAATCTCGAACAGAAAATTCTAACCATTAATCCAATAATGGAAGCGTTTGGAAATGCTAAAACCGGTACGTAATTTTGATTTATCATTTTGATATGCATGTGATTTCCTTTGCAGCATTCCGGGAGACCAGTTTAATTTACACCTAACTAACAAATAGTTGTGCTTCACTAAGGTATTAACGACAATTCCAGCCGTTTTGGAAAATATCTCGAAATGCTCTTTGCTACCAACGGGAAAGTGATTGGAGCCAAATTGTCTGAGTATTTGCTGGAGAAAGGGCGGGTAGTTTCTCAAGCCGCGTAAGTACAATAATTGTTTGTTATGGTTATCGTTGATACGTTTGGCTCAGGATAACTTTGTGTCACATTTCTACAATTAACTGCCTGATGGAAGTTAAACTTTTACCGTTAGACAAGCCACTAAAATGAGCGAACGACAGCAAACAACGTAGTCATAATTTATTTGTAAAATGTCGGTTTTTTAGATCGGAAAGAAACTTTCATGTTTTGTATTACATCTACGACGGACTGGGTCGAAACGAAAATCAACCAGATGATTCGTACCATTTACGCCCAACACACCGGCATCGGTATCTGGGCGGTTACGCTGGCGACAACATCTCCCTTGTGTCTGCTCACCGTGAGCATTTCATGGTCCTGCATAAAAGTCTGAACACGCTGGGATTCAAAATGCAGGTTCGCTATTTATTTTCTTCGATTATTTCTTAACAATAATTCTTACATAATAAAAGTTTGTCCTTCAATATTTATGACTTGTTCATCAGTATTAAAGAGTAGAAGAAACTGTGGTTTACAGGATTTAACTTCGATGTACCGAATACTAGCAGCTGTATTGCATCTGGGAGATGTCCAGTTCATTACCAAAGAAGTCAAGCACATGCCGGATAAAAGTGTTGTGTCCAACTTGCCGACACTGGAAACAGGTGTGCCCATATGCTGCGCTAACGGCGAAAAATGCCAAAAATTCTATCCTGTATTTTCTTTCAACACAAATCCAGTGGGTAAACTTCTGGGAGTGGAGATATCGGAGCTACGGGATGCCTTGACATCGGAAATGGTCGTGACGCGAGGCGAGACCATTTTGAAATCCCATACTGTCAGCGAATCGCGCAACGTGCGAGACAGTCTTGCCAAAGCCTTATATGGACGGTTATTCGACTGGATTGTGAACAAAATCAACCAACTGTTGAATCCAAATAATACGGCTGAGTGCGTGTTAAATAACAAATAGCCGTCAAAGTGACGTGACCGTTTGATCCAGTTGCAGCATCTTGGACATCTTCGCAGTACTACCGTACCAACAAAATATTTACATTGATTCTCATCTTTCAGACACGATGCTTTAACCATCGGCATCCTGGATATTTTTGGATTTGAAAATTTTGCACAGAATTCCTTCGAGCAGCTCTGCATCAACATTACCAATGAGCAGCTGCAATATTACTTCAACCACAGCGTATTTACGTGGGAACAGAAGGAATACGCAGAGGAAGGCCTAGACTGGATACCCATAATGTTCTGTGATAATCGACCGATTCTGGATCTCTTTTTGTCCAAACCTGTGGGATTGCTAGCACTTCTCGATGAGGAGTCGCGGTTTCCCAAAGCATCCGATCACTCGTTAGCGGAAAAATTTCATCACAACGTTAAGTCGCCATATTATCACCGCAATAAAATGGACGCCATGCGATTCAGCGTGGAGCACTACGCTGGAAAGGTCATACCTTTACCGGATCACTTTTGATATGTGTCGGCATATATCTTTTAAATTTTCCACACAAATATAAGTTGTACAATTAAGTAGGAATTTGAAAAATATCATAACAAATAAATAATTACGATTTTCGTGACGAATATATTGTTTTATAAATATAGAATTAAATTATTAGCGATATGACAGAATATTTAAAATTTGAGTATGTCGATGACACTGACTGTGAAAGGCGGCGGAATTTTTAGTGCGTTGTCAGTGAGAAAAACAATTAAAATGCCATTTGTACCTATTTTTTTGCAGATCGAATACGATGTGCACGGCTTCCTAGAGAAAAACCGCGATTATCTGGCGACGGATATTATTCAGCTAATGCGAACGTCCGAAGTTCCATTGCTGCGCACACTTTTCCAGAATCCTTTGACCAAAACCGGCAATTTGTACGAAGCCGTTGCCTTTTCGGATCGGTCGGCCATCAACGTGAACAACTCTTCATCGATAAATGTTGTTGGTTCGGTTGGGTTAATGCATCCAAAATTTAACGAACCAAAAAACATGAACAACTACAACAAAGTGAGTGTTGTATGTGAAGCCAAACGGTTGTATATTACGATGGTGCTGCTGTTGTCCACGCGTCAACAACCTTTCTTCGTAGCGCCTACGCACACTGGCCAGCCAAACGCGTGCACAGCAAAGCCTGTCGACCTACTTCCGGTATTCTTTAATGGATCTTCTCACCAAAATTGTGTCAAGTACACCGCATTTTATCCGGTATGATCGATTTTTTACAATCAATAAAAACAAGATCAATCAATGACCAAACAATCCACACCATTACTGTTGCAGCTGCATCAAGCCAAATGATCAGAAGCTGCCGAATTTCTTTTGCACGGAAAAAGTGCGCCTGCAGTTGCTGTACACCGGCGTCCTGGAAACAGCCAGAATTCGCCGAGAAGGCTTTGCGTTTCGAATAGCGTTCTCGGAATTTGTCAAAAGGTATTTTAAATGCTGAATTTCAATTGAAAAGTTTGCTTTGCAAGTGGATTCGATGAAATCCGAAAAGCAATTTAGCTAGCGAAACTGTGGGGCGTTATCGTTTTAACATCATATTTTTGTTCATTGCTCGAAGTATCATTTTACAGGTATCACATGTTGGTATCCAAACATGACGAAGACTACAGTCTAAGTGCAGCAACATGCCGCAAAATACTACAGCGACTACATCTGGAAGGATGGGCCATCGGAAAAACAAAGGTCATTCCTGCTTGATCCACCATTTCTGTGAATATTCGTGGTTATGTTTTTAATATAATCGATCTTAATTCAGGTCTTTTTGAAATATTACCACATTGACCACTTGGCTAAATTAATCAAGCGCGTGCTGGACGCCGCCATCGTGATACAGTCCAGCGTACGGCGCTGGATCGCTCGAAAACGGTACCTGGACTATTTGTTATTACGGCACCATTGCGCCTCCGTTATACAAAAAGGTTCGATATGTGCTTTGTTAATTTGTTTATCCCCATCGTTTGTGTTTTCATATTTAAATATGTAAATCGTCTCTATACAAACTCCCTAATAGATAGTGAAATCTTGTTCGTTAAATTTGTATGTGGAAAAAACAAAAGAAAAGCTCCGCTTTATTGTTATTAATTTTGATGGTTTGCTTTTGTGCAGCTTTTCGAGGATGGCGCATTCGCAAGCACTATCGCGTCCTGTTGGAAGAAAAGCTAATGCGTCGCAATCAGGCTCGTCGGCATATGAGTCGCAAGCGACCATGTATTTCGCCCCCGACCAATTACGTGGCCGAGGCGGATTCGTCTGTTGAATTTATTAAAAACCAAAAACAGCAAAAGAAAGGCGTTCTGCCTCGAGGTCCCAAACGTCCACGGGAATCAGTGGAGAACGCGTGGCCAAAATCCAATATGGTCCAGTATGTCGAACCAAATTTCGCCGGCTGCGGACGATCACTAAGCGAAGACAGCAGCGCCGGTAGGTTGACCTCATTCCAGCAGACACCATCACCGGCAGCGGAAGACACGGAAAACGCCCGCAGTAAACCAAATACCCGCAAAGAAGCCGACGCCAGCAAACGGTAATTATTTAATGCAATGCATATTCGGCGTGTTTAAAACGTCTGCAAATATTTTATCCTGTCAGGCCGCGCGTCCGCGACGTTATTGCGGTATTTGAGCGAAGCACCGTCCTTTCGGATTCTGGATCCGAGGGAAACCGCTCCCGATCTCAATCCTGGAAGAGAGACATGAAGCCGGATCACAGCATCGAACGTCTGCATCCGCAGCGTAATCCTCTCAGAAATTTAACCAATCAACATCCTCAACCAGTATCCCCAGCGGAAGCACAGGTTGCGGATCGAAAAAGCCGACATAGCGCAAAGTAAGTTACGACATCTGTTGAACTTATTATTAGTTACTGAATTTTATGTCACATGCAGAAAGGGGGAATCTCGTCCACCGAAAACCTCACAAGTCCAGGCGAATTCCAGACCAAACAACGAAAACAATAAAAATACCGCAGCATCTATTGCCACCATCGAGGAAGTCATAGAAACTGAAACCCATAACGGAAATCCAACCGATTTCCGCAAATTCCTGAAGAAATCCAACTGGAATCCCGGTCAGACGTTGTCCAAAAGCCATGTACCCGTTGGCCAAGTAGATTTCCGGGGAGTTTTACGCAATAACCGAAAATAAGCTTTCAAGTATTAACGGAGATGAACAGCCTTATTTCCTTAACTGAACTTCTCCATTGCACAGGTCAAGTTTAATTTATACTTTTCTCATTTTCGGTAAACATGTACGTAACATGCTGAAATAAATGTTAACTCACACAAAAAGTGTTAAAAAATTTAAACAGTCAATACTGGCAGAGATCTTTGGCAGATGTCTATATGTTTGACATCCAAACATGCATCCCCTCATTCGGTCAAACCGCAATCAATCACACATGCTCTTATCAACTTAAGGTGTCCCAAGTTATCACAATTCAATGCCCTTGGTTAAGGATGGCTCCAGGACGATCTTGTAATCGTCCAAGGATCGAATAATGGCAATCATGAAACGAAATAAAATCGGATCCCGAATAAAACTGTCTCGCTCATACATCGTGTCCACGATCGGGCACGTGCTGATCAATTCCAGCCACTTGTGCAGCATGCGATCTCTGTTGAAAAAACCAGAGAAATTTATTACAATTAGTGTAAACAGGTAAAGAGTTGACAGTATATACAGTTCATGAAATACTTTCGCACCAACGTAGATATATTTGTAAATAAAGCCAAGGCGCAAGTAATATAACCTAAACTACCAGTTTTAAAATCGCGCATTACTTTCTCGTTTTCTCATCACAACATCAAACGATATGACAGTATAAAAAATGAAAAACCTTATTTAAAATATACCAGTTATTTAATTAAAATATACCAGTTATTTTAAAATGATATATCGGTAGTCGTTATCAAATGCACTCAACAACGCGCTCATAAGCTTACCGCAGCGAAATAGCAGCAAACACTTGGAATTTCCCATCTTTGCCAAGCGAGTGCAACGATCGATTGATTTTGCCAATACTGCGGCAGAACATGCGCACGTTTTCATGGCGCTCGCCTGTCATCGGTGTTTTTCCAAGCAGTTCCGTTCGGAAAAATTGATCTGTTTTTTCTGCAATCACCCTCCGAATAAATTAACTTGTACTTTTTACTCCAGCCACGTTTCACATAAAAACGCGTTCCACTCACCAAAAACACTCCATAGATACGGTTGACGCAGTAACCTCAATGGGGAATAGCCATGCATTAAGGCTTGTTCGATACAAAAAATCAATCCCATTTCACCGCAGAGCAGCATGGTCATGCTGCCTCTCTGTATCGAAATAAATGCAAATTCATTACGATATTCACATTCCACACAAAAGAATAACCACCCAACCTCTTTGTCAGGCTTGAAGAAATATTTAACAATACTGTTAGCTGAATCTCCCAGCATCTGCTGAATTTCTGACGTAGTGAATCCTAAGCAAAAAAACGACAAAAGACCGTCAGCAACATTGCTAATTCGCACACTTTTTGCTGTTTCCTGCAAATACACATAAAAAACAAGAAAAAACGAAGCCAATTAAAAATGGCAACATTTCGCATAAATTTTGGATACAGGTTCATGTACGAATTTGATTAGCAAAATCGTAAAATTTCGAACACTGTTTCTGACTTACGCAGTTCATTCGACTTCCGATTGGCACTCGGGGAGCGACAGCGCTGCGGTGTGCGTGGAAGTGTGGAATATTCGCTAATGTTAGCCGAGCTATGTGATTCTCCAATAGTCGGTGCATACTCGGCTACTAACAAGCGTTCCACGCTCCCATCATCCACACCCCGACCCAACCATCGACCACAGGGAAACCTAAAAATAGGATCTATTTCGATAACGTGTCATCTCCAAGCTGCTAAGTATTTGAGGTTTTACTTGGCCATATGTCCGGTGACTTCATTGCGCACGATAATGTGATCAATTAGCCATTTGACATTTAATGCAGTCTTGTCCAAACCGATACGAACTGTTGTCAGTAAACCAATGTTTTTCCTCTAAACAAGGATAATAAACTTGAATAAATGAAACGAGTCGCCAAATGTTGAGACCCACCTGGAAGACCATCTGGAGGTTGCTTTTCGTAGCCGAAACGTTTCCCGAGTCACCAAGAGTGCCTCCAGTGCATATCCAAAAACTCGATGGAACGGAGGAAGAGTATTTGCGGCTGGGACTAATGATAACGCGGTACGGGACCACTGAAACAAATTATCAGTCAAAGATTACGAATTAAAACCAAGCTTCCCAAGAAGAGTGCAACGTACAAGTATGTTGTTAATTCAAAATTAGATTTTCGATTCCGAATTAAAAAATAATATCGCACCACAAACCACATTAATACGTGTAGTTATAACACCGACACACAGATAAGTTCGTGTACTCACGAGTTGTCGTAAAGGTGTTCGTAAAACAGTAAAAATCCACCGCATTCAACGACAGTAAATGGTATAAAAACTGCTCCCTTTCATCTTCGTTACGCAGAAATGCATAACGCTTGTAGAGTGTTCTGAAACGAACATTAACATTTTTAAGTTATACCAAATCAAAGACAAATTTTCCACTTACTCCAGTAATTGTCCATCCGATAAAAGTTCTTTGAGATGTTTAGCCAACAACTTCTTTTCCAGTGAGAGCCGTACCCAAGCACGAGCATAACCCAGAGCGCTTTTTAATTCCGGCATGGCCAACACATTTCTAAAATAAAGAAAATCTCCACGCTTAGTTCACAAAAACATTCAATTTAAAATGTGTATTACTAGCTGTTTTAGTCAAACGTACTTCATATCGAATATCAACGACGGTGTGCAATCATTGCCGGCAACTAAATCACGGTCGGCCATTGATCGTCCTCGACTACTGTCCAAATTCGAATGTGATTGCAGCTCTACATTAACTGCCGTGAGATCTAGAATAATAATAATTACAGATTATGATAAGAAGAAACTGACATCGTGAAACTACCATAATCCGTGATTTAAAATCCGCACCGCACGCATACTCGACACGACTACTTAAAATTATTTATAAGCAACGGTAATGTCGGAATACATAACTCAGGAAATCGACAGAAAATAACCAAAAAAAAATTTTTGCTTTAACAGCTTGCTGCAACGGATAAAATCGAAATAAGTTAGGATAAAACAAAACAAATCAAAGCACTCATACACACCGGCATTTGGTGACTTAACGGAACCAACAAAACGTTGTAGCCTGGAAAGTGTGCCGCTACTCAATCCCGAAACATCCACTGAGGATGCACGAGGAAACTGAGGCGGCTTGGTGCTATTTATTCCTGTTGAAAATCACTAAACTAAATGTAAGCCACACAAACACAGCAATCCTAAATAAGGGAGCACAATAATAATTGACCCAGAACAAGCAGGCTGTTTAGCAGGCATGCGAGCTTAAAGCAAGCGTAAACCATCAAACTTTCCGAAGAAAGTCGAAAAGTCGAACTGAATAATTTGAACTACATAATTAACCAATTTAAAATTATTTGAAATAATTTTAGAATTAGAATTAGGCCCCACCAAATTTCAAAGACACAATAATTGTGACAACAATAGGAAATGAACCTCCAAACTAAAGTAATGGTAGAAAATATCACATCGTCTATTATTAAATATTCTGGAACATACATTCCAGCCTTTTACGCAGAACCTGCCAAGCGAAAGCTGCCAAAAAGAGCAGAAACAGGTTAGATCACAGTCATCACACAAGGGATCAGTCCAGATTCCAGGAAAAAAAGTTTTCAGCCAATACAATTCCACGGTCATCCCGTGATACCTGGAGATGTTTCTGCAACATCGCTTAGCCTTTTGCCAATGTCTGAGCGCTCGTGCCGCTGTTGATAGTAGAGCAAATGTGACCATAAGGAAGACTTTCCCTGCAGAAAAAATGAAACAATCCATTAAAACCCGCTCAGTAAAAGCAAAAACACACACTAAACGCACTTGTTTGAGGTATAGCCCATGGCTCCACACACGTTCCAACAAATCACATAAACTGGCAATCTGAGTGTTTTCCTCTACGCCGGTTACATAACCCTCATTATGGCCCAACTCTACAGCTTCCTTGCTCAGCTTTTCCACCAACATCTTTTTCGTCTAAAAACCAATGAACCAAAACCATACAGCAAAATAGTTCAAACGCATATATCAGTTATATGAAATGCCCAATTATCACCCTAATTTTGCATTCCTTCAGCAATTTATCCACAAAATCCCAATTTTCAGTTGCGATCATCGAAGGGGTCATTTCCATGACACTTGAGTAAGTGTTTAATCTGGGTCGATTCAGTCTTTGCGCCATCTAAATTTCATAAATTAATATTCAGTCAACCATAACTGCCGAATTCTGTCAGTATAAAATTTAAAATGCTCAGCTTTTAAGCAATGAATTAATTAAGAAAACGTACTTACTAATTTCAACAGATAAGTTTGCTACTGAAGGCATTCAATTAGCATAATCAAATGCTGTGTTTCTTTGCTTAGCTTTGGAACATAGAATAATCAAGTTACACTGGAAGCCTAAAGAAAGTACAGCAACGCTAGAAGCTTTTTCCATGCATTCAGTAAAGATGAAAGTACCGGAAGAACAATTAAACTACGTCAATAAAAACCCTCAGTTAGACCCAGCAAACAAAAGAGTCAATGGACGGTCTCAAGACATTCATTCATTTATTAAGAATGAATTCTGGAAAGCCAATCGCAATGCATGTTTAGAAAAAGAAACCATTCATATTTCGAACAATCAGTTGTTCATAGTACCACAGTATCGGCTGACTTTGACTGCCAGAAAGAATAATAACTCTGTTCGATACTACTCAAAATTTCATACTGCCAGGCGAACTTAGCCAAGTCAAGTTTATTGTTAAGTCAAACCAGAATAACAATTCTACTATTGTCAAGTACAACTGTGCAACCGACTTACATTAGGATCTGATGGAACATGTTTAGGTGACGCATTCTCTTTCTTTTTAGTGTTTATGGCCAGTCGCTTCGTTCTACAAAATACAAATCATAGTGCATGATTTCTTTTTTTTCCGATTTTAGTTTAAGTTGTCACTAATACAACAACTAACGGTTCAGACTCCGGATTCATTAGTTTCTCATCGAGGAACGGAAAGGTCAGATAATCGCAATCTGGCACCAACGTTCGGAAATTGGTCAACTTGCCCGGCTTCGGACTGGCAGTATCGAGACGTTTCACCCGTTGGATGAGAGCGGATTCTATAACACGAAAAAAACAATATTTATTTAATCAACCGACACAACAATAGGATTCATGCCGATGAATGCATGCACAAACCAGATTTTTCAACAGTTGAACAAGGCTGATACTTCACAGCACGGACAAGAGTATCGCCAACTTGATCTTTCAGCTTCTCAATCCGACTATCAAACACACGGACTGCCAACGAGATCTCGCCAAATGAGCTCAAAATTTTACAGTCCACGAATGTAGCAAACATCTGTGTTTCAAGAAACGGTGAAAGAAACGGCACGTGGGTATCTGGCTGATCGGAAAGGAAAGTCGTCTGCAAGTTATGCCAAAGGTAAGTCCATACTACCATTAATAATCACAAAAAAACACAAAATCTAGATAAAATATTTATTAAGGATGATTAACGGATAATAGCAGAAACAAATTGAAGCACATTAACGCGTACCCCACTCCATGAAAAAAATTACCGAAAAACTCTACCTTGTCAAAAGTATGCACGCTGTCTCGGTTGCTCTTCCAGGATTCCAAATCTTTTCCCGCATGAAGAACAAAATGTTCATACGAATAAAATATCTGAACAAATCGGTTGACGAAAACTTCGCGCACTGCATTATTAAATTTCATATCATCCACATACGACATAGCATAAAGCGTGCTAGGTTCGATGGCATTCAGTTTGCTTGTCTTTTTTACCGCCAACCGCTCGCCATTTTCATCTCCATAAGAACCCACAGCTCCCTGGTAGCCCACTTTTGAGTTATTGCTCTTTGGCTGCAGTGCCATTTTCATTCTCGAAGGATACGGAGTTACAGGAGGAACATTCTTGGTTTGACCGGAATCTTTAAAGCAACCAGCTTCGGTAAGGTCTGTCAAAGAATATTTCCGTTGAAACCCACGATCCTTATGTTGCACTCGCTGGCGAAGATAATCGATATTGAGTGTCGCGCCATAACACTTAATCACGTCTTTCAATTCACGGATGAACTCTGTTCGATCCGGAAAGCACGGAATATCTTCAGGCATTCGCACTTTCTGCGCATCGATATCCACAAAACAAACATTGCCCTGTAAATACACCGTACAATAACGGGCCGTAAAGGCACCCCAAAAAACTTTTGCTTAACAGAAATGTACGTACATGTAAACGTGGTCAAGTACATCGTGGTCAAGTTTTACTAATGCGAAATATACGGATTCCATATATATGGGAGAAATATTTATATAGTCTGCGATAAATATTCCACTCGGTTTACGTGTATGTTGTCTGCGATGTTCTAGATCTTAATCTGACAGAAACGAAGCATGAAATGGAATTTCCGTCAACTAATACACAAACAAAATTTTATTTTTTAAGCATGGCTTATTAACAAACCTCAGTGCGTGGCATATCTCCAATGACATCGCGCCGGTGAAGTCCCATAATAAATGGTACCGGTGCGTCCAAAAACATCTGCATTGAGTCAGGAAGAATCGGCACGTAAACATGCTGCCATGAGAATGGGAAAAGGAGATTCGTCACAGATTCCGCGACCAGCACGAGCAAAAAGTGATCTGTTTCCCCAAATCGCAGACAACAAGTTGTTAGTGGATGCCTTAGAACAAGCCAAACATGCAGACACTTAATACCTTTTGAGCAGAGGAGAATCTGATGCTCCAGCAAGGCGCACGTAATAAGATCCACTGCAGTATCCACTCCAAATAATCCGAAAAATGCACGCAGTGAATATTCAAATAAAGGAATCTCTTGGTCACCTATGAAAATCATATAATATGTAATCGTCCCCTGAACGAGTGCTGACGCATCTGACAAATTCTACCTCATTAAGTTATAAAATGCTGCTGAGTCGACCCACTTATCGTGAGCAAAGGTAGAATTACGCTTATTACGCAGTCAATATTGTCTGCTAATTATGGCAAACATGACCATCAATAACTGCTTTCAGAATCAATTTGAGAATAAAGCATTCAGGTCGATCAAGAAATATTCGTCCATGAATTTACTTTCAAGTAAGTACAACGCGGTCGGTCATAAAAACATGAGATTCCACGTCCAATTTGCTAATTTTTGTTTTTTTAGCCGAAAGTCCACAGGACTTCTGTCAAACTTCCACTTACAACGAGTTACAATATTGTAACCTACTTGGTCTTTGCAGCAAAAAATGTGAATCCGGGTAAAAATAAAACCGTGAGCTCTGCCCTAGGTTCGGCGCGGAGATTTCATACAGCACGTTGAAGACGTAACTTTCCACTGGCAGTTCATGCGGTGCCGGTGCTCGGTAACGTTCGTGCAGCGATAGCAACAAGTAACGGAATGCGGTCATAAACTGATGCTGCGAGACATATGCAATGCATTTGCTGACGAATAATTTATCTTTGGCCATATCGTAGAGCGAACCGTCGCTGGTATCCTCCGCCAGTGACAACTTGCGGCTGCCCAGCTTCATTGAACGGGGAAGTGAGCTGGTGTAGGATGCCTTTCCCACATACTGGTGCCGTTTTAATGTCACTTCAGCCAGATGCATTTCCTGTTGCAATAAACCGACACTTCCGGTTACCAACGGACAAACACGCACTAGCAACTATCAAACGCGGCACCTGCAGTGTCCTAATCGCGCAGCAGATATTACTGTCCTTGACCTCCTCAAACATAATCAAGGCATAACCAAAACACCGGCTACCGTCTTCGCGCGTCACGATGAAAGTGTGGTACTTGGGACCGGTTATGTGCTTTTCCGTCCGGAAAGTCAGACCGGCAGGCATGCATAACTGCAACACAAGCATGTCATAACTGAGTTATCGCCGTTACAGATCAGCCACTATGCGGCATATTGTCAACCACACACACAGACAGGCGGAAGAGATCATCTGTTCGCCTAACAGATGAGAAGCCCACTTAAACAGTAGCCAAAATGGTTCTTTATCGAGCAACCACACCAACCATGCGAATCGCCTTCTCGTCAAACGGATTCCACACCACATCCTCCGGATAATGGGCCAGCAAACGGCTCCTGTATGGTCGTTCCAATGGTGCCAGATTTTCATACGCTTCATCGGCTAAAAATTTTAAGATAATCGTCATATTCAAAATGGATCAAACTCACACGTCAATACCATACCAGAAAAATGCCCAATTAAGTAATCGCAGCACCCTTTAACCGAGGGCCGCAAGAACATTTTAAGTCACGATAAAACGTTTCAATGGAAAATAATTGAATACCTAACATCAATATATGTAAGTATTTTATACTTACAAGTAATATTCAATTTTTTGGATAATTTTTTATACGAAGCTTGCCTGCACTATCCAGATAAAGTTACAGTATATTTAACTTCAATCAAGTAACATTCCTTTACAATTAATCATTAACATCGTAATTTCGTAAGAAGAAATGCGTACTTAAATCAAAAAAGTTAATGGTTTAGTGAGTTACTGGTTACAGAAATGTAAAACACGGTTTAAATAAACGCTATAATCGTTAAGTATCATGCACCAATAATTCGGGCTGGAATTTTGAATTCACCGTGATTTTTGTAAAGACCACGTTACTATTCTAGTACTAGCAAAATACGAAATTAAAATTTAGTTATTTTGACGAATAAAAACTGTCAAAAATATTCTGGTTACACAACGAGGAACAAAAGTGCTTGTGAACTTCCTGTGCCGAAACAAGTTCTGTAAGGAAGCAGCTTTTCCCAAAAACAAACTTTCCCAAAAACAAAAACAATTTCCCAAAAACAAACTTTCTCTTCACAGCAATGCTCTGCAATAAGTTCAGTGCGAATACAAATTGATTATTCGCAACCCCGTGTAACTTAAAAACATGATTTTTCACCATCTTTTAGAAGCGACAGGCAAAAGAATTTATATTACTTATTATTTTATGATTCTAACTTACCGATTGTTAGTCACCCATGACTTACGTAATTCGGATTGCTGATACAGATAATGAGATAATTGAAATTTATTTCTCGCAAACCTTATTGTCAGCGTTCGAAAAATAGCAAAATCCGTTTTGAATATGGACTTACAAGATAATGTTTCGAGTTCCAATCCACCTGATGGATCAAGTCCACAAATAACAAAATAATCCGCAAGTCTGTTGTTTTTGTCCGGAGCCTGGAAAGCCATGACGTTGTTTTGATCGCTTGATCAAGCAGAAACCGTAACACCACAACACTCCGAAGTCCAAATCACAGATTTGTGGGAAATGCTAACTTGTTGTGGAGACTGTCATCTCAAATCTGCCTTCTCAGTAACCCAGTAAAACACCTCCATAGAGCACACACTGTACGGCATTCAAAATTCGAAACCAACGTTTTCGATCCTTGTTGAAACAGGTCGAAGTGAAAATGTATCTCACGAAATGTTTTCTGCATCATATCGATAAATTATAACTGCGTATGGCCACTGTAGCTGCCGCGCATGCTGCAATAATCAGCAATAATAATATCGTGAGCCGTGAGTGCTTGTCGGCTTGCTTTACGCAAGCTTTGCGCTACGTCATACTACGCCGGGCTGACTACGTTTATTTGCAGTTTACGCACTGCAGCAGAACGTGGCAAATGTAGCGGGCATAACAAAAGGGAAGGTTCTGCCAGCAAAAAATTCTATTTTTGCGGTAAACAGCAGTTACAACACAATGTCTGACTTACTGACTGGATAGAAACATTACCCAATTCCGTCCCAGTATTCCAAATTTCCAATGCAGTCCTGAACAGGAACTTCTGGAAATTCACCAGCACACCAGCAGAAGAGTCAGAAAAACAAATTCAACCTCAACACAACATTCTTCTGTCACATGCACCGATGCACTTACAATCTTACAATTAGTAAGTATATATCAGTGTTGGCCCGTTTCAAAATTTCGGCTCCCGGCCCGTTACCGTCCCGTTAGCCGGCCTTCCCGTCCCGTTAGCCGTCCCGTTTACCAAAACGCCGCCGTTTCCCGGCCCGGCGCCCGTTTTTAAAATTTTTCAAAAAAATTTAAAATAAAAAATCACAAAAACTGTTTTCCGTGGTTTCAGTTTACGTATACTATTACAGTATTACTGTAATTTCAAAACCTGCTTGTAAAAGGCAATCAACAGTCAACTAGTACGGATAACAATATTCAGGGTCGTTGCGAGAGCCGATGTAGAAGGGGGCGCGCGGTCGCGCGCTAGTTCAAAAATGGTTCAAAAAAAAAATTCAGCCACTTTTCTACGCTTTTCTATTGTTATTTTCGGTGCGCCAGCAAGAAAGCGCCAGTTCGATTTTTCCACGCCAGCGCCAGTTACGCCAGCTCCCGGCGCACCGTTTTCTCTTTTCTCGTTTTCCCCTCCGGTAAGGGGGGGACGCCGTCGCGACGGCCCTGATAATATAATGATTAGTAGACCCCCCGCTAACTGTGGTGACAGAAATTGACAGTATCCAGTAGAAAATGTACAGCAAAATTAAAAAGCTGCGGAAACCGAGAAGTTTTTAATGAGCAGATTCAGTTAATTCGGCCTCAGATTCGACGCGAATCTCGCTATGGTACGGTGGCTTAACCGCACGAGGTGACTGTTTGCAGTGACCGCGCCTACAGATACGATACGCGAAGGCACCTCGCGAGGTGGGAACTGCTGTATCATCACTAGATTCGCTTCCAATCTGAGACTCACCCTAACTACATCAGCCATTAGGCAAACGTAAATTCATAACATGACTGTGATTTCGTAGTTTTTATCTGTAAATTTTTTTATCAACGGAAACGGGAACGGGATTTTTCCCGTAAGAACAGCCGTTCAGTTCCCGGCCGGTTCCGTTCCGTAAGACGTCTGACCCGTTCCCGTTTTTCTACGGTAACGGGTAACGGAACGGGAGACTTTTCCGTAATTTTCCGGTGCCGTCAAAAAACGGGCCAACACTGGTATATATCCGCTTAAAAGACGTTTTCTTTTTCTTTCCATCGGTTTCCAAACATATCGCATGTTAATTTGTTATTTAGAAATTATGGAAACCACTTCCCTATAATTTGTACCCCAGGTCTCTTGTCTCAGTACTAGCACAAAAATAAAACCAAATGTTATCATAATTTATAGACAAAGGCAGTATTAAATTACCGGTATGCATATTCTAGTTCTCCACTTTCTCTTCGTAGCTTAGTTGTATACATAATATTTATACATCTGCTCGAGTGTGCATTGGCGTGGAAACGATTAATTGTGTGCCCAACGTCCAGATTCCTGCTGACCTGAGCGAGATATGTCGAAATTACAGTAAGAACAATACGATTAAACCCGTTGTGAACTTGTGGTACAATAAAAATTAGGGCTCATAGAAATATTTCCATGAAGACGATTAATTCTGAGCGGAAGCCAGTCTGTTTTATAACATGCGGAGATCTTCATTTGATTTAGGACGACCAAACCGGTGAATGGCAATGCCAGAAATCCTTTTTATTAAATATTTAAAAATGTCATAAATATTATGCTGATTATGGTATGATTGATAAGGGGAAATTGGCGTGTTGGCGCTAACACACAAATCAGGATGGTAACGGTTTTGGATGTTTTTCGATGTTTAATGTTCGATCATTTAAAATCAGTGTAAATATACGCTAACGTAACGTTATGACTACGTACTGACCGATACCGAATAAGACCTGCGTAAAATCGTTTTCCTGTTCTGTATAGAAGCAGACATTTTAATTTAATTTACTTCGGCAAAGGGAAACAGAAAAATGTGCAGTATTTTATCAAATCCTCGTCTTGCAGCAATAAGCCGGGATATTGTTTTACATTAAATATAATATATATAGTACGTAATCTAGTACGTACTCTGATGAGGCCATGAAAAAAATTATGGTAGGAATTTGTTTCGCGTTAGAACCTAATTAAATAGTTCGTTAAACTTTATTTCCTCTGATGTAGGTATTTACGGGAATGCAAAAAGGAACCGCGGCCGGTGCTACAATGCGGATGGAAACTACAGGAACGTCGAGCCTCGCGGATATATATATCACTGCAGATTTAATGTGGCGGATTCCGGATGGGTTCGCGGGGACGCCCGAGCCACACTCAGTTCTGCAAGTGCCATTTTTCAATCCCGATTTACTTTTTATATAACGATAGTACGCATCAGTGCCTGTTTTCTTTTTTACTGTGTTAACTCTTATGTTTTGCTATGTTTTGTTTTATCAACTAGAAATATTTTGATGTCGATTGTCGAACATCGAAATTTCGTTTTGTTTGTTGTTATTGTTCTTGTCTGTAATTTTTTATGTACGACATCAAAATATTTCGGAATCCAACATCAAAATAATGGTTATTACTGGTAAATAAAAATGTTTGCGCTCAAGAAAGAACGTAGTCAAAACAGAGATTAAGAAGAATTAACCTAAGAATTACAGAAAAAACCTGAATAACCTAAGAATTAATAAAAAGAATAACACAGTAGAAGGGATCAATTAGGCACTGATACGTAGTAGTAAACCGAATAATTAACAGTATTTTTGTTTCATTAACAAAGCAAAACAAATAAAAAAAATTTTAAAAATTCATTTTTAAGCAAAGGCTAATGATAAGTCCTTGTCAGATTTGCCTAATCCCAGCTATCTTCTTATGTCCGTTCTATGCGCCTATGGTTTGAACTGGACCGGCGTTGAGTTGCAAAAGCATCCCGGCCGGCGGCAGCCAGAAACCGCAACCGCACCTTGAAATGGATAATCCTAGTACGAGAAAGAGTATCCAATTGGGAAATACGCAGTCAACAGCGGATCTGTCCGAACAACTGCCCGGAGCAAAACGGTTACTGGTATGTTGTCGGATCTTTCGGCACCGGTGACCGGACTATAGCTACGCGTCACTAGTATGAGTACGCACTACCGCACTTTGTAGTACTGACCAGGGACCGGTCAGAAGATCCCCTCTCAGGAAAAATTCAGCTTTTGTTTGAAAACAGTATATATGTAGTGGGGAATAGTTAAAAAATAATAATCTGATTGGCAATGATCTAGTGGGCGTGACTGAAAACAAATTTAGAGGATACAGGTATCGCGTGTGTGTCAATGTATAACTTATCATAATATTCCTGTTTTGCGAGTGAACTTTTGTTTTCCGAGAAGTGTTCGTTACCCGCTATCATTGCAGTATTGCCTTGATCTTATTTTTTAATAGCTGGATTGCCAGTATAAACAAAAACATTCCAGAAAATCTTGCCATTTATGGAGCTCTGAAATACTTACAGTACCTCAACTGAGCACAAAATGTTGTTCCCCGTCAGAGAAAATGCTAAATACGAAGCCGATAAGTGGCAATACGAAAACAATACGAGTTATGTTAATTGTTAAGCAAGTTATACGTTACAGAAAAAAAAGTGAAGAGGGAAATTCATAGTGTTAAGGGTCAACACAATGCTTGAAAAATATGTTTCCGCTGGCGAAACAGGAATATTATGGCAAATAATACATACATACGGTATTTTTTAATTAGTTTTTGGCCACGCCCACTGGACCGTTTTTGAAAATATTCCCGCTACCTCTCTGTCTTCGCCCAAAAAACCAAATTTTTCTGAGAGGGGAGCTTTTTACTCACCAGTCCCTGGTGAGTCTTGCGCACTTATTCGTAATATTATTATCTTCACATTCTTACGTGGATACTAGTTTAATTCACACTGCAGTCGATAATAAGGTATGCCAGCCATCGCATTGGTAAAAGGTCAAATACAACACCCCGAAAACTCAAGTATCCAGTACCACAAGCCCGCCTCGTAGATTTTTAGAAGGGCAGGGAGCACAGAACGTCGCGCGTGGTTGGAAATCTGAAAATGAACTAAAATCCTAGGAAAACTTAAAAACATTTGCTCAAAAAAGCCACCTCTCTACACTTTCCTATGAAAATCTTATGCGCGCCCCTTGCGCCGGATACGTTTTACGGCTTCAGCTTCGAACTTGCCATTTTTCCGTTTTCTCCCTTAGGGAGGGTTGTGGGGCGCACTAGCGCATGCCCCTTTAAGGACGGGTCTGGAGGTATCCAGTGTTTTGTCCAGATATAAACAGAATTCACTGGTGCCTGTTTCCGCAACGATACAATCAACACGACTGACAAACAACAGAATTAACCAGGAAATGCCAGGCCCCGATGCGAACAGATATTCTTATAGTTTTTGCGTAAAGTTATTGGTGGCCGATTCACTCGCGTAATTTGCGCGGGGTCATCCGGTTTAAACATGTGGAAGCTTTTCCAGTAATGCGCGAGTACAGTAGGAACCTGAAAATACCTCGGCGACTGTGGTGATATGGGCGGCACAGCCAGCTGCCTTTAATGTTCGGTGGCGGTCAGCCATATATACTCGTATATAGTGTTTTGAAATTATATATGTACGTCCTAGGCCTTAGTATGTAGAAGCCACTCGCGGACTGTCATCCGGATTCCGGACCAAGTACTTAACTGCTTTCGAACGGATGAATTGTTGGACTCCTCAGGTGATTCAGACTTCCAAGCACTTTTCTGGTAGGAGTATTGCAAATGTTACTGCAAAATTGGTTATATAGGTTCTTGTTTGGTCGAATAAGAAAAGCAGCATGTGCGGTAATATAAAAAATTTCCTATTGTAATGCACATTTTTCGATGCTACTATAGTCCTTGTAGCTCTATCACTCTGCTATCATTTTTCAGACTACAATCATGTGCCTCAATATTGCGTTATTTTGACATTTGAGTACAGTAAGTCTATAATTTTCCAAAATCACTTTTTTTTATGCATTTGCGGTCAGCATAAACGAAGGGTCAAGCGCCAGTGCTCACAATGTCAGCCACCGAATGCGGTATGTGGTATGTATTAAGTTAAGTTAAGTTTAATCGTTTAACGTCCGCACACAATCTGGGTAAGACCCAATCCGAGGCAGCAGACTCGTCATAATTAAAATAAAGCAAACATCAAATAATGGTAGGCAAACAAATTAACAAGCGCTCAAACTTGTAACAACTGCACATGATCAGTATGGTAAAACTTTTTAAGCGACTTTACTGTTTTCCAATCAACAATATTTAAAGCCGTTTTAAATTTACTCAAACTCCCATAAGCTTCTGCCGGCATGCGTAGGTCATTCCATATCCTAGCCATCCGATAGGCGAAAGATTTGTCCGACGGGGGAAGTGTTAGACCACAAAACGTTGATCCGGTAGGGATTATCGGGCATGGGTGTTCAGCCATCCTCTGCCAATGACGCGTCGCACCTGCGCATGCAGCACCACAACGCGCGGTAACATCCTTGCAGAATAATTTATCTCCGTAGGGGATAATGTTGTACAAAAACTTGTAGGTCAATTGTAAACTGTGTTTGAGATTTCGTCGCAGAATCGGTTCCAATATTCGTAATTTTGATTTTGTATAAGCTGATTTGAAAATATGCTTTACTGCAACACAAAACCGTACTCCAGCCTACCTAGCTGGGTAAGTATCTGTCATATCTGCCAGTCTGTGGTTTTAAAATTACGATACGTAGGTATACGTTGGAGTATTTTTACAGAAAACTGCGGTATGTATGCATGTACGAACATAATTAACCTCATTTCGCTTCCCCAACCTGAGCCAATTTAAGGTCACTTTTGTCTTTTGATCCTTGCATACCCGTAGTGACTGATATACTACAGAGTACACGGTAACTGTGTTCTAGTAGCGGCTTCTTGGTACTTGTGAGCGTAGACTGTAGTCACAAGTCACAGCTGACTTTGGAAACGCAACTTGGCGATACGGGATCCGGAAGTTCGTGACCCTGACAAAATTTCACGAATTTCGCAGTCATGATTACCCGTGTACGCTGGGTGGGGCCTAATGTTGACGTAGTTGACGTACCAGTTCGCATACAAAGTAATAATATGATGTGCTACTATCTGTCTGGTTGAAAGACGTACGATATCTTGAGCAAGTATAGAAAGCATCGTGCGTTCTTTGTGCATAAAGGAAAACTATTTTTGAATATTCAGATTCATATTACTCGGACACTCGAGCTATTTGTAAGACCGCAAATGGACATTATACATAAGTACAGTTGTTCAGCGCCACAATTTTTGGCCGCGGGTTACAGAGAATATTAGTCCAACGCGCATATACGAAAATAGTATTCCTTTATGCACAAAGTAACAGGTGTACAGCCATTTATTTTTTATTAATCCGGCTGTTAGAAGTTTAATTGACGCAGCGTGCGTATCGGGTAACGGCGCTCCTTAGATCGACTCGACGTGCCAGGAATTGCGAGCGCCGTTCTCATACAATACCCGCATTATTGTGGAAAAGGAAAAGTAATGATTGTACACACACTTGCGAATTACGTGCGAAACTGCTGGGGAATTCGATTAAGTACATTTGGATCATCACTATTGGCCGCCGAGGGAGTAGCAGCTCTTAAGGTTTCTTTAAAACACTGTACAACCATCTAATTTCGTACGGGTCGTGAATCGTGACGTCAAGGCGAACCAACCTATTGTAGCAATGTGATGCGGGCGTCACAAGCCAATGGAAACAGGGACGGCGTACACTCACTCACACACAAAACCGCAATACACGCGCAAAACCGCAGTACCGGAAGGATGTCCTTTTCTCTTATAAGATTGCCCAGAAACAACACCAACATCTCATTTCCCGCTGTTAACCGTTAACAAACGCGAAAAAGAGCGAAACCGTCCAATTAGATTATCTTTTAGTGCCACTTGGTGGCTGTTAGCCTTTGTCAATCCGGTCTTCCGTAAACTCGTTTTATCCGATTAAATCTGACGTGGGAGACCTTTTTGTAGGAAAAAAAGGGATTTTCCATAAAGAGCGCAGCGCTTTGCGCTTGGCGCATTGTTTTCTTCCATCGCTATACAGGACGCACTTTACCCAATCATTTCCACCACAGTAACCTATTGAGGGAATTATTATTATGGACCGGTTGTGGATTTCCTTTGTCGTCGTATTGTGCTATCTTGTCAGTTGCATCACCTGTATGTCGGAGAAACCAACGGAAACGGCCAAATTAGCCATAATCTCCGAAACCTCCCCTGGTGACGCTGACGCGACCAAGGAGATGGAGAAGCGCGCCGGCGACTGGAGCGGCTTGAAGGCCGCCTGGGGCAAACGCACTCCACTGCAGCTGGACGGCATCGTCAGCTATGACGATCTGGCGGATGTTGACGGTGTCGGCCTGGTGCCCTTTGAACGGGATGCGCGTGCCGATTGGAAGGGCTTGCAATCAGCGTGGGGGAAACGCGCCGACTGGAAGGGACTGCAGTCCGCCTGGGGAAAGCGCGCCTCCAATTGGCAGGGTTTACAGGCCGCATGGGGCAAGCGGGCTGACTGGAAAGGTCTGCAGTCGGCATGGGGAAAACGCGGTGGACTGAATGATGAGTACATTGAGAATATTCAACGCCAGATGGAAGCCATGAAGAATCGACGCTCCAACTGGCAGTCGCTGGCTAGCTGGGGTCGAAGGCGATAAGTTATCATATTGCCGGATTTCGATTATTTATTGTTTTTGGTAAAAATGCTTTCCGATCCATTCCGGCGTTGAGAACCAGTAATGTTTAATATAATGCATAGAAAAGCTATGACCGTTTTGCGTACAAAGTAGCATTCTTATTTCAGTCGACGTTTCGAGGTCAGCCTTTCGTGTTCTGTATTTAATTGTTTCGGTTGCGATTTAAGTTTTCATATCCAAGACAGAATTTTCTATTACTCTGAATTTGTTCCGAAGTTATGAAATTTGCAATGAAAGCGGGGTAAACGATTCGAGAAATACACATTGTGCATTCTGCAATTATCATATTAATTTCGTATAACACACTAGTAAGTAAATTTGCCCTTACGTATCATTATCAACGGTCAGTAGCAGTTGCTATTTATCGCATCATTAAAAAAGCTTTCACATTGTATTCTAATAGGTTTGCATATATATTACTTACTGTTATTCTATTGACTCTGACTGTAAAGGTAACGGTTGAGCGGAATTCTTGTTGAATTAAAAGAAAACATCTTTATCGGCTGCTCAAAATGCATTGTGCCTGTGCGTAATAATACTGATACTCCATTTTTTGGACACAGTGCCGTATTACCCTATAACTTTCGCTCTAAGTAGTAAATATAATATCATGGCTCCCGATTTCCCGCCGGCAACGCGCATTAAGTATCGTAATTGCAGTTCGCAGGAGCTGACGCCTACTTTTCATACAAAATTAATAATAAGCTGTGTAAAAGCAGTCGTCGAAATTTGTTCGAAGCGCTACCGTACTACGTAGTCATTGCTATGTACTTCATCCGAAAAATTTTCAAAGCCTCTCCAAATCTGTTATATCTTTGCTGCAAGATGCTAATCAGTTTGAAATAATAATTCCAGCAAAGAATGTTAAACGTGTGGTGGCAACCACAATAAACGTACATTACTCATATTACAGAATCGAGCATCATAAATTATATTTACACAATAGGGAAATCATGAGAGAGCCACTATCTGTAAAACTTTAAAAACTAAACCACCTGCACTCATCAAATTTTTCCCTAAAAGACCGTTTATGCCATCAGTGTTTAAAGGTATTCAGTTAAAATTATTATCAGAAAATATTTCGAAGATACCCGGCCCAATGCTACCAGAGTTTTTTAGGTATTACCATTGTCTTGGTCAGTTCTTTACGGCTGAGCGACGCAACGATGTTATACTGTACTAGCTTAGTTGACATGAATCTATATATAACATTAAGCATAAAGCATAGTTTTATTACCCTATGCCATTATAATTAATTCATGAATTAATCGGATAAGATAACAATACTCAATTATAATAATTATATAAATTTAGCATATGCGGAACTAATTGTCAAAGCGTGATATAGAAGGTGTACATGTGCAACAATTAATTTAACGTTAATAATGTGAATAATAAAAAAGAAAGGCAAATCACCAGAAAAAAACAGATTCTGGGTGCACGAACTTCTGTCCGTCGAAAACGTTTTAATTTAACAATTTGATAAGTTTAATGATGAATTGTGCTGAAAGTGTATCCCTTATGCAATATGGTTCCGTTAGCGGTTAAGTACGTCTGTACACAAAAAATGCTATAAGAAAAAACACGTAAGCAAACGCATATCTTCATTAAATGCAAAATGATTTACAGCATTTCTCGCGTTTTTTAGTACCATGTTCCTTCGTTGACGAAGAAACACGCAAGTCTTCCCGCCCCGGCCCATATGCCAACAAATAATCTGTGCCGGCGCGCGGTATGGTGAACCGATAATTTCACGTTAGGGAGTGCTAGTACTGGTTGTCTCATATGACACCGCGCGCGCAAGTGTTTCATTGGAACTGATGAACACATATAATGACCGGCGGCTTCGTAATTCAAACTTTTAAGCGGTCTTAATTATCTCTTGGGGCTGTAAGTGAACTTGGGCCGTTTTAATATAGGCTGGATTTTTTCATCCCGTGTGGTGAGCTCATCACCCGAGTGTCAGTTAAGACTGATCAGATGAAGTTGTCGATATCAGCGACACCGCCAACGTCTGTTTGGGAATCAACAGATGGAGCATCCGTTAAGCAGTTCAAGCTGTGACACTACATCGCCTTAGGAGATCCCATCGATTTTACAATCTCATTCTTACGTCGTCTTTTATATATTTGCAGATTTTCGCAGACTAAACAGAATTCAGTTATTATGCATATTGTAAACTCTACGCTGTTCCTCCGTCGCATGATAATTTTTTTCGGAGAAATAAAAAAATAAACAGCGCATGCAGGGGTGACATTTACTTCCGGTCCATATTTGCGTGTCAGGTTACCATTGCAGTTTAGTCCTGCAGTACATTTGTCAGCTGGAACGATTATTTTACGGGAACAGTCTGTCACAGTGTTTATCCATATATCGTCAGAGTTGCCGAAAAATTATAACAGCTGCTTTTGTAGCAGACATTACAGATGATCTGGGCTGCTAACGTTATAGATCAGAATTTAAAACCGGCACTTTCCCCTGCTCACATTACCCGCACAAGCGCACATTTCTAGCGTGAAAGAACAATATTAACGAAAAGGCTTCTACATACAGCAAACCAGTAAAAACACAATAAATCAGTAAAAACTTCTGCTTAACAGAAAAGGTCATTGGCATCGATCGTGCAATTACCATATTTTCTTTATAACCTTAAATTCCAGTGTGCAGTGAGTACAGAACTTCATATTTTTAATATAAATTAGAGACGCATCTGGTGGCCAGATTAAAAGCAGACAGCTAATTATCACGAAGACGCTAGGAAATACTCCCTGTTGGCGGTGGTAACATCCCAGTACCGATAATTATATCAGTTTCAATGCTTTACATTTTTAAAATCCGCTGCACGCATAGAATAAATTAATGATAACACCTTGCCGTAAATTAGTCTACGGAAACGGCATTTTTATGCGTACGTGCCCATATAATTTGCGCCGATCAAAATTACAATCACGTATATTTGCGCGAAGAAATGTCAACCTGTTTTGGTTTGTTGAAACTAACTCCCTTAGGCCCGCTAGACTTCCTGTAAACCAAACTTTTGTGGAACGTGTTTTAAATTTAACTAAAAGAATACACTCCCTAAGGCTCACGCACTCGTAAGAGCAATTACTACATGCAAATTTGTCCATAGTTTATATGGAGTCTCGCAAATAATCTGCACGAGCTCATTATGCGTATCCTGATGCTGACTGCTACGCAGTATTGTATTGCAGTTGATAACGTAGTTTCAGAACAAGGATGCTTGTAAAAAAATAGCCCACTTTTATTGTTTTCCATTACCATATTTTAATTATTGGCAGAGTCGTTTCCAGCTGAACAAAAAAATTTGGCGGAAGTGTAAAATGACTAAAATATCCACCACTCTGGATAGCAATCATTGTTGTTTCATACTATTGTTGGTATTAAAATGGATGATTTTAATGCGAGGTAGATCCAACCGATTTTGACCTCGATTAGCCAAGATGATATACGGGCACCCGGCTAGTGATGGCGCATGGTGTCTGCGCCTTTTTTGACGCAAATTCTTTGTAAGACATACGCGGAAGGTAAGCGGAAACAGGAGTAGCTAATAGGCCTTTCCCAGACTGCATCGTGGTAATCAGAATATCCGATTACAGTACGCTGTACGCTCACCATGGTCAACATGTCAAGGTACGACTGGCAATCGCGCTTCTTCTTATGGCTTCCTGTTTGTTTATCTGCAAGACATCCTGAACGTCCATGTAAATTTGCATTGTATTCATGTGATGTACTGGATGAATTCTGTGAACTATAACCATACGGGAAAAAAAATCAGCAAGCAAGAACAATTTCATTACGGGAAAAGCTTGCAGATGTAAATGTCAATACTGCATAATCTACGCTGTGATGCGGATGCAATTTTGCGAAATATCGATAAAGGTCTGCATATATCACTTTAATAGCTACTTTCAACTTTCGAAACGCAGATCAGAAACATCAAGACTGTCACAATTCGAGACGAAACGCAAACACAGTTAAAACAATAAGATCCTATGACAGTAAATAGTCAACTTGTCATGTAATAAAACTTTGAAGGGAACGTCAGGGACAAGGGACAGTACCTTACAAAATATCTACTATCAACGGACAAAATTCGCATTAATTCTTTCGTTTCCTGTTTTCCCGATAAACATCGCACACCTACAAACCACCACCACTACGATCCACGGAAATTTTCACGGTCTCTCCTTCCGCTTCCTGGATAGCACGGGCGAATCGACTAGCTGACACCGCACCGGTTTTGATAGCACTCATAAGCTGCAAAAGAAGACACTCAGCGCCAAATGAAAACTTCTCCATTCGAGTGCATCATGCGATCATCGACCAGATCGTTGATGCCTTAATAAAGCTCAACAACCACTGATTTCCAGTCAGCCAATTTCATGAATAAATAAAATTATCTATGGCAAAAACGAGCATCCCTCATTTTCCGCTCTACATTATCGATACATTATCCGGTACGTCACTTATAAAAAATTAAAACGGTCAACACGATCTCTTACTTAAATCTGGTACAGTAACTGATATAGATTAAAGAAAACCACAACAGGTTACTGCGAACGTACTCTAACAGCGGCGCCACCCTTATGCACGCCATGTCTGACTTTTCAATTTCATGCGACAACAACCGCTATACGTCAAATATACCTGTAAATATTCTCCTGTGTCGATTTGTCCATTGCGATTCATGTCAACTTCTCCCAAAATTTCATGCAGCTGCCAGTCAGAGATCTGCTCCCCATGTTCCTATTAAAATTAACCGCTGGCTAACGAAATACATCCAATACTTTTAAATCAAATCTAACTAATTAGACGATCAGGTTATAGTTATTCAATTACTTATGTACCATACTTCTGCTCAGACTTTTCAAGCCAGTAAACTACTAATTACTTCTCATTATTACAACTAATTATTTCCCATTATTACCTCACTACACATCTGCATGCATGCCAGCAAAACAGATACAGACTTCTAAAAATTTTATCGAAAAATTTCACTACCAACTTATAAGCTACACGGACTTAATTTCCACTTGATTAAAAACACACATATCTTTTGGTATACGAGCACCCTTACGGGATTTTATTTTCGGCAAGCGAAAGTGTGATACCTTCAGTGTTCGTCTGATATCCGGAAGTGTAATGTAACCTTTGCCTTCCTTATCCATGGCTTTGAAGTGTGCAAGGTATTTGTTGATCTCGTCCACACTGAAGTTAATTGGTACGTTTCGAGATTCAGCTTGCACTGCCCTACCCATATCGTTGTTAAGGAAGTCCATAGCTTCGTCAAAATTAGCCTACAAATGACGAAATGCTGGTTACGATAAAAAATTATAAATAAAGATCTCGTAGATCTCGAATAAGCTTGACCTTTTTCTGTGCCTTTGTCCACTTCAGTTCTTCGGCCATAATATCTACAATCCGCGGCAAACATTCCACAGCTGCCTGTGTATTAATGAAAGCCAACCGTACGCGCCGCGCAATAACGTCTACCGCAGTGCAAGCGTATTCCTTAACCGCAAAGGAAACTTCTTCTTCCAAATAAGGGTAATCTTCATGCAGGCGCTTCCCAACCACCGGCCAACGCCTTCCGGTTAATTTACATGATCGACCCAGCTTGTAAGCGCGATCGCCGTATGTCCGCGCCAGGTGTTGTGCCACCTGAAAAAGTCACAGCCGGCGTATAGCGCATGAAGATTGGTGATATTTGTATCGTATAATTCTAGTGTTGTGGCAAACAGCACGAAGCAAACTGCAATGCACAGACGCCGTCATGATGCGTGATTAACCTGGCGCACCAATTCTCATGAGTAAACGTTTTTGTTCGATGAAAAGAAACCTTAATAGTTAATACTTAATACCATGATATCGCTACTAATAAGTACTGTAAACCACTCAAAACAGCGCCGCGTCTAAGAAATAATTGATCAGGATATTTGCGACACTCAGTGGCCGGATCATCATAATGCTTACTTCGTTTTCAAGGCCAAAGTCCTGTACAAGCTGAATGTACATGGTCGGAGTCCAGGAATGACCGCCGTCCAGAATCAATCCCATTGTCTGACATTTCGGTTGCTTCGGATGCAGGTTGCATGCTTTAATGGCTGCGTCAACCGTTTCTTCAGCCATCAAACGGTACGTTGTCCATTTACCTCCTAACGACAAAAAACAAATATCTAATAATCTGATGTACTTTTCAAGTGTAAATTCAACAACTGACCGGCAATAGTCACGAGATTTGAGTCGGATACGTGTATGATGTGATTGCGAGCAATTTCCTGAGTGGACTTCTTGGTATTGGGATCCAAAACAAGAGGACGAATACCAGCCCAAGCTAAAGCGGTAAATTACATTACTTACCATAATCCTGCCAATTTATCCAGCCAAAAGCATAAATCAAACTTTTAACAAATATACAGCACCGCAAATAACAGCAAAAGTAGGAAAGAATCAGGGTAACATTAATAAGAAAAGCCTCTAATTAATTACACATTTTCTAATAATCTTATCTTACCAGACAGGACGTCGCCTCGACGGACTACAAAGAAAAGGATTAGGTGGGCACTACATTCATTTAATTAATTGCATGTGGAGCATACCAGCCACAGAGCTATCCAAATATCCGCGAACTTCCTTGAGGATAAACTGAATTTCCTTCTCTTGCGGAATTGGATGGTCCGTCACTTGACAAGGCGAGTCAGTTGTCCCGGCTAAAGTTACCTTTTCCCATGGTAAAAAGAAAATTACACGGCCGTCGCTGGTGTTGGGATCCAGGAGACCCATGTTGGCTGGACTATAGTAATCGGGCAGGACAATGTGGATGCCTGAACTAGGTTGACAGATGGGCTTCACAGTAGGATCATCCATCTGTCGTAGACTGTCCGTAAAGGGACCAGTAGCGTTTACCACGCATTTGGCGCGAACAGTCCATTCTTTGCCTGTCATAATATTGTAGGAAATCCCATTAATAATGATCATTAAATTTCATAACAACTACCGAAAAAATAACTGAGCTGAGTAAACTGGTTACAATAAATGGCTACAAATCAATAAAGCTGAGCATCTGTACAGCTACCCTAGACAAAATAACCAAAAGTAATTATTCAAGCCAGCATAAAAAATGTATTACTTATAATTATAGTCATTCTTTCCACCCTACCAGAAACCCAGAGATCCGGTAGCACATGGAAATGAAAAATTAATGCACCTCGTTATAATCAATTACCAACCCTGTTTTTTAAACAAACCATGTAAATTAGAGAATAAAAAAACAGTTCACATCGTGTTACAGATACAGTACCACTGGTATTCTATAATGGTACCACCCATCCAGTTCACATACTTAACAGCCTGCCTTACCGGTGATCGTGTCCTTGAGAAGTGCACCACTGACAACTTCCTTTCCGTTCTCAAGTTGATCCTTGACAAGTTTTACACACCGCACATGATTAGCGACATTCGCTCCCAGGCGTGCAGCCGTTAATATAATGGCAATACACATGCGGGCGTCGTTATGCTGACCTATGGAAAACGCACATGTTTCTTGGAGCTTGACAAATGCCGTTCATCCATCAAAGAGTAATTTCAACAGACCGTCGTAATAAACAATCGCTCCGCACAGTTTGTCTTGCTTTAACATCGGAAACAGTTCCAGCGCACGGTCTTTCGACAAAAAATAGCTGGTCTTTACGTTGCGCCGACCGGCAACGAAATCGTACGCTTTAATGCCAGCCCAGTAATAGGGTACTTGCCACCACCTAAAATTTTCTGGGACTTATTATATAAAACAGGTTATATTTCGGAAGAATTTTCATGGCGTAAGCAAAATAATTAAACGAATATTAAATACATGAGTGCGAGTACTTCTGTCGTTTGCATATATTACCGGTAGACAGGCAACATAATGGGCAATGGCTTGGATAAGTGCGGCGCAATATCCAACAAATTAGCCCTTTCCGCCAGCGCTTCTTTAACCATTTTATACTACGAAATAAAGCTGTTTATTCATAACACCACAGAAGAAAGCAACATGCCAGTTTACCTGCTCCATATCAAAACCCATAATCGCCTTTTGCAGGTAACGGACACCGCCATGAATGAGCTACGAAAACAGCTGATCGGTGAAGCCGTGAAGGCCACTATGAATTTCTGTTTATTGTTATTTCAACGACAAGGCAATACCTTTGTACTCCTGCTGCTAGTTCCAGAGCTAAAGTCATCAAGCTACAAAGGAAAAAACTCCAACGTAAACAGCATCAAAATGGAAGGACAGACGTTAGGCGGCAATCCAAGCCGGCTGGGAGGAAGTATTTTACTGACCTCAACCAATGCAGTCTTCAAACCTGCGGAAAATAAATAAAATCTGAAGTTTGCCCTTAACCACGTCTACAGCGAGTACTGCTGTTGTTGCTGCCATACTAATCAAACTGTAGCACTTAACAAAGACATCCAGTTGGGTATGGAATAATACCGTAACAAAACAGCCCGAAGCATAAAACAGAGAACAATAACGCAAACAAAACGCTTTTATTCTGACTTGAAAATGACAATCTATGATAAAATTTAGCAAGGACCATCTGCGAAAGTCGGAAGTGCAGTTTCGTACCTCGACTGACGGCATCTAACGCTACTCCCGCCCCAGTGCAGCCGCCTCCGACAATTAGTATGTCATATTCAGGAGTCTGTTGCAGGGCCTTCAGCTGATCGTCACGGCTGGGAGTGTAGGGCAGATACCCAGGAGCTTTTGGTCTCGGGGTTGCGTGCACGGCAGCATCGGCATAAACCTATCGAAAGCCATACAAATACTGTACTGTTTATTCGCCAGTGCGGAATAAGTGAAACTAAAAAATGCAATTATTAATCGCATGCAAAATTTTTAAAAAACATCAGATACTTTATAACCACACGTAGAATAAATGATGCAATTGTTGGAATCACGAATCCCGATACAACAACTCTGGCTATATAAATGTAAAAGAACCATGGCCAATCGAGAAATCGGTATTTTTGTTGTGGCACTGTTTCTACGTGCTGTGCGGTACATTATTTTAAGGTAATCATGGTAATGAAACACAAAATCTAGAGCTAGATTTAAAATGAGAAATTTACAGTTAAATTTTTGCTTAAATATCTTACCTGTTGTACCTGCCGAAGTTTATAAATTGTGAACAGTGAATATCCCACCGCGGCAGTCCCTCCCAGAATTCCCGCTCCCTTCAAAACGCGCTTCCACCGCGGAGCGGTCATTGTGGCTTGATTTGCAAGGCCCGAGCGCCACAAATCTACAAGAAATCAACAACAACTTCGTATAAAAATGATCTTTCTGATGGAAATAGAAGAATGTCCACACACAATTAAAGTAAGCGAAGGAACGACAATCCAACCCAGAAATCTTAATCTGAGGTATCACACTCCACAGCAGCACAATGCTGAAATTACTTTCACTTTTGACTTTCTCTTTTACAATTTCACTGTTAACTGTATACAACTTTACGGTGATATGATTGTATGCTGCTGAGTGCACAATACTGTGTATGCGGTTTGATAATCATCCAAATTGTCACAAAACCAACAACCCCACTCACCCTACTTTATAAGGAACAGGATGCCACTCTCCAACACGCGGAGATCTGGGAGTTAAGAATCTCGAAATTCTCACAATCTGGCTGCGATGAAACGGCAAGTTCTTGCGTCTGCGGTATGCGAAGGCTGGAGAAATTCTCAATCCCAATCAAGATCAACGGGAAAATAGTTATCTGGACCGCAAAAGAACTTGAGCTTCCCGAATGACCATAACATTTGCCATTACCAGTAGCTTAGTGCTTTGGGGCGTTGATGTGTTTACCGACTATTTCTGTATTCAGTGCTGATTCCCGTAGCAAACCTAGGAGTGGGAAAGCATCATTTCCTGTTACAAATCTGCTTTTCATGTCGCCGTGTACCTTCTCTTCATGTGACAGTTACTTACGTTGGTGGCTCAGTGTTCCCATAATTCATAAATAAGCGAGACACACACGCAATGCAGTCTGTGCAGTGTGCACGCAATCACGCAAAAATGCCGAAGTGTTTAGTGAGTTATCGGTATATCAACCACGGCGGATAAAGTTTCACTGAAAAGTGAAAACTATAGTTCCACTGCCCAGTGCCCACATCAAAATCACTTAAATGAAAGATATTACAAAATTTAACAGGAAGACTCAAATATTTTTCTTAGGGCTGCTGTTTAATAAAAAGATGCTGGAACAACTGGTTTCAGCGATCGCAATTAGGCCAACTTCACCGACGAGCAGGAGAGTCATTCGAGAAGGCACCGTTTTTTTCCATAAACCATAATCAAAGAAACAAATCAAACAACAAAATATCGTAAGGTGCTACATACCAATTATCGCAAAATACTTGTTAATAACAAGCTTCTTAACAAATTTTGCAAAGAAACAATTACAAAAATTTGTTTTCCCATAAATAATTCTATGAGCGCGATCTACTTCTTCGTTGGCGCTTAGAGGGGGAAGTCGACGACCTAGAGTGGCTTCTGGGCGGTGATCCAGACCGGCTTCTTGATTTGGAGCGGCTTCTGGAACGCGAGCGCGACGAGGATCTGGATCGAGAGGAATACGGTGAGCGCGGACTGCCGGAACGTGATCTGCCTGGTTTGTACTGCTCAACGGCGTCTCCACGCTGTGCTGCCCGGCGAGCGGCATCCTTGGCTTTGTAAAAATCATACAGACCCAGTTTTTCCCATCCTTCCGCATTCCGGGGAAGCGACGGGGTCGGCGGAGCGTAGAAAGCATCCATGGCCCGGACGCTTTTTTCCGTTATCAACTGCGGCGGAGGAATCATCATGGTTTTGGGATCTAAACTGCGGTAGCTATTCTCCTCCGTTTTAATGAATAGCATCATGATGCCGGCGGGTAAATCATACCACGGCCGCTCCGGCACAGCCGGCCGCTCAGGCGGAGGCAGTTGCCCAGAACCGTCATCCTGCGGAGGAAAAGGTGGTCCACCGGCATGGAAAGGCGGAAAACGGGGAGGGAACCCGGGTCGAAAGGGTCCCTCTGGTTGGCCTATAAACTGAAAATTAGCAAAACTGAAATAATCAAGCGAAAATCGTAACACTCACCTAACGGTCCATAACTGGGTGGCGGGCCGAACATCGGACGAGGGGGCCCCTGAAAGGGCGGCGGTACACCTGGCGGAGGCCCTTGCGAGAAGCGAGAGCGAATCGGCGGGAACGCACCAAACCCTTGCTGCGGGGCAAAATCGGGGGGTAAGCGCGGACCCTCCATGCCCCCCTGGGTCCAAGGAGGAGGGGCGAACATCCGCGGAGGGGGATACTGGTAGGGATTTGAGAAATCTTGAGATTCCGGACCAGCCGAGGAAAAATTGTTAGGCGGAGCGAAAGATCCCGGTACGGAGGGGCCGGGAGGAATTTGATTAGGGCGCTGCGGAGGAGGGAATGTCGGGATGCTGGCCGGCGGTACGGTGGACTGGATCGGCTGCGGTGGCGGCTGCTGCATCATGGGTCGGACAGATGGGGCTCCGTTCTGTGGTGGAAAAGACGCCGGGGCGCTCGCACCAGGCCCCGCGAGTTTCTTATGCTCGGTCGATAAACAGTAGGTGTAGTATCGGTGATAGTCACCACCTCGGAGGAAAAAGAACTGCGCGTTATTCTTCTCGCGCTCACGTACCATAATTTCGAACTGAGATCCGTTCTTTGCCACATAATGCGCCAGTGTCTCGATTATTTTCCGTATTTCTGTAACAGCACAGCTTTCATTTGCTGTAGTTTGCGACTTGTCCATTAGTAGCAAGCAAAGGTAATCAAGCGAAGACTAAAGGAGTGCTCGATTACTTTGCTGCGAAGTACAGTAATCGAGCACTCGGTCAGGCACTGCGACAAACCTGGATCGTTCGGTGCTGGGGGAACATCATGGGACGAATCCATTACACTGATTACAGCGACAATATTGCAAACAAAAGTGCAGGAACAAGCTCAAAAATCTAGTCAACGTCGCCAACAAATTTCACAAAGTACTGACTTAGTACTCGACAAAATGATGGCACGGCGCATGATGGGTATCCAAGCCTGAACCTGCAACGAAGAAGTGTCTACAGGCTACACACAAAATTCTGATTCTACTATACGTGCAAAAAATCTTCTAAAAAATTAGAAAAAGTTATCAGAATAACTTTTGGTTCAGCAGAGAATCGAAATCTTTTTTTAAAAAAAAATTAACGTTAGATTGGCTAGAAAAGCTTAGCATATCGTCAGGACTCAGTACGTTTACACAAAAATTTTGGGCACGCAGTGCACCGTAGACTCTATGGTATAAGGAAAACCGCCCTAGAAAGCGGCTACCCAATCCTGCTCACTACCACCCAACCAATCCGAATTGCGCACAGCTGGTCAGTACTCCAGTCCAGATTATTAACTGCTCCAGTACTTAGAATTCTAGCGTTTATTATTTGTGACTATCAACTAACATGAATTCGAAACAATACATTTTTCTAAAAATATTCCATTAGCAGAGATGAAATATCAGAGATAGTGCTTTCCCATTTCCCATTAACTGAAATGCTGAAAATAGACGAGAAGGAATATAAATACTAACTAAAAAGGGTTATGAATTTTTTTAGTGATACACTGAGGTAATGGTAAGTATTATATTCACAGGTGATAATGAGTTTAAGCACATCAGATTTTTAATTATTCACAGAAAACTAAAAAAAAACTGTTCAGTATATCCTGATAAATTTTATTATTCTCTGCAAAGAAATAACGGCAGCATTTTATGCATACGAGGAGGAGCTACCTTGGCCCGATCAAAGGCGCAAACGCGACCATAATCCGATCACTGCGCCCGCTGTGTGCACAACGCCCAACCGCCCAGGTAGGCAGTAAATTGAATCTCTGTGCCTGCACAAATTCGCAAAACGGCCAACCACCCACATCGGCAACAACTTTGACACAATAGCTATGGCCGCCATTTTTAAAAAAAAAGAAAAATCTATTTTTTTATGAAGCCATTTATTATTATCAAACGAAACCCATTTATTAAAAGACGAAATTTTAGAGAGCTAAAATTTATTAATAACTTTGCTGCCGTGGCTGGGTGAACAGCCATGTTTCACGCGCGGGCCGGCAAGTGGTTAACGTCGCTGCCAACATGGGTGGTTTGGCGTTGTGCACACATGCGGGCATAGTGATCGGATTATGGTCATGTTTGCGCCTTTGATCGGGCCAAGGTAGCTCCTCCTCGTACGAAAGCAGCATACGCATCCCAGTCACAAGAAAACAAAGTTTTACTACAGGCCGCACATTGAGGTGTACTGCAGGCTGTACGTTAAGTAAAACTACAATCTGAACATTAGGCTGTACTACAGGCATTTCTACTAAGTAAACTTAGTGCACTACAGGTTAAACTACAGGTCATACTCCAGACTGTACTACGGGCTGTACTACAGGTTGTACTACAGCCAGCACATTAGGCAAAGGAGTGCACGCCGGACTATGGACATAATGCAGATGATATCGGCTAAGCATCATGAATATTCTTAATTATGTCCAATCACAAATTAATAAAAGGACATTAATAAAAAATACATATTTTCCTTGATTATATTTAATCACATCAGAATCATTTAAAGCATTAGAATCACATTAGCGTAAAAATAAAACTGGTGGACGAAAGAATAGATAAGCCAGGCGTCTGTCCTTTTATTAATTTGTTATAGGATTTACTTTTGTTTCTGGTACGGCCCGATGCACCGCTTAAATTCATTAACACCTTTTTATTGCGTACCAAGAATCTATCCATGCTACCGGTTTACGGATTTTATTTTACGCTTCGAATTATTACAGTACTAATGTGATTGAATATAATTAAGAACATTCACGCTGCTTTAGTGATATCTTGTGCATTATTTCCATAGTCCGGTGTGCACTCCTTTGCATAATGTACTGCCTGTAGTACAACCTGTAGTACAGCCTATAGCACAATCTGGTGTATGACCTATAGTTTAACCTGTAGTGCACTAAATTTAGTTAGTAGGAATGCCTGTAGTATAGCCTAATGTAATTTTACTTAACGTGCAGCCGGAAGTACACCTCAATGTACGGCCTGTAGTAAAAACTTTGTTTTTGTGATTGGAATACAGTACTTATGCTTCTTTCGTAGTCGTAGAGAATGCTGTCGTTATTTTCTTGCACAGTATATTAGAATTGATCAGGATATACTGAACGGTTCTTATTTGTTTCTCCTTAAATAAATAAAAATTTCTTAAATAAATAAAAATCTGATGTTCTTTAACTTAACATCATCTATGCAAATGAAAATTATTTATGTATATGACTCTACAAAAAAATTCATAATATTTTTCAATTACGAGTCCTTCTCGCATACATGCTCCTTCTCGACGCTTTTCACTTTGTTAGTTAATGGGAAATTTGAGTGCAGTTGTGGCTGATATTTCATCTCTGCTAATAAAATGTTATGTTTTTATTCAGAAAAGTTTTTATTATTTCGATTTTATTATTTTAGTTGAATGTCACGCGTAATAAGCTCTTGAATTATAGGGCTAGCAATGAAGTACGGACCACTTGTGCGCAATTCGGATTGGTTGGTGGTGGTGAGCAGGATTGGGGAAAGATTTCTAGGGCGGTTTTTCTTATACCATAGAGTCTACGGTGCACTGGGTGCCCAAAATTTTCGTGTCAGTACGTTTCTGTTGACCGGTCAACCGCCCGGTCTTTCGAATTAGTCAGGTTAGTACGGCTACCTAGTAATTGTTTTTTGTTTTCGGAAATCCCGATTAATCAAAAAAGACTTCCTGAAGCATCAGTACCTACGAATTCTTAAGAAAATATTTTTTAAGCATATCACTCCTGTTTTGACAAGTTTCACGCGCTTCGGATCCTAGGAGTCCATGGTACATACCATAGTGACTTTCATCGCTGACGGAAAATTACCTCCCGACAGGCCAGGAATTGCGCAAATACTGATAATAATTATGTAAGTAATGGTATCCAGAATTTTCTTTATTAACTCCTCGAAAAATTTCTTGGGACTTCTGTATGCCGTATGGTCTTCAGCTTGAGAATAGATACTGTAAAATCATAGCCAGGTGAATGGTGTGAAAACCATTACTAGTATCGCACAACCTACTAGCAATCAACAACATTTTCATATCTGTATTCATATACTTCTATTTATATTCGTGGTACTGTAAGCACACTTTCTTCCGGTTAGATTTGAACTGGATTGTTTTTACTTGACCCCTGCAACTGCAGAGGAATTTTCACAAAAAAGATTATTTTTTTTTACACGTGAAATCGCTGCATGGTGCAAACCTAGTATCCTACTCGTAGTAGATGCTTGGTTTGGCTGGCCGAGCACGACGTTTCTACGAACAAAAAAGCGATGGAAAAAGGTTGAATGTGATTGTGACCTTTTTGTGAAACTGCAAACTTGCAAGGGCCCAAATACTGATGTACTATTAAAGAGACACCGGAGAACTGCTCCTAGAATGCCGGTCGCCAAACGTAGTTTTCGTTAAAATTGTTCTAACAATCATGGGATAAATGTCGACTTTTCGAACTTGTTTTCATTTCGTATGTACGATATTGGTTTTGTCTTTATGTACGATTAATTTGAATGTCTCTTATGTTTTGCAGATAGTTCATTTAACCTGCTTTTGCACGGACGGCTGCGTGGATCGATTTTATGCAGACAACGCACGAGTATTATAAAACAAATTTGGTCGTGATCATGAAGAACTTTAAGGGATGCATTTACTAGTACTTATTTAGCTCGATTTTGATCGTTTGTCTGCTTTTTGTACTTGCGATTGTAAAAATTTGCAAATAAAGCTAACAACGAAGCCATATAAGCAATGAAGGCACATTTCATCCAAAGGGGAAATTCGCAGGTAACGTAGAAGGATTGCACACCGAAGTAGAGACCGGCCACAAACTGCATCTGCATATGAAGACAAAACTTGCATCAGGAAAAGCCCGAAGTATAAATGCAACATGTGTTAGTTGTTACTGATATGAATTTCCGGTTACAGATTACAAAATAATTAAAATAGGTAACTTGCAAAAGAAAAGAGTGCTCTGTATTCAATGCATGAACAATAAAAAGCTGATCTTACATTGTTTTTTAGGAACAGACGTGGCTTTAGTCAAAACATAATTTCGCGACATTTACCATTTGAATTTGTGTCAAATACGGTTTCCACCATAAAAATGCCCGAATGGTCGGTCCAAATGCGGCTAATCCATAGTACGAATACATCAAAACATGAACTGCGGAGTTGGTCATTGCCGGGAAAAAGGCTAAAAAATCATCAACCACTAAAAAAACGGTATTGAGTTGTTAGTATACAAACACAGGCGGCACCATAAGAGAAGGGTCGGTTTTTACATTAATTAATTTGTCAAGGAAACACAGTTGGACCGTATTTAAGAACAAAACGGAGTAACGGCAACAGGCACAGAGAAGCATCATAATTTTCCAAATTTTAAGGTAAAGGCATTTTATCAGCGGCATGTTACCGGAACCTCCAGCCACCCATTTGGAGCCGATCCACCAGAACAAGACCATGGTAGCATGATGGTATCATGATGGTATATGTGCAGAAACGACAACTGATTCGTCTTCTTTCTTGCGATCAAAAATACCGTGTCCGTCAGTTCTACGATTTTGGACATGAAGAACCACCATATTGCTTTTGCCATCTGCAAGAATATAATTAACTGTCACTGTTCCAAATAAGCCATGTTGACCAAACCGTCGCCGTAGAATTAAAAATGCCGCACCGAATGCACGCATGGTGTAAGCACAGTCACATATATAGCAGTTTTTGGACAATGGATTTTTTTCCACATAATTATCAGCTGGTACAATACATGCCAGTTACACAACACAGAGATCAAAATCGTATAGTGTAACAAATTTAAGGAACAGTTTTTGCTAGTGGCAAAACAGTATGATAAACTACTACATATAATTTACTAACAATACCCGAATTTCTTCCGGATGTAGAGAGTAAACCACTTTCTGGCAAACATAACTGTAACCCAGATTCGTTGCAGCCAAATACGTCTAAAAAATCAACGGTAGGTTATGGTATGGGTTATGGTATGTTTAAATGGGTATAGGTTATGGTATGGGTTATGGTATGTTTAAATTTGAGGAATATTAACACAAGATCACGAGATACGAGTGTAAAATTATGATACAAGCATGTATATACTGCACAACCGAACGCAAAACTATTTCATGATCAGAAGCGGCACCTGGATTCTTATAGATGCCTGTGTGTGTTACATACCTCTTTGCATATGTAGAGATTGAGACAAGCTATCCCAAGATTGTAAACAATCATTGTGTTGTTTAGTTTAAATGCATCTCGTTGCTTCATCCACTTTGGTGCATACTTCAGAAATGCTGTAAAACAGACTTACAACTGTATCTGTGATTCTGTATATATATACATATAAATGATCAGGTAAAAAATTTAATAAGCGTTGCCGGAATTGCCGGGAACTTCAAAAAACGCAAAATGCCCTACCAAGATAGCCGCAAATAATAGCTAGCACAGGCCAGTGGGAGGACATCAATGGCCAGCTTGCCACTCGAGGATCTGCAATTTACGAGTTACAGTAACGGAAGTATGGTATGCTTACTTCTACACTACTATGCACTCACAGTTTTAATTTCTGCTGCGTTATTAGCTGCCGCTTGCCGTTATTGTATCTATGTTTCCGTATATCATAGTGTACTATTATACAGATATTATTTTTTCGAATTTTTCTATTCTGATTCTCATTTGAGCAAATTTGCTTCTTCGGAAAGGAACTCTTAAATATGAAACTGAAAATAGGATGCGATCGAACCCTTGTTGATATTTGAAAATTCTTTGCCGGACTTCGTCAAATATATTCAAGGACAAGAAGTCACATTAATTGTGGACGTACAACAATATGTTATTGAAGCAGTATGTATATATATCGTATGTTGCAACCTGACCAGTTACGAGAGATTGATTTACCTGAAACTGAATACAACCAAGCAGTGTAGTCGCTGCATGTCTGGTAATAAGTTAATGGAGAATTCGTGCTGCTGTTTGACATGTTTCCGGGTCACGCAAGATGTAAAACGTTAACTGGTCTGCAATCATATACAATTAATTCCGAAAAGTCGATCTCACGAAGAAAACCGATAACATAAAATTAAGTTATTAAAATATGACAGTGATTTTAAGATTTTGTTAAAACTTACATGCCTCATTTACCTACACATTTGTCGAATAAGGCAGCGGGCAGAGCTATGGATGCTAAATACATGACTACCCACATAGTGGCACTCTGGAAGGGTTTAATGGAAAGCATGAAGTGTGCTGCTTCTCCAGCCTGCGACTCTGAGAAACTTTCATCTTCATAGACATTATTATGAGATATTGATTTGTTCGTCGTACATGACCATCATCGTTCCAGACAAATAAGGGAAAATCAAATGGATTCAAACTACAACTTTCTAGGACAGCAGCAGTTTGACCGCCAAAAGATCAATACTGTAATAAGTACTTTACCATGTCCAAAATATTTCAGCCGCAACTGAATTCTATGTACTCGTATACTGTGCGCTGTGAGACGCTATCCGCTGCTTTAAAAAAATGTCAAGCTGAGCGTGTAATTGTTTATTATCATCGTTTATTATCATCGTGTAATTGTTTATTATCATCGTTTATTGTCATTGTTTTTCTCAACTGCTGCACTCTTTGCTGCAAAACAAATCACAGGCGATGGAGAATTTTTCACCCTTTCAAGTTTTTTTTATAGGATTTACCTCGCACTCAAAACAAGCAAAATAACGCTTTCAAAAGCATGCAAATAAATATTCATAAACCGCTGTAAAAAGGAACTATGTGCAAAGGTGAGAAAACGCTACGTCACACAAGACAACACGTTAAAAACTAAAAACCAAAAAAAGACAGAGGCTTCCAAACGGAATATGCATTAAAACATCAAACATTTGGTCAAAAGACCACCAATATTAAGGCCACTATCAAAACAGACGAATTTCCCATCTGTTGCATATCCTGACTGTCAGGCAGATGCCTAACTGGGATTAACGTTAGAATTTTGGGAATCAAGCCGCCTTTCTTCTTCGTTCATCACAGTCACTAAAGTTCCCACAGCCACATTCAAACTTCCAGCGGCATGGAAAAGCTGCCCCACTGAATAGCTATTTTGTGTCGCTGTCACCCTCGAGAAAGCCGGCGAATTATGTGCCGACGATGGGCCTGCAAAGCAATTTTTGATAAGCTGCAGTTCGATAAGCTGCAGCAATTTTTAAAAAATCTGTAAATACTGGGCAGCAAACAACATCCTACAGTAACCGCCACCATTCCGCATTTAATCACTCCCCAAAAACCCCATGAAATAAATAAGCACGAACAAAAACCGAATCGCCTTACTTCTACTAGAAATTCGATGAGAAAGGGCCAGATCATCATGTGGTGAATCATAACGACGCCCAACGCTTCCATTAGCAGGTAAGGTAGCCGCATTGCGTTCGTGTGTCTGAATTACACAAACATTTCTCATCATGCAAATAAATCCATAGGGATTACAGCTCCACGCTTAAACCCAAACCCACCTCATCCACTAGATTCTTGATACGCTTCAATTGTGCGTCTAATTGTCGATTATGATCTTCAAGGATTTTCATTCGCGCTTCCAAACGGCTTTTATCTTCTCGCAGTATACTGGCTTCCGCCACTAAGTCATCATTAGGCATGCTTTCGTGCAAATACCGAGTATGCTCCAACTCTTGAATTAGTTTGCTGCAAAAGTATTGTCAACCGTTCTTCCATTGTGTCCAGAAAAATAGTAATAAAGCACAAAAAAATAAAGTTTCCAAGACGAACAACCAACCCACGAAATGTCAGCTTGAAAACCAGCCCCAAAACAGAAAGCGGTTAACCAAAATACCCATTGCAAATACCATGCCAATCAGTGGGCAAACTATGGCTCGCTAATTAGTAGCTGGAATGCTAACATTCGAAGCTTGCGTAGTAAAACACACTTACTCATGATCCATTTGCAGTTGTCGCAAGTATTCCTCCATCTCCTGCTTTTCTTCCCGCTCAACAGTTTGGAGAACCTGGCCGGTCGTCTGCGCCTACAGCAAAAAAGCATGCGTTCTAGTACGAAATCCAATTCTGGCAAATAAATAAACTCACCGAAGGGGTTCCATTCAGGATACTGCTATAACGGGCAATCAAATCATGCTCGTCGTCACTGTGCAAAAATAAGTTCACATTAAACATGTGATCTAACCTCAGGCAAGAAAATATATTGATCAACGCTACAGCGAGCACGCAATTAACCAGTTACACTTACATTTCCGGTGTGGAAGTATATCGAGCCTCGTCCATTTCAATTACACTGCAACGTCACAAATTAGCCACATCATATTAATCAAACTGACAGGTTCATATTACAGTATTAGTGGCATACCCATGACAATTATAAAAACAAATAACTAACAGTACAAAAAAGGTACGTCTCTAAAGCAAATAATAACGCACACATACCGGCTTTGAGTGAATGCCGAAACGCCGTCCCCGGAGCTAACCGAACCTTTCGTATTATGTGAGTTCAGAGTAGAAGTCGCCGTGGTAGTGTCTGCCGGTGCTTTTCCCGATGTTACTGGTTGTACTGGTAGATAGCCCAGTTGTTTGGTGTCCATCCCAGTCGACGCATCCTTTGAACGCAGCTTATTCTTCAGCACGCGACGGAAATCCCGCATGTCTTCGCTCGAAGAGGCCTAGAAATGCCTTTTTATTACAATCTTCAGCGACAATACCGTACGAAATGTGGGAAAGATTAACAAAAAAAGTCATAACAAAACAACAGTAAGAGTGGAAAAACAGGAGAACAACAAATTGATAAAGTCAATTTCGCGCAAGAGAACAAGTAAAGTCTTACCGGAAAACAGTATTCTTGCATCGGATGGCTAATTTTGTGATGCTTGCTCTTCTGTCCGGTAAAGAAGCAATTCTGGCATAAGTCAAAGTTGAAACACTTCAGACACCGATACCTAGACGGTTCCATCGTTAACGATCAAAACAAGCGAAACTACGCTATACGAAGCCGGTGACATACCGCAAACCGACGATGGGAAACTGACGACAAATATTGCACTTGGCCGGATGTCGTGCGCCTTCCGCCGCAATTAAGCGATGGAGAACACTCAGCCACACCAGCGACTGCGGCTCACGGGCCAACCAGGAGAGGAACTGCTTGGCTTGAATATCGATTCCGTTGGTTGACTAATCAAACCACCCAATTGAAGCTTTTTTATCGCTTTAGACAAAAACCCACTAGCTGAGTCAGATATCAGTTTAATCAGCTCAGGGCTTACGAATTCAAAACAACTTTGAACACTCGGCTCTACATTGCTCCCGCCGAAGGCGGCCACTTCGGCCAGATAGAGGGGTATATCCAGAAAATGACGCAACAACTGCGAGATATGCTGCCTGTCGGCATTCTGATTTTCATCAGCAATCAACCGGAAGAGATCTACGGAAAAATCAATTGCATTACTCACTAAATCCAAGTAAGCGGATCAGATTTCACAAAAAAAGGTATTGTATGTAAAATTTCAATGCAACTACGTACTTAAATAGCCTTCAATATTCTAGGCTCTCCACCCAAGCAGACACATCCAGCAATACCGTGTGTGCGTTAAAAACTGATGCTGAGTAAATTATGAGCATAAAATGGAAATAAAAAATAGCCATAGCATTTATTCTCGCTTGCAACGGATTACGAAGCCCAAATATAACTATTTTCTGAACTACTCACATTTGTATTTATCAATTAATTCTCCTTGGCACAAGATGATTAAGGAAAGCTTGAATGCCAGCACCGGTATTTGTCCAGTGCGCTTCCTAAAAAAGAACGTTACATTTAATAACAAAGCCACCCGTAAATAAACGGCACTTACGGGTCATGACAATTCAATAGCCAGTTCAAGCAAACATCAATTGCCAAGGCAAAATTGATTCGGTTAGGATTTTCCTCATTCAGGCGCTCGTAAACCATCATCAGACAGTCCACCGCTGCTGAGCAATCCAACGTTGCGGCATTTTGTGCTCGAAGGCCGCACTTGTCAAAAATTTCTGCGGCTTCTTTAAGTGGTAATAAATCCACTATCGACAGAGAACAAAACGCAATGCATTAATCTTGCTTGGAAAAATCAGAAATAAATTTTTCTAATTTACGGTAAAGTTTCCGCTGGACAATTCGAAGCTTGGCAGCCGTTCGGTAGGCCGAAAAACGAATCTTATTCACATCGTTGACTGCTGACATCAAGTCAATCAGTTTAGGATGGTCCCAGGTCGTTGACTGTTCCGCATGACTAAATTACAAAACATCAATGCAGGATAGCTTAAGCTTACAACCAGAGCGACCTCAGTGCATAAACAGTTATAACAAAACACAAGTAAAATTTCAACTCTGGACCAACAACCACAACAGTTCCAAGCACGCACCCATACAAACCGGGGAAAAACACCGCAGGCACGCATTCGACAGAAAAAAATTTTCGGTTTTCGAAATTTTCAAGTAACCGTAACGAAAAGCAAATTTAGTAATAAAATTCGCAACTAAACAACAAATACATGCGATCAACTCACTTTATGAAATAAGGCACTTTGCTCGGAGAAACTCTGCGCTCCCAGGGGTCATCCACAGAACCTACAACCGAGATTTCGACCAATCTCATTCACACTGTCTCACTGCTGTTAACTTACTGCCAAGGATATGCTGGTTGCTGGAAGAAGACACGTCTTCCAATGCGCCTTCCAGCTGAGAGAGCCGCTCCTCAATCTTGACGGACAAGGAGTGTTGATGCTTATTCAGCTTTTCGACTGATCGCACAACCTCCTCAGACAATGAACCCGGAGTACGTTGAATTCTAGCCGCCAAGGAAGTTATCTCCTCCAGCTTCGGATTTTGCGCATCAATCTTCACTTTAAACTTCTACAAAAATACATTATTCAAACTTTTTGCGCTAAATTTTTGCACAGTCAATTCATACAGCAAAAAGGTAAAAACCCTAACGGCAGGTACGGTAAAAAAAGAACTAGAGGTGTATTAAGGGTGTATGTAAGCCATACACCTTGTTAGAACTATCAATACTAATATTAATCACTAAAAACAGCACCAAAAACGACCTCATCGCAATAATTACATATTATTTTCAAGCAAAACTAAATTCCGAAAACCTTCGAAACGAAGAAAGACGCCTAGCAAACTACTCGCCTTTGCTTCTTCCAGTCTTTTATTCAGATCTTCTAGATTAACTTCGTCAGTCGACTCCCATTTATTGCTTTCCCGTTCCAGGTCATCAAGTTTTGGTCGAACCGTCTCACATAGCTTCAACAAGTTATCCAACTCCTAAAATCGCAAACCACAATTTTAAAAAAATTATAATGTATGGGATTACTTTATTTCAACATGTAAAACCGTACGCCAGTTAACACTTCCGTTTCCTGTTGCAGCGCGTCCGACTGCAAAAAGATGGTACGCCAACTAGCTGACAGCTCTTCCATTTTCCGGTTCAGCTGTTCCATGGACACAGTCGTCGACTGAGCGGAAAGCGGTTTAGACGCTGCACCATAAAACAACAAAACAGTTACAACAAAACAGTTGCAGTTACTTTGACACACTGCAGAGGGCTAAGTTGTGCCGGCTTAGTTTATCAGGCACGTCAAAACTTCCACTGATACCTAACTGGCTGATAAGCGCGTACTACCCCGCAATGAGGCGGTCTAATTCACACTGACAATGCCTACTCACTGGGGGACTGAAGTCGCTGCTCCAGTGCGCGGCCTTTACTCAGGGCGGCCTCGATTTCTGGCCGCTTGGCTTCCAGTTGGGCACGGAAGAGTTGATGGAAGTCGTGCAAACGCTGCAACAGTATACGATCCCCGGACGGCTGCAGAGTGGACAATTCTTCTTGTTTGCGCTTCACCCAGTTCCAGTGCTCCGTCAGAAGGGCCATGATAGCGGCTTCATCAAACGATTCTTCCAAGCCGTTACGAGGGGATGCGCTGCTATAAGAATCGTAACAATTACTTAACAAGGGTAAGCGGGTTTACAGCTTTTCAATGAGAATAAGAACAAGCCATCTATTCGCTATATAACTTAATGGGATTTACCGCTATATATTACTGTAAAGAGAAAACATCAAGAAATTCAGAATGATCATTAAACACAGAATGTACCCAAGACGGCGATAAAACATTATCCCTAAAATGCATATGGTAACTAGAATTTTAAAAACCCCATAAAATTTCACTGAAATGAAAGTCCAAAGTAACCGTCTGTGAACAAAATTTTCGCTACATACCCGTACAGAAAATCGGTCCGAAGCCGACTGTTACTCCGCTTAATGTCCATAGTGCTTCAATATTTTTAACAGATTCCAATTAAAATTACCATCATTACAATAAAAAATTCAGCGGTTTAAGCTATGCTGAAAATAAATGCTTAAGAACACTGGGTGCTAATCTGCTGAGCGAATTCCGCGTGCTAAACGGTGAGTTCGAAAAGTATTGCGAGATGAACCGTATTTCTACCGAGGTGTGTGATATCGCCAATATTTGCGATTCCACACGATAACGAATAATCACATAATTATTTATCAGAAGTTGAGCAGAATCAGTTACGGTGAGTACGCAGCTGCTCCGATAACTATACAACACGTACGTAAAATAGAGAAACTTTTCATTTCATCAATCAGGCTTGCAGAAATTTTTTTCTTCAATTTAAATTCGTGACCTGCTAAAAACACCAGACAAATACAGTAGATCACCACAAAAAATTGAGTAAACAGTAAACACAATAATCATTAACTATTCCATCACTCAGCTATAAAAATTTTTTTCACGTTTTCCCGTGGAATGTCTCCGACTGAATTAGCGAGAAAATATAAGTGACAAAATTCACCAGGTTAATTCTGCCCGCATTTTAAATGGCTACATTATATTAACTCGCATTCCAGAAACCGAAAAAAAATTATTTGCCTAAATCTGTACAACTATTATTTAAAATTCAATAAGCCAAGGGTAGGACTACGGCACTAGGCATACACAACGCATATCTCATATTTTCTCCAAAAACATGCAGAAAACATAAAACACCCATAAAATTTTAAAAAAAACAACAAGCTCTGCCAATGCAGCACCATGCTTGAAATGCGAACTCATCAAACCGGTAAAATACGGGCAAAATAGAAGTATCGATATGCAAAAGGGTGGCCATGCTTATCTACAAATAAAAACTAATTTCCACCGTTGAAAAGTCTTACCTTATGTCTTTCATCCTTCCGCCCAGCCTATTCCAACGATGTTTAACATCATCCAGCTGACCACGCAATGGTTCAGCATTTGGTGATTTGTAAACATTATTCAAAACGTTATTGCCCAAATCCAGGATCATGTTGTACGTGGCAAGCTTGTTGGCTTTCTCGTCAATCAGCATCTGTCATAAAAGTCAAATACAGCACGTCAATTTCACACTCTTCGTGAGAACAACTTGTAAATGCAGAGTAAAGGTTTCCATTTACCGTCTGCCGTTCCGTATCTGAAAATTTATCGTTTGCCGCTAGAGTTTCTGTTTTTTCAAGCCAGGGTCGCAGTTCGTTCTCCAAAGATTCATAAAGCAACAATACCGACGAGAGATCCTTTCCGCTGGATTTTAGTCTGTAATTACATAACTTTTGTTACATACGTACAGAAAGCACTCTCCTGCAATCTGAAATAAAATTTAAAAAACTTAATCCAGTCTTTGAAAGCTCATATTGATTTTACAACACATTTTGGTACAATAAAAAAGTGCTTTTACACCAGCTATTATATGGGCCTTTACAAAACAGACAAATCAAATATTAACTGGGTTGCAAATGAAAATAACCATTTCTAGCAGTGAATCCATTCAAAAATGCAGTAACCTTACTTCTCTTGTATATCCGTCCAACGATTATTGATGGCGACTTTCACCAGTTCCAGTTGATTAGTATCATTTGCATCCCGACTGTTGGTGACAGCCGCGTCCACGCAACTCACAACATCCTTATAGACGGCTTGGTTAACCATCACTTCATGCTTTACTGCCTACGGAGTGCCGAAATACACAAACACTATGTCAAAAGTGGGCCAAAGCAATAACTCGCAAGAAATTCAAGACATTACTCCAAACACACCTACCTCCAGATCGGACGCTCTCACTTTCACTTCCGCTGCTGAAGCCGGTGGCATACGGAGCAGAGTGAGTAGTTTCTCTTCGCAGCTCACACAGAATGTGTCAAATTTGCGCATTGCATTTTCTGCTTGGCGCGAATTCTCAAGACGCTGTTGCAAATTGGCGATTTCCGTATTCAATTCCTCAGCGTGTCTGCCAGTTGCCTTTTTACCTAAATATAAGCGCGCACAAGTGTCAATTATTCCATTTCATTCCAACAACCAATCACCGCTGCGCAAAGAGATTCGTACAACATCTCTTAACAATCCACCAAAAATCATAAATGCGCATTTCCCCACAGAGTTTCAAGTGGCAGCGGGAACAGAAAAACTGCCTTTGGTGATAAAAAAATTGGGTCAACTCTTCCTTAGTTCAAAATACTCATGACGATCTCATAAAGCTGCGCTAAGAGGCTGCCACAGCCATTTAATTACCTAAAAAGCTCGATCAAACAAACAACAAACGTAAAGATTTGCCTGCGTTTTACATATAAATGCCAATATGTTTTTGTGAAACGCCCATACAGAAACAATTTTGCATATTTCACCCTCAACCTAACAGTTCTCAACTTGTACTTTGCAAATGCCGGCCACGCACAGATAACAGTTGCATCAGAGGATTCAGTGCAACGAAATGATCGATTTTCTGTTAGTTTGCACTCATTTGACACATTTTAGCGGTGATTATGATCCGAAAAGACCAGAACCAAACAATTCGCTTGGCATGCAAAATCGATCTCTATCGCGCGGCGAATTAAAAGGTTATTCATTGAAAAGTTTCCATGTGAGGATAACTAAACTTATTCACTAACAACCGCACACGCACGTTGGTTAGTAAACGTTCATTCGGACAAACGATTACACAGAGCCACAGAGGGATTAGTGTTTCATACCGGCACTGAGCAGTGAGTCTGATTATTCTTGTTAAGCAGTATAACGACTCACCTTCGACATTAGTTAAAACAACCCGTTCGTGTGCGGCATTAATTTTTTGCTGCAGCGACCGCTGATACTCCTTCAAATGTGTGATCCCAAGGTTAAGCGGAGGAGGCGATGACTTGTTGGTAGGCTGGCGGTACAAGTTCGGCCTTTCACTCGCAACGGCAGTGGTGCTAGTAACAACTGTTTTTATCACTTCCTCCTTCACAATGACCCTTTCAGTTTGACCCTCTCTCGATGGCACCTCCACTGAGGGAGTAGAGATTTTATGCGGCACAACCTAACAACATAAAAATGAGATTCCAATAAAAAACCTTAATCATGGGGTTATTATCAAGAATATTTCAAAAACATAAAAATCACATCAAGTGCAAAGCAGGAAAACCTTCAGATATTATAAACTGTTCGTTATCTCACAATATTTTATCTACAATGCCGTAATTCGCAGCTTTTTCTGCCTGCGGTTTGATATTCGTTTTGCGAACCATAACATTTTTTCGTATATTCACACCAAATTTAATACCTGCTGTAATTTGGCCGTTTTCACACGGTTCTGGATCGCCAACCATCTTTGGCTATGTTGTGAATATTTAGGATCGAAACCCGGGATTGTTGGCTTCATGGCGATTTCACGCATGCGCTGTCTCATGTTCCGCAACGATGACAGTGTTTCTTCCTGGTGGGCGACGCTGCTTTTAATATCCTGTAAAATAATTACCAAATAAAAAGCTGTCGGGTATAATATCAAAGTGAATACAATATCTGATACCGCTAAAGTGTCGTCGAATTCTTCCACGCCAGCCAATTCGGCTAATTCCGCAAGGGCCTGGTCAATCTCATCCATGCTAATTCTCCAGGTGTCCAGTTCCTTTTCCGCTTTCGTCACCAGTCGAACGACATTATCCAGTTCCGCTTTGGTAGCAGTTACCTATGAGACAGCACTTGAAAACTGACAGTCCGAACCATCAGTGATATTTATCAATTTCTCATCACTAGGTGGTGACGCCGGTTAAACACAGCCGCACGAGATGTTTGCAGACGTACCTGCGCTCCCAACTGGTTGTACTGTGTTTTGATACTGTCCAACCGCTGACTAAGACTTTCGCTTTCCGGCAATGTAGGATCAGCTTCAACAATCGCATGGCCTTGTCTTATCAATGCTTCAACTTCACCCTTGATCTGCTTCAACTTCTCGTACATTTGCTAATACAAGAAAAACCACTATTTGCATATGCCATACAACGGCCGGCAAGTAAAACAAGTTAATTACCACGCAATCATGTAGCTGCTCGGCGATGACGCCAGAGTCGAAGACTTTCAGCTCGGTTGCTGGTAACTTATCGCGTAATTCGTTAAGCAGATGTGAAACTCGTTCCAGACCCTCGCTGAACGGAGACTGAACGGCACCGCTTTCACTGCCGGTATCGCTAAACAGACTGTAGCGTGATTGGGAGTCCACAAGCACGCTCTGTTGTTCCTGCGCCTGTCGAACACGGTTAAACAGTACAAACACAGAAGTTCGAGTGACACTACCCGTAGGTGATTAGATTACACTCCCGCACCCCTTAAATTATCAAACGTTATTCCCTAATTTCCGTTAGAGACCAATTCCCAAAGTGTTTTAGAGTACACCAGATGGCACAGCACATTATTATTGTACTCACTACCCAGGTCAAACTTAGACGCTACGAACGTATAGAGTATAGTATACATTTACATCATATCAGCTTTATACGTACACGTTTGAGCAGTTTGCTTAGTCTTTGCCTCAGCTTTTCCAAATCAGCCTTAACCAGCGGTGACAAAATTCTTCGATGATCAAATTCCTCAGCGATTTCCGCTACTGTAGCGTAGCTTTCCCCGTTCTGTGTTTTCATGAACTCAAGCAATGCCTAACATAAAAAAAATTCTGTTAAAGTGGAAAAGTGGAATCAGTTTTTGAAAACAAGAACTTTACCATTTGTTGCTCTCTGCGCAACTTTTCATCATCACAAGTCTCCAATTTCACAATAAGTGACTCCAGCTTATCCATCCAGGAATGATGTTCCGTAAGCATTTCTTCAGAAAAAAATTATGTTTAGGACGTGATCACAAAAACTATAAGTTCTGTATTACCAGAAAATGTACGCCATTTTTCAGATATACTGGCGAAATGGGCTTCTCGGTTCTTTGTTGTCTCCAAACAATCTTGTAAATTTAAATCATATCTATGCAACGCATCGTCGTCTTGGCTGTTATTGGGTGATCCGGCGCCATTCTTGTCGCGCACATCATTCAATTTACTTTCCAAGATTGCTTTGATTTCCTGTAATTAAAAACAAGTAGAAGAGTTTGCAAACTATTTAGGCGATTGCCATATTCACCTGGACAGATTCAATAGCCTTTTCAAAGGCCTCCAGTGTCATGATATTAGAATCGTCTGGCACACGATGCCTAATTTCCTCTAATTCCTGCATGTCTCTTTGCAATTCTGTCATATTCTTCTTTCTCGCTGCTGAGACGGCGGCTACCGTTTGCAGCTGCCGAGCCGCTCGGGTATGCACAGAAGTCCACTGACTTTCCATCTCTTTGAGGCATTTTTCAATGCATTCAACGAACTCTTTTTGGTTATTGCGAAGAAAAGATCGACCAGTGTCCATCAGCTTATCAACGGTGGGTCGCAGGACATTTATATCTTCTTCCAGGCCCTAAGAGGAAACAATTTCCCAATATAATTCAGAAATTTAGAAGGCAGCCTTAGGATCTCACCTGAAACTGCTCCTGAACCTGCATGAAGGTTTTGTTATCCTCAACAGATTCAATGTCAATGTTAAGGAACGTGTCCACATCCACCATCCACTGTTTCAATCCATCCATGTCGATCTAAATCAAACGGATATTTATTCAATCCAGATTATATAAACGAAATAAATCGATTTCAAGGTTTTCTACCAGCATACTAAGAAATATGCAAGATATTCGCAAATAAAAAAAGTTAACAATTTAACAGGTTTGAAAAGCGTACATTTAATACCTGAAATGCTCGCAGCTCTTCCACCCATTTCATAAGCTCGTTCATATTGTACTGCAAATACTGTCGTATGTCCTTCCATTTGGAATTTAAATCGACTAGGTCCAACTGAAAATTTGTTCCAACTAGTTTCTCCGCTAACTGTTTGGGAGGAGCGTTAATTCGTTCCAAAACTTCTTGTCGTTCAGCTAACGACTGTTCCACTTCATTATAATGTCGCAAACTTCCCTCCATCTTATCCAAAAAAGTCATGCGGACAGGAGGTTCATCCATGAGCATCTGGTGAATTTCACTTGTCCACATTTGAAGATTTTTCAGATCATTTAACACCTCTTTCACCGGTTGATTTTCCTTCATGACTGATAATTCTCGCACCAAACCATCTAAAATGCGACTTTTTTTACTAGGATTTACTACGCAATTATTCTAAAGTTCGACCGCTAAGATTTTCGAAAAAAAACCAAATAAAAGGCAAGGCAAATGTTTTGCAAGCACAAAAACCTACTAAGTTCATCATTTGTTTTGTGCCACTGCTCGTTAAAATCATCCCATGCTGATGTGGTAATCTTTTTATCAGATATATCGTCCATGGCCAACCGCTTTGCCAATAATGCGGTTTGTCTAAACCTTGGCTGATTGATTTCCATCAAATGTAAACGATCTTTGCAGTCATCCACATTCTGATTCATCACCTGTACAGGTACATCTTTTCCGCCTCCAATTCTTTCCACAGTCTTCTGACAGCTTATCAGAACGTCTTTTAAAACAGCCATATTATTGTGAAGTATTTCCAAATCTTGATCGATGGACAAGGCCGTGGAACTTTTGTTTTCGATTATCCAGTTGAGTTTCATCCACAAAGCGGCCAACTGGTTTAGTTTATCTTCAATACTCTGGCATGATGCTCCCGCTAAAATCAAATGTAAAGAAGTTAGCACTGCATACTTTTCCCCGACCGGTGTATTCCAAGTACCAACCTGCGTGCTTTTCGGTAATAATGTCCTCTCCCAACATTTTCAGGCTTTTGTATTCCGCTTCCCTGTTGTGCATTTCGTCTTTGATCTGATTAATCAAGGCAATATCTGGAGAACTGCCAGCCGAGGCCTGCACTGACGATAGGGTACTCTCTTTTTCATTCAACCACTCCACTAGTGCATTGCAATTCTCCATTAAACCCTCGTCCATTTCTTCCTGTTTTGCTTTCTTGGTCCGCGGTTGCTGTACAGATAAAACAAATGAAAATTCGTCATAGCCCATAGAATGCTTCGAATGTGCATTGTAACATAAATAACTGAGCACGAATACGGCTCAATATAAAAATCAATATCAAAATAAAAAAACGAATCCACCTCAATGGAAAAATCTAAAATAAACTATTACACTTCACGGCAAGTTCGAAAAATCAATTTCCCTTTTGCGATTTGCGCCACTATTTGAATACCTCGTTATCGTCCGAAGCAGGAGGCGAAAAGCTGGAATCAACCGTATCCGAAAATCTTTTGGAGTGGCGTATTTTCGAAGTCCGTAGAACATCACTTTTATCAAAGTGCATATTTTTCTAAAAGCAAATTGTTTCTCGAGTCACTATTTTTAATGCTGCGCTTTCTGAAAAGACATACATCGGATGTCCAAAATTCCAGTAAATCCACCAAGTGGTTCCATTCTGAGCAGATTTTCTCTTCACGTCGCCTGACTTGCATTCCCGTGGATGACTGAGGAGTGAAATACGTCACTAATTCATCGGACCGCTCTTGAAGAGTCTGTATCCGCTCCTGATAATCTAGCATCTGATCATGCATCTCCTGTAAAACAGTCACGATCACATGACAAATATCCACTTCAACGCTGTCTCAAAGGTCAACAAAAGCCGCATCAATATTCCGAGTCAAATAAATTTTCCATGTATTCGAGCCTTACGCGCAGCAGATCCACATTCCGCTGTACCCAGTCCAATCGATCACCGGCCACACTAGGCAGACCCTGGAGCAGTTCAATGCGATTTGTGATCCATTCGCCACACTCATTGCATAATTTGAAGAAATCCTCATAATATGTTCGAATGCGTCGCACTATGGACCATTGACTCTCGCTCCAGCGACAAATGGTTTCCCAACGTTGACGGAAGTCGTCCAACTGCGACTGAGCACCTAAAAATTAAATAAAATGATGACTGATATAAGATCTTTAAGTCGTGGCCAATCTGTCAAACCATTGTCATCACTATTCAGTCCAATAACCACAACGGTCAATAATTCGTTCATCGCCGGCAACTGCTTTTCCAGATCATCCTGCAGTTTCTGTAGTTTAATATTAAACCGTTAAAACAATTGTGCGTTAAGTGACCCGAGAGAAAAAAATCGCATGGATCCTCACAGATAATTCCCGTAACTGGGCATCCATACTTTCGATGCTGTTCGCATTAGATTTGAGGGATTCCATTCGTTTTTCGGCATCGGACAACCAAATATCAACGTTTTTCAAGTGCTCTTCTTGCAAAATTGTGATCATTTTTTGCAATCTAAGTTCAAAAAAATCGAAATATGCAACGTGACTGCAATATGCAGCTAAAACAGATCCAAAAATGACGTTAGCCCCCAATAATTCCCATTAATAACAGCAACAGTTTACTCAAACACGGCAATACACCCTCAAATACTCATGGCGTATATTCTATTGCCAACCTTCCAGCATAACTACGAATATCGATGTGCGAGTGACACGAGTATGACACCACTTGAAACGTACAATTTTGTCCGTTCGCTTGACTTGATCTGTACGTTTTCCCATTTTTCTGTCAACACAGAAATATCGTTTTCGACATCGGCAACTCGTTTAGCCGGCAACTTCGGATTCTGGAGTAATCGTGCCGAATGATCCAGAATGTGTCGGAGACTGTGTTCTTGCATTACAAGTTCAGAAAGAAGAACCTGCAACAACGGGGTGCTAAATGAATAACAATAACAACATCATAATCTACACGAACTGCTGCAAAAAAAGTGAAAAAAACTGCTACAGTTATGGGTGCAAAAATTAGCTACGGATACGCACTTCATGTTCATCCCACAGCTTCCGTATTTCCGGCAAATTATCGGCCAATTCGCACCGATCAAGTTTTTCCTCCACTGACAGCATCCAGGTTAGCATATTTTCGATGGATAATTGGTATGCAGAGGCATCCCAGGCAGGCTTGTCGCCATTGCTCATCTACCCGCAAATCAAACGTTTGACAGCTTGCACAGATATCAAAACCAACTATCCTATCTGATGTAAACTGTCGGCTGGCATACATTGCTATCCAATTCTGAAATGGCGGCTACCACTTTCGCTTCCATTGTTTCCTGCGGCAGAACTTCCAGAAGGCACAACAAATACGTAACAATGCTTTTTTGGTCAGGCGTTCCTTGGATCAAATCTAAAATAAGCAATGCGCTTTAAAAAATGCATTGATACGATTACATGAACAACCAACGTAATATAACTTTTGCAACCTGATCACTTAAGTGATTTAATTTATGTACTCAATTTCCAGTACGATTTCAGCTTTCAGAATATCATACAGTATAAATACCTTCCGGATCCAAAAGCGGACTAACACCCAGATGCTCCTTAGCAATCCCGAAGGCATGAGCAAGATTAGCCTCCGCGGTATTATTGAGCAGAGCGGAGTAATCGAACAGATGGTCCCTAAAAATCCGAAAATCCTAATATTTTATGTTCCATAACTTTATTCAGTATGTTTAAGTAAAAGAAAACCTTTTTATATCTTAACAAAAAAATGCGAGCAGTACCTGTACTTATGGATTAAGGCATTAAATGCTAGACCATCACTCCAACTGGTCGACAGATTTCTCACATCTACGTGCTGATATCTAGGGGCGACAACAATGGCCTTATTATACTAAATTATCATAAACGCAGATGAAAAACGGTAAGTACCCTTTCGTAGCGAGCTGACACCAACAAAGTAGTGTTTTTTCCAAATTACTTATTCGCAAATCAGCAACTGCTCCACTGAGCCGTTTCACCTAATGAGCAGCACAAACATAATGAAGCGTGTGTAGGGACTAAAAATAAACACCATTCAAGCAACATGTCGCACTCGTCATTGGAGGCTTACGTAAAACTGCTGGATGACTGCCCACGTTAATGACAAGGTCAGCTTTGTATTACCATCCGCAATATCATCCGCCGACACGTTAAGATTGCTTATCTTGATCTAGGAATAACAAAACAATGCGATTCCGATAACGCGCATCGAATACAATTTATTCTCTATTAAAAAATTCAAGTAACGTTAATGTAATTTAACGTTAAAAATCTATAACCCAGAGAGGAACCAGAAAGTTTCAACTTATTTCGGTCTTACTTTAAGGAACACCCACTACTTTCCAAAGTAAACATCAACCAGATGTTTAAACAATTGTCAACTTACTGTATTGTTTCAATTATTATTGATTTTATTACGAAATAATATTATCACAGAGATACTCAGGTGGTCATTCACCTTATTGTTAGTGAAAACCGTTTCTTTTCGTTTCTTTTCGTTACATTGCCGCCTTAACTAAATGCTTAAGGCACTCTACAGCATCTCAAAAAAGCTTCTTATATCCACAATTATACATTTTCACCACACACGATTATACCTCATTCTGCTCCAGAATTTCCAAGGCTTTCGCAATATTACAGACGTGATGTAATCGAGTTCGTCCTTTTTCCACGGGCTATATTAATAATATTTCCAAGGAAATCATAAGATATTCCAATAAAAAGAAGTCTCTGACAGCCAATAGCTTACAACTTTAATCCCCGTTAAAATCTCCGTTAACGCTGCCAAAGTGATTCCCGTCCGCAAGTCATGGAACAAATCATTAATGCGGACTGGGCTTCCACCCTGTAGGTGCAAAACAAGTCATGCAGCGTCGCAGACTTCTTGTTACCTTTGAACTTGATAACGCCGTATACATATTTTAAAGTAAATAAAAGGCACAAACGATATCCAGCACTTTCGACTCGTTTCTACCTAGTACCTAGCGTGTTGACAAATCATCATGAGGAATGCAACACATCACAGTGTTATACTCGCATTGTGCGTTTGTAGCGTACGTGAAACGATACATATTTAACTTGTTAAAAGTTATTACCGGAAAGAGCTTGCAGTCGTCAACGCACCTTAGAAAAACGCGAATTTATCCATTCCGCAAAAACTTTCTGCTGTACTCTTTCTTGTTCATCTGCAATCCAAGAAAATGCTTCACACAAAGCAAATCTGCAGAAACGTTTTTTTCAGGAAACCTTTGGAAACACACGGTCCAGTGCCCAGGACCAAGAACAGTGCCAAACCTTGCCTGGTTAGACCATAAGATGTTACACGAAACAAAAACTTATGCACTTCCTTATAACAAAAACTTATAACTTATAACTTGAAACTTATAACAAAAACTTATGCATTCCTCTTGAAATATTCATCAGATGTAGTTAACAAATTACTTGCTTCTCTACCTAAAAGCAGAGAAAACTGGTCACACTACATAATCATCCTGATGACTTCTCACAAAAGATCAGTAGTCTTCGCAAGTAATAAACAAACAAGCACTACGCTCCCATTTTGTTCTAAATCCGAATCCATTTAGACCAGCCATCGGCAAATACTCTCAACGAAAATACTACTTTAAAAAAACAGACGCATCCGGAAATAAGTAGGACCAAAGATATCCAGTTTACAATGCACCAATAAGCAAGCAGCGCTATTAAGATAAGGAGAACCAAACAGAGCCCAGAATCCTAATGGACATCTGCCAACAATTTCAAAGTAGCCAACTCCAACCGATGTCGGTTAATATTTTAAAAACGCAACAAACGAGCGGCTTATGGCCCTGTAGAGCGTTTCATTTACATTTTCAGGTATCGGGATATTTTTAACCATCACACACAACGCAAACACGATTAGATGCGCCGAAACGTACGTTTAAAAATAATTTATCAGAAGTTGTACGGAATCCAAAAGGTCGTCGATCAAGTAGCCATCAAAGCATGTTTCATACGTTACACCTTCATAATTCACAGAATTCCACGGTTACGCACGCAATACAAGTTTTATAATTATTCTATTTGCGCTTAAAAACACCTAGCTATATCTATATTCTGAAGTAATCATCCACCTGCTGTAAGACTAGGAGATAATGCTGGTGCTATTCTGGACACATCAAATCGGGTCTTAAAAACGTGAATGACAATAATAATGAATGACAACAATGATTTTGGTTGTTTTTCAGTTTTTAAACTCTGATATTTTAATTAGTGTCCACCGACACAAGCCTATTGCATAATATACGAACGAGTAAGTAAAACAAATACCAAATATATAAAATCAAATATATAAAATCTACTGCCAAATATATAAAATCATCACACAACATTTTAAACGTATCCAACACATTAGAAAATTAACTCATGCGGTGTTAGACATTAAAACATAAAAAAGCTCAAATTCGAGATTGCGTTTACGTCGACAGTTCTTGCAAAATTTACATAAAGTTTTATATGAGTATACAAGCGATACGGGCGTCTCTTCCGACACCAAATGAAAGGTCCTCCCATTGCCGTGCCGTTGCTTCCTAATAAAAAACTCAAACAAATACTAGTACTACTGCAGCTGAAAACCTAATCCCGGCACAAATAATCCTTTTCTTTTCACAGCAAAAGCAGTTTTTAAATACAGTCACATTTTTAACTTACACCAAACCCGATTTTCAATAATTTCATCGACCTCCTTAGGCCGGATACAAATACCGATTAAAAACGTCTTGATCGCGACAAGGAAATGCGTACGAGCCCAATGAAAAATGGCTCACAAAGAAATATCAGGATACCTTCCGTGTCAAGCCGCATTTATGTAAATAAACACCGTTAACCTCGCCCCCATTGGTTTCACAACAGCAAACAGTAGCTGTACAACAAATGTGCTACCACTTCTTCATTAGGAGCTACTTTTACCAATAATTAATTTACCAATTATCTTTCGTTGACTTGATAAATTAATTTTCTGAACTCCATAACCAAAAAGTACCATCACATTACGAATTCCAAATATATATGCCTGTAGATATAGATATAGCAGCTTGCAGTTTTAATGTGTCGGATAACAACTTCCAGAAATATTAACTGTCGGTTCACTACCTACATACAACAAGGAAGATGTCACGGACCAACACATACTCGTACAGATCGGAAACTCACCTGTGCGCCCCTTAATGATGTCCTTGACCACATCATCCGCCATTTCCGTCAATCCCGGGTTGGTTTTCCGTCTTTCTTCCCGCGCACGCAGCCGGCGCTTTCCTTCACGAACACTCATACTCAAGCCTGCGTTTAAAAAAAAGCTATGTATTTCTATCCGGATTTAATAGATCGGTATCAGAAGTGTCAAACATATATACTGAAGCTTTCCACTAGCTCAAACATGAAAGCAGAGCATATTAATCACTGTAATCAAAGCTGTCAACGACATTGAGAAACGTTCGTAACGGTAATTACCTGTACAGTAACCAGCAATAAACCATGAAATATACCCCTGTTGTATCCAGACCACACGATCGCATTGAATAAATTTACTATCTTTGCACCATAACCATGTATAACAGGTACATCATTAGGACAAATCAAAACGCAAAGCTTCCCAAATACCGAGGACAAAAAACTCTCCAGTAGTACCAATAATTCAAAAAACTTAACGCGGCTCACACTTTTTGGTATGTTACAAATTCAACGAAACCAAAGTGATTCTGTGTACGGCAAACGCAGAAATGCAAATGCAGTATTCATGAACCTCCTCGACAAGAAAGTAATTGCCGTTTAACCAGTTTTTGGTGCACGAATGACAACATCTCACGATTATACGTGTACGTATAGTTTAAGGATCGTGATCTAGATTTGTTAACATCTCGGTTCAGGTTACTACAACGCGATCAAATGTACGGCATCGTCGGAGAAAAAAAGCACGAGACTGGTTTAAGACTGCACGTTGCAGGTAATCGTATTCTCTGAACGCAAGTTTGGAAATAATATTTTAAACACGCAATACCCCTACGAAGTAAAACGGTACACACAATTCACAATAACGTTCACACTGCGAGTTAACTGATGCGATAGAAAATTTTACAACTCGCCATGGTCCGATACCATTTTACGGTGAACGCCCACTGTACAATTGCAGCGAAAAGCGAGATAAAAGCAACAACAACTTAGAACGCGACGCGTGAGAACATGGAGTAATCAATTTCTGATCATGTTATCAGTGTAATAACCATCAACCACCAGGCGTGAAGCTTTCTTTAGCATCTTCACAGCGCATGTTTGTGACTTGTGTCCCATGAAGTACCGTAGTTAATTTTTCATTGTAGAACAAGACAGATAAGACTCAAGCCACACACTGCCCACCGTATGTTCACCAGCAACTGCAGAAGGACCACATCCTTCAAAGTAGACCGGAACACGAGGCATTTCACAGCCATCTAATCCTGATTTGCGTTCAAAACTATCCAGGGCTCAATCGACTATCCCCGACAAATCCCCCTCACAAATACGACGCCATACTAAATGTGCACTCGAGAATGAACCATCAGAGTTCAAGGCGTTATACGGCACCAAGAGTCAAGAGCATTTTACGGGGCATTTGCATTACGATCGATTACCATCCTTACGCTACTCACGACGTACAAATTAAAGCTACTTTCTTTGGGATTATCTATTACGCTGCAGAATTAGAGCGGCAAAATCGTACCATTACGCACAACCAAATACTGCAGCTACCATTGATTTACGATGGGGCAACAGGCAAAAAATTAGGAGCAGTCTGCAAAATATCCATTAGGTGAAAAAAAAACAAAAAAAATTTTATTTTTCAAATGAAAGCAACAGGAGTCGAAAAAATATAGAAGCGAAAAACTCCAAAAATAAATTCTTAAACTATAACTGCAGTTACTGCACTTATTAGTAAACATCAAATATATAACCATCATATGTATAACTTGCTCAAACACTCGTTTTCGGTTTATCCTACAATTTATATCGGAAATCCTAATTCAAATGAGAGCCAAAGATGCGGTTACAACCTTCCATACTGCAGCCGCCACCCACTGGTATCACAAAATGCCAATGTAATTTTATTGAGTATTATAAGTTTATAACCAATAAGCCAATCTCTTTGTTTCCAAGTCTTACCTCATTTTCAAATATTCCGAATAAGTAAGGGCATCAAATTGATTATCCACACAATATTTGACACAAACGATAACTTTGAATGCTTGGATAACTCCCATAACAAGCACAAGCAGAAGCAAACGCCGCAGCCGTACCGGGAAGCCTACAAAATGCAGAACCAAAATAAACGAGTATTCTGTCGAACAATTTTTAACAGCTTGACTCAAACGTAAAGACTGATCATGACAAGATCGTTACACTTAGTCATTATGATCTTCTGCATCCCTAAAGAACTGATAATTATCTTCGATTTCAAATTATTGTACTTAAATTCAAATGTGTACGTTGGTATATAATATCTTATATTATATATATCAATATATATAACTAATAATGGTATCAGATATCAAAAAGTGCGACGATCTTCAGTACATAGGTAGTTAACTTCTACTGCTTTTAAATCGTTTAAACTTGGTGACTAGTTCTTTAAAGCTTAAATGATAAGCCATACGCAAGTGCCAATTTATTCACATACGTAATATATAGATCTGATACTCAGTAGATCTGATACTTGTCAGTCTCAGTAACGGCAGAGAGAATGGTAATGGTATCTAACCTTGAATTTAAAATTATCCACTCCAAGTCAAAAATACACACAGAGGCTAGCCGAAGAAAGCAATCTCAGGCGTTCATCCGAGAAATCCCACAGGATGTCGATACTTGCTAGAATTCAGAAATGGACCACCGATTTATACGAGCCACGGAGCCAGTACAGTACTGCAGATCTAAATCGTAACTCGGATTCGCGATGGTTTAAGGTTTTCGTGGATAGCAAATAACACTCTGGAGTCTGGACGCGATCTCCATCATCGATCACAAGTCCACGTGCCCGCCTTTTACCACACTGAGAGAATCAGAGGGAAACAATTGTTCAGGCGACTTGAAACTTGTAAACTAAAAATGGTCAGTCGAAGCAGATGCACATTAAATTAGTAAAGCTGAAAATCATTAAAAAAGACTGTGAAATGATATAATTATAGTTTATACTCATATAGTAGAGTGGCACAGTTTAAGGCGATGGACCAGTTTGTAAAATACCAATTTTTATAGCTACTTCGAAAATTGTTTGTGCACCTTGGTTTGAGCTGTTTTCGGAGTGTATGGGTTCATTAGAAAGCTCATAAATCGCGCTTTTTAATAGACATAGTTTCAAAATCAACACTAATAGCATAAACGCGATAGAAATTTTTCTGTTGTGTGAGCATTAAAAAAATCTAAGCCAAGCACCAGATGGAACATCTTCAGGTCTGATGTTTTCAAATGGAACTTAAAATTATTTCACACACTGGGTTTATTCAGAAAAAAATCTTGAATAAAAAGCTAGGAAGATACAAGTTTTTGAACATGGAACTAATTCTTCTTACGGAGAAAATCACTGAGCGTTGGAGTTCGAATGACTATATCGCAAAACCAAGAAAACCCAGTGTGTAGAATAATTTTTTCTTTCCAATGGTACCAAGGACGACCAATTCCATTGCGGCAGTGGAATGCAATACGCGTAAAACTCTCCGAACTTTACTTCCAGTAAATCAAGGTTTTCGGGTTTTGCAAATGGTCCGCTGCATCGGTGGACCAGTTTGAGCAGACAACCACGCTACCTGCAGGCTGCGCATGGCGTTCATGAAATCGTCGCCTGCGCACGGCTGCAGCGGTACGCAGACACGCAGCCCGCGTGCGGTTGGGTATGCTTCGATTGAAACTGTGATGGCAGCTACGTGAATCGAACCGTGCTGCTGCACCCCTCCGTCGTTTTGGACCCGCGGTACCTTTTGGTTTTAGACGGATTTGGGTTTCTGTTCTGTTCTTTGCTTCTCAAAAGACTTCTCATTTTAAAAAGCATTTTTTTCTGTTCTAGAAAATGTAGTTACTGTAACTTCTCTGGGGATGAAGCAAAACCAGTCTATCGCCTTAACGACTCCGGTTTACTAAACTTCACTTTAAGTACGCGCGGCTAACGGGAAAATTGCTCCTCGTAGACCTAACGCTATAACGAACCGCGCCCACAGCCAATGAGCAGTTTCTTAGCCAACGAATCGTAATTACCCACAGAATTAGAAGGCACATTGACCTAAGCATCACGGCTAGTTTTTGTAGTGGTTTCTCATGTTAATTTTTATCTCGTGTTTTCTTTAATATAGATATGACAGTACTTATTATTTCAAATTTTAGCATTGATATATTTAAATAAATGAACGTACTAAAGCACATCCTGTAGTACATCGTGATGTACATCCTGCAGTACAGCCTGAAGTACATCTTGTAGTACAACCTGATGTAAAACCTGTAGTACACCCTGATGTACAGTCTGTAGTGCTCCCTGTTGGGAAAGGCTACGAGAAATAGCTTTGAATTTCTGTATTTTGCCACTATTTGCATTTGTAAACTAGTTTTTTGTGACATAATACTTGTTTTTATTGTGAACAATAAAAATGTTTATTTTTTTTACATTAATGTGCAATTTTAAAAACGGTGGAGTGAATTTTGTGACCAGTAAAAGTTCTCAATAACTTGTCATTTACAAGGAAAGAACGACGACAAGACTACCAGTCAATTCGATACTGCGTTTTTAGGGCATGAGCGAAGTTTCTGGTACGGAGTACATTATTATTATATGCATTATCGCACAATTAGTTTCTGTGTTATTAATTATCTTTTAAAAGTAAAATTTTTTTTAGCTTGTCCAGATTATGTTTGTAAAAATTGCGTTTTAGTTATGTCTTCAACGTTACCTAAACAATTCCGCTTTGCCGGTATGGGTAAGTTAGCAATCCTAAATGCTACATTCTAAAAAGTTTGTTTGCGAAATCCACAAATAAATTTGTGGCGTCTTAAATTTATGATGAGGTTGTTTTGTAGCATTGCAAGGCAGCATACTACAGTCGTACTGAAAGGTTAGCCTACATTAAAACGCACCAAAAAGCTTTGCATGTCGGGGTTAACGATAACTCCGTATTTTAAAAACGTATAGAGTAGTGCCGAAAGTTTTTGTATATGTAGTAATTTCTTATATTAATTTTTTTCTCATGTATATTTAATACATATGTAACAATATTTGTTATTTTAAATTTTAGTATTTCCCTTTAATTTTAATTACGTTAAGATATCGTTTGTTCTTAAATAAACGCTCTGCAGCACACCCTGTAGTACAACCTAATGTACATCCAGTAGTACACTTTGATGTACATCCTGGAGTGTACCTTTACATACATCCTGTAGTACAAGTTGATGTAAAATTTGTAGTACTGTACATCCTGATTGGGGCGGTTATGAGAAGTAGCTTAGAATTTTCTATTTCGTATAATTTCTGTATTTTTTACAGTTATGAGAAGTAGCTTGGAATTTCTGTTTTTTGTATGCCATTTTATTTTTGCAACAGAAATACATTTTATTGTTGCGATCTTTAACTTTTTGATTTTTTTGTACATCGGTGTTTAGTTTTAAAAACCAGTGAACAAATCTTGTGGCGTAAGCTATTTCATTTACATGAAAAGCACGACTGCCACGACATCAGTTTACATATAATGACACGACTTTATTCTTGATGAAACTGTCCATCGATATTAAAATCGTTAATGAAATTCAGCAAAAACGTAATTAGCAGAAACCAAAACGTAAAATTATTTTATATAAATAAAAAAGAGAATTGAAGCTTTGATTAAAAAGTTTTATATTGCACATTAACTTTTTGAATAGCCGCTACCGATAAGTTCTGCATAGTACTAGTACATTTTTGCAATGTGCCACCTAAACATCACGGCTGATCTAATCCTCCTGGAGGGATTGGATGGGCGCTATTCACGCAATTTGGTTCATTTTATGGACTTTAGCGTCGTGCTCAGTGGCAGCGTTTACACATCCAATCTGCCACAAAATCCATTGGAAGTTGTTGCTTTTCAGTGCCTAAGCGCAAGCCCAAACACGAAAATAATTAATATTACTGTATTTGAAATTAGAAATTTTAGTTTTTATCAAAAGGAGGGCTTAAAAGCAAAGCGCAGAGCGTATCGACCGTGATAACAGGTACCCGATTTTTTGTTATTATGGTTACGATTTTATTATTGTTATAATCTGACTAGCGTGTGAAACATTTTGTGAATTGTAAAAGGTACCAGATATCGACATATGCCTCGTTTAGGAAGAAGAATTGAAGATAAATTTCTCTCGCTCGTACTAACTTTTATTTTGACCAAATAACAAATGAACCTTTTTTCAGATACCTTTCCATATGTTACACTTTCAGACCAGCAATGGAAGCATTACAAAACTACTTTTTGTTTAAAATGAAAAGTCAAGGACCGTTTTTGTCCTACCGAAACATGCTTACAAAGAATTCTAAAATATCAAGATTCATTTTAAGATTTTAAGCAAATCATGAAAGTCTAGATCGCTGTAAACACGAAAGACCGTGTGCATTTATGTGCAAAATTTGAAGTAGATCGGTCCATACTGAGACTTTTGGTACACCGGAATGCAGGTAAACTTTTTGGAATTTTTAAACAGCCATAACGTGTATACAAATCATCTGGCAACAGAATGTCATAAAATAAAACTAAAAATGTGTTTGGGAGTGCGCAAAAGTTAACTTTTCGTGCATGTACACGAATTTGGTACCTTGTACCGGCCCACTTCCTTAATTTGACCGGAGCCATAACCCGAGTGCTAACGTTAGTTTTGATTAAAGTGAAAACCTGGTTGTTGATCTTAGTTTTAACCATAGTCTTAACCCGAGTGCTCATGTTAGTGTTGTCGAAAGGCTTTCCTTAAGTGGAAGTGATAATTTATTGATATTTTAGAATTCTTTGTAAGCATGTTTCGGTAGGACAAAAACGGTCCTTGACTTTTCATTTTAAACAAAAAGTAGTTTTGTAATGCTTCCATTGCTGGTCTGAAAGTGTAACATATGGAAAGGTATCTGAAAAAAGGTTCATTTGTTATTTGGTCAAAATAAAAGTTAGTACGAGCGAGAGAAATTTATCTTCAATTCTTCTTCCTAAACGAGGCATATGTCGATATCTGGTACCTTTTACAATTCACAAAATGTTTCACACGCTAGTCAGATTATAACAATAATAAAATCGTAACCATAATAACAAAAAATCGGGTACCTGTTATCACGGTCGATACGCTCTGCGCTTTGCTTTTAAGCCCTCCTTTTGATAAAAACTAAAATTTCTAATTTCAAATACAGTAATATTAATTATTTTCGTGTTTGGGCTTGCGCTTAGGCACTGAAAAGCAACAACTTCCAATGGATTTTGTGGCAGATTGGATGTGTAAACGCTGCCACTGAGCACGACGCTAAAGTCCATAAAATGAACCGAATTGCGTGAATAGCGCCCATCCAATCCCTCCAGGAGGATTAGATCAACAACATGAACAGGAGTAGTGAAATTCAGCGATACCGTTATCGACAGAAAAAAAACGTGAAAATGAATCTTTCTTGTAAGGAAAACGAAAAATCTGACGCTGGGATTTAAAAAGGTTTAATATCGCATGTACGGTTACTTTTAAATGCAATGGCTTTGTAATGATTTGAATCGGAGAAAATTTCTCTTAAGTTCTGTGTGCAATTAGGATTCGTTGGCTAAGGAACTGCTCATTGGCTGTGGGTGGGGTTCGTTATAGCGTTAGGTCTACGAGGAGCAATTTTCCCGTTAGCCGCGCGTCACTTTAATTCGTCGAAACAGAACCGCTCTTCTCGGAGAGGCGTCTTCTTTCAGTTCTTAGCAAAGTACACGTTGATCGTGCTCCTATTTTGAATTTTCCTGCTGTTCCACTTCCGTCGTATCACGGCTGTAAATCATACAGTACTGTAGTATTTGTTTATTCCTGTTTACTTCCGACTTCACACTTCTAAAAAGCTGTGATATACAAATTAATTTACAATGAAACTTCTTTTGAATACGGTTTCCGTATTTCATGTTTTTGTATGCGTGTCCTCTTTCGTGCAGTTCGACCGAGGAAAACGGGAGAAATACAGGTAGGCACGACAGATTCCATGAACGGACTTTGTTAGGATGTATCGCTGGATAGTTGGATACTGGATGTCCACTGTATCCCTAATCCCTAGGGACAAGGTCTCGCGCATGTTTTACCATGCATACGATGCTTACCTGAACAATGCATTCCCCTTGGACGAACTGCGTCCTTTGACATGCGACGGAACGGACACGTGGGGATCGTGAGTTGCGAAACGTTTTGCAGTTTCCCAACATGCTTGGATTTTGAACACGTTTGAATTGAGTTATTTTTCAATAGCTATTCCCTGACGCTGATCGACGCTTTAAGTACACTCGCAGTGATGGGAAATTTCAGCGAATTTCGCCGCGTAGCCAGTCACTTGGCTGCTTCCTTGCATTTTGACAAAGATGTCAACGTCAGTGTCTTCGAGACGAACATTCGGGGCAAGTGATAGAGTTTCCGGTAGCGCTGATGCTCCAACGGCCGTTTGTATGTTGTAGTGGTCGGTGGTCTGCTTTCTGCGCACCTGTTGGCGCGACGAGCAGGGATCGACGTGGAGCCCGGCTGGCCCTGCAGTGGCCCGCTGCTGCGCTTGGCGGAAGATGCTGCGCAGCGAATTCTTCCCGGTGAGAGATGGTGTGCGCGGTGCGAAGCTAGTCATGCAGACTTGTGGCATTGAACGAACATTTTGAAGCTTTCAGAACCGTCACTGGGATGCCTTATGGGACGGTAAGTCGTCTTTACTTTGCATTAAATTAAATCCTGCAAAATCTTATTTTCTCAAACGTAGCTTTCGTAGTATACTGTAATAAAATACTTTCTTTTGGACTGGAATTATTCTACGACGTATCGTAGAGTACTAGTTCAAGCTAAACTCTGTGTTTTTCTTGCGATACGTATACTGTCATGATTTTTTAGAAATGCTAATTTTGTTTTTGTAGGTGAATTTGAGGAAAGGCGTGCCTTCCAATGAAACGCCGGTGACATGCACTGCTGGAGTGGGAACGTTTATTTTGGAATTCGGGACACTTAGCCGTCTGACCGGGGATCCACTTTTCGAGCAAGTTGCTCTGAAAGCCCTTCGGTCACTGTGGTACAGCAGAACCAAATTTGGATTAGTATGCACGGCGCTGAAATTTCATCTCAGTGCCGGTGTGGGTAGTAATCAGTAATGTACTGCTGTAGGTGGGTAACCACATTAATGTCCAGACGGGCCACTGGACTGCGCTTGATGCTGGGATTGGGGCCGGTGTGGATTCGTATTATGAATACTTGGCCAAGGGAGCCAGTGCTTTTCAGAATACTGAGCTCATGGCAATGTTTGTAGGTAACAGACCTTCAAACATTTGGTACAGGAGCTTGTGGTTCCTATTGAAATCGGGATGAATGTGTTGTAGAAAGCGCCGAAACCATCCATAAGCACCTTAATCGCGACGATTGGTATTTTTGGGTGTCTTCCTTTACAGCACACATTACCATGGCCATGTTCCAGTCTTTGGAAGCGTTTTGGCCGGGAGTTATGGTTGGAACGAGTCGTTGAAATCATCTGATCTTGACCTGTCTTATGTGTTCTTTCCGTAGGCCACCACAGGCGACGCAAGCCCTGCATATCGATCGATTATGCATTATTTCAACATATGGAGGCATTACGGTGCAACACCGGAGTTTTACGAAATCATGAAAGGGCATCCATTCCACGGTAGAGAGGGCTATCCATTGCGACCAGGTACTGTATTACCGCATTGATTCGTTTCTGATAAGCATTGGTAATTCGTTTTTGCGCAGAACTTGTGGAGAGCATTTATCATTTGTACCAAGTAACAAAAGATCCAATGTTGCTACATATGGGAGCCCAAATCTACGAATCCATCGAAAAAATTGCTAGGGTGCCGTGCGGATATGCCACGGTACGGTTGTTCTCATGGAAAGTGTGCAGTTGTTTTTTCAGTTTCGTGATTTTCTGTTTACTGCGATTGGGATTTTTGAAACTAATCTTGCAGATCAAAGATGTAAGAACACATCGCCTAGAAAATCGAATGGAATCCTTCTTTCTTGCCGAAACTACTAAATACCTGTACTTACTTTTTGACGAAGAAAATTTCATCCATTATGATAATGGCGTGGCGGAAATTCACCGAGGTGCCTACGGAGAATGTGTCGTATCATCGGGGAACTTTGTTTTCAACACCGAAGCACATCCGCTGGATATCAGTGGCATACAGTGTTGCTCAACGGACAAAAAGGAAGTTGACGATTATGTTAGCCGTATGCAAAGCAGTATGGACATTTTGTTTATCCTGGGTTTGACGAAAGATGCAGAACGTTTACATCGTCCCGTCAAAAACCAGGAATCCCTTCCCGTTGATTCTCCGCCAGAAATTTCTGATTATTCGTACGCTCAAAACACTAGTAACGGAGAGTTGTCAGTGGTAGGCTTGTGCAGTCTGTATGATTATTGCCAGTGTGATATAGCGCTGAGCGAGTACTTTCGGGTTTGTAGTTCGAATTTCATTGATTTTATCTTTTTATTTAACAAAAGTCCCGCAAGGAACTGCTTGAATTCGCCGGTCGCATTGGTTTCGGCCAATCAAACAACTAGCTTCCATGTTTCTAATTTGTTCATACCTCACGGCGACCCCAGTATGTTGGGCTGCGGCGTGGACGATGAGTACGACTTGCTTTCATATGGTGAAATAAACCCAAGAAGCTGATGAAGGAGATAATATTATATTGCATTGGTATTTGGTACTCGTCAATACGCATAACCTAGGGTAGGTATAAATAAGAGGGGATAACTAAAAATGGTCACTTTAATACAGAAATATAAAAATACAGACAAATTAAGTGTAAACTAGCAAATAATTTCGTTTCGTATGTTGATTGAATAGTTTAATACTTTTCAAACGTCAAATGCTACAAAAATGTGTACACTTCAATACAACAGGCAAACGTACACAAAGGAGCAAAAGTCAGAAGATATAAACGCTCTGACAGTTTTGGTCTGACATTCTAACACAGCAAAGTTCTGAAATATCTTGCATTAAGGCACAGAAAATTCAACCCACACAGCGAAAATTCTTGTCGCTGAAAAATAACGAAACGGATAAATTATCTCTAATTATCTCTGGATTCATTTCCGAGCTGGTGTCGCCGTATTCGGTTTGACGTTGAGATTGGCCTGACACGGATGACGCCGAACTGGTGGCTGAGATTTCTGCACAAACGGCGGGGCTAAATTTTCCAAGGAATGACTTGCGGACACAAAAGATTTACTGGACGAATTCGTAGCAACTGAGGCTATTTCATTAAGGCTAGAGGAACGGTTTGGGCCATTTTTGGAAGGGGAGGCCAAATTTTCGCTTTTCAGAACATGCATATTTTGATCGAGGGAACCTGGTGTATTGAAAAATCTGAAAACAAACAAAATAAACATTAAGTTGGGCATCTCAAATAGATTTCAAATACAACGTAACAGCAAAGATTTACTCAAAAGAAGACATAATGTAACGTAATGATACGAGTATTTTGCCATGTAAGTGCACGAAATATGCTGAAGAAAAAAGGGAAGCCAGCGTGATGGACGGTAAACATTCGAAGTTGCGCAAAAAAGTTAGCCAGTTACCCTTTTTTGTTTTTGTGATCCTTTTTTAAACGAAGAGCAAGAGGTATCTGAGGCTGACGGAAGGGCCCAACTGCAGCTATGCAACCACTGTCCGGAATGTCAATGGGAGACACGTCCGACATCGAACTATCCGAAACGGTGCTCAAGGAACCGGACGATACAGAGGACGACTTATTAGATCCGTTAGCTAACAACATCTGCTCAACTCCATTCAAGGTTATTTGGCGTGCCTGACAGAAACAGAACTGAATTAATCTAAAAACATGTGAAATTCAAAATAAGTTACATAAAAATTTCACCACTGCAAAACGATAATGATCGGCACTACCATTCTAAATGTACAAATCACGGATATACACAATTGTACATCTACAAGCAATGTCGTAGCTTCTTCGACAAGCATAACTCTACTGTACCTTAGTTTTTGTGCTACAGCGCGGAGTGGGTGGCGCCGCCAGAAGAATATTTTGAATAATATCGTCATTCTGTTTGCTTTGTATTCCGTTGGCATTTAGATGAGATCGCGCGAAACTACATGTCAAAATCAAAGCACAATACAAAATAAGCCAAACATACAATACGGGCCACGACGAGCAACACAATGCAGATAATAAGCAAAAAGAAAGGAGACAAAGCTTCTACAGAGAGCCAACAATTCTGCAAAGGGCAAAACACGACAGATGCCACAACGTGGATAGCCCGAAGAAGTGGTCTTAGTGTCTGTAATAATCTGTAGAGAAATGTCGAAAAACCATACATAAGAGAAATTTAAGCCCATCACCGAAACAATCGTGAACCCAGAAACCACTTACTCAGTTATTTCGACTTTGGTCTGCGTAGGAGAGTCCATCATATACGCCTGTAGAATGACCCGTAGTATGTCCCGTTCTTTCGTTACAAATAAATGCTCGTCAGTTCGCGTTCGGGCATCTTTTTCCAGTGTATTGATACGTTCATGCTACAAAAAAAAGCATGAGGAAAATACAGAACTCAATACCGAGGAAAGGAAAGCATGAGGAAAATGCAAAACTCAATACAGACTTCGTAACGCAAAGGTACTGGTTATAGTTATAACTTCTTCTAACAGTAATTAATGATTATGTTGTAGCTCAAATAAACCACAAACGAACAAATGTTAACATAATATTAACAACATTATTTCTCTTACTTGTCCCTGGCATAGTTCCAACAAATGTTCAACGAAATACCGACTGGCGAACTCATCTGCAAATTTGGTCCGAAGAAAAGCTGAATCCATATAGTTATACTCTTCGAGGGTTTCTTCGCATGAGGCAGCTTCGTTTTGAATCTCAGTGTTCTGCTGAGAAATGAAATGGATCGTCGCTTTCGTATCGTTCAACTGCGTTTTCAAAGAGTCCACCATCGCAAAATCCTATATATGCACACAAACCATTGCAAAAATGTACAAGATCACACACAGACAATGCAACCGACCTGCTTTTCGGCAGCCAATGAGATTCGCTTTTCGAGATCTGATGCTTGTTCCCTAAGATTTTTCAGTTCTAACCCGTACTGCTCCAATTGCTTCTCAAATGCCCGTAAGCGCATTCGCTTGTAAACAACGGCATGGAACTGTAACCATTAACAACACTTAAGACCAAACTGCGCCGAAGAAAACTATAAACGAGCGACTAAATACGTACAACAAAGAACATATAGGTAAGTCTGTCAGGGTCAGGGATATAAAAGCCATGCATATTTCCGACGTTCCGTAATGTCTATGACAAAACATTGAATATTCTTACATTTTTCAAGAAGTCCTCCCACGCCAATTTCATTAGTGTCTCGTCAGGAAGTCGTTTGCCTATACGACCGGCCACCATATCAGTCATCCCACCTTTCTGGACGCGCCGGGCTGCCTGCAATTCGTCCCTGAGACGATTCGACTTAGCCGTCAGCTGATGGACCGTCTGTTTGAGATCAGCATTTTCCTTACGGACGCTACGAGATTCCTTATCTTTTTGACTAATGGCACGGGTCTGCTCGATATCTTTCTGCCGGGCTAGTTTGCTGTCCTTTTCAACCTTTTTCATAATTTCGCATTTTAACCTCTTGAGTTGCCCGATTTCAGTCTCCAAACTGGACACTTTATGCTGGAAGGTTGCGTTGGTCTTATGCAGCCGTTTGTTTTCATCACGAAGGGCATGAGCGCTCTTCAACTTCTGCCGCAGATCTTCCAACTGTTCCTGATACTTAACGTCACGGGCGCGTACTTCTTCTTGACTCATGCCTTTTTTCGTTCGGCAGTCATTGAGGTAAGCATTTCGTTCCAATTCGACTTCCTGTATGCGAGAGGTCAACTGTTGGATTTTACTTTCGTAATTTTGTTTTTGAGCATCCAACTCTTCGACGAGCTCTGACAGTCGTTTCTCTTTTTCCTGAATCTGCTCCTCTATTTCTGCCACGTTTATCTGATGGTTCACATCTATAAAATCCAAATAAAACAGATGTCAATTGGCTCACCGCAAAGCAGATGTTAAAGTGGAAGTGGCAGCGAATACCTTCATGAGATAACTCATCTAGCCCAAAAACATCATCATCATCCTCGATCCGCGACCCCTAGTAAAAATAATGAGAATTGCGAACCCACGCGATAACCGGAACTGTGAATAATTTTTAAACAAATCTTTCGGTCATCCGATACCCTTGGCAATAAAAAACCAAGGAATATCCACTTACTTCGAGGCTTCTTTCTCCGTTGACTTTATCGTCTGAAACAGGTGTCCGGGGTTTGGCCCTACAAAACTACCCGTTAATCAAGTCTGGTAGAAGTAATGATGAAATGTTTGTAGCTCACCTTTTAATGCGGTACGTCCTAGAGCCCTGCAGAGCGGTTTCCAAAAACACATTTTCAGTGCGTTTGTCTTCCCATGACTTAAGGGTAAACTGGAGCAGATGTACAAACTGAACTTACCGAATCCGACAGAGTTTTGTACGGTGAAGTTGGAGGTGTTCGACTGGTACTGCGTGCACGCTCCAGTTCCACTTCTTTCTTTTTTAAATTAGACTCGGCTTCTTCCAACAGAGAGCAGTAATGCAATCTAATCTTATCACAGTCGGTGAGATTCTCTGCTGAAATAACAGCAACGTTTCATGAGCTCTCAATAACATCAAAACAAGTGAAAATGAGGGCGTACGCGATGGGCTGAAGACTTTATCATTGCGCGGCTCTCGCAGCAGCTCAATCTCTGCACGCAGTTCATTATTACGCTGTTGTTTTTCTTGCAGCTCCTCCGCAATGTCTTTCAGTTTCTGCCTTAACGATTCATTCTCTTTTTGCAGCGTATTGTTTTCGATAAACATGTCGTTGTACGCATCAACACCTGGTTGCCGCTTGCCCTGTTAGACACAAGCAAAAACTCGATGCGATATTGTAAGACATTGCGACATCTACTTAACCACTCATTGTTCAGCTAGCAGTTATGAATTCTCATTGCTTACCTGCTGGTACTCTAGTAATTGCATTTCCAACTCTTGACACCGTGCTCGCAACAGTGAAATCGTCTGTCCCGTTTTGTCTTGATTAACTGAGACTTTGTTCTGTATATTGCGGGCTCGATTTGCATAGCGCAAAGTATTTAACGTCTCCACGAAATCTTGTTCCGCCGGTGACACGCAAGCAATCATCACAGTCCGGCTGAAAATCGTTAACATTTTAAATGTAGGCATAACGTCATAACAATTCCGTGTGAACGAAGAACACCGACAAGCCAATTATTTAACAGATTAATAAAAGTTTATTTTGTTATAACCGTAAACAATAAAAATAATGAAATCTGTCAGTTCAGTTAATCTGACAATGAAGCACCTGTTTCCACCCAAAGAGTCCTGCAGCAAACGGGTAAGCTTACTGCTCCGGTAAGGTATATGCGTGGCTTTCAGCGCCTTGTCACCCAATTTGCAGATAACATTCCCCAAAGCAAGCTAGACAGATCAGTATATCAAAATCAATAAAACACTAGCGAGCAGCGGAAGCGGAATTACCAGTCCACTATTGATAGCAATGCTTTCTTTGGCGCGATCCCCGGTTGCTTTGGTTCGCTTCAGTCGCTCGGAGCCGGCTAAGTCCACAAAGTGAAATTTTGCTGACGTTGTCAGAAATTGGGGAGAGGGGTCATTCTAAAAAATGTAACGAATGTTATGAAAACATACAGCTCGAGGCTGTTACGGACGTACCTCATCTGGTAACTGTTGAATACTCTGCTTTATGTGGATAGTGAAAATTGCATGAGAGCGGGATGATTGTGCGTTCATATTTGTGGCTCCCGTTGTCCGAGCTAGAGCGCCTTGTTTCAGCCAATCCATGACCTGGAAATTAGAGACCATACTAATTTTTGTGATTATTAAGTTCAAAACATGGATCACATTCAAAAACTCAATAAAATTTACGTTAACTAAAGGAAACCAATACAAAAACAGGATGATACAATTTAAAAACCAAACGGGATGATACAATTTAAAAACCAATTCTTCGCAACTAACGTTTCTTGCAATTATTGATGGTTGCATTAACCATTAGAAAACGCTCGCTCCAATTTGAAACCTTTACTTGAATGCTTAAAATTCCTTCGAAAATTTTCATAATGCAATTTCTGCATTGCAATTTCACAAAGCAATTCAATTCCTACTGCTTTTTACTTAACTATAAATTCGATGAATAGTTTTAAAGATTACCCCTTTGAATCGACAAATTTTTACGAGTAAACTGTCAACATGTTTTGAACGTCCGTTTGGGCACCCCCGCAAAGTCACGCACCTCTTCCTGTGCTTGCACCGGTTTTGTACACACGTCGAACAGACAGACGTTCCCATTCTTGTCCTCACCCAGTCTTGGCGGCTTCGACCTCTATAAATGACAACATTCCACTCAAAATCAATCAATATTAATTCGTTAGGACTTGTAAAACGGCACCTTTTTAAGAACAGGGCGGGTGGCTCGGTCCAGTAAATCAATCAGTTCGTCTTGGTACAGCTGCAAAATACTCGCTGGAAATCTATAACCATACGCGCAAATAAAGGCTTACCTCGATAAACTGAACCGTGATATCGTAGACCGGTGGTGGCAGCTGCTGTTGAACACAATCTATCTGTTTTGCACGGATTGTTTGAAAAATGTATTCAACCGCCCTTGGAATAATTCCCAAATTTTCCTCTGGAATGCTCACGTCAAACCCTGTACCCATCTGAAAAAACCATCTCCAGTTATAACACATAAAAAGTGCTGTAACAGTAACTCATATTCAATCCGTTGATACCGTATAGGTTTTCCCTGAACCAGTCTGTCCATACGCCAAGACGGTTGCATTGAAACCAGCAAAACATCTATCACATAAATGAAAAAATTAACCTGTCTTTTATAAAACATACCGAAAATTCGGGGCAAAAGTGAAATACAAATACATAATAACAATTAGCAAATAAATACTGTAACAATAGCTCACCCGTCAACAAGTTCCTTAGTTGTAATATGGAAAACATCATTTTGTTCCGTATCAGAGTTGAAAGTATAATCAAAGGTGAAGGCCCGCTCGGTTCCAATAATAATCTGCGATTCGGCGAGGGCCACGGCCAAACAAGCGGACTGAAACTCCTCTCGTTCACGAGCTGACAGAGGACGAACCCTATTAAAAATAACGGAACATGAGTTTTCAACATAAAACTAATGATTTTAAAGTTTTGTCTTATGTAACATTTCTGTATTCTTTAGAAAAAGCAAGATGCAGTACCGGGAATAACCATTACGACAACCGCTATGCCCCGCCAAACCGCAGGCTGCACAGCAACGGTATCAATACAAGTACGCAATAGCGAATGCAACTCAATCATAAATTTAATAATGACAAGCTTCCTTGACTGCTTGCTGCTCTTGTTCCCAGCAACACGCTACACAAAACTACTACAACTGTAATTCGATCGCGTACAGTATTTTTCATGTACAGATGCAGTTTTGCTTTGATGGAATTTAAAACTTGGCTTTAGAGCATATAATCCCACTTGGTCTAAAAGAGCGAATGTCACAACTACGAAAGAGCTACTCTAGGGGTAATCAAGACAGATCATCTGAATTGGACATTTTGCAACAACATGCCTACTCGCTTTACTAATGCCGGTCGACACCACATGACAATTTCCGTAAATCAAAATATGAAATGACACTCTGGAGAAGCCTTAACAGATACCAGATTCAAATAACGACAGAAAATAGTAACACCAGTTCTTTTCGGTACAGTACAATTATTAAGAGTAAGCGGTGCATGTTGTGCAAAAGCACGGCTGATCGAGCGAAACTGGTTTTTCGTTTCCGAGTTATTACCGTATGTCCGTTCACAAAAAGAAACGCTTCTGCTCAGTTCGCACAATTTGCTAATAAAAACAGTTTAGCCACTAGCTCGTAAGATTTATGGATCAATATAATCATCACTCGGCAAATCTGTCTCAGATGATGTTTGCTTCTGCATAAAGCATGAACTTCATATTTGATCAGCACTTACTCCTGGGTTCAGAGGAAACGGAGCAGTTTAGCACATAAATTTCATGTCAAGATTTATGTGGAAATTAAATCGAGAGTTTTTCCGATAAGCAAGCCATAACCGGTGAACCGTAATCGAAACTTGAACCGTTACAGCATCACCGGGACTGGCAGCGTCATAAATATTTCATTCTGCATCTACTGACAAAAAAGTCAAACTTTAATCTATAAAAAAACTCCTACATCGTTCACAACAAGTAGTGAACTGAAGGTGCTATAACCGAAATTCGGTGGCTAATTTTTCCCAGATTTAAGAATAATTGGAGCTACTGCAACAAGTCAATAAGATGTGTAAAAGCAGTCATATATCTACGAAAATTTGACAGCCAAAAAGAGGAGGGAAAGTCAAAAGTGGATTCGATACGATAGTCTTTTACAAAAAAGCAATATTACAATATCCCTAGGCGATATATGGTATCAAGATAATTCTTTTCATGCACTTCCGAATAGTCAATGCAAATGTCACAGATTCACTACGTACAAACGTTCAATTGAAAAACGTGCTAAACAACGATGTTCTCGTTTTAAGCATACCTTCCGCTTGAGTGCTTACTAAAGAAGGTTACCTGTGCGGGCTATGCAGTAATGCAGGTCGTAGTGAATAAAGAACAGACTATACAACTTCAGATTTAGCTACTTATCTATAGACGCGTTTTCCGTTCGCAGTTCATTATTCAACGTACCTGACAGCTACGCGAACTGATGTCTTGTCGTCCGGTGTCATCTTTTCTCACAACAAACCCAAACCAAATCCAGTGCTCACTAACTGCTCCAAATTTTACAACCTAGAGCGAACGTATAATCAGCGAAATTACTTACTGTGCCATCGTATGCGTTGCGGCGGGGAGCATCATTCAATCAGCTGTGAAGCACTTACCCAATCGATCACGCAATTCACTGCATCACGTTAACACACCTATATGCACGATATTTTCGACAGGACCGAAAGTATCCTTTTCTTTGCTCGTCGATTTCCAGTACCAGTTTGGACACCATACTCGCCAACTGAAGATGGTTTCAGTCCTGCAAACAGAAAACAGCCTTTGCAACGATAATTATTAGTTTTACTAGATTTTTTAAGATTTTATGGTCCATTAAAAACTAAAAATATAATTTGTACAAATACAGCTTTAAACAGAAACTTATAAATTAAATTAAAAGATGGATATCCAGCTATTACCAGTTCTTCTATCTCAACGAAGAAAAACCACATTACCACAAATTAGCTGCAATTTGGCTGTTTCTGTTCACCCCACAACTGTCAGTCTTAATTAAATTAATCTTCATTGCTCAGCTATCCTTTCAAACTCTACAAAGCGTCCCGGCCTCGAAAAATTGGACCAGCAGCCAAAAAATATTATTAATTATCGCAATCCCGCTGATTTTGTTGAAATATCTGCCGCAGTATCCATCCTGGTCCCCTTCCTAACTGTCGTCACGAAAATAAAATTGACCAAAAGGTTTTGTAATATTATTACAATAAGTACTAAAACTTATTACGAATTAACTTATCATTTAATAATCTAATTAATTAATTTAAATAATCAAGTAAAGGCAATGTTACAAGTGCTGAACATTTTCCAAATAAAGTAAGATTTATGGCACTTGTTCGTTCTCCAGATTACATATGCTGTACAATCATGAGAGATATAATCAGAAGTCAATCTTTTCACACAAATAAAACCGCCTGCCGAGGATGGATTTACTAAACAAATAATAACCGCTAGCGATGTGCATTCTGCCGCCAACGCGGCTATCCTATGAGCAAGTAGAACAGCAGCTAATTTAGCCTAATTATAAGGTGTTTAATGATATGCTGCATACTGCATCACATTTAATGCGAATTCTGCAGATTTAAGACGCAATTATCCAAGCAATGCCAATTTTAGTACTACTCAAATTATCCCAGTAGCGTACTATTAATACTACTAAAAAACGCAAAAAAAGCACACTGTTAACGAACAAATATCTCAATTTCGTACCTTGAGTGGCGCAAATTCAAAAACCAATATTTACAATAATCTTCTATCTGCAATAAATACTAGAAGCAGAAGGTACTGTACTCTCAACAAGGGTAACAAAAAACTTACATTCGTAAATAAACACCGATAATAATGAGTACGTATTTATTTTCAACAGCAACCGCTATTCTGTTTCCAAGTCACCAAGATCAGGACTTTGGAGCTGATATCTGACTGGGACAAAAAGAGTAGGATTACCGGATAACGCATTAAAAGACAACAATCATCCCGACAAAAAAATTATTACAATATTTATTATTCGCTAATTGCACGTTTACAGTTGCTGCTTGCACATACGATGTACATTACGGCGTGAATTTTTCAAAACGGCTCAAACCTTCAAAATAAGCCAAAATTCCAAATTAAAAGACAATTTCGAAATGGTGAGCCATGCAAAATCCAATGAAGCAGCCAAAAACATCCCACTGCTGTCGCAACTTCGCAAGTTAACCAAACACGGTCATATTAAACTGCCACTTTCGTCAGTGCGCTACTGTAGAGGTTCTCAGCACTGCGAGTTTCGACCACGGAATGTTTTACGCTCAATACTGATGACTTACTAACGTAAATACTTATCTTGATAAAAATGCCAAAAACAGACTACGAAAATTGCAAAAGGATCTTATTAGGTAGTTTCAAACCGTAGGTATAAAGTCCTAAACCGATGAACGACGGTTAAGGATCTCGTTAGTTCAGGGCTCCATTAAACTTACTGCATACGGGCTTAAAAATATGTACAGTGGTATCGCCGTTACGAGGACACAGAGAATACGCAACACTGAGGCACTGAATGTTTAATACAACACCTAAACTGAGGCTAAACAGCAGATAATTTTTAGCTGATAACTGTGAGAAGCTATGCAGAATTCTGCTCACTTCTTGTATTTGTAGTTGTAACTTGTAACGTTGTAGTTGTAACTCGTACCTGAGACAAGCCCACAAATCCAAAATTCCCGCAGATTTTTGTGCACAATGCTAGCAAAAACAGGCATCTGGCTCCTCCATTTATAACAAACACAAATTGCAATTAATGCTATCCACTATAAAATTATACCGGAATGCGCAAGATGAAGAATCCAGATTCCAATCAAATACATAAATTTTATGATAAAGGTTATGAATGTCAGATTGTCAGTTATCCAAGCTAATCCTGAGCAAGGAGAAAGAACCATTGCAAACCGTTTTTGTGTGGTCCATATAAATACAGTAACAATTTTAGAGTACGTGCACGCGTACAAAAGTGTTTCCGTACGTGCGAACTACGCAAAATCCAGTATGTATCTGTACGACTTATTACGTACACTTCAAATATTTTTTCAAAATCGTACTTTTTTTTCAGTCTTCAAGTTTTATATACTTTGATTACAATTAACAGTGGATTTCAGATCAACACAGATATGGAAACAATCACTCATTAAGCGTCAATCGACGCAAGCGGCCTAATTACAGAGTAAATTTGATCTAAATTTGCTCCCATCGGCGCTGTCCCCAAGATCGGTGCTGCATTTCCTCGTTGAATTTCTATGCGGATCCGCTGGCGAAGATATTCCGTAGCTCGTTTTTCGCCGGTTTCCTGTCGTATCATCTGTCCAAATTCCGTTATCGTGCGGGCAGCATCCGGTCCGGGCGGTTCAAGCGTCGCGAAGCCCAGAGCATGAAATATGTAGTCCTGACCGATGTTACGATATTTCTCAATCTTGCCCTGCTCGGCCTGCGCAGCTGCTGCTCCCGCTTGTCCGGATATCTCTACAATGTGCGAGATGGCCATGGTGTTGACGCACGTAGCGTCCCATGCCAACATGCGTGGTCTCTCCCATGGTGTCAAGGTGACGCCGTCTGGACGCTTGCTGTCTGTTGGGAAAATACCGAGTGGTTCCAATTCACTTTCGAAGCCGGCCGGTGCGAGGCTGCGCTTCACAATGGCATTAAGGCATTTATGTGTAGGACTTCCCGCGACATTTCTTGCAGCTAAGGCCATGGTAGCCACGCGCATCCGCCTACTGACCGCAAACGCAGCGGTGTGGGGCGATGACCGATGCTCCAAGGCGTAAACCAACAGCGATTCGTACCGCAGAGTCCGTTAGAAGGTTGCCAAGGGAGGCAGCCGGGAGCGCTCCCAAAACCATGCGCCGTTATCTCTCGTGCTCACTCCCCGCAACCGCGCCTGTTCGGAGATGTCGTTCGCAGCTGTCGTTCGTAACCGTTCAGCGATGATTTGGATAATAGGGTCATACCTTCTGGACTGGTCGCGCTTCGAGCACGGGAGGTCTTTTTGGGTTATTTGTTGCCATTCTGTACCAGAATCACGACAGTAGATCTCCGGTTTAAACTCGATTATTTCCGATGTTAGTGGAGCCCCCGAATAAGCAGAGGCCAGAAAGGCCGGAAGGGCAAGCTTTTCGGCGCTTCGAATTCCGAGACCGCCTTCTACTATCGGGAGAGATGCCTGTACATTTACCGATAACTACACTTCAATAGTTCTCGTTAAATACGAGTACTGTACTGTACGTTTAAATAAGTACTGTAGCGCCAGCCAGTACGTAGTCCAGCGCGGAAACGCGCCTTCCGTTCAGGGAACAGCTCCACCGGGAGCGAATTTAGATCAGTTGTTCTCTGTTCTTAGACCTCCCGAGGCTGTTTTGTGCTGATTGAGTGTACTTCGTTGTGATTTTATTTGTTTTTCTATAAGCGGAAGGGGTACAATAAAAAAGCTACACCGAAGAAAGAAGTACTAACGTAAAAAAACATAGTAGTATATGCCGTGCGTACGCAATCCGAAATTACGTACTACGTACGTATAATTATTAAGAAATACAAGAACGCGACAATTGAGCTGTCTTCGTTGACAGAATACTGACATGCTATGCGGAAGTCGCACCGCGACAACCGCACTAGATGATCAAACCTACTCAATCGGTAGAGTGGGAATATGCTGTGGACTCCGTAAGTGGTACTACTGCCTACTTCCGCTAGGTACGAGCGGATTGCTGTGCCTAACGAAAGTTACCGAAACCGAAACACTCAGGAACTTCCCAAATGTTTAATCACCAAACCGAACGAACGAACAAACAGAACAGAACAGAACGAGATATGAACTTCCTTCTAACCTAGAGTCACACGACCTTTCAGCTAGAAACAAGCTCACAGATTTAGTTGCAGTTAGAAACTTCAGACTGATCCATTCAACCAGAATCATGGATGCAATTAGCGATCAAATGCGTTAGATAAGAAGTTAAGAACAGCAAATCGTACGTAACGGAACAGACAACACGTACGTCATAACACGTACGTACGTAATACGCGCAATCTATGCATAGCGCGTTAATACTTTTACTGTACTTTACCAGCGCAGTCAGGAATAGGCGGCACCGACAAATCCCGCTCATTTTGCCTGTTACAATATTTTGTGCACCGCCACCGACCAAGACCACTACCCTAGATACCTACGGTACCCATTACCCATTTAGAGTTCTTGCACCGACGGTCGACTCTTCAGACTCTAATTGAATAAATTAAGTACACTAAAAAAAGTAAATAAAAATTCATCCTAGAAAAAGCTGAAAAATTCAAACAGCTCATGAAAGCTTCAAGAAGTTATATAATAATTCTAAAAAAGGAGAATACGAATTCTACCAGAAACTTAAACATGGAACTTCATTCCGCCCCCCCCCCCCCGGTCAACTGGGAGTGCGCGAAAGTGAAAGTTTCCGAGAATGTACACGAATTTGGTACCATGTACCGGGCCACTTCCCTTAATAAGGCGCAAAACCGAGGGCTGCTTTTTCGAAATTGTTGGTTGGTGGACAATGGACAGACTGACAGAGTCCATTTTTTCCGAAGTCATCCTTATGTTATTGCCCAATAACAAACTTAACAACCTTTTAAATCCAACCGTGCAACGTGGAGACCCTTCCATGCAGTGTCCAACATTTGGAAATAGCTGTTTCTTAAGCTGGAATTTACAACCGACAGTCAGACACATTCTGCTTTACAAGATATCTTGCGAACTCAGCTATGCCAGCATCAATTAAATCGATGACATAACACTGCATAACACGCACTGATACTCATACAGAGTACATTTATGTAATGGGCCCCAATGATGTCCCGTTTTTTTCACGGGCTCGGTAAATCACGGGAAATTCCCGCACCCCGCACCCGCTTTTGGCTCGGAAGCGGTAGCGGGAGGCTTTCTGCTCGGATCGGGTGCGGTCGGGAATATAGCCTGATTGGTACGCCCGCCCGCTACTCGGAAAAACACGGGATTTCTTTGAATTAAAAAAATTTTGTATAGAATTTCTAGCAATTTTCGCAGCCAAAAGTGCGTCAGCTTCGCGCTTCGCGCGAAAGTTGGTGTCTTAGGGTGGGTCTCAGGTTCAAAGCGAATCCAGTTGCGATACAGCAACTCCAGTCTCCTCCTCGCAAGGTGGCTTCGAGTACCGTATCTGTAACCGTGGCCGCGGCATACAGCGGCACCCCATCATTTCGGAAACCAATTTCGGAAACCGTTTATTTCGGAAATGTTCACTTTGGAAACCATTAACATCCGGAAATCACACATTTCCGAAACAATCAAGAAACAAAAGAAAACATAATAAGAATAACAAAGGAATTCATAAAAAAATAACAGCTTAAGGAAGCATAAAAATCTAAGAAAAGTTTAGAAAAATAAGAGAAGCTGAGAAACAAATGACAAAAATAGGAAAACTTAAAAAGCCTAATAAAAGCTAAGGAACCTAACGAAACATAAGATTAATACGAGTAAAGCAGCCGTGTATCAAAATTTAATAAGCGGCGGCTAGCTACGTAGCTCCTGTGACGCAAACGTCGGTTTCGAAAGAAAATCGAATAGTTGATGGCGATAATATATTTACGGCAATTGTATAATTTGAAAGGGCGGATGCCGTTCTAACAAATTTATAATTACGAGCCAAGCTCAGTTTTTTTTGAAAAGTAAAAGTAAGATTTAGCATGCAGGTCTAGTCTTTTAGAAAATGCCTATCCATTAAACTTTTCGACGAAACTTTACACCAAAAATTTTGTAATAAATTTGTAACAATTATTAAAATTATTGATTCATTAAAAATCGGGAATCAGAGCGGGTTGCGGGGCGGTCCGAGCGCTCGGGTGCGGGAGCGGGTGCGGGAAAGTTTCTGATCGTGAAAGTGCGGTCGGGACTTGAAAAACTGCAAACGGGACATCACTGGGCCGCCACTACTAATGGCTGTGCTAGTATAAATAAAATTTTATTCGTTTGACAATAAGTAAGATGAAGAACGAATAAAATGCGCTAAACCTTAATGCACGTAATATACCCGGCAATCTGCAAGATTTCACCGAACGACATAAGCGTTAAGACAATAATTATTCTAGTAACAGAAATTTCGGAAAAGCCGCATCTTCCAAGATTCGCTGATGTACTCATTGTCAATGGACTAGAAAAAAAATCAGTCGAAATACAAACAAGATTAAACATAAACTGAACACGGTGCAATAAAAATAAAAAACTTAAAACATATTCGGAGATTATCAGTCGTGCAAGCAAATGAAAAATCATATAATATGACACTGTAAAACTGCATCATAATCATTAGAACAAGATACGGTATCTTAGACAACGATAAGCGTAACCGCAGCGCATCGGCAAACACATCGACAGGAAATCCAATGATATCTCCGTATCTTAATGATTTGATAAGAGCTAGTAAGCCTCGTCCAATCCATATAAACAGTGAGCGAAAAATAAAAAAGTCCAGATGAGAGGGATGGTTGTGTTGAAATGTAGAAAAGTCCCACAAGATTACACATACAGAAACGAGAAATACTCCTCCAAATGAACGGAAATGTGATGGCGACGTTCGTAGCATTACAGCACGAGATTGCAGAGTTTTGCACTAAGAGGTGGCAGTTCTGTTGTAACTTTTCCATCTCAATTCCAAATCTTCAAGAAGCTGTCCCATGAACCAGTGGCCACGGCCATTCCGTCCTCGGTCACTCCTAAACAACTCACTCGGTTATCATGTCCAGCCAAAACTCCTGCACGGTCCACTTTCATAGCATCCCACACGTTGCAGTTGAAATCGTCGTAACCAGCCAACAAAAGACGGCCAGATTTCGAAAACGCCACTGAAGTAATGCCGCAGATGATATTGTCATGCGTGTACATGGCTAGCTCCTGGTCAGCCCGAATGTCGAACATCCGACAAGTAGCGTCATCTAAATGAATAATTCTTTACTGTCAACAAACAGTTTCGCGATATTTTAAAATGCGCAAACAGCTTGCTGGCGGGCCTACCTGATCCCGTAGCAAAGGCCTCCCCATTTGGAAAATACTGTGATAAAAAAACCGTGAATGTAAGATCCTCCCAGTTCCGGCAGTTCGCAAGTCGGGACTTACTGTAACAGCATTGATATCGGATTCGTGTCCAGTAAATGTCTGACGACACATTCCATCACGAATGTCCCAGAGCTAAAACACGTACGTATACCTCTATGATTCTATCATCAAAACGACAGAAGAAACAGTACAGTATGTTGAACGTATAATTATAATACCCAAAATATCTACAACAATCTGTCATACGAAAAAGAATACGAAAGATGGGAAGAATAAAAACTACACTCCCGCGAACTGTGGTGAACCAGCACGCAAAAATCAATAATAAAACAAAACCTTCTGCATTCCCACATACTTACGTGTTTTCGCAAACATAAGATGTACTATACTAATCACTTTCACAACGCGGCCTGCGCACTTAGCATTTATTGGTATTTGGTGTAATCACTTTTAAAGCTTCAAATTTATAGAAAATACGTAAATTGCATTCAGCACCTTCGTAGAAGCGTCGCAAGCTCCAGAGATAAATGTCCGCATGTTGGGCGCGAGTGATAAGCTCATAACGTCCCCTGTATGTCCGGTGAATGATGTGGACTGCTGCCCGGTTTCGATATCCCACAGAGCACTGAATGAAAGAGGAAAGAAGCGATATCAGCGGAATTCAGTTGGGATTGTAAGCTCTTTACCAGGTCATATCCCCTGAACTCGTGAGTATCTGACTGTCGTTGAGAAATCGGCAGCAGCTCAAATATCCTGTGTGTCCAGGTAATTCTCGACTAACTCGCACATTTCCTTCTCGAGTCTTCAAGCTGTAGATGGTACAGATATTGTCCAAACCACCGCACGCAACATAGCTACAGGATGGTGCGTAAGCGCAGGTCATCACCCAGCTGGATCTCAATGGAATGGCGTGAATCTGAAACAGACACCTCCAGATTAAAACATGTCTGACAAGTAAACCGACTCGGAAACAGAGTCCGCCCACTGCTGCAATCGGTGAAAAAAGAGTAGCAGATAGCCGGGAGCAAACTACACATCATAACCTGATTAAGCTGTGTTTTTGATGCCAAAACTGCTTTCTGTCGGTAAATAAAAACCATCCAGCTGAAACTGTTCGCTACACCAGGGAACACAAATGCCATTTAAATAAGCACAGATTTCCGATCTACCATATTCCTTTTTCCGAAAACTGCAATGGATTCCCTCCACAAGAACTCTCACCTTGTTGGTAGTATAAGAATCCCAAACAATAAGTTTTCCATCTTGAGAAGCCGATACCAAATTCCTGACAGAAACAAACGGCGTCATTTCCTGGCAACTTTCAATAAACTTACGGACTCAGGACTAGTACAGTGGCATCTACTTACCTGGAGTCGGAGCCCCAGTGCATGGCGTAAATCTTGGCGAGATGACCGCGCAAAGTCTTCCTCGTTCGCATTTGAATTCGCCCGACTTCGGGCATATTCGCGGTCGACTGCACCAAGCTGGAGTCGCATACAGCTTTGCGTGCATCCTGTTGGGAAAAGCGGAAACACAGAATGTCAGTAACCACCCGCGTATGATCATAAAAAAACATGAACAATTAAAAAACAGCCTCATTCTCAGACTCAGTCCAACTAACTCGAATTTTGATCCGCAGTGTCTCCGCTTCTTGGCGCAGCTGGTCTAGTTCACTCATGATCCCAAGGCTGTCAGAATGTGAACCGCGGCAACTCGGTGTTAAAAGATTCTCCTCTTTAGGGTCCACTCGGTTCAATCCAAATTAGCATAACAGCGTGCCCAAGGTACAGCGGAACAATGCCCAGCGATGCTTGTGTTTCTTCGGCCTTCCGAACAACTTCTGCCTTTCAGAACGCCTTCCCTGCTCGCAGACACCATAAAATAAGATGCATTACAAAAGATTTTCCTTTCCGACATAATTCAATTAAGTTCCTTGAATACAAGAACAGGCGCAACTGGAAATGAACATACCGTAATTTCTTTCCGTGAACGGTGAATCTCCGATCATTAAGTGATCCAATAAGAAAATATGACGTTGTTCAACAAGCTGTAAGATGCCTCGTCAATAAGCCTGGTAGGTTAATAAATCCAATAATTCCGTACGAAAACAAATCGTTTGCATTGTTGAAGATCCGTATGTTTAGAAAATTTAACAAAATAAGAGCAACTAAAATAGTAAAAAACGGTGTGATTCCGTAACATCGGAAAAGTTACATACCACCCGGCCCACAAACCAATCAAGCCATATTAATCAATACGAAAAGTAGTAGAAAAGGCTAGAGAATATCATGGCCACGCCGACGGACGCAGCACTCACTTTCAGATTAGAGCCTAACCATAACCGGTGGGCAACTTCACATTTTTGAGTCCATCATAAATATTACATATAGCCCATACAAAAAAAGCATTTTATGCTAACGGAGTTGATAAATAATTTACGAAATGCTCACTTAAAAGCTAAAAATATAAAAAGTAGCTTAAAAGTACAAACGTCTGTAACGGCTGGTGCATTGCAGGATACGGTATATCTTATACTTCGTTGACATCGCCGGCTATTTTATGCTGTATTGATGCAGTCTGTCATGCGCCCATCACCCGTATACGGCAGTTTGAGGGTTTTCTGAATTTGTACTTTGTACCGACTGACTACTAAAGTAGGCAGACCTGGACGTCAAAAAATTTTGTAAAAAATGTTATTGGTTTATTGATAAGTATTTTATTACTGCTTACTGCATTTTAAAAAATAAGGTACTGGCGTAAATAGTTTGTAATTTACAGTTATTTACTGTGATATTTTATAATAACCGTTACTGCATTACTGGTAATCAGGGCGGTGCAAGAAAGTTAATTTTAACTAAATGCACAGTAGCAGTTTTTCAGAATTCACCTTCCCAACCTTGTCCCTTTTTCCAGTTTCCTGTCACCTGCTCTGTGTGTTTCCCTGTTTTATATTGTTTGCTCCCGCAAATTCTGCTGTTTGCCCTTGTTGGCCAATTCAGAAGGAAAACAGGAATTACAAGCGTAAGTCTCATCATCGAATCTCAATGTAGTGGAAAATCATTCAGCCTTTCAGGTTTTTGATGAATTATGAATTTATTATGGTTCTAATTTTGTAGGGATCGGACTATTGGACTTGCTGCTACTATTGCATAAGCCTTTGGGTCGGTACTTTTAAGCGATTTCAAAACGGATTTGCCATGTCTGCTAATCGACTGAAGAATAGTAAGTTCCGACATCTTGTAAAAATCCAATTATAATCAATAATTGTTGCTTGAAATACCATTGAAATGAATATGATGCATTTTCGTGGGTTTGGAAATGGATGATAAGAACGCATGCTTTTTAATTGTGAATGCCAAAATAATAATTGATTCTTCTTGAATATTGCAGTTTTCATTGTCGGTGCCAAACGCACTCCATTCGGCACTTTTGGAGGAAAGCTCAAAGATCACACGTCCACCGATTTAGCCGTAGTGGCTGCCAAATCTGCTCTGGAAACTGCTAAAGTTCAACCGGTAAGGGACGTGCACGGGTGGAGCATTCAAGGCATTGCTACAGCTAATTCAGAGTTAAATTGTTTCAGTTTTTCTCTTTGTCTGCAGGAATGGATCAATACCGTGGCAGTAGGAAACGTGATTCAGAGCAGTAAAGATGCGGCATATGTTGCTCGACATACTGCGCTGAGATGTGGAATTCCAGTTCCCGGTAGGCACGGTTTCTTGGCACACTTGAGTGATTTTAAAATCCGGCTTTACTAGTGCCCGCGGTAACGGTAAACAGACTCTGCGGAAGTGGATTTGAATCCATTGTTTATGGAGCTCGAGTGAGTTGCACTTTGCGGACTGAGAACTAGTGCATCGTTTGCACTTCCTTAAAAATACTAAACGTATTTCATTTTATGTGGAATTTCATCCGGATGTATAAAGCATTATATTTAATATTAAATATTGGTAATTTATGGTTTACACTCTACATGTATGTTGCAAGTGTTGCATAAAACTGTTTAAAGCAGAGATTTGTACGTAGGAAATCCAAAATGGCGAATCGGAAATTGCCCTGTGTGGTGGAACGGAGAATATGAGTCAAGCTCCGTTTGCTTTACGGAATTCCCGATTTGGGATGAAATTAGGCGAAGAACAGAAGGTGGGGATGTTATTTGTCCATTTCTCACTACGGGTTGTTCGATGTGAACTGTGGTTGTTAGCTGGAGGATACTCTGTGGTCCGGGTTGACTGACCAGTATATAAATACTCCTATGGGAGTTACCGCGGAAAATTTGGCTGAACAGTACAATATTTCGCGAGATGATGTGGATAAATTCGCGTTACAGTCCCAAACCCGTTGGAAAAATGGTATCTTGGTCATTAGTGTTCCCATTCCCTTCATACTTGATATAGATTATTATCGACTACCCTTAAGGATATACATTTAGCATCGACAATTGTGACTTACTTATGCTTTTTAGCTCAAGCCGCTGGCGTCTTTAAAGAGGAAATGGCCCCGATAGTTATTAAAACTAAGAAAGGCGAGGAGACCATTGATAAAGACGAGCATCCCCGAGAAACATCCCCAGAATCGCTTAAGAAACTCCCACCCGTGTTCAAGAAGAATGGAACTGGTATGTTTTATGGATTTTCAGAATTATATTTCTCTGACATGTTTGACTGTTGCTTCAGTAACGGCTGGCAATGCTTCGGTAAGTGTAGCAAGAACTTGCCGCAAAAGTCGGTTTTACCTAGTCCGTAATAAGACGATCCTGACAATTGTGGTTTGCAGGGAATTTGTGATGGTGCTGGTGCCGTTATCATTGCGAGTGAAGAAGCCGTCAACAGCAAAGTATTGAAACCATTGGTGAGAATAGTGGGATGGCACGTGATTGGTGAGTGTGTAAAAGACAATAAACCATTCATCCATCTTTTCTATCGGTGTTAATTTACAGGCTGCGAACCCAGAATTATGGGCATCGGCCCCGCTCACGCAATTCGTGCCCTTTGTGAGAAAACCGGCATAAGCCTTTCGAAAATTGATTTATTTGAGGTGATTTAGTAGTTTCATAATTTATTCTGTTTTCCGACTCGGTATAACAGTACTGTAAAAATACACGGTCATAGATTAGCCATATTGTTGCTTTTTCAGGTCAACGAAGCATTTGGATCACAATTTTTAGCTGTTCAAAAGGAAGCATGCCTTCCTGATGAAAAGGTACGCGATACATCAAGAGCTACTCTTGCCTTAAAACACAGCCTGTAGCCCGGCTGTAGGCCGTCGATTTCAGCTTTCTGGTGTTTTACCTACTACTGCGGATTGTTTTAGACGAATGTCAATGGTGGAGCCATTGCACTAGGACACCCTTTGGGTGCATCGGGAAGTCGCATTATGGCACATTTAACGCATGAACTCCGGTAAATGTGTGATCCGATTTCAAAAAATATGTTGAATTAATGTGTAGCATTTTTTTTAGTCGCCGCAAGGGTAAATATGCTATCGGCTCCGCTTGTATTGGAGGAGGACAAGGGATTGCAATAATGATTGAAAACGTTGGATGTTAGATTGAGGTTGATCATCGAAGCACAGATTTGCATGTTCTGGTATAAAGGCTTATGATTAGTATTTATTTGGTATTTTAAGTCAGCGCAAACGCCAACATTATCACTTCTTGTATTGCTGGTAATTTTTGCGCGTGTGAAAATAAGGATTTCAATAAATGATAGTCGGCAACGTATTCGTGAATTCGCAGCATCTGTTCGGATTATTTGTGCGCCAATATTTGACGTTTCAAAATTATCACATACGCAGACACTTGTACTTTATTTATGGAAAGATACGAATAGATAATAATTTTGGTCACTTTGTAGATGTTTAAATTTGAGCCTTTTTATTAGTGCCTATTGGCGTAGAGCCTACAGTGATGTGATTTGGCTATTGCCGAAATGGATAAGCCAGTTACGATAGTTATAACTGCTTCCATATTTACCTATTCAGAGATTGCTTTCTCGTTACCGCTTTAATGTGTCCAGAATTCTCTGTACAGTGAACTATTTACATTAAAAATTCCAGAAGGTACAGGAACACTGCTAGGAGCAATTCTTTCCTTGAGAAAGTGGAAAAGAATCCAGGAATTTAAGGATGGAGGAGATCTTTTTTGGACAAACAAACACAACATTAACGAACCGCACACATACACACGCCACTTAACATGTTACCAACGAGTTCGTAGACAATTAATAACACAATAAAACAAACGCGAACAAGGCCATATCCCAACAAAAAAGCGCGATAACGAAACTTAACGAGAAAAAGTTGAATATTAGACCGAGCACAACAAGGTTTCACTTATCGCGCTCGTGTATCGTGTCCAGTAACCATTAGCTCGTTTTCACTATCGCTTTCCTCGGTCTCTGCCAACGGAAGGTCGGAAGGTGAACCGGCTGAAGATCGTAGAGAGTCTTCGCGAACAGAATTATCCGGGCTCGGACTGGATGTGCGACTTGAGTGATCCATTGAACCATCAGCGAAACCGAAACTATGACCTTCGGGGAAATCTCCACAAGAGCTGCATTTTGTTTGCTTCCAGTGTGTCCGCAGACCGCTAGGACTCGTATATTTCTTGTTACAGGCTGGACAGGTAAACGGACGCTCGTTTGTGTGCAGTCTCGTATGCAGTTTAAGATGGACAAACTGGGTGAATCGAGCAGGGCATAATTTGCATGCTGCAGAGACAAAATACTGTAGGGAAATAGTACAATACATCTCAATATATGTACTCTTCAACGACACTTCAAGATTCAAAGATTCGAAGAAGTCAAAAGATTATCTCCTTTTTTCAATTTATTTTATTTATTTATGTCACTGATTTCGGAAGCTGCTTCGATAAATTGACTGTTAGCTACAGAAGAAATATGGAATACTATAAATCATGAATAAGTATTAAAAATATCACTTAGTGCTCTATTTTTTAAGCCGGAAGTAATGAAATCCCCAGCCCACTTAATTTCAAAAACTCTAAGTGTTTCAAATCGTGTTTCAAATCTATAATTCTGTTTGTACTGTAAATAATCGATGTTGCCACAAGTTTTGCAACAAGCTAATATCTGCAGTTACTCTCTGTGGTTTCTTACCGTATGGTTTGCTTCCACTGTGTAACTGAAAAAATGGATATATGGTCAACAGAATTAAAAGCACGTTGTAATCATACGCACGGACAAATGACAATAGTAATACTAACAGTAAGGGACAAAGGTCAAGCATTAACGCTTTCCGTGCAATACAGTTAGAAATACTATTCGTGTCCTCCAAAATACAATAATATCATATATAAAGCAAAGTTTTTGGAAACTGCACGATATCAGAAAGTTTCATAGCAAGGGGTGCATACCGCCAATTCCGGTGTGTACCAGTAAAGGCAAAGTCAGCAATTTGTACAACTGGACTTACGCGCAAATGAGTTTTCAAGTTGCTGCTGCTGCTAAACCGCTTTTGGCATATGCCACATTCGTGTGGTTTCTCGCCGGTATGAACAAGATGATGTTTCTGGAGGTGAGCCAACTGGGTGAAACTTTTCGAGCACTAAAACATAAAAAATACAGTTTTCATGATGATGAACAGCATCTCAACGTTGACAGTAGGCGACCACACATTGCAAACTGTATTTGTGAGTATTTTACCTAATCATAGCAGAATAAGCAGGTACGTGCGTATGCATGGGAAGGAGTTTGTAAGGGATTGCACTGATTTTCATTAACAAAATATATACCGAGCACATTGAAAAGTTGCACCAATATTTTTTGCTTAAAACCTATAAAATTTTTTAAATATTGATTAGATATAAACGTTCTATGCAATACTTAACATCGAGCTCAGACCTTAAATAAGAGGGTGGTCTTTCTATCTCATGTTATAAAAGACGCTGACAGGCGGTGCTTTAACATCTTATACTGATCACCAGAACGGTGTTCTAAATTTTTGCAAAACACCACAATAGTTGTGAAGAGCTGTTGTGAATAAGATTCGTCAACTCTCACTTCCGGTTTCGGCAGACAATCGGTCTCGCTGCTCATCTACAGCGCCCGCGGCAATTTTCTAGCCGCAAACTTGTTTGACCAAACTTTCTACTGATGGCTGGTATCTCGAGATAACTGGCCAAAGTTCAAGGTACTGTTCCAAAAATTATCATACAATACCGAGTTCGGATTGCATAACATAAGGCAATCACCCCGTCCTCCTATACAATTTTTTAAGTGCTTGGTGTATTTCATGCGCATATCAAAACTATGACTCTTACAATAATTATTGAAACAGACACTGTAAAGCTACTTAGTGTATATCTTTTACTGACTGCTAATGTTATGTGTGCGAAAAAGCTAGATTGAAAAATTAAAGGTTTTAGACGGTAGAAAGTCATGACCGCGAAAACGTTACCGTGCCACAGTTAAATGGTCTCTCTCCCGAATGAGTCCGCAGGTGAACCTTCAGATTGGAGAGTTGGCCAAACGTCTTAACGCACACATGGCATTTGTACTGCAGCTTTCCGTTCTTCTTCTCCAGCTGATAAGGAAGGGTTTTATAGCCTCTGGACGAAGAGTCCGCTTCTTTTCTTATGCTGTCCGCCGACGAATGGTCACTCAACGAGCCCATGCTGTCATCCACCGGACTCGGTGGAGTGCTTGTGCGACCGTCAGTAAAGGACAAATCCAAGCTGCCCCGCTTCACCGCTTCCTCTGGGGCGTGGTTATCAAACGATGACGTCACACTGTGCCGAAATAAAGATGGTAAGCCGACAGTCGGCACAGCACCAAAAATCTGGTTGCTCATCTCCTTCGTCCGATCGCCACTGCTTCCCAAACTGAAACATCGTCGGCGAAGTTCATCCACATTTTGACCAAAAAACGATTCTAAGGCCGCCACTCTAATGCTGTCTTTGTACGGGAAATTTTCGACGGCCCCGCCAAATATCGATGGGAGAATGTGATGAGAAGCATTGATGCCGTAATACGTTTGCATTTCGCGGTACGACGACAGCCGCTCATTAATGAAACTCTTGTGGGACCCGCTAGCTTCCTGGTGAACTAGAGAAGAGCGCTGTTGGACTGGGATTTCTGGACTTCCGCCCAACAGTGTGTACTGCATAGGCGAAGTATCGCGCAGTGTTGCCGGTGGCACACAGCGCAGCCGCACCGGTTCCTGTTGGGGTGACAAGTTGCGGTGGTTGCGTTTCCCTCCCGTCGTCGACCGTAGATTCTCATCGTCATCGCTTTGAGAATCCGTGCTGGAATGAGGTTTCTCACAGTCCAGAGACTGGTCGCAGCACTGGTTCTCACTTGGACTGAAATTGCGGTAATTCGTCTGGCGTGGATGCCCTTTCCGCTCTGTTAAGGCGGGCACTGACGAATTGTGCAACAGCTGTGGTCGGTACTCTGCAACGATTGAGCAGTCATTATTTCCCATAGGCGGAAAACCATAATACGACCACATACGTAAACCATTAACGAACTGTGTAGATTAAACCGGAGCCAAATGGCATCGTTATTTCGGTGCGGTAATGAAAAAAATGAAAAACGCAGCAGTACAGACACGGGTAAACCGGTAAAGTACGATTAATTTTCCTTTCTAGTTCACTAATTATTTTTATTTCACCACGTTTTGCTCGCGAACCGATTCTAGAACTTTAACGGGGAAGCTGGACCAACCTATTTTAAGCTGTGATTTGACCACATCCGCGTTGACTGGATAATTCATTCGTTTGGCGTAATCTGGACAGTACCACACCAAAAGTTCCGTATCCGGAGGGATTTCCTTAATAGAGTAGAACAATATGTCCATCTGCTCCTGACATGCCACCAGGTTCTGACTGAACGACGAATAGGCCGGATTAACGAATCGCATCCAGTTGCTTTTCCGGAGGTCGAAAGCATCCAAATAAAACTTTAGATGACCGTCTTGATAAATCTGCGAATACAGTCATACAATACTTGCTGTATCGATTTTACGCGACCGGTATAAATACTTAGTCTTCTAGGCAGCTGAACTTAAATCCAAAATACTTCATTATAAGCAAAACTGTATACTGTATAAATGCTAATACACCGGCATTACCCTCCAGAAATATTTGCGATTAGCCGATTTCGGGACATCGAGTGCTTTCACTTCGCCAATAAGCGGGCCGAATCGTGTTCCTCTGGGAATAAGTTGTTTGCTCCATACGCCCTTTACCTAATCGTGAACATGGAGAAATAGTGGGTAAATAAAACTCAGAATAAAAAACTAGGACGCGATTTAAAATTTGTTGGGTCGTTAATACATAAATCTATGCAAGGGATATTAGACTATGTACAAAATTCTGTAGTTTGGTTGATTTTGACTTACTTCGGCAGTCTGAGGGCATTTTTTCAGAACGACGTTTGATGGCGCTGAAGCTTCGGCCCGGTTGACAACGGTGTCGGGTGTCTCCTTGTCCGGCACAACATACACGCATCTTTTCTTATACTCCTGCTCCGGCCATGTGTCGCAAGGGTCCACTGGACCAGCCAGTGGATGTTCCATGCAGATGGCTGTTCACGATGACCATACATTCGAACCGGCCGACCAGCGGCCCACCTCCACACTACTCACAATGCGCACTCACATCAACATCGTGTGTGCATGAACATACAATAACAGCAACGGTAATTCCCCGTAAAAATTGTCGACTAAAGTTTTTAGATTGCGGTTACATCGTAGCGACCAATTAGTTGCGGCTACACAGTATAGCAGAGAATTCTGTTTATAAAATGTAATCTGGAGCGACTTGATGAGAGTGTTTTATCGGCTGTACGGTAATAACGCCTTGTGGGCCATATTACAGATGACCGCCCGGCTGAAGAAGCCAAGATGACGGGCTGAGTGGCAACTAAAAAAGCGACAGTTCGCGGCATGTATAAATTCACTGCACATGTTACCTAGCGTAAGAAATGAATAAGCGGCAATGAAGCGTGTCTATCTGCACCTTTCTAGGTCCGTTATTTTAGTATGTTGCGATCCATGTATTTTAAAAGTCATATATCGGCGTAACGAATTAAATGCAATGTACACTTGCTAGACAGTAAACGGTGGCCATTCGGACGGTCAAGCGTATGAATGCTGCTGCTTAGAGTTCCGGCATGGTCCTCGAGCTATGTGAACTTGAACTTGCTAGCACCGCCAAGTACGAAATGCCACACAAACTGTTAAGTGCTGTACGATGCATGTTATCAAATTAGCAAACCACCGGCTATTATTAATAAGGCATATAAACGGTAAATGATAGCCAGTGCATGCGGTTGCTGCGATTTCGGATGCGATTTATCTCTGTAACCGGCAAACGTTTCCTTAAAAAACGTTTTCTGAAGCAAATAATATGAAGTTTGTACGGCTGTTAAAGGCATTACGAAATTCAGATTAGTTATACACCACAGTAATGAACGACGTGAGTATGCGCGTAATGTATAGAACAGTCGTCATCAAATTTAGTAACGCGCTTATACTTACTGTACTGCTAGTGTTGAAGTGCAGAGAGTACTGGCAAAAGAACTAATAAAGCCGCTTTTCTGAAATCCTTTTATAAAAAAAAAGTAAAATTAACTTTGATTACGTTAGACTTACTTTTAAGACACTTGCGTTTTCGGCTCTGTGGATGATCCGATGAGGTCAGAATTTTGCTTTCCGCTTGTTTGGCTTTGCTTGCATTCACGCGACATGCGTCCTAGTTTTCAAATTCGTAATATTGTGTACTGTAGACCTTAGCGCTCAGTGTAATCCATTACTTGCCATTTGCCAATGCTTCACACTTGCGTTTATGACCTGTTCGGTTCGCAAGATGAAGGAAGCTCCACTCGTTTTCATTGCAATATTCTCATTTAGGACAAATGAAAACGACATTATTTTTTGAGTTGAGGTGAAAAGGGCAAACGGGTGCCGATGTAAGTATTGAGCTTAACCAGTAGCATCCGGTTGCAGCTCACGTAAAGTGTGATGCAGACGATTCGCACAGACACAATGGAATACTGTATTTTTATCGTGTTTCAATAGTACGAATACTATAGTACTGGAATAATAATTATTGTATCCTATTGCCGTTCAGTTATTAACGAAGTGGCAAAGCTGATTAATTTCTCCTGTAAGAGATTTTCCTTTTTTGAGTCTGGAGTGTGGATAGTCACAAGAAGCTCAGGACAGATACCAAGTTACCTATCTCTAACTATAAACTGTAACGTGTAAGTCACAATATAATCGTAAGATAAGTTGACAGTGTTTACTGGACCTTTAATAAGTATCACGTGAAAGTACGAACTAAGTACTAGAAAAGAGAAGTTTGATTAAGTATGCAAAAATTAAGTATGCAAAGTTTGATTAAGTATGCAAGTTTGATTAAGTATGATTAAGTATAAGTTGACAGTTAGTTATTTACAATTAGTACTATTACTCGTAGATCTTACGATTACATTGCATTGAAGCGGCTTTTAAGCAATTAAAGTAAAGTATATTTTATAACTAAATTAATCCATCACAACTTTAAAATTACCGGCGCGTTGTCTCTGATCTTATTACTTAAAGAACCTGCAAATTTATTTATTTTGTACCTAACCGGGGGATTTTTTGCACCTCTTCGTGTACTGAAAAGAAACCTAATGGTAAGCTAGTATCTGCAATTTCAACTATTAAAAAGTAGTCGGCAGTGCGGAAGCGCCTATAAAACTCTGCAGGAATACAAAAATATTACGTAAATACTAGATACCGTAAGAAATCGAAAGATAAGCTTAAACTAACGAGGCTGCGCCGCTTTTGGAATGTTTTAAAAAACTGTTGTACCGCATCTATCGAGTAGGCCATTTAGCATCCTTTATGATAGTGTTATTATTTTATTGTAGTTGAAAACGAAGTGACGCGCCAAATTGATTGTTGAAGAAAACGTTTTTATGGAAATAGTTTTGTGAACTTCTGTTATTTTTTAAAATAATCTTTTCCATTGCGATAACCTTTCGGTCGGCTAATGCAACTATCACCGATTCGCAGTTGTTTTGAATTTTCGTTATGAACGCTTTTTGTCGTCCAGCCGCAGCAACTTAGGGATCGTAGTGGCAGCCGGCTAGGGACAGCAGTTGCATTGCAGTCAAGTCTTGATGTTGGAAATCAGGAAGATTCACGATAGTGACGGTGACGGCGGATAGTCGATAAATCATAACTCCTAACGAGACATTACGAAAGCTAGCAAGCTAGCTTTCGTAATGTCTCGCTCCTAATTATCCAATAATTTTGGATTTATTTGAAATCCGAATGGCGAATTCCATACATAGCTGACTGTCGTCAACTGTCAAGTTTTCAGCTGATCCAGTTTTCTGCGCTGTACTTTTTAAAAATGGTAATGACCTTAGGTCTGCGTCACAGAGGTTTTTGGTAGCCATCTGTTTGATAATGCTCGAAAGGTAAGAAACCAGGCAAGAATCACAGAGCCCTGTAGGCCTAACTCTGAGATGTCCTCGGACTGCTGCTGTTTGCGTGGTTTTTGTGATTTTTAATAAGTGTGGATGGACGATCTATAACCAGAACTTCTTCATGAACATTGAAGTTGTTTCTTTCAGATGGCTAACCGCTGCGCATCGATTCCTATGGTTCAAGCACGTGGTCTGTACATTTCCCATCCCGTCGCTGCTGCCATACGTGCCCCCGCCGCTTGTATGTTTGAACTTCGAGGTGTTTTAAAATTTTTGTGTGGTAGACTTTGCCAAGACTGCATTAATCCATAGACCAAACCAGTTATACTCCACTGAACGTCATACAAGGTAAGTTTTTAAGATTTTCCGTTTTCATTTCGTTCAGGCGGTTGTAACATAAAGTTGTAAGTTGCGGCGCTGTAATTGTTATTCATCATTTTTATGTTTTACTTAAGTACAGTACTTGGATTTATTACTTTGATAAAATTTAAAATTTGCTGTATGTGAATGTGCGTATCCCCGAATAAGTATTCTCCAGAGTAATAAAACGTTACTAACTTGCGCGTGCTGCGTCTTATCTTCTTGTGGATAGCACGGCCGGAAATTTAGTTCAGAAAACGGCGGCGCCAACGTTCCTTCCGGTGCGTCAAATGCACAGAACAGCAGTACTGGCAGCTCGTCCGAAGACACACACCAGCGATTTGGAGAGAGAAGTCGAATTCCTTAGGAACGATCTCCGCTTGAGCTTGAAAAGCTTTTCCATGTTGCAAGATGCGCACACCAGTCAGATTGCTTCGTTGCATAAGATTTATGGTTACCAACTGAGCGATAAAAACTCGCAAATTCTCTGGTTGTCAAACGGGCTTAATATTGGCGGGGTAATTGATCACCTGGAAGATGACTGGATCCGAGAATATGAAAAGACCAAGAAGTTGCCCAAAGGTATTTCATTTAAATGTTAACTGAAATACAGTATTAGTTCAACATAGCGGAAAACAACTTGATCGTTATGGTACTAGTAACGTAGTAAAGTAATCCTGGTCACAACTTGCAGGTCTGCATCCGTTCTTGCAACATCGAAAGCATCTTAAACTGCACGGAGAGCATGCTCCTCGCCTTGCGAACTTTGGTAAGTTAGTCCTTGGGAAACGCCGTTGCAATATACGAAATTACGAATACCAAAGTGCTTACACGCTGTCATGTAGACTAAGATGTAGTGGTTCTTGTTTGATGTACTGTTATGGTGTTGAACAATTAATTGAAGGTACTTCCGAAGGAAATTGTTTCAAACCATTAACTTTGGCGAATAGTATCATCATTGCCGGACTTGATCAGTGCTAGACAATAATTTTCGCGTTTTGCTAACCGAAGCTCATATTTCAGATTCTCGGAGTGAACTGTGGAAAGTCCTAAAGGAGCATGAGTTTCTGAAGAATCAAATGCTGGAAATTGCTGATAATCAAGGAAAAAAGCTGATTACGATGGATATTTTTACTAAATTTGAGAATCTTGTAGATGGTGTGTATCGGAAGACTAGTGATCAAGTTAGTGACTTGCTTATGACCGGAGAGATTGTCTTTATCGATTGCCATTTGTTGTCACCGGATGAAATTCGTGTAGCAGAAGCGGTTTGCCGGCTCTTTAAAGTGAAGTTTAAAATGTCTTCTGGGCCGCTAAATCGAGGACTCTTGGATAATTCATAGTGCTCATTTTGCCAAATTTCTTGGCTGTTTTGTGTTGAGCGGCAGCCGCTTTAATAATAAACATATTTGCAGCAAGTGCGAATTAGATTTTGCATGCGTTTCCATAGCCGTAAAGTCATAGACCGAAATGCTCACAAGTTAGATGATTGCATATATGGAGTTCGTAAATTGTAGACAGTGAGTTATGATTATTTTTGCCTCATGTGTACTGAAATGGCTGGCCGACGTAGGATTGTCGCAGTACGAAGTACGGATGTTCAAGAAACCCGACAATAATTCCTTTCTTTCCGATTTGCTGTATGTACTGCTACAGTAAGTAATAGTCACCGGTAAACATAAGTGAAATAAAATGGGATGCACCAATGGGCAATGATTGAGCGGGACATTGCCATGCTGATGTCGAGTACAGAAGGAAACGAACGTAACAGGGCTGTCTTGCTGGCTGAGATTCTGGAACCTGGTTGAATGCGTTGCCCGTTCCATGTCTGGGTACATTCCTTAAAAACGACGATGTTCGAATCGGTGTCGCATTGCGGTTAGGATTGCCAGTGGAAGTGGCGCACAACTGTATCGCATGTGGTAAGCAAGTAGAGACTAACGGTCACCACGGGTTGTCCTGCAATAAGTCAAACCAAAGGACGATGGGCGCGGCACAAAGAAATGAACAGTATTGCCATGAAAGCGCTGGTTTTCCTTGTCAACTGGAACCGACCGGCTTATCGAGTGTGAACGGGAAAAGGCCCGACGGCATGACGCTGATTCCAGTCCGCGAAGGGAAACCACTGGTGTGGGATGTAACCATTTGGTGCACGGGTTGCAGACTCTCATGTCACCGGCAGCTCGAAGAAAGCTGGATACGTGGCTCAGCTCGCAGAAAATGCCAAGCGCCGGACATATTCGTTTGTGGAAAATGGAAACTTTTTTATCCTTTAGTGATTGAGACGTTGGGAGATGTTGGCCCCGCTTTCAATGAACTGTTGCATTTCAAGGGCCGTAAAATTCGAGACTTAACTGGAGAAGCGCGTTCTACTGCTTTCATTAAGCAGCGTTTTAGTCTCGCCGTTGTAAAAGGAAATGCTACGGCTGTTTTGGGTACGTTACCTTTTAACCCAAGAGAAGATCGAGATGGTATCGAAGCACTTATCACCACAGAGAAGGTCATAAACAACAGATGCGTATTCGACCACGTGTCTGCACTCTGCAGTAGCTTTGCCAGTGCGTCTTCGCTGTGAGCGCACTGTATGGCGTACCGATTGCGCAAACGTTTTACGAACAAACGTTTTTTAGTTTTCAATCAAATGTTACACACAAATAAATCTGACAAATGTTTCTCAACAAATTTCTAACAAACAAATGTCACTGACAAATGCTTTCGTTACCTGACAAATGTTTTGCACTATCAGACAAACGTTTTTCACTATCAAACAAATGTTACTGTCCAATGTCAGAATGAAATGTCTTGATCAAATGTAACTGCCGTCTCGTGCACCGGAAGCGCGACTACGGACTCTGACATTTTTGTAATTCCAATTCCACCCGTCCAATTACAGGGCAATGTAATCTCCGTATTTTGCTGGAAGTCCATGTTGGTGCTGGAATTCTGCTTTTGACGGTACTGGATTGTTTTGGTTTTTACCGTTGTGACGTTGCTGGCTTCCTTTGAAGTTTTCCCTTAGATTTTTGTTTTCTCCTAGTCTCTCTTTGTGTAAAGGTAGCGGGATTTTAATGGATCAGTTCTATGAATTTGCTTATTCAGTTGTACGGCGTGCAGCAAGATTCCTGAGAGCTCCGAATGGGGATCACGATCAGGATGGCGTTGACGGTGCGCTGACGCAGATCGATTACTTACTTGGGTAGGAAACAACTGGAAAAGAAACTTGTTTGCGGGATATTCTTGTTTTTTATAATTGTTCCTTTTAATAGATACACGCGAAACATTTGCGAAAATTATCCGGAGGATCAGACAGTGCAAGCGCAAGAGTTGTTTGATGTGTTGGTACACTGTGCTGACGATTTACGAGGCTTACTACAAGAAGACGAGGATGGAACCAGATCTGTTTTTGTTGTCAGTTTGGACACTAATTCGTACGGGAAAATATTGATCCCAGAGGATGATTTGGCCCATCTACGATTGGAAGGATTCACTGTTAACGATATTGCTGGGTTTTATGGAGTCTCGCCTAGGACAATTACTTACAGATTGGCAGCAGCTAACCTGAATCAAAAAGTAAGCCCGTTGGTTACTGTAGTGTATTTTGTACTCGTACAAATAGTGTACGAGTATCTCGTGAAATGGATAATGGCCTATGGCTAATGTGCCCCAGCAACGGTATTGTTGTTGTCCGTTATTGTTGCCATGTTTAGAGTTTAGTTGGTTGTTTGCTGCTGTCCCGAGCGGACATAATAAAAGATTATGCCGTTCGTTCAATACATGACAGTTATCAACTTATCATGGACAGCATTATCAGTTCTATTTCTTATCCTTAATTTGTTGAAATATATAAAGATATCAGACTCGTACAGCTTGCAGGCGTGGAGGTTATCATACGATGATTTGTACCTGAATTAAGATATGTCCTTCGATGGGCTCGCTGTGCAAAACTACACACTGCTGTATCTCTAATGCTGTATGATGATGATCCATTCGCGGTAAAAATATTTTTATGCTGCACTGTTCTGCTAGCGGTATTTTTTGCTGGTTTTATTGTGTTATTTTGAACAACAGTAAGTGTAAAAATTTTTAGATTTTTTGGACACTCGTACAGAATAGAACTGCACCGATTTATTGCAACGCTTAGTGACTAACAGATATAGCTGTATTTAGTCGTTAATAACTGAATTTGCTTGCTTTGAAGTTTGTAGACATTACGGATGATGATCTGGATTTGGTGATTGCGGATATTTTGAACTCATTCCCGAATGTCGGTTGTCGCTATGTTCATGGCCAGCTAAAAACGGGCGGACTGGTGGTGCAGCGTAGAAGGATTCTGGCTTCTTTGAAACGACTTGATCCGTACGGAGTTGCCAACCGTTTTTTAAATTTTGTACCGCGACGCGTGTATTCAAATGCTGGGCCGAACGCTTTGTGGCATATGGATGGAAACCATAAGTTGGTGCGATGGGGATTCGTAATTCATGGTATCATAGACGGATATTCGCGATCGGTTATTTCGCTTGTTGTGGCGACGAATAATCGCGCTAGCACGGTGCTGCAAGCATTCTTGGCTGGCGCTGAAGCATGGGGTGTGCCGTCGAGAGTGAGAAGCGATTGTGGTGGTGAGTGAGAAGTGTTAATGATACGTACAGTACCTATTTCTCTGCAATATTAGCGCACATTTCTTAACTGTAATTATTAATATATTTAAGGGTTTTTAAAATACTGTGCACTTCATTTGGGCAATATCGAGTACAGTTTTAAAGAGCAACGGATTTTCTTCGTTTAGCGGCGCTGAAATCTGAAAACTATGCAGCGGTCTTCCTACGAGTTTTATTTGTAACCGTAGCTGCTTCGTTTGTTTTTTTGAAGTTGCATAATTTGTTGTTAAAACGTTTGTCTTATTGTTCAATTTAGGGGAAAATTTTGGTGTAGCACGTTGGATGGAGCATTACATGGGAGAAAATCGCGCAAGTATCATTATGGGACCGTCGGTTCACAATCAGCGGATAGAACGGCTGTGGAGGGATTTAGGCCGCGTTGTGATTAAGCTGTTCCGATCAGTCTTTATACAAATGGAAAATTTGGGAATTTTGGACTTTACCAGCCCCCGCGATATGATGATTTTACATTTGGTTTATTTGAACAAGATCCAAGAAAAGCTTGAGCAGTTCAGTTCGCTCTTCAATAACCATAGGCTTACAACGGAAGGCGGGAAGTCGCCAAGACAGCTTTTTCTTCTAGGATGTCAGCAAAAAGGCCTGAAAGGATTCCCGCTGCACCACGTATTAAGCGAAGATAACCAGTTGCCGGATGCTGATGTAGATGAACCTCAAAACTTTCCGCAGTACATACGCAACCAAGTCGCCCATTCCAGAGATTCAGTGCCGGTCATGGATGTGGTCAGTAGCTTTCCTGATGAAGCTCATCTGATTCGGACTAGCATGGATGTTACAGTGGATGATGGAGTTTATGGGGTTAACATTTTTCGTGAAGCAAAGGAATTAATAGAGCATCAGTTTGGTTGAAGAAAGGCTGCTTCTTGTGTGTCTGCAAAGTGAGTCGACGTTATGAGTGCACGGTTGATACCGGTCATGAATGTATTCGTATATTAGGTAACGGTAACGGTAAATTGTTTAATGCGCATTAAAAATAAGCAAGCATTTCTCCTGCCAGCCTTGTTTTACGGTAGTTGTGGTTATGAGTACAGAAATTTGATATTGAGTTGCTTGTCTGACGTAATGCAGTATGCTTCTGTTTGGATTATGTGTGTCGGTTGTACAGGATTTCTGCATTATTTATGTTTTTCTCCTGAGTACTGTATTACACACATTTTCATGGTGAAGATATTGTTTTGTGGTACCGTATTATTAATGAGAACAACAGGCATTCGGGTATATTGATTTTCCCCTATTGCAGTTGAGCTTACGGAAAAGTCCATTTTAATAGCAGTAAACAATGGTTTACAATACAGTGAATGGCGGCTTGTGGACATGAAAATTACCGCCGATGGGGTGTGTTTTCTGGTTCCCATCAGTATACCGCCACCACTGCAAGGACCGCCATTGGCTTATTAGAGCTACTCCCATATCATTGGTCAATTCTGACCAAAGCTTGTGTAATGCCGTGATTGCCGCCTCTTGATTACGCGGTAAAATTAGTTGCTTGTGGCAAATTCCCTGATTTTTTAAATTTAGTGTTGAACAAGCTTCATTACTGAGTTTTTGTGGAATTATTTGACTTTTTTGTCGCGCGCACTGCGCATGTGGTTTCTCAATATGGGTGATCCAGTAGAATTCGTTTACAGATGCCAGAGCTGCGCCTGTCAGATTCCGTTACCCCAGGAAATGGATTTTTCATGGAGTGGTCCAGTAGGACGAAGCCTGTGCGGGAATCGGGGATGTGGCCACTATTATGGGATGCATGTTTTGGCTAACGGCACTGACATTATTAGAGCGGAAGTGGACCAGCGATCTGGGAACCCAGAAAAAGCGATTACCGGCAACGTGAGCAATGTCATATCGAGCAATGCTGGTCGTACTGGACAATCTGCCGTCAGTACCGTCAGAAATAGTGCAGAGCAAGTGCCTGGAGGAATCGGTGGGGCTGCAACGGGAAGTACAGTGCGCAGCTCTCTTCATAATATGAACACGGGATTCGGGATGCGCGGAACTATAGACCAGCCGAATATGATGCAGCAATATGGGCTACCCGGCAGTCAAGTCAGTATGGGATTAGCTGGTATTCCAAGATTCCCTGTCCGTGGGCAGAGTACATACGGGTTTCCATCAAGTTGCGGTTTTGGGACATCCAGCTTGGCTAACTCAACGCCCAGTGGTCGGTATCGTGGACGCGGTCATGGACAGGTAAAGCGTTTCCGGGGAGAAGGTTGGCGATCTTCAGCGCCTGCTACACCGACGGCGCCGCGTGCTGAAGAAGAGGATCCAGAAGTAGCGTGGATTCATATGTGGACGGTGTATTTGTTTCGATTTAACGATGATCACCCCATTCCACATGCGAGACAATCGTAAGTGTTGTTGTAAATTAATCATGTTGAAAATCTGTCATGATTATTGGTTTGTGATGCGTTTCAAACTGAACTAATGGATATTCAGTAATTTTATTCACAAATTTTATTTGCTGGTTTTGCTGCAGATCAGAATTTTAAATCTTAATTTAATGAATTAACGATGTGTATGTCTCATCGCTGCTTTCGCGCATATGCTGATTGTCACAATAATTGTAATTCAGGTGAAATTGTAATTCTTGTGCTTCAGCAGTGTATGGTGTTTTGATGGTGTTGTGACCTTTCGTATGCCCACATACTTAATTTTGCAGTGAGGGTGCAAACGAAATTGAGCTGATGCATTTGGCTGGATTAGTAAAAGATATTAATTTCGCGAAACTGCATCTCACTGGAGACTTCATCAATTCCAAAATCATGGCTGCGTTTAATCATTTTCTGGAAGGCCGGCCGTGGATTCTGCTCACCCGCATACCTGCAACTAATCAGACTAAGAACAAGCCGAAGTATAAGCCGGAAGGAAATAATGTTCACTCGTGGGATTTGCCGCTGTCCTCCGCTACTTGGTCACAATACCAACGGTATGTATAAAATGTTGTTTTAATAAACTTTCCGATAAATTTTAGTTTGATGTTCAGATACACTGAACAACTTCCACAAGAGACGCGGCGGCGCATGTATATCGCCATCAGGGAAGGGATGATAACAATTCCGTTTGAAATTGTGCAGCAGTTAGCAGATGTAAGTAAAGTGTACAAAATGGAGGTTTTAAGAAGCTGAAGTCTGAAATGCCGCATTTCGATTTTTTTGCTTTTTAGTCTAAAGGCATTTCTGTGGATGAGCTGGCGCTGCGTTATACTGAAGGTAATATTATGGCACATATCTCGAAATTATGAAACTTGCATCCCAAATGATTCTACTCGGTCAGATCAATTTTTATAATTCAGACGAGCAGTCTGCTATGATCTCCGGACCTAGTACATCCGGACCTAGCACATCCGGACCTAGTGCATCCGGACCTGCTATCACATCTGGACAGAGTACATCGGGGATAAGCCGCGGGACAGGTCGACCTCCACGAGTGTTCTTCAGTGACTCACCTTCTCCTTCTTCATCTCCGGCTCAACCTCGGCGTGCACCAGGTGGCTTTGGAGGTTCTTCTGGTGTGAGTACAGCGCATCGAAACGGAAGCTTGAGTGGAAAGCGAACAGTTCTGGATATCATAACAGTCGATGCCTCAGAAGGCGATAGTGGGGACGAGGCTGCAAATACCGGGCGAAATTTACCTAGGGTAATACGCATTCCTTCTGCAGTTTTCCTTCTCTAATTTTTTATAATGTTGTTCGTTTAAATTCCAGCTGAAAGTCAATATGGGTTCGGTAGCGTTACCTGAGCCAACCAACAGTCGCCTAACATTGCGGGACTTGAGAGAAGAACTTTGCTTTAGCGTTACCGGCGTTTTCCCTATGGACAAACCGGATAGCCCGGATAAGGAAATCTTTTTCGATTGGATCCGAGGTGAAAACGACAACGTTCAAAATTACATCGATTTTTATCTGGCTCGGGCGGACGCTTTGGCGCAGACTGGCAGGATGACCGTACGAATGGACGAGTATGTAAAAATAGTTGAAAACGTTATATTAAGCCGGACGTACTTCGTTGTATTGCATGTTGTATGCAGTTACTGTAAAGCACAGCATGGCACAGCATGTGTAGAGCAAGTGAGTTTTCGAACGCTTTAACGTAATAACAGCTTAAAGTCTATTACTGCTGCCAGGTTTCTGTTTTTGTAGTGCTTTTGATTGTAATGGACCGTACAAAGAATGTATTGCGCAGCTTCTGGCCGGATTTCGAAAATACAAGATTCCGAACTTGGGCATTGCTTTATTTGATGGGTATTCGAAAGATGAAGAGGATGATGAGGGATTTGTGCTCATTACCGCTGTCCCTATTTTTACGGAAGAAGGACACAATGCACTACGTGCATTTGGATTTTTGCTTCGCGAGGGCATCTTGCATGGATGCCCTTTCCCGGACTGGTTTAATTCCTCCGCGTTACGTTATCTTTTGAACCTTCCAATCCAGTTGAATGACATTTTCGTCTTCGCACCAACTATAGGAGATATCATCCAAGACATTTTGCGTGGCAGTGGTGAGATCTATTTGGAAGAAATGGAGAATTTTAGCATGTGGGCAGACAGTAACCCCGCGTTCCCGGTAAGTAAAAAATTTACTACATACCGAACGGCCTTTTCATCGCATATTGTTTAACTTATCTGCAGTGGTCTTCATTGGTTAAACTTGGTCGGGAAACGCTTTGCCGGTACATGGCTGTCTATGAGCTATGCACCAAACGTTCTGCAAATCTGAAGTTCCTGTATGAAGGATTAACGGCTGGGAAAATGGGCAAAGTATGTTTTTAAATTTTAACAAACATTTGCTTCTCACACACTCGGTTTATAGGAACTGTTACAAATGCGACCCGATTGGAAGCCTTTTGAAGAAGGCCTTTATGCCGGATCAGTGATTGAAGGCCGCGATATGTTAGAGCAGTTCAGACCACTGAATGAGGCAAATGCGACTGAAGAACAAGCGCAGATGGTTGCGTGGCTGGACGAGATCTGCGTTGAGGATCTGGACTGTCGTGAACGGAAGCAACTGCTTAGATTTATCACCGGATCTAACATCATACCTACTGTACCGAGAATTTCCATCGATTTTTTCGCTGAACGTGATGAAAACCGCCGGCCTACATCGCGAACATGTTCGAACATCTTGAAGTTGCCAACTGGAGTGCGTTCGAAAGAAAAACTTCTTGAACTGCTGAAGGACTGCATCGCCGCGGTCGACAACAAGATGTAGGGGTATTTCCAGTTCAAATAAAACAGCGAGGTAATAAGTTGATGCCTTAATTTTACACAGCTAGTTTCAGTAATTTTTTCGATAGCGTCAGCCGACAGAAGACGTATTACTTATAGCAGTTTATTTCTTGCAGAATTGTGGTGTGGAAGTAATCAGATATCGAGCGGATCGTTTTTACGACTAATGGACGGGCATTTACAGCTAACCGGACTTACCAATTTGATGAGCAAGTTACGCTTTCTTAAATTTTTTCCATTCCCATCGTAGTTGATATTTTTTAATGTCAATGATGTCTGCGCGTGAATGTAGAGTTCCTCAGTTTTTCAACGTTAGATGAGAACGGAAGTGCGCTTATGAATTTCGTTTTGCTGTGCGGCTATTACTGGCTAAATTAGAGCGAGCTGTACATGTGTTTGAATTTTTCTTTGATAGTTGAGTAATGCCGGGTAAGTTTATGCGAACTGTACTTGGATACATGTGTATGGACAAGGTCTAAATCGTAATAAATTGCAGTAATGAAATTTAGTATTATATTACGAAACTGACTTTCTGTGTGCCTTTTATTTCGTACAAAAAGAACAAAGTTTAGCAACCATGCCAAATGGTAGTACCCTGTATGTACATACATTAATCAGTCCAAAAAATGGCAGTTTGGACGTAGCATCGTTTTAACATTCTAGTCTGAAACGTAACCAATGCCGAGATCATAGCTAAATTAAGAAACTGAAAAAATCAACTTCGGCAAAAACAAAATTCCTTCCTTATTCCACAGAAAATGCTTAATAGCAGGCCACCTGATTAATCATGCACGTCTAATTTAGTGGTTGTCGACTTTACAGTTAAAAATGTCTCTCATCAATTCTGCTACCGCTTCCTTATACGGACCGCTGCAGTCGCCAGCACTACAATAAAATTTGAAAATTACTGAAAATGGTGTATCAAATCTGTAAAAACCGGAAGAAACCATTTAATTCGTCCAGTTGATGGGTCTCGATCAAGCTTAGTCACCTGCAGACAAGCCACATCTAAAAGTAAAGCAATGTTAACAAAGCTCCAGGAACCAAATCTTATTACGAAAAAGCGACAGTGCACTGCTTCATCCAGTACGAGTAGTCATTTACCACTGCTCCAATACCGAATATAACAAGTTATTCAATTTTAAAGAGTTCAACAACTTCTGCAATTTCAAACTATAAAATGTAATAAAATCAACATTTTTTTTTATTAGTAACTTATTACAAACTCGAAGCAAAAGGTAACCGAAACACCATGCCGCCCATAAACGAAACGGGACACCATTCGCAAAATTTCAAACACAGACATACGGTATGTACCTTTTGAATTTCCCTAATCCATCGATTGACCCCATTCTGCAGCTGATTCAGAACGTTCGGATCGTTTATCCACTGATCAAAATCCTGGACTGTCGCTTTGCGACCTTCTTCCGCGGTTTCCAGCTTAGCCAATTTTTTCTCCGCAGTATTAACAATTTTATCATTCTCTCTGCAAAACAATTCCACGGATAAGCCCAGCAGAAATGCTACCACTATCAGGTAAATGGCAGCCGAAATGCGTCAACTAACTTTCCACTGCCACTTTCGCTGCGGATAATAGATTTAAAAAATGGTGCCATAATGCCGGCAATAATTGCATGAAACACTTTGTGCGGTGATCATCTTTCGAGTCAAAACGATGAGCTGGGACGGAATGTCTTTGTTGACGTCGATAACTGCTCCTCGTTTCAATATTGCCACGCTACAAAAAAATGTGGCAATTACTAGTGCATGAATAATGTTGGAAATACAAAAGATCACAGCTTCTCAAAAAAGTTTTTTTTAAATTTTAGCGTTTATATTTACGACACCGTTACGTTGTAAACTTTCTAAGCACTAAAAAATTAAAAACAGATTCACCAGACTTCCTCAACAACCGCACAACGACAGTTGGAAAACATTAAAAGTAACATACCTGCCAACATTCTGCGCCTTGTAAGCGATTTCGGTGGAGATCGTATAAGACACTTCACCACCAGCGTCACTGGCGTCATTTTCCGGTTCTTCTTCTGTAAAACAGGACAGCAACTATTAATTTCCATAGCTTCTCCGCAGCACATATGCACATGTTCAACCAGCAGCTATGTACAATACATGCAGCACAGCGCTACATGACACTTACGCCACGTACGAGTAGTTTGTAGTTACTCAGTTGAAATCAGTTTGCCACTTCGAGACCTGTTTTTTTACCAGACGTTCGGCAGACGATCAATCTGCCTGAAGCTACCAGACAATCACAAAACACAACACATATCTGTACAACAAACTGAATAACAGGTTAATAATTTATGAATAATTATAAAATTCCGAAATCCACAAAAAATTCCTGCAAGCATTTTTTGTAAAATATAGAAAAAACGTGGTAATTTAATTTACTTACAGTAATGTAATGTAATTTAAATATAATTTATGTTCAAAAAAATTAATGCGTCTTATCCCAATACAAAGTACAAAGCGTCTATCACACAATGATGTCAAAAATCGGGATGTAGCAACAAGGTGCGCTTATATGCCAGAAAAACCCAAGAATTACAAATGAAAGGCCAGATTAACTGATCAAAAACACTGCTACGCACTTCGACTGCACGTGGAACCGCCACATCGTCATTCAATATCTATATATTGCATGCCCCATGAAACGCCTACCTTTTTTCTGGACATTCTGAACCAAAATCACTCGCACCATAGGATCAGTGATGCACTTCCTAACCGCCTCCTGGGATCCTCTGTCTTCAAACAGACCAGGAAACGACTGCGTGGAGGCGATTTGGCCTGAGCCCAAGATAAGAACCATCGTCTTTCTTCAAGAAGACCTCCATGTTGGCCGCGATATTCAGATCGTCCACTGCAGCAGTCGCGGTTGCCACCGCAGCGGGCGCGCCAGCCGCCATAACTCCTCCATCACCAGGGAGGATCCAATCGTATCAGTGGAGATACAGTACCAAGGTCACATATGCTTCCACTCCTGCAACAAATCAGCCAGTCTATTGCGTGTCACATCCTCCATTTCAAGCCACCCGAACCGTACTGTTAGAAGATAATCCACAATTACTAAACAACTTCCTGTTAGTTTCTAACCACTCTGATACCTGCTAAAGCAAGAAACCGCAAACTAATTAAATAAAAACTGTCATTTAAAAGCCATACCAGTCGTTTAATGGTATACCAGTGTAGCACCTTGATGAATAAACAATTTTGTCGGCCGTGAAAATGATTCATTGGATCAGCAAAACAAATCCATTGCAAATTTGCAGTATGTTTCGTCACGCGACGGACTTTTGAGTCTGGGGGACTCCCGACCAATAGACCGGCACGCCACGCGAGTCAGTCATTTCCGAGCAAGCTTCGTTTTTCGTGCTTTTCGGGTTTTTCTGATTACCAACGGCACGTCCCTGAATTTTCCATTTTCAGCAAAGTGTTAACGGATGTTCCAATTAATTAGATCTTTAAAACTTCTGAAACTCTGACAGACAAATGCGATCACACTAGTTTCGACTAGAGTAAGTAAGCCGTCAAAATGACGAAGCGTACAAGTTTTCAGGGCCAAAAGACACCGCTTCGTTAAGCTGAAACGTTCGTTAAGTTCGTTAAGTTCATTCGCTGAAACTGTCGCTATTTTTTTGAGATTTTTCTAATTTCTGACAGATTTTAAACAAATCTGTCCGTCATCTTCGCGCTTCGCGCGAAATTTGACTGTTTTCGCGCGCGAAACTAGCACACTAAACACAGCTGAATGGCAGACACAGATGACTCAACATTTTGGTGAGTCGAACGTGCTGAACGTAACCACACAGTCCGCACTCACTGTCAGATTTGCGTGGTGAGCTTCTAATATTTGTCAGTAACATTTGTTTGATAGTGAAAAACGTTTGTCAGTAAAAGACAAATGTTTGTCAACAAACATTTGTCTGATAGTGAAAAACATTTGTCTGGTAACGAAAGCATTTGTCAATGGCATTTGTTTGTTAGAAATTTGTTGATAAACATTTGTCAGATTTATATGTGTGTAACATTTGATTGAAAACTAAAAAACGTTTGTTCGTAAAACGTTTGCGCAATCGGTACGCCATAGCACTGAGTGCACAAGGCGGCGATCACGTTATTCACAATGAAAATGATGTTTATGTACCATTAATTTTCAAATCACCATTTCACTGTTTATACAGAGCCCTAACCATAAGTGAGAACTCATACGACTCATTATTCATCGACAATCAGAAGGTTCCGGATCGTTGAGCAAAACTTGTTTAACAGAGATACCAGCGCAAAGGATTCTTTTCCGTATTTGTGGCAGATACTTGCTGATCGTTAAATGGTCGTAGCGGTATCGCTTCCTTGCATCCCTTTTGACGCTGCTGGATATCCAGAAAATAATGGCGAGCTCCAGCGGTATGGACTACGAATTTCGCATTCAGACCGCCAGTGAGAGAGCCAAAGTGTCAGTGCACCATTGCTCGTGATCCTTGTTAAACGAATTTTACGCAATTTGTACGATTTACAGAGAAGATCTTTTTGATTACGAGGGATGCAAAGTGGGACGAGGAACCTATGGCCATGTATACAAAGCCAAACGGAAAGATATGTATGCAAGAGCAAGTGTAACAGATGTTCTCGCCTTTTCCAGACATATTGTAGGTTTTCCAAAATATTTCTGTGCATACAACGTGCAACAAGTGAAACATATTTTACATGTACCTTGCATTCCAGCCTATTAAGAGTTTGCTGTGGTAATTCAGGTTGAAGCGGTTACCGGATTCGGAACAGAATCGGGCTATGCTTTACACTTATTTCTGTTACTGTACTACAGAGCGGACGATCGGGAATATGCGCTGAAACTAATCGAAGGAACAGGCATCTCCATGTCTGCCTGTCGCGAAATCGCCGTATGTTTGTCATTTCAGTAAGCGAATTCAATATAGTTTGATTTGATCATTTTCATTACTTGTTTCAGCTTCTCCGGGAATTGCGCCATCCAAATGTGATTAATCTACAAAAGGTCTTTCTTTCGCTGAACGATCGCAAAGTATGGTTGCTGTTCGATTATGCGGAACACGATTTATGGGTAAGGGGGCTTGACGAGTGTATTAGGAAAACTTTTTTATTTTCTCGTGTTGATTAATAATTGGATACAAGTTCGTAATAGGTATGTTGTGGGGGTGAATTTTGCAAACGTGCTTTCCCTTATCGTGTTTCATGTTTAGCTTATCGTGGACGTAATAGCTTATCATTTATGTCATATGTTTCATGTTTACCAAAATAGTTCACTAAGCGACAACCGGTTGAAGTTTTTGCTTTTCAGCATATTATAAAATTTCACCGATCGGCCAAGGCATCAAAGAAGACTGTCAATAGCCCTAAAAGCATGGTGAAGAGTCTGCTTTACCAAATCCTTGATGGCATCCATTATCTGCATCAAAACTGGGTTTTGCATCGGGATTTGGTAAGTTGCGGAATACCGGTATTTTATCAGGATGTGGATGTTAATATTGATTTCAGAAACCGGCTAATATTCTGGTGATGGGAGAAGGACCAGAACGCGGACGTGTAAAAATCGGTAAATTTTCCAGTTTCTTTTACTTTGTTAGTTTTTACGTAATTTTTACAAATATTTTGAACTGTACACTGTTTGTAGCTGATATGGGATTCGCTCGATTATTTAACTGCCCGCTGAAGCCACTGGCCGACTTGGATCCTGTGGTTGTGACGTTCTGGTATCGCGCTCCGGAACTGCTGCTAGGAGCGCGGCATTATACGAAAGCCATAGGTAACTGGTTGCACAGGTTCATTTTTTCCACGGTGAATTGGCAGAATTTGTAAATATTATTACTGCGTAATGCAGATATTTGGGCTATTGGATGCATTTTTGCGGAGCTGTTAACAAGTGAACCGATCTTTCATTGCCGCCAGGAAGATATTAAAACTAGCAACCCATATCATCACGATCAGTTGGATAGAATTTTTAATGTGATGGGCTTTCCTCATGAAAAGGATTGGGAAGATATTCGAAAAATGCCAGAACACCCGAAACTGATGACGGATTTTAAGAGAGCCACGTACGTATATAGTTTCGAGAGTTGCTGTTTGATGAAGTGCCACTGACGGCGACTTCGTTTTGACGTTAGGTATGCGACCTGTTCTTTGACGAAATACATGGACAAACATAAAATCAAGTCTGACTCCAGAGCATTTCATTTGGTGAGAACTGTTTTGGTTTTATCGATTTTGTGCCAGTAATTTATGGTTTATTATCATAGTTGTCAAAACTATTGTTAATGGACCCCGGAAAGAGGATAACATCGGAAAACTCTATGCTTGATCCATACTTCCAGGAAGATCCTCTGCCAACAATCGAGTTAGCACAGCAGTCCGCACTCAGGATTGGTTTACGTACTACAACAGACATTTGACTCGTTACTCGCTAATCTGGTGGGTCTTTACAGTGTCTTTGCTGGTTCTCCCATTCCATATCCGAAGAGAGATTTCATTTCGGACGAGGAACAGGAAGGTGCTAAAGAAGAAACGAGCAAGGTGGGAAAGTCAACTGTGAAAATGCTGGAGGATAAATAGACATTTTCAGATGGAAGTCTCAGCTCCGGTAGATGCACAGCAGCCGAATAACGAGCAAATTAGTGCAATACATTTACAAGCTCATCATCCGGCTGCCAAGAAGCCGCGACTAACTACAATGCAGCATGGAAACCTGCATGATATTCAGGTAAGCATATTCAGACTAGTCTGGTAGCGTTTTGTAGTGGAAATGACGAATTAAAAATTTTCTGTCCGAAAAATAAATTTTTAGCAAAATTGCTGTGAACTCTCCGGCTGGTGAAATAGACTCTTACTGACGTTGGAACCATTCTGCATAGTTTGTGGGTGTATTGTTTTTGAAACTATTTTATTACCGTTTGTTGTGTGCGTTTGCAGCGTCAGGGAAACCATGGTCATCAGTTGTTGCTGGAATCTCAATCGAATCCTCAGATGACTTCGTCCACTTTCGGCCAGATGGGAATGTCTAATCAGACTCACAACATGTCGGGAATGTATAATCAGCAACAACGCTTTTAGCTTTATTAGTCAAGTACGCTTAGCTAGCTTTCTGATGATTCATCTGTGATGCTTTTTCTTTCAAACTGTGACGAGTGCAAGATTTGCTTAAGTGCTTTCATTGCTAGACATTCAGGTGATACTGTTGATGATTTTCGGCTAAGGAAACACATTACGAGTCGCATTGTTTAGATTTACACTGATTTAAACTTTGTGATAAACTTCAGAACATAAATAAAATATGAAAGTAAACAGTCCTTAAATTGTTAAGGACAAAACAGTTGGCGAAGGCACACTCAGTTGGCTGTTGCTACTGGCAAGAGATTTGTTCACATTGCCGTTTGCTGGTGAGTTTTCGTCGCGAACGGTTTCCTTATCGATCACAAATGCATCCAAGTCAACCTTGAGATCAGGCGGGCAAAGGTAGTCCTGCGCATCCATTTCTAATTTTCCACGCCTTCGGTGTAAACTGAAGCCACGTCTTGTTGGCTAAATAAAAAAATTTGTTGAAGCGTTTTGCTTAGCGAAATTGTTCTACTTGTTTTGCTTAGCGAAATACTTTAAGGGGTGTAATCAAATACCGGTGAAAGTTTAGGTTTTTGCCTACCTTTAGTTTTAGGTGAGGCGAAAGGGGAGCGTAGCCGGAAGCCGCGCTGGCCGACCGTTTGTGTCTCATAATCTGATTCCCAACCAATTCGGTAAAACTTTTATTCAAGTGGCGCCTTAACAATGTTTTGCTGGGCGGTATTGACAGCAGTTCAGCCAGAATATCCGCATTGAAACGATCTTCGAGAATCTGTGGCGAAGGATAACAGCCATTATTAAGCTTACCAGTTAATATCATTATATCGCAAGTCGGAATTCAGTGCGCTCTACTGTACCATCAAAGCACCATGGACTCCAGAACCGCGCCTAAATAAAACAGTTCCCTTTTCACTCACTTCAAATTTTTGACCTTTGTTTAGTCAACGTCAAATACGACAGTAGAAAAATCTGAACATCATTAACAGTTTAACACCCTTCAAAACTTACAAATTCGGGCCGTACTCTGACAAGTCTAACGCGCGAAGCCATTCCATAACACGATGATTACTCCAATATATCACACAGTCTGGACTTTCATTCGGGATCTATGAAAAAGTAATTACGTCAAAAAAAACAATTTTTAAACCACGTAACTCGGGTTCCGGATGTTATTCTCTGTTGTAAGTGGTAAAGAAGTTATGGTTCCAGCATGTCCTTTAACAAAGCGAGATTCTCTTACATCAGGTTTGAAAGGTCGCCTCCTTATTAAGGCCGGGTTGAAACCACAATGACGCAGTATTTGAATTCCACGCTTTAGGGATGCATGGTGAAGCGCATTGGTAATTTTCAGTAAAAACAGATCGTCCTGCATAAAAAGTCATGTTTGTTTAGTGTATGTAACAAACAATGCACGAAATCACAATTCTGTACCGTTGTCAAGTAGTTAAGAACCCTTCCGTCAACGCGAGCCTCAGCAAACACATCCTAAAAAGTAGTTTTAAATAATTATCACTTTAATAAAAACCTAGTGTTTTGATTCTAAACATTCACTGTGGAATACAATATCGTAGAATCTGCCGCGACATTTTTTTTTTGTTTTACTAGCTATGTTACCGGTGATTACTAGTACACTACTATAGCAGTGTGGCATATCGGAGAGAAGGGAATTAATGCCGAGCTTTTTCGAACATCCGTACTTTGTACTGCGGCAATCCTACATCGTCCAGCCATCTCAGTACCCATAAATAATCAAGCTTGTTCAAGGGGCTGGTATCGTTTTCTTCCAGAGCTTTGATTGCCAGAATCAGCTTTTTTTTGTACAATGGATGATACAACCCGAGCATCTACAACGCAATTAAATTTTGTTATTAATTTTCGATTCAACCGTCCATTCGCCTTAAATGATAGTGAAACCAGTAAATTATGATGCGTTAGGGTAACATACCTTTTCCAGCTGGACGGGGTTTGTTTTCAGCAGATCCTCACCATTTGTAATCCATGCTTTCCCAGCGTGTGTCAAAGGCAGCTGTACTTCTTCTTCCAACCACTGCACTAACTGTTCATGACTCCACTGAGAAAGTGGAACGCTTGCATCCCTAAATTCAAGGAAGAAAATGTACACTTACTGCGCTAAAAGTTTATAATAAAATAAATCGTAATCCGTGCTGCAATGCGGACTGCTGATATTGACCTTTGACATTTACGCAACACATAATCCACCTACCATTTTTTCGGGGCATTATTCATTGTTCGCTGTAGACGCGGACCGGCAGTGGCGCGTATGCCGCCCCGTTTAAACGTTTGCGGGGAAGGTTGTTCTTCGTTTAAAGCAGAAGAGCTACCCCTCGTAAACCTAATAGATAGCAAAAATTAATGAAAACGTACTGTATCGAAATTTTTCATAAAAGATGGATTCGGAATAGAAAGCCGGTTCTCAAATTAAGATTTGCATGCATTAAGCGCTAATTCAAATCATTATGGTCAACTGGGTTTTTCAAAAGACGTAAGAACCATTTTATTGGATTCGGTTGGATCATTTTTACTTTTCAAAAAATCTCCGCAGGGTGCCTTGTTTCCTTTCATCTGAGGATCCGCTCTTTGGTGTCGAGCACCTTAACCGGTCAGATTCACTGCCTAGATAAATATGGATAACCATGCAGATAAATTTCTCGAGTCCTTCAAAAATAAACCAAGTAGCAAATAAACCAAGTTGCCCATAAAATATATACGAACCGAATTACAAATACGACATCTTATTCTCATACCACCGTAGATGTAGTACGAATCTTCGGTAAATCGGTAACGTTAACTAAAAGATTACGTATGTATTTTATCTTGAGCATGATGAATATAAAAAATTAGCACGTAAAGCAGACATAAAAAGCAAGATGAAGAAAAGAACCCGAGTTCAAAGCCCAAAGCAAACAATATGAACTGTGAACAATAAAAAACAGAAAAGCGAAGAGCGAACTGAAATAAGCAAGCCCACCACCTACGCACCGACACGTCCAAGATTGGGCACACTGTTGCTGCGATTGATCTCCTGAATATAATCGCGCAACGCAATATTAGCATTGCTGTTGCTGCTACTGCGATTGCGGAGAAAATTCCAGGAAGAAGAAGCAGAGATAAGAGAGAGTTTTTCTCCAAAGCTTTTCGAAGGCGACACAGGCGACACGCGAAAGGAGCCGGACGAAAGCTTGTGCCGGTCGGAACGCCAGTGCCGGGCATCGGTGCTGCGCGACCGCGTTGTACTACTCAACCTACTGGAGGATTCGCGTCGGCGTGACCCCGTGTTGGTGGCACTGCTGATTCCGTTTCCCTCGGAGGCGGGCAAGGAGTCCGCGTATTTCTGTTATGATGAAAGATATTATGGCAAAGCAGTGCACTTTCGAAAGGCTGTTTTGTCAATTTGTACCGTTAGACTATCGTCCGATCCGACAGAGATGCTGTGCGCTAAGTTAGCGTGGGCCAATGCCGCAGAATTGTGACGTCGGTTAGGAATCGTTGTTGATGGATAGAGACGAGATGTATGGGGCGGTTTTCCGCCGTCGCGTGACTGAAAATGCACACATAATTTTCGGCAACCATCCAATTTCTTAAAATTAATATTAATCCAATTTCAAATACAATAAGTATGGGTAAAGCGGACAGCCTGACTCGGAGTTCTTAATGCGCAAATGGCGCTCTTAATTTAGTCGATCACTAATTGATTTTCGCTTGATTATTTGAAAGGAAAAGGAATGCCGAAAACAATGGCTAAATTTGTTATATCATAATCTTTCAGCAAGGGCACGGATCCAATGAAAAAACTCTAACTTTTACGTAATTTATTTGTTTACATACAAATTGCAACCGACAAGTTAAACAAGACCTTTAGCATTCAGCCACTTGATGCTCGTGTGTGCTGGACCGGTTATAAGTAGTTGCGCATGCGTCAACACCACGAACCAGTCGGCAACACAACGGTTTTGCAAAAGACAATAAACAAATGCGCAGGAGGGATTTTATATACACAGAGGAAGCAAGAGGTGCTTATGCCTAAGAAAAACCCACTCGCTTCTGAATTTACTGCTACAATACACTGTCAGCTAACAGAATGCATAATATGACCATCTGGTTGTCCATATAAAATGTATAAAATTATAAGCAATACGAGTATGCAAAATTTTAACTGCATGATAACTGAGGGCGGTGGCATCGTTTACAAAAAACAGAGGTAATCAAATTTCAGATTACCAAATCCCATTGCTTACGAACTCAGTATATACAATAAATAATAATATACTTTGTGAGCATTTCGGTTTATGCCTTTACGGCTGCGGACACACATGCGAAATGATACACGCACTTGTTGCAAGTATGATTCGATCATGTATTACGCTGTGCTTTATGTGCAGCTTTTTTCTTACATCGACTGGATTAGAGCTGTTGGCAGTAAACCCATTTCCATTCGTTACGACGGCTGACCTATCTGTCGGCAGACAAAACTTCGAGTCAGAAAATTCGCCTGGCTGAAGTAATTTTTTCGAAAAAGGTAGCGAGCGTACCATTATAATTATTTTGGCGGTGCAGTAAGCTTTCCAATTGTCGAATTTTTCTGTCCTAAAAAAACGAATCCGTATGAAATGGAAATGCTGATTTAAATATCGCCGCAAATACTGATGCAACAACACAATTACGCTACTGCCAAGTGTCAACCCAGCCTGCTTAATCAATAAAATCAGTTAATTATTCATACTTTTTCATCCAGCTTTTCCGATAACAATTGCACAGTTTTTTCTAAAGTGTCCTGTGTGATATCTGTAAAGCGATCAAATCACTATGATTAGTAAAAGCTTAATAAGAGCAATATTTGGGTGATTACAACTACATATTTCCATTTATTTTCTGTATATATTGGTAGAATTTTTCGGTTATACCGTGTGCATGCGCAGCCGTGTTTACGGATCCTGATTTAACTGGCCCATTAAGCCGATCACAATCCGATCCATTCTGCACCAAGTGTGTTTCCTGTGGGTAATTGAGAGCACATCAAATCTTTTCGGTACACACATGTGTCGGCGGGCGTCGGTGCCCGCTGCCGCTATCAGGATCATATCCATCAAGTCAATATATAACACACTGTTGCGCTGTGCTGCGAGCAACATCCTCAAAAATAACTTGGCCACTTTAAACGGATACCTTGATATGCGGTGATCTACTTTCCAGCGCCAGCATTTCCTTTTCGGCTGCCAATTTTTTTGCCCGCATATCTTTCACTTCGCCATACAGGTCCACTTTACGACTTTCCAGTGCCGATCGAGAGAGTGATTCCTGAATGAAAAAAGATAGGTCAACAACTGGCACGAAAGCGTCAAAAACTAAAAAAAATCATCTCTGAGTAAAGAACTTTGGAAGAAATTTGTTAACAGTAAAAATGTTTATCCCGGCCATTCCGAGTGGTACATCTCAACAGCACAACAGAATTACCTGCCACTTTGCAGCAGTCTTATGCATTTACGACAACGTGCGTGGACAATGCAGAACTCATGGTTTCGTTTCACATTATGATTAGTGGAGTACTGAAGTACGCCGTTATCATTATCGCACCGGCACTTCTCTTATTGCATAAAGCAAATAATGAAACGTCTTTCAAGTATCTCGGAATGCAGATCATTCACAAGTATTATCACGTAATTCATGTACTTTAAAACTTAACACTAGTACTAACGTAGAATTTCACATATAGTCAGAAAGTCAGTTGGGAGAGGAGTCTCTAAATTAGTTGTCAAAAGTTCCGATACAGTAAAAGTTTTTATACGATCGAACATACAAGCTCTGAAGTGAAATGACGAATCATCTGGAGAATTATTCGTATAGTTGCGCATAAAGATACGTATAACTGCAATACGTATTGATACTGTATTTCTGAAGCCACTATTATATTTATCGTTTCTACCATAGTCGTAATTCCGAAATTCGTCTGCATTAAATCAGATCCAAGTGTTAAAAAAAGCTAGCAAACAAAAAAATTTTACGAAATTTTACTTGTTTACCTCACGTAACAGCGCTTCAGTATTTTCCAGTTGGCAGCTTTTATCGATGAGAAGATTCTGGAGTTGCCGAATTTTGTCCGACTGCGTAGTCATCCGTTCGCTAACGATTTGCAACTGCCTTTGAAGACTATTTCGCTCAGCTTCAAGACGTTTAACGGCATCGCTCAAATGGTCGTTCCCTCCATTAATGCTCTGCAAAACCATATGCCACATACTTTTTAATCACGACTCGGAATCCACGCTGATGCAGATAAGGATTCTCCGCTACACTGTATTTAAGGACAAACATGGATAGTTAACTTCCACTACACTGCGCACACATACTGCATGGCGATGCTCCGGAGTTTTGATAACCAAACGGCGTAACAGCGAATTTATTACCCCTGCACTTCGTCACTGTTTACAAGCCGATAAGCGGACAACCGAAATGGCAGTCGGCTGCACTTAACACTTCACCCAGAAATGCTTGCAGATATGAATTATTCAGAATTTTGAATAAGTCATATACCTGCAGTGCGACGGCACTGACAATAAGGCTACTGACAAAACACAATACTACACGAAAGTACAATCTACGAACCAGTTCGTCATAATTTTCCCAGCTATGACCACACCCTGAGAAAGCTCGGTTGTACGCTGATTGTGAGCTGTGAGCGGCAGTATTTAGGCACGAGCATGAATAATTATCGAAATAACCGCTGTCGTAATTGCCGCCATAAATGGCCGGATCGGACGATAATCCGTTGCTGCACTGCTCAGAAGGAAAATGCAGTGAGGAAGGTCGTGATCGTCGTCCCTGATTGTCGCGAACAAATGTGCGGCTGCCATCCGGAAAGGCTTTGCGCAGCCGCGGTAAACTATTGGTGCCGTTCGACGACACATCGTGGCGAAGCGGAACCGGACGCCACACTTGGCGTCGGGATGAGAGTACCGGTGAAAAATTCGGTAGAACAAATTCATCCCCATAATTCGTTCCCATCATCGCATGCACATGCTGCTCGGTTGCACTATCCTTGTTGAGGGAATTTTTTGATAGTGATGGTTTCGACGGGTGAGTAACCGGACTTTCTAACTGCACACTTTCCGGATGCATTTTCCCTTCTTATGAGAGAAAAACAACAGAAACTGTCGGAACAATATTTTCTTTTCACAAACATGTGCAACGGACATAAAAGATGGCGTTATGCTTGAGCATCTCCGCTCGTGAAAGAAAAACTGACTTGTGCTAACGACCGCATAATGGAACAAACTCGTGCGTAAAAGCGCACATACGCGATAACTATCTGCAGAATCAAATTGAGCTCGCTAATGAGCACACTAGCTGTTGATCCTTTCGATTCGGCAAAAACTTCCGGCTCAAAATAACTCTCCCGGCCAGAGTAGCAGCGGAAGGAAACCCGATCATTTCCAACCCATCATGATGTCGGCATCTCTGTGTGAATTCCGGGGCGTTAACAGGCGAAAACATAAAAAGCGCTAGTCCATCTGCTTGGGATGATATTTGTGCCGGCCAAAATGGATGAATGTTTTGACTTGTATTCCGCGTACTCAGCCGTAACGCGAGCGCACATTGTCAAAATCATGTCACAGAACATTTTGACACCATGGTTTCCTCATATTTAAAGGGATGTCAGTTACGTAATTTGGCCCCGGAAAGTTTCCTTTGGTTCTTTTGATCAACTTTAGTTTGAGATTAACCGCAGATGTTAATGTCTTTGCAAAAGACGGATTATTCGTAGCTTTCGGTTTCCATGTGCTGTGACAGTGGGCGGCGGTCAAATTTTTGCCTATATATATACGTATTTTGGCGAGATGCCTTTGACGACAAAAAATTTCCCTTTACGGCATTTTTACTGTACAAACTGTTACCTAAATACTTAAAATTTATACCAATACTCGTAGTCAATAGCGGTTAACACGTTAATTTTTCCTCTCAGAAACTCAGAATCGCTAAAAGCATTCTACCATGCTGTAATTAGTAATAAATTACTGATACCGCAGAATTTCTGTAGTTGAGTATTGGGTCTCGGCCGAAACTTACACGATTTCGGGATTTTATGTCGTCGGCCTCCAGTAGCCAATTTCTGAGAACCCGCCGCGTATCCTTGGTTAAACTTTTGGCCTCATTCCGGCCGTCATTGCAGGCCAGTTGGATCTGAATTTTCAGTTCATCTGCCAATTGTAGAATGACTGACGCTTGTGCGGGAGCAACACGATAGCTATTTATCTTGGGAACGCTCTTGGAGAGTGCTGTCGCTTCCAATTGGCCGGCGAATTTTGATATGTTGCCCGGCACGGAGCCATTCATGCCCACCAGCCGACCGTTTGTTCCGCTGAGAACCTCTAATGACTGGGACAGCTTATCCAGAGATAAGCCGGCAGTGGACAGCTGATCGCAGGATGCCGGCGTGTGTCCATTGTGGACTGCGCGTGCTGGCGTGGATTCCGGCATATTATCCAAACATAATTTGGACTCTGTAACAGGATTATTTACAAACATCACTGAACAGTAGTGGGGGTCCTGTGCTTCATTAATAATATTAATATGAGAATTTAAGTGATTACTGCGACTGTCGTCTAATTACACAAGGTTCAGTGCCTGAATATTTGAGCCGAACTGTGAATTATATGTAAGTAAATCCGTACATCGTGTGCTTACAGGTCATCAACAGCGATTGTCAGGGTCACTAACATGCATGTAAATAATGTGATGACAAAACATTGATGATTCGGTAACTTCATTTTAACGTTGTTGATTATGGTTTTGAAAGTGGTTATTTGATTATTTAACGTAAAATTCCTTTTGAAGAAGAAAGTTTATGGATTACACAAGACGTTTCAATTACGGCCTGCATCGTCACTATAATTATTTTGTGCAGCTAGTTTGGTACGAGTAGTTTGGTTTGTGATGGATGATAAAAAACTCGTATAATCCTTCACTGCAAAATTCACAAGATTAAAAACGGAAAATCCAGTGTGCGATTTACTGCTTAAAGTGCTTTTCGAAATTTTATACTGGTTTATTTTTATTACGCGACATTGCTAGTTGCGCAAGTTTTTTAAGAAAATCCCGTTTTAACACTGGTGAGTTTGGTCCCATAATTTATGCTATCACCAAGGCTATCCTACTTATATGTACAAGTACCTCGCTTTCACTAACGGTTGTCAACTAGTCGTAAGTAAAATTTACCGGCAATAATTGCATCCATTTCTTGCAGCGCAGCAAGAAGTACGTTGTTGGAATATTTCCCTGACTCCGCCAACTCAGAGTTTCCGTTTATGTGGGAAGTAGGCATTTTCGCAGATGTCAGTGGTCACTTATCAGAGTATCGGTTGTTTGGATGCCGGCAAGAGCGTGAAAGCTAACAACTGGAGTCGCATATGTGTGGCATCTGCAAACAAAAAAAACAACATTTACAATCAGCGAAAGTGCTACTGCAGAAGAGCAAACTATTGTAAAAATGGTACGTAAATCCGACTGAGGCAAGAGTTGTTTATGAAGTTCTGGAAAATAAACAATTCGACACAAAAATTTTCTGATTAAATGCCCGGTGTCCATGTTTAAAAACAACGATACCCATATCGCAGTTTTATAATGGAGAAATGTGGTTTCATCACCGGAAGTTATGCATTATCAACGTGTAAACTTCTCATTACCAAAAAAGTAAAAACGCAGAAGTATTTGCTGATTTGCTGCAAGCCTGCAACACTCTTGGGCATCGAAACACTTGTTTCATCAACACAGCAACCGGCATCGGTTTTCGCTGACGTACCATTGTTAAGTACGAGTATAAGATGGTCTATGTTGAGCATAGTTTGTTTTCTTCAAGTGTTAAATAATCCTAATAGGGGTAACAGTGTTAAGCATGGCTACGGATTCTGATTGCTAAGAGAAGTGTCAATGGTCTCCGTCAAAGTTCTGTCTGCATCAATCAAACCTAACTGCTATTCTTTGACAGAAACAACAGGGGCATGTGGTGCGAATGTTTTATGGATTGTTTCAGCTATTTCTTTTATTTGTCAACAAAACAGTAGCTTAACACTTAAGACAAGAAAATTATTGTCATAACCTTGAAATAAGTTTTCACTCTCTGTACTTTATGTATGTCAGTGGCATTGTTTAGTTGGTTGCATATAGTTTAAAGAGAATTCTCAAACTAATAATACAAATGCAAGACAAACGAATAGAAACACTCGACACCGCTACTAGAGACGTTGTTACATATTATGACAACTTCGTGCAATTTCGAACCTCAACCACAAAAGTAAGGTAAGATATTGTAAATTGTACTGTAAGTTAAAGCATTATCGAATGTTTATGAAAAATAAAAAAGCACACCTTTATTATGGGACATTAAATTAAAAAAAAATGCAGGAGTTGAATTTCTGGTTGCAAAAACAGGCGAGAATGTACAGTAGTCACTAGTCAGCCTTCACTGGATAGAATATTTTTCAGGTTGGTGAGATCGGCCTGCTGGGTTTTACCACGAAAAAAAATTAAAAAATTTAGGTTTAAATTGGCTTTCAATTTTACCGAAGAAAACTTGCTTATTATATGCGCCATGCATTTAATAATATATCGCTACACCGCGAATCATCGATCTGTCATACCGGCAGCCACAATTTCTTGCAAAAATTATATTTATAAGGTATGCTTACGTAGGCTTGACTTCGCAAATTAAAATATTCCACATAACTTCCACCTGTATGTGCAATGCTGCAGAGCCAAAGAGTAAGTAAAGAAATCCACTCGTTGTATGTCGTGGCGGTTTGGCCCAAAACTTATAAAAAATACGAAATATCCTGCATTACTGTAACGCCTTGGCTCAAGTAAAAAAATTGCACCAACAGAAAACGAGCGTTCAGAAAAGTAAAACTGCAGACGAATATCTAGCTGGACCTATTCTAAAATTTTGTTCTAGAAGCCCTGCAATAATCTATGTGAAATTTGCGCCGCTCTACCGAAAGAACGAAATCAGTTGTCTATGACCGTGAATTTTTTGAAGAAGTTCCATTGGTTAATAGGGACATCGAACAACTTCTAAAATTACTCAATGACCTTGTTGACTGAAGACAGAATAACATAAGGATCTGTCCTACATTTATTGGAACTACATATGTGCGAAAGCAGTGTAATAATTTTTCAGCACGTGTAAACCAGGAAAAACTATACGAGAAATTTGTATTTCAAGAATGGCCAGTAAACCATATAATATTTGGTAGTTCTTCTATCTGTACATTACATTTTTAACCCAACCTAGCAATTAGGCACAGCTGCTCTCGATTGTACGATCAGCGTCAGTATTTGCAACCTATTATCCTAATCGTAAATTTTGTTGCAAGATAAAGCAATTTATTAACCACTTACATATATGCTGTATTACTTGCTAATCGGAAAATGATCATCCATGTATCAACCTTCAACAGTGAAAACCGATACGGTGGCGTAAAAGCTTGCTGAATATGTCCAAGTTAATTAATTGGTCCGCCGGAAACGATACAATCCGAATCACACCAACAAAATGACTTTCGAATCTCAATAATTTTTTCATGCATGTGTAATCCAAAGTTTCTTCGCATACATTTGGCGATTTTCTTATGAATGCAAACTGTCGAAATTGTTTGCGCGCTCCATCACGATCGCATACGAGCAGTCCCAAGTATTTAAACCTGTCACAGCGGTCAAGGATCTATTTGATGCTCGGAATCGACGCTCAAACATTTCAAATCACGTTAGTAGCTGCCATCACGAAGAAAACATTCGGATTGTATGTAAACCTACGTATAAACGGCAGTTGTAAGGTATTTCAAACACAGATGGTCCATTTTCAGTTTGTATACTTAAGAACGGGGTCCTTCAAACTGTACACCGGCAGCTTAAATAAACTGACCCACCATATGCATGAACTGGGACGCTTAGCGTTTAAATCCAGGAAAATTCAGTTACGCTATTGCACAGGAAAATGTCAACAAAAAGCAATGATAATAAAACCATGGCATGCAGAAACGAAGAGCGTCTTCCATCAGATTTGAAGATATTTACAATAGGTAGCACGGCCATTTCGCATTCTGTCAACATATAAATTTTACTCTGCCAGACCAGTCATGGGTGTAGGTTTCCCAGATGCAGCGCACATATACGTACTACACTGCGATGTGGTCAAACGGCCCTGAATCTGCCGAATCTGCCGCAGGCGGTTACCGTCTTCTACGTCGCATATTATTGTTGTCATGCCTGTCTGTCACAGAATTACAGATCACTGCTGCATGGTCTCTGCATTTGCGTACATATTCTGTATGCATTTCATTTATATGTCCCAGTATTGAGACAGTAGCGTGTATCTGTAGACTGTAGTGCATACATACATATCTACCGCAGATGAAGTCCGGTTGATTCAGGCTACTTTTCCGAGACTGACGATCAGAGCGAACTCTTTCTTGTCTGATCAAATTAAATGGCAAGTAGCTGTCGTTTCCGTGTTTTTCGCGCCATCTGCCGGGATAAGCATCTCCATTTCCGCCACGCTAATGGATTTGACCGCTGGTCAGTTTCCTTACAGAAATCACTTAGTCGCCGGTTATGGCACTTGAGCTCATGATGGATATGGCAGACGGTTAATAAGCCCCACCGGATATGAAATGCCCGGGGAAGACAGATTGACCGTACGTACACCCTTATAACGAAATTATATGTACTCTGAGTTTAAAGGCGTATTGTTTTGTATTAAAATACATATAGATACTGTACTTATATCCTTGTAGTTCTACGGTTCTATGTAAGTATGATCTCACGTAATGCAAATTGCAAAACTGTTTTTTTAGTAAAAAGCATGCAATAAATAAGTAATTTTATTACAATTAGTGTAGGACGAAATGGTCGCGGTTGAGGAGCACAAGCTATGGCAACCTATACGTATCAATTTACGTATGCACTTACTCTTCAGCGCTTTACTATCCGAGCTTCCAGTACGTAATCAAACCCAAGATGGAATTGTAGTTTGTTAGTATTTCTGTATTTCGCCAACTGCGCTCCCTCGAAGTCGATTACTCAAATCCCACCTAATTATTAAGGCTGTACAAAATAATTAATTACCAAAATTTTAAAGCCTATGAGACAAAGAGACTGGAGAGCAAAGCAACCAGGTTCTTCATAATTTACTCTACACGTATACACAAATGGGCGAATAGCAGCCATATATAACGGCTACAAACCGTACGAGCACCAACGAAGATACTAGTACCGTATCAGTAATACCACATGAATACTCAAAAACAGCACGGTAACACCAGCTGAACGTTAACCGATAAAACGATGAAATTTCTCGGACCTCCAGTTCTTCCACCTGAACCGGCCAGGCCAAGAGTGAAAGCAAGCAGTAATATCAGTTACCATAATAACTTCCATTAAATGGAAAACTAACAAGGTAACAAAACTGTACAAATATTACAAAAGGTAGCCCGACAAGTCTGCCAAAACATAATAAAACATAAAACTACCAACCATTCAAGTAAATATCTTGACTATACCGGCACTACAGTTGCTGGTATAAGTTCGATCTTGTCCGCAGTCATTATCGTTGTCTCGGATTTGTCTCCTTTATCGCTTTTCTTTTTTGAATGCGTTCTGCAAATGTAACCGAAAACATTATAAGTATAATCCATGACGGACGGGAACATTGGGTATTCAACAAGTGAAATGACGAACACCGGCAGCAAATCATTTGTACAACAAGAAAATAATTTTTATGCAAACCTGCGACTTACTTAATATGTTTACTCAAATGGTCAGATCTCATAAATCTCTTTCCACAATCCCCACAAGCGAACCTTTTTTCTCCTGCAGAATTCGATCAAACAGTCACATTATGGCTGGATGCACAGAAAAGCAAAAACGTTGACAAATATAATTTTCTTCAATTCAATCACACGTCAAATGTGGACAGCTCGTATGAAACTATGGGTCACTATGTTGAATACCTGTGTGAGTTCTGATGTGACGCTGTAACTCATCGGATCTGGTAAATCTATGAAAAAAAACAGAAATAATAAATTTCTGTCACGTATGGTGCGTTAAATAATAATTTGGAATAACTGCCATTTGATGTTACCGTTTGCCACAGAACATCCAAGTACATCCAAATGGCCGTTCACCGGAATGCCATCTTAAATGGGCGCGCAAATGAGAGGTTTTGCCATAGATTTTGTTACAGTTTGGATAATGGCAAATGTGCTGTTTCTTTCTATCCGGCGTTCTGCAAACCAGAAAAAGTAAGCACATAACCACAGATCCCGAACCGTCAACGCGGCTCATTTCGCACTTACCGAGCACCATCATTCCGCCGGCAATTTGGACAATCACAGGCTACTCGTTTTTGCCGCTTCGAAGAGTTTCCGGATGAATCCAAGCTAGACTGGCTCCCACTCAGCAGTTGGATCCCCTGCGAAGAACTTAGCGGAACTACTGACACCACCTCCAGCTTTGCCCCACCGGCTGCAACGAAAACGATCGTTTACAGAATTTATCAACCACAATTTGTACTCGTAGATATGGAAAATGACGACCGCACCTCCGGTAATCTGGGTGGTATTCTGTGTAGAGCCCGACCCCAAACTAATTGTTGTCGATCCCTGAGGAATAACCTACAGAGAAGAAACTATCAGCTATGCGCAAAACTTCATAGCAGTAACGGTAAGTGAATTATGTTAACTACCGGCACACAGAAAACTATTTCCGGTAGCTGCTATTCGTACTCAGTTGGACGCAATAGACGCCGATTTATTTATTTATCAAAAGTTGTTGGACAAATAAATTATTTATTATTTGTTACTTTACAAGCTTCTGGCGACTAACGAAACCCACTGCTTACATTAGTTATATATCCATAAAAAAACACAATAAAACACATTGGTTGCCCTTCTGGACTTCAAGGGCCCTCTGCATTAGCTTTTACGGACCTGGATCGTGCCTTGTCCACCGGTAAGGCCTTGTATCTGCAAATTCCCGCCGCGAATGGCACCGGTCACATTATACGCCTGCATCAGTTGCCCATTGTGCTGAATGAGGATGGGTGTCAGCTGATTGGCAGACACGGTGGTCAACTGTGCCCCCGACAGCACACCGTTAGCGACGTCGTCCGCTTTCAGTGTAATGATCTGCGGAGTGGAAGCACTGGTCGTGGTGGAGACTGTCGATTTGGTCGGGTTATTCTGACTACCCGTGGAGGAAGACACCGTCGACGACGCACTAGACGCCACACTGCTCGTCGACGCTGTGGAAGGCGCCGGCACCACCGGGGCGGGGCTACTGTTGGACGTCACGACGTTGACGGAGGACGTGCCACCCGTCTGCAGAACAGACCAGGGAATATGAATGGTCTGGTAGGAGACCTGCCCGTTGGGCTGGTTGACGGCGATCTGCACGGGGACGCCGCTGCTATTGGATTGGGAGGAGGAGACCGTAGTCTGTACGGGCAGGGCCTGGACGATCTGCGGCACCGTGGCCGCTGTCGTTGTCTGTGCCGCAGGAGAGGACGTCGGCGTAATCGACTGCACAATGATTTTTTGGCCCGGTCCTGCGGCTGCCTGCAGCGAGCTAAGCAGCGCCGCTTGGGAGATGTTCTGAGGGATCTGGATTATTTGTGAGATTTGCTGGCCGGCCAACAAACTGCCGGCGGTGGCGCTGTCAATCTGAATGGGCTGAACACCGGCGCTCTGGAGCGCGGCTAATGTCTGAGGGTTTAGCTGGATCACTTGGCCTGTGAATGTTCCAGGCTCCGTCTTAACGGTCACTGCATTTGCTGTTTTTGTCATTGTGGGCACTCACAATCAGGACAATCAGATAATGCAAGTTGCAACACAAACCAGAACACGAGGTCACCCGGCCGCGGGAGGCATGGTCGAGGTACAAAATAAGAGCACCGACAACAGCTGGCGCAGGATACAGCTGCCTAAATATCTCCTGCAATAAAACAAACGTTGGCAGCACATAATTCTATTTTGTTAATATTATACTGATTCTCAAATCCAAGGCCTGACTGGTAAAAGTGGTATAAAGTATGTAAGACTTCACTTATTGTCTACTACAGTTTTTCGGCATTTTACAGAATGCTCGCAACACAGCTGCCCATCGGCGATAAGAGCATCGCCTGTGTGCTTGTGGATTCATTCATTTCATTGAGAATAACAATGTTTCATCCGAGTACGATAATATTATTACGATGTCGCATTTAATACAAAACTTCTTCCTGACCGGCAAACATCCACGATTCACCGTAGTCAACCAAACAATAAAATAGCTTTTTTCTGCTTTACATAAATTAATAAGAACGCAGCAAGCAATCTGCTTCCGGTTATCCGTTGCTTTGACAGTATAAAGTTATAAACCCAATTTCTTCAGCTATTCTGTATTCACACAGATTAACAATGCTTTTCTGTTTCCTATACATAAAAGTTGTTCCAGTTTTATTTTTTTTTTCAATTTCTAATGTCATTCGTTCACGCTTGTGACTTGTCAAATTCCTGAATCTGTATCACGCTTGATCCGAAAGTATTGTACTTAATTATCCCTGGTCCCTGGATATGATAACATTGCGTAATATATATACGATTATAAACGTAACGGTAATATGTATCAACGCATCTAATAAACAAAGCACAATATATCTTAAATCTTAAATATATAGCACAACATATCTTAAATACTTTCCAGTGCGCGGCTTCGCTGTTGAGAATTTCAGTGATTTTTGTGCATTTTTGTTCAACTCTTTTGACCCAATCCAGTGGACTGTAATCACTGTTTAGAATGCAAGAGCATGCATTAAGCATGCATGTTTAGAATGCATAAGATTTACTGTTTACATAATAAAAATACAAAAGCAATAAAAATTTTCGTCACTCAAAAATTTCTACTGATGAGGCAATGCAACAGCCAACACTGACCACGCCAATACCACCGAGGGATGGCCTTGAACAAAGACAACCCAGAAAAGGGAAGAACCCAAGATATGGGGAGGTGCAGTAAAGTGATGATCAGCACGATTTGCGCTGAGCGCTGTGCTGGTATTGGGTCCCAAGAAGAAGACCACAATCACCGCCTTTCGTTGTTCAACTGATCGTGCCCACTGCTATAATCACACCCCAAAATTTGCGCAATCAGACTGAACGATTCAACAACATTTAAAATATCCCCACAATTTCAATTAGCAGACAGATGTAAACGGATCCAGTTTAATATTTTTATTTTTTGCCAACTAAAATTTCGAGTCTTCGACCAAGATTTGCCAGCTGGCATATTTCGCTCATATAAGTTAGAAGAGAATGTATATCTCCGATATTATAATGTAATCCTACTTTGTTTTTAATCAGCCTCTGCCTTACCTATTATTCCAGATGAATAGATGGATGAAACAATAGTCCAAAAATGTCAATAATACCACAAAAATTCCGATGGGAGTAGTTTCAAAAACACAGAGGCGCGGTTAATACAAAATGGAGGTTGGCTTCATGTGGAGCCATATCGCGTCAAGCGACTCGTGAGGATGGATACGACGATACGTGCGTCAGGAGGTCGGACCTTGACATGTGCAGTGCAATGAGTCACAATGACCGGTATGCCGCAGATCGATTCAGCAGCTTCAGTTCATTTGAATGTTACACGAAGTACGTACAGAGGCTTTAAAATTTGCGCCAGAAACTCAACTGAACAGCTTCGCCGCCGCCGGCCGCTCCAGGAAACAAAATTTCAAACAATTAATGAACAGATTTGAGATTCGGTTTGTCGTGTTTGAAATGCGAAAATCATATTAACTTGAATAACTTCATGTCTTCACTAGTTTAGTATGTTGTTTGACTTGTTGCCTCCGCACAATTCAGAAACAGATTTCTACACTACATGCGCCTACTGTAACATGCGCTTTCATGGCGATGCGCAACCAACAGGTGCTAGGTATGCTGTAATGCTTGTACAGTATGTACGGTACAGTAAGTACTTTATCGGCGTTCGGACAAAAGTTGAAGTATGATCACCCTTCATCAAACCACAAAGACCAAACCAAATCGTGTTACGACAAGAGGGTTATAAAATCATCCTGTTACATTTCTGTTAAGCAGTTTAGAAATCCAATTCATGATAAAAAATGACATATCATGAAAAATCAGAACGCAAAAAAAAGGATTATTTCTTTTTCGTCTGAAGTCCGGCTCCAGCGTTAAACTTGAAAAATATTATGTCCCCATCTGCAAAGATTTACGTTTATAACGTTTTCGATTGAGATAAATGTTTTAATGCATCGTTGTTGCATAACATTTTCGCAGTTCAAAGACCTCGATTTATACGTTTTTACCTTCCACCACATAATTTCGTCCTTGCTGTCGGTATTTCCCAGCTGCCTGCAAAGATCGCAACGATAGAAATACTCCCTATACTCCAAAATCAGTAAAACGCACTCTGCATGCAGATTCGGATCCCAGTTCTTTAAAATCATCAAACTTCATAACTTCAGCCATAATAAATCCCTTCTCAAAATCGGTGTGAATTCTTCCAGCGGCTTGGGGAGCTTTTGTGCCTTTCTGAAACGATAAATGAGATGCACTCAAAAATCACAAGCGCTCACAAAAACACCGTTCACCTGAATTGTCCATGCTTTGACCTCATCTTCCCCGGCAGTGAAAAAGTACTGCAGTTGAAGCGCCCGGAAACCAGTTGTAACGATTTTATCCAGCGCGCCGTGGACTTTATTCTGCTCGCAGTATGCCTGCCGTTCGTCATCCGGCATGTCGATGATCTTACACTCGAATGCCACACTCAACGGAATTATACTGGCACCGGGGTCATTTTTGTCGACCCATTCCTTAATTTTTGGCAACCTGCAAACGCAAACCCGTTGTAGAAATACGACACATAATACTCCCGCGGGAAATACTTGACGGCCAGCTGTACTTCCACACCTCACCATTTGTTCTTCTTTTTTATAAAGTCTTCCTCTGACAGATTGACCAGGTAAATAATGGGCTTAGCAGTCAAATACAGATGCTTATTCAGAGCTTCGATCTGAAAAAAAAAACGTTTAAGTAGTACTTCCATGTTTAAGCAAAAAATAAAAATAACATCTTTCACAACTTCCTGCGCATTAAATTTTTTTAAGTAAACTTTTAAAAAAACACAATATTCTAACGGAATCTCACCTCATGCTCGCTCCACTCGCTAAATCGGATATGCTTTTTATCCTCGACCACCAGCTTCTGAACTTTAACTAAGGCATCATATTCGGGTTTGAGCTTTTTATCTCCGCCACGAACACAGGCTCGTTCCAGTTTATCCACGACCGATTTCAAGTTTTCTTCATCTTTTAAGCGCAGCTCCTCCAGAATAATATCGATATCACGCACTGGGTTAACATCCCCTTCCACGTGGGTGATGTCTTCGCTCTCAAATGCTCCTGGTAACGTAAATCAGAATTATTAAAAAAGCGCATGCTTATTTTCAGGCCGAATGGATGCAACTGCACAAGGAAATAGAAAGGTGCGTACTGAGCATAAGAAAAATCGCATCACAAGCGCTGATGTGGGATAAAAATGCATTCCCTAATCCCTGTCCTTCTGCAGCTCCTTTCACTAAGCCAGCGATATCCACGATGCTCAGGAAAGCCGGCACTTTGCTATAAAGTAAGGAATAATACCAACAGTGTTTCAGGAAAGAAAAATGCTCAAGTACGAAAAGTACGCATAAACCGATAAAATCTCCTCAAGCTCAACTCTGCGTGAAATTCGCGTCCATTACAAACAGTTTTCCTCTTACCTAGCCGGTTTGTGATATTTCACTAAAAACTCAAACCGTTCATCGGGAACCGCTACTCTACCTGCAAAAAAAAATTTTATCAATATTTTTGCAGTCATTACACAAGTCGCTAATACGGTATAATCAAGCTCAAATTTCTAGCTCGTCACAATCATCACTATAGTGTCAGAATACAGTTATGACAACATGCGAATCTGTGACGGACCTATGACTCTAGTATACGAGTTACTGAAACTAGTTATTATATAGTGCTGCACAGTTCCCAATGCTTTTCTTAGTCTGCTGACTTACTTTCATTTGGATCAATCGTGCAAAACGGGAAATTCTCCGCGGGGACAGAGCTTTTCGTCAGAACGTTGAAGAAGGAAGATTTACTGCAAAAAACCGGTTATATTTCAGGAAAACCTGCAACGCTGGAACCTTTGACGTGATCGCACTACGGACGTACCCAACATTCGGCAAGCCAACAATTCCCGATTTCAACGTAGTTCCCACACGACCGATTAGAGGTGGCGGCGCTTTTTCATCTCCTTTGCCTTTTGGTGCCATATTTTAAGAGCCGTATCAAAATCTACGAGAGTCAGGCAAGAAGCAAAGAGCAGATGTCTTCCAAAACGCGAGAATCAACGCTTTCGAGTTTCCTTTAACGTATCAAACTTGTACCGATCTGTACACGATATTTAGCTGCATACATCAAACAGGGATCATTTGCACATCCCGTGAAATGTTCTTAATTTTAGAAATAAAAATCAGAGACTACCATAATGTGCCTTAAAAATAAAACTGACTGAAAGCTACAATTATTTATTTGGAATTATTTATTTATTTACAATTATTTATTTGGAAGTCGTAAGTCTGGAACGTGGACATTCTAATTGATGTGAGAATTTTCGCTAAAGTAACTGCCATTCAGCCATCAAAATGCCATTCAGCCATCAAACTAGCAACTGAATATCCACTAATTTAAAAGGGGGGGGGGTTGCTTGCTACCAGTACAGTGGCATGATCTTGAGCCTCTGGTAAGTTTGATATTTTACCATTTCGTTATTTAATGCTTTTTTACAAACATCTGCGAAAAAAGGACACGCAGAAATGGATCGTGTATAGCCACAAAGATGCGTAGATGCACAACAATATGACACAACAAAAGTCCATCACAAAGCATATTAAATTATAAAAGACCAACAAAAATTCTAAAGAATTGCTCTATTTTGAATACCGGGAACCAATACGGAGAATCCAATTCAATCACTACTCTGTAATTGGAAATATACACAACCCGAGTTAGGAATAAATTACAATCAAAACTGTGCGAGCATCAATTATTTACAGCGCCGTCCAAGCTGCTGTTCTTCGGAAACGCTGGAATAGGTTGTCGCTCCCTGCTTTGCTTCCGGCCGCGCACACTTCCCTGCGACATGTTTGTCCCAGAACTGCTGGCGCTTACATTTACCGCTTGAGCTTTTATAGAACTAACAGCCTTGGACAGCCACGAGCTCTGCAAATTATTTTGCTGTTGCTGTCCATCGCTGGCGCTCCTGGCTAATTCGTGGACCATTTCTTGAATCTGGCATTCCTTCTCCACAAGCGCCAATTTTGTCTTAGCCAGCTCTAATTCCAGTTCGCGAATGCGATCTTCCTCCGGAGACTGAACAGTTTTTTTCGCGACATCACCGTCTTGTTTTTCTACAAAAATGTTTCTACAGTTTTCGCAGACGATATCCTGCGCCGCTGTCCACTTCGTTTCCATTTTCTGCAGACGCTCCTCCAACTGGGCGCTGATTCGCCTATATTCAGCTACGATTCCGATATTCTGTTTGTTTTCCTGTTCTATTTTTCGACAAACTTCCTTGACCATAGCACCCTCTTCTCGGAGCCGTTTGATTTCATCATCGTTCTCCACTAAGAGCGCACTTAATCGTGCGATGTCCTTTTGATGCAAGTCAATTTGATCTTCGGCCGTGTCAAGCTGATTTCGCAGCTGTACTTTTCCGCTGATCATTTCATAAGCCAATTCGTCGTTCTCTTGGTCCAAACGCATGATGGCTGCCATATGTTCCCGTGATTCCCGCTGCAATCTCTCAACCGGTGTTTCATGGGACTCTAACTGCTGTTTCATTTGCTGGTAATCTTTGGTCAGTTGTTGAAACTTTTTCGGTGGTATTTTTTCATTGACGGCGTGATACAGCATCAGACATACTGTGTCTTCGTTAGTATATCGTTTCGGTAAATTAACACGGAAATACTTCAGGACTCCTTCGAAATCCAACTGCAGCAAATCCTGTTTTGCCACTCGGAGAAGTGATAACGCCACCTGGTACAGTACCAAGTGTCCATCGCACAGAAACAAATCAACAATCCGAAATACGCAAAACAATGGGAATTTCGCAGTAAACAATGTAAGGAACCACTGCGAGGCAAACATATGCATTTCCACGCCGGCGTCTTTCAAGTGATAAAAAACATCTGGCAGCTTCTCCTCCAACAATCGCTCTAACAAGTAAAACGCCAATCGTAATCCTTCGAAATCACACTTCATCAAATCTCGCATTCCATAATTCTCCATTATTTTCACCAGCAAACAAAACGCTTGTTCTTCCGGCATATGCAGCAGCAACGTCGCCGCAATGAATGTCAGACTCTGACAGTATCCCGTTTCCTGGTCTCGATTGGCGTACGCCTTAATGACCCGGTACAGCTGATCCTGGCCTTCACTGCCTTTTGTTCGAAAGTACTCATGGGCGGGAAAAGTGCGCGTAATATCTTTGCTGATTGCACTATCCCATACGGATTCCTGTACACTCAATCCCTTGTAATTTTCGAGCAACTCCTCACAATCGAAACATCCACTCAGCAATTGCCAAACTTCGCAGCGCAGAGACTGTGGTATACCACTCTTTCTTACTAAACCCGCCAAGGTTTTCGGTCGCTGGTGGAGATTCGGACGCCACTTTAGCAAAACATCCGACCATTCCTTCAGTTCTTCCGGGGTACACTCTTTACTCACCGGTCCGTAGCCGCTAGGAAGGGGTTCTTCTTCAATCTGTTCACTATCATTTTCATCCGAAGAGGATGGTCCTTCCAGCAGGCTAGCAATCGTTGGGCTTTTCCCTTCCTTTTGCGATTGGCTTTCCAGGCTTATCATGCTGTAATAACCTTTCTGCGAGCTCCCAGCCTCGAAAGGCTTCCAAAGGAGCTTTAAAAAGAAGGTTTCTTGTAACTGCCGTCGACCAGGCATCCAGAATTTTTCAGTCTGAGGGAAGATTCGCGCTCTCGCTGTCAAGACGAAAGACAATGCTTCCGTAAATCCTGCCACACCGACATCCAGAATCAATGTAATGTGAGAGCGGTGTTCTCCAGGGGTTTCGGTGTTGAGCAAAGGGTGGAGATACGGATCAAACCGACACGTCGCATTGAACTGTTTTCCATTATTTCCAAACGTTTCGACGGGAAGAAAATGAAAATCAGAGCGAGTAACATTTTTACCCGCAGCAAGCCATATTCCAGTACATTTCTCTACAACAGCAATTGATAAAAGTAAGACCTACGATACTTCGAAGTACTGTTGAATCACAACGTACTATAATGATTCATTATGGTTGTTACAGGTTGTAGTTACAATAAAGGAATAAGGATCCACCACAAAAAATCAGACAAGAGTGTTTTAACAAGAGTCTAGCGTTAACTTGTTTTCACAGCAATCAGCGCGGCGTAATGTGTTTAAACTGCTGTGGTTGCATGATTTTACAACTTACCTAACGACAAATGCGGGTTTTCTGGGCTGACTTGCAGAACTGAGAATTGTAGAAATTTGGGAATATTAACCCGAAACTACAAAACACCAGAAAGATTAGTCACAAAAGATATCACCATTTTTAATACAATAAAATTATGTGCTGCCGGAGAACATCAAGCATTAAACCGTAATAATTTTGCAATGAAATGCACGCTCAACTGTTAACTATGCACGGAAATTGTGCCATAGATTTTGTACGTTTACTATCCCGCACGTGCTGCAAACAAAGCCTTTTCTGAAAAATGCAACTTCCGATCTCTGCAGAATTTTAAACAGCAAAAGGAAAGCAAATAAAATGCAGTCGTACGTTTGGTCCATAACACATTACATTAGCAAAATTGAACAAGCCGACAGAAGTTTACAACTGTAACGAATCATTATTCCACACACATAAGCTAAATACGAAACGAACGCACCATCACCAAAAATATTTTCTAAATACGTGCGTGGCTGAACACATTGAAAAAATTGCAGCAACCAATTGCGTTAGAATATGTGTACCTTGAAACAATCGCGGCTTTCCCTAGGACAAACTTGGAAGCTGCCCTTCCCATCATCTTCTCTAACTTCCATGCTCACATCAAAAACAAATACTGACTCTCCCTGCGGCAACTGACTAGCGACCGGCTTGCGGAATGCACTGGCGAAGCACATGATAATTTTTGACACCTGCTCGGCATTTTGGCATCGAAAAACATGGCACAGGAATATCGCTTCATCGTTGCTACCGTGACCGAACGTAAACGCAAAGCACAACGACAGCGGATCCGGTGGTCTTCCTCCCCGTACACAAAATATTATCCGAAAAACGGGATATTTCGTGATCTCGTCCTCCGTCCCAGGCTCATACAATACCACCATACCCTGGGGAACGCGCGGCACCAATAAATCCACCTCTGCCGGAGTGCGATTCTCCGCGTTCATGCTCACAATGTTTTTAATGATTTCCGGCTCATTGCGCGGCGATCGTAACGCAGATGCTCCCAGGTAGGTAATACCGGTAAACAGCACGTGGTCTTCTGTTTCCGCCGTTTGGGAGAGCGCATCTTCCTCCGAGGGTCGGGATACACGCGGCCCATCGGAAACTGACTCGATGGAGGATTTTCTTTCCATGTCCGAAACACCGGATTCTGATTTCGCTTCATTATTTTGTCCATTTTCTGCCGGTAACGACGGTGCACCATCGAACGGTGCACCATCGGAATGCGCAATGGGAAGGTTTCCATCGACAACGGTATTCTGCTGTCCATTGAGATTACTTTTCTGTGCGTCGACTGAAACATCTTTTCCTTCATTCGGAGTATCCATCGCTAGCGCTTTCGAAAGGAATTGACGACGACGGTAATTAAATCTGTAAAGGAAATAACGTTATTTGCTTAAGGTTATTTTATTGCGTATCCGACACAACACGCATGACGCATCACTCTGGCAATCCAGTGTGCGCGGCAAAAAACACTCACGGAACGGGAGAACAATCTGGCAGTGTGTGGCGCAGATGATAAGACTGGCCAATGTTGACATATGCGTCGCTAACAACAGCTGTTAAAAGACTACTGCTGACTACCGAAACTGTTTGCCTACATTCCGTCAAATGACGCGATCAAATAGAAAGTATGTTCCAAAACATTCCCAGAACTTCAACTGCTCACACAATTCAGTTTGTTCAAGTCGAGACACAGAGACGGGAAAAGCACAGCGACACAATGCTTTATCTTATCACAACCCTTTACATTAGGATTGGAGTGACTTGGACATATTGCTGATATAACTCTTGTGCATTGACTATCTAATCGACTAAACAGCTCGTGAATTATTAACTTAATGAACGGCAATAATAATCAGTAAAACCAACTAACTAACAGCAATAATTACAAAAGTTACCGTCCAGTGTTTGCCTACTCCTCGCTCCTGGCAGAATATGGATTCCATGTGCGTGCTCTTCCAGACCTGCCAACAACATAATGTAAACGAATGCAGCAAACTGTAAAACATTTCGTGGTTTCTACAGATTTTATAAGAATTCTTTGCAGCATTTGACTGGAATTCCATGCAAAAAGGCCTGTGCTTCATACACTGCAATTTCGCACTCCCGAAACAAACATGCGGAGCATCTATCTCACCACGAGACAGGTTTGCAGCAAACCTGGCTTGCGGTATTCATCCAAGCCAGGTTTTCTTTTCAAAAGTAAAGAAGACTTGGCTGGGACCACCTTCCGGAATGTTCGTTATCAGGCATTCTGCTTACACATTCACAAGCTGAAACAACATCGTACAGGGATGACAAGATCGTCAGATCAAACGTAAATGGACATTCAAAAAATCTGACTGAAACAATGTGAAATGGGTGGCGAAGAAAGATCTTCAAATAATCCAAACCGAGAACTGCAATGCGATCGTGAAAGCCCAAAAATCAAGATCCTTTCGTTAATTATGTCCCAGTAGCTGGGTAGGGGGTACTGCATGGCAGCAGGCAGCAGCAAACATTGCTATGGACTTACTTCTCACTGAAGTAGCGTATTAACGGCGGACAGTGAGTAGCGTATTAACAAATGCACGTGTTCAAGTTTCAAACCCACCAACAATACTTAACCCCCACCCTGAAATTACACTTCCAGTATTTTAAGGACGCGTAAATGATTTTGATATTTTACTGAATGGCCTGCACAACAAAAGAAGAAAATACGGATGATCCAGTTCTTACGGGAGTGGTGTCCAAATCGAAAAATCAGTGAAACTGGGAAGCGCAAAACAGGTTTGTCAAATTAAGAGCTGTCACCTTGCAATAACAAAGTAGCGCAGCAGTACTCGCGAGAGGGGAGGGCACCGGTAATCATTGTAAGGACCTTTTTTATGCTCTTCATGTTCTTATTCCATAAAGGTCATCACTGTATGCAACATTAGTACGTTTTCATAACAAACTGATCCCAAGAAATTAAATAGTTAACCGTATAGCACTCGATGGCAATAGCGCTAAGTAGGGATTTGTTTTTGCATGTTTGGAGTTCTAGATCTCTTGCATACCCGTATTGTTTTGACTTTTGGAGGTATTTCTTGAGCCTGACTTCAGAACATTTTTATTTTATCTCTTAAAATAGTACGAGTATATGCTCGTAGATTTTCAATAAAGCATTTTTTCGGGTGCCCAGAACTGCGCCGAATTCAGTCATCGCAAAACACGAACGTACCCATGCAGGTACGTACGCATGGGACAAATGTACCAATACACACACAAATATGATATTAAATTTCTATAAAAGTTTTTAAAAACTTAATTAAATTAATTAAAAATTTTAAATTGTGAAGAATGCAGTGCACTTACGATTTTCAGATTTTTACTTTTGATCCAATAAGGAAGTTTATGTTATCAAAGGTGCTGAAATCCTCCTCAATCTGTTTATTTATTTATTTATCAAAACTATCCGAAGCATATGCGCATAGGTGATCACGGTTTTTCAATTGCTTTTTCTAATTATTGTAAGTTGGTGCCTCGGTGGTGTACAGTCTGTATAAGAAATGTAGTTGATGGCCGGTGCCTCCGTCATTTTGCATGCGGCTAATAATGCGGAAGTATTTGAAAAAAATACGGACGCGCCTCCGTATGTTTTAAATTATGTGGAGAAAAGCTTAGCTTTTTATATAAGAGGGTTGATTGGATGGCTTTTTTTACATTTTTAATGGTGTCTTTTAAATAATTTTACAAGGCACATCCAGGTGTGAGACAGCATCTTTAAATCCCCTTGACACCGGTGATATGCGGCATATGAGCAGTTATATATTAATAAGCACCCAGGAAAGTGGCAGGAGTTTCCAGCATCGGATGATAGTCCACACGTAAATACCTACTTTGTATATACGTGTGACGTGAACAATGCGCAATATACAAGGCGCAAATATCCGGTACAGCCTCTGATGGTAGTTAGTAATTAATGAGCGTTTTATGTTGCCGCAAGGTCTGGATCAAATGACCTGTGACATATTTTGCTCGCACTTGGAGGAAGTTGAGAACCTAATTTGCGCAGCAGCAGTACTTTCTGTGGCGTAAGGAGCGAAAGAGTGCTGAATTGTTTATTTGGCCTCTCAGTATCCTCGAATTTCCGGTGACAAGTCGACGTCCAACATAGCCAGAAACCAGCCAATCCGGGTTGTTCATGCATCTGGTACAGTATGAATCAACCGTGGTGGAAAGTTGGGACGTTTTCCCTGTTACCATCGGGTGAAACCGCTATCTGAGATCTGTTACATATACTTCTAAGGATTCGTTACCGCGAATCCGTCTAATTCCAATAGGCTTGTCACCCGGCAGTTGGCGTTCATCCCTTCGCTAGCACCAGTACACAAACGTCTTCGAACCAATCGGCACAAAAGTATATAAATATTCAGGCCGGTAGAACTGTGTTCCAGTACCGGCATTAATATCAGAATTATTTTGTATCGTACACCATCGAAACGATATCCGGTTGTCTTGCTTCATCGATAGTTGCAATTTTCTAATACACTATCAATAAATGGAGCACACAACAGACTATTTATCCGGAACTTGAATACAAATATTATCGCTTGACCATCGATTATCCCACAGCTGATCGGTCTAAGATTCGGTACTTATTTATTTTCGAAGGTATTATTCTGTTTCTTGTAACCATGAAACTCATAACTTTTAGATATATCTCATTGCGGGCGTTCGCACTGTCTCTCCCAATCAAATATGTGGGAAAGGGGCATGCAGTTTCACGCAATAATAAACAACTACTTTCAAACAATGTTTTGTTTTACAGTTGCAGCTTAACATCAAACGGGAGTGATAGCCGGTAGCCGCTCTTGCTCACTTGCTACTACCAGAACAAGGTAAGGATTTTAATTGTTGTTATTTTTACACGGCCTGTATTCTACGTACTGTATGTATACCTGATTGTCTTCGCAATCAGTAGAAGTATCCAGATTCGCTGTTCCTAGGCTTATCGTGTTCTAATGTATATTCAGTGCAACGGATTGCCGTTACAAATAGCACTCACTCTTTTAATCGCAGTTTAGTAATTACATGCACCAGTGCCCATACCAGTTTTGTAAGTGCAATATTATATGATTTTGTATTCTACTAAATGCGAAATCCTGATGCCGCCGGATGATTAGTATCAATTAGACAGAACCCGGCGCAAAACCTACATATATGTTTTGTAAATTCAATATCTCGAATTTACAGGATTTAAAATTAAGATGTGTGATTCCTGCGGCCTGTTAACATTTTGGGACTCAGATCGTAACACAGTTCCTTTAATTGTGCAACAACAAATTCGGACATTTCAAATAAGCGATATGACGCAAGTCTGCAGATAGGCATCCATATATTTTTGGAAATTTTTATCTTTCATTCCCTTTGGTGAATGCACAGCACTGACGCTTTTCGCGTTTGTTAGAACTTTAAGGACTGAACGTGTAAACATCAAAAGAAGCTGGATTTACGCAGAACAGGCATGTGCATGCCTGCGTAGATATCGCATGACCCGACAAAAATACTTACTCTTTGCATAAATCCTTGCGCTATTACGATCGCTAATTGGGCATGTTCAATATATTCCAGGCATGATACCGGCGAATCGTAAAATGTACTAAAGGTCAGGCTCGACAGTGCTCGCTGATATCCCATTATCAAAACAAAGACTATTAAAGAAAAATATGTGGGCAGGCAAAGGGACAAAAACAAGTACTTATGAAATTGAGGATCTCTTGGGAAATCAGCTGAGAATTATCAATACACTCGTGCGTACACTGGTTATATAAGATGATCTGGCAAGAGTACACCACTTACTTACATATCTGCACATGAACATTTTAATTGACAGATTTAGACCGTGAAATGCTGTGCCGTAATCAATATATCTTTCTTTTTTTCTCCTTGGAATACGATGGACTCGTGCAAATCTCGTGCAAATTAATACATCTTTCTTTTTCTCCTTGGAATACGATGGACTTCAGCGTAAATTAGCGTGTACTCCTTATTGTTAGAAAGGGTATGAAAAACATTTGCACATGGACTAAACTACACAATATCCTTTTCGAAGCAAATTTATTCATATAATAAAACTTTCAGGTACTCAATCCATTTCGAATAACTAATATAATATAAAGCATGTGTAATAAAAGTCAGCTGGTATATACGTAGTAAGTACTATAATCATTTATGGAACATTAAGCGATCAAAACAGCGTGCAAATAGCCACAGAACAGTATACCTTTTACAGGCATTTACGATTTGCATTTAAATGTCATGATTTTCTAAAAATGAATGCTATTCATCACCTAATTTTTGTGCGGAAGTCAGCGGAACTACCTTAATATTGGCAAATAATTTTGTTCTGTTTATTGTGATGTTTATTTTTAATTTGTTAAATCATAATTACACTGCGCTTGCAATTGTAGCGAGCTATTACTACTGGCGTAACTGCCAAGCCTTTGCTCCGCTTAGAAATTATATTATTGGCTAAAAACAGGAGTACGTGCGCACGGACAGCAATAATACGCGCCATGCATTGTGGATCTATCGTCATCAGAAATAGTCACGGTATTTTAATGTGTGATTAGTTGCTAGAGTAAGTTTATTTTGCAGGTCTGAAAGACAACACTCCTTTGTCGTCCAGAGTCGCTGCTGCTCTGGGCCTTGTATGGAAGATGGGTGGGAATATGTGGAGTACAAAAGTCCTCTTCACGATATGGATATTATGGTGTGCCGCACTATTCCCATCGGCGAAGGTGTGGGCCATATCCTGGAAGCCCTCTGCACTGCCGATTGTGCCTTACACGCTGGCCAGTCAATTAGTGCCACGCCGTGAGAACAATGCCGGCGACCTGGAATCAGTGCCGATTGAAGCCGACGCAGATCACGACAACCTCGAAGCCGGCACTTCCTTATGGGACTCTTCGTTGGAAAACCGAATCAACGTTAACGCTGACACACTTATTCCTCTTCTGTCCACTCCCTCTCTTCCATCCATGCCGGCATGGTTCCGAACATCCGATGATCCTGTTCGGCGCAAAAGAGTTCGTAAGTATGGTAGACACCAGACACACTTTAACATTCCTTATTCCGCAGTACCGAATTAGCAAAATTAACAAGGCTAAAAATCTAACAGACACTTAGGGAGTTAAAAAGTTTTAATTTTTGGGGTTTTAATTAGCGTACAATAAATTCGTCTTGTAGATGCGACGTACGGTGGGGCATATTTGCTTTTTTCTGTTAGCTTTTTATGGAGTAATTAGTTAAGACGGAGGTCATGGAAATAGCCATAAATGTGTCCGTTCAGTCAAAACCATATCTCATCAAGCTCTTCTAGACAGTGTTCCAAAGGGAATAAAATTAATTTAAGAAAAACTGTACGATACGAAGGTTTGGGTTAAGAAGTGCTGCGAATGCAGCGATGGAAAAAGTGATTCTTCTCCAACGGCAATATTACATGGAGAGTGATTGACCTTATCCGCATCTGATTATTTTTATGTACATCTTTTAGACGGAAGAATGGTAAAGTTCACTGCATGTGTGACAGCGATTTAACTGTTTTATTTTCCAGTGGGGATTGAAATCCCTGATGTAATAGCATTCCACCAACCAAAGTCGTCACGGGTCTCACTCCCTTTTTCAATGAACGTTAGTCTACAAAATCTGCGGAAGCTGAGCCAAGGACTGCATAAGAGTGGACGCCGAAGATAAGTGGCTGTTACAGCTCTGAATTGTAAGTGGACTTTTGACTGCCGATACACATTCATTCTAAACATTATCAACATATTTTCGTCCCCGCTTGTGTGTCACTTTAGTAAGGTGACGTCGCTCTTTTGGGAACGTCTTCGAGAAATGCAGACAATCCCTTAGACTCGTTATGCAAACAACAATGCAAATAATGAAAATTCATCAATAAAACTCATTTATCAAAGTGGCCGTGATCGGCGAAGACTTACATATGCCATGCTTTATTATCACATGTAATAGTATGCACATAAATAGTATTGTGCAAATACAAATCAAATAACATATTAATAAAGTAGGACTTATTGTTAGTCAGGAATACATCGGGGTCACGCGATCTGATCACTACGGGATACTCACCCAGTAGACAACTGTATATTAGGCGTACGTTTATTAGGTGCAGCTGCCGTTGGTTGGGCACGAATATTCTTAACCTTTGTAAGACATGTTTCATATCATACTAAGGTTTTGTTCGGGTTTATTTTAAATTTACTTTTTGGGGCTATTAAAGTCAGCACAGAGTCTGTACGAGGCAGCGCCGGCATTCACGCAGCTGTAATTAGGGGCATCCGTGCAGTAAGCGCACTTTCTATCGACAAGCAGGCGGATGTGTACGATTTATCTCCTATTAAATAAGCATACGCGTATTCATTTACTGTGCTCTACAATTTTATTTACGTTATAGGAAATGTCGCATTCTGTTCACTGTGGACACGTTTTTCTCAAGTGAGCAGCATTCCCCCGTGGATTTTAATTGGTCATGCGAACCCTAAATCACGATGCGCGACAAAACCCGGCAAAATCGATTTCGTTACAGTCCACTGCATCATCGCGTCGGCTCCTTTATCATCCCTTAAATGTTGTTCCCATGGATAGGTACCTCGCAGCTGAATTCATTAAATTATCCACAAAGCCAACTTCATTCCCAGTAAAATGACTTTTGGGCTTTCCGTTTAATATCACAGTTATCCGGCAAACGACGTTATTTGCATTCAACTCATTTATACGATGGTAAAAAGAATAATACGCGGCATATTCTTACATTATTATTATACATTTATCCGTAATAAATTATTTTGCTCGGAGTTTATATATTAATTTTACGTTGGTGGTACAACTTGCAGTAACGGGGCTTAATGTTTTTTTTTATTTTATGCATTTATTACCGTACGTTCTGTGTTGTGTACGAGATTGATGGACATTGGACAGTATGCAATTTTTGCACAATAATGAGTTTTTATGCTGTCAAAAATCTGCAAGCCGCTACAAAATAAAACCCGCTTGATCCCGGTATGCAAGATAACCGACAATTCCTTGTAGCGAGGAGGCAAGATACACTGCCCGCAGGGCTGAGAGTGCTGATCAATGAAGTACTGTACTTACTTATGCTTTATGCATTTGTGTAGCTTGGTTTTACATCGTCAAGGGTCTCATGGATACGAGTAGTGATATTTTCATATTCGACAGAAAAATAATACAGTACAGATGAGTTACTATCATTATTTTAACTATACGACTTCGGATGCATGCAGATGCAGTGAAGTATCGATCGTACTACGGACTGCCTACATGCAGTCGCAACACCAAATAGCAGATGTGTGGTACGACTGGACATTGGAAAGTGTCTTTTCCGTACGATTTTTTTATATAACGCAATCACTACACAGGCGATAACTTGACCTCGAAGATGCTTCGTTCTGTTTGGAAGCGTATATCGACGGCGTCGACGTCCATGCCAAAATCAAAATTACTAATATTTACGGTATTTTCCGCGTTTTACATAAGCAATGTCAGACAGGCAGACCACTTGCGCAGATAAACTTCGCAACCTCTCGGCACACGAGAATGCTTTAATTCTGAACCGTTTAGAAGACAAATCACTCAGCGGAAGTACCATCTATTCACTTCTCAACCCAGTTTGGGTTATGAAACATAGGGCTTCTCTGGCTGAATCAGGGCGTATTACATATAATTTTGCAAAGCCACTCCAACTACACAATGAGCACAGAACTCGATAACCAAATCACCAATAAACGCATCTCCTGGGATCAACAAGCCAAGCAAATTAGCCAAATGAAACAGATTAGCAACTAATCTCCAGCCACCAGCAGCCAAAGAAACAAAACAAACATGCTTTTGATTAAAATGGCACATGGAGGATCCGCCGATCTCAATTGCCACCATCCTTCTTGTGCATACTGAGAATCAAATCAATAACACGGTGGCTGTATCCGTACTCGTTATCGTACCTGCAAATTAAGGACTCTTGTTAGTTTAGTGCATTGTCTAATTCAAAAACAGAATCGACCTACCAGGAGATTAGTTTGACGAAAGTCTTATTCAAAGAAATACCGGCCTTGTGGTCGAACACACTGCTGTAGGTGCTGGTCAGGAAGTCCGATGACACGACCTATTCAAAAAACCACGTGATTACAACGCCGTACTCCAGGGTTCAATCAAAACGTATAAAAGCCGGCACAAAAAGGTATTCAATGGAGGGGTACCTCTTCATCAGTCCAGCCCAAAATTCCCTTCATAGGACCATCGGCAGCTTCCTTAACAGCTGCGCTGATTTCCTCATAAGACGCCTATGGGAAGAGAACGCGTAAAGCCTTGTCCTCTGTAATATCTTCAGCGACAGACCGCCATACCTCTTTGTTCAGGCGCACAGTCAGGTCCACAACGCTGACATCAGGAACCGGTACACGGAATGCCATGCCGGTCAGTTTTCTGTAACCACGTTTTCTTAGACCCCACAAATACAAATACAGGACTAATGTCCTTACCCGTTCAGCTCCGGGATGACTTTACCCACAGCCTTAGCGGCTCCAGTGGAAGCGGGGATGATGTTTTGGAAAGCTCCACGACCGTCGCGCCACAGCTGTAAACACAGATATGGTTACGACTGTCCTATCCTTAAGTAATTTCTCGAACTGCCATTAATCACAAATTCACAATCAGGTTTCAGTTTTTCACTTCCGTGAACCGCCTATTTTATTTTGAATAAGAATATGCTACCTTTGTCATAGGTTTGCTCTCTGCATTACCTTGGCGCTGGGCGCATCCACAACTTTCTGAGTGGCAGTGAAAGCGTGCACAGTCGTCATGAGGCCTTCGACAATGCCGAACTTGTCGTTGATGACCTTAGCCAGGGGAGCGAGACAGTTGGTTGTGCACGAAGCATTACTAAAAACCAGAAACACCGGATGTTGGTGTGACTGGGAAATTGGCTGATTACCTCGGCAGCTCACCTGACAATCTGTTGGGTGGCTGGATCGTATTTGTCTTCATTGACACCGCACACAAACATCGGAGCATCAGCCGATGGGGCGCTAATGATGACTCGCTTAGCACCTCCTTGCAGATGAACTTTGCATTTGTCGATAGTAGTGAAGACACCTTAAATTAATTGCACAACGTCATCAGCATGTGTCTGTGTGGGGAAATCCTCCGCATCCGATCCTGGACAAATATGAGATAACTTACCAGTGGACTCTACAACATACTGAGCTCCGGCCTCACCCCATTTGATGTTTTCCGGCTTCATCCTGCACATGACAAAAGCAATTAGACAACGAATTCAGCGAACAACGTCGAAGCGTCCACCCACTTACTCGGCAAATACTTGGATCTGCTTTCCATCGATGAACAGTTTCCCATTGTCGACTTTAACCTCTTTGCCATAACGTCCGTGGGTGGAGTCATGCTTGAACATGTAAACCTACAAAACCACAGATGAATTTTCAAATTTTTAGTTATGTATAACTTACACTTTTAATTGTGATTACATCTAGTATAAAAAAGGTTGTCGCGTGATCCACTAAAAGACTGCATTATCGCGTTATTTATACAGATGAAGTGAGCAGATTAAATTCAGGTGACACAAGTTCGCAAGTCCGTGATCTCTTGCCAAATTTCTACTGTAGCTCTGCGAAATGCGGTATACACAGCGGCATTTTTATATCCAAGCTGTAATTTTTTTATTATTTTTTTATGTTAACACTATCCCATAACGCAAGCATACATTTTCGTGCACAATCTAACGCTCAGTAATTTAACAATAGTACGTCCTATAAACTACGATAGTGCGCCAATCTAGGTAAGTTTGGTAACGTAAATCCAGTGCGTAACGAAATACAAAAACCTTTTACCTTTTACTACAAGGTATAAAAGCCGTATACCTTTTACTACAAGGTAACAAGTGCGTACGGTAGTTTTAAAATTACAAATAAACAAATGTTGCTGCTGGTAATATAAAACAGATGATCATTTTAAATCGTACCATATAGCTCAGGTCAATGAAGGGATCGTTGATAGCCTGCAATCAAACAATTTCAGTTATGAGTAATTCATTTTCTTTCGTATCACCCAGATCCCGCAGTTAAGTACTATGATCCAGAATACTGCCATGACTGTGCTCCGGCATGCAAACGTCATATCCAGGCATATCACTTACCACAACATCAACGCCCTTGTCGAGCGCAGCGCGGAGCACCAAACGCCCAATGCGACCGAAACTGCAGAAAGGGGAAATTTCAGCATGCGAAACAGCAAAAGAACTTAAATCTGCATACGAAGGTTACTACTTTTAAAATTAATCTGACGATTCATACCCATTGATTCCAATTTTAGCCATGATTTTTGCTGATCTGACGTTATCCTGAAAAAGTCCAAATATATACGAGCGAAAGGTTTGCTCCGACTTATTACTACCAGATTATGCATCCATAGAATTAGCAGTAGTTTGCCATCCACTCTTTTATCTAAACGAGTTTTATGTATATTTTAACTTGAACAATGTGATTTTAAACATTTCAAATTTTCAGTTTACATCTAACGTCACACTAAGACACACCCATACCGGTGACCATAATATTATTTACTGTAGCTGACAGTAAGTACTGGTTTGAATTTCATCAGCTGTTCAACCACTACGACTGCAATTTAACAGGAAGAACGAAGCTTTCGGCAAACTATTTCAAAATTATTACGCATGTCGGTATAAAAAACTTTTTAATTCGCATAAAGCAAACAATAGAACAATTTAATAAGCATTTTTACTTCGTATAACAATTGTTAGCATCGTTTTAATTCATCTTGCAGGATGTCGGGGATGGGAAATACCACACATTTCAGTCGTATTACGCTTTATTGCTAATTTCAAGGCCACCACATAAATCCTGATTCCATCATCTATGAGCCGTATTAGGAAAAATTCATGGATACCAACCAATCTACAGACAAAAGCTACAGTTTCGCAAGCTTTTTTCAAATTTAACACATGCACTTACCCGAGATTAAAACCAGGAAACTTTATGGAAAGCAGAAACCTCGCAAGCTACACTGGTGAAAATATCGAAACCGTGAAATCAGAAGCCTCCCAAATGTGCCTCGCCAGATGACGGCTGTTCAGCGTACGTACAGTGTGTATAGGATTGGAGATGTTCACTCTGTATGTTCAGTGCTCGTGGACAACATTACTTCCGGTAGATGGCGCAGAAATCGGTGATCCCGCGATTTATGTTGCAGTGCTGCAGTTTCCCAAAACTGCCCTCTAAAAGCGCAGCTTAAAGAAGCGCGTTTTTCCAGTATCGGACGTTAAGACTGCTTTAATTAGTGCCTATGAAATGCATTGCACTCCATAGCTTTTAATTTCGAAGCACGAGGTAATTACTCTCTAAAAGCGAAGCTTAAAGAAGCGCGTTTTTCCAGTATCGGACGTTAAGACTGCTTCAGCCAGTATCCCTTCCGTTCTCGAGCCACCAGGCCTTTACCGCGATACCCAGAAAAGACCGGATGGCATGACCTCAGTTCCCTTCAGCCAAGGAAAATCCTGGGTGTGGGATGTCACCTGCACGGATACCATGGCCACCAGCTACATCGCCAAAACATCCCAGGAAGCCGGCGCTGCCGCCACCATGGCGGAGGCGAAGAAAAACCATAAGCACGGATATTTACGCGATAATTTTAATTTCTCTGCTTTGGTTTTTGAAACAATGGGTGTGGGTAAAGAATCGAAATGTAAGATGTCTACACTCGGTAAGATGCTTTTTGAGAGGACACAGGAGAAACGGTCCACTCAGTTTCTGAAGCAGAGAATCAGTGTTGCTTTAATGCGAGGTAACGCTGCTTGTGTTCAGGAAACGTTTTGTATCGGTAAGAGACTGGACGAAGTGTATTATGTGTTGAAATGATGAACTGCGTAATTTTGCTTTTAACCTATGTTAATGTGAATAATCCAATTAAAGTAAACTCCCCTTTAATTAGTGTTACTTAAATTGCATTGCACTCCATAGCTTTTAATTTCAAAGTACGAGGTAATTACACCCTCGTATAATTTGGTGGGTACTGACAGTTACTACAGAAGTACAAGTACCGCAAGATGGATGACAGAAAAGTTATAGCGCGATGCCACTAACTTATCTACGAGAAGTATAGAAGTATTCGATGTAATTTTTTCTAATCTGCAAATACATTAGAGTAGCGCAAAATGCAGAATCTAGACCAGGGGACGAAGGAACCATTGTATTAACTGGACGAAACTAAGGAAGCGCTCTTAATTCAAATCAGAATTAAATTTGTTTCAGTTTTGTGATGACTGTTTTTTCTACTTTTATTAACCCCTAAAGTAGCCGAAATGATTCTCGTCCAACTTACAGATGCTGCGTTTATACAAAACATTTATGTGAATAATATCAACCAAAACGAGATTAACTCAAAATTAAGTTCTTGTAGCAAGTGCATAAGCATCGCGGCAAGGATCATTAAAAAGTTGTGCTGGAGTTTCCAGGAATCATCGGTGCCGCCGATTTATGCGCCAACAGCACAATGCAGGCCACGGTTTTCAACTATTCGCAATAAAAAGTGTAAGAATTATGTAATTCGGAGGTGTGTCGATGTGAACGATCGACTGAGGCCAGACTTTTCTCGTTATTTTTTGTAAAAGTGCCGCATTACCGCACGTGGTAAATAATTCTACAGCGGTACCGCCGGAAGCAAATATCAGCAACTGACGGCAGAATACGCTGGTAACTCATCCTATCCGGCCGGCATGCGAAATTTTGAGCCATTTTTGTGAACTGCGGTTTGAATATAAAACCACTTCTGGATTACTGTCATTTCGGATTGTTTTAATTTGGAAGTTGATTCAAGGAAAAGGTTTGCACTTTGCAAGTAAGCCGAGATAAAAAACTGAAGCTTTGTTTGGCATAAATACCGTACAACGGGAAGTAGGAAGTACAAATTGCTAAAGCTTGTCTGCTTGTGTTGGTGTCTGGTAGAGTACAGTAGTACAGCTGGCTTGTCTTGCAAGTTGGACCTGTCGGCTGTGAACTGTTCTGATCAGCTGGACTCCATAATTGTAAACACACTTTCCAGCCAAAGTTTAAGATTCCACAATTTAACAATTCTCTTGGTGGTTTTGTATTCATCCAGCAAATACAGAATAGTTTCTTTGGACTGATCTATGCCTGCATCAGCTGTCAGTGCTTACCTTGCGGCTAACAATAAGTTGACGTTGTTATCACAGGAGTTTTAATCGCTTCAAGTTGTCCAGTGTGCTTGAGGATGTCTATATCTACCGTCGTGGTTGCTCCAGTCGACACGGAGGATATGGTGAAAACAATCCCCACTTACGATCCCCATCCTCCCGGTGCGCCGCCAGCTCAGAAGGCTGCTGTGCCGCCACCTCCGGAAGCGAAAGCCAAACCCAAACAAGTTCCCAACCCCGTCAAGTTTTTGCTGGGTGGATTGTCTGGGTTTGTGCAGAAAAACTTTGAATTTGCAGCTACTTATGTTTTTGAAGTCACGTTCTGCATTGCTGGCAAACGCTTTTCGCTTTGATTGCAGGGGATTTATTTTTATTGTATCGTTTAAAACGAGTAGTTAGAGGATATTCCAATTGTTCTTTACATGCGAATTTCGTTTGTAGGTGTATGGCCACTCTGGTAAGCTTTTGCAGTCGGTTCGCTGGTTTTATGGTTCCGCGCTTATTGTTATTTGCACTGCTTCTTCTGTTCGCTTCAAGGTTGTCCATCCGCTGGATCTGGTAAAAAACCGAATGCAATTGAGCGGTAAGTAATAACTACCGAAAAAGTGTTGCTTAATAATTATAAAAAATGTTAGGTTGTGCAGTTAACCAGTTATGCATGTATCGTGTATGTTATTGCAGGGGAGGGTGGTGCAGCACGGGAGCACAAGACAAGTTTTCATGGTTTGTGTCACTCCATCTTATCATTCATCGATTGGTGCTCACGATCGATTTGTATGCCTTCCAATTAGCAATCGGAAATATCGCTCGAAAAGAGGGAGTTTTGGGATTATATGCCGGGTAATGTTACAGTAATTAAACGATTTTGCAACCTTTTGATTGCCGTTTTGCATTCTCGACCGAGTCGCATATAATTATCGTAGAATGAATTTTTTCGTGTTGACTGCTTGTAAGCTGTTTTTCTGAAGAATTGGTTTTCCGGAATTTTTGCACGTAATGCTCTACTTCGAGAGATCTTTTCAAATTAATCGTGAATGGTTGTGAAAATTCCGGTATATTGCCCATTAATTTTGTTTTTTGGATGCTTTGGGATAAGACTGTATTTATTCTTCTTCTCATAATAAGTTTATATCGTTGGTAGTTGAGTTTTTTTCATTGCGTTGCCAGATCGCCGATGATGCGAATTTTAGTTTTAGTGAAATGCTAAACTGGCAGATTACTTTTGGGTTATTTGCAGTGTTCGCAGTAGATAAATTGTATAGCATGGCTGCAGACCTGTTGTTTACGTGCCTCGATCTCATTTGCGGTCTGCTTATCTTATCGCAGTCTTTCCGCCGGACTACTCCGACAAGCTACCTACACAACGACACGCTTAGGTGTTTACACATGGCTGTTCGAAAAGTTTTCGGGGTAGGTGATGCATATCACACGTGCCACTGTGCTAGTGCGGCACGTGCATATAAAAAATGATGGATCGCGATCTTATCAATATTTTGGAAACTGTTGTTTTCGTCGTGAAGGCCAGAAGGGCAGCCGCCTGGAGTTTTGACCAAGGCAGGAATTGCTCTCACCGCCGGGAGTATAGCTGCCACCATAGGAACACCGGCCGAATTAACAATGATCCGAATGACAGCTGATGGCAGGTAACGGTGGTAGTATGCCGGATGTTTTGATATAAAAATTGTTCGTAGGCTGTTTGATGCTGAATCTGTTGCTGACTGCGAGTGCTAAAATTTCCTGCTCACCGGTCAGCATTAACTGGATCGTTTCTTGTATGTACACAGTGTACAGATATGGGGTAATGGAGGTGCAAAACAGTCTGCAGATTTCAACAACGCTTTCAGTTACCTTGTATTGCGTAATTTTTGTGGCAGACAACTTATTGTCCGGGAGGTAATGAGTCAGTCGAACTTCGAACTAACCAGAACTATATGGTTTGATCGACCTGGTTTACAGATCGGCATGATGCCAGAAGTGAATGCCTGCCAGGGAAAACCTGCGATTGAGCCGTTTTTTTGTGGAAAAAAATCTCGTTTAATATTTGAACCAGAAACGTGACAGTTAGAAATCATGGATCCGCTGTTACTAAACAAATGGCACAAATATCCCGTGCAGTTTGACACAAACATCCATAGTTCGCACAAAAGTCTGTGCATTGCAGATATCCATAAACACAAATATGATTTAATTTAAGTGACCATTCACGTAATCACAATATTGCATGCATTTAGTTAACCCAAGTTAACAGGAAATGTCAAATGATGCTCTTCGGTAAAAAAATGTGATTGCGTATAGTATACAGATATTAGGGAAGGATATCGCCTGCTATTCCGAATGACAAAGTTAAGCCGAATGACAAAGTTATGTTGATTTTCAGGTTACCTCCCGAACAGCGACGAGGATACAAAAATGTCTTTGACGCTTTAATTAGAATAGCGCGCGAGGAGGGCGTACTGAAACTGTGGAGGGTAACTTTGAATTTCATTATTCTACCTGGTCTTATTGGCTCAATACTGCATACTTACTATAATATATTTATATATCTACTTGAAAGTGTACACCTTCATTCAGCAGGGAGTTTTGCTCGTTTTAGGGTTATATTCCTACCGTTAGCAGAGCAATGGTGGTCAACTTGGCACAATTAGTATCGTATTCCCAGTCCAAAGAAATTTTGATTGAATCTGGTATGAACGAAATTAACTGTATCGAACTCAAATTCACTGAATCGAAGTCGGAAATAGCGAAAATATTATTATTTGAAATAATTTATTTAGGCTATTTTAAGGACGGATTACCCTGCCACTTTACAGCTAGCATGATCAGTGGTCTTGTCACAACTGCTGCCTCCATGCCGGTAATTTCGTGTTTCGTTTAAATTTTCATTAAATTATCACATTCTGGTCATATTTTTAAGTCTTTCCTATTTTGCTTTCCTTCATTTCTTTCCTTCATTTTGTACTTTTTAGGTGGATATCGCTAAAACAAGGTTTGCTGAGAAAGCGTTTCTGAGATTCTCTATCTTCACGTTACTTTGACTTTTAGAATTCAGAACATGAAGATAATAAATGGTAAACCGGAATATACTGGGGCTTTGGACGTAATGAGCCGAGTAGTGAGAAACGAAGGATTTATAGCCCTTTGGAAAGGGTTTACCCCTTACTATATGCGAATCGGTATGAAGATACTCACGTCTGCATCGTTTTAAAATACTAGAGTACGTACTCTTCGAAAATATTGTTATTTTTCAGGGCCACATACCGTATTGACCTTTATTTTTCTGGAGCAAATGACGCGATTATACAAACTACATATGCTGTGAGGTGATCGCAGCCATCCGTTATGCGTTTGCTGGTCATTAATATGTGAAGTGGGTATTCCGGCGCGGTTTAAGTGATATACAAGTATAATTCAATGCTCAAATATGCATGCAGATTGCTGGCTTAATTTGTTGATACAGTAATGGTTCACTGGAAAGGTTTCATTTGTTTTTAACGTTTCAGTTTCACATTCTCGTACGGTTCTTTTCGCAGTTCACAATGCTTGTGTAATTTATAATTACGATAATTACTGTGTTTTTGAGTTAATGTTTTTATTGTTTTTGTTTGTGCCGTACCAATTTTGGATTTGCTTTTCGGTGAACTTAGTTTGTCAGTTATCAAAAATTCTTTGTAGCGCGGTAGCATAGTTGCATTCGGTTGAATCGGTTATATTCATCCTCCTTTCGTATGCCATAAAACGTTTGATGGCAAGAAGTTTTCAAGCATCGTAAGTACTGATGTACAAGTAAGCATGATATACAGTGGTAAAGGGACCAGTGAACGTGGAGCTTGATTACAGAATTCCGTGCTACAGGAGCATGTTGTTGTTTCGGTCAGTGTGCTATGGAAACACCTAAACATTTTAGGCAAGACAAAGAAATTATAAATGAGTATGGTACTGTATAATTAAAAAGATCTGATCGAAATCATGCTACAATGGCTGCGTCTAGAAAATATTAATTCAACTACCTAAGTGCTGCACCCGGTGATGTTTTTTCTTACTTTTGGTTGATAATTACGTACTTGCATTTTGTATATAGAATATTGACTAAATCGCAGTCAGACAGATATTGGGTGTTTCATCAGAACATTGCAGCATTTTTCGGATTACAAGACTGGCAATCGCTTACAGATCAGGCATTCTTGATCCTCCACATGCTCTTATCGTATCGCCTGTAAATTAAACAAAACTAAAACAACTAAAAATATTTTTTTACATTATGGGCTGGTATTCGCATTACTGGTCTCGCGCATGCGCGAGACCAGTACGGCATCGCATCGCAAACTTGCACGTTCCTTGCTTTCAACGAAACTGGAAATTTTCATCATCTTTGCTCTTCAACTGCGTACACAGTATCTTTTCTTCTTTGGCACATAATTATGTTTTGATATATTGCATGTGTACATAATCATATTTTTTTGTTCTATAATATTTTATTTATATTTATCTTCGTTTATACGAACCTCCGGCCCGTATGATCATAAGGCAACTGGCACCGGCTGTTAATTCCGATTGTCGACATTGAATATCTGTTCTTTTTCCACATCCGATTATATTCTCGCACCAGCACCGGAACCCTAAAACTAATAACAACCAAATCTTCAGTCTTCAAAATTTTTGTTGCTTCTGTACAACCTTACAGCTTTTAAAACTTTAAGAGTCTGCTCTCGAACGGTCATAACCAGATAGCGGCGGGCTGTACATACCGTATTCGAGGGATAACAGAATTATAACAAAAGCCGCAAATGTTTTTGCTGTGGATAATCTGACAAGGTAGCGTCCACGGTAAATCATGGTATTACTACCCAGCAGTAGAATAAAGTTGGTACCATATTAGACTGCTTTACGTTTGCATTCAATTTTACGAACACTGAGCGGACAGAACAGATAACAGTTATTATTACGTTAACACAGAGTATATATCGTGCAACCGTTCTAGCTAAATGTAAGTACTAAGTAGTACGGGTGCTAAAACTGTATTCTTTGATGAACAATACGAAAGAATGCATAAAATACCGTATAAAGCTTCTGTTACGGTACTCGTAGGTACACAGTTGGCTGTACAAGGCTATAACATTTACCGCAAGCAACCAAGTGCAAGCAAATTCCTGGGAATTACAATGATTAGAGCTGCTTTCACGGTTCGATGGCTCAGGTCAAGATAACCCCAGTGACCAGTTTATTGTTGATCGCATCAAATGCTGAAATACTCCACGGAAATCATTTGTACATGTTTCAAGTTCTACGATTGCAATACTGCTTACGCTACACAATGAACTCCCATACATTCAGTTTTTTCTGGCAATACAAAATTTCAATAGTCTTCTTTTGAGACTCCCAACTTCCCAAATTTATTCAAAACGGGATAACAATAACAGTATTTAAGCAGGTTCGCAAAACAATGCGCCGTTAAGGATAAAGACAAATGCACAATCTCAGCATGCTACAGCCCGCAGATACTTGACGATTTCATGAACCTACGTATTATATTAAGTACATATAACGTGCCACTACAACGAACTATCAACAAAAATCAATAACAATAACTGATAAGCAATAAAGCACTCAAAATGCAACTGCATACGATTGTGAAATCTCAACCTTCCTTTAAGTTGCACATTTTAACGGTATGGACTGGAACGCCCGTTGCGTCGGTCCGGGGAATGACGAGTACTAGTACGCCGGGGTGATCGACTACGCGAACGCTCATACTCTCGCGAACGAGACCGGGATCGGGACCGGCGTCGATCGCCGTACCGTTCTTTATCGCGGTAACGGTCTTCACTTCGGTCGCGCTCACGATAGCGTTCCTCGCTTCGGTCACGGTCCCGGTAGCGCTCACCGCTTCGCGATCGCCGTCGATTGCTAAAAAAAGGATCAGTCAGTTCAAAACCGTGCTTCATACATCAGCCAAATTACATTCCGAATTATGTATAAGCCTAATCAATAACACTCAATGTCATGCTATCAAAATACGCTTCCTTGATTTCGCACCATGCACGTATAAAATTAATAAAATCGCTTATTTCAATGCATCGTTTATTTGAATTATTTCAATGCATTATTACCATATCCAGAAGCGTAAAGAACTGAAATCCTTTACCGTTTTGGCTAATACGTTTTGTTCAAAATCAGCACGATATTCTTTCGGTAAAACTATGTCTTCCTATGTGAGCATTCCTATTTTGTCAAGTTCGTTCACTTACCGATCCCGGGAACGACTCCGGCTGCGACTGTACCGCCTTCCTCCGTACCGTTCAGATCCATATCGTCCTCCGCCGCCCCGTCGCTCTTTTCCTTTCATATCATTTGGGGCTACAACCCACCAGCGGTTTACAAAACAGCGATATTGCACTCAGGAAATATTCAGTACTCGTAGTCAGAACAACAAAATCTCCAACTGATTCCACCTGTGACAACACTTACTCTTCCTGTCGCCTTGCGCGAATTCAATCTCCAGAGTTCGGCCGTGTAAACGAACGCTGTCCAATCCGTCCATCGCATCCTTGGCGTCTTCAATGTCTTCGAACCTGAAAGTGTGATCTTGCCGTCAGATTGGAAATGGATGGCAAGAAAATAATAACATCTTTTTACGAACATATCTGCGGAGAAGGACAACGTTCTTTACGATGTGACAACGGAGAAGCCGATGTCTTGTAACTTTGTCTCTTTCGAATTTGGTCTTTGTTCTTGGATTACTGGAGACATCTTTCGTAGCACTACTGTGGGATATGAACTGTTTAGTCGCTTGTCAAAATAAAGGCCTTTTTAAAAGTCTTTCTTGATCAAAAAGCTTGACTTTTTCATCGGGATAATGCACTGCTTTCGCGGGCGGTTCTGGTTAGTCTTGACTTTAGTCTTTTTTTAGCTGAGTCTTGGAGTTTTCAAGCAGCTCAGTAACGCTTGCTTGCTTGTAACGCGCACTTTACACGACGCTCTTTATGTCACGCTTTGGTAAATGCCTTGGCTATAACGGCAAAAACCGGGCTGAAAACCACGACCACATTTCCCAGAAGCAGTGCACAGAAATTGACAAGCAAGGCGCCACGATCACGGTTCGAACTTTGTTTCTGCGCTTTAGACTTACTGAACGTAAGCAAATCCTCTTGGCGCCCGAGTGTAATAGTCCAGAGGAATGTAAACATCCTTAATCGGCCCGTATTTGCCGAAGATTTCTTTCAGTTCATCATTCCTGCAAAATAACACACTAATGCAACAATGAACTACAGCACTTAAGTCTTTAAGTTATTAACTATATATTTCGCGTCGTGAGCACTTCGTCATAACCCAAACTAGATCATGAAACCAATAATTTAGATGTAAAGAATCTACAGTATAAGGATACTGTTACGAGGTATTTTGTGGAAATCGCATTAATCAGAGCATAATCTCACCGAGTTTGCTCGGGAACCCCGCGCACGTAAAGGCTCGTCGAAGGCTTCCCAGTTCGCGAACTAGACATATCGCTGATGGGCATTCCAGTAAACGGTGGCGCAAATTTCTCAAAAAAACTACAGTATCGCCAGCCACAAAGAACAACTGGAACCTTGCTTGTGTTACTCAAATTCTCCAATTTCTTCAGATTAGTCTGTGGGGGAAATCAGAAATGAGAATTACCAGAAGCCAGAAAATTGGAATTCACATTAATTTAAACTGCAAACGTAGTGCCACAGTGGGCGCATGATTAAATTTCACGTAGTAGCCGCCCTATACGCCAACATTACAGTAGATTCGAGACTTTCGAGTTAATATACACAGCAGTAGACCAGCAGTGCTCGATGCCTCGATCTACTCACAATCGGTACTCGTACTACATACTAGTACATAGTAGAGATTAGGGGGGATCCATAAATTACGTACGCAGCGAACCAGGGAGGGACGGGGTCCAAAAACGTGACAAGCTGACGGCCCCAAGGAACCCAGGGGAGGTGGTGGGCAGCCATGTGTTACGATTGAGCGGACCAGGAGGGGTCAAGCAAAATGACGGACCGCTACAAGGGAGGGTACTAAAAACCGTGGTACTGCGTACGTAATTTATGGATGATTACTGTATTTCGTAACCTACCAAAACGTCCGGAGATCAACGAGAAGCTTTTCCCACAGATGATCAGTTCTTTTCCCGTTTCTGCACAAACTTACAGGTGGGTGAGAAATTTCGTTCTGGAAGCTTTGGACAGCACACGTATTTTACCCAGGAGTTTTGATGACTTTGGTATCTGCATAAGAATTCTATTTGCCGCCGGTTAATTAAATTACGTTAATTACATTGCTTCTACGTTTTGGTCAGTTACAGAGACACGTTTCATTAATGATACTCGTATTGTGTTATCCTAGTTGCACTTTGTAACTTGATGCTTGTATGTCTAGCTTCATACTTATATTTTTTGGGTCGTTATTAAGTTCGGGGAAGTTGATCCAACGTAAATTTGAAATTTACTATAACCGTACTTCAAGTGCTACTACAATAATGAATACTATATGACATCAACGCCAACAGGAACAAGACGCTGCCACTGACAAAATCGGCGGAAACTCATACGTACTACATGTGAAACGAAGTCGGCATGTACTTACTTTTTTCGTCAATATGTATTGTACGGTAATTCCGAGCATTTTACACTCGATCACACCAAAAAGAAAAATAAGAAACGAGCGACAAGTCAAACCTAGTATCGTACTGCAGAGATACAAGCAAATACTCAAGCAAATACTCGTATAATATACTTTTATACAAGTTCTACCCTTTAGCCATAAATTTTATATATATAGATATATATACAGTAATTAGAAACAGCTTTAACAGGTCAGTATTTGTTAAACATGTGTATAAAGTATCTATATTCAATTCAATCAATATTTGCAGGAAAGCTAAGTTTGTGGCTTGTGAAGCAAAGCACGTATGGAGGTAGACGCAGGCGGATTCATACGAAGTATCGTGGTTCCCTTCGGCATCGCATCTCCGAGGTCATCGCATTCCCGATTGCGTGCGAACCAGTCTTCTGGTCGGTTGAGCTCGATTTTCTGATCGAGCAGTGGTACGTCTGGTTAACTGCAAGGCAATTTCACACAATATTGATTACTTTTTAAAAGTACTAGTTATATGCAGATGTCGTTTAACAACACACAGTACAAACCCGTCCCACGATTAGATTCATGGTTAATTCACCAAGAAAAATTATAAACAGCAGTATGCCTGACAGCATCATTGTGCATGAGGGTAATGCACAGTAATGGCTACTTTTATAGATTGTTGATTACATGCATATTTAATATCCCGTGCGTGGTCGAACAACGAGCAGTAAATTTTGTAGGCTCAAACTGTTTCACTTCATAAGGGCTTTTTGTATTACATAGGCACATAGGTCTTTCTGTATGTAGTAATACTTAATAAAGCCCTTGAGTAAGGCTCTGCTAAAGCCTACAGCATTCCTTATTTTTCCCGTTATAATAACACTATTCAGTTTACAGTTATGCCGGCTGCAATACGATTCTCCGATAATATTATTTTACGGTCACGTAAAAGTAGCAAACAAAAATGCTGTTTAGTATTGGATATTAAGTGTGAAGCTCTAACCGGATGCGAGATGTCAAGCACGGTCGCAGTATAGTGACTCTACCGTGAGATGGGCTTGTACTCTGTACTACGTATTTACTGATGATAGTTACAGTAATGAAAAGGCAGTCTGACGAAACAACTGTAAAACTGAACACGAAATCAATTCAGTGCTGGAAAAATAATGCACGTGTCTTGTCGTGTGTTACCTGTCCGTTGCTGTTAGGGTCACCTCCGACGATTCCAGCGGCCGGAATAATTGGTGGAAATGTGATACCGTCGCTGCCGGATACGCTTCTCACATTCAGTACGTTCTTTACATCGGGATCCGCTGCCAGGGTGGTTTCGCGGCTACGACGACTACAAATTGAGAACAGCCATTTACAAATTACAAGGAATGTCGAAAACTAAAACCTTGGCACTTCATCAGATTTTTATCGTGAAAGATTCGTATTGTGTAATATTAATATTACGAGCACTCATAATACACTTTATAATGTGACCGTATGACACTGACACGAACGGTACCTGTTAGTTCCTTTGGCGGCAACCCTGGTCAGTCGCGTCAGCTGCTCCTGGACTTTCTCTAGTTCACGTTCTCGTTCCTGTCAAGTCATTACGATTTAACCCTGACACTAACCCGCCTACCTAAGCCACCTATTATTTTTTGCTCGTAGAATCCTTTTCTTAAATACCGCTAGTTTCGTGTCTTTGGCCTGGAGCTCTGCGCGGCTTCGCTCATTGGTTTCGTTAACTTTCTTCTGGCCACGATTCAGTGCTTCATCTACTCGCCGTTTAAGATGGGTAATCAGGGTGTCTCGCTCCGAAATTTTGGCTCGAAGGTCGATTGCTTCCCGCCTGAAACAAAGCTACATAACGGAGGCAGAGGCTTTTTAAGACAGCATGTTAATGCCGAAATGAGAAAGTCACACAACAGCAAGTACTGCCATACTTACTCGTAACCTTTGATAGCAGCGTGAAGTTTCTGGTGACGTGATGGATCTTTTTCGATTTCGAGTTGTCGTCGAAGATCTATTGTGGTCCAGTCATTTCAATGGTTTTTATGAACTTGAGTAAAGTAGCCTTTACCGTCAATTTTCATTTCCTGTTCTCTCAGCGACGTCTGTAGTTGAGAAATCTTGTTGTCCTTGGCCATAACTGTTTCATCCAAAAGCGCGATAGATTTTATTCGTTGCTGGATTTCACGCTTTAATCTCGCAATATCGTTTTCCAGCTGGTGCTGTATTTGTGAGGACGCGCTTTGCAAATTTTGCTTCTCCTCGGTATGTTTTTTGTTTACTGTGTCCAAAGTGCTGTTGTGTTCCTTCTGAAACAAAAAACCAAAACGCCGTTTACTGCATCGAAACCACATTATCATTATTTAAGCGGCTGCTGCAGCAAATAAAACAACACAAGGAAATGTCAATGCTCTAATGAGCTGTGAGCCGCGACTTGTAACTCTACCTGAGACTTTTTTGCCTCCTCGATTTTTCTGAACAGTTTACTCTCGGCATCTCGTAGTTCAGTTTGTGTTTTCTGCAGATCGCCTTCCTTCAAAGCAATAATCTGAAAAGTAGTTCGCTTGGTAGTAAACCGAAATATTTTGTCAAACATGTTTGAGTATCTGTAGATGAATTTCCATAAAACGATTAAAATTCACATAAAATTAAACGATTAAAATTCACATAAGAATAAAATGACAATGGTTGTGGCACCTCTTCCAATTCGGTGATTCGATCGGCGTGCTTCTTGACAACATTTTTTTCCACTCCCACCGCTCTGTCTCGGATCGCTTGTTCTTCCGAACGCACTCTGTTAATTTCACCAGCCATTTGCAGATGATGGGCGGCTTCCAAAAATCGACGAATGGCGTCGTGTCGCGAGCGCGCCATGTCGCTGAAACTGATAACGGCTCCTTCCAGTCGGTATTTACTTCCCAGCAGTGTATCTTTTTTAAAGTTCACCGTCATCGTCTGTACAGCATTCTGCATATCTAAGGTAAATTTCCGAATGCTGTTCATTTGTCCACGCATCGAAACGAGGCGTCTGGATATCTGGCCAATCTGGCTACGTGTGTTTGACCACGCAATCAAGATGGCATTCATAAGCGGAATAAGTTCTACAATTTATACTTTTCTTAAGCGGGATTTGTGAGTGCAGCGCAGAGGCATTTCTTACGAGTGTTATTGAGATTTTCGCCTTTCCAGCTGAACTTCTTAAGGCTGTTTTCAATGGCGTCACGCGCTACCTTCCGTTTCTTCACACTTCGAAATCCAGAAGGGTGATTATGCTTTTTGCCAGCGGATCCAACGGGGCACTTGTTCGTAAACCATCCAGTAAACTAATCTGGTCTCTCAGTGGCCTATCGTTCATCAGGGTGTTCCCCACAATCTCAGTCTGCCAAAAAGCGCAACATAAAACGCACTAGAAAGAAATGTAGATGAAACCTAAATTAAAAGGTCAAACAAAAAAAATTTACTGAAAGCATGTGCAGCGCTACTCTTATCATAACGTAGTAGCATGGCATGCAGTGGTTATGTAGAGCCTTAAATATTTACACCAATATTTGTAGGCTGCGTAGCCAATACAAAGTACTTCGTCCAAATGGGCGGAAAGTTGGAAACTGTTATAAACTGCGCCTCGTACGGACCGTGCGGGTACTTGTGTTTATTATTGCTTCCCTGGTTATACTAGTCGGTATCTTAAACGTGTACACGTAATTTATTAGTATGATTATTATGCGAATTACTTCGTGAGTACAACGTACCGCGGTTTCCGAGCGCAGGATACGTGCGACATTGTTAATTTGATCGGACAAATCGGAAGCGTCTGTTGTCGCCTTAGCGTGAAGTGATTGGACGTCGGTGAGCTGTTGAGACAGTTGATTGTGTGCATTAATAATGTCTCGCAAATGGTTGCTGGCTTCCTTGTTAACGACTGTTAACCGAGGGCTGGACAAATTTTGATGGGGTGGAGATGATGTAACGGAAGTCTTAACCGTTCTGAGTGCTTCGTGCAGCATAAATAACTGTAAGAAACATCGATCGTAAGAAAAAACACAGAGTTTAACGAGCTTCATTTTCGGTAAACGTATTAGTTGTGTGAGTTTCTCCATACTCTCCAGTGATTTTTCATTACCGTAGGTATAAGGTTTCAGGGCAAAAGCGTTTTGATTACATTTAAAGATTCAAAGTTAATAAATTTTTTTCACATTATTTTTTACCTCGTCTCTTGTTTTTGCCAGCTGGTCTTTTGTATCACGCAAGGAATCAAGTGAAGCCCTGGATACCTTTCTTTCCATGTCCAGTTCGCTGACAAGGTCATCTAATTTCTATGCGAAACAAGAAATCGAAATATACCCAAAAACCCCTGTATCCAGTTGCCTGTTAATGCTTCTTTTTAAAACTGACCTCGCGATATTCTCTGCCAATGCGTTCAGTGTGTAATTTTGCGGTTGTTTCGTCCGTAAGCTAAATTTAAATAAAACAAGACGACATACGCAAAATACGACTTGTGAGGCTGTGGTATCGAAATGTCGCCTATGTCGTCAAAAGCTCTAATCATTGTAAATCTAACCTGTTTGTCTAAGGTTCGCAACCTTTCGCGCGCATCGATGAGCTCGTCATTGGACAAAGACAGTAATTCACTTTTCCGTGCCGCTTCTGACTGCAGTTCTTCCATGGCTACCATAGTGGTCTGCCGAGATTCCTTTTCGGATTTTAGCTGAGTTTTAAGCGCTTCGATTTCTCGCTCTTGGAGATCGAACCTTTCAGAATCTCGAGTTCGCGCTGTTTCCAATTGGCGTACGGTACTTTGCAGTTGTAGAACCTTGAATCAATAACCGCGGTTATGCTTCCATGAATGCTTTAAAATTAAAGGTCACCCACACACCGCGTACAGTGTCCGTACTGTGCGTTTTTCTTACCATATCCTTCATGTCTCGATTTTCATCTTTTAAAAGGTATTTTTCGTGTTCCAGATCTTCAAATGTGTGCAACAATGAAATGCTACGTATAGAATCGAGAGTTGGTGATTTGTAAAGATCGATCGTCAACGGATATCGGGGAGAACGGGGAACGATGCTTTCTCAGCATATCTCTGGTTGGTGATTCGTCGCGACTCTGCGGTTAGGTGGAAAATATTCTTTTGAAAACTGGCTTTAATTAACAGTTCCTATTGAATGCTGAAGGTCATAAGGATGATCTTTTCTCAGATAAATGCAGAGAAAAAGAATCTTTATAGGTGGACTATCACGTAAACTAGCAGTTTACAGACCCACCTCCATAAGCTAGCAGACTATCGAATCGCATGACCTTTAGTAAAAACTTTCAAAGCGCTTACTGTTACACCATAACTCACTTCCGAAGAATTTGTTAGGAAGCCGCTGTCAGCTTGCTTTGGATAACCTGAACGCCCGGAATCGTGATGGGCTTCGTCCCGCGTTAAACTGCGGGTTAACGCTCGTGGTGATCTCGTGGCTCGGTCGTCGGTTACATTAGACCGACGCATGCGGACAGGTGATCCGTTGTAATCCATTAAAGAATTATTGTCAGCTTTTTCCATATAAAAACAACTACAATATTCGCGATGGAACAGGTGATTACGTTATATGGAAAGGGCATCAGTGGTCACGAATCCCAACTATATGAACAAAAAGCAGAAAAAAACTTGAACATGCTACTAGAGTCCAGACGTCCCATATAAAAAGCTGTCACTACAACTGCGACACTAAAACTGCAAGATTATGATTATAAGTGCATCTGGTCGGTAAACTGTTTGTCGAAAATTCCATGCGGAAGAAACTGACAAGCAGATGGGTGTGGCGAATCTGGCGAAGCGATTCGCATCATATATGCGTATGGATAGGGAACATATGGAAGTGCAGTTTCCTCGAAACAGCCGATAGAGGCATTTTCAAGAAAATCTCTTCAGTACAGATTTCATGTCTGCCATGGATTAGGAAACATCAGGAAGTTACTATAGAATACTTTTCAAGGTGTCCTGACTGCTGCGGACGGAGTGAGTTGTCGATGGTACGAAACCGTTGTCGGCAGCACATCGTGCGTTCGATTGTGACATTGTTGTATGTGTAAAGTGGTATTTAAGTGCGCGGAAGGTTGACTTACTCCTCAACACCATTAAATGGGTGTTTTCAAGGTGAAAGTTTAGAAAGCTTTCTTCCTAAATAGACTTATTATACTCAATTGCGTGATCCCTGTTAGACAGGTTGCACTGTATAAGCGCGTTCGAGGTGACATATATATTCTATATGTTTGGCTACGAGCGCCTCTGTAACCAGTTTTGCGCCGTGCTGTTGCCTTTTTCGCTAAATTGGTCCGTTTGCGAAAGTTCACATAGCATAAACGTGGCTTAAGACGATCCGTTCGTAGCGTTAAAAGCATTTCCGGTACGAAGGTAGAACGGGGGTGCGGTGCCGCACGTACATACTTAATAATGAATGACCACGGCCATGCAGTAGGTCGAACGTGCATGTAATATTATATAGTTGTTGTATGCTGTGCAGTTTATTACTTAATAATTGTTATTGTACATACTTATGGAATTGGACGGCACTCGTACAGTGCATTTTCTGTACGCACAAAACATAAGTGGTGGTGAATTGCACGTACAATATTTATTGATCAGTTTCAGTTAAAACAACAGCACTTAAATTTACAGTATGCATGGTAAAACTTCTTTTTTTATTTATTTAGAGGACTAGTGTTTTTTTTTCAGTGGAACAGTGAATTTAATTTATTGTTAGTGGCCTCATGCACATTCAGATTTTTAAAACAAACTTTCCGAATTACTGTAAGTACGAACGTATTAAACGTTCCTTAAATGCGTAAACAATTAAACATATATCTATGTACGGAAGTCGATACACATTGTCTGAAAATTAAAGCGCAGAATAAGCCGTCGCCAAAACTGAACTTGACATTAAAATAATTCTTCGGCATATAAATGAGCTGATGTGTAAGTAATGCTTTCATCTTTTTCTAAATGGCATAGAAGTAGTTATTTTTTTCGTATTCGGAGGTTATACAATTTATTGTTAGCATGATTACTTATTTTCATTGCTACTGCCGGTGGTAAGTACAACTAGCAGATACAGTCTATCGTTGTAGGTTATCATACACAAATTTATTTGGTTAACGAAAATGATTCATTCTTGGCAAAACTAGTTTTGTTATTGCTTGTCCGTAGGTCCCGATGTAGTGCATCGTCTGAAAAACGTTAATACGCATTTGACCATGAAAGTAGGTAAATACGTGTATAATGCATATTGCACGAAATAATGCATATTGCACGAGAGTGCGAAGAAAGAATTTTGTATTGTTAATATATAACATGCATGTACGTATAGAATTTAATACATTCCAGGATGTTTACCGAGTAGGACACTGTAGCCTTACCAGCTTATAAAACATACACATCAGCTGTAAAAAAAATAAACAAAGAAATGTGTGAGATGGTAATTTGTAGATTTTTTCGTTCAATCGGCAGCACTAACGTCGTTTTCGTCTTCGCCATTTGGACAGTGACGCTTCCCATCGCAAAGCATGCTACTAGTAATACAGCGATACCTGCAAAACTGCTTCTATAAGGCAAACAGCTTTTATGGTGTCACTGTACTGTTTCTGTTTAATTTTAAGTGAAAACGACAAAAACTCTTATGTCCATGGCAAACAAAAACATATACGTAACCTGGTAAATGTCACTCACCGTCCCCTTCTATCCAGCGTTGGACATGTAGCTTTTGTTACAGACTCATCATTCGGATGGCAGTCTGAAAAAATTGCAAACGCATGCGATTCAAAATTCACGCACGTTACCTTTGTAAAAACCGTATGCTATAATTTGCAGGTTTTATATAAAAGATGTATTTATTTATGCAGTTAAAAACTATGCAGAAAGTGATAATATGTAAATAAACTTATTACCCATCCGGCATCACAAGGTCTAGACAGCTTTAAAAGAAAGCAGCTTTAAAACAATTTAGTTAAACGTTAGTTAAAGGTCAAAATTGGGGTACATCCGTTCACCTAGCGGTAATTACCCGTTCAATTAACGTTTTTTGACACACTGTTTTACCCGGGAAGTCTGTACAGCATGCGTGACGCTATTTCTAAAAAAAATCATTAAGGAAGGCGTTCAAACGTTCATAAGAGATTAATGCATATGAAGTTTATGAACTTATTACATGATACATCTACGTATAACCCTGAAAATGTTCGCTTTCTATACTTTAAGAAGTTAGCAAAACAATATAGCAACCAAGGACAATTTTGAATGCTTTTCCATACCAAATGCGCCCGAATCTCCGAGTGCCAGACTTCCGGCACCACTTTCGAGAGCTTCGATCACTAAGGGCTGGCGTTCAGCTCGCTTAGACTTGGTCACCTTTTGGATGTTTGTAAGGTCAGAGTCACCTACCGTGACCTGAGTGCGTTCTGGGTCAGAATAAAGAAATTTTTGTACGATAAACTGCGGATCGGATTTCGGAACAAAGTGGACCAAGTTGAGGATAGCTTGCTTCACGGAATCAGAGTCGGACGTGGTGATAAAACCCGGGTATGTCCACAGCGCCGAAATCTGCATGGGAATCAGCAACGATACACACGTTGCGGCCGTGATAAACATCCAGCGCAACATTGTCGGTCTTGTTTTTGCAATATTAAGATCGCTTTCAAGAAGCAGATAATCTTGCTGTATTATCGCCGCGCAAATAATTATTATATAGAAGTTTGTACGTTAATATCCGATACCCTACGTTAGAAATACAGTGTAGGTCAACATTTTTGACGCAGTCGCTAACTGCGTCAATCTGGAGAGGCACAAAGATGAAATAACGTGAATTAAAATTCAACTTCCGCTGGAATCCGCTATCAAGTGGATCCTGTAGTACTCCGTACATGCAATAATATTGTGACGAACTAGGAAATCCCGATAAACCCTTTGGTATTTCTGATATACACCTTTCGGTAAACTCTTTTGCAGTGATGAAGCGACTACGGTGCAAAAACATCCGGAATTGTTCTCAACTGGATTACGTTGCCAGATGTGGCAATTTTTCATTTGAAAACACACAACAGTTGCAGTAGCGGTCACAACTAATCTTTGCGGTAATATCACCGTTCAATATGTATATCAACTGACATACTTCATTGCACTACAGCTGGTTGTTCGTGTTACCCATAAACTATACCTTTTTCTGAAGAATTCTACACGAAAAATTTCCTTCATTGAACATTCATAGACTACAATTACGCTTTAGTTACCAACGCATCAAAACGGTATCCATAAAATAACAAATTAGAAAAGTAAAATTCTTAAAAATGGAGAGGAATACCACAGAACCGAATACGCAGTGCATATAACAACGAAATTTTCTGTTAAGACCAACGGTTAATTTTTCCCATTCTGTACAACAATAAAACTGTAAGAGACTCCAACTACAAGGAATCCTTATCACCTTGGCGCAGGGTTCACAGGGCACTCAGTTCGACTGTGGTCACACATTCCTTAATGGACATTTTCCTTCAACCAGTAGCTATCTTTTTGGCAGGATTTCGCCGTTTAAACAACAGACCTTGATCCACTGGCATCAGAGGCGCCACAAGATTTTCGTCCATTGCTTTGAAAGTTGCGGCAGTTACAGCCTTCAAATGGTTTTTAAAAAAATTAGCAATTACCAGGAACTTCTGTACGAACTTTATACAGCAGTTTGCAGTTACCTTTAAGTGTGCCAAATCTGGCTGGTCGGCTCTTCTTTGTATACTGCTTGGAGCATTTCGCATCCTATAAAAAGGAATGGATTAAAAAGAACATTCCCTTTCAACGCATACACGTAGGGCGAACGTTTTATATAACCCTCGCCGTCCACTCTACTTACCAGGGATGCTCCAATATTTGCCTGGCGGTGAGACGCATTTGCGGGTCAGGATGTAGCATCCGCTTAACCAAATCCTAAAATACAACCCTCAATCAAGTTGACAATTCGACAGAAAGCCAAATATTTTTGCCAGACCTTAGCGGAATCGGATATATGTGACCAGACACCACCACTAAACGGAATTGAGCCAGAATCGATTCGAGCCAGGATTGTGGAAGGCTGGTCGGAAGGCGTGTGCACATAGGGAGATTTACTGAAAACCAAATGAAACCAAATGGGAACGTTGTAAATTTGCGGGAAACAAATAGCGCAAAAACCCGTCGGACTAGAGCGAATACCGAAGGGTGCTTATCATCGCTGTTTATGTCGGTAACTGTGTAGAGAATTATATTTTGTGTCCCTTAGCGGAACTTAAAACGCACGGGCGGTGGAATACACACCCAGACAACATAGTATACAGCAGTATTCCCAGACTCCACACATCACAGGCTGCATCGTATCCTTGGCGTTTCAGCACTTCAGGAGCGCCGAACTGAAGTGTGTAACAGGGCGTCATGAGCAAACCGTTTTCAGCGCGTAACTGCTTGGCAAATCCAAAATCACAGATGCGAAGACTGGATGCATTACTGTCTTTATCCGCATACATAATATTCGACGGTTTCAAATCCCGATGAACCACCTTTCCAAGCAAAACAGTACGTATCAGTACTGACCATAATGAAATTCAGCGTAAAAAATGTTTAAATAAAAAGTACGCAGATTTACACAAATACACTCACACACCCCATTCTGATGCAAATAAGCCACGGTTTTCGCAACAGTTTCCAAAATAACTTTGGCCTCGAATTCCTGGAAGTACTTGTTAGCAAATATCCGATCAAATAATTCTCCTCCGCGCAACAGCTCCATTATCAGATACACATAATTTTTGTCCTCAATGGTCTGCAATTTGTTAACAGTTAAATACACGGTTAGGACGAGGCATTCACCGATGCTGCTATTTCGCAGCATCTCACATCAGCCTCACAGGGATAACAAAAGAAATTACACACCTCATGCAGTTTGACGATATTTGGATGTGAACCATATCGCATCAAAATTTCTACTTCCTCCTGTGCGTCACGTTTCAGCCTGTCAATTATCTAGGAACAGACATCCCCTTATTTCCAGTTCTTCATTCAAGTGAGCACTCAATGCATACCTTCACGGCATATTCCACGCCTGTGGTCTTATGGATGCACCTTCGGCATGTTGAGAAGGATCCTTCACCGATTTGCTAGGGAATCCCACTCGCAGATAAAGACTTTGATTCAATATCCGCATTGTTTAAACCTCACCTCTTTCAGCTCGTAATCATCAGTAAATCGACTGGGCGGTCCAACCGCAAAGCCCTGCACAATAAAGGGAAAATTTGCGTAAGTAGATACTGTAAGCACGCAGCACAATGAACTACAAGCACAAATCTTCTACAAATAAAGTAAACATCGCATAGATCACATTTATCATACGAGTAGTCATTTATCGTTGTCATATCTTGAAATAACGTACGATTATTTACCGAAGTTCATTTCGGGTCAGCTTAAGACTGGTGCAGATAAGTGTGCGGTACACGGTACGGCAAATTCAAAATCATTAACGTAAGTTATGAAAATTTATCCAACTAGCATAAAGTAATTAAATAAAATATGCAAATAAATCACCAATACAACTACTGGTTTACAGCTGAACCTGCCTTCATCTTCTGGCAACATTTTTGTATCCCCTATTCTGTGTTCCCTATAGTTTTTGGTCAATAAAACCCAGAAAAGCTACTGAACAATATGAGCACACGCCAAACTGTTGAGTAATTTGTTGAACTTCGAACTAACCTTCAATGCCGGTATCTGACGCAGTTTGTCTCCATTCGCCACATCGCTAAGCAAACAGGGCGCAACAAAACTAAATCCCCGAAAGAGATCATGAGCGGCAGCACTGGGTGGTATCCCAGGAGAATCTGTTAACAAAGAGAAACAGAGGAATCGACACACTAATCCCATCATCCATACACCAGTCGCATCATTTCTCATCCCTTCAACTATCAAGTGACTTCCGTCCCGCTCATGCCGCAGCGCTACCCGTACCTTTAGGAGTTTTCATTGTGAACTCAATATCGAAACAGTTGGTAGCATCGTCCACGTTAAGAGAGCAGACCGGCTTAAACGGCGGGGTAATCTGCTTTTTCGCCAACCGTGGCCAGTCAATCGTAGCAAAAAAGGGATGACTCTTAATTTCCTCAACTCCTCTCTCACCAGCACCTAAACAACATATCATCCCGCATGTTACAGTCATCAAAAAGCGCCGCTCGCTATGTGACAGGTTTTATTACCCAATCGATTCCCTGGAATCCGCTTAAACAGTGCCCGCAGTAGACTCTGAGCATCGGGTGACAAAAACGGCGGCATACCCAGTTTGGCCCTGCAAGCCCACAAAAAGATTTGTCAATATGACAACCAACAATTACAGGATCATTTCGCTACAGCATAAATTTTTCCCATGCATACTTTAGTATCAAATTCATGGTTTCTTTGCGGTTGGCCCCTTGGAATGGAAGTTCACCAGTGAGCATTTCATACTGAAACAACCATTTTATTACTATTGCTGGATGTGTAATTCTTACCACGGAGCAATAAAGAAGTACCATTAGAACCCCGAACGACCACCAATCAGCGGCACACCCGTGGCCCTTACGATTCACCACTTCCGGTGCCATATACTCCACAGTCCCGCAGAACGAATAGGTCTTCTCCCCATCCACCGCCTCTTTGCTCAATCCGAAATCGGTCAGGCTAATATGACCATCGGCATCCAACAGAATACTATTAACACAATTATAAACTGACACCATTATGAAAATTTTTACGAATCTACCGAAACAAAAATGCAAACAAAACCATCAGGATATAATTGCAAAAAAAACTAAAGCTGATTCAACAGCTACATGTGACAAAAAGTACATAGAGTTGATGGATTAGTCACTTACTTTTCGGGTTTAAGGTCGCGGTAAATTATACCCCACTTATGTAACTGATCCATCGCCAGCGCAAGTTCGGCTAGATAAAACTTAACATCCTCTTCCGTAAACATAACCTGCAAAAGTGCTGTGCTAATCAAACGTCGTTCATCACGTAACGTCTACAAAATCAAAATAAACAAAGCCCGTATACGAACTTCTTTTGACAGGCGACTGAAGAGATCTCCACCGCGCAGAAAATCCAGTATCAAGTATAACTTCCCTTCGGTTTGGAAGGCTACGCAAAACAACAATGGATTAAAATAAGAATGAGTACACCAAATTTCCGATAAATTATCAGTACCGTAATGCAGTTTCACAATAAACGGATTATTCACTTCAGCCAGAATATCGCGTTCCTTTTTGGTCCTCATGCGATCACGATCTGTTCCCACGCATCAGGATTATCAAAAATCAAATGAAGTTGAACATATTAAATGGCATTTAACTCACATTTCAAGGTAGCTTTCTTTAACACTTTCATCGCATATAAAGTATTTGCATCTTTTCCTGAAATTTTCCGCACCAAAAATACCTACAATAAAATAATTATGTAAAACGCTAATCTCAATACTTGCATATTAGATGGTCTATGTATAGCATAACTGTCGAAAACCCATAAAAGCTTCTGCTAAAAAATGAAAGGTCTAACGGTGTAATTTCAGCAGCACAAATCTCACCATCTGGCAGAAATTCAGCCAAACATCTTTTACGGGCTAAATATGTGATAACTCCACCAGATGTCTATAATGAATATCCTCTATATCAGCTACAAGTTAACAGTACTTACTTTACTGCTACACAATAAATCAAACAAATGCTGTAAAATTATTATTGTAACCCTCTTCCTGGATACAAACAATTCAAAATCCCAAGTTCCATTAAGTAAATACTTTGCCGAATGAGCCTTGTCCGAGCACTTTCAACAGTTCAAACTGTGTTGGATCGCCCTTCTCGCAACCTTCCTTGGTAATGTTTATAATTTCACAGATTTGGTCCCGATCATCCTAGAAGGAAGAGTCATGAATAACGACACAGAAAACGAAGGTTCGCTGAGCAATCATGGAGTACTAGAGTCTAGAAGCCCATACCGCAAGCAATATGAAGCTAAACATATTTGCGCATACCTACGTGAACACAGTGTAGGCTAGTACAAGGCTACCGAGAAACCACCATAAAATCGTCGACAGTTTATTGAATTACCGCTATATCACGTCATTAGTCACACACGCATCTCTCGTATAATATCTATCATCTATCGGGGTAAATCTTAACTCAACATATATAATGCATTCATTGCGCGAAAAATATTCATACATTTATGAAAGAATTAAACGTTCAATCGTTGTGTTAAAATAATCTGGAAAAAAATGCCGATAATAGAAGATAATAAGTAGAGTTTTCAGAGAATTTAACATATCGCTGTACCTATAACATGATCGAAAAACGATACCACAACAGTTTTGTATAACCAATATTTACAAAACTTATGTTATTAATTACCGTATGAAGCAATAGAAAATTTCAAACAAAATCATGACAAATCACGAAAAATTCGATCTAACTAACCAACTAATTATGTATTAGACAAATCTAAAAAACCAAGAACAGTCAGAATAACGAATGATACTGAGGTGCTTGCTACATTTACAAAAAATTGTAATTGTAACTAATGATTGAAATCCGTAACAAGAAACAGTCGATTCTAATAACAATTACTAGCACAAACGAAAAAAATACACACTTATCAAGCATGAAATTCATCAAAAACTATAATTCGACGTTTAATGCAAGAATTAGCTGAAACTGGCATGCAAGCTCAGTGCCGCAGACGCAACCGTATGAATTACAGTAATGTAACGAAGTCAGGATATTGAATAATTAAATACCTGCATTTCTTCCTGCCCGGAAGCGTCAGCCTCGTCAACAACCATATCATCGGATGGTATTCCCTAATAATGAAACCAAAATTACCAACCAGCTGAGAAATTATAGCACAGCACATTTAACTGAGCTGTCGTGCGTGAGCGTTAATAGATTTCTGATCTGACAAATACCAAAAATATACAGGCCGCGTCCGCGGCAGATGACGCCAGCTGAAATTTTCACCAACAAAGATAGCGATCACTTAACGCCCCTTGTCAAGAAATACACTGAAACTTTAACCACACTGTCAACATAACGTAAACATCTAAAGTAAAACACGATCGGGATCGTCTCAGGTTCAAAATGCCCTTCCAAAGAACGCCATATTTCTCAACTACGGCGCTGTGCAATGTGCCAAAGTACAATGTCGTCTAGCCACTGCACTACGACTAGGCCTTCTAGGAAAACACACACACAATGTGAAAAACGTAAATTTCGTTAGAATCCATGATTAGTTTTTTTGTTGCCGTGAGGGTATTAATAAGCAGAAGAGGAAAAACTGCTGTCCTTGCCAGAAAAGTGCTTAGTTGGGCGCACTTACCACCGAAACCTCTTCAATATCCATTTTTTGCCAAGGATCCGCTAACTGGGGTAGCGGCATTTTACTCTGGATGGGTTTCCACAACGCGGCCACTTCTGACGAGCCAAACAATCGCTCTAAGCAAAACGTATAATCAGATAACGGCCAGATGAACTGTAAAAACTATTCCAGTGGAAAATCAACTAAACAACTGAATTAGCCCAATTGCACTCTGCAAGTGCAGCATCTGTGCAACACTACGGAACGTCGCAAAGATTTCCCAACTTTGATCATCGTTGTTATTAGTGTTTGGGTCTCTCAAGAAACTCCCAATCGCTGATCTGTATTATGCGCTATTTTTCTGGAACCCATTAGTGATCGTCTAAGCATTCGCGAAATCACACATACCAGTCTCAAATTTGCCGTAAAGCAATACGACCGCTCAAACAAACGGGACCACTACCATCAGCCAGACTGCTTTGCCCTTCAATTTTTCACCGTATGGTTTACACAAAGATATCTGGAAGAGACATACATTTAAATCTGGATTAATTCGAGCTGCTAGAACAAATAGTTTCCGTTTGGTTTGAAGAGGAATGACAACAAAAAGAGGTACTTCTTCGTACTGTACATTTTCATCCTTTTTCTGTTTCGTTACCGTTAATATGGTTAATCACACAAGTCGCAGTAGTATTGGAATCAGACTACTCGTACTAATCGGTGCAGCGCCATGATGTTAATGTGTATGATTGGTACGGTTCCGCTTTATAAGCCTCACGAACTCACGTACCTTGTACCGCAGGCTCACTATTTAAACTTTAAACACATACTACGAAGTACGAGTAGTACTGCGGTGCACACTGCGCGTGCCATTCTGGGGCTTTACAAAAAATTAATATTTAATCGTTAATTACAGTACGTACCGGTAGGCGGTAGTTGCCCGTTTTGCCCGATAGGTTAAATTAAAAGGAATTAGAACAAACTCAACAAAGCAGGAAATCGTATGATTCGTATCGGTGCACGTATGCTTTTAGTAAAACAATAAATTATTATTGGTTTTACTGTACTCTAAGGTACCGTACTCTAGTAATTAGTGATAATTAACTAATTATTAAATTCATGGCGATATTGTGACCTTTACAACATATTACAGAACAGTAGAACTATACGACCGCTTTTGTCATCAAGTTATTGCCTTCTTTCTCTTATGAAACAAGCCCTTATCCTTAATTTCATTTCATTTGCAATCAAACCTGATACGCACCTGGTTAAAATATAGTAAATACTAATTGTAAATAAAATTTCCATACAGCAGCCGTACTTAAGTTGTGTACCTTACGTACACAGTACACTACAAAAATACGGAACCGTGACGAAATACTGTAACGTTTATTATTAACAAGTAAGTATTAAGTTTATCGCCTGATAGACTGACCATTATCACCTGATTGATTAATAACACACTTAAAAGCACGACAGCAGACTTTCTAGAATTACTGCAACAAGCAAGCAAACATATTAACGCCTTCGAAATTTTTCGACGTCGCAAACTTTATGAAATGTCTAAACACTACAGGTAAGCGAGGCTCCAAAACACTGCTATTGTAGCGCGCAAGCTACAGAGATGCAGCGACCAAGCTTCTGCGAATTTAATCAGCGTAACAGGCAAAATCACAACGGACAAATGAAATCCAGCTTATAAGAAATTCGAAAAAACAATCGTTAGCCAACAGAGGATATAACGGTAAAAATCTATTGAAAATTTCAAATCTCTTAAACTCGTTTCAACTTCGTAAAATGTAACTCAACAAAATGTGCGCACAGGCAGTGATCGTGTTACCAAAAATAACGCGTAACCGCAAGCATGATTCAGAACATAAACGATAAACTATCTACAGAAAATGCTTGGAATCTGTCACAATCAATTATGGAACTCAAGAACGAAGGTATTTAGAAATAACCTCTTCTGTGAAGCAAAGTTCTTCAAGTGGATACCTAAACAAAAACAATGTGTCAAAGGTCAGTACGAACTACGAAGCCTTTGTAATTCAACAAGCAAATCACCATGAGCATGAATGTTATAACCAGACAATTATTATGTTCCAGAAATAACAACAGCACGCATCATTATAGGTCACAAAAATGCGCTTACGTTTCGCGTTTGCCATTTTTGAATTTGATCCGTATTTTGGTGTCAGATCCTTCTCCAGAAACTTTATCTATGGTTCCATCTATCATCGCTTTATCGTTACCACCGTAATAGAAAATTTCCCGACCACCTTTCAAAACTTCTGTCAGAGGAAATATGCAATCGGTGTGCAACTTTCTTGGCTCGGATTCTCCGGTAAAGAGCACATTGTAAACGTTTGCATCTTTTTCCACCTGATCTTCAAGGCTTTCGCCTGTATCTGCAACGCCTTCAACTTCCAGATTTTCACTGTATTCCGTGTTTTCGTGTTCATTCCCTTGTTCAGTACTGTTGCCAGCGTCTTCAGCTTCTTGAACATCAAAGCCGGTAACGATCACTCCAGCATGATAGCACTGGTCTGTCCATTCGGCGAAAACGCAATCACCTACGATAGGTCGGGATTTATCGGATAGACGACGATTTTGTCATGAATGTCAGCCGCTGACTTACTGCATACGTAAAAAATGAAAACGCCTAGGCTTGTAATCAGACCAACCGAAGCTCCATAATACAACAGGGATTCCGCGTACGCGGAACAGAGCAGCATTCAAAAGAAATAGAACCAAGTTATTAAATTTTACCGCTCTTGAAATCGGGTTGATCAACCACATCATCTTCTTCCTCGTCACTATTTCCGTACGCGATATCGTTCTCTTCCAGCTGATCATCTTCACCTTCACTCTCTTCGTCGCTGTCTTCAGAATACACGGTAGCCACTCCGCTGCTGGTGCAACTGGATGGGACAGGATCCTCCAGAGGACGGTCATTGATAAATTCGATTTCACCATCTGATTCGCCGCCTCCATCCAAATCACTATTAGCTGGCTCTTCGTCTGATAAAACCGAGGTTTCACTCGGATAGTCACTGTCAACGTCAGAATTGTCCAAATCGGGTTCAGCGCCAATTGAAGCATTTGTGGGTCGATTAATTGCAACCAAGTACTGGTCATAGTTGATCGCAACGTCTCGAAACCTTGCTCTAACAAGTAAGATCATGGAAGTAAACGCAAAAATGTCATTTCACTTTATATACAGCTTTAGGAAAACTTGCACTACTACACTGGCACTGTTACTACTGTAGATATATCCAGTGTTATAATCAGCTAACAATAAGATGTGCCAAATTGCCAATATACCTGCAGATCTTCTTGAACCTTCCTTTCCCTTTCTTAACGCGAGTAATTTCGACCTTAAAGAGTGGCGGCTGTCCAGTTCTGTCTAGTTGTTCCAGTAATACTCCCGATTCGTAATGTTCCGGCGCCCGGACAATCGATCTGTCGCTATGCGTAAACAGCCATACCTCCTCATGCTCCTTCAACCACACGGAGGGACGAAGTAAATCACGTTCCGAAATTTCTTCGATTCGGCCAGAGTCCAAAAACTCCACCAAATAATGTCTATTCAACACCACCGCAAAGAAAAACTTAAACATTAAACACACTGTGTCTGCCAACGGTACTTACCCCACTCTGGCCGTAGGAACACGACTAATTACTGCCGGATAATAAGCACTGCCATATTTCGCCAACGTATAATGACCTAATGCAAGACACGCACTGAATTATTCAATGCAAGCTCCAAACCAACCAAGTTTATGGCGAAAATGTAAGTCAGCAGGTCACCTGCAATAAAAGACTTTTGTTGAGCAAGCTTGTCCAACTTCCGTTTCTCCTCATTGTCGGAATCAGAGGTATCCGAATCCAACGCGCTAGCTCGCCTTCCCAAGCTGCGCTTCTTTCGGGGTGACATCGTTTCGTCATCAGACGATTCGCATACATCTAAATACATTCAGATGAAAAACCACTATCGCACAACCAAATATTTATAATAAATAATTAATATTATTTGTATCACTGACTAACGAGCGAAAGGCTCCTAACATGAGTACGGTCGATAAAAAAGAAAACTGACTCCAAAATAATATAGGCCTTTCACCTGTGTAGTTTCGACCGATTTGAGGATTTCGCGGTCGAAGGCCTTCGTTCAATCTGGGATAATACGGGATTTCCGGCGATGGTTGTCTAGCGCGGTTTTGATCACCACTGTTGCGACGCTTGCGCTTGCTAGCTGCAGTGCAACATGCATTATTAGAGAATTTCAAGGATGCATACAATGCATAGTTATATGGCACGGTCTGAATGACATATTATCGTTTTTAAGAATACGGGAATACAAGGGAAACTTCATCCGAACTGAATTTTCGACAGCATATCCATAAAGTCAATATTTCTTACGCGAAAATTCCATTGTTAAGCAATAATCTTGAGAACTGCCTGGCATGCCATTTTCAGAAAATTGGGCATCTTGACGGTTGGCTGCATTCCGCGATGAGTTTTCTGCCATTCCCACTTGCTGGATGTTGCCAACAGTCTGTATGCAAACCACGAAATATTAAAGAATAGCTACGATCACGAAATGACACTGTCAAGCAACATGAAAATATACTTTCTCAGCCTCTATGACAGCCATTTTGAAGGCACTTGCAAATGTGTCGCCGCTCATTTCTACGTCGTATACTTCTTCGACGAGAAAGGGTACGGGCTGCTAAAAAGTAACAAATATTACAAACCCGATTTTCACGAAGCCGATAAAACACATTTCGAAACTAACAACACGGTTAGCATATCTCAGTCACGGCAGAAAACCGGAAAAACTTTCTCAACTATAATAAAGGATACAGATGTGTGAAATTATCACACAACTGCATTTTATGCTACGCTAAATGAATGTCATCTTGATTGCGCACCTCAACAGGAACGATAGCAGTAGCATTTTCCTTCGCAGAGAGAACACGGTACTTGGTGGGCCCCTTGGCAAGGTCCTCTGGAGCACTGATGCACATTGTAAACCATTTTCGAGGGTTGATCAATGCGTTTTCTAGTAAAGCTAACTGTTCAGGTTCGCTCCTTCCAAACAGTTCGTCCGGCGCCATACCCAAAAGAGATTTTGTAACTTCGTTATCTAGGAATGCCGCAACTTCCACCAAAGGGGTTGCGTCCGTTAGCACAACCTGCCGCACGAACAGCTCTTGCATAAAAGTATTTAAAACAACCGTGCAAAAATTTAAAGATATCTCTGTCCGTTTAACCACGTACCAGTTATACCTCACTTACCCTAACCTTGTATCGATGCTTTGGAAGCGCCTGCGAAACCTTACAAGCATAACAAGTAAACTGCTGTTCCGCCGAAACTTGCAGTCTGCGATTGCATTTTTGGCAACCTTGATAAGTATATCCTGATCCATCAGGCAGAATTTCTTTTATCTGGCAAGAAACAGATACGGGAGAAAATCCAGTCGCTTTTTCTACGACATCTTCCAATGTGAGTAGGTTTTCTACGATATAATCAGTCATGTAATTCATAACCGAATGCCAGAAATTCTATCTGATCAAATATACCTCCAGTACAGACATTTTTTAACTAAACCTAAACCAGTGCTTCCAGTACTGTATGGCTCTAGATGACCACTAAATACTGGAGTTTACTTATACCATTGTTGTTCTGTTTTGCTCCCGACTTCACTGGGGTGCCCGGCGCGGAGGCTCCGCCAGCAGCAAATGTTCTTTTAAGGGATTGAGTTCGTGTATTTTCCAGATCCGTAAACACAAAAGTATTCCAGGCTGTTGCAAAATAAGTTCCATATTTAAAACGGACGTTTTTCAGGTAGAAAATCATCCCTTCTTGAATGTATTCCGGGAACCGTTGCCTGTGATCCGGCCAAATGGTAAACTTCAGTGTATCGGTGTCATCGGAAATTATGGCAGAAATCCTCTCGTCGTGCGAATACTGTTCGATGCGTTCCACGCGAGCCAATATATCTGTCCATCAAACAGAAAGTCGTACAACAAGTTGGCACAAGCGCATGACTTAAAAACCAAGAAAATTTGGGATGTCTATTGTCCAGGGCGCAGACAGGACACAGAGCTAAGAGTATCGTACTCGTATTACATCTTACCTGCTAAGCCTTCATTTTTGTCAATCTTTTTCAACAATTCTTTTAGCGTAGGGGTTTTCAAGGATAAAGCGGACAGGTACAACGACATGGAAAACATCTCTGAATTGTTTGAAGGAGTCAAAATAATGTTGCTGGCCCATCTTTGGAGAGTTTCCTCAATGTGATCATACTGCTTCGAACTGGGCTTACTGAAAGCGTCCAGGTACACCGTGGCACGCTGCAAAGCGACAGGTTTGCAGATAAAACGACGACATCCGTACATTCACAGTGGCAACAATCAAACAATGACGTTACTCATGTCTAATCAAATAATATTGAAACATATGAGTGATATGACATTACGTAAATTATTCTCTCATTCAATCAACGTTAACGTAAATTAAAATATCTGCATAATTTTTGATACTGATACTGTTGAACTAATGATTTCCATTAACAGTTATTACAAAGAAGCTAAAAAGCTCATCTTACAATATACGCATTCATGACATAATGGCAATCGCTGCAGTGGAAGCACGTACGATGCGTCAAAAAAGCGGAAACGCCTTAAGCGAGTCCTCGTACAATGGTAAAACTCAAAAATCCAGAAACCAAAAACTGTTTACCATGCCATTGGGCGTAGCTCGACTGGATTTGGTTCCAAGAACATTCACTGCAACCTTCTCACGCAAGTTGACGATGGCAGACTGATGCTGATCTCCCATCAGCACACACACGTAAGCCTTCGAATCGTGAGGCACCCAACCAAGAACGGGACCGCAGATTCGACTGAAATCGAAAGCAGTAAACACACCTGAGCACAGTCCGCTGCATTTGCCTGTGCGGAGAGTCAGAATCAGCAGTCCTGCTTACCTCGCACTGATTTCCATGCTGGGTCGTTCGCAGGATCGAATCCCGATCAACGTATCGACACTGCACTCTTTTCGGATATCTTTAAGACAATATCAACACTCTCTTCGCATGCTGCACCAGCTTGGCTTTCACGGGCATTTCTTGTAGTTTCCACAAAACAAGGATAAAAATACACCTAGTTACTGTTACACGTACAAAACTATACAAAAGGCGACAAGGCAATACAAAGAAGTATTATAAGTCTTAAAATTCTCTCCTACATGCTCTCAAGTAAGTACCGAATAAGCTACTCACGATTCATAAACAATTTTTGTAGTTCGACATGTTCGCTGTTGTAAAGGAATTTTGGCACTCATGATTTCATTTGATTCCATCGAGGTGCGGCTTCAGATGACTGGCCGCACAGTGTACACACGTGACACGGCCGCATTGTACAGACGCCGCGATCTCGCAGTTAGCGGTTACAGTAATTTCATTGACCACGGCTCCTTCATTGTTCGCATCCAGCCACCGACACCGACACTTTGATCGGTCAAATGAGGTAAATCATGTCCTTTTCACAGGGAACAAGCAATAATACTGGCAGTCTTACAGATTTAATTCCCCAGCCCTACGGTACACGGGTACAGTGATGACTGTAATGTGTATATCACAGTACTAAAAATTTCTAAAATAGTAAATAAATAAAATAATAAATCTTGAGCCATGATAATACTGTATCAGGTATCCCTTCAGCCCAAAGCGTTCGTCATTCATTGTGGGAATGAAAGCGCTTCCGGTTGGTGGAATAACATTCTTAACATACCATGGACTACCTATTCCTTTGTTTTTTGATTTTGTCATAGTCGAATAACGAAGGTTAAGGGAAACGATGATTTTTGAAAAAACGTACAGCACCACATGCCAAAAATTATTCTGGATCCTTCGCTTACGCGAAACAGACTCAGGATTTTTGGATGTTCGTAATATATTTTTAATGTTATCAATGCAGTCAAGCAGTAAGACTGACCGCAATCAGCCCGTGTTTACCTTTTTAAGTTAACCATAAGTAAATACTAATCAGAGAAGACCCAACCATATACAAAATTTACTCAAGGACGGTTCTTAAATGCCACGGTACATATCAAATAAAGTATCAATTTTGCAGCATTAAAATTCAGCAACACCAAGCAGCATCCGGAATAATAATCACAAAGGCACAGAACGAAAGGTGTACAATCGTTAACGAGAATTTGCATTTTGCTTTGTTTGCAAAGATGTAGTCGTACGACAGTTGACTTCCCGTTGTCCACTGAAGTCGTTTCAGGTCCATGATCACTGATCAGTAACTGCAGCTGGATTATTCTTTCTTTTCATGCTTTTTGTCTTTCAGACAAACCATGAAAAATATCGTATAAAGTACAAATGCACCGGTGATTGCTCCTATTCCATACATGAAGAAGCTTAGTTCCGGATGCTTGTAGCGGTTCTTTCGCAGCCAGTCGAGCACTTGTTGCTCTTCTTTCAGTGAACCTGTCAAAAACCGTTGTGTTAAGTTAACCGTTGTGTGTGTGTATCTTCATTCAAGAGAATCATTCAAACATTGGTAGTTTAAAAATAAAATATAAATCTTTCATAGGTTGTTCCTCACTCTAATTTTTACAGTTGCGGGATAATTATCTACTGTTTGCACGAGACTTAGTTTGTGTAGCAGTGTCGCTGCTTAGTAGTGTAAACCAGTACTGACACGGCATGCGTTGCGATCACATTATAATTCATATTTATACAAGCAGAACAGATTATTAACTGCAAGTAAAAAACTGATAAAACTTTGACATGCAGTGAGTGTATGGACAAGAAGAGGGCGTAACAGAGATTTTTTATTACTGAAAACCAGTGTCTACCTCGGTATATCGCAGGGTACTTCCGGCGGAAATACACAAGGGCAGGGGCTTTTTGGACACCGTACTTGCGAGCCAGTCGACTATCGGCAATTTTTACGAAGCTGATTTTCAGATCATGAGCCTGCTCATCGATCTCCTCTAAATCACGCAGTGCTTCTTCGCACTCATCGCAGTTTTTCTCATCTACAATGCAGTATAGTACTCTGCTGGTGCTAGAGCCCTCGGACAAAACCATTTAGAACACGGTCCCCTTACAGAATAACACCGCAATGTAATCGGTGTCTTCGAGCTTTTTCTCCAGCATTTTACGGGAAATATCCTCAATTTCACCCTTAATGTCCAGAGTGTCCTCACTGGTCAGCCATTTAAGCACGGCATCCTCATCCGCGGGGTCACCTACACGTACCGCACACCAAAGCGTCAGCAGGGCGTAATTAAGCCACAAGCAGGCCGGGCGAGGTCAACAGTGGGTGCAAGCGGGCAACTCAACGGAGGAAGGGTGCAAAAAATGCCAACGAACGAAAGGATTAAAATATGGCGGCTAATTAGATCGTGCCCTAACTGTCAAGTACACTTCCACTACCCATACACTTTAACATTTTTATGCCACAACAAAAAGATTTAATCAAAATTTTAAAAATACAAAAGAACTTGCCAAAAAGGGCAGAAATTACGGAAAACTTTTATCTACTGCATTTGCTTTGAAATCAAGCCAACGTTTTCGAATATAGTTATACTAACGTACACGTCAACCATCTGAAAGCGCACTGATCCTTTGTAACTGTTTGCACCCACTGTGTCCTCGTACAAAAATACCAAGACAAAAAGTTAACTCACCTTCATAAGGAATTGGTCTCTGTTTGCGGAAGTAAACCAGAGCCGGCAATTCAAACACTTTGTACTTCTTGGCCAGCTCACTGTCACGGATTCGGACAAAGTCAATTCCTGTGAATTATGAAAACGGTGGTCAGATACCTGGATGAAGCCATTGCGTATTACGACAGTTTTTCCTGACCATATTGATCACATTCATCATCAATATTTTCCAGTTCCTGCAGAATGTGATCGCTCTCCTTATCATCCTCGTCATCTGAATACAATTGTTATTATATCATCTCTTTATACTATATTCACTTATTTTATAGCTTACAGAAGAGAGCCAGGACAAAATCGCTGTCATGAAGAATCTTTTTGAAGAGGCGGGCATTAACCAGCTCAATTTCTCCTTCGATTTCACGCACATCGTCATCGGTCAACCAATTTAGTACATCTTCGGATTTCTTCAAATCGCCTACAAAAATTCACAGTAACTATAATTATGATCGCTTCGTTGGATTTTGTCGCGTAATTATTTATTGTTTTGAGTTGTTTGATGATATTCTATTCACCAGGGTAAATTAGTGGATTGCCATTCCGGAAATAAACCAGGGCAGGTGGCTCTTTTATTCCATATCGCTTGGCCATCAAAATATCGTTGGCGCGTACAATATCAACCCCGAATTCATCCAGATCATCGTCAATATTTTCCAGGCCTTCCAGGATTTTCTCGCAATCTTTATTATTTGGTTTATCTGCAATAAAAAAATTCAACAACAATAACACAATAACCTATGATACAACTTCTGTATCAAATCTCAGACTGTACGAAACGCTAATCTACACCGCTTCCTCACAAAAATATACGGCCAAATATTCCGAGTCCTCGATCTTCTTCTCCAAAATTTGACGGTTAACGTTCTCAATAGTGTCTTCGTTTTTCTGCTGAGTCAACCACCGTAAAACTTCGTTTTCTTCTTGAAGGTCACCTAAACGCAAAAATTATGTTCAATGCATAAAAAATGCACAGATAATAATTATTAGGTAAATTATTAACCATGTACTCTGTACATGTAAATCATTAGCCATATATTATACCATCATAAACGCTTGGTTCGCCCTCCTCGAAATAAATAAGTGCCGGAAACGATTTCACTCCGTAATCGCGCGCAATGCTCACGTCGGAGGTTTTAACAAAGGCCACACCCAAATTATCCGTGTCATCGTCGATATTTTCCAGTTCACTCAGCGCGGTCATCGAATCCTTGCTGTCAGGACTATCTAAAGGAAGCATGAAAGTCTGTTATTAGCAAGCCTCAAAATAAGACACCACGACGACAATATTCTTGGTATTTCTTACAGAAATACACAGCAACATTCGGAGAAGTTTCAATTAACTTTTCCAATTCAGCGCCCTTAATTTCTTCAATCTGATCATCAGCGTCGGGATTTTTCTGGTCCAATAACCATTCCAGAACTGCCGGCCCTTTACGCAGATCGCCTACAAAAAGTCTCCGTCCGCAAGACACTTCACGTAGTTTTGCACACAGTATGATTTTTAAGCCAAAAAACGTATAAAACATAAAAGACATTTTACCGGCATAAATCGTAGGCTCTCCGTTTTTAAAATAAATTAGAGCCGGGTAAGCATGGACACCGTAGCTTTTGGCAAGTTTATCGTCTTTAATTTTCACAAAGTCAATGTCCGAATGGTGTGCTTCGTCATCGATGGTTTCCAGCTCCTGGATGACCTTTTCGCACTGTTTAACATTATCGTTGTCTGCAATAAAAAGCATTGTGCATTTATGGTCTGCACCTGTTGCCTTTACAATTTTGTACAGTCGTCCACGAAATCACGAAAGAGTTAAACTCACAGAACAGCGCAGCCACATTTTCCTGTTGACTAATAATTTTTTTAAACAGCGGGGCATTAACGTCTTCAATTTCATCAGCGGTTTCCAGAGTATCGACATCCGTTAACCATTCAAGCAGTTCTTCTTCCTTCAGCAAGTCTCCTTTGTAAATATTCGGTTGACCATTGCGGAAAAACACTACGGCTGGAAATTTCTTGACTCCAAAACGTCGTCCGAAATGCACATCACGTGTCTGCACAAAATGAATGCCGAATTCGTGCGCCTCGTCATCGATGTTTTCGAGCTCGGCCAATATCTTTTCGTATTCTGGTGTATCGTCCGTATCTATCACAAATCAATGAGTATTAGCGTTAAAACTTCCCTGCAATAACTGCAAAAATAAGGTGGGTTGTTGGCATCATGCAGTGCCGAATCTACGTACAGAAGTATGCAGCAACGTAATCTTCCTTGTCAATCAGCTTCTGCAACATATCCCGGTTAACCGTTTCGATGGTATCTTCGTGGCGCTGATGGAGAATCCATTTCAGAACTCTGTCCTCATCTTTAAGATCGCCTGTATAATTCATAAAATTATAATCGGACGTGAACGCATTCAACAAAACCATTCTAATCAACGCAGAGCGCGCTCATTGCATGACCATTGTGAAGTAAACGAATATACATTAGCTGTTAATACGCAATGTATGGTACTGTAGGTAGCTTAATTAACAACTTTTCAGCAGCGTGATTATAGTCTTCTGTCTGGCTTTGGTTTAACCAATAATGAAATAAAGCAGCCCAAACCACAAGTATTTTTATTTAAAATTTTTGTTTTCTTAGAGCAATTTTTTCGACGAATTTGTGCTGCTACATTGCTAAATTAACCAAAATGTTGATTTGTAAAAATTAATGTGTTTACCGACTTATTCAAAGAGGTTTGTAGCTAACTCTTGCAGTCTGCGGTTATAAAAAAATAATTAAATAGAGAGAGAAATCTGTGGCTTCTACTGACCGCTGACAAGTGTTATGTACTCAAAGCAGAAGAAAGTGAGAAGTTAGCATTACCATGATAAACACTGGGATGCTTGTCCTCAAAATAGACAAGCGCTGGGAAATCGTGCACGCCGTATTCGGCAGCCAGACCGGTATCGGATGTCTTGACAAAGTGTATATCGTGCTTGTCGGTGTCATCGTCAATGTTCTCCAGCTCTTTCAGTGTGGCCTCCGAGTCGGCCGAATTTTTGGCATCTAGAATTCCCGTGCAAAAAACACACAGGCACATCGTAAAAAATCTCCGCGCAACAGCTGATGAGCGTAGTGCAAACTAATTACAGAAGTATACAGCGACGAATTTTTGATGATCGAGCAGCTTGAGTAAACTGGCCCGGTTGAGATCCTCAATCTCATCGTCCTCGCCGTCCTTCTCACTGACTAACCATTTCAACAAAGCATCCTCATCTTTCAGATCTCCTGCACAGAGCACAGAAATAGCCGGATAAAAATAGTGCGCCATGCCAAATGTAGCATGCAGCCGCGGAGCGCAGCGCAGTGAATTCAATATTCAGTGTGAACCACTGCACAGTACGTACCGGTATACAGAGTCGGAATGTGCTTCCGGAAGTAGACGAGGGCCGGCGCTTTTTTCCCGCCGTACTCTTTCAGTAGCTTGTCATCCTCGATTTTAACAAAGTCAATGCCAAGCTTCTCCGAATCATCATCGATGTTCTCCAGTTCATGAAGAATCGCGTCACAATCGGGACAGTTTTTCTTCCTGACTGGAAGAAAAGTCATTAGAAGCTATGGCGCCTCTTGGATAAATCGACCATCAGAAACGAAGTCCATCGAATCGAAGGCGGCTCGTCAAATTCATAGCAATTTAGGCATAAACCAGCTCTTTCGCTTACAGAAATAGCACGCCACATAGTCGGACTCGTTAACCATTTTCTGTAAAACTTTTCGATTGACTTCGTCGATCTTGTCTGGAATATCCATATTTTCTTCAGATGTCAACCATTTTAACAGCTTTTCCTCATCCAACAGATCACCTAGAATATTTTATGCAACGACCAATCAAGTACTAATAAATAGTTTGATATCTTTCATGTAGATATTTTGTCGCTTGGTTTTCATTTACACCATATTTTGGACAGTAAACAAGCATTAAAACCCAGTAACTTGCCATTGTATACGAGCGGCTCCTGGTTGCGGAAATATATCAATTTAGGGAAAGATTTTACATTGTACTTCCTGCAACACAGTAAATAATCATTAACATTTGGTCATTAATTTTGTTCTAATAAAATATCGTATACTTGGTAACATCCTTGTCGTTGGTTCGCAGGAAATGAATACCAGCGTCGCCGCTTTCATCATCTATTTTTTCCAGCTCCTCCAAGACCGCGTCGCAATTTTTGCATGTATCAGAATCTGCAATATCGGCGCATTATAAAAAACGACTCGAAGTGTTAGACAATATCTCAAAGTCAGCGAGAAATGGAGAAGGTATAAACTGATGTACAGTAAATCGCTAGTCCGCGCCCATGTACAACAATACGTACAAAAGAACAAAGCCACATATTCTTCCTCCTCGAGCACTTTTTCAAGAATTTCCAGATTCACGTTTTCGATGGTTTCCTGCTGTTGTTGCTCAAGAATCCATGCGAGGACAGCATCTTCATTCATAAGATCACCTACAACACGTTCGAATTATTAGCAAAGCCGTTTTAAAGTTTGTACACGCATTCACAAAATTACCTTCGTAGACATTGGGGATGCCGTCCTCAAAATATATCAAAGACGGAAACGTTTCGACTCCGTAGGTGGTGGCGAGCTCTTTATTATCCGTTTTAACGAAGTGTATCCCATGCTTGTCCGTATCATCGTCGATATTCTCCAGCTCTTTTAAGACTTGATCGCATTTGCTACACTTGGGAGCCGCTAGAGCAGATGAAATATTTGGCTCCGTAGAAGTAAAATATGTATAATTATTATACGCGAAAATGCAAGTTTCGTCGCTGTGCTGCAGACTTACTAAACAGAACCACAACATCTTCTTCATCTTCGATCAAATCATCCAGCATGTCGCCTCCAACGTTTTCAATAACATCACCTTCGATTTTATTTGTCGTAAGCCATCTCAACACGGCGTCTTCATCGGTAAGGTCACCTGCAAAACAGCCGCTGACATTAGAATTCCTAAATGGGATTGATATAATCTTAAGGACTTAAGGTTGCAGTTTCCATTATCAAGCAATACCGGAGTACTTTAACGGAATTTCGTTGCGGAAAAAAACCAGCTGCGGCAGATCATCAGCGAAATCTTCGGTTTCGAGAACGTCAGGATCGGAGACTTTGACAAAGTTAATGTCCAGTGCATCCGCTTCATCATCGATGTTTTCTAATTCGGCGAGGACCTTTTCTGATTTTTTATCGTTTTCTTTATCTAAAAAAGAAATTGCACGTCACATTAAAAACGCATTAGCGCAATGTTTGTTAAAAATTAAACCTAATCTTTCACATTTTAGTTGCAAGCAATATGTATTGTTGTCGTGACGTAAGGGCCACAAGGCACAAAGCACGTGCCGCTCATAACAAAACGCGCATTCGTATTGCATATGCTTGTCCTCGCAGTAGTCGTATATGCGCATGATCATAATAATGCTCAGATTCAGACATTCGGGTATCTTCCAACGCCTATGTAGGTTTTTTGTGCATTATGCGCAGTAGAAACGACTGGTAACGTGTGTCATGTCTGACTCTTCGTAATGTGATCAATACTTTCTGGTAATTCTGAAGCATCACAAAGCATTCTTTTGCCAAAAGAAAAATCATTCAGAACTTACTGTTTCTATAACAAAGACAAACAAGCCTAAGGCGTTACAACGAAAATTCGGGAGGCGTATTGTAAAATTATGTCAGTAAATTTTGGCAGTAGCAAAATAATATCACAGCCACGGGTGTACAAGTGGCTACTCGCTTGCATTGTAACAAATAAGGAAAAAATTACGTTAAACCTGTACACCAAACAATCTATGGCACAACGGGAAAAAAACGTTGCAGGATATACCTTCACAAAAAAATTGGAGTCACGAATACTATTCATTTTATTCACAAGTGAAATCTGTTTTGAGCTGTAAAAATTGTCGACGCCGCAAAGATAATTAGTCAGTAAGTTCGTAAGTTCGATGTTGGTTCAATAGGGTTCGCATATTTATCAAAGGAAATGCCATTTTTACTTACAATAAAGAACTGCCACATTGTCGCTTTCTTGGATCATGCGTTCCAGCAGCTGCTGGTTTAATTCCTCAATCTGATCCGGCAATTCCAAACCTTCAATGCCGGTCAACCAATCTAGGACTTTTTCTTCATTCTTCAGATCACCTGATGCGCAAGAGCAGTTTTGACCAACGGTCAATTTGTGACAACACTGGAGAAATAACTGCCGGTTTTCTCATTCCAGCTGGACACTTCCTTGAATACTTGAACAGCCACGGCAGACGGGACTGCAAATTAATGGTATACCGCCGAACAGACAGACTCACCATTATAAATAACGGGCTGCTTGTTGCGGAAGTAGACCAGCGCGGGGAACGATGCGACTCCGTATTGCTTAGCCAGCTTTTTGTCGTTGACTTTGACAAATGGTATCTCAAATTTGTCTGTGTCGTCGTCAATGTTCTCGAGTTCCTTAAGAACTTGTTCGGATTCCGAATTGCCTTTTTCATCTGTTTCAAATAGTACAGCACACATGTGCACTCAATTATTACTAATACGCATATTCGCCCTAGCTACCACGTATGACACCCATACTCAATAGTTATCCTGAATGATCACGTATCATATATAAACGGTTAAAGAGTAAAGACTATCTTATGCAAAAATACTGTATCTCACAAAAACAAGTTGACAGAACAAATGTTCTCCTATTATAAAATGACAATAACGGAAAGGGAATAACTTATATCCATATATTTATACAATGTTGCCGTCGGCTAGTTCAATTATGCGGAAAATTAACCCGAAAAAATGAATCTGTTAAAATAACAACCTCTAGCAATCAGAAAGAAAACTGATAACGCTGATTTTGCAAGGTGCAAAAGTTCGGGAGTTGCGTAAAAAATTTCCATGACTGAATTTGTAATGTGCATGCAATCCTACGCCTAGCTTAAAACCAAAAAACCAAACGTTGTCCAAACCAAAGACGTTAATATGTTGTATAACTTGTATGTATGCTCCATACCGGCAAACGCAGCCTAAGCTTACTTACAAAATATTACCGCCACCAGGTCTTTTTCATCCAGAAGCTTCTCCAGTCCTTGTTTATTAACATCCTCAATGACGTCTTCATCGGAGGCGAAGGAGCAGGGTATCACAGTCAGAAAGAAGCAGAAAGTGAAGATCGTATAAAGGGCTCGGTGCCCGTGCATGGTCAATTAGTCTCAGAACCGTTTCCGAGACCACGCTTAACCATACAATAACGCGTGAAAATTCAACACACTTGAGCAAAAATGTTCGGCAATATCAGAAAACTTCAGGAACGTTGGCGGTATTAAGGCAAAGGATGGTAACGGCCTCCGAACCCTGCTAGAAGTTCAAGTAAATGCGCATGGAAGTTTTATTTAAGCAGATTATGCAGACTGCTGCTGGTTACGGGATGCCAGTTCAGGGCTAAATTTAGCATCAACCCATACGTTTTCTTAACATTCCGTTTATCACGCCTCAACTGTAGTTACGCATTAGTACTCGTATACTGCCAGTCTGCATGTGAGAAAAAATGCCCGCTTTAAGTTGAATGCCGAATCGTACACCTCCGGCCGCTAAAAATCAACTGCATTGGCCGGTCACACGCCTTTCGTCACTGATTAGATAGACGCCGCAGCAATTTTAGCCTTGATATTCCAAATAATTATGCTAAGCTACGGCTTTAATCAAAACGCATTTTTCTTCTGGTAAGCAGCTATTAAAACCATGCTGCGCCTGTTGAACCGTATTATTAACAAACCGGGTTTCCTTCAGGCGCTGCAACACATAATGGCAGCCCGGTGACGGCTCTCCAGGACTTTTCTCCAAATCGTGCATCAAGATCATAAACGCTTTATTTTTGCTTACTCTCGAGTTGTATGAGTAACATATACTTACAAACAATAATACCATATGTAATGAATACTTATCAGTTTTCTTTTTTGTCCGAAACAAGTATCAGTTACCATTCAAAAGTAACTGCACAACTGTGGTCTGCAATACAGTGCCAGTTGTGGCCAACCATAAATTTGCACACGCTACGGGCAGTTACATCAAACCAGCATACAACAATAAGCGCAGCTGAAGTAGACAATTTTACAGGTTGTAATAAGAAAATAAGAATAACTAACGATCTGAGAAATGCTTCTATAATATTACAGGAGAGAGATACCTCAGTCCCACAATTTAATGGCACCATCCCATCCACAACTGACTATTTTGGATGTTTCATGAGGATGCCAGAGTACGGATATACAGCATTTTTCGTGGCCCTTCCATTTGGATAATATTCTAGTGGTCTTCCAGTCCCAGATCCAAATATTTCCATTAGCGTCACCCGATAATATGTAACTAAAAACAACCCCGTCAACGAACCGTGTGTACAGCACTACCAAAATCCGGCAAATTTGTGATTCTGCACAATAACATCTCGGTGCCCCCGAGCATGGCTTGGATCGAGATCAATTTCACGTAAAGCTAAAAAATGTCATTAAATACCTCATATCCGGTGAGAAGTCAGGCTGGCAAGCATAACCGGCAACCTAAAGGGGATAATAGGGTTCGGTATTTGTAATTCACAGGCAACAATAGATTATGCGTAATTAGAACGTGCACGCACCATATGTCCTCCAAAAGTTTTCTTGCGGTTAAATTTGTATCGATTAAGGCAGGAAAATATCATCAATTTATTATCCATGGCCTGCATAGCACACCACTTCCCTGAAATACAATAATGGATGATGCCATTATACGGATAATATCAAAGCTGATGATGCTAAAATATATGTACCATTAGGTGCCTGAGTAACAGCGGGCATCGAATGCATTCCTGGATCGGCAATATACTTCATGTCCACAGGGATATCCCTACAGAAAAACCTCTTCATTTCAAAGACATCTTTAATTAACTCTAAAGCGAAATCACCATTCCCAGACCCGGACACTTTTGTCGTCGGATGTGCTAATGAACCTCCGGTTATCGTCGATGAATGTTATGGTGTTAACTGCTCCCAGATGACGATCATATTCCTGCACCATTTCTCCAGATCGAGTGTCCCACTGCAAAGCATGCGTTTGTAAATTTGCGCTCATAGACAATAAATTTATAATCCAACGTACGCATAAGATTTTCTTGTCCTGCATTCCACACACGAACAAGTGTTGTTTGTCTTCGTCGGGATGAAATTTTACACAATACGCTGTTTTCTTCGCCGGAGACTGAAATCGCCCAATGCAATCGCCTACAGAATTTCATTTTTGTCACACCATTCGATTCCAGACGTCTAATATTCCAACCTTTTTCCGTATCCCATAATTTTATCCATCTGTCATAAGCCGAGGAGAGGAACTGTGTCCCGGTATTGTTGAAATTTACGTCACGCACAGCTTGGCGATGTCCGACGTAGGAACGGACACATTCACGGTCACCGTAAACTTGCCATAACTAAATCAGCAATAAAACGCCATCTGCCTATTTTTTCAGTCGAGATCCATAGCATTCGCTAACTATTTGCACTCATCCCGGGGAGTTTTGACAATTAAAAATGCCAACAAAAAGACACCATACTTTAACTTTCGTATCCATTCCTGCAGAAAGCAACAAGTGTCCCGATTTCGGAAACCACCGGATGGCAGCAACACCGCGATTGTGGCCCGCCCATGTGTGAAGGAGATTTTTCGGAATGTAGCACTTATCCGGAGCTTCCTCGGATCTTAAATTAACACCAACATCTTGCGGAATATGGAGGAAGGAACGGCCCATATAGTCGTAAGCATTCTTAACTGCAACCAGCCAAGGGGATGAATTCATGTTAAACGTAATCAAAGCACCAGGTTTTTAACCATTTTCCTGATGCACCGATTAACGGAAAAATTTTTCGCAAAACTTAATTCGTAGGTTGCCAAACCTACTATGTAGCTGCGATGTTTCCTCGAGTGGTTTCTCTTCGTGTGTGCGCTGACGACGTTTCTTCTTGGCGAGGAATTCCTGAATTTCTTCCATGTCTTCCTACATATTTCCAAAATAAAACAGGTTGAGTATTCAACCAACTGCAACAAACAATAAGCATCCCAAAAATTTTTTCGACCAGGGACAATAATGACATACGGCAGAGGGTTTAGACGTGGTTGTTTCGTCTTCAAAACCAGCCCACGGCCCTTGGAAATTATCCAGATCTTCGGCATTGTCATTTCTGGCTCGTTTTCGTGTTAACTTAGTTTTTTCCACATCGATTATCGTGGCTCCTGGAATACAAATACATTAAAAAAAATAACGCATAGCATTAAAAATGTTTCCCAGTAACTACCTTTTCGCCTTTCAGCTTCTCCCACATTGCCGATTATTTTTGTCCCGTCGCTTAAACTGGGATCCAGCGCATAACCCAACTGAGCGAAACTCCGCCGCTGCATTTCAAACTGAAAACCACTGACAACAGCAGGTTCAACAAAGCCTGTTAATGTATTTTTAGGGGCTTTTTGTTGCGCAGACAAGAATGGATTTTCTGGTCCAATCTATGACAGGAAAAAAAACCGTTACGGGACACCGCATCTTGTAGAGCAGTTAGTCGACGTACATTAGGCGCATAAACATCGTCAAATTTGGCGTTATACTGCAGCTCCTTGGTTTGCGAGCGGACAATAGTAGATGATTTTCCTTCGTTCTGTAAATACAGCGTATCTGTGCAGACAATACAGCAAGCTGCTTACTATTAGAGGGAAAAATCTGATTTCGTCTTGTTTCTTACACCTTGTTTTTTCTTAAGTCAGACTATGCTTAAAACACTTGCTACTCATACCTTGTATTTGACGATCGGAGCAGATTCCACTGTAAGAGACAAGACTTTGGAAGGTGCAGCAAACGAAGAAGATTGTTCTGCTGAGGAGCTTCCTTCGGTTTCATCGTCGTCGTACATGTGAAGAGCCCGAAGCGCAGACATTCTGGCGATATCAACAGAGACTCCAAGAAAAAAGTAACGCCCGGTTAAGATTTCAAAGGGGAGAAAAATCCGATAACGGAAACGCCATTCAACTTCCCAAAAGCTCAAAAGCGCATAATAATATGAGTTCCACAGACTCAAACGCACAAAGATTGAGGAAGCAGCAAACGTTCAAAAGCGCAAAACGAACGCTATAAATGCCAGATATAAACTTTTAAAAAAACAACTACTGGAGTTCTTATTAAAAACCAGGAATGGCCAAAACTTCGGAAAAATAATGCGTACTGGCTCCTGCGTAATGACTAATTACAAGAACCGAAAACCGAAAAAACTAAAACGTAAAAACTCGAAAGAGTTCGTTGTATATAGTAGTGTTTTGCTTTTTTACTTCGGGACGGATTGTGATTAGGTTTCGTTTCTCGCATTGCCACGGCGGACCACTTAAGATTCGATGTATGACACACTTACCACCAAGGTGGTCGGTTACCTTGGCTATATAAATCTGAATTTATACACCTTATGGTTGAAAGGTACATAATATTGGGAAAGGGCCAAAGGGGGTGGTCTGGGACCAATAATTAATTGTTGCTGTTCTACAGATAGATTATGGCATTCAAAAATCAAAAGTTATTTCTTTGGCAAGTTTGACGCAAACTAATCAGTACGACGATTCAGTATGTTATAACCTTATAACCTTTTCATTGTAATCAGAGCTTTTCACGGTTGCAATATGTGATGGATTTTTTCCCTCGCACTTCTGTACTTGTACCGTCAGTACGTACAATTCTTTTGTGAAGATTGCGATATCGTTGTGATTGTTTTGCTTTATCCGCTTTATCGACCGAAACCTGATTATTACAAAAGGTGTGAATCTGATCAATAACCAGGTATAATTTATGGTTTTCAGAGCAAGAGTTTCGCTAGGAGCACTGCCTTATTTCCAGTGCTAAAGTCTCTAGCTGGGAGGAATTTATGCTAAGCAGTTAATGAAATTACTTAATCACTGTGATTGCTTACTTTCGTAACTGCGCTTTGTGATCAGTGATACCGTAATAAACCTTATAATTAATTTTGTGTAGACTAGAAATTGTTATGACATATTAAAGTAATATTGTGAAGCTATACTACTTACAAATTGTTGTGCAGTCGATTGCAGCGAAAATGGCCCCGTTGATATCTAAAATTTGTTGTTCACGGTAAATAAACCGTAAATTTCAACAGTCCAAATGCTAGCGCGGGCTTTATACCAATTAGTTCATTGTTTACTCAGGTTTATGTATTTGATTATATTTCTGTTTCGCGTGTTTCTAGAAATAAAATGGTTCGGGTCGGATCTCTATTACGTGCAATCTCGAAAGATCACACTATTCTGGGCCTGCGGAACCGCGGAGTGGATATCCTTCGGAACCCCAGACTAAATAAGGTTGATTATAGTACTAGTAATACGTTACTTTTCACTTGGTACATACTCGTGCTGTATTAAACTACTACAGTACTTATTCGCTGTGTTATTTCGGTAGTCTTATATTGTTTGAAATATTGTTTAAAATGGCAGTTAATTTGCGGGGAGATTGCATTTCCGAAATTTCCGTTCACGTTGAACGGTTATAAAACTGAAGTGTGCAGATAAATACCTACATTTGCAGTATTTATTTTTTATGTAAGTTATTGTTTTAATCATTGCAAATGTGGTTTACTGTACAGTTTTAACCGTTGAAAATGCGATAGGGTATGGCATTTTCCTTGAAAGAACGTCAGATTTTGGGCATCCACGGACTTCTGCCGCCAATTGTTTTAACGCAGGACGAGCAGGTGTATCGCACCATGCAGAGTTATACGCGTACACCAACCGACCTCGATAAATATTCCTTCCTGTCCGCATTGCAGGTATTATTTGCATCGAAGCTGTATTTTTGTTGTATGGTTTTAAGTGGAACTTTGTAGAGGTAATGACAAGTACCATAATTGCTTTTGACTCCCAATGGCATGCATACGAGTACACATACACTTACTGTCGGTAGGTAAAATTTTGGATGGTCATGACTGTGCTGAAATGTTTCTGTTGAGTTTAAGCTGCTTTGTATTATATTTGCAAATGCAAGCTATGTAATCTAGCTTACTAATTAAAATTCTAATTGCAGGACCGAAACGAAAAACTTTTTTACCGACTTCTGAGTGAAAATGTGGAATCGATGATGCCGATTGTCTATACTCCCACCGTGGGCTTGGCGTGCCAGAAATTTGGGATGGTTTATAGACGTCCAAGGTGTGTGAATTGCACATTAATACCGAAATATTCGTGATATTAAGCCGAGCCATACTGGTAATTGGTAATTTTCTGCGTTTGCAGAGGTTTGTTTATAACCATCCATGATATCGGGCACGTGTTTGAAATTTTGAGCAACTGGCCGGAAGAAGCTGTCAAAGTAGATTGCCGGCAATGTGTTTGCTTATCATGACATTAATTAGCTAACCTGTCCGTATCTTATCAGGCTATTGTTGTTACCGATGGTGAGCGTATCCTTGGGTTGGGAGATCTTGGAGCATTTGGCATGGGTATTCCCATTGGAAAGCTGGCACTCTATACTGCACTGGGTGGTGTTAAGCCTCATCAGTGTTTACCTATCTGTCTTGATGTTGGAACAGATAATGAGGTAAATCTACATGCTATTCTAAAGGATTTCTAAATATTAGGTTTACGTTTTGGTATACGTCAATTATTTTTGTAGGCTTTACTCAGCAACAAATTATATATTGGACTACGGCAAAAGCGAGAACGAGGCCCGGCTTACGATGAATTGATTGATGAATTTATGCAGGCGGTGACTGCGAGGTAAACATTTTAGAATGCATAACTAGGGCTTGACCTGAAACTTGGTCTTGTAAGTAAAAAACTTTCCAGGTTTTACTAATACCAGGTCTCTTTTGCTGTTTTTCTAGATGGGGTCCGAATACTCTCATACAGTTTGAAGATTTTGCGAATGTTAATGCTCAACGACTGTTGGATAAATACCAGAAGCATTATTGCACCTTTAACGATGACATTCAAGGTGCGGATTTGTCCATCGTATGTGAAAACAATTTTGATGATCACTGTCTCGACCCTTTATAGGTACCGCTGGTGTTGCACTAGCGGGGTTATTGGCTTCCTTGAGGGTTTCCGGCAAGAAAATGCGTGACCATACCATATTTTTCCAGGGAGCCGGTTCGGTATGCTAGGAAAAAAAATAGAAATCAAAACCATCGATGCATATTACAAATAGACGTAATTGTAGGCTGCTTGTGGTATTGCGAATTTTTTGGTGTTGCAAATGATGGAAGAAGGACTGCCTGAGAAAGAAGCAGTTGACAGGATTTGGATGAATGATGCTGATGGATTGATTGTCCTTGACCGCCCGGCTGGAATGTCTGGCGCCAAGGCACGTTTTGCGAAAAACTTGCCTCATATGAACGATTTTCAGAAATCCGTGGAAATGGTGAAGCCATCGATTTTGATTGGTAATATCCGTAAAATTGTCTTAGCTTTGATGTTCTAGATGCAGCATTGTCATATTTGCGTAGATTTTGCTGTTAGTTATTGCTACAGCATTTGCATTGCGCGGCTTTATTGTCTTCTCATGAAAACTGTCACCGCTATTTTCTGTTATGCAGGTGCTTGTGCGACAGCGGGCGTTTTTACGGAACAGATTTTACGAAATATGGCAAAATGGAACGAGCGACCAGTAATATTCGCTCTGAGTAATCCCACAAGCAAGGCCGAATGCACTGCGCAGGAAGCATATACTTATACGGAAGTATGGTTCTGCAATACTCTTATACAAATTCTTAAAGGGAATTAAGGGATTGCATTTGTAGGGTCGAGCTCTATTTGCTTCGGGAAGTCCTTTCGATCCGGTGAATTACAACGGAAAAATATACCGTCCTGGTCAAGGAAACAACGCGTACATTTTCCCCGGTGTTGCTTTGGGTGCCATCGCCTGTGGAATGAAGCATATAAGTGACAAGGTGTTCTTGCACGCTGCAAGGGTAATTCTGCATTTACACCTCGAATATGAATTCCGAAAACAAGGTGATGATTTTGTTGTTTTGGTAGGCTTGTGCCAGTATGGTTACAGCTGGTGATCTCGATGCTGGCCGGCTCTATCCCCCTCTGGCCAATATCCGATCAGCTTCTTTCGATATTGCTGTATCAACAATGCAGGAAGCTTATGATGATGGAACCGCGTCACTGGATCCGGAGCCTAAAGATAAGGCACAGTTCATCAAATCCAAAACATATAGCTATCACTACGATAGCTTCATGCCGATTATGTACGACTGGCCGAAGGAAGCGGGCTGGGAACCGAGCGACGAAGAGTTTGCGAAGTTCGGTGACTTAGTGTGAAATGCAGTGAAACTATGACTATAAGCTTTGTGATGGTAATTTGTAGATTCCCTATGTATGTTCCTAAATTTTTCGGTACTGTGTGAGGTTGCAGGAAGCAAAATCAGATGTGTTGAGTGTTCAAATAGAAATTGTTAGAAGTTTGTTGCTTTTGGATGCAGCTGAAAATGGCATCTCTACTGCGTACGATGCATTTGTAATTTTTAACTTATACCAGTTTTTATCTTCTTAACTGTGAGATCGAAATGCAGCGAAGGCGATTTAATGGAATACGAAACGGTGTGGCTGCATGAATGAACTGAAATTACCGCTGTGTGTAATTAAAATGATTCTTAAAAAGCTACGAACATTTACACAATAAAAGAAGACAATAAAAAGAGAATCAGAATTTTGCAGGCAGTCTATGCAGTCGACTATAACTTTAGCGATTCACAAGACTGACCACAACTCAACCATTAAGTGAAGCTGCTGCTGATGTGATCAATTCTGTACTGCGAGTCTTCTTACGACGGAAGCCTCTACCGATGTTCCTCCCAGTCACTATCTGCTTCAGTCTCCGACGATTCAGACTCAGAATGATGCAAATACTTCCTCCGAGCAATGATTTCTGCAACGTTGTGCAGGGAAGATATTTTCTCGTCCAGTTTCGCCGACTGTTGCTCCTTCTGTTGTTCGACCTTTCTCAAATTAATTCCTAAACACAAACAATATGGCTGTCAGAACTCCTGTAATCCATTATCCGTATAGTACTTGTTTACTGAAATTCAAACTGCTGTCACCTTTGCGAATTGCTGCTAGCAGATCACTGCGTGCATCCAACATGGTATTGCTGACTTGCACCGGCGCTGGTGCTTTTGTTGTTGAAGAACCCTGCACCACAGGCTTCTCAAACGCCAGCGGAGGCGCTGGTGGAGCAGTGACTGCACCTCCAATTGGTGGGGGCGGCGGCGGAGGTGGCCCAGCAGCGCGACCGCTGGCTGGCATATGCTGCACCGCCGGCATGATCGGCGGTGGCAACGGGAAATCTTGGTCGGCGGGCGACAGCGGAGATTCACGGCCATGCAGTTCAGGCGGCGGTGGTGGGAGGATCTCCCGTCCGGGTGTGGGCGTCGAGCGCACGCTAGTGCCACTTCCGCTGGACGGCGGTGCCGGTGGTGGCTGACTGGGCCGTGTGGGTGTGCCGCGGGTGTTAGGGTTGGCACGCATGGTCATCTCCGCTGGCGGCGGAGACTGTGCCATCATGGCCTGCGCGATAGGTCCGCGGTAATCCACCATGTGGACGGTTTCTTCCATGCCGCCCACTACAGTTTCATATGTCGGCGGGATGTCCAAGCGGCCCGGACGATTACCGCTGCGAATGGTGCCGTACCGACTCGCATCGTAGCTGGCCGCGGCGGGGATGTTGTGTACCGGTCCGTATTGATCTGTAGCGAACGGGTAGTTGGAACGTGCAGCAGCAGTGTTAGGGGGAATTTCCGGGGAAATGTAGCCAGCATCCTGGGCCATGGCTTTCGCACGCTTCTGTTCGAGGTGGCTTTGTGGCTGGCGTGGTTGACGGGTGCTTTTGTTTTCACTAGGCGTGCGCGATCGACCAGGCTGTGAAAGCAAATATATTAACAAATCATCGCGACATTTAAAAATGGCTGAATTTATGATAGAAAAAAATAAATTTATTGATTTGCTGAATTTACTGCTATGCATTTTTTAAATTCTAAAATCTAAATATTTCTGCAAATGAAATCTTACCTTTTTCGTTTTGTCTGGTCGCTGCTTCAGCATATCATGTTTCCACAGATTAAAGAAATAATCAGGATCCGTGTAAAACTTCAGCCCTTCCTTTCCATCGGTTCTAAAATAGTGATTGCTCAACGTTTGCACAAATAACTGTTTTTGTTGTTACTTACTTTAGCATCTGCATACACAGACTTACCTGTATGGGTCAAGTTTGCTCAATGGAGGAGGCGAGTCCGATGCCTCGTACAGATCTTTCATCGCATTGGGCATTGTCTCACGCGACACCACACGATCTTCACAATTGTTGGAGCTCCGAAATTGTTTCCTCTGGTTGATCTCATGCAATGTAACTGAAGATAATTAACAAATGACAGCAGCTCCCCGACTGCAATACCAGAGGCACGTTACCTTCTTCCATGCTGGAGTCCAGATTTCCCACTTTCATGCTCAAACGATCGATGCGATTCTGCAGAGATGCCGCTCGCTGAGAGAATCCCATTGCTTCCGAATACAGTTCTCCAAACAAATCCTCAGCATGTTTGCTGAGATTGCTTAGCTGCACGATTATGTTGGCCAAAGTGTTATTGGTCACGAATTCTAGCTCGTTCTTGATTCCAGCTGGAATGCGTTCGCGGCTGACATGCGTAGGCTCAATTAAACGCTTTGTCAACGGCATTTCTTCGAATAATTACGGAATGGTTTCAGTTTACCATAGATAAAAAAGCTGCAGGCTTTTACAACTGAAATTTACTAACAGAAAATGCGAAGATCACGCTCACGAAAGAACGGCCTCGTTTGTAAACTTGACTTCCCGCACGACGACTGCCATTCATCAAAACTGATGGCAAGCCCAGAATGAACGCTGATCGTACAGAAGTACCGATCGACGCACAGCTTTCATTCAACCCAGCTATGCGTGAGGCTGGGTGACTCACCAATGTGAACTCAAGCGAACGCATTCGCAAAATCCAGTTTCGATTAGGCACATTTGCATTGCGCCTGTCTTTTATTGTTGCTATTCTGTTTGTTTTGATTTTAAGGTCATAGTTTCCCATTTTTTTGCAGTTGGAATTTGATTTCCTATCGTTTTTGGTTTATATTTATTTAAATTTTAAAAGACCTTCATCGTCTGTGGCCCGTGATCTTTTGATCGTTGATATCACAGGGCTTGGTAGAAAGTTTTGGCGAGAAACGGTTACATTGAGTTGACAAGCGGAATTCGCTTGTTGGAAACTATACGTGCCCGAATACTGGCTTTCTAGCCTTCTTGATTGAATTTGTTGTTTGTAATTGGTTTAGGAAGTTTTTGTCAGAAGATCCTTTAGAAGTTCTATCTGAATCAAATTTTGGTGCACGGGATTGATAATCCGATGCCTTCCGTATGTTCGATCCGCTGCCGTTAGTCAACAAAGGCGATACGTACTGGCAGATTCACAATCCTGAATCTCGCTTGGAGATAGTGAGTCGGAGTCTGCATTTTAGCAGATTGTGCTGATCTCAAGCTAATGGTGCGAGTTTTGGTGTAAAAGATGACTGCGGCGGCGGAAGCTGAGACTGCTCCTGGAGGTGCGTCTTCCCTGGAACAGTCGGGAGACGATATCGTCAAAGACGCCATTGAGATCATTCCAGATCGTTTCTATTTCGGACGCCTTGCTTCTTCTCCGCATCCGCACAATAATTATTCCTTCTTTAACACGGATTTTGAATTTGTGTATGATAGTTTTTTTGATGATTTCGGGCCGTTGAATATTGCTAAAGTGTATCGGTACTGCGAGAAAGTATGGAAACGGCTGCATCCAAACAGCAACGTCAGCGCTGGCGCTGCTGGTGACAATCACGGCACACAGAAGCTGTTCCACTACTCGAGCACAACGGACGAAAGGAAATTTATCAATGCGGCCTGGTTGGTTGGAGCCTTCTGTATCCTCAAATTGCACAAATCTCCCGACGAAGTGATGAATTTGTTAGACAAGTTCGCCTCGCAAAAGAATCTGATTACTTTTCGCGATGCTTCATGCGGACCACCGACCTATCATTTGAATCTTAGGGACTGCTTGATTGCCCTGCATCGGGCACTGGATTTGAAGTTCTTCGATTATGATGGGTATGCAATACTTAAGGTTGGATGGCCGTTATTTTTATTTTGTGACCAAAAGCTACTTGTCGAGCGTTAATTCTCGGAGACGGAGATTTTTCTGTCGCCCTCGGACCGTATAATTATTGTTTATACTTTTTCTAAGTTTTAAAAAAAGTACTGCGAATATCGAAACGGACATTAATACTAAACTGCTAATCCATTTCGCTGTTTGCTGTTTCATTCGCCATGTCGGTTTCTTCAGTTGGCTTTGCGTATGTTTATAAATCAATACCCGAGTAGTCGTTGGTTGAACTTGAAACCGGGTAAATGGAATTCTGAAACTGCGCTCGGATAAATTAGACTAATTTGTCAGTGTTGATAAATATTACTATTCTGCATTTTTCTGGCTTTGTAGGTTCGATTTGAATGAGTACGAACATTACGAACGTGTGGAAAATGGCGATTTTAACTGGATCACGCCTAAATTTTTGGCCTTTTGCGGGCCCCATCAGAAAACTCGAACCGAAGGATATCCTGTTCACGCACCGGAAGAGTATTTTACATATTTCAAAAATCATGGAATTAGCACTATCGTGCGTTTAAACAGTCCTCAGTACAGTTCAGAGCGGTTCACGGCAGCTGGATTTGAACACCGAGATCTAATTTTCCCCGATGGCACTAGTCCCGGTGAGGACATACTGCAAGAGTTTTTGAGGATTGCAGAAGGAGCAAAAGGCGCAGTTGCGGTACACTGTAAGGCTGGGTTGGGGCGAACTGGAACTCTCATTGCTGCGTATTTAATGAAAGTGGGTGTCAAACATTTACAATTGTAATTTTTTCCCTTTATAAAAATTGGTATTTCATTACGTTGGTATTTTTTGTAGCATAATCGGTTTTCCGCAAGCGAAGCCATTGCTTGGGTGCGGATCGTGAGACCGGGCTCTGTGATAGGCCAGCAGCAGCACTATTTGGAATCCGTCAAGGATATGCTGTGGGCAGAGGGCCGCAACGGTCATGTGGTGAATACGGCCTTGTCGCCTTTGAATGGGCCTCCTTCGGAAGATGGCAAGAGACAGGAAGTTGTGGAAATCACCTCCACTACCTCCTCATCGACCGAGTACAAAGACGAAACAGGCACAACTACCGTGCACGAAGTGGTGGTGGTTGAAAAGAAAGTGACGTCGGTTGATGTGGAGACCGATTCGCGTAGCACTTCTCCGGTGACAACGGACGACGAGGCAGACGTGGCCACGCAGGGTGATGCGCTGAATTTGCGGAAAGCTATGCGAGACAAGGAGAAGCAAGGTCCAATGCAGACACGGTCTAAACGGCGGGGTTTAGCTGATGATCTAACTGGTCAGACGAAGCCGGTGAAGAGAAAACGGAGGAAAGCCAAGAAAATGAAAACCCAGTAAAGTGTGAGTATTACTTCTTGCTAAGTAAATGTTAACTTCATTTACACTTTCCAATTAATAATATTGTTAATTGCGCTTTAACCGATGATCGCCGGTAATGTTATTGTTTTGTAGTCTCCGGTTGTACGCACGTGCAAAAGCATCCAGTCAGCTGTTTTGGACGGCTTCCAGAAATATGGAACATGATGACGTCACAATGTAATGGTTCATTACCACTTTTGCTGTTGCCTAAATATTATTCCGAATGTAATCGGCTACGTTTTCTCAGTTGCGTACTTGTTCTTTGTTCGAAACAGTCTTGTATGCATATTTTAGGTTTTGTCTTTTATGTATAAGTTGCAAATTTATACGCCGTCTTGCTTGATGCGCTGGTGATGGAGGCTTGGTTGTACGGATTACGCAGGGCCTGTCTGCTTTGTTAAGTAGTCGCTGTGAAGCGCGCTGAAAATATGTTGTTGAAGAACTGATGAGTAATATTATCAATTGTACTGAAGATCCCAAGCCTTTGCGATGGCATTTCGATGTAGAAACACTTGGGGCGCCGTATTTTGGCGAATTACGAAAAATCATAATTGTCGGGCGTACTCGAGTGATATAGCGGTTGCCCAACAAAAGCAGCGCGTGCCCGAGGGTCCCGATCTGCAGTATTTCCTAAATCAGTCACTGTTTCCTCCGAAAGATAGTGTATCTGCAGCAGGAAGCACAAAACTAAATCGGAAATGCGCAAAGGCACCAAAAGGTGGGAACGATGATTGTGACGGGCTTCCGAGTTTTTCAGATGGTGTTCAGTTTGCGCAATTTCTTACTTGAAAATGCTGTGATGTAGTGCTGTTTGAAATCCATGGATGCCAGATGAACCACAGCGATGGTGAAGTCGCATGGTCTGTTCTGCAGTCCGCTGGTTATGAGCGTGTTGTCAGGCTGAGAGAGGTGAGCACATTTTCTTAAGCGGACAGAGTACAGCCTCTGATCCTACCTTATTCTGTTGGCCGCATGCATCCGAGAGCCCAGCATAACGCCTGCACTGTCATTCCCAGGCGGACGTTATTTTAATCTTAACATGCGCAATTCGGGAGGGTGCCGAGCAGAAGATTTGGGAACGACTGGAAGATCTGAGCGAGATCAAAAAGCGCCGCTCTCGTGGATCGCCTTTGCAAATCGGACTGTTGGGTGAGAACACTGCGAGATTCATAATTTCATGTTGCGTATGGCTGCATTACCTGGGAGTCTGGGACACAAACACCTTAATCCTTACACATGTTTATATTGCTACGCTTTCTGTGTCTCCACTCTCCGGTAATTTATAAATTTGTAGGTTACGTGACTACCCCATTATGTGCTGATAACGGGGATTAAAAAATTCCGGGATTGCAAACTTTCCAATGATTGTTTGATAAAGCAAAAATTACACTTTGGTAATTATTGATTTTTTCTCGCTTGATTTTTTTTATTATCCATTAATATCATTATTTTTATCCATCAGTAATATTATTATAATATTAGAAAAAATTATCCCTCAAGGAAACGCAAAAAAAGATAGCGGCACACAACGTCCAGATAAAATGAATTAAAAAGGATAAAAATGAAATGAAATATAAAACTGAATTAAAAAAGGAAAAAATGAATATGAATGAATGATAATAAAATAAAATGATTTTTTTATTTGAGGGATATGCCATAATTATTGTAATTATGTACTGTGTAAAGCACTGTATAGTTGGTATTGGCTTCATGCTACTGATTTCGTTGTGAATGCAGGAATATCGTGTCCCGATTATATTTTCTAGGATGCATGGCCGAAAGATTGAAGGAAAACATTTTGGAAAAACAGAAACTTGTGGATCTGATTGTGGGTCCCGGTAAGTTGACACAGCTAAATTAAGTATGCATGCGGGTTATGTTTGACCACGTTTTGCATGCTTCCGCAGATGCGTACAGAGATCTGCCGAAGCTTTTGGACACTGCCGCATCTGGGCAAACTGCTGGTGGGTTGGCTTTACAGAAATAGCAGTTAAATTACAGGAATAACATTTTTTTCCGGGCCCCTTATTAGTTTTCTGGAGATCATTTACCCCTGTCGTATTTGCAGTGAATGTTATCTTGTCTAAAGAGGAAACTTATGCCGATATTTTGCCGGTGCAGTTAACTGATTCGCCTGTTACGGCATTTGTGTGAGTATAAGAAAATGCAAAGAATCTGAAATTTTTTTCTAGTTGATTATATACTATTTTCTTGTAGGTCTATACAGCGCGGCTGTGACAATTTTTGCAGTTTCTGTATAGTTCCATTCGTGCGCGGAAGAGAGCGCAGTCGCCCGGTTAAAACTGTGAAAACTGAAATTCGAGAGTTGGTCTCGAAGGTAATTGACCGGAATTCGCTTTTCCTGTTTTGGCTTTCGAAAACGTTTCCATGATAAACTCACACAACGACAATTTTCCCAGGGTGTGAAGGAGGTCACCCTTCTGGGCCAAAATGTTAACAGTTATCGCGATATTTCTGAAGAAAACCTTTTTTCGGAAAAATTAACGTCTTATCCATCCGGATTTTCTTCGCTGTACAAACCGCGGATCGGTGGTCGACGATTCGCGGAACTTCTTGATGATATTTCCGGCTCATTCCCGGAACTTAGGATACGGTTCCAAGCAGCCCACCCAAAGGATTTTCCAGATGAAGTACAGATTTTGATTACACTAGAGAAATTAGAAAGTATTGGGCAAATTTAGCGTCGGTGGTTTTTGGAACGTTCAGGCTCAGAATATTTTTGCAGTCATTTGCTGCCGTAAATCAATTCGATGCTGTGATTTTATACTTTGTAGTTACTTATGCTTATGCGGGAGAGACCAAATATCTGTAAGCAACTGCATCTGCCAGCACAAAGCGGAAGTACTGAGGTTCTGAATAGAATGCGGAGAGGCTACTCCAGGGAAGCCTACCTCGGACTGGTGGAACGAATTCGACATCTTTTACCGGATGTATCTCTGACCAGCGACATGATTGCAGGATTTTGCGAAGGTGAGAATTTTATGCTTATTTGCTGTAAACGTGCGTCTGTCACACATGGCTGTTAGTTGATATTATTATGAGCCGCGGCCAGCTCATGGCATACCTCTGTTCTTTCACATAATGATATAACGCAACCGTGAGGCTAGCGCGCAGTGATTGACATTTGGCAAATATTATGCAGAAAGCGAAGAAGATCACAACGACACCCTGGATTTGATTCGAACCGCACGCTACAACTTTGTATACGCCTTCCCGTACAGCGCTCGAGAGGTGTAAACCCGATTTTTAACGCAAAGACCCTGTTTTCCACTTTAATTAAGTGTATGTATGTGTTCCAGAAAACTACAGCGCATCGGAGATATGCAGATAACGTGCCTCCGGAAACTAAGAACCGGCGATTTCAGGAAATCGTGAAAGTATTCCGGGAAGAAGCACTGAAGGTAAAGTGTGTTTCCGGTTTTACGCCATCAGCAATTAGCAGTTAGAATATTGTTCTGTGACTGGCGCAATCAGTAACTCGTAAAGGTGATAATAATAACTTTCTTGACAATTGGATTCGTGGAGAGTCCGTGCGCATGAGTTGATGTTTTCGTAGGTCAATTCGTCTAAAATTGGATCTGTTCAGCTAGTGCTTGTTGAAGGAGTAAGTTGTCCTGGCCTGATTTCATAAATATCTCATGCATTTCACGATGCGATGTGGTGCGCAGGAGAGCAAACGATCGCCGGACTTTCTTCAGGGAAGATCTGACTGCGGTGTTAAAGTGATATTTCCCAAAGAAAAAGTTAACGTTAAATCAGCAGATGCGATGCCCTTTGTAGATATTCAGCTTGGGGATTACGTTGCAGTTGAGGTGGGTTGCACTATTGCGTGAATGACAGTAACAGGATTTACGCAACTGGCGCTCTGGTTTGTGATCCTAACTATACGCATCTTGTTTTGCAGATTCAGTCAGCCAATTCGCAAACTCTGCATGGACTGGCGTTGCATCGTTCTAGTCTTTCAGAATTTTATTCTGAACTTTCTACCAGAAATGACATTGTAGCCGGTGTGTTGTAGCATTTGGCGAAACTGTCCTTATAAAAATAGGGTGAATGACAGGCCAAGAAAGGTCACGAAAGGAACAGCATTTATAAAGCGAATTTATATAAAAGTCCAGTGCGAGTGTCCTAATGCCAATAAAGATCTTTGGTTGATTGGGATTTTCCTGGAAAGGCTGCATCATAATCTGCAAAACAATGTCCAGTTCATAAGTAATCAAATTAAATTTATCGAATTTTCGTCCTTAAAGTTAAGGTACTGTACTGTTGAACGTTACTATTTGTACATACCATGCAAGATTTGTTGCAAAATGTTTCGATTATAAAACAACAGGATGTCATAATGCGCTAGTTAAAGATAAAACGAGTCGCATGTGACCTACAGAAACCGAAAAGGGTTTAGCGCGGTTTTTGGATAGTGGATACCAAAGCCTCGGATAGTAACAGTGTAACACAACTGCGATATGAGTATAGCAGTAAATTTAATAATTTTTGTTCTCATACTATACTATAATATTACGGTGCTTCAGTTTTGGTGTTTATGGCCTACAGTGCGCGTGCATCCAACTTAAATCTGGTGAATATTTTAAATATATATGCAATTTGAATGAAAGAGGGCTGAGTTGAACACCTTTGAATATTTTGTTTACACTATCATCTAACTTTGGTATCACTGTTAAAATGTCCGTGGTTATACGCTTCCGCAATGGTGTAATCTTGTATTCTCGATTTCTCGTACTTAATCTACCTGGAGTTGTCATAGGTTGTCCATAACTGGGCACCTCTGCACCGAACACCGGATGAGTTGCCCAGGCGGACGCGGATTTACATGGTCCGGGCACATCCAGCCGAGACGATCTGACGGAGGATGCCGATGGAAAATACAGGGAATTATACGATGAGCTGAATCTGTTGGCAGTCAAATCGGCTGCGGCGAGAGCAGCAGCACGTTGTGCTTGGGAGTAAGATTGTGCAGCTGAGTTGTATGCGGCATAATGCCAGGGATCAGTTTGGGCATGCTGGAAAGTGGCCGGATGGAAAGACGAGCTGTAATACGGATCACCGTATCCATAGTCGGAGGAGGTCGAGGCATAACCATGGTACGGTAAAGGGTACGATGGATTCTGATGAGGAACCGATGGATTCAGCGGGGATGTGAAATTTGCATTCCAGAATGAAACCGGCAAATTACGGCTGGACATTGGGATAGCGCCTACACAGTGAAATTAATTTATTAATAATTTAAACCGAGTGCGGAAATATTTTCCGTACATGCCCATTTACAAATACTTTTATGCGATGTGTAAATATCATAACAATAATTTTGGAAATACAGCATAGCACTGGAAAGAATTATCAGGAGATGGAGCTTATTACTGCGGCGGGTGAAGAATAAAGCCGCTTTGGGAAAAATCATATGATTGTTCAAATTAAACAGTCTTTGATTAAAAATAATTAATGACTACGTAGTTAAATTTAAAAATTAATCTGCGCCCTGATGAAGGAAATACAGATATGAGTAGCGGCAGGACATAATTTTATCACTGTAGATTTTATGAGGCGATAGATGGCTGCTTCCGATATCGAAGTTTGCACTAATCGTGTCGTACAATTGTGCTAATGACGCTACTGTATCGCTTCAAGTTTCCGACTTAAATGCCATTTCACTCAACACCGTACCGTGCCCAAATGACCATGGCTCCAAGTTTACGAAAAGCGGAAGCGGTCTTTATTTAGATGTATAAATACCGGTACTATTGTCCAGTGCTCATTTCATTCGCCTGGCCATAGCATATGTTTGTAATAGCGATGCTTTATGATATTGCAACATTAATTGCAAGCATCGTTTCGGTGCTTACGTAGCCAAAAAGAAGACCACTTACAACACATCGATAGGGAAAGGTTTTAGCCCGTTTTCTGTTTTGGGCATGTGACTGTTTGCCGCTAGATCATCACAGAAACCTTCTTTATTGCTATAATTTTTCAATCGAAGTTCGGGCGGATTAACAAATGAGGCACTGTACTAATGACTACCGAGTTAAATTAATCCTTTTAATTACAGTTAATGCCATTATTGCCCACATGCCCATTTTCAGTTAAAATTTTTGCTGTGAAGCCTTGCAACAGGCAAACTGCCTACCGACCTACCACGAATAGTACTGGGTAGTGAAGCAGGAAAAGAGAAAAAAAAAACAGTCTTCGACAGATACTCGTACATTCGGCTCAGTTTATAAATTTGTGATGATCTCAACATCGATACTGCCTCATATCAATATAAATGTATTTTACGCAACAAGAGCGATATTTATAGACTTAAACGCATTCAATAGCATTCAGGATTTAAATATGGACGCGCGAAGAAATTCGAGCAAACACAGTGAATGCACCCAAAGGTCAAATGACGTTCTAGCAAACCGGCAGAAGCGCATTCTTAAGAAAAACTGAATTAAATATGTTTTTTTGCAAACAACATAATCATCCATTTAAAAACATTTCGGTGTAAAATGCCAACACAAAAATGAATGGTTAAATACAACTAATCATTCTAAAATTCGATAATTAGTTTCGTAAAACGTTATCGGTTTCTGAGTTCCGCTAAACAGCAGTTTTGCTGCTTGGCATGGTCACGGGAATACTTGCAGTAGTACATACTTCTATAGTACTTAAATTTTTACAGCCCGATTCAATAACATGTAGAGTATACTACTATATAGTATAAGTATGATAGAGTACATATATGTCGACGAAACAAATGAGAAACTCTATATTTATAATATTTTTTACCAATAAATAGCTTTCTATCGCACCAAAAATAAGCAAATGACTGTAGAGTCGCGCTCTGCGATCTACAAGACAACAACGCTGTCTGTTTACCTTTTCCATATTGGGATTGTGGATTCAGCGATTTGGCAAAATGATCCTCGACAGCAGTTGCCGCGTCTCCCGAATGATATGTGATAAGGTACGATGTGGGCGATACATACTGTACATTTGTTGTTTTTACTTCCTCATGTGCAACATCCTTGCTGGTGCATGGCGCCGTAGCCGCAGCGATGCCACTAATTCCTGCGACAGATAAGGATCGTCCCGCATGCGACGACGTCGGAAGGTTGTCATGCTCCACCAATCCCGTGAATGGATCTGCTATGCGCATGGATGGATACCTGTCGGCGTACATTTTCGACACCGATCCGAGCTTCTGCAAATAAATTGTCCATGTCGCTGTAAAAATACTCTCGTCGTTGAATAAGTACTGAATCAGATTCGCAAAAGATGTCTTTAAGCATGTAGTCCATCTTCAATCAATCTCGCTGTCAGGTGAGTGAGGTAAGAAGCTTTGGATGACTTAAGAACGGTGCATGTGTAAGATGTTGTGCTAAAATTCTAACAAATTGTCCCCACGTGACGAACAAGAAAAAATGCCGGCAATCAATGTGTCAAGCTGGGGATTAGGTTGTGTGTATGTTATAAAAAAGAAACAAACCCACTAGCATTCTTCGCATAGAACATCCTCACTAAATCACTGACGATAAACATTATGCAAAAAGCCTGTAACAGTCGCTGTCGGTACGGTACAGCGGATCGGCATGGAAGAAATTCTTAAGACAGTTAAAATGACTGCTGTGTAGTTTGCGGGAAATAATCTCGGGAACGCTGCGTGCTACACTGCATTGCGGAATGCCACAAATGCGATCAGTTTCAGGCATTTCTAACATGCAGTTAAATGCTTTTCGGCTGTTCCATGCCAGCATTCATGGCTACGGCATACGGAATTCCACAAACTTTGCCGGGCTACCATAAGGAAATTCTTACAGGTATTCATAATGCATGTAATGCGCAAACTTTGCAAAGAATTCTAAATATTCTTCCGGTCAAGATAGCTGATGCCAACTAGTAATCAGATAATAAATATTTTAACACCAATGACAAACCTTAAACGATTCATTGCTGCTGGTTGCCGTCAAAGGAGTTGTTCCATTGTTGTTTATTGGATGATGGTATGCGGCCGAAGAATAATTTGTTGGGGTAAACGATGAAAAGCAAGATGGCAACGTTGACTGGTACATTATTGCTGCGCTAGCACAGCTCATCCTTTGACGAATATATAAAGGTCACTGGTGTCTTTGCCGCGTGTGCGTGCGGATGATGGTCGGTTTACTTTTCCGTGGCTTTAACAGATGCAACTGTCGCTTGCTGAGATTGCCGCTGCTATGATTCTGTTTTCGGCAGGATTCTAAATGGAAATATAATAATGTAACGATGTCTGCCGCTTTCGCTATGTTTGCACCGCTGTAGCCACTTTCAAATACGCTACTTCTAAGCGTGATCTGGGCCTGTACAGTGTGTTGTGTACAGTGAAATTTCAGTCATTATAGCAGCGGATCGGCGAATCTCTGTGTGACATCCGGTTAGTGTCAGTGTTCTTGCTCGCATTTGCTGACACACCGACGCGCTATCCTTCGGTAATCAGTTATGCCAGGGTGGAGTTTGTGCCGACTGTGTTTCGCTGCCATTTTAAAATTAAACACACATAGTTTAACGAGTCCAAATTAGAGTATAGCCCAATGGATACTCTGTCGCTTAAATATGGTAATGCAATACCGGTCTCAAGTTTCTATTTCAATATTACAAGCGTTGCTTATACGTAGGAAACGTAAAGAAACTGGATTTTAATACAAAATTGTTCGAAAAATTTACTGGCAGATTTTGCAGTTGCAAGCTGAGCTAACTGCTCTGCACTTGTTGATTACTGGCGTGTATGTAAAATTAAAAAAATGTATTTACCAAAAAAACACAATAATTAAGGCTTAATTTCCGTCGCAATAACTATATTCGCGTAATCTAAACAAGATAATTTTTATTAATGCGCAAAAACATTAGTGATGAATCTAAAAAACTCACTGGTTTAAATAACGCCCTTTAATTGGTGGATAATAACTTCGCGATAATTAAAAGGCTGTTTAACTGGTATGTAACCGTCTTTGTGTATTGGGAGTTTGCAAAACTCAACATAAAATTAATGTGAGCAATCAATCACTATCTTGTATATACTGCTGGTTTAGAGGTAAGATAATTTACCCTAGAAGACGAAATGAGTAAACCACAAAAAGCCCGTCGTTTACCTCCGCAGAATAACTGGTGACGCTAGCAGGAACGCATTGTACTGTGCGTATGCACAGCGAATGCACAGCGAATTGTGCAAGCGAACCATGAACCGGCTGTGTCACTTGACACAAGCCGTATTTCCTTCCGACTTAAAGCGATCGGCCTATGGCAAATGGTTGTCACGGACAAACACGGGTCGAACAATGAATCTTAGAATAACAAACACTCTATGTATCGATGCTTATGTCAACTTGTGCGCCTATACAGTGTTCGGATGGCTGACAAGAGGTGTGAAATTCTTTGTGGATTGTTATTTGTGTAAGTGACTATTTGGCATTCCGGCCGTCGTCTGCGCCAGGCAATTCTTTCATTCATAAGCAGGAGGCAAAAAACACTTTCAACAGCGGGTCATAATGAAAGTTATACATGATAATCTCGAGTAGCGGCATTGCAGCCGCGCCGCACGAAATGCCATTCGTTCTCGCCAACAACATTCTCCGCCATTTGTCATAACATAAAAAGATCACCATACCGCATGAACGGCCGGAACTCCGCATTAAACATACCATCGTTTAAGGATGCTCGATGCTTGAGTTACTCCGAATGCAGCACACTTTGCTACTGGATGCGGCAGCGATGCGCGGCAGTCGCGCGCAAAGATGTTGTTGACTAACCGCTGTGTACTGTACAGACTGTATCTACGCGAGCCGTGATTGATTATCCCGGCGTCCATCAAGAATGCTTCCCATCAGTACAGTAAAAATAAACCCGCTTCCTAATTAATATTTCCAACAAATATAGCTAATAAGTGCAGGCATGGGAGAAAATTAAAAATTTTGCGGCGTTGAGCAGTTAAGCAGTGCGGTTACACAGTTCTCTAAACAATTTCTCATCACCTCTATTCTTTTAAATTTTGTCCGATAATTATTCCCGGGCATGACATTTGTGTTTGTGACACCTGCGATACAATTTATACAGCCTGCAATCACAGAGCAGTGTAAGAAAATACGCATAATCATTTTGATCAAGTTTATACTACAAAAATATTCATTCTAAGGGCTCCTTTGTAAGTATTAAGTTTAAGTTTAATGGTTTAACGTCCGCACACATTCAGGGAAAGATCCCAATTCGAGGCAGCAGACACTCACAACAACAACAACAATTCTCCAGAATACACACTATTTCAGATCAAGCTTTAAACAATTGTATAACCATTTGCATTGTATAACCTTTTGCATTCTAAGGGCTCCTTTATAAATATTGTGTAACCTTTTGAAAACACCCAGTTTTTTATTTTTGAAATGGCGCTGCTGTTATAATGTAAGCACAAAAACACTTCAACCAGCAGTAATAGTGAACATACTCTTCTAACAATGCACTCATTGTTCTAACATTGTATCCTGAACTAACTTGAGAATGATGCACCAGAGCAGAAAAACTTTCATTAGCTCGACGGGAAAATTATAAGCATCCAGCACATAATAAGTAATAATAAGTACGTGGCGCAGCCAATTTATGTACCTGCATGACCTGATATGACCATCGCCAGCCAAACTTTGGAAAGCGGTTCATCATGTGTGTCGCTCTGGTGAAGTTATAATTATAATTATAATTACCCATTGAAGTCTGTAAGAAGCCGCAACACGTTATAAAGCAATAAGTAATATTTTTGTCTATTCAGGTCGTGGCCGTCATTTAATTAAGTGACTTCGTTTGCTTTTATTTGTCCTGGTATTCCATTCAAAGCCAATTTCCAGATGTGTTTAATTAACCTGTGGCTAAAGCGCCAAACTAACAAGCCTATATTAGCAACTTTGTGATTTTTAAATTCAATAATAGTCTGCAAACAACACATTCACTCTGCATAATACACGATCAAATAAAGGCGAACTTCCAGTGTGGCAAATCGCTTACTCAGGAATGTGATCGGAAAAGCACTGCGCTTACCCCATCCTGTGATAGATACGGTAAATATCTATACTGTACTAGTACACCACACTGCTGTTACGATTCAGTATACTGTAGTATGTACGTAAGCCCGGCTGATACTTGCCAGAAATACACTGTATATTAATATTATTGTGTCAATTTGAGAATTTTTATTAGTGCAAAGTAGTTTCCAGAAATAAGTTTCGCAAAAATATTCCGAATTACGCAAGACGTTCATGAACACAAGATAAAAGTTATTCAAGCTCGTAGGATTGTGACTTAATTTTAAAAATGAAGTTATAAGCTTAATAATAACTTTAAAATGTGATTATAATTGAAAGTCGGTTAACACTTTAAACCGCTGAGAATCCAAATTAGCAGCATTCTGAAGCTGTTATCACTGAATGCGCTTTGCAATTTTTTAAGGAACAATACCACTGCAATTAAAAAACGCACACAAAAGTTACATCCGGTGTATTATGTTCGATTTTGAATACAGTCTACCAGTAGTGGTTTTGAAAAACTTGTTATTAATGAATTAATGCTCTAAGTGAAAGTAACGAGAAACCTCCCGTGCTTTTGTTTTCATAATGCATGGCGATGTTATTGCACATCTTTCATACGACAGCGTGCGTAAAAGTCAAAACGAAATGTCTAATCAGCAAAACGAAGTCAGCCTTCCGTTCCGTTGGGCAATCCATCTTACAAATCAACGGCTGCTCTTGCGCCGAAATCATGCGTTTCTATTTAGACGACTTACAGAGCCTATCCAATTAAAATTTGGCCAGCGTACCAGTGTGGATAGAATCATAGAGCAGCGTAGATGCGCATATGTGGCCCATCTTTGAACAAGATGCTCCCGTCTTATCTTCACAACCGGCATTTCCTGTACATTTCCCCTAAAATGCGTAATATTGTTCATCAATAATTCATGCATTACGTTGTCAGCTGCCTCATTTGATATTTGGGAACGGCATGGAAGCTTCCACACACGGTACACATCTATCAGGCAAAGGTCATAGTAATTAAGTTTCCGTCATTTTTGCTTCACACTATCCGCGCAAAATTCTCATACAGAAACATGCCGTATTTGAAGATTTCCGATACCGTTATGAAAGGCTTCTTTTCCTACCCAGCAGTTCTTTGGAACATGTGCACAATACTTAATCTGGAAACGTATAATACGTATATGTGTTAATTGTGGCAGCAAGCATATACGGTAGTGTGGTAAAATAATTTACGAGACCACAAGTTTCAGCTTGAGATTGCGAATATCCAATTGAAAAAACTTACTGCATAACTTCTGAACTTCTTAAAATAAAAACTGCATAAGCACGTGGATTATTGTGGAGATTTCATATGGCCAGTTAATTAATTCGATACAATGTGCAAAAATGAAGTTTTGTTGCCGCACTGCTATACGCATTCGTAGTTGTACTAGTAGTGGGCCTGCTTTTGAAAGTAGTGGTTGAAAATTGAAAAGAAAGCAAATAATTTCCTGTAATACAAACAACAAATTGCATGCTCAGCTGTCCACTTATGGATTTGGCCGCAAGCGAATTAATCCCACAGAGTGACAGGCAAAGTGTAAAATGACCTTAAGAAATACACGAGAATTAAGACAGGAACGTGATGCCGCGCGGATATGATCTGCTCTGAACTGTCTCATCCACGCTGACCGAATTATCCTGCTCCGGAACGAGGCGGTGCCGACTGTGTATGTGTGTGATAATTTAAGATTTACTGACGTGTGCAGCTGTGAAACAGAGCAATATCATCAACAAATATCGCGGATTCATCTTGGTGATGATTTTCTGATTCCGTTCTAGATAATTTCCACAGTTAAGCTATCATCAGCAGTGTCTTCACCTTCATTAACAGTTCACTGACCATGACGTCTGATGTCGCGCCGTTTTGCATGAAATAAAAACGCACGACTCCCGTGTCTTAATTAGCCTGCCCATACAATGACTGTCAAGAACGAAAAGTTGGACACAAATGGAAAAATTATTATGCTAAGCGATGGCAACCTTCAGTATCCCCGTTCGATTTCTTTAAACATCAATTCACTATCTGCTTCGACTCACTGTTATCTATCGGTAATAAAAGCAACTGAAAAAAGATCACAACCATTAGAATAATTAATTTATGCAGTACAAGAAATTCTCAGCGCCCAACGCCTATAGTTCAAACCAAACACTGAACGTAAGAAAGCGTGAAGAAACTGGCAGAGATAACGCTTTACGACTCCGCATGAGTTCCATCAAGAAATCTCTCCCACTGGCCCAGCCGTTTCTGCTTTTCCTCCTCGGTTTCCTCCACTTTGTATTTATTTTTACCATCCCATAGTTCCGCTGACAACTGCCGTCCTGCAAACCATCGGCCATTCATGCGGGCAAGACATGCATCGGCTTGCTCAAATTCCGCAAAGCCCACCGTGGCTATGCCATCCGGATGATGCTGAAATAATTAACAAAATTATCATCAACAATATCGCTAAAATGCTAAACTGTGCCCAGATTTCAACCTCTTTCAAGCTAGTTAGGCAGTCTTGCATTTTACTTACATCATAAATGTTCACTTTCTTCACTTCACCAAAATTGGTGCATTCAAGTTGCAGATCTTTCTTGAACTCCAAAATAAGCGCGGGATCTTTCTGGAACGTTAAAAAAGGTAATTCATTGCACTTTAGGCAAAACCACAAAAAAACTCAGAAAAAGCATACGTTTCACTAATTACAGTCTAAGCATATATGAGGTATCAAATATGCAACTCACCTCAAATTCTTTGGGATCAAACATGTTTTTGATAAGAACTACTTTTTCATTTTTAGGCCGAGTCCCAGCCAATTTGTCTGGTCTCCAATCTAAAAGTCTGCAATAAAAAGCAAAACCGACCCTGCAGAATGGCATTTGTCGTTAACTACTTACGTCACTGTCAGGTCTCCACACGACTTACTTGGATTCGCTTTTCTGTAATCGTTTCTTTTCCTCCCTCTTTAATTTCTGACGCTTGGCGATTTCAGGATTATATTCGCCCTTTAGATTGAACTTGGCACGCTCCACCTTGATGTCCTTTTTCTTGAAACGGTACCCGTCTAATATTTGCAGAGCTAAAGGAATGGATTCTATCTACAACACACGCCAATTAACTACTCATTTACAGAAAGCGCAAACTTAAGAACAAGCACGTCTCCTGGCAAAACAAAATTATTTCCAGATCTACTCACAAGTCGCAACTTTGTTCTTTACAAACAAAACCTTTAAAAATACCTCTTAGTAAAACATAACAAACTGCCTTTCAGCAGCGTAAAACACTCACTTTGAGGTATGTGCATAGAGCATCGCCTTTAACACGGCCTTCGCTGTCTTTGTAAAGTTTAAGTTTGGGTCGATTAGTTCGTGGATCCATCATAACAATACCACATTTCGACATTATTTCCAGAAGTTCTTCTTCCGTGCTGTCCTCCGGCAAGTTACTGATATAAACGTTTCGGTTGTGTTCATCGGAAATATCAAACCATGCTGCAAAAACAAATTGCAAAGAAACATAAAATCGCTTTCGTGATTTCATCGCAAACTTGTAACAAATCACCTTCAGCAATACTGGATGTTATAAAACTGGCGATAAAAACCTTAAATTAGTAATAAGCGCTAAAAAAGACGAAAGCATACGCTAGTAAGAAAAAGCGATGCTGAAAGCTGCATTTTGAAATCTGAAAAGCCTTCAATGAAACGCTTCTAATTCTTAGTACCCAGTGCAATCTGACCTGCGGATTCCTGGTTTTTTCGCCGTTTCTCTTCTGCTGCTGCTTTTTTAACGGTAACAAATTCGGAGGTATCTTCCGGCTCGGGTTTGCGCTTCCGACTGGATAATTTGGATGGATGTGGCCTGGCCATTCCCTCAAAATCGTCGTCATCGTCGTAGGATGTGCCGACCGGATGGGGCGCATTGGTCAGTGTTCGAGAAGGATCTGCGCATGTATCGCTCTTAACAGCGTCCGCGGAAGAGTTGGGTGGCACACCGTAGGAAGCTTGGTACATGGCAATGAAGTCGGTATCAATCTATAAAAAATTAACAGAAGTATTAATGTATTGTTGACACTTTTATCGCAGTTAATATTATGCAGACATGCACCGATAGCAGAAAATTTAATACGCTTACTCTCTCGCATTAGGATAGTAATGATACTTTTATTACATGATTATGCGAAAATTGGAATATATTTTATTTTCAGAAACCAAGCGAGTCAAAAACCCAGCGTTTTAAGAAAATTAAAAATCGGTACGCATCTGTACAGTATTAGCAGTGTTTGACACACAGACCTTCGGGAACCAGGCTTTTCGTACGTGATCCCATTCATAGACGGTTCCATCATTGGGATCCCGGTATATTCCTGATGCCTCAGTTAAGGACTCCGCAACATGTTGTGCATCAGGACCAGCTTTGCGACTTTCCTCGGCTTGACAGCTAAGCTGATACTCGAAATCGGGATCCATTAGGCATTACGACATATCGCATGCGATAATACCCACTAATTCAAAATTAATACCAGGCTGTCCGTCCGCCACTAAAGTGTGCCCATCAGTTCATCGCACGTATCACGACATGAAGTTGCTCCCAATGTTCACGATATGAAGATTTTCCCAAAAACGTCAAAAGTATAAAAATCTTGAGCAGCAATTTTCCAAATATTTTGATCGAAATTTCAACAACGAACAGCAAGTTGCTTTGGCCTTACTCGACGAGAATTTTAACTGCCTCGAAAGCACGACGCATGATGATAGTGTCTCACCGCCACCTAGGGGTGGTAGCTTAGTTTTGAACATACGAATGCGCCAACCACCTCAACAGTTTCGCGCAAGCCGTCGTCAAAAATCTGATCGTAGAAATTAATAATGGATCCTACTAACACTGATTCGCGCCAGAAATTCCAGGAACACGAAATTTTGCAGGAGTCATGTTTAAACTGTGCAAAAAACAAATCAAGACAAAAAAATAAAAAGTTGCCCGATGTGAGGATCGAACTCACGACCTCAGGATAACTCATCGTATTATGAGACCTGCGCTCTACCGACTGAGCCAACCGGGCTGGTTATTACCCAAGCATTTACTAGTCGTAGCATCTGTTACAACGGAAGTCTGCACGGCTTTGTTGGTTTCACTGGCATCAAGTGCCAGTACAGTACATACTCATTACTTTGTCACTGGTGTGAGCCAAAAAATTGCAGATTTCATTACCGAAATTTATGCATTATTTCAAATAACACCGAATAGGTACATCAGAAAACAAATCAGGGATATTGCTTTTACAGCTTACAATCTTTCATCATTTTGCTGGCAATAACATCAGCGTTATGGCGATATGGAAAATAGGAAAGGCCAAAATGCAAGGATCGATATCGATTACGAAGACGTATGTATATGTATTATGTACAGTAATACCAGTGTAATCAGAGAGGGCAAATTTTATAAAAATTAAATTAGTAAAAATTTAGTGTAAATTTTCTAAATATACACTGGTACAGTAATACTAATACCTAACCATGTCGAAGTTGATAAACTGTTGATATCCCATTTCGCTGCCGCAGATGTACAGTACATCCAGATTTGAAACTTTCCGTGAGATATTCATTTCGGTGAAATCCCGGACGGCCGGCCAGCCCGAAGAGAAGTGCGTACAATCAAATCACCAAAAACTATTCCCATCAAAAGCTGGTACTTCAATAAACACAGCTTATGGTGGGAAATATTCTTGGAAAGCTGATGAAGTCTGACAAATTATGGTATCCACCGAAAAATCCATTGGTTGGACGTTTCCTTACTAGTTAGGCTTGCAGACTCATGGGTATCAGGCAATGGGTATCAGCCTATCAGGCATCGTAAACTGCTGCATACATACAAGTAAATCTTCCGGTTTAGTAAATCTTCTTTGTATACTTAATCTTTGTACTATAGGATTCCATAAGTGAATTTGATTTGATTGAGTAAACGTAACGTACAGAAACAAACATCAAAGAAAAGGAGGACGACCGTCACTAAGAAGTACCCCAAAATTGCACACCAACGTACAGAATTGCCTATAGTGTGACTTTCGGATATCAAAATTGGTGTGTTCGTCCCCTTCCCCTCATTAACTTGTAAGCATTTTTAGAAGCGCATAATTTAAGACTTTATAATATCAACAAAATTCAGCTTTTAATCTTTGGTTTACGTTTCGTATGAGTTTAAAGGTGTTTGGGTTTTTTAAGTTTAAATGCCTAAAATCTGTTTAGTCCAGCAGGTCTCACTCAATGTGGCAAGGTTCGATCATCTCCAAAGATTTCGGAAACGAATTCCATGTACAAATCAAGCTGGATATTTCTTAAAATTTAGCTGCCCCATGACATATTTTCAATTTTTGCTGTGTTACGCAAGCAGTGATAAGCTGAATTGATGAGATTCGTTTTAGCAGATGCATTTAAGATTGAAAATGTATCAGTTTTCCAACTACACCGCCAAAGGTCACGTCGTTCCATGCCGAAGGCCCGAAGCCAGCACGACTATCCTGCCCATCAGTACCGCAGTTACTACTGTAGAAAAACCCACACAGAGGTGCAGTAAGCAGCAGGAACATATGCACATCAGAATCTGTTCTTTATACAATACTTAATTCTATGCAGCACACTGTTTACAGCTTTATTCGCAAATTAACCGGTAGGTACTACACCGACCATGCCCGACGGTCCTCAAACTCACGCTAATGTACCATTTGGAATTGGATCGTAGTGATCGTATATACTGTAAATTTATATACTGTAATCTGACATGCATATGTGGAATTTTGACCTGCTCCTGGCCGGATTTACAATATAATACTGTAAGAGCATACATTGTAAGAGCATGCAAAAGTGCTCCAAAAACTTGGAAGCACTCACGGTCAGTAACACAACAAAAAAGTTTTAAACGATTAATAAAATCCGAAACATTTATAAAAAAATTAATAAAATCCGAAACACCAATCACGGAGGAACTAGGAACGACACCGTCAGCACGGGATCCCTTTCGTTCACTAGTCAAGAATCAGCAACAGTGCATCAAGAATCAGCAACAGTGCATCAAGAATCAGCATCAAGAATCAGCAACAGTCAAGTATAAATGTACACTGTGCCTTTATACTTATTTTTCTGTACTAACCGATAACTAAAAAGTAAGTACCTACTTTTTTTGAGTACTTAATTACACTTGCGCTATGATTTTTCTAACAATAATTACTTATTATTGCAGTAAAACCATTAATTACTAGTAGCAGATGTTGTTTTGTACTCACCAGTTACCACGTTCCACTAATTTGTGAAAATCGTAAAATTTATCCACAGTGAAATGAGCACAGTAAGTAAGATGCAGAAATGTGAAATGGCATTAATCTTTTCTTAACTGCCGATTTTGCGTTTTAAGTAGAGTAAATCCAGTTCATTTTACGGGTACGCTAAGAGCTTTTATAAAGGGCTTGTAGAAGTTGTTAGCAGAGGAAACAACAGATCCGGAAGTAACATAATGGCCACGTACCTTCTATTACAGTACCTTACATACTATTCTAACCCAAACTCTAACTGTTCGGTTCCACATTACTATCACCATACTATCGCATTGCTAAATTTTTTGTGTAATCAAGCGTGCCAAGTACCTACTTTTAGAAGTTTATTTTTCGGTCACCGCGGTCCGCATGTTGCAGAAACTTCTGATTGTTCGTCGGCAATTTTAAGTTAAATGGTGGGTGGAGGTGGAAACTGTTACTGTATCCAATCATGTGTTCGTAACCGGCAAACCCATCCGACGGTCCATACGACGTTTAAGTACGTCCACCATAAATTGTGCAATTCAAGTTTTTTTCGCTTTCTGTACTGCCAACTGGACCTGCAGCCGGACGGTTTTCCCGGTGCATGTTCGTAATCAAACAATTTTGCCGAGATGCAAGATTTTAACCGGACGGTTTCTAGGGATATGTACGGAAGCCACGGGCAAAGCCTATCAGACATTCTTGCCGTCTCCTCGTTGAAGCGATCGCCGAAACACTAAATGGCCGACCAGAATGCGAAATAAATGTCTAACGGGAATGTTTAACGGGAATGCTGACTTTTAGAAAAATGCGCGACCTTTCTGAAATTGCCACCAGCATTACCACTGCCTAATCAAATTAAAAAAATCAGAAAACTAATCAGGATGAAATCGTCATTCTAGTTAATCACAAAAACGTTTTAATGTGCCATTGTTGCCGACATATTATCACATGCGTCTGATGTTAAAGACAGTTATCTCTGAGTCTGAGGGAAGAGCGTATGTAGGAAGTGAAAACGTTTATTCGGCATGGAGACACTACTTCCTAGTTTCTTCTCTAGAGTAGGTGCAACAACATGTGTTTGGTAGACAGAATGCACAGTTCCACAGAATCGTCCCCCTACAAATACACGGCCCCACAAAATTTGGCCAGAGAAATTTGCGGCGGTCGTAATATATAGCAGCGGACGGTTTTTCCTATTACATGCGTTTACACTTTACAGTGCAATTATGTTGTGTGACACTGACAATTTATAAATTTGATGCTACCCAGCTGAAAATAACTAAAAACTGCGCTAATCCCAGATGTAATCTAGGCTCATCATCTAATCCTGCTACGCTACGGCCATTCAATGCCCGCAAATGGCAAGCCAAAGCAAGTGCACTTTACCCATTAGTTACACCATAAAAAAACCAATACATGCATTATCGCATCAACGTAACGGGTCCATAACAAGTAGGGTGCGCCCTTTTCGTGCAGCCATGACAGAATTACACACTTCCATCATCCATGCATCGAAATACAAACTCCCATGGCGCAGTTTCCGAATTTCTGCATATATCATATTTTCTTTTTACCGAAGGACTTAAAAGATCATCTGAGTAGCCACAAGCCTCCAAAAACACTCTTAATTAAGTGTTTCACTAGAAGAGATGAGTGTCTTGTCTCGAAATTCATAAACCTCTGAACAAACAGTCTAAACAAGACGGCAGCGATATTTCACGAAAAATTTTGCTTCTTTTACTTCTCTCTGGACTGTTTGCCTGTTTGCCACGAACCATTCCGAACTATTTTTGGATCAGCGCAATAACCGTGAGCCCAGACTCACGTGCAGGTATACGCAAAGGATATATTGAATTAAAACATCAAAAGCGTAAGTGCCAGAAAGTACTTAGTCTGCTAACAACAAGCCTAGCTTAGAGGCATAATTCATATCGATAGTTTCAAATGAAGATACGGAACGCTACTGCTCGATGGAAAATTGCCAATGGAAAGTAATTAAAAATGGCTGAAATGGCGTATTACTTGGTAAAACCAAAAAACAATGCAATCGTTTGATAAAAGTAAGTAAAACACAAACTATACACAGCGTGAGAAGCATATTATAACGGCAGAATAAGTAGGCAAAGGACACTGATGAAGTACTCAGTTACGCGGGCGCTTCTGCCCACCGCCGTAGTGCTGGCCACCTCGCTGCTTATTATCAAAATTCCGGTTGCCTAGCCTCTGCTGCCCAATACCCATATCAAATGAGTCTTGCGGGTGTGGTTGTCTAAAACCGTACCGAGGAGGAGCCGGCATAAAGCCCGGAGGACCTCCGGGTAGCGGCATACCAAAGTGCGGTGGAGCAGCACGACCCTGCATACCACCGTGTCCACCAGGCATGTTATCGCCTTGTGGATGCATCATCATATGAGCACCTTGTGCCATATGCGGAGAGTGGTCCTGATAAAAAACAACAAGACTAATAAATACAACAATTCATATATTCCTTCCTCCGTTTATGTCCTAAACCCAAAACAGGCTCCAATAGATACTAACAACTGCAATTTTGTCAGCACAGTGCAAACATGCATCTGTGATCTGAGAAGGAAGGCACGCCAGACCGCTACAGTCTTGAAACCCCAACACTTTGATCTATCATTCCCAATGGAATATGGATATCAACGCAAAATGATCGTACATAAGCCAATGTGAGAGCCTCACGTTTATTAATCAGCACAATAAACAACCACGTTTCTTACCGCCGGATCCGCAAAGCCAGGTACCCGCTAAGAAAAACGACCTCAGCAATGAGAATTTATTTTTGTCACATTTCAAAACATAAATCACAACAGCTGCCGGTTAGTGTAATTAAAATCGTGCAAGATCGGAGTGCAAACTCAAAATATCTCCGAATCATTACTGATATTAAACCCGACAATTTCAATCCGTGATGCCTACTCCATATTAATTTTGAAAAAGTGAGAACGTTTAAATTTTCCAAACGCAAAAGCGGTAATAATACAGCAAATTAAAACCCACGAATCTGGCGCACCTTCCTCGCCCCACCCAAGACACTTTTCGGTATAAAAGTGTGAATAAAATCCAGTCATTCACTCAGACAGAGGTCATCCAGATACTGCGCCAGTTTCACGATCCCGAATGGAAGCAGCAGTTGCATCCTTTTGCTTTACTATCAATTAACACCATACACAGAAGTCTACTCGCGATTTCTGACTAGCTTAAAACTTCAAACATGTAATAAGTAATGTCGTTCTCTGCAAATCCGAAGTACACATACACCAGCTTCAATATGAATCAGATCAAAAATACGGCGATGGATTTCTATATGCCGATCCAAGATTACGAGTAGCCCATTCCAAGATGAGCCAATACAAACAATGATATACCATGCATACGAAATCCAGAATTTCAGCCTGGTGCGTCGAAAGGTCAAGCGGAAATAATCTTTACGCTCAAGCAGCACATATACACCAGAATAAAGTGGCGAAACAACTCGGATGCATTAATACTACTTATACACAGAAGGCTCCAAGATTATAATACCACCAACTGAATCTTCACTTGACCATGAAGCGAAAGACTTAAATTTGACGGCATTCGTTCTTGAAAGGTCGAAATCCTATGCCGTTAACTTTTCTAAATGGCTCTCACTTCGATTTGTAAAATACCCAGCCTAAAGAAAACTAATACCCCGCCGAAAAAACACTGAGCGGCGGTGATTCCAGTCATCTCAAATTCTAACTATATATAAGAGAGAAGCCAAGCTAGACGCAGTATCTGAACGACCTCGTAACAATAGGTGTCGGGACTGGCACCGAAATAAGCACCATGATGATGTTCCATTTATATCAAAATCATAACGAACAAATACGTTTCACTTCAGAATGAATGTCATCGTTAAGTATCCACGCACATAAAACTTTCCGTTACACTTACCATATATTCATCTCCTGGCGATGAAGTAGATGCTCCTGATGAAAAATGACTATTAATGCCGCGCTGTTAAAGTCAATTGTGCTCACTAATCCAATCGACCAGCAGTAAAACTTATAGATCGCAGCAATTACTTGGACCGTAAGCAGAACCCTGCAGCCTATAATATTAGCGCACAACGTGAAACTGTCCAAGTAATCTTGCCCGATTGTCTATAACACTCTAAATTTCAGTTTCAGCTCGTATCATGAAAGGAGAGCGAGTTTCCGAAACACTGGCCACAATAATCAAGAAAATCAAAACCATTCCTTATTAAACCAACCTAAACCCGGCGCTGGAAGAGCTGTACCAAATCCTGGAGGTGGCATAGGAGCACCCATTGACATCATGGACTGATGACTCTGCAGCAGGGCGTTTGGTGGAGCTTGACCCATTCCTCTGTAAAAAAAACCAAGAGTCTGTCACGTAACCCACCAACATTAAACAAGTTACAAACCGTCCGGAATGTTGTGCCTTCTTCTGCTGCATTTCGCGCAACTGCATCTCACGCGCTAGGATCTCCGCTTGGATTTTGTTCATCTCCAAGTCAACCACGCTCGTCTCCATTTCTTGTTCCAGTGTAGCCGACGCATCCTGGAAAAGTTTTTCCAACTCGTCCAGCTTCTTTTGATGATTTTCAAACAGCTTTTTCCATCGCATGCCGAACTCAAATTCCAGAGAGCCTTGTTTTGCAAAGCGCGGTGGTTGTTCAGTCTCTCTGCAGCATTAAATGAGTCACATTTTCGAAAGTATTAAAGGCTGCATTCATTGTTGTAAGTTCCAAACTTACTGCTGGTAAGTGGGACGAGAGGCCACATGCACTTCCGGCAACCCATCTTCCAGATCTTTCTGCTCCAACATCTCCACATACAAGGGTCGAGGAGAACTGGTCGAGAAATCAATTTTTCAGACAGCGGACATTTTAGACAATGCAGTAATTGTGTTGTAATTGCTGGAATTTCTAGCATTGCCATCGCAGAAGTTGTAATTATCAATTTAATAACCACTTGTCAATATGAAGTATAACAAATAACATACAGTACAAAAATCACTTACGCTCCCAAAAGGAACACTCCATCGGATACGTGCTTGTAAGCATTCTGAGCGATGTTCTTTCTGGAAAAGTAGACGACGCCGTCACCCGTCGGTCTGCCTCGTTCATCGACGGCCGCTACCGCCTGTTCAACTTCGCCAAATCTTTCGAAGGCTCGTCGCAGAAGCTCATTTGATACATTTTGACTCAGATTCTTCACACGAATTCCAGCGCTGTGGGTTGCGAAACGAACTCGAAGCACTCTGCCTTTAAAGTTTGTCCCGTCAATGTTCTGCTTGGCCTGTTCTGCATGGCTTCGAGTTTCCTGTTGAAAGAGACGATTCAGAAGATTACAGAAAATTATTTTTAACAAAAACCAGCTCTTACCATGCGGACGAAAGCAAACAGTTTCACTTTGTCCATATACACGTCAGGCTGGGGGCCAAATTTTTCGAACAATTTGCGAATGTCATCTTCAGTTGTATCATTGCTGAGATTCCCCACAAACAAACGTGCACGATTACCAAATTTGATTTCCTCATCGTGGTCTCGATTTCGTGGTGGATGAGGTTCGCCAAAGCCAGGATTGTTGCTGTTACTGTTATTCTGGACGCGATCCTTGCCTCCTCGGTGCCGACCGTGTTTGCGATTGAAACCACCACCTCCTTTCCCGTTGGCCTGCTGCATCCCCGGAAAGGGCCGCTGGGGACTTCCGGAATGGATTGCAGGATTGCCAGGAGTGGAAGCAGCGGGTGATTTGTTTTGGAAGGGTTCGGCGCTGGACGGACTTGGCCCCAGCGATGATCGCTGCAGCGAGTCAACCTTCGCTGGGCTGCCGGAAGGAGCGTTCATCGATGGATTATCCGCGGCTTTCGCTTCGGTGTCCATTTCAGCGCTGTTAAGTCTGACAGGGACTGAATGGATTCCTCAGGTTTAGTTCGCTGTTCGCAGCAGCAAAAGACCTACGATCCTGTTCGACATCCAGTCTCTTACGTCAATTTTTTCACGGGCTACGGTATACAAATCTAAAGGTACCTTAACCTACTACAACTTGTTACTTACTGTTAATTAGCTTTAGACATATAAATTAATAAATAGGTACACCAAATACTTTATAACAAATAAAATTTATAAAGAAAAATTAATTAAAGATAAAAATCAAAAGAACCAAGATCAAAGATATCATACGCGAAAAGTAAAGACTGTACAGTTAGGAAATTTATGTGAAAAACGATCCCCTTCATTGACTTCAAACAAATTTCTAATCGGAAAAAGCAAATTACAATACAAAAACCCGCATTAATAACTACGAATATTTTTATCATAAAATTAAGTAATATAATTTGGTAATTTAAATGCTGAATGACTGGTTACTCTTATAGTCTTATTAGAGTTAGTGCTGACTGACACTCACACGCGTCAGACTGAGGCGACACGGACACATAAAGATTAACGGCCCTATCAAATCCTAGCTCCTTCAAACAGCCCATTACATACTATGTACAAATTCAATCCATAAAGGCATAAACTGATAAACAAAAACAAATAATACCTGTCCTCCGCCAAATTCGTTCACCAGGTTTGGCAAAACGTCGTGAAAACGATGCCTTTGTGGCTGAGTCCCTAATCGAAGAACACTGAATAATTCGACGAGCGAACAACGAGAGGATGACTGCTCACTGCTTGATAAAATTCGATCACGGATAACAGAGAACTCGATGAACTAAATACTTTTTACTTACTAACAGTTTCAACCTTTAAATCCGTACCTACTTTAAACCAAGTCGACAAGTAAGTAACTTGAGAAACGCACGAAAACAAAGTTCCAAAATTGATCTTGGTAACAAAAATAAATGCTCAATAAAATAATTCCCAATCTTGCTTTTCCACGGTAGGATGGAACCAGAGATGCTGCAGTGGCACACCATGCATGTGGGTGAACGACATCACTCGAGGCAGAAGGGTTAACTCCGCACTATATATGTGCTTGATGGGTGTCGCTTTAAACATTAACGTACGTACTACTGATGATGAAAATTTTTATTGTCAAAACTGAGTATTCGTGTAGGCACTGGGCAGTGCCCACTGCCTACTCTCCAATAGATGCATAATAATAGGTGCGTGTTACATAATTATAAATTTACAGTTATAGTTATATGATAAATGTCTGTCTTCAAACATTAGTACTGTACTTCAACTTGGACGTACAATACGTACATACCGGAACTGTATTCTTTAAACTTTTGATGATGAAGGAAGTTCAGGAAGTGCAATGATTGTTTGAATCCATCTTTTTTGGCGACGTTTTCTACGAGTAATGGTGATTAAAAACACATGTGATATAGTGAACATTGAAAAATGAACTCCATATATATAAACAACAATTATTTCGGGTAAGAAATCATCTAAATTAAAACTGGCTATAGGCTATATATTCGCGCACGTACTATCGACACCCCCTTTTAATCTGTTGTTTATAATTTTCCGGTCTAGTTTTCTGAACTTATAATTTAGCATCTTCAGGATTTTTTCGCTTATTATTTCCGGCGGGAATGCGAGTGCAAAAAAGCCGAAACTGTGGGTATTGACTTTAATTTTTAAAAGGGGGGTGACAATAGTCAAAAGGGGTGCAGGGGGTAACCAATTCCAATATTTTATCCTGAAGAATTCTTCAAGATAAAATTATCTATAATTATCATATTTTGTGAAATTTCTTGTATACTGACTAGTGACTGGTGAATATTGCAGTTGCACACGCAAACTGCAGTACCAGATCTCGAGCGGCTTGCACACCTCGGATTCGTACAATAGAAGTATAGATTTGACACCTGAAATTTTGTGGGCATATTAAGCCTTTTGCCATATTAACTGAATGTCAAGTGGAAATATTGTTTAGGTGTTATATCGAATTTCCTTGTGCAATCAACATTTCATCGTTTTGCTGTAATTTCCAGTGGTTTAGCAGTTTTTGATACTTCAAACATGTTTCAAGATCAGCCACCGTTGTTTATTGTTGAAAATATCCATTCTAAAGCAAAAATTAAGAGATTGCTGGCTACTCACTACTCGTCCACAAATAAGACAGACTGGTTACGATGCTACGATTTTAATACATAGTTTCAATCGGCACGATATATAGAATGTTGTACACTGTATAGAACTTATTGTTAAGCGCATACATAATTGCTAGGAATTACATTAAACCTAATATTCAGATTTTAAACAAAGCTTTTTAATTTTCTGCCGGTATTGATGTCGAACACACAAAAATGTGACAACCTAGCTAAAAGCTGTATAATTTAGAGACCGATTCCATTGTTCATGTGTAATTTATATACAGCAATTTTATTGTTTTGTCGCAGCATTGACGATACTGGCATGATACAATCAATTATCAATGTGAATTAATTTCCTGAAGACAACAGTCAGTTCAGTACAGTATTGAAATCCCCAGAATAGCAAGACTACATGTTTTCCGAATACAGTACCTAATATTACTAACAACTGTAAGTACTTAATTGTTATATTCCTTAATTTTCTCCCTGTTTTTATTGTTTTTTACTTGTATGTATAATGTATCTAGCCTATATTCATATAGGTAAATAATAAACAGAAGTTATTCAAATCTAGCTTATTTTTTATTTGAAACATCGCTGTTTGTTTACTTATCAAAAACTGGGTACAGAACATTTTGTTAACAACGATACAAGCCATAAAGCCCTCACTCAGCCGCTTTTTTGTTTTGCATAACTTTCTTGCGAGGTAAAAGCGCCGGTTGGACGAAGATAGTACGTACAGTATTTTAATATAGAGATGCATAGTTTTGATATAGCAACTACAGCATGCTATAATTATGTCGCCGAAACTAGGAAGTCCACAGCGCAGTGCAGACTGCGGTGCACCGGCTAGCGCTGACGTTTAATAGCATTCTTCCCAACAGTATAAAAAGTAAATTTCCAAATTTATTCTGCATAATCATAAATTAAACTGAACCCTGAAAACACGACAAAGAAAACTGTTAGAAGGATAAAAATTACGTCTGGTCCGGGTCTGGAAATAAGTAAGTTTAAAAGAGAACGTAAATACGATACCGTACGAGAATTGTGTGTTTGCTAAAATTGAGGTACAGTAATACCGTAATGGCTAACGATCGAGCGCTCTCATTGGTTAGACGATCGATGACGACAGGGTTTCGGTGTGGAAAAGTTGCTGTCTTCAGGGTGTGCAGTGGCTGCTTTCATATTCCTCTATGCTTTGAGATGATATTCATACATAGCATTATTTGAAAATGAGGTGAACGTTTATTGTGAAGTGAAGACATCTGAACCGTTATTATTATTATATTTCTCCCCAGTAAAATGTTTGTTAAAAGTTGCAAGTGTTTCGTGTCCGTCACTTGTTGCTATGTATAATCTGTTGACCCTGTCGCCAAAGGGCTGGCGCAGTTATTGTCAATCGCCTCTTTGCTCTATTTTTGACTGGGAATTTTGGATTTAATTTTAAAGGCGCAAACAATAGTGCTGACGAGTTCCGTAATTTCTTTCGGCTCATAATTGTCACCCTGCCTGGAAGGACAACACACACTTCGCATCCGGTAGTGAGCTGCATCATCGTAAATGCCTTATGTATTAAAGCAGGTAGAGTTAAACGATAAGTTGTAAGTATTGTAATGTTAAAGAGCTCCGATTATAGTGTTAAAGAGCTTCTAACGACAGAAGCCGATTGTAAATTATGGACGTAACTCACGTAAGGTATGCACAGTATGTAAAAGCTGCGTTTTTAGGAAGCGTTTCGGACCTAGCTTTCGCTGCGGCATATAAAAATTTTTGCTATCGCGCAGATTGGCGCTCATGTTTACACCTGTTAAGTGTAGTTAATTATTTGCTTCTATAAAAATAAAGCATCTTTATAGTTGAATCGTTTTCAGGTTTCATAAATGATAAGTGCGTGTTTTCTCGGCCGTACGCTGTCAATAAACCACTTCAGTTCACACTGTATCAGTTACACCCGCACTGATTTACAGCTGCAAACTTGTACTAAGTACTTCATTCTTTAATTAACGAAGCACTGAAGCAGTCCGTTGCGAATTATTACGCAGAAAATTAACGCAGACAGTAGTCGCTAAATACCTAGCAAGCAGCAACAAATATCTCCGATTTTGTTTTTGTTATCTCTCATTACTGCTCACTAGTGCAATGAAAAGCGGACTTCTAAACAGTCTCGAGCAAGACTGAAATAACCTTGTTTGTTTATTGGGTGATATACGCAACATCTCTGTGGTGTTGTTCATCATCACCATCTTGGTTGCTTTATTTTAATCATTATGAGGCACTACTGTACGGTAATAATGTTGGCGTGAAGATCAAAGTGAGGCATTACTTAAAACAATAACGTGCAATAAAATCTGACAGTTTTATAATTAGCTGAAACTTGTTGAAGTACTTTTTACAACAGTTTACGTACCGTTATCGTTTGGTGCAATGCATCGTAACAGCACACCTTTGTCATTGGTATTGTAAATCTGCGCTTTCGAAAGAATGCACCCAAAAAACAAGACGTTCCGCTAGAATGACCTTAGCGTGAATACTGACACGGCATGGACCATTTAATATTTTTTTGCAGGCCAGCTGACAAATGAAGGAAAAATCTAAAAACGCTGCTAGAACACGGCGCGAGAAGGAAAATGCGGAATTTATCGAATTGGGAAAACTGTTGCCGCTGCCTTCGGCCATTACCAGCCAGTTGGATAAAGCGTCGGTTATTCGATTGGCTACCAGTTATCTGAAAATGCGAACGGTTTTTCCAGATGGTAAGGAGTTTAAGGACCCTACTCTGTAGCCTTACATGTTAACCATAATGTAACCGGTAGCACACGGTAACTGATAATATTTTATATCTATCTGAGCCGTTCAAAGTGTTCGGCGAAGTCTATGCTCAGAAAATTTCTTTGATTAGGAACAGTTAAGTTAATTAATACCTTTTTAAATCGTAAAATTATTATAAAGTTGACCTAAAGATACAAGCATGTGTGTAACGTAAAACGTTTCTTATAAAAAGATATTTACGAAAATAACTTTGAAAAAATCGCCAGAATATTAAACTTTCCAGAATGATTAAAAATGGAGTGATAAAATGTACGAGTATTACCGATTCGCGTTTTTTTCACGTATTAAATAGCACTTCCGCCGTATAAGTATGTGTTAGTCTGTATTCCCCGTAAGCCTCAGGCGTGGGGTGACTGTGGTTCATTTAACAAGATTTTCTGAAAATGATCGGATATCTAGAAGTTTGGCTTGGATATTAAACGCATTCAAATGCAAGTGAAGTGCTGTTTTCCTTCAGACTGTTGCTGGTAGCACTGACGATGATTCCATGCCATAGGGAATGAATGATTAATAAATTATTACAGTACGAGTGTGTGCTAGTTACTTGTCTTGGACCGATCACTGGTAGTCACACCATTGTTGTATCAGATTTGCAAGGTTCCTTATGTTTTATTCAGCATCCGCAACAAAAAAGTGTTTTGTAGTTTAAAAGCCTTGAACGTGCACTCACTGAAAATTGAATTATGAGCAAGGCATCCTCGAATTGTGTATGTGATATGTCTGTATTTTCGAAACGAAAAATTAAGATTCAAACACGCCCATCACCCACTTGGAAAATCGGATCAGAAAATCCTCTGATCATTTTAAACCTAATTAATTCGCCTATCTGGTGACGAAGAAAACGCTGTTGTGATTGGCTTCGTTAGCATACAAACGGCTTCGTTAAGCATAGCGTGTGCTTTACCTCTCCGCGGGCTATATTAGAATGTTATTGATCACATCATTGGCATACACCACGTCATAACCTCTGCGCCGTTAACGTGTGCATCGTTCACTATTTTTACTAAATATACAGTGGCTTGCTTTCAAATCAGTAACGAAAAAACTTATTGATGCATACAAACGATGCGAATGAAGATGGTTTTCCAAGCTGCAGGTGATTCGCTTTTATGTCAGGCTACCGTCTGTTTGTTGCACCTGCAGTATATAATATGATATCTTATCAAGACGGCGCTTTGCTGTTTTCTCAATAAAAAATGCCGGCTCGAGATTACATAAAGAGATACATAGCTGGTGGTAGTAACTTGATGCGCTTCGATCAACACAACACGCATAAATAGACTTTTTGAAGAACAGCTCAGAGAAGGAGTCGTGCGATAAGCAGCTTATGGAAAAAAAACACAAATTGGCATGTCATGTAGTATAGTGTAATGGTCAGTTGCAACTCTCTGTATATCGGTTCATTCGGTTGTTATCAACATGCACAGACTTCTCATGATCAGCAGCAGTTACTTGATTCGAAACAAGTTTAATTTATACGACAGACCTGTACTAAAAACAGCTTAACAAAAGAAAACAGTGAGATTTTAGAAGCTGATAAATATATCCGTTTAGTTAGCAGGTTGTATTTATTTAGGAGACATAAATATTTTCACGCCGCATAAGCAGCTACGTCCATAGTATATTATATATTTTTTAAAATACGGAATCAAGTTTATCCTATTCTTAAATCCCAGTCAAATTCGATGACCTTTGCATATTTTAATGCACATATAAAAGGGACTCTATTAAAGCAGTTTAATAGAGCAGCCAGCATGCCCCGCGATAGACGAAGTAGTTGTTTTTAATAGGCTTATTCTCAACTAGCTGACAATTATTCCCGGTGGTCGTTTTAAACATAATTTGGCTACAGAGCGCTGTACCGGTTTGTAATGTCGTCATATGTTATGTGTGTTTAATAGACACGTGATAGTTAATGTGAAGTGTTAACATACTCAAAGCGGGAAACTTCATTTCCCTTCCCACAGCCAGCAGGTCAAGATGCTGGCGGAGATCGGATTCCCAGCTACCAAACTTCCTTACGGGTGGCTTTCATGGATAAACACTTTTCTCTAGCACTGTCACAGTTTGCCTGGGTTATCCTAGCAGCAAAATTTAGAATATCATCTCGACAGGAGAAGATATTCTCATATACCGTATTCGAAGAGGAATATGGACATGTGCTCCGCAGTACATACTGTGGTCTGTACAGATACTTGTACATGGGTTGTATCATATGTACAGCTACAAACAATCGACGCTTCGGAAGTCTACAATTCAATGACTATTTACAACTAAGATTCGTTCCGATGGTGCCTACGGTTGTTTATGTGAAGTGGTTTATCACTATCTCAATTTCCTATGTCGAATTATTCCGAATGAGGGCGCTCTCACGCAATAAACGAACTCATCCAGAAAGTTCGTTTCGGTGTAACATGGGCAGACTTTCGTTGCTCTTGTTGCTGTACTGTGCTATTAAATATTTTTTGCATACGTTCTAACCTTTTCTTGCACTTGTTTTGGTTGAATTTGTCGTCTATCGCTCTGTGATATTAGTATGACTGTACGTTAACTCTGCCAGATATATACCGTATAAATCCTAACCGAGTAGTTCCTGGTGTTTCTCAAGCCAGACCTTTTCTTCTAAATGCAAAGACGATGCTTAAATTAATATACAGAGCAAGCTTTCCTTTGCTAATTACATGGAGAATGTTGCATGTTGACAAACACTAACGATAAACAAAGATGTTCGATCGACACTGTTGTTAGCGTCGTACATTCGCATGTGTCTTATAACGTTATGTGCGCATTCGATGCAAAATAGCACATTTTAACAAAATGCTGTCTGCTCTTGTTCCATTAAAATTAGTTGCCTTTTACGCACTGTTGTATCATGGTATTCACACTCACTTTCTTTAATTTTAGTTGCAGTTACTGGGCGTTTACTAAATTTTTTATAGAGATGGGTAATGTTTTCTTCGGAGTGAGTAATTGTGTCATCTGTAGCGCATAGACCAGAATAAAAGAGCTATTTGCAGAAGCAGATATTTGGCGGCTGGGGAAATGCTTAAAGGGCATTTACAACTGCAAGAATTCACAATGGTAGCGGCCGCGGAAGCTTAACCGAATCGTACCGCATTGCAATAAGTATGCCTATATCGGCGGCAGCTAAGTGGTATGCACTACATGCTAGATGCTACGAATATCTTGTAAAGTGTAAACCATAAATGTATAAATGTGTTATACAAATGAATTCAGCTTGGTGAATACGGAAATATTCAAATATATCGCATGTTGTGAAAGCAGCGTAAATTTTGTATTAAAGAGATGATAGCACCTTTGGCGAATCTTATTCATTCAGGTCGGATCGAATTCAGAATCAACACGAGTTAAAATCATCTGGCTTCTGTGCCGGTAAAGTATCACCGTGTCGCCGTTGTTGCTCCTGCCATTTTACGCCCGAGATTGATTACAGTTTATTTGCACAATACGTTGACTTCAGAATTCGCTTTACGCGCCGGGATAGTTTAAATATTTGATGAATATTACGGCTGCCATTTTAGTTCCATCCAGTTAGCATATAATAACAGGCATCAAAATATCGGCATATGAATTCGAACAGGATAAAAGCATCCATAAATTTACTTTACCGGTCTTTTGCTGACAGTACCGTAAGAAAGTTTGCGCATTGTGTCAATGTGCCGTGCCGATATATCCTGCGGTATATAATACCGTATATTGTACTATCTTAAATGGTAAGCATACGATTTACAGTTACACAATTTGGACCATCATCTGGACTATAGGCGTTATTCTGAGGCGATCAATTTAAAAATTAGTTATTGACAGTCAATAATAAAATTCGCACTGTGGATACCACGAAGAACTGTACACAATAATTTTTCCTTGCACCTTTTCAAACATAATTATATGTCGCTGTTGACGCGAACGGTTAGAAAAGCAACGAAATACTACAATTCTGTAAGTAGAAAACACTGCAGAATGTAATTTATTACACTAAACCATAAAAATATTTTGCTACCTATTCTAAAATTAAATTAAACGAGCTCAGTACAGTTAGACGCAAGAAGATTTGTTCGCCGTGACCTTTCAAGAGCGAGACTTGCTTCGATTTTGGGTCCTGACCGTCCTGTAGCTTACCGGTTACGGCCGTTATGCCGTTATAGTATGTAACAGACTGCTAACAGTACACGTCGTGAAGAGTTGCTTTTGCTCCCGCGCTCACCTGTCGTTCCACTGTGTCCGTATATAATGCGCTGTATGAAGCGCTTACGGTTTTTAGATTCCAACTTACTGATACTCGTTCCGGGATATCTGGGCGGTATAAATACCACAAGGACCCCCTGGGTTGGAAGCGTGTCATATAATTACGATCTCGCTGGAGCCCATTCATTGCTTCGCGAACCAATTTAGAACAATCGATTTCGCTCTCCTTCCTGTAATCCGGTTATACGAAAGGATAAACAAACTGTCGAGCTGGCTGTGTTCTTTAATATGTTATGCAACTATAATAATTTGTTATTAGATTATTGTGGGTTAATGTACATATAATGTGCATACATATATTGTTTGAAAGAAGGCAGACAAATTGTTCATTAGGTTATAGCCACAACTCGCATTCCACTCACAATTGTCAGTTGAAAAATATTAGAACGCTCAAAACAGAGTCAGTTTCAACGTAACTTACATTGAACGAGCTACTGACCATGGGGAACTGCTGCAGTTTGTCTTTCCCATTTGCTTGTGAGAAACAGAAAAATACTTAGGTAATGATGAATACAAGAGTGATTTAAAGCTTCTGCATCTGTAGGGCTTGGCGAAGCATGGGGCTCAGAAGCCTCAGGCCGGTACTTAACGAAACGAGATGTCCACTGTGGAAAAAATGACCTGGGATCCCAAATACTCCAGGTGAGAGCATATACAGACCAGCTGCAATTCGACTGACCGACTAATTTACTCGGGAACTAACTAGGCACTAGGCTGGATGGAAAATAATAGTTTATAATTACATCGATGTCGCTTATAATATGAGTTAAAAGCTGAGTGACCAAAGTTACCAAGAACTGTTTTTGCAGACCCTCGATGGTTTCATTTTTGTTGTGGCACCGGATGGAAAGATTATGTACATTTCAGAGACTGCCTCGACGCATTTGGGGTTATCACAGGTAGAATAATAATTCGTAACAGAATCCTGAAAAAGATCTCGGTGCTGAGTAAATTTTAACCATGATTATATTCATTAAGATTTATCGAATAACTTTGTGCCATAGGTTGAAATGACCGGAAACAGTATTTACGAGTACATTCACATGAATGATCACGAGGAAATGACAGCAATCTTGAATATGCACCAAATTAGCTACGCCAACTCGCCGTGTCAAGGTACGGAGAATATCACACAGATTATACATTTCTGTCAAAAAACATCTTGTTTAAGATATTTAGGAGCAAATCGATATTTATGACACCTTATCTAATATGCAGTATTTTCAGATTTCGAGGTGGGGAAATCTTTTTTCATCCGCATGAAATGTGTACTAGCTAAACGGAATGCTGGCCTTACATCTGGAGGATATAAGGTACAAAAAATGCTGTGCACAAGACAAGACATATAAACATTTATAAAACTATTACAGTTGTTGAAATTCATGCTGAACTACAAAAGTATGACACACTGGCATTTGAGACATCCATGACAAAATATACAATTTCAACTTCCGCTGAAAGTGTATTAGCAGCTGGCTGTATAGTCATTCGCAAGCAGTCCTCATTCCTTCTTTCTCGTGTGACAAGTTCTTTTGTAAAGGAAATATTTACAAGTTCTAAAATGTCTTCTTTACAGACCATTCATTGCAGCGGTTATCTGAAGATAAAGCACTTTACAATGGATAATATGCCACCGTTTGACGGATGTTACCAGAATATGGTGCGATTAATAAAACGCCGCTACTGGGCCTGTAATAATTCCGTTAATAGCTATTTTTCTTGACAGGGATTGGTTGCAGTTGGTCATTCAGTGCCGTCAAGTGCCATCACGGAAATCAAAATGCATTCCAACATGTTTATGTTTCGCGCTAGTCTTGACATGAAGCTCATTTTTGTGGAAGCGAGGTATTGGCGAAAATGAGCGGCTATGAAATTTATCGACAACTGCGTGACTATCTAACCCACTCAGCGCCGATGCATCTCGGCGCTCGTGTGCGTCACGGATGTCGCTATAACATACAAATATGGCCGCGGCTGTTATAAGCATCATTAATGGAAAATATGCTGCTCTTCATTTTGCAGGGTTAATGCGTTAACCGGTTACGATTCGCCAGAGTTAGTCGACAAAACAATCTATCAATTTGTCCACGTTAACGATCTCCTACCGCTACAACACGCCCATTGGCAGCGTAAGTACATAGTGCTGATTAAACGGCCAAAGAAACGCTTACCCTTATTAATAACACAGCCGAAGTCAATATTTGCTTGTGGTTTTATATGTGTTCGTTTAATTGTGCATCTTTTCATAATGGCAGTCGTCCATAAAGGCCAGGTTACCAGCCGATATTATCGATTTCTCACAAAAACTGGTGGATGGATTTGGATGCAGAGCTACGCTACTATCGTGCATAACAGTCGATCCTCCCGACCACACTGCATTGTCAGTCTGAACCACGTACTAAGGTTTGTACCACTGCCAGCGTTTTGTTTTCGTGTATTCAGCCTTTAATTGTTTTTCGGCTTTCGCCGACGGTTGGGTAATCTGTTTAACCAAAGGAAGTATCTCGATACATGAGTGCAAAAAAATACGCATTTTATATTTTATGAAAAGAATTGTTAAGAAGTGTATTGTACGAGCATCTCTAGCGTATTATTGCATAACGCAGTATGGTACTGTAGGCGGTGCTTTTAGTCGAATGTTCGGTTATAAGGTTATAGCAAGGGTTATAGTAAAAACGTAAGTTATCTAAATAATCAGCTTATTATAATTTTTTTTCGTAATAATTATTATGCGTTTTGGTCTGCCATTTCCATTTCCGTACAATACCCTATAAATACCACAAAATAATACATTGCCGGCCTATCAGAAAGACATTTTAACCTAACCTGCATAATAAGAGATACTGTATTATTTTGTCGAATAACATGTAGTGTACATGTATAGCTGACAAGCCTGACATACATCCATATATTAATCGATAATGCGGCATTGTGTTGCAGCAATGTGAATAACGAAGGTTTGACCCTAAGCATCGACCAGATGCACCTTGCGGGATGTTCCGCTCCATCAAACCCATTGAGCAATGCCAACCATGCACGAGTCAACCGACCATTGAGAACAGGAACAAAGTATCGACATTCGCCCTATCCATATCCGCCTAATGAGCTGGAAGACATGGCCGGCCTTCCCGTGGGCTATGACGACGCGCCCGCCAACGTTAACGTTAACGGTGCGCCACCATCCACACCGAACAGCGGCTACAGCCAACTACTACCGTATAACAATGCCACCGTTTCCGCTGCTCCCTGCAGTATACAGGCGCATTCACCGCTCCTCGACAACAATGCATCGCCGCGCAGCCATACCAACCCTTATTTGGCCCTTGACAATATTAGCGCTGCCAAAAGTCGCGCTGAAATGGTCTACAGCCTGGACAAAAAGTTGACGCCTTTAGAACCGTTGCGATTATCGGTATCTAACACAAACACTACAGCCGATGACCTTTGTATAAGTCCCTGTTCCGATCTAACCACTCTGCCGGCTGTCAAGTGTGATCAGCAGAATTCGCGTCTTTCCGCTTATGTAACTGACTCTCTTTGTGGAATCAGTTACAGTGCGCATTTGAATCGTCATCTCGATCTGCATGAGCCAATGAAAACGCTCTCACGGCAGTCATACAGTTCCAACTCCAGCTGCAGTGAGAGCATGTCGTCGGATGGATCGTCGGGATTAGAGAACGACATCCCGTCGACGATCGATGCCCTGTCCATAAAAGCCTCTAGCAGCCCCGTGGCGGGTTTTTTTCATCATACGGAGCATTACAATTTCTCCAGCGGTTGCGCACCGGGAATGGCGCCGTCAGCGCCGGTATTTCGCTCATCCGCGGGACACATTAATATCCTACCGGGCTGCGGTGCCGCCGTCGGATCATCATTAGCGCTGCTCAATGAGTGCGCTCCACTGGACAATCTTCCTTCCGCAACCAGCTTCGCCTCTCCAATTAATCGGCACCAACTGGGCTGCAATGAAAAGGAAGAGGAGCTGCACAACAGTAACAAGAAAGGGGAGAATTGCACAGCGGCCATGCGCACTCTGCCCCATTATGAGTTTCGGAATTTCTTCTGCGATGCCGCAGCAGCGGGAGAAGGCGCAACGATGGTCGCCACAACCGGCAGTCATCACCAGGCGCATCCCGTTCCCTACACCAGCGTCATCGTGGATCCCCATTATCTGCAGTCCTATCAGCTGACAAATGGTTTTGCTCATTAAACTTCTAATGACTGCAATTGTGTAGTGCAGTTTCTCTTGAATTTGATCGTTACGTCGTACGTAAGTGCTGTACACTTATGATTCAGGATCTCTTGTGTAGTTATTCATAAGGATTCACTAATTTCGAAATGTGGTGGATCCGTTCTGTAGGTATTTGCGGAGGAGTGAATGTTGTTGTATTTTGGAAATTCCTGATTTGGTATTCTTTTACGACACACTCATTAATTCTCCAGAGTTTATTTTACACGAATTTTAAACTGTCTTTGCTGCTTTGATAAGGAACGTGTTTTTCCGGTGTGCCAAGCAAAGATGCTAGTAAATGTACCTAACTGAATAAAAAATAATTTTCTTTTCCGTACGTATCCGTGATAAAATTGAATCAAATACGTATGGCAATGATAACACGTATGGTGGATTGTGGAATACGCACTAAGTACTTATAGCTTTGCCGTTCCATGGGTTTGTGAATGCAGTACAACTGCATGCAAATGAATGACAATTGCATACTTGCCAAAATAATAATTATTGTATAATTATTATACAATATACTCAGACATCAACCAAATTGTACCAAGAATCTCCAATTTCACAATTTTAATCGAGGCCTGCATACAGGTTACATCGACGTGCTATTGCTATTAAAGGCATACTAGAGATACAAAGTGCATACTTTTTAATTGTGCATGGGTAAAAACTGCATAATATTTAATACACATATAATACACATCTACAAGTATATTATAATATCATGCATATATGGTGTCCATAAATACTGATACATTCGCGAAAGGGTCGAAACATTGCTATAATAATATAGCGTATTTAACAATACTGTTCGGCTTTGTACTTTTTTGTGGTTAACGAGAAAATCAACATCGGACAGATCGGCATGTTGATCGCATAGGAAACTTGTCGGCAATGTTTGGATAGAATGTGTCACTGACTTTTTAAGTAGCATTATCCCTTTAGCGAACAATGTAGATAACTAAATGTCATCACCAAACATTTGCAATTCAGTAAGGATACCCCTATACACAAAAGGTACATGTTTACTCGATGAATAACGAGATTTCTCTCACCTGTTAATTTACATATGAATCTGATTTGGTAGTCAGCTTTTGTTCTACCTAAGTGCTACGTAAAGTGCGTCGTGTGGCATTGCCTTCTGACACAGTATGATGAACTCGTGCGTTGCGACCTTAAACAGTGTAGATCTACTACATGCACATGATGCACAGGCTTTCAGAAGGTTTAGGACTTGTTTGATATCTCTTCGTACTTGTATTATACCAATATGCATATGATTTAGGAACTTTTTTTAATTCGCATGGTTGCGAAATTGTGATGTAAGATAGGCTTCGCGTTAAGTTTTAAAAATACAGTACCGTAATAACTTTAATGTCTGTACTACCGGTACACAATCACAATCACTTCCGGTGAGCTAACTTGAAAGTTAAGAATTTTCGGACCTTATGAATTGCAATGAGTACTGTAATCCTATATATGTAAAGTAGCATTTCTTGAGTACTTCACGTGGATATCTATGATTTTCCGATTTCGAGCGCGGCATTTTACCACTATAATTTTACATATTTTTCTAATTTTGATCGCAATATTTGGCTCACTATTTGCATCTTTCGCAGAACTTGGTCGCAAAAGTCAAAGTACAACCGAAACTTACAATTCTTCGAAACCCCGGAGCCACGACTGCGGTTACTAATAACACGTTTTAAAAAATATTATTCAACGTTAAAGTACAAGGTAAATTTTTTGTGAGACGCCCTTCGTACGTTAACGTAGGCGGTAATTAAAGCTCTTATTCGAATGTTTCTAGATAGATTTCTGCCATTCGTCTTGCGCAGCACTGCCGATGCGAAGAAACGTCCGATGTACTTGGATCTTTGGGTGTATCGCTTATACAGTTATACTAAGCGCGCGCAAAGTGCCGCAAACCATTTTTTATTTAATTACTTTTTACTGTCCTTCATCACTTGCCGACAAAAAATCACAATCCCTTTCATTTTGCAGCAGTACTTTCTACTTCAGATTCTTGAGCGTGGATTTGCTACCACGCTCAACAATCTTTAAAAATGTATGGATATTGAAAAAAAGGCTTGAGCAAAGGTCAGACGTAGGTAGTCTGATGATTAATTCAGGACGTGTGCGAGTTGTGTAAGCCCTGGATCGGGCGGTCATCATTTTCTCTTCTTTATTTCGATTCATAATTATGACAATATTAACCAGACACTACTGCTACAAAATCAGGTACTACCAAAACATCCAATACCATCATTAGCGTTTAATTGAACTGTTTAACACGCGGCAAAGTGCCCAAAACTGCCGCCGCATTACCACGAACAACGGCAATGCTGAAGCGCTGTTTCAAAAACGAACTCGAACGCGCTTCACCCGTCTTTTCAAAAATTCTACAACCTAAAAACTTAAAAAGTCATAATATGCACGTGATGGAACAATCAAAATATGTCAAAATAAATAGATTAAAATAAAGTTCTGTTCAGCATGCATGTTTAACGCATCACAAAGTTTCCTGATGTGAGCACGTGAGCGAGCCATAACATTATGTTACAGCACGTTGAGGGGATTTCTTTGATTTTACTTCTCTTGCCTCGTCCTACGACATGGACGATTTCGTTTTCGCTGTCGTCATAATAAAATACAAAAATATGTAGCGTAAAAAACACTGCGCTGAATTAAATGTAGGCACATAATCAACCTTAAGAACGAGTAATGCACGCTGACATGAAGTTTCTACTTATACCTTATACAGGGTAACAGGATTCATACTTTTCTGTTTTCCGGAGAAAACATTTGAAAACAATTTTTTGTGTTGACTGCGTACACATTTTTTCTGCTTTCGTCAAAGTGCGCAAGTGCGGTATTTTCAGTTTCTCTCATACTTCAAAAATCATTTTTCCTAATTCTCCGCCCCGTTTTCAACCACGAAATATTTATGCCGAATTAATAGGTTTCGAAAATATGTAGCATGTTCATACTTTCTGTGAGAATGCCCACAGAAATTTGTTTTCCTTATTCTTATACTTTTTCATCTGTTTCAACTTTTTCGACTGTTTTGGAGAAAACAGAAAAGTATGAATCCAGCATTACTCCTAATCGAGCGGGCGAGCGAAGCGAGCCCGCGTTTTTTTCAATATAAGCACTTTGAGGTTTTAAGACACGGCGAGCTTGACCTTCAGGTTCCTTCAGGTTCACACCCCGAAACTGCGGTTCTAAGACACGGCGACCCTGACCTTTGGGTCGCCGTGTGACCTTTGATAACCTTTGTGACCTTTAAGTTCCCGACACCCCGAAACTGCGGTTCTAAGACACGGCGACCCTGACCTTTGGGTCGCCGAGTGACCTTTAGCGACTTTACAGTTCCTGAAACCACACAACCGCGATTCTACGGAGCTTAAATTTCTCAATCTTATGTGCTGACACAGCAAACTATACCTCTTGATTTTTGGTGTGCACGTTAGTGTTGCAGTAATCAGCGTCATTTCTGAATAAGATGGGCTACTTTTAGCATATTATGAGATAACGTTTAACATGACGTTTCTCTTAATGCAGGCGACTACAGACCATAATATCACGTTAAGGCGTAACGCAATGTTGTCGTAACGAGCCGCGGGTACTGTGACACGATGGCGATGCTCCAACTTTAAGCTACAATTTATTTACCATGAGGGATATCACGTTACCTCAACAGATAACGTGAGCGTACAAAGCTGCAGTTATTGCATTTAATGCATTTATCCGTGTTTCACTGCTTCTTGCCTTAACTGGCTTAAGTTTGCGTTATTGTGACTGTTAGCTATAACAATGAAAGCAAAATCGTAACTGCTTTACTTCGACTCACCCGAACTGCAAGAGGTTATCGCAAATGCAGCTGGCTGACGTTACTTTAATCGGTTGTAGTTAACACAGCGGTTCGTTGTAATGGGCCACCACTAATAAGTTTAGCCTTGACTAAGGTTACGGATTTGCGTTACAGGGACGTTTGTTGTTTGATAATAATGAATTTAATGCCTTCGGCAACGGTACAAAGTCGTCTCACGCACACAGTAAGATAACACGCATATAACTGGGGGCAAAACTGGACAAAATCAAACTCAAAATTTGCGTACTTTAACGTAATAATTCGAAATTACCGTGGGAATAACAGCTATCGCACCGATCTGCAGTGCGGTAGATTGATTTTTGTTATTTTCGAAACTGGCTTTAGTTGCTGTAACGAGCGATGGTAACTGTTACGGGCTTCCTCAGCATAATGAACCACGGTCTCAGTCACCGCTACCATGGAAGTCTAAGGTTACCGTAAGGGATTCGCACTAACGCCTACCCACATATCGTTTCTGCCAAAATCTGCAGACTTATCCCATAAAAAACTGCAGTTCCCGTACCAGATCACCGCTATAGTAGCAAATTACAGCACATTGAACCGGTTGCTGCTGGGACATTATTCTTTTAACGTTTCCGAATGCTTGCTAACGCAATGGGCTCAAGAAACCATAAAAGGATACGATACTGTTATGTAATGTTTTACCGCTGTGCTAAGCAAATTACCGTAAGCGTAACGTTTTCTCTCGTCAAAAATTTACGGTTACAATGACAGGTCATAGAACGCTTACGGAAAGCATATTTCTTGCGCAACATTTTGCTTTCACTGGTTGGTGGATAGCGTGTAAAGTACCTGATACCCTTCAATAAACTTATAACTGTAAAATAGATGGTTAAAACATTACAAGAAGAAAACCTTCCATATAAATACATTAATTATGGCATTTTTTGGCTCCCGGAAATAAGAGCCCCACTGCATCAAGCGCACCTCACCTAGCCTGTTTGAATAATAACACCTCCTCTCGAAATTACGCCCTAGGGAGACCTTTATAAATATAAAACCTTGCAGGATGATAAGAATGCTGCAAATTGCCTCACAAAAGTTGTTGCAGTTGTGAGCAAACAATGAACATTCTTTTGCAGAATTTCTACGTAACTAAATATATGTTGACAATATTGCTGGCACGATTAAGCGGTTGCAGGTTCCGGCAACTATTATGTTCGCGTTTGCTAGAACAGAATGCGCAGTCTTATAAACTACGGTGTCTTTCCCAAAACATATCGTTCAAGAAACAATGACACCTTCCGAGATTGCGCCCTTCCCAAAATAAGCTCCCTGTGTCATAGCCTTAGGCTTATATGTACCCCACGGCCGCAGATTCTCTAATTACAGTAAGAAATTTTATTGATACGTTTCGGTGGAATATTTTTTGCTCGAACGCAAACACAGTTTTCGCTACAACTTTAACTTTCACGCTAGCGTTCTACATATCGAGTTTAAGCTTGATTTAAAGCAGACTTTATGTAGAGCCACTGTTCAGTGGTTTAAAAGGTTAGTTAAATTATAAGCGGATTTTGTCTAACGCTCCCGTTTCGTGAGTGAGTTTGCTTTCTATCACAGCGGCAACAAACGAAGAAATAATTTGCGCAATTCAGTTGCCCGATGTTCAAATCTGCGTTATATTCTACTGCTTATGTAGTAATTAAATTCACTGTACTTTACATCCTTTATTTGAAGTGAAATTGCAGGTGTTTTAGAACTGAAATCAGTTAGGCCTTGTTGATTTGCATACCCACTTATCCCAGGAACTCTTTTCGATAAATATACCCCACTTAAACGAAAGCATCAGAAGGACAAGACAGATTCAGTCGACCAGTACAGAGTTAAAGTATGCATCTTTTCTTGATGGGTGTTACAGAACATATTCAAAATGATTAAATTTAATTTTAAAAAAACTAAGAAAACAATTTAACAATAGACACGTTTAATTGCACTTTGCTCGCTTGCGTATCAAAGTTGCACACTTCGTTTATGTTAATATTAGTAGAAAGTAAAAGCAAACTTTGTAATTTGTTTGTTGCGGAGATTCAACTAGCTGCTAATTTCAGTTTAAAAATCAAATGACCTGTTTAATTTTGTCATCCAATGTTTTCTTGAATGTCTGGCTTGGACGAAAAGGTTTGTTTCGAAACGTTTCCTGCAAAGACTTGTTTTCATCGCTTTTGTTTATTCCACTGAATGTATACTACATACTTTATTGTATTCTGCTTACTTTATTTACTGCTTTACAACTTGATCACCTCTGGCTGCTATTGTACTAAAATTATGAAACAGATTTTTTGGTTCAGAGGGTAAACTGCACGAGTGATTCCAGGCAATAATCCTCACAGAATAAACAACATGCCGGACGGCTAATAGAAATGTTGAACGTTTTTATCTGTTGTTTGATAAACTGGGTGGATTTTGAAAAAAACAGGAACTTAAGATACCATTCTTCAGACCACAAATTGTAACTCAGCCATGTATAATAATTTGTCTCATGTTGCTGCTTTGGGGTGAGCAGTCGGTTAACTTGATGTAGGAGATTGTGTTCGCGACACACCAACGACAGATGGTCCGGTGTACGACCCGAGCGAACGGCGCACCGTAATCATATCGCCGGTGATTTATTGTGTTCGCTCTCATCACAACCGACAAACGATAAACGCTATATGGTCGAGGGTTGCCTCCGAAATGAAACCTGAAATGTTTCAATCAGCCTTGGCGCTTTTGTTTGTGCGAAATTGGTTTTAGCTGTGAAGCCGATGAAAATTAAAATTATAAATTATTTTTTGACAACAAAGCTGCTAGATTTGAGCGCCAATGAGCGTTGTTATGAACATTTGAGTTAAAACAGGCGTCTACGGAGTTCGAGTAAAAAGTTCGCACTGAGTACTTCAACGACGCCGTAAGCTTTGCATGTTAAATTCAAATAGTTGCAAAACCGTTTGTTTTAGGACAAACTCTACTCACTTGGTATCAAAAAACTTATTCTGATTTACTTCGCTTGCTAATCAACAACCATTCGAACTTATTCTGATACCTCAAAAGTTTCGTGATTTGGTAACTGCTGCCGTTCTAATCGATGCATTCGCCACGAGAGCGGTTGCTATTTCGCAGAGCTGTAGGGTAAGCTTGACGATCTCTATGCTTTCTATCGTCAGTCGTATCGTCAGACGGTCCGATAAGGGTACGCCATGAAGACGTGCAAGAGCCTATCGTAAATCATACCGTAAATCGTAAGCATTTTTGTGATTGCGAACACAATCTAATTGCTGAATTCTAACAAAGGTGTTTACCCAGTAAACGGAATAAATGGGATTGCACACAAGTAAGCATATTTTGCAAAGGGCACAAGAATAGCTTTACAAATGCTTTTTTGGGTCGACGCCTGAAAAACCTTCCTGATTCAATAGTTTTGTTGCAAGTGCAACTTTTGTGAGCTACATTTAAATTCATACCGGCCTTTTTTTTTCTTTTCCGTCAATGTTACTTTGGACTAAATGGTCAACTGATCAAGAGGAAGTGGCCGAAGAATTGCTATGATCACAAAGGTGACAGTAGCTTAGGGTAGTGCCCTAAGTTTTTAAAAACGGAGCGACAGTGGCCGAAGGGGGTGAAAGGGGTGACAATACCCGTTTCCAGCTTAACTGCTTATTCAGAAAGGCAAAAATTTAAAGCTGAAAAAAATATATAACTTAACGTATTAAAATGCCAAACACATACGATTTAAGTTACGAATATGCAGCTTTGATATTGCAAGTTTCTACCTTTCTAACATGACGGAATATGTTGTACGGTAGCAGCAATGTACGTACTTCTATAATATCTGTACTGAGGTGCTCGTACTTTACGGCTATATTAATTTGTACGTTCTGGCATTTTCTCTTTTGCTTGAGGTAATACTTTGCTTTGCTAACCGGATGCGTTTCGCGCCTATATAAGTCCGAGGGTTGCAGTATTTTTAGCATCAGTTCGTTCTAATTCTGAGTATGGCAGTTTCGGAGTTTACTATTAAAATATATCTTCGGAATGCAATCGTATACTCGCTTCGCGTAGATCGTAGCGTATGCACATTCTATTTAGTTATGCCACATTAAAATTATCAGCTCATTCTCTGTCGTTGAGTAAGATCGGTAGGGTTGATATTGCGTTATTATTTTATTTTTATTACGTTTTTATTATATTGCGTTATCGTATTCGTAACTCGTCTCTCGTCAAAAATAAGACCTCTACTTTCTACATGAAAAGCTTAACACCGCCGCCCGCTCGACCTAAGGGCGGTCACGACCTTCTATGCTAGTTACTTATCAATAAATGACAATAATGCTTCGATACTTTTCCCGCTTCCGGTTTCCTGCGCAGCATTGCACTGAAGCTGCCACTTCGCAGTAGGGATGCATTTCGTCTGACAATGAGTGAGAGTCTGGGAGTAAAGTGTTGAAGTACGGTGCACGTACTGCAGGAAAAGATTGACATTTTGTTGCTATCAGCGCTCGTCAGTCACAGACACAGTCGCACGTATTAATAGTACACTAATTTATAATGGTGCTTAACAAATTTTTGTCTGGATACGCTCGCCTAGAGCGGGTAGTTATTTCAGCAGCTTGCTACATTTAAATGGGAAAAGGTGCGACCTGTAGTGAATTCTACCATGGATAATTTTGGCACTTTCATGGAGTGTTCATATATCCAGGTGTGGCGACCGCAGTAGCTCCGCGAGATGTGTCGTGCAGCCCGATGAGCAGTCAGTCCTCGCGTAAACGATAAATCCATGTGATTCAGTGATTGGAACCGCGAGCTCCTGGTAGCGGTATTCCCCGTCTGAGTCTCCCTTTTGGCAACGAAATCTCGAGTTTCTGCCGCCTTGTGGAGGAATAACGAATAGGTACGGCTGTGAATTTGGTGTTTGCTTCCTTTTGTGCTGTACGATTTTTTCACAGATGTTTTGACTCTTTCGTACGTTTTGTCTTTTACCCAACTTCCGAATTTTTTAATATTTTTTGCTTAATGCAAAGTTTTCCCGTGCAAGCCAGTGTGATCTTCGGTTTTGGCTTTGCAAAAGCAGTGAAATGTTGGTGTGGATCCACTGAGTACTTGTCCAGTTTTTCGCTACCCTTGTCGCTTAGGATTAATGCAACTTGCCTTTACTTGCGTCACTTTATCGTTAGACGTGTTTGCCTTGCCGGCCCTTGCGCCGCTGCTGCTGCATGATGGAAGCGCCACCGATCGATACAGGGGCATCCAATATTGTCGCTACTGTGTCCGATTCAGCCTCGTCTGTGGAGAAGCAGAGTGAAATGCCGCGCGAATCGATGCATGAAACCATTGCTGACTTTTTCCGCGGACGCTTCGTTTTTGTCACGGGCGGCACGGGTTTCATCGGGAAAGTGCTGATTGAGAAGATTCTACGCTGCTGTCCCGAAGTGGCCGGCGTCTACGTTCTCATGCGGCCCAAGAAGGATCGGAGCCCGTTCCAGCGGGGCGAAGATTTGTGCAGTTGCCCGGTACGTTAATGGTTAACACAGTTAACACGGTGCGAAGTTCAGTAAATTGAAGGGAAAATCAATAACACAATAAGTATGCAGTTTTTTGCAATACCGTATGTAGGTTTTACTATGCACAATGTGACTGTATTTGTTTTTCCTATTTTGCCGGTGTAATGCTGCTAAGTTTTCCGAACATGAGAAGTTGATGGTGTTGGTTGTATCTGGTTAAGTATTTTTATGTTCTTTTTAACTTTCGTATTTTGATTGATATTGTTCTAAGAACTCAGAGCATCCTTTTTGCAGATTTTCAAAGCTCTACGGGATGCACATCCCCATTTTACAGAGAAGGTTCTCGTTCTTAGCGGGGACATCAACGAAGAAGATTTCGGACTGCACGAAGATTCGCTGCAGCGCGTCGTCTCCGACGTGTCGGTGGTTTTCCACGCTGCAGCCACTGTTCGTTTCGACGAGCATCTGAAGTATTTCCTACATTCCTTCTTTTTTCTTTTCTGCCTCGCTAGTATTTTTTTATTGTAGACAAGCTGTGCGGATGAACCTGCAAGGTGTACAGAAGTTGCTGCACATCTGCCGAAAAATGAAAAAATTGAAAGTAAGTCGAAATGTGGCGGTTTTGCTTGTTGAGATAGTGTTACCGCATCTTATACATTTGTTAATGTTAATTTACTTCGTAGGCTCTGGTACATGTATCTACCGCGTACGCCAACTGCAACCGTAACCACATCGAGGAAATCGTTTATCAGCCCAGCGTCGATCCAGAACGTTTGATGGAACTAATTGAGTAAGGAACTTTTGACGACGGCCACTTGGGCACGTTTTTCGTTCGTATCCTGGTCTGATGGTCGCTGTTCTGATTTTCAAAGCTGGCTGCCGGATGATGCAGTACAAGCAATGACACCGCATTTGCTGAAGTCAATGCCAAATACGTACACATTCACCAAAGGTCTGGCTGAATATTATATCTTGAAGCACGGATCCGACCTTCCACTGGCAATTGTACGGCCTTCCATCGTTGGAGCCGCTTGGAAAGAGCCGATTCCAGGATGGATTGATAACTGCAATGGTCCCAGTTTGCTTTTCATAGCGGTATGTGCTTTTTTGGCATATGATATTTATTTGTTCAGTGTATAGGGGTTGGAATCTGAATAATTTTGCGTAAATAGAAAGTAATGCGTAAAGTAAATCTTTGGATGCAAATGCGACAACCAGAATTATAAATAAAATTTAGTAGGCAATAGGGATGTTGTTTGCCGCGCTTTCAAGGTGGAACTTTGTATTAGCTGTCATTTTCCTGTGGTATTTTTGCAGACTGGAAAAGGATTTCTTAGATCTATGATAGGGGAAGGCAGCGCTGTGGCGGATGTGGTTCCTGTAGACATCACCGTTAATTTAATGATAGCTGCGGCATGGAGAACATCCCAGTTGGCCGGCACAAGTGGCATTTCAGAGTTAACAGTCTACAACTGCACAACTGGATCTGTGAACCCACTGCGATGGGTCGATATAGGTACGACTTTTTCGAAAGCTATCAACTGAAATTGTTCATAGTGGTGTGAAATTTTATAGGAAATATAGTGCCTAATTCCTTCAAGAAAAATCCATTAGAACTGGCTTGGCGGCGACCGAACATGTCTTTCACCACGAACCCGTGCGTTATTCCCAGTTTCTGTTCTAAACGGTACAGTACTAGAGATGCTTTTTCTTAGGCTCATGTATAATTACTGGACATCCGTAAGTCATCTGCTGCCTGCCTACATAACCGACATGGTCCTCCGTTTAGTTGGCAAGAAGCCCCGGTAATTGATCCCTGATTCGAGCGATTTGCGTGTTTGTGTTGTTGAATAGTGATCATTTTGCAGCTTGGTGCGTACATTCAATAAAATTCACAAAGCTGCCGAATCACTTGGTTATTTTACAACGAACCAGTGGAATTGGCCAGGTTTCAATATCGCTGCCTTGATGCATGAAATGCATAAAGGCGACCAGCAGGTACCGAAACCGTTTTGTGCAGTTCTTAAGAAACCCTTAATTTTATGCGTTGCCAGGCATATAATTATCACCGTATGCGTGGGCATTATCATTGTAGACTTTCTATCTGGACACACGAGACCTCAACTGGACGTCCTACCTTGAAGATTACTGTCTCGGGGCCAAACGATTCATTTTGCACGAAGATATCGACAATTTACCGAGAGCCCGGCAACATCTGCGAAGGTAGATACTTAGACACTTTCATAATATTTTGCGGTTGATGTTTTAAAGTGGTATTTTTAGATTGCAGATACTGCGCTATGTGCTAAATACCGTTTTGATCGCCATGCTGTGGCGATTCCTTGTGGCGAATTCTCATTTAGCCGGAGGTAAGGAACTTGGAAGTTCGGATGTATTTTGTATCGAAGTTAACTGTCAAGCATTTGCAGGACTGTGGTATATGGTTCTCAATCTCGTTTTCAAGTTTGTCCGTTTCTTTCGCGTAACGAGCAGCTCTCGGTGAAAAAGATACGCTTCATAATGAAGTGTGGATTCACCTGTTTCGCAGCTATCTGATTCAGAATATCGCAGTGGAATGCATTTTTCCGGTGAAGTTACACGGCTGCTGACGCTGCTGCCATGATGACTTATCTGGTCTCCTTTTCATTCCATGATTTTGCAGGAGTGATTCGAAATGTCTTGTTTCATAAATTATTATCAGGCATTCGCAGCTATTAAAAGTATGGCTGTTATGTTGAACATTTGGAGGAAGTGGCCTTTACGTTAATGTAAATGTTTTATTGTGTACAACACTGTTGTTACAAATATTTAAAAGCAAAGTAAAACCACAGAACAAAATGAAACAAGTTTTCGCCATAACATCAGCCGGTCAACACGATCAGTTATTAAATTACGTTTACGATCCACAAAGTAATTTCTAGCGAATTCAATCTTTGGTTGTATTAATCTTGGAAAGAAGCATAAACAGACGAAAGGCAATGGATAACGTAGCTACCCAGGAACTGCGAATAAGGCGAAAATTTTTACCGATGACAATCCAGAACAAAATGCACAGCACCGTCGTAACAGCGTGGGCAATGTTTTTCCGCCTACAACAACCCAATGGAAGCTCGGATATCATAATCGACTGGTCAACAATCAATTTTGGACCAAAAGTGAGCAAAATCGATGATTCGAAAATTACAGCCCTTTCAGTAAACATGTTGAACTGTTTGAATAACGCACTGCTTCATACCAAACAAACTGCCAGGCTGTTCACAATGGGGAGATATGCTAACCATAAGTATGTACACGCCCTAATACCTACATACACTTTACGCCCTGCATTGCTGACTAAACAAGGTCAAACTGACCTGCTCAAATTTCGTCTCGCTTCTGGCAAATTCTGCAGTTCTTCGTGCAGGAGGAACACTTTCACGCCCATACAGAACTTTTCCATGTAAAGCTTCCAGTTAATTGCACTGACATCAAAATTTACTATCTGAAGCAGCGCACAATGATTCGGGTATAATTATTTATTAAAGGCAATAAACAAGGCTCCAACCTGCCGGTCGCGCTGGTCGAGGGATTTCCACAAAGCAATAACATTTTTGCTTTCAAATTCCCAACTCTGTTGCGTAAAAAAATCCAGGCAAGCCGTTGCTCTGTGCAGCTTCTCGTAAGACTTCACAACACTAAAAAACTATGCGTTAGCAAACCGATGATCATATAGGATTAAAGAAATTTGCATGCAAATTTGTCGAAACTTGCGATCAGATAATTCTGGGATATTCGCAAAAACTCCATGGTTGTAGCGAAGAGATAAAAAGCGATGAGCTGTTTCTAAGCACAGACCTAGAATTTTTGGACTGCATTTTGCTGATCCCATCTATTATATAAGCGGGTATAAGGTGATCGGTCCACCTCCAGAACTCATGAATGAGCCTGGAGAAGAAAAAATGAATGAATATTTCAATGCATTGCGCGTGGGATTGTGCTTTCAATTTAACCTGCTTTGGGTGAACTGCGCGCTGGGAACACGATATAATTTTTCTACAGGATTCTTCAGATAGTACGATAGCGTACTGGTTTGCACAAACCCCCATGTCATCGGATTCACTGGTCCAGAAACAAAATTAAATACAGGCACCACTTCCGAACTGGGCAAAAATTAAAGCCATACTTCATAAAAATACTATAACCAAAAGCGGAAGAATTGCTTACTTTTGACTGCAGGCCAGATGCCATGCTGCAGTAATCAACAGATCAGCTACCAAATCAACGGGAACAATATCCGCCACTGCGTAGATATCACCCAACATAGTTCGAAGAGCACCTTTTCCAATCTGCAAGAAATTTTATTACCATAAACCATTCTTTCACGTTCACATTCATAACAAAAATATTTAAGTACGTTTTAGCCAAATACACTTTTAGCAATTTCAGGCTCGTCAACTTGAGCACTTTTAGCAATCTTTCTTGTTCGCTCTCCTTAAATTAAAAAACAAATCGTACGTAAAAAATCTGATCACGATTACCGCAGCCAATAGTCCGCTGGGCCCGTTAAAGTTGTCGATATACCCAGCACAAGGATGGTTTAACGCAGACCCGATAATTGAGGGGCGCACGATCCCCACTGGAAAACTGGCGTTCGCTCTAACAATGACGGCTTCCGCCAGCGCTTTGGTATATGTGTACGTATTTGGCCAAGGCGGAATTAGGGAAGACGTAACGGAATAAATCATCTCCCCATTCATCCATCTGCAAATCGGAATGCGCATACAGTCAGCACAAAAACAAGAGAAGATAATTAATTGATTCACCTTTACTGGAAGCTAATAAACCAAAAAGACGAACAGCAATGCACGCCACTCGAAAAATTAGTGAGCATGTCCGGCGACGAAAACACTTACTGGAAGGCTTCAATAAGCTGATCAGGCTCGACCACGGGATCGTAAACTAACTCCTCTATCTTCTTCTTGTGACAGTTAGAATAAGCCGTGCTTACATGAATGAAAGCTCGCAGCTGCTTCATGTGTCGGCACAACTGCAGCAGCTTCGCTGTTCCGCAAACGTTGACCTCCACCGACGTTCTGAAGAAGACACACAAAGCTGTGTCTACTTACAAGACAACACGGCGAAATTACACTTACTTACTTCAGAGGCTCATCGAATTTCACCGTAGCCGCAGTATGAAAAACAACGGCAACGGTCTGGTAAATTAGCTCCAGATCTTCCTGTCGGATGCCTAAATCCTGGCCGATCAAATCACCGGACACTGCTAAGACTTTCTCATACCGCTCTGGTCCAACATTTTGAAAAATCTGCAGCACACCCACAGGCTTTTTACCAGCTTTCTACGCTATGCTTTTAACTACATGCACCTCACAAACTAGAACACACTGCCCAAATTTCCTCCCAGTTGCGAGCAGTTCAATCGGGCGTAAAACATCCACAGGATACGGCGGAATTGCATTCCCGTTCTTTCCTCTATTGCTGATGTGCTTTTCAATAAATTTTCTACACAGCCGTTTGGTTTATTAACTTACGGAGCTGTTAAGGATGCTTGCAAGACGTTCTTGGGCACTGTGCTTCTGAGTGGGACGAATGAGCAGATACACTCGTTGGATATGCGGACAACTGACCAAAAGTCGGTACGTCAATATCTTTCCCTGCATAAGAAAAAAATACACCATCTTGCACCTTTCAGACTGTAAAACCAATAAATGGGTTACACTGCAAGTACGCACCAGGAATCCACTTCCTCCAGTTATCAGAACACATTTTCTATCGTAGAAACTCTGTATATTTGACATCTTCTGGATCAGGTTTTCAACTTGATCTTCGCAGAAGTGCGCATAACACCGTTACACCAATATCATTCCAGGAGATACGCACTGCGCAGCTCTTCGGTTACACAGATGTTCACTGGCGATCTTCCATTCAAATTTTGCACGACACAAAGCTCATTAAGCGAAGACGTTAACTATTAAAAATAAGTCAGGTGGTCAACGTCAAGCATCTGGCGATCAGATTTTCAGAAAAAGATAAACTTCGGAAACTGGATGCGACGAGAGCACACAAACGGCCTGCAGTACAGCATTTATATTTATAATTAACAGAGTAATTTTCAACAGTTGCAGATGTTTACTGTTGCCTGTTGGACATTACTTATGACAAAATGAGCGAAAATAATTGTTTTTACAAATTTATTTTTTTCAGAATTTTTGCATTCACTCTTTCACCACCCCTTTCAGCACTTTTGTTGCCGCAAGGGTGTAGGCCACTTGTAGAAGGCTGTTCGGCGCGACCACACTCTGTCTGCCAATACGCTGGGACCACGTACAGACATAGTATATACTGTACGGGACCCTACATCGCAAAAAGCCTTTTCTTGGTCTTTTTGATTATTATTTATCTTGTACACCAAACTTTGTCTTCGAAATTTTATTTTGATAGTTTACCAAGTGCGGTTCGAAATGTTTTGATTCGATCCAAATAAGTAGCAACATTTTTTTCTCACTTTCGTTATTCGAATATTATACCGCGGAGGTGAAAGGAAGTGCAGCCGAGCTGCTTCTTCGTATTGCTCCACGAGAAGTCAGAAGGTAAGAGCCGTAAGCAAAAGAACATTATCTCTGCAGTTTTTCGTTGTTGTTTTTCGCAAGCCGCTTTGGTACTTGCATAATTATGTGCTGCTGAAAACAACAAAGTCTGAATATTATCCTGTATCTTTCGCAGGAGTTTTTACGGGATCTTCCGGAGTTTCTCGTGACTAAGCATCATGCACAGTTTGTTATCCCGACTAAACGCGATTGTTGCGTTCTCCTTCACCGTTCTTGCAGGTACTGTATTTTCTGGTGTTGATGTGATTGCCTATCTTGAAAGCGAAGAACTTATCTACGCTTCCTTTCACTGTTTAAAACTCGATTTTGCTTCCAAAAAGTTAACAGCAACCTTTTCAGCTTTTTACGAATCATGAGTGCTTGAAATTTGTCAAAACTCACGTTGTGTCAGTATGGGTTTATCAAATTTTCTGTCCTACCACCAGTAAGTATTTTTCGTTAGCATGTCTTCAGTTTCGTGGTAATCAGTTTGTGCTTTCAAATTGGGATGTCATATAAGAGAAAGCAGATGAATTATTATTTTAACAGTAGTATGTGCCGATTGAACGACTACCCGTACTTGTTAAATCCAGTTCTTGCATTTTTAACAGCGGCTTATTAATTTTGTTGTATTACCTAACCATAAGTCTTTTAATGCTTAAAAAGTCAGCCTGTTGTAAAGGGATTAAATTATTAAGGACGTGTCTGGACTCTGGAGGTTGTTGTGGTTGCCTGTGTGGAATAAAAAGCGATGAAAAGTCACCGGATTTGTTCCTGGTGTATTATTGTGCTAGGCTGTGATTGATGACAAGTGGCTGTTGGTTGATCGTGCTTTGTTCTATTTTCAGGCCTGACATTCCTTTGCTTTTTAACAACATTCGCCAAGAATTACGCGACGGATGTGCGAGTGCGGGACTTGACGGGCCGCGTGAACATCGCATACGTCAATGGGCTGGGTGAAGTGGAGGAAGCCATCATCACCGGCGACATTGAGGTGGACTTGAGCCATTTGTTTGATTGGAACGCCAAACAGCTCTTTGTCTACCTGATTGCCGAGTACAGCACTCCGGCTAAGCCGGCTTCGCAGAACCAGGTTGTGCTGTGGGACAGGATAATCAAGCGCGGAGAGAATGCCAAAATCAGCCAGCGGAAATTCTCGCAGGAGTACCGCTTTCTTGACGATCAGAAAGCGCTAAAAGCAAATTCCAATGTGACGCTGTTTCTCCAGTGGAACGTCATACCCAATGCTGGCGCGCTGACCAATGTGCGCGGCATCGGCAGTCAGAGTGTAGGAATGCCAGACTCTTATACTCCGCTGCGTTCTAGTAAAAGAGCATAAATTTATTTTTTGATAGTTTTTTCTGATTTTCCTGCGTTTTTGACATTTTTGCCGTATTTTCTATGACTCGGTATTATCCTGGAAAATGATACCAACGAAAGAACTAAGATGAGTGAGATCTGTGTTACTTGCGAAATGTTTCCATTATGAAATAAACTGAAGAAAGACACGCTGAAAAGAACCTAAAACACGTTAAAAACGAAAAAATTGTGATTTTTGGATTTTCAGTACAAGCCAATGATGTCCCGTTTTTTTCACGGGCTCGGTAAATCACGGGAAATTCCCGCACCCCGCACCCGCTTTTGGCTCGGAAGCGGTAGCGGGAGGCTTTCTGCTCGGATCGGGTGCGGCGGGAATATAGCCTGATTGGTACGCCCGCCCGCTACTCGGGAAAACACGGGATTTCTTTGAATTAAAAAAATTTTGTATAGAATTTCTAGCAATTTTCGCAGCCAAAAAGTGCATCAGCTTCGCGCTTCGCGCGAAAGTTGGTGTCTTAGGGTGGGTCTCAGGTTCAAAGCGAATCCAGTTGCGATACAGCAACTCCAGTCTCCTCCTCGCAAGGTGGCTTCGAGTACCGTATCTGTAACCGTGGCCGCGGCATACAGCGGCACCCCATCATTTCGGAAACCAATTTCGGAAACCGTTTATTTCGGAAACGTTCACTTTGGAAACCATTAACATCCGGAAATCACACATTTCCGAAACAATCAAGAAACAAAAGAAAACATAATAAGAATAACAAAGGAATTCATAAAAAAATAACAGCTTAAGGAAGCATAAAAATCTAAGAAAAGTTTAGAAAAATAAGAGAAGCTGAGAAATAAATGACAAAAATAGGAAAACTTAAAAGCCTAATAAAAGCTAAGGAACTTAACGAAACATAAGATTAATACGAGTACAGCAGCCGTGTATCAAAATTTGATAAGCGGCGGCTAGCTACGTAGCTCCTGTGACGCAAACGTCGGTTTCGAAAGAAAATCGAATAGTTGATGGCGATAATATATTTACGGCAATTGTATAATTTGAAAGGGCGGATGCCGCTCTGACAAATTTATAATTACGAGCCAAGCTCAGTTTTTTTTTAAAAGTAAAAGTAAGATTTAGCATGCAGGTCTAGTCTTTTAGAAAATGCCTATCCATTAAACTTTTCGATGAAACTTTACACCAAAAATTTTGTAATAAATTTGTAACAATCATTAAAATTATTGATTCATTGAAAATCGGGAATCGGAGCGGGTTGCGGGGCGGTCCGAGCGCTCGGGTGCGGGAGCGGGTGCGGGAAAGTTTTTGGTCGTGAAAGTGCGGTCGGGACATGAAAAACTGCAAACGGGACATCACTGGTACAAGCTGTTCGGATTCAGTGATCGTGAACTTTTTTAATGAACGCTTTTTCAAAGATCGTTTGCTGTTTTTTAAAAAAATACATTCTTCGCATAGTTGACAACTTGACAGATTGTGCAACAAGGTCACTTGTGCAGCACCCGTGATGTAGACACGTGTATAAAAATTGACGCACAAAAAGAACAATAAAACTTATGCGAATGAGGTCGAGGTCTTGCGACTTTGCCCTGAAGCGTGAACGGTTTCCGGTGTCCGCCCCTCCGGTATCGCACGAGGAACGGATGAAACATCACGATTCTGTATTTGCTCCTCTACATCCCGCGTAGGTCCACTACGTACGTGTATATCAATATCATTTCTTATAATAATAATGGTAAACAGGAAAGGACTCTTTAAGCATTTCAAGAGATCCAAAATCGGCCACCTACAAGCTATCGGGAATTTCGGCTGTGCAAACACTGTGTCAAATATCACATGAAAAGGTGTTCAATTCCAGCATAATCCCTTTTCTATAAATACTGCATACGTAATCTTTTCCTGACTGTTCTCTTGAAGTGAGTGCTGTGTTGACCTTTTTGTATTTGTTTAAAAATAGGGATTGGATCTAAATATCCGGGTAGGTAAGCGCCGGTATATATAGAAGTATTGTACGGAGCTAGCGTTCCATGCACGAAATTTATTCACATCAGTGCTGCCGGTTAGACTCCATTCAACAAACGTTCCCGCGTATTTCATAATCAGAGCGAATTCACTTTGCGTTATAAAACTTAAAGCTAGAATATCTCGTATTGTTATTGATTCGTTTGGATAATATCTCGCAATTATGATCATCGCAACTACCGTCAAGACTATAATGTTCACTTTGTGCTTTGCGTATGCATTTGCTTTGGTTTATTTGATGGGCGTAATCGCGGCAAGGTGTGTTTCGATACACGTCAATACGTAACTAACATAATTATTTAACGCAGAGTGGTAACCAAATAGCTGAATTATATATACTTTATCTATAAGTTTGCAATTGAAACGCCATAATTTTGTTTTCCGTTACTGCATGGTGTTGTGTAATTTTAAAGGCCAACCTCAACGTCTACGGAAGTCGAACATACGAATCTGGAGACGCCGGCACATAACCGCGTCTATCCCGCTCTGGAGGTGCGCTTTGTCGATTCTTTGTCGTCCAGTTCCTATCGGAAGTATCCCACCACACAATCGTAAGTGAACCAGATAATTTTATGGTATAATACTGTAATTTTTGGCTCAATTAGCTAAAATTATGCCTGAACGTACTCTCGAAATTTCTACTTATTGCATATAAAATTAGTATATAGCGTTAGGTATTAGTGACACCGTATTACATCGCTACATAAATACGGTTTGATTTCCGTTTGAATAGCGGGTTTGGATAGGTTTCTGTCACTACATTTTTTTTGTAAGAATATTTTCTGAAAACAAAATGCATAATGCGGTGAGGCGCATAATGAGTTGTTACTCCTAAGTTCCCAACCGAATTTTATTAGAAATTTTCTAGGTAGCATTAGGCCGCTGCTATCATGTCTAACTAAACTATGCTTAACAACAGTAGCTCTTAATAAGGCGTAAGACTCAGCTACTGACCTCTCAAATCAGGGTGAACACCGGGAAATTTCTGCAAGTTCAGTTGTCGTTCCACAATAGTACTGTGATTGTATGATACGAACTTTTGATAATTTACAGATACGAAGTATACATCTTTGAGATGATGACGTGATAGACTGTAATTACTAAAAAATAAAAAATAACATAGCAGTTGGTTTGTTTTCACTCTGTAATTATCGGATCCTAGAAAGCGTTTTGATTTTCTCTTTTTTGGTTCTCGCCATTTGGCTACTGTGTACAAGAGAACTGTCTGCATCATATGTACGTATGTACATTGATACACAGGTTGTATTTATTGTAATTATTGGTTTTGTCAATTTCTGATAATTTTTTTGCAAACAGACTGCTTCCTTAATAGGCCACTGCTAGTTTAAGTGCATATTTTTACTTTGAGTGTTCTTTTTTTATCCAGAAAACGAAACTGCAAGTACAATCTGGGACTTTCTCAGGACTGTGATTACAGGGTAAGTAATACCGCTGTCTAAAGTGAGGTGACGCAGTAACTTATTTCGTTAACGTTTATACATGTTAATTTTTTCCCAAATGCTTAATTAATTGCGAGAGTTGTACAGCATCACTCAGTACAGAGTAGAAACCATTATGTATGACCTTTGCAGGATGCAGCCCAGGCAGCGCTGCGGAGAAGATATGTGCAGAGCAATCTTAGTCCTGGGAAAAAGTGAGAAAGACGTGCGAAATACGAGATCGACAGGTCCAGACTTCTCTCATTCAACAGTGTGATAGGGATCAATTGGAGTAACAGATGGAAACAAAAAAACTGCGGTTCTGACTATCAAATCAAAGATCCTGGAGATCTTTCCGTTTATTTGGTTAAGTTAAAAAATGCGTGGTCGCTGGCAGACTTGAATGGCAAAACGCTGGTTTATGTAAAAAATATTAAAAATTTTAATTGTCAAAGCTTGCAGCTGCATAAATTTTATTTTATGTAAGCATTGCAAAGTTCTGAACATGTATGTACAAAGGTTCTGCTACACAGCAGTGAGTCTGTGAAGTGTGTCAACATCTCTCGTTGTAATTACCCAACACGAAACCGGCATAAAAAATCTAGCCTTTTTTATTTTTTTGGTATAGGTATTTTATTTATTTTATGTATCAAAAACGCATGCCGGTTACAGACGTAACATTTTATACATGGTAGACTATGGTTATGTCACGCGATAACTTATTCTTCATCTATTACAACTATTCACGCATCAGGAGGTGAATTTCCTTTCAGTCACTTTGAGTGTTACATTAAACAATTTTTGATTTATACATGAGTACACAGCTGTTGATTATAAACATAACTGCTATTAACTGTTAAACTTAAATCCTGAGAATGTAAGTGCAGCAAATATTGACAACTTATTCCACGATAAATCCACTACATCACTTGAATGGATAAACAGTCAGCTAGGTAATGAACTGCAGAAAACAATAACTTACTCGACGTAGCTATCAGAATTACAAATCACCGGGAGGATTAGTTGCCCAGGTCGGTATTGGTCATGACCCCGGGGTCGTCGTCACTGTACAGCGCTAATGCTGCCTGAGCGTCAACCGGAAATGCCTGCATGTCGTAACCTTCCGGAGCGAAAACAGCACCGCTTCCCGGCTTGTTATCCGTGAGCCAGAGTCCACCACGTTTGCCGAAGCGCATAGGTAGCCGGTTTTTGCAGCGGAAACATTTTACAGAATTGGGTGAAATGGTGCAGAGAAGGAAACAGTCGTCCTTGAAGGTGGCGGCATCAGTGGGATATGCCGCAGCCGACAGGATCACATTTATCATCAATATCGTTATACCAACGATAGCAAAAAGGGATGCCATAGCTTCCACCTATAGATGTTAGTAAATACCGTGGATATTTGATGCGATTTTAAAAATAAACGATGGTGCTAACACATGATTAAATTAATGACCCCAAATTGTCACCAATATATTATCTTTGCAAGGATTACGCTTGCCGACTACAGAACAAGTATATAGTTTTAAAGGCCATCTAAGTCTACACAAACGACATATCGTGCGCTGATTTGAAATAAAGTAAGAATAACAAATTTTGCTTATTATTTCCACACATCACTAAAATGATAAGGGTACACAAATCAGTTGTACAATAAATTCATGACAGAGAGTCTGGGTAAAAAAGGCAGCTGTTCTCACAAAGGTTTCAGTTAGACAACAGTTGTTTTCTTACACCAATCGGAAAAATCTGATAAAAAATTATTTCTATCTGCCGTGCGAACAGGTTAAGCCGTTAAGGTATCATTCATTTAATCATAACCAAAGGTCAATCCCATTGTGATTATGTGACTTCCTGGTTAGTTATAGTGCCAAACCGGTAATCGATTTCACACTTTGAAGTTCGCATACGCATCGGTAAATTCATACTCAAAACTAGTGGTACTCTGTACATACAAGATGTGTGTACTGTGCTTACCTGGAGTAGTGTTCGTAGGGACAAATTTATTATCGCGACCGGATATCGCTGTTATGACCTTATAAAATTATCAAAACCAAATTAATTAACAGGCTAACAGCAGTCCATAAGCGACAGCACACACTCAGTGAAACCAGCAGTCACTACAGTTGATGTCCGTTGTACCCAATAAACTTTGCTGCTGCTGCTGCGAAGTTATGAAGATTCCTCGACTCCTCCGGAATATTATAGTATGCATGAACAGCCCGCGGAAATGTATCCCGATGAGATGACAGCATCCGCGTAATGCATGGAAAATGAGATGGACGTGTATGATTTTTGATTGGATGTTTTTATATGGAAGCTTTGCTGCTGGCCATAAAACTTACAAATAGGATGTGTACAGTGCCGGCCGGGAAGGTGAGGTCGTCCGAAGTGGATGAGATGAATTTAAAGAGAAACGAGCACTTTACTGTGTTCTAATGCGTCAGATAATTGGTTTCATCAACGATTAATCTTTTGTTAACGCGTACGTTTGCATGCGCAGGCAAATGGCGCAATAACTTTTCCCGTGAAAATTTACTGAACTGGACGAAGCCACATCAAAAGGATTAGACAAGCCAAATTAATCTTTTTTGTCTGCGGCACTCGTCCCGGCGCTTGTTTCTATTCAAAATCCTTTTGATTAGACGCACTTATATTATACGCCCGTGTTCCGGTTGTGCGCATTTGCTTACCTGAACAACTTCCAGATATAGTGTGTCTACGTATTTGATTCAAATCTTGACATCTCAAAAATAAAAATTTGTCTACGTACTAAGTTAGAATCTAATCAAAAACCACCTTAATGGGAGTGCTCAATTACCGAGTTAAACTCATTGCGTCGATTGCAAAGGCGCTATAGTGCTGCCCAGCTGACGAAAGCTCATGCCAGTAACCTCGTCTACCTAGTTCACATAAAAAATATTGTTGTAAGCACTTAGTTGTCACAAATGACCTTTATATTCTGGTCATTCGATACGTTATCAGCATAAAAACGTTTGTACTGCCTCTTGTTAGGGAAAGGGTATTACATTGAATATGTAATCAAAATATGCAAACAATTGCCGTCACCACTCCTTGATGGCGGCAATTACATATTTGTGATGAAATTTGCGCTGATTGACTACAAAACTACTTCGACGCGACATCCTGGAATAATTCGTACGTATAATAATTCCTTGCTGTTTCTATTTATAAATTCGGCTTTCCTTTTTTCTCCGAATGTGATCGCGTAACAAATGCCGGAAAACCAAATGCGGCATGTTGCAGCGAATGAAATAGCAAAAATGTGTTCTGCATAATTTCAACTCGTTAACCAAAACTGTTATTATGATATTTGGATCATGCTGCATGTACAGGTTTGGTTTCTTTTGGGTATATCACGATACCTGTTCCACGATGCACATTACGTACACGCGGTACATTTGATAATGGGCTTGCATGCAAGTTCCAGATGGCTGGACCGGTTTAATTGGTCACCCCAGATGGATGAGAAAGCAACGCAAAAAAATGTTGTGCTAAAAATAGATCTCAAAATCATAATATAATAACTGATTTGAACAATAAGATACGATGAACTGTTGAACATTATACAAAGCCAAAGTATCAGTATCACAAGCAGCTTGCACTTATAATTGTGGCGTTATAATCGGTGGTGCGGAACAGTACCAATTACGGTATGCAAGACAGTAATTATGATCTTCATTAGGCTTGAGACACATAGAATACGTAAAGCATTCGGGACTTCATTAAGTATCTTCATTAAGCAATCAGCATCATTAAGCTTCGGATTAAGCATCTACAATGCTACAATATCTATGAAAAAAGGCATCCTATATCTGGGCTAACGTAACGTGGGAGGCGGTTCTTGTGGTAGCGATAAGGGCAACACCGGCGGATCGCCATGTGTTGTTCGTGTGATGCATTAGCGTCGCTTTCTTCCCGGTCCTACGCAAGATGCAGATAAAAACATCTAAATCAACCCATCCAGAACGGTTTTTGCCTTAATTATCAATCAAATATTAGCAAATTTGATTGGTTCTACAGTTCCTACGCCCTTTTTTGAAGTTCAAATACATAATATAAATAATCATGAAGGAATCAAGCGTCGTCTATCTGATATTCGTGTACGCTTGCTTAATTATAATTATAGTCTCGATCCCAAAAATTCATATGCATGGAAATACGTGGAGAATATACCTGGAGAATTGCAAAGGAAAAAAATAACGAATGAAATGACTGTAGATGTTTGTGCGGTCAGAGAGTTATCAGAGCCACATAAAGTTATGATCTCATTTATGCAATTGTGTTGACAATAATACAAAGTAATATCAGTTCTTACGTAGTTACGTGAGTCTGCCATTGCACGCCGATCGGAACGATTCACTACAGTAGTACTAAACTTGCGTACCTGCTACACGTTGCGTTAGGTAAAGCGGATTTAATTAAAATGCTGCATTTTGGGCATTAATAATTAATGGAAATGCGTTATACTGAGAGTGTTATAGCTACCGTACCTTCTGGCGAAAGCGCATTTTGGTTTGCGCTGGTGAACGATGCGATCTGGGATCCAGAGTGAGATCGCCCTGCAAAACATAAAGGATCATTCTTTAGCAAAATGTTAATACCGGGAAATGCCAGCTTACTAATGCCGCGGCACGGCGACGATTTAATAACATTATACCGTCACCGTGCCGCAACATTAGCATATTTAGCATATTATTATACTAAATATACGAAAGTTTAACAGCAATTTAGCAACAAATCACAGATAAAGTAAAAAGAAGGTGAATAAACATTAAACAATAATTCTTTGACAAGGATAAATCCTAGAAAATGACAAAATTGTTATTATTACTGCACGAGTGGTCTTATACTGTCGATCACTCGTTCGCTTTTGTTTACGTGCACGTTTCGGGTTTCCATGTGAAATCCCAAATTCTAATATTTTATAAAAAAAGGTATGTGCAACCTGCGCGATACGTACCGAATCCCAAATCCAGTCGCCCAGAACGCGAAAGTGAAAAATCAGGAGCACGCTTGGTATTGAAGTTATCGCCACTAGAATACAGTTGGAAATAATGATATTAGCTTCACAGTGTAAATTTTATTCACGGGACCGCGGCGAATTCAAAACATTTGCTATGTATAATAAATAAGGCTGCGTAAAACATTTAGGAAAATGCGTACAACGTACGCTGTTGATTCCAGGACAGACATACTCGTACATAAGAATATCCCACTACCGGTACCTTTGGTGTTATTTTAATTCCATGAGAAAATATCTTTCAGTACTTTTAGCTTATGTAAATATTCTTATGCGACTTGAAAAGCCAACAAAGCATTTTATGACAGATATAAAAGGAAGCCAAGTCAACGTTGATAAAATTATTTAAAAATACTTGGCAGAACATTCTACTTACGCGAAAAGTCCACCTGCTTTGCTTTTCTTGTTCTCGGCAAGGAGGTTTTGGAGCAGCAGTAAACTGTCGGCAAGATCCAGATTTTCGGCGGAGGTCAGGCGTCGCTTATCATATGTTCTGCCAAAAATCCGTAATAAGCGCAGTAAATTTAGTTAGCCATTCCCCTAGTACAAAACTATTACTACCGCGTACTGGTAATCGAAAAGGTTATCCGAAGACGCGCAAGAGATGGTAAATAGCAAGAATGCCGCTCCAACAAATATAGGAGCTGCGATCTGCATTGTTGTCCAACGAAACGACAGATGCTCGACGGTAACGAATGTAAGTAAACTGGAGATTTTAGGGGAAAATTATGAAGCATAGATAAGTACTATTTCACCGGTAATGATGCACTAAGCGGTAACAAACTGCAGGATAGTTTGGAAAGCGACGTATAATTGGACTTAGGGTAAGGTTTACAAAGATAAAGGGAATCGCCAACGACGGTGGCGGTTTATTTATAGACAAATTATATTGCAGGTATATCGGGCATTACAATGCAGAGGAGGAGCACATTTAACGGAAATCCGGCGCTCTTTAGGGAAAGGGACAGAAATTGACAAAGAAAAGTTATCGCTGAATAGCTGACCCCAAGGAAAACGCAGAAAGATATTCGATGACCCAGTCATCGCGGAAATTAAAAACACCGGGCAACCCGATATTTCAATGTTTCAGCACGTCAGTAAAACGGGCTATGAAGCAAGCACGCTTCTGAATTAGTCAATGAACTTCCAGTTTTGCGAAAGAACTTACTTTGGTCAGCGGAAATATTAATGAATGTTTTGTAACCTTTATATGATTTAGCTAATGATCTTTAAATTCATACATAATGCCTGGCCATGGCATTCCTTCATGATCGTACTGCGCCATATGTCCCAATATTGATCAGATATTCGGGGAATCAACAGTAAGTACATCGGTAGCAATCACCTACTTTTTGGCTATGTGTTGATATCTGAAGTATCTGAGTAGCAATGTTTCTTAATTAAACAAAATAATCCTTACATCATTAAAATGTGTCGAAATGTTGCAGCAAGTAGAATAATGTAGAATAATTAACGCGCACTCATTATATTATTTAGGAACAATATTGTACCTAAAGAATATCGTCAGTGCGAGTTAAGCAATTAAGAAAAGTTTTCATATAATTCCCGCGCTAGTATCGTACCAAGTAGGCGATGCACAATTTCGACAGATGGATCGTATTTGAAAGAAACAAATGTACAAGTACAGCGGGAGCACGTGGGGTTAATAAATATTATTTAATCTCAAGTACTTAGTACTGTGCCGTATTTTGTACCGTTTACTTCAGAGTTTTTTAGTGATCAATAAGCTTGTAATTTAATTAATGGTGAACACTCCGTTCACAACCTTTCACAAGCTTTCACTAGGTTCACAACTTTGCACACAACTTTTCACTCCGTGCACAACCTTTTGGCACTACCAAGGTATATGGCATTACCTTTCATTCCGTTCATAACCTTCCCGGTATTTCCTTTAAATTGGTTTTCTGTGCTTACTGGCAAGTGCGAAACGGATTTATTTTACTTATTAATAAATCTCCGCCACAGCCGTGAATTTTAAAATTAATTTGGTTCAAGTTTTATAAATACTTTGCTAGATAATGCTGGTGCTTCCAATAAATGTGGCATAAATGACATTTCCGTTACCTCCGCAATCAATCATGAACATAAAATCCAGGAATTCAGGTATATATACGATATTATTATGTAATGTTTTTCTACTTTGCAAACTTATGGCGCGGGAAATAGATCGCAAACCTTTTATCTGTTTCTTCTATTGGAGAACGCGAATAGCAAAAGAATAAAAAGGTAGTGAACGGAGTGAATGGTATAGAAGGTTGTGTGCGCAAAAGGTAGTGCACGGAATGAAAGGTTGTGTGAAAGGTGAAAGGTTGCAAACGAAGTGGTCATGCAGTTTAATTAATTTATTTCATAATCTACATCATTAAAAATACTAACTGTTGTTGTATTATCACTACTGCAAGGTACAGTGTTGTCATGCAAGGTAAGTAAACTAACAATAAGAAATTGTCCTTGTATTAATGCAATTGGAATCAGTGATGGGATGCTAGCCATAGCGCCGTTTTTAGAGCCGGTATTCAGTAGGCTGTTTACATGTATTCTATATACGGTGACGATAACTTACATACATGCATGATGCCCATTGTAATCTGAAAAACCGCGGAAGGGGTGAATTTCCGACATTTCTTTCCGTAATGCACTTGATTTCTTAGGTTTTATTCATTTTGTAAGCCTTTTTTTGCATTAATTGTTGCGATGTATTTTGCAGGCGAAGATGCTTGTACCGTTTTACATTTCAAGCAGTGTGGCAGGTTCTTGGTGAAATGTTTACTACTTTGTACAAGTACGTTATGATGGAGTATTTGAGGCACAGTGATTTTTTGTATATAGCCATTAATTACCAAAATGTAAACCCATTAAAATTCCACTGTCAGGCGCAATTCAAGTATTACGTAACGGAAATTTTTCACTTTTTCGACCACCCGCCCACCCTTTTGTGACCTTTATCCATGTATTACTTATGGGCGGATAACGCTAGCCGGACCCACCCCCCACCCCCTGAGCCGTTACGTAATACTTGAATCGCGCCTGAATAAAATTTTAAATAATTAGTTTTTTCGTTGAATGCGATATGATATAGAGTTATAGACGTTGATTGCGCAATTTTACATGGTGCTGAACGCTCGGATTGTTACTTAGTTTCATTTTATTTGGTAATACTCTGGCATTACAACAAGCTTAAGCAGGTAGACATCATTTCAAACTTAACGATTAAAAATTTACCCCGTGAGAAAAGCATCACCATCATGACTGTTGTACGAAAGTTTCTTTCGCGCGTTCCCAAAACAGCCGCATTTACTGATTTTACTCGTGTAAAAGAAAACCATTGATTGAGATTTGTTAGCAACATCGTGGATTCTCCTAACGAAAAACGGAAAAAGCGAGTCATATCCGCGAAAGCCTTACAAGAGTCCAGCAGTTACCTATACTCGTACTAATTAAATCGCGAAGTAGAGTTACTGCAGTTGTACACGTAGTACAAGCTAACAGTTTTGTGCACTTTGAGCTTATAGTCAAATTGTTATTTTGCGCTGCAAGCCTCACACAGGAATCGATTAGGTAGTAGTAATATACGGTAATTGCTATTGAACTGTGTTCATATACTTCCTCTCTAGTTGCGGGATCACCACGAGTGTTGTCCTTCTTTTTTTGGCTGTCTGTCTGTGCAACGTTGCTCTTATCGACAAACCGCAATTAATAACGAGTCTGCGTGTTTTTACTCTCCAAGATCAGTTTTAGCTTTATCCTGGTAGGCCGTCAATTGCAACTCTTGATTACTTTCCTTTGTTAACTAACCTGTCCATCGACGGAAATGACGATGTAGGTTTTCGATATTTTTTAATTTAAGTCGTTTAAGACGATTTTCCCCAATCATTAGCAACGCAATCGACCTTACGTGGTTTTTTCGTTTGATGGAGATTAGGCCGGATAAGACCGAATATCAGTTTACCAAAATGGAGGAAACCATCCCGGAAAAGATCGAGTGTCATTTTTCCCAGGAAGAAAGCCATGTTGCTTCAAGTTCTACAGCACACGAAGGTAGCACCCAGGAAATCAAAGGTCAGCGTCGGGGATCGGCTTTGGAGGATAAAATTCATGAAGCAGAGCAGGAATTAAATGAGGTACGAGAACTTTTACTACCTATAGAATACAGGCAAAATGAAAACAGAACACGAATGTGGAAAATTCTAACAAATTTGAGGATGCTGCGCAGACATGTTAACTAAGAATTTATTTATACTAGTATGTTCAGTGAAATACGCCGTAGTTTAGCCTTTCTTGCAGTGGGGAGTCATTAGTAACAAAGTGAAAGAATTTCTTTTATTAGGTCTTGTTGAAAATGATTTAAGTACCGAAAAATTTGTATTAGTGATGCACTTATCGCAACTGAGTACTCGTAGTCGTGCGCTAAGAAAAAAAAAGCCATTTAATTAAAGTTAATATACAATGAATTAGCTTGCCAAATTACGACATTCCTTAGCGAATGGTTTCATGTCCTTGGTCTTCTTATTTTACTGAAGCAAGGCGCTAAAGAATAACTATCAAATGACTAACAGAAATTGTCTGTAATTTAGCTTGTGCATGTGCTCCATGAAAACGAGCACAAAGTCAGAGAACGCCAGCATAAAATCGACGAACTTCAACATCACACAGGTATATATAATTTCTTCCATATGCCACTGACAACCGGAAACGAATGTATGTGTAAAAATTATGTAATTGTTTTTGTAGCAACCTTACTTAAAATGTTGGGAAATTACTTGCTATTGTTTATACGGACTTCAATAAACTACAACGTTTAATTATTCGTTCGGCTCTTAGGTGCATTACTGTCGTTAAAATATTGATACTAACCACTTGATGACAATAGATTTGTATGTGTAAACACTCGGTCTATTGTGTTCTAGATGAGGCGCGAAGAGATTCGGATGTTCTCAAGGCAAAGGTGGACGATATCGTGGAATTCAGCGCTTAAATGGAAAATCTTCTCTTTATGGCTTGCTGTATATAACAAAATTATGCCTTCAATAAGTCGGTTCGAAAGTTCGGATACATGAAGATTCCGCGGATACTTGAATGTTGTGATGTGTCTTATGAAGTGCTGTTTATGATCGCATTCCATTAATTAGTAACCATGCCACATTCGCTGTTTAGACATTTTTGTTGCTAATCTTCCTTCTTAAAACAAAAGCATAGTTTTGTAAAAATACAAAATTGTCCTAACATCTGATTGCTTTCACACGTATCAAACGCGCAGTCGCTATGCGCGATATACAGCTACTGATTAACAATTTTATTGTACAAAATTAATTCCCAATTAATATGCTGATGTCGAAGCAGGCAATCCCGATCACATTAGGTAAAACTCACAATCTGGTGCGTTACATTGAATTAGAAAAATGCATTGTTTATCCGTAAACGTTTAAATGGAGCAGTGATGAGTTATTCATGAAAATTTGCGAACTTTTTGGTGATTCGCCTACTTTTATTAAACTTTGTCACATAGATTCAGCCTAGTGTTATAAAAAAAATCACCGGCGATCCATGACAGTTGCATGTGCTCTTTTACATGGTTAGTTTCACTTAGCAAACGCACGGAATATTTATTTAGAAACGTATCTTTCGTATTTAGTTTGTAGACAGAAAACTATCCTAACCACTTCGGCTATAGTTTCTCCAAAACAAGTATGCAGGCAAAACGGTTTTTCCAAAATCTAAATTAAAAGCGTCAAAATTTAGTACGCTGTGGTGGGTCGTATTTTTCAACCCTTGAAAAAAACGTTCACGACAAAATGCAGTTTGTGACTTTCCTGCTGTAGTCGGTACACAATATATTTACTATCATAAATCTCGCAGTGGAAGATGTGGAACTGCGGAATGTACGCATTGTGTCACACTCCTAAAGAGCATTTAAAAACGTCGATAACGCGATCCGTGCTTGAGCATACGGTCATTCGTCGACCATGTGCAATAATCGACCGGAAAGTCAGGCGGATGTTGAATAATGCGCAAAGCCATGCCACGGGCACTGCTGTACAGCAGCGTACTTGGTTGCAGGAGATCCAGCAAAAGGGATGTGACTGGTGCTGCTGCTATACTGCTGCACCCACATCATGATGGATCGCTATTACGTTAGGTTGTAAATGCGATACATTCCCTAAGCTCCCGATTTCTGGGTCCTTAGAATTTCCTGCTCCCATACATCTGGCCTCAAATAGGTAAGTCATTTCTAATTTTTTATTTTATTTTTCCCGCATATATATGAACGTACAACAGACACGTCATTGGACGTTTCGTTAATGTGAGAAAGCAAAAGGTCATCTTTGCAAAGCTCAAATCTGCATCCATCTGGAATGATCTTCTGCATGACGAGAAGTGTCAGTTTTGTATCAAACTTTGTGTACCATTTTATGGATGATTTGTAGAGCAGGAGGTTTGGAGATAATCCCAGGCAAAGCGCTCCCGGAACACAAGCACAAAGAACGTGTACTGCAAGCTTCCATTGTTCTGAATAAGGAATTCATCTGAAGAGAAATGTAAGTGCAGCGCTGATCACAAATCCATTTTCAAATATTATTCAGTCTTTTACCCCTGTTTGTTTATTCGCAATAAATTTCTATTTCTTCGACTCTATGCAACCATGTTGTCTGTCATACGTTGCATACGCGGAAGTAACCCTTTATTCAACACTAGCTATAAACTAAACGAACTTAATACTAGAATACCTTGATTTTCAGTGTCACTGGCATCTGTCACTGGCATCTGTCTTTGGCATGCTTTATGTTGTCGCGATATGATAGTGCCGTAGAATTGTATTTCACTTTCTTATGCACAAAATCTTACCATAACAAATTAAAACCATAATAAAGCAATGTTATGTTTGAAATCGCGCCATTATCAGCACAAAAGAAGCGTGTCAGTTGTATCAATACACGATTGTGATGTGCATTACTCAGGTCACAACCAGGACCTAATCCAACTGGCCCTCCGGGACCGCCCCCGCGACAACCTTACACCGGCAACAAACGTTTGCAGCAGACGCAGGCACAGGTCGACGAGGTGAGCACTGGGCAATCCTCAATAAATCTGTCTAACAATTACAGTAGTATACAGAGGCTCTGTAAGCCCCGGCATTTATTGTCCTTGCGAAACTTATGAGTAGCAGTTTTTATGATCAGCTGCGTTCAGAACGTTATCAACGTTTTGTCTCGACGCCGGACTTTTGAATTACGCTGTACTAACAGGCACCAAGCAACGCTATATAATGTCCAAGCGCAAGTTTAAAACAAACTGCATTCACATCCGCTATGTTGGTTGGCAGGTGGTGGATATCATGCGGGTCAACGTGGACAAAGTCCTGGAACGTGATCAGAAGCTATCTGAGCTCGATGATCGAGCAGGTAACATGAGATTTATAATTAAGCATGAGATTTTACATATAAAAAGTAACAGACGATAATAATATCACTGTGCAGTTCTAGCAAACTTAACTGGAGTAGTTAATTACAAATGAAGATAACACATGCAGTACGTCTGTTGCACTAGAAGTAGTACAAAAGGTTAATCAACTACTACGTAGGCATCCATAGCGCGAATAAAAATTTTCTAATAACACCGTTTCTTTGGATGCAGATGCACTGCAACAGGGTGCTGCCCAATTTGAAACAAGCGCTGGAAAATTAAAGCGGAAGTACTGGTGGAAAAATCTCAAGGTAATTTGTGCCCGCAACATACACGAACACAAGCTCATAACATTATTCCAACCAGTAACATTTCCCTTCGTCTAGATGATGGCCATTTTGATCGGAATTTTTGTCGTAATCATCGTGATTATTGTGGGTAAGTCGGGTATTTGTGGCAGTCTGGCAGATACATTTCCGGGTGTTGCGAGTCTTGCGACACACAACCTGTATACCGAACTTCAAAACAGAAGTTAAATTACCGAATTTTTAGTGTTTTCTTCATTAAAGAAATATGGCCATTGAATAATCCGCATAATCCATAAACCACTTAAACTACCGATATTAAACCACGATGCTATGTACAGCCAACAATTACTGTGGTTAATACGGCTAGCCGAATTATTTGTAAAATCTAACTTTAAATTATGTGATATGGTTTGAAAACGAGAAATTAATATCATGCTCGATCTTGTCTAGTGTGGGCTACGGGATAATCTGACTTCTCAAACAAGTGGACGTTTCACCAGGCCAATGAATTTCACTTATGAAAGCCAACAAACATCCCATTTTTCCACATTCAAATGTGGCTTGTACGGTAGAAATAGAATTGCCGATATCTTAGCACATGTACGGTATTTAAAGGTGGTTGTTACACTCTCTTAATAATAGCACTGTTCGTCTGTTCGAGAAGCTACTGTTCCACTGATTGGTTAATACTGTCAAGTTCATTTCTGAAACATTCCTGTCAAGTGCGTAAATTATTAGAAAAGGTCATGAGAATAAACAAACGCCAATGCAGCGTACGAAATATTTTTAAACTGGGAGTTAACTTATGAACTTCCTAATCGTCAATATGGCGAATGGACGATTCGGTTCGATACCGAAGTATTGTTTGCAAATAAGCCAAGTCACGTTAAAAGATCAAAAACTTTTGAACCAACGTTCAGTAAAAGCGAAAAACAATAACATCTCAGCACGCTTCATTGATACTGTAAGGATAAACTTGCACACAAATATTATCCAACCACCGACAAACATTGGATGCACGAATTAACAAATTCGTTAATCGATTACCGTTCGCTGGCAGTGCTTTCCTGCACAGCTCGAACAGATGTTTCAGTATCACCGGAAATTCTACGGTACTTCCTCTCGTCTTCTTCGCGCCATGTCACCTTCTGCTTATGTTGCTTAATTACATCATCCACACGAGCATCCACCATCTTTTCCGTTAAGACTCCGTTTTCCGACGCATATGCGCTAGCCTAAAAATTTTCCCGTCAAAAATTTACCTCACAAAATGGCATGATAAATTACATTGCCAATATAAATTATAAAATAACAATCTAAAAACATACTGCATTAAACATTACAAATATAATATAACACAATTTTCAACAGCATAAACGTGTTTTTAAAAATACAACAGCAAAATTATAATTAAATGGGTTTAAGAAATTTACCTGCCACGATACAGCCAATTTGGCGATTTCTCTTCCAGACAGACCCACTGTTTTGGCAGCAATATCACTACACTTTTTTCCATAGTCAAATTGGTCCACTTTCAGCCGTTTGAAGCCTCCTTGGGAAGCCGGTTTCAGTACAAACTCATCAAAGTACAGTCGTACCATGCGTTCACGTTCTTCCCGACCAGGCAGGTCGAATTCAACCATCTCATCCAAACGATCATTTATAGCCCAATCGAGCTGCTCAGGCTGATTACTGGCTAGCACGAGCATAAACCTAGATACGAATCCACGGTGAATCTTTCCAATCTGTGATCCTTTCGTCACACCTGCTTCGTCACACTCACTTGCTAGACTGATCACCAGTCCTGTATAGGAAGGCGTTGATCACAGCGCGTAGGTCTTCACTAATAATCTCCTGAAAAAGATAATAGCACGAGATTCTCAATGATGATAATTACCAAAATACGACGCTCACCGAGCTTCTTTTCCGAAGAAAAGCATCCGCTTCGTCAACGAATAGTAATAATCTGCAACACGAAAACAAGCTATAAACGTACAAAAGACAAATACGAGTACAAAAAAAGGAAGTATCAAAAAACAGAAGAGCATCCAAAACATATTTCTAAATACAGCCAAAAGTGCACAGTGTATACGCCCTTGTGAAGAGTGAATTAAGGAATTATTTCGAGCAACAAATTACAGACACCCAACGCAAATAATTAGAAGTAGTAACCATCGAACAGGTATAAAAATACAAACATTGCTCGACTTTCAGCAAATTTAGTATCGGCGATACTAAATTTGCTAAAAGTCGAGCACAACGAAAAAACAACCACGTAATTACAATGAAACAAATGATGTACCCTTTTCTACTTGTGGATGCCCAGTCAAATACTTTGTGCATGGCGGTCACTCCCGCACGTCCCATAGGAGCCACATCGCCGCCGGTCATAATGGCAAAATCCATCCCGGAATGAAAGGCAAGTTTCTGTGTAATCGATGAAGCCAAACAAAATTAAAAAATCTAATGAAACCCTAACCGACTGTAGTCACTGTACCTATCAAGTGAGACATACTGATTACATCCTTACCTTAGCAAATAAAGTCTTCCCGGTACCAGGCGGGCCGTACATAAGGAGATTGCGGTAAAAACCGTTATTTTTCTTCGTATGCCTCGTTGTTATTGCCACATCTCGTAATCGAGATTCTAAATCGGGCTACAACATAAACAAGGTGTAGAACAGGCACGGAGCGGCACACCCCAATACTGAAAATCTGATGTACCTTTAAAACGACTCCAGCCAAAGCATCGGATGGTTTGCTCCACAAGCGACGGAAGTTCTGTTAAAATAATGTGTTTAAAAAAACTCCAGAAAACAGAGAATTTTTTTAGGGTAAAAACAATGTCTTGCCTTGAAGGGATGCTTGATAGTATCAAAAACATTCAGGCGCGACGTTTCTCGTACTAACGACGGTTTTCCCAACCGGGACTCCACATATCGAGCTGCCACACCGGTGCCCATTTTAGCAGAGTAAACACCAAGTGCCAACAACGTCAGTCCTCCGGCCTATGGCAAAAACTCTGTGGAACACTCTTGTAAAACGAGTGCAGTCCAAAAGTGGATATTACTAACTTACGGCCGCAGTCACTTTATCCCAGTCGTTAATAAATGCCGATAATCCAGCACCCAATATGGTACCGGCGGTCCTGAAGAAGTCCGGGTCAGACACATTTTAAAACAAAACAGGAGGACCGGCTTGCACTAAGATGAAATCATACTTGATCGATTCTAATGTCGTGGTACGCTTTTCTGCTGATTCAACACGGATTTTCTCCAAAATTAAATCACGATTTTCCCTGTCGGCTTTTGCTTTGGCGCGCGCTTCTGCTTCTATGCGCTTCAGGTCGTGTGTTTCACGCATTTTTAATTCATGTTCAATCGTTTCTACAATTAATATGCTCCCAGTTTCAACTGCTGTTCGGTTACTCATAATAAAAGTTATCTTCAATTAAACACACCTCGTTTCATCGCTTCCTGTTTTCGCACTGATTCCTCCTGCTTTCTCAGATTGTCTTCATTAACGCGTTGCTATAATTAACCAAAATAAGTATGGACGGGGATTTTTTATAAAGTACCGCAACAAAATCTTACCTGTTGAGCCAGCTGGTCATCGTACCTTTTCCTCGCTAGTTGGTCCTGATACTGAGCCCGCTGTTAAAAATTTAGAATATAATTCACTAACTCTTAACAGTACAGTAATATAATTTAGCAGATTCAAGCATCGCACCTGAACTGAATTCTAAAGTGATAAGTGTGCAGTATCATAATATTTGGTAATAGTAGTCACAAACAAAGTTCGCCACATAAGTACTAAAATTTTCCACACCTCAAGATGTTATTAGTTAAGAAATACGCTTTCGTTATGTCAGCGGCGAAACAACCCAAACTTCCATTGCGCTGTTGTTACCTGTTGAGCCTGCTTTGTTTCCTCCGCTAATGTTTTCCTTTTTTCGTCATGTTGAGAACGGATTTGTTCCAAGCGAATTTGCTCTGTATGGGCCTCGTATTCCTAGAATTAGAGCCAATAAATTTAAAATGCCTCATTCCATACAGCAAAAACTTCCACATAAAAAATGAACATTGGAACTTAAAACTTAAGAGATAGAAAATGAAAAACAAAAAAGCACATCAACTTAATGCGAACCTTAATAGCTTTCTGGTGTTCCATCTGCTGTGTCTGCTCATGGAGTTTCGTTATCTCCAATGCTTCCTTCGCATTTTCTAGAATCAAAGGAGAAAGGTAACGGAGCAGCCGCGCACTTCAGGGTCTGCATTGCATCATGGACTCACTGGAGGATTCCAGCTCGCGCGCTGCTCGCGCAGCTCTCTCCAAAGCCGCAGAATCAAATCGATAACTGGACGAGGTCTTATCCACCGCGCCCTTATCTTTGGCAGGTTCATCGCCAGACTGGCTGGGACCACGACCAGAAGAACCCACATTAACGTTATCCCCCGCAGCGCCAGGATCCATTGAGGCTCCTGTGTCAGCCGGCGTATTGCGACGCCCGAGTAGCCAGGACATGATGGTTCTCCTCTCTGTACGCTTTCAGGCCGTTACTGATCTCCACTAACAAAAAATATGCAAAGCTTCCAACAAAAGCGATCTACAAAACTACAAGTAAATTGGCACCAAATTTCCAAACGATTTCGCAACTTCGATGAATATTGCTCCTGTTAGGGGAAAAAAGCCGACTGCAGTTGTCAGATGTTGCGGTGCAAGTTGGAGGGGGAAAGCACATATGGTGTTCCGCTGCCAGATGGTTTACAACATTGGTGTTGGACAGGATTATCTTCTGCAATTCACAGTTGACGTAACACGTTAACAGTAACATGAAAAGCCAAAATTCCAAAGGCTATTCAGAAATGTTTTGTTGCTATTTTATTGCTATTGTCCTTAAATAACTAAACTTAATGCCAAATCGCGAAATTATCATGTTGTGTCATAACTCTCAACAGTAAAATTATTAACTTTAGTTAAAATGATTTCATTTTTATCTATGTGAATTGTTTCTGCTCGTCATAACGCATTTGAACCGGTAGTGAGTGCGGAGCCTGGGTTGACGAACATCGCGAGCTAATTTCTGCCATAGGACAATCTCACTCTTCCAGCTCAAAAAAGCTGCGCGCATACCATGTCTAATAAAACGTAAGTTTTCGAAATGTTTCATTGCACGTCTGTTAATGCAGTTCGAAGCAAACGCGTACGAAGCAACAGTTCCTGGATTGTTTTGTGCAAGTTCCGCAGCTGATGTCGTTGATGTTATAACGCACGTAGGTACCCGTTATGGAAACCAGGAGCTCCGCAATTGCGAATATTTCTACCTGACTTTCTTATGAAGCTGATCAAGCCAGAAATACCGATGCCAAAAAATATAGTGCAGTTTGAGGTTGATTTAAAGTAAGGAAACCTAATGCACGGACTTTACTCTTGTCACGTTAGTTCTTTTCGCCAGTTGCCAACTTGCCAGTAAAAAATATTTTTCAGGATGTCGGAGACAGATGTGAAAAATTACCTACAAAAAATTTACAAAGTGCCTGTAAAAGATGTGCGGCTTCGAATTTTGAGAGGTCAGTTCGCGTCAAATGATTTAGTTGTTTGCGATATGTATGCTGTTTTTTTCCTGCGGAAATGAGTTTATGCCGGTATTCAAAACCATCCTGTTGCCTTGTTGATTAAATATTTGGCTTGTCAATTTCAGGAGAGCGCTTCAGGCATCCCGTTAGTGGAAGCGATTCCGAGCACTTCAAACCGGACAAAAAATATGCCTATGTAACTTTGGTATGCGATGCAAGTAGTTAATTTGATGAATTGAATTATTTTGGTTATTTTTTGTTAGTTCTGCCACTTTTGTGCTTCATGCTTGCAAGTTGCAGTACTGTAATTTACGGCTCATTGTCCATTTTATGACAGGATCGTGCTGTACGGTTTGACTGGCCGAACTTGACACCTGAGCAGGTGGAAAAGGATCAGGATAAGGAGTTACAAAATTATGATGATGCCATACAGAAAGTGCGAGTCCAGCGGCAAAAACACTGGGATCGATCGGGAGCGCCCACCTGGTTTTCCGTTTAGCGCTGTACTCACGCTGTAATCAGTGCTAATCATAGTATCATACTAATCACTTACCCAGTTGCCTTCGCAGTTCCAAATTTGAGTGTTTCAGTTGTACATTTATGCTTGCGATTTTTCTGTTATGTACCGAAAAGCATTGGATTGTTTGATTACTCGTAACCTGTGAACAATAATGTGCTGTGTTCTCCGTTGTTTTGCGTGACATCCACTGACATCTATGCTTAAGTTGGGTACGAGTATGAATTCTGATTCTCAATAAAACCACCGCAAACAAAACTGTTTTGTGACAATTTCTGTCTTACAGGCTCTCACCTAATTCTTATCTCTTTTCAACCCAATGCAACATGTTTTAATGCTATTACTGCAATAATGCTAAAGGCTGATGGCATGAGTTAATCTTTATTCCCAAAGAAAACCGATGCGCGAGAGCCCAAAAACACCGACACTTCATAAATACAAATTTCCAACAGAGCCGTCAGTCTACACAGCAAACGGATAACTATACAAGCACAGTAAGTACTGAATACACTGTCGATTTCAAACTAATAGTCTAAAAAGTAACGCTATTATCAATAGCAACAAACTTAGCTGTCTACAACCGTTCAAACAACAGGATCGCCTTTGCTTGTGGCAAAAATCTGGCTGATATTGGTAGAAGGTCTTTTAGCGCCTGTTTGTCCGCTTCCAGTGGAAGAATTGGTTGGTCTCTCTCGAAAATTTTGCTTCTGATTAGGTGTCCGCAAAACAGAACCGGCAATGTTCATATCTGACACAGTCAACTATATCGGAAAATAGATCAACGTTGGTTTTCGACGCTCTCCGCTATAACTTTACAAAATTACAAAAAGGGCAATCAAAGAAAGCGCACCCGGTTTCCTTCCAAAAAGTGGTTCGTTTCGCGTGCTGAGTTTAGATAACCTTCTCGGCTGCCAAACTGTATGAAGCCAAAATTGCGGCTTACTCCCGTCTCTTTATCCTGTTTTCAAAACAGTGACACTATCATCAATTATTATCGAAGCTCAGACAACCTCACTCGCCGCGTACTTACATAGTACACATTCACCGCTTGAATCTGACCAAACTGGGAAAAGTAGTCGCGCAATTCCTCTGCAACATGAGCATAACCTAATTCTGTAGATCTGACAGACTGCAACGAACCATGATTAAACAATCGAGATGTCGCAATATTCCATTAACGAACGCCAGCCGTGAATTCAACATTGTACCATACTCGCCGGAATTCAGTGCACTTACTCCGACCAATGGTCCATGGCAAATTTCCAACGAACAGCCTTGGAATACCTCTTGCAGCCATTGCATTAGGCTCCTAAAAGTGATGTAAAATAGTAAATTCAACAAACCTTGCTGTTTTGCTTAAATTTGTTATCAAAAAATGCGTTTTAACTGAAGAGCGAGCGAAGACCTGTGCAGGCGTACTGTGCAGTGGAAGCTAGTCAACACGGCGACCTTCCTCTGGTGGTCAGTCACATCACTTTCCAGGTCCGAGAAAGCGATGAACGCTTTGCACTTGCAACCTGGATGAGCGCCCACTGCGCCGTTAATCATCCAGATGTAACGAGTGCACACTATGTTATTGTGCAGAAGTGGAATTTTAATCAATTTTATTGCTGATTTTACTGCCATTGCACCATCTGTGGACCCGTTTATCCACGTAGCCGCTCACAAGGCGGACAGCATCGCGACTAGCCTTTCCCGCTCGGCGTTTGGAATTAGTAATCACTACTTCAGTTTTTCTATCATAAGAAACTATTGAGTTTTAAATCTGCTTTAATTTTTTCAACTTACTGGGATCTGTAGACATCGGTACCGCTTTTCGAGCACCGTATGTTCTCTTCAGAGCAAGTGCTCGGCGCTCATTTACATCATTTTTAAAGGCAGTATTATAAAAACGCTTCAAACATTCGTACTCTAAATATTTCGTAAGATCGCATAAACAAATATCACCAAGCGGATGAAAGCTATGTAATTCCATATTTAACAGAGTCAACTTGAGTGCTCTTTCCAAATGCCGATCACCTCTGTAAAAATCATTAATCTCTTGCAACTTTTCGAAAAATCCAAGTGCATACTGCAACAGCGCGCTTAGTTGCGGACATGGCAAGCTTAAACCACCAAAATCAGTACGCGACCGTGCCGTGACTAATCCGCCACTCTCCGAAAAAATCACTCCAAACATGTTGCCAATACCGGCCTTGCAAGAGGTGCAGGAAAATTTTCCTTTCTGAATTTTTGAAACGATGTAACCTCCCAGATCAGTCAACCCAGTAGTGACACATATCCGGGATCAACTTTGCAGCTGTGCGAAGAAACGACTTTATCTTCACTGACTCGGTTCCAGCGAAACGCTTTAGCCACAAGCACATGACTAAGATGTTCATGTTTGTCGATCTAAACAGTCATAAATGTGAAACGAAAATAAAATTAAATACAAATAAATGCAAAACTCAAAACATCTGAATTAAAAGTATTATTCGTTACCTTAATGGACTTGTGTGGAAACCGCACACATTCTGTCTCCTCCACTTCTCCGTTTTCCACTGCGTGAAGCAGTTTGTTCACGTCGTCCGCACTTTCGCACTTGCGAACAACAGCCTTGACAGCCTTCAGTACATAAACATTGGGAGTTCGATGATTCCGCAAACTGATGAGCCTCGATTCAAGGGTAGCGCGGTCCAGTTGTTGGTGTACATTTCGTTTAGCCAAAAGGTCCATACCAAGTGCCCGACACTTCTTCATACGACACGAACTGCATGGCTGGTAAACATTTTGCACCACACAGTCGCCTTTTCTTCCTTTGCATTTCAATTTCTAAATAAGACAGGTAGCAACAGCGTTATAAATGCATGAAAGCCATACACTCACCAGCCTGTTGCAGTTTGTCCTGAAAAATTTTCTGCACGAATCGCAAGTAAGGACGCCGTAATTCATTGCGCATGGGGATTTCAAACAAACGGCACAGCAGGTCTCTTGTTTCCCTGCAAATAGTTTTCCTAGCGTTTATCGTAGTGTACATCAAGGAGCGCGACAAATTTTAATTAATCTGCAATAGCTAGAATGACGAGCAGCAATACATAAATCAGACCGACTATTTTAGAAAGCGAACATTTACACTGTACAGAATGCTATTGTAGTTTGGTTACGTACGAGACTACGAGTATTTATTAGAATGCTCGAGAAGTATTGTTGCTATAAATACCGTCATAATTTTAAGTCTACCTACCATCAGTGGCATAGCCCAAAGAAGTTGTCTCCATAACAAGTAGGTGCTCTTCCACTTCAGTCTCTGGAATACTGTTTAACGACGGGGACTGCACAGTCTGCACCGACCCGTGTTCCTCTTCAAAAGCGCCATGAGATAATGACATTGTGTCATAATGATCTAATGCTGGCCACATAATGATGCAATGCTGAAGTACAAATTGACTTTAACAATCATCTCACATCTTTTGCAACTGCGGCAGTTTACAAAACTGTACAAAATTCAGCTCAAAATTTAATTAACTTCGATAGAAGTATTAAATTAATTGTAAGTTCTTACTACAGTACTTACTTCATCGGTCGCTGTCTGCAGCTATTGCGTCAATAAACTCAATCCAGAACCTGTCGCCATGCTGTCCCCCTTATGCGCTTCTACGTGGATAAACGGGTCCACAGATGGTGCAATGGCAGTAAAATCAGCAATAAAATTGATTAAAATTCCACTTCTGCACAATAACATAGTGTGCACTCATGTAACATTGCAAATTCCATATTTGCGGGTCTGAGCGCTCTTTCAACACAATAACACTGTTCTTTTTTATGCTTTTAATTGTTTTCGTTTTTAGGACATCACATAATATTTTAATGGTATCAAGGAAACACCAGTACATAGTTGGCCGGAGCGCAGCGAAGGTCCTCTAATTCAACAAAAACAGAAAACTGTCTGTCTGTCCGCTATACCTGTCTGTTACGGAAGTGGAAGATCACCTCCTTATTACGTCATCACTTCCTTATCCCGTAACTTCGGCATTAGCGATCCCATACACGGTGCGGGGATAGAATATAGAACGGACAGATTCCCAACAATACCGAAGATGTTGAGACAACGCGCTCGAAGAGTAGAGAGGGAAACAAAGAGGAAAACAGAAAAAGAGTCGCGCAGGCATGTTACGGATCTTCTGGAAGCTTTCTTTAAGTTGTGTCTTGAAGTTTGCTATAACTTTGGCTTGGCATCCGCCGTCCGGTTTTCCCGGCCCATATAATTAGCCAGTGGCCACCAAAACTTTCAACAGTTCGATAGTATAACCAGTGGCCACCTAAGAATCTCTGCCTCTGGTCAGTTTCGAGAATATGACTAATAATAACCCTTACCTCCAGCTATAGGAAGTTCCAGTGATGTCCCGTTTGCAGTTTTTCATGTCCCGACCGCACTTTCACGACCAAAAACTTTCCCGCACCCGCTCCCGCACCCGAGCGCTCGGACCGCCCCGCAACCCGCTCCGATTCCCGATTTTCAATGAATCAATAATTTTAATGATTGTTACAAATTTATTACAAAATTTTTGGTGTAAAGTTTCATCGAAAAGTTTAATGGATAGGCATTTTCTAAAAGACTAGACCTGCATGCTAAATCTTACTTTTACTTTTAAAAAAAAACTGAGCTTGGCTCGTAATTATAAATTTGTCAGAGCGGCATCCGCCCTTTCAAATTATACAATTGCCGTAAATATATTATCGCCATCAACTATTCGATTTTCTTTCGAAACCGACGTTTGCGTCACAGGAGCTACGTAGCTAGCCGCCGCTTATCAAATTTTGATACACGGCTGCTGTACTCGTATTAATCTTATGTTTCGTTAAGTTCCTTAGCTTTTATTAGGCTTTTTAAGTTTTCCTATTTTTGTCATTTATTTCTCAGCTTCTCTTATTTTTCTAAACTTTTCTTAGATTTTTATGCTTCCTTAAGCTGTTATTTTTTTATGAATTCCTTTGTTATTCTTATTATGTTTTCTTTTGTTTCTTGATTGTTTCGGAAATGTGTGATTTCCGGATGTTAATGGTTTCCAAAGTGAACGTTTCCGAAATAAACGGTTTCCGAAATTGGTTTCCGAAATGATGGGGTGCCGCTGTATGCCGCGGCCACGGTTACAGATACGGTACTCGAAGCCACCTTGCGAGGAGGAGACTGGAGTTGCTGTATCGCAACTGGATTCTGCTTTGAACCTGAGACCCACCCTAAGACACTAACTTTCGCGCGAAGCGAAGCTGATGCACTTTTGGCTGCGAAAATTGCTAGAAATTCTATACAAAATTTTTTTAATTCAAAGAAATCCCGTGTTTTCCCGAGTAGCGGGCGGGCGTACCAATCAGGCTATATTCCCGCCGCACCCGATCCGAGCAGAAAGCCTCCCGCTACCGCTTCCGAGCCAAAAGCGGGTGCGGGGTGCGGGAATTTCCCGTGATTTACCGAGCCCGTGAAAAAAACGGGACATCATTGATATTAGGAACTATCTGTACAAGTACTTACTTTTATCACGTATCGTTTCAAAAACACATTGTATCGACAGGAACAAACCATAAGGGAGAAATGGATAATCCGTAAATTTAAAGTACTGTACTTACTGTAATCGCAATAAATTGCGTCGAGAGCAAATCATGACACTTTATACCTACTTAACACAAGTATGAAGCATTTGTAATGTACGAGTACAGTAGCTATGTTATAATTATTGTTAAACATATATGCTAAATTTAGCGAAATGGCTACGCGCGAGAGTATCTCCCCCAAAGGCAAATAACTACGCAGTGACAAGCACGCGAGTTACCGAAATTAAAAAATTATCGATTTGTGAAGTAGCTGTTTATTAACTGTGACATTAGAATTACTAGAATAATACTCACGGGTCCACGGCAGGTACGCACCATAACAACTAAGGTCAACTATTTTTGTATATTCCAAGCCGGTAGAATTATGCATACAGACAGTAACTGCCTACCGGTATTCGTAACAGTTATAGTTGTCAATTTTGTCCTATTTACTCCTCTATGATGGACTCGAGTCAGTCGAGGGTGATTAAAACCGGAGACCGTTTTATATCCTACGAAGCAGCTGTAAAAGCTGTCCAAGACTGGGGAAAGCTGACGAATCAAGTTTTCGTAAACCCAGGAGGAAACGCAAGGACATCGAAAACACATCCCCACCACGCTACTTTCCCATACAGCTCCGCCCAACCCACAGCGTGATGGGCTAAGTGGGCTAGAATCACCCGCTGAAATTGCTCTGTGTCAGTCAAAAGACCAATGTTTTACGCGGGCACGCTTCCAGAAAAACATAGACAAAGATATTGTCGGACAAGTCGACAGGTCGAAATCGAATACGTCCTTGTTTATGCCTTTGGCTTTATGGACAGTGCCGACGAGCAACATTTGCTAATTTATGCATTTGCTTATGACTTGCTACTGCGCAAAACCATCCGCATTAGGCATTTCGTCCCCGAGCTCAGGCCAGGCAGCCAATTACAGCCTGACAGAGACTTTCGGGAATGGTTTCGGGACGCCCTGAGGTCAAGGACGAATGCCCGTACTAAGACGGTGATCACCTTTCCAAGCATTCGCGTTCCCGCTAAAGAAGCCGAAGCTTTAGAGAAAGCAGTGCAGCTGCCGCCTAAACGAAGAGACACTGCTGTTTGAACTCAATGGTGATTTTAGAATTATCAACCGTAAAGCTGCTAAATTTTTTAAGATTAGGGTCCATTACTGCTCGTCTGTTAATACAAAAAAACAACAAAACTATCGCGCGCAGCTGATTCTGTACAATTTCTACTACAGGCAGCTGCAGGAGCTCGCGCGGAGACAAAGTACTACGGGTGTGAGTACTCTCGCGCGCAGACCTGACCTTAATTGAACAATACATAACATTATTGAACATACCTATTTTTCTTTTTATTCGCACACAATCTTGCCGTCCAAAGGCAGTTCTGTGCGGTTTTTATGGACTTGTCAACGCGTAGACAGTTTTGGCCAAACTTAAAAGGGCCAGTTAGCTAGTGATCTTTGTGAAAACGACTACATACTTGGTAGGGTCGCAGTACTTATAGGGAGGTATTTCGTTCGAATTACAGTACTGCAATCTGTTAACCCTGGGCATCAACTCATAAAAACAAACGAATCAACCAGAAACAGAAAGAAACAAATGTCACCTTACAGGTATCCAATTTTTTTGCTTGATAAAGTTGGACGGACGAATGAAAACTCATAAATTAGGCTACAAGCTGTGGAGGAATCAAAAGCAAATCCAAAAAGTTTCAAAATATCACCGGTACTGACCTTTAACATATTTTCATTATAAAACTTCTAAAAATTTTCGTATTGCATCTGGTGCTCCATCTTCTCTGGGTAATTCATCCAAACTAAACTCGACTTGCTTGAAAGTTCCTCTGATACTTTCGATGTCTTTCATCCTGACAAATTCATATTGTTCGTGCTCGTTGTCGCACTGAATCCTTCGCGTACCGATAAAGAGCAGCAAATCAAAGAACTCTGGATAGTTCATTCCGAGGTCAGCTTTAAGGATCATCTAAAATGCGCAGGTGGACATTGTAACATAGTCAGTACTCGCACTAACTTGTAAATTTCACTTTCGCTCTGAAAAATGGCCGCTAAAATGGCAAGAAATGCCGGCATGGCGCCGAAGACAACCGAAAGATATTTTTCCGCACCTGACACTGGCGATTCCATTCGTGAGCATCTACAAAATCAGCTGCACAATCTTCGATTTCTTGTTTTACTTTATTCAAAGAATCCCGTAGCAAATTCCATAAGTTTCCGACGGTGGCGGCATTGATCCAGTTATGGTTGACAGACAGCGTCGTATCCAAGTTATGCACCTGATGATGCCATCCACTTGGAATGAAAATCACTTCCCCTGGCCTCTGCACAAAAACAAAATGCACGCATCCCGAGAGATCCACACTCTGCGACAAATACAGAATTTTTTAAAAAGCCCCCTTCACGTTAACTTTTAATTTAAACATATAACTAACAGTAACATCAGACGGCAGTTGTCCGTCCGCTTGTATAAGCTTCTGCTCCTCTCCTGCAGGGAATATGTACCATTTCTTGGTGCCGGAAACATTAGCAGACCAACTAAAAGACTGTAAGACGTCTTCGTGAAACGGTGTCCTAAAAATGGTAGAAAACAACGAAACGAAAATGATTTAATTTGAAACAAGCCGGGTATCTTCAACGTCATACCGATGAAACATTAATCTTTATTTATCTTTTCCTATCTTTTATTTCTCTTTAAGTTTTATTTTGTTGTGTTTGCAGATTATGTACCAAGATCCTTTTGGTCCAAGGTAAAGGAACCTATAATCTTTGTCCGGTTCGTATGGATACCGTGCATCGCAATATTCGTTCAACCAGTCCGATGAAAAATACAACGGCACCGTGTACGCCCGATATTCAGGAAACGCCCTGGAAACTACAAAACATACTCAGCGAAGCCGAGACACTGGACACCATCATTTCGAAATTCCTTCTCATGCTACTGACACTACCTACCTACGTATCACATATGTAGCTGACTCTAACATTCACAGTATAAGTAAGCTCTTATAAAGCGATACGAATTACGTTACGAAGTAAACTCGTACTTCGTTTCGCTTTACAAAACCCAATGACACTAGGTATATGTATACCAGTAGGTGACCAGGTGCCTAACTTTAGCGACTCAATATGGGATCATTTTATACGCACCGCTGAAAATGCCAGTCTTTGAGATACCAAACGTGTCCATGTGGTGCATTAATACCGGACAGTGGTCTCTTTGATTCCAGATGTTCAAGATAATCGTCAAAACTTACAGGAACCTGTAATCGACTCGCATAATCGGACTGTTCGTCGCTCTGAACTACAGGAACTCCAGCTCGACCGAATCGAGATCTGAGAAAATCAAACTTCAAAGAGCCATCCGGATATGTCCAATCAGTTCGAGCGAGCCATTTACACGTTGATTCTTCCGATAAAACGCATGGCTTGTTTCCCTCAAGACATTCTTCATAAACCTTTTGATATGACTCGTACAAACTGGTAGTATTTTCAGGTACAATAACAAATGGGATCATTTCGACGCGTGTTCACTGGATTGAGTATCTTTTAAGCCCAGCAGGATTGAATACACTTCAATTGCACGACTATTAAGACAGAGTTCTTAGCTAATTATTTACTTCTCGTTAATTTTGCAAAAAAATTTATAACTATATATATAAGTAACGATAATAAGGCCATAAGTTTTGTAAACACAGTAAACACAGTAATGAACAGTAGTGTATGTATTGAACACCAATGGCTCAAATGTTAAAAGCAAGACAACGTAAAAAGTGTTAAACGCAAGCCGTACGTTACAATTTAAATATGGCTTGCCATAGTGCAAGTATAAAACCACCGTGGTTTTATACACTAAGTACTGTAATAAAAGTCCTCGTAGTGAGACGGCTATGGCGTGACCGGGCGGCGACGGCGTCAGCGTGCCGCATTGTGATCTGTTATTAAACAAGGGCCCTAGACTTTCAAATCTCTGCGTTTGATTGTTCCGGCTGTAGACCCCCTTTTGGCTTTTCTGGAGAATTTGGACAGGCTTGTGCTTAACGGTTAAGTGCTCTCATTATTTCAAAATTACTACCATTAGGTAAGTAGTACAAACTAAAATTTACAAATACAAGAATACTCGTACTGTTGTGGGGTTGACCTGGTGACTGGTCAACACGGTTGTGATCGTGAGTCACGATTGTGAGTACGACTGTACGAGTTCTGTGACTGAGGCGGCATGAGCAATGCAAGTAAAAAAATCATCTCGAATAAGAATTATTAATAAACTATTCAGCTAACAGTAAGTCAGTAACGAACACTTTTTTCTGGTTCAAGGTGACTAAAAATAATTTTATCAATTTTCTTTGAGCAGCTATTTAAAACAAAATTCCTCTGAGCCAAGCGTTTCTCAAAAATCAATTCACAGATTAAACACTGAATGTCTAATTAAACATTTGCACTGGAATTCGTAAAATTTGCTTCATCTGCCAAAAGCTCTGTATGTGCACGTCCAGGTGCGCGCTTTGCACGGTTTTCAAATTTCAGCACGCGCCATTTCGCCATTTCCGATCGTGACCCACAAGACTTCTGTCATTGTTTCTATCACTTTTTTGGGGAACTGGACTGGTTAGTGTTGATGTTACGGTTCCTCAGTGTTTAAGATTTCTGGTAACATAGGTGTTGTATGTCGCTGTTTGACGATATTGTAAAAATAATGAATTTCGGTTGTGCATTTCTCTGGTAATCGTGGACTGTGGCTGAAAACTGACAGAGTTTGACGGAGTGACACATTGTGTTCCGGTTTAGGTATTGCAGCTGTTGAACAAGCTGTTACAAGCAACACAAACGAAAAGATGGACCAACGACCTGGAGCTGGCCGCGGAATTGGCCGTGGCCGAGGAATTCCTGCCCCTGTTCAGCCAAGTCAGCCTGCTCCCGCACAACCAAGTCAACCTGTTCCTGCCGCTCAAGAACAGATTCCCACTCCAGGAATCGGACGAGGTCGCGGGCGTGGATTGGGAGTTACGCAACAACCACCGACGCCAACGTCTCCAGCCAGTGTTACCTCTGCGCCGGCCTTTCCCTCCGTGTCTCAGCCGGCACCTCAGGCGCCTGTTGCTGGTCGGGGAATTGGACGTCGAGGAGTGCCGCGTGCTGGAGAGACTGGATTGGGCTCTGCAGATGCCGCCGGTGCCTCTTCCGCGCCGTCTATCCCGGGTCCTCGTGGTGATGCAGCGGTAATTTGAAACTTTTACGAAAGAAATAACACGGTTTTGTCGTGTGAAAACATTTGTGATGATTTGATGATATTTATGCATCGAACTTCTAAAAAAGTGGTAAAAACTTGAGGAAACTTGCATCAGTGACGCTACGTAGCATGGAAGCCGCTGCATATAGAATTTACAAAGGACATTGTATAAGTAATAAGTACTGTAAGTTTCCCTATTTTGTATCTCCCGCTTTAAACGCATTCCGCTAAAGCTAGCTATCCATATTGTTACATATGTCCTTCAGGGATGAAGTGAAGGAAATTGTAACTTACAATAACAACTATTAAACTAAGAAGAACTGCCAAAACGATCAGTGACCATTTCTAACGTCCTAACGAGAGGAAGTGAGAAAAAAAGAACCACGCTAAAAAAAGGATAGTGTAAGTTCTGCAAAAGTGGCCCAAGCCATTCCATTTTTCGTTTATTCTGTTCTTCGTCGAAACTTACGACTCCTCTTTCCGGATTAGTTTGCATAATGTCCTATCCAACAAAAAATACCTCACATGTGTGTTACTTCAAATGGTCGGGAGGCAAAATAGGGAAACTTACTTTTGGAATGTCCTTAGTATTTATAGTATTTTATACTTGCTGTAATATGCTGTGTATAGGAAGCACAGTTACTTCTGCCTGTCGATGTGAAAATTAAAGTTGTGAACGAACTTACGATTACGACGGAATCGTTATTTTGGATTTAAACAAGCGTTCTATAACTTGGCAGTGTGTTGACGTAGCAAATGTGTCTCAGAAATTTAGAAGATAATGATTGCAACTTCGGTAGCAATGAAATCAGTGGATGGTGAAGAGTGAAATCTTGACAGGCACGCGCGATGCCGGCACCTCAGTCAGCCGCCAGCGGCATCGAGGCGGGAATGGCACGAATGGACATCAGTGCACCGCAGCGCCAACCAGCTGCCGTTCCTGCTGCCCAAGCTGGCGGCAGCGGGCCTCCTCCCACCGGTAAAGCGGAAGAACGCCCGGAAGAACTGCATGGAGAGGAAGCTGTCAATGCTGAACGTGAACGTCGACAAAGGGAGCTGCGAATCATTCCGAAGCCGATTGGTACCGTAGGGCGCCGGTAAGTTCATCTTTAATTACAAATAGTACAGCGCACGCATTTAATACAGTTCGCAACGATCGTCTTTTCGCTTATCAAAAAAATTTTCAGTGTGGAATTGGTAACCAACGCAGTGCATTTCCAAGCCGCTCCGGAGTCGATGGTGTATGAATATCGCGTGGATTTTGAACCGCAGTTGTGGAGTGCCAGATTGAGGATCAAACTGATTGAATCCCTTGCCAATCGTCTGCCGCCGACGTACTTATTCGACTTCGACAATCTGTTCTTGTCACAGCGACTTCCTAATGAGGTACCGTTAACCAAATTGAATACAGTATGTGAACGCGGAAAACGAAACAAATCCAAATGGGATACAATGTGTTATCTCCATTCTCCAAAATAGAATTATTTCGAATCTGTATGTTAATAGCAAATGTAAAAACGCTGTTAATGTTCTTTGTTTCTGAAGGTAGAGGAATTCGTCTGTCCATCGCCGTATCGTGGCCCAGAAGGGGAAATTGAAGAGTACAAACTGACCATTCGTTTTGTGATGAGCAACCGCGCGAACGAAAGCAAAGAACTGCTGAACTTAGTGCTGAAAAAGTAATATGTATGAACTACTTTTCAGGGAAGGGTAACAATATATATACCACTAAATTTATCCTTGTAGTTTGGAATTGAGCTTGAATTTCGTTCAAATCGGCAAAAACCGCTTCGATCCTGTGCAAAGAATCGCCATACGGGAGGCACCGAATGTTCCGGCAATGGAAGTTTGGCCAGGTTTTCAAACGTCAGTCAATCCATACAGTGCTGGCATTCTGCTTCTGACCGACGCCCAGTTTCGTGTCATCCGCACAGGAAACGTTAAAGATTTAATGTGAGGACACGCTTGTTATTTTTTTGGAAATGTGCACGTTTCCCGCTTCTTTTTATGCACTTCCATTATCACCGAGCCATTGCAGGGATATGTGGCGCAGTGAGGCAGGATCAAATGATGCGAAGTTTCGGCAGCTGATTATGGATAACTTAATTGGAGCTACGGTTCTTACGGTAAGTGATGTGTTAACGTACTTATTTAAGGAAAATTTCTCCGAGTAACTCAGCTTCGTCAGAACTGTATAAACAAGGTGGATAGGGTACCCTGGTGAGGAAACGCATTGGCGAAAAATTCAGTGTTTTTTTTGCCGTCACACCTCGTTAACATTTCTTGACAGACATGAAATACAATGGCCAAAACGGCCATCAAGTTGTAAACGTGTGGCAGTGATTTGCGGACGATCCATAAAGATTACAAATTTTTTACAGACAGAAAGCCATAGTAAAATTTTACGCTGATTCTGAATCTGCAATTTATTTTTTGGAATTTCAGAAAACATCTGAGTCGAGTAAAGTAGTAGAAATGTGGTTTGAATTTGGCATGTATTCATAAAGGCCAGGCAGGCAGCTAATTACCTTGGTATAATTATCTGTAAATCTAGCTATAGTGAGTAGTCAGTAATGTATAACTGCAATTCTGCAAATGTCTAACATTTGCAGCCATACAACAACAGGAGCTATGTGGTGTCCGACATCAGATGGGATATGAGTCCATTGTTTACATTCAAAAATTCCAAAGGCGAAGAATGCGTTTTCTGGGACTACTACAGGCAGCATTACAATATTACGATTGTGGATAAGGATCAGCCGTTGATGTACTCAAAACCAGCGCCGACCGGTAACAAGCGACGAGAAGGTTTCAGTGTTGCATTGATCCCCGAACTGTGTCAGCTGACCGGCATCCAGGATGATTTACGGGCAAATTTTGCGGCCATGAAGGTACCATCTCTCCGCTGATGATTTATTTTACCTTTTTAATATACAAAAATTCTGTGCCCTGGGAGTTCCTTGTTTATTGTTAGATGATTGTGGTTAAAAAATCTCCAGTACTGTAATACACCGTTGAATTAATTCTTTGTAAATTTAAGATAGAATTAAAAGCGCAAGGTTTCACACAGTACTGCACGCTTTGCGAGTATTGTGCACAGTACATAACCACACTTTGTCTGTAATGTGAACTTGTGGTATTTCAGTATTACGTTTTAAAAATATTGATTCTGTTTAATCAAGCGTTTATGTTTGACAAATTCACTTTGCTCATGTAACGCAGACCATCGCCATAGCCACCAAACTGAATCCTCAACAGCGTGCGGAAACAATCAAGGGTTTTTTAAGAGATCTTGACCGAGGCCAAGAGGCCCAGAAAATCCTGCAGACTTTCGGCGTTAAAATTAGTAAAGAATTGCTACGTGTGCCTGGTCGAGTTTTACAGCGCGAACAGCTTTTCTGCGGTCAATCACCAAATCCCGTTACTGTTCCGGAAAATGGCGACTGGACACGTAATGCGACCGGTGGAAAGCTTATGGATGCCAGAGGGGCCGAGCATTGGACCTTGATTTTCCAAAAGCGGGACCAGAAATGTGCGGAGGATTTCGCTCGCGCCTTCCGTGACGCCAGTCAGAGTTTTGGCATGCAGTTCGGAAATCCGCAAATAATGATGCTAACTGCGGATCAAAACATCACATACGCCAACAGTATTGCTAAAGCCGCAGTCGAAAACAAAGTAAAATATTATTATCTCTAGAAGTAGCGATTAAACAAAAGTTTTTCTATGGATCTCACGGTTCTAAACTTGCTTACCCTATTGCAGAGCAAACTGGTAGTCACGATATTTCCAAATATGCGGGAGGATCGCTATGCGGCAGTAAAGCAGTCCTGCTACATGAAGCATGGTATCGCTTCGCAGGTCATTATGAGTCGTACACTGGGAAGACCAGATCGTTTGCGCGCAATTGTGCAGAAAATCGCTTTGCAAATCAATTGCAAGTTGGGTGGATCCATTTGGCGCATGGCTAAAATGCAGTTGCGAGCTGACACTGTAAGGCTAAATCTGCTTTTATGAAGATCATGACAACAAATTTTCGTTAATTTGCTTTTTAGAAGAAAGATCCAATGAGCCTTATGGTGATTGGAGTGGACGCCTATCACGACATTAAACGTAGAAAGGATTCGATCGCGGCTTTGGTGGCTAGCACGGATGACGATTTCACACACTGGCATAGCCGTTGTAATTTTCAGCCACCGAAAACGGAATTGGCCTCGGGGATAAAGTTTTCATTCGCTTGTGCAATGATTTCGTATGCAAGGGTATGCGCGTTTTAGTAGAACATAACAGATTCAAACTTCCTCGGATGTTTCGCAGAAAATCCCGCTACAGAGTGGTCAATTATGTGATTGCAAATGTTAACGTTAACCGCAGCTTTTTTTATGTGCTGGCACTTCTGTGCTATCGTTATTTAACTTATTTCCTCATTGCTTTAGTCTGTGTGTATTTTATCCTGTTAAATCCTTTTGTTTGCAGGTTAACCGTGCATTTCCGAACACCATTGTCATCTTTCGCGATGGCCTGAGTGATGCGGAACTGGGCCGTGGTTTGCTGTATGAAGTAGGACAGATACTCAGTATCACCAATGATCCACGGCAGCTGTTGGATATGATGAAAAACGATTCATCTAGCAGTAGCAGCGAAAGCAGCCAGGAAGAGGTTATATATGTCCCGGAAATTTACTACATCGTCGTCCAGAAGCGTATCAATCAACGCCTGTTTCTGAGTGAGGTATGCTTCCTTGTATTTCGTTGTCATGCAATACGCGAGAACTGCAACAGGTTATTGCGGGTCTTGCAGGCTGTGTGGAGTGCATTACAAACCACATGGTACGTCTTTTACAAAGCGCTTCATGTTATTACAGAAAAATACTTTGGTGAATCCTAAGCCAGGAACCGTGTGCGACGAAGGAATCACTCGTCGGGATATGTACGATTTCTACCTTGTGCCGCAAAATGTGCGTGAGGGCAGCGTATCACCGGTACATTTCATTGTGTGCTACCAGCCGCCGGAACCGAGGTTGACCGTGGATGACATCCAAGGCTTGGCATATAAACTGACCCACATGTACTACAACTGGACCGGAACTATTCGTGTGCCGGCGCCTTGCATGGTACGCTCGGAATAAAATGTTTCACTTCAGATCTACGTTAAAATTATTGCGCTGTTGATAATTGCAGTATGCCCACAAATTGGCGTACCAGAGTGGAACGTGCTATGAACGCGCGCAACCGGACACAGCGCTGCTGGATACATTGTTTTATCTGTAAACACTGGAATAAGATTCCGCGGGGGTAGAAACGGTGTGATTTGTTTTACGGTTTTATTTTGTTGTCAGTGTATGAATTTTGTACAGAACCTTTTGTTTCTGAAATGGTGATCTTGGAAAACGGTTGTTATCTGCAGCGCAGAGTAATTTGAATTCAGTTCTATCTGTTCGGAATTGTAATATTTTTCTTTTTGTTGCCTGTTGGTAACTTAGAAGTTGGAATAGAATTCATCGAGGTTTGTTGTAAGGTTTCTGATATTAGCATTTTATTTTCGAGGTCTTTTGTGATGTTACAGGCTCAGTTTATTAAAAACAGATACGTACTGGTTAACCTGAGCAAGGGAGAAATTCGGATCTTGTTAATGCGAAAAGTTCTCTGATCTTATCAAAATGTTTGGCCTCACCCTGATATTAAGCACACTATTTGCAGTTGACAGCTTAAAAAAATAAAAATATCTGTAAAACCACAATCGAGACGAAAGTAAGTAATCAACTAATCACAAATAGGGATGGATGTCTTTAAAAGAGGAACCGTGACAACTTCGCGAAAGTTGCTCAAGCCTTTCCCCTTTCCGTTTATTCTAGTCCTCATCGAAACTTTTATTTCTTTTTGGATAGTTTACATAATGGCCAATCGAAAATAATATTTCACTTGTGTCATTTCGCATGACCGGGAGCCGGGAGGGAAAATAGGGAAAACCTACTTTTGCAATGTTAAAACTTTCACAATACTCGTACTGCAACTAAACACTAAACTGCCAGACTGTGATTATGGAAACTTAGTCATACAAGATCATGATCTTGACTTTTAATTTAAGCCTGCTTCGAAATTATTTAGAGTGCACCTTACATTTCAGCAGCCAGAAGTTGTAAGATAGACAAGACAAACAACATCCATCAGATTCCAGTTACCCATATAGCACTACCTTGCTACTTTACGCAAACACCAACATCAAAACTCTGGAAATCCAAGTTCCGTAATACATAAATTATAGTACGTTCCGTTAACCAAAAAAGCTAATGATAATTTGCAAATGTAATTCCATATGTTCTTCATGGGCTCCCACGGCTCCAGACATAGGACTTCAGATGTAATGCCAGAAAGAAACTACCAACGCCCCGTCGCTCCGCCGGCACTAGCGCTGTAATTACCATACTGCGGTCGGGAAGGCCCGCCAGCTCCGTTTCGGTTGCTTGCACCCGTGAAACGTCCTAAACACACAAGCAATATACCAGGTATTAATGGACAAACTACTCTTAATCTGAATGGAGATCGTTACGCTACCTCCGCTGCCACCGCCGTAAGGATGGCTCCGACCGCCACTGCCACTGTCTCGTCCCCGCCAGCGTCCACGGCCTAACAATAACAGCAATGATCATTTCGGAAAAATAGAGAAACTTGGAATCAATCGCATACCCTGCTTAGCTGCACTGTATGCTTTGGCGCGTTCCACTAACTGATACAATTCTGGATTGATCTGCTGTTTGGACTCCTTCAAGACATCCAGCAACTCTTTAACCTGGCTACCATTATCCTCCGTGATAAATGTGTAAGCCGTTCCTGTCTTGTCACTGCGTGCGGTACGCCCAATCCGATGAACGTAATCTTCTGTCTGGTTAGGATAGTCATAGTTGACCACGAATTTGATATCGGTAACATCTAAACACCATGGTCAATACGTTACAGCAAATCTGCGGTTGTAAGTATGGACAACAAAATGCAATCGAAAGCTGAGAAAGAGTCTGCCACCCACACAACAGCACAAAAGCCAAACAGACCCTGCACCGCAAACGATGGCAAAAAAGTATCTGACGTCCCACAAGTAGCTGCTGGCATTTGTCCAAATACCCGGGCTCCTTACCTCCATTTGGCACCAGCAGAACAATGGGAACGTCATCCACTCATTAAGCTCAACTTTACTTAGAAGCGTAACCGAAACCTCCACCAACATGGAGGATGTTGTCGTGGATGGTCAAATATCGATAACACGTTTTGCCTATTACAACATCGTCCACAGTTGTCCCAATCGCACAATGGATCCCAATTTAAACGTCCGTATTTCGACGATCACCTCTCCGTTCCCATATACTGGTCAAGACTCGAATCTTTTCACAAGCTCCACCAACCGCAAGCAATACTGTGGGTGAGGATGCGGCTGATGTTAGGAGCCCAACACAGAAAGATCAAGTCTCCGATACGGGGGAACTGCCAAGAGGAGCGCGCGGACATCAAATCGGGCCCGATTCGGTACGCGACCAAATACTGGGCGATGGCTGTGGCAGATGGGAAAAACTTACCAAGTCCTCGAGCTGCTACGTCGGTAGCAATTAAGATGGGGCTACGCCCGGTGCGGAATTCTGTAAATCAAGAAAATTTTAAATAGCAATACATCGACAGACAGCAGCGTCACAGCATCTTGACTATTTCTCACCTCCAAGAACCCATTCGCGTTCTTGCTGCTTCTTATCACCATGAATCACAACACAAGGAAATCCTTTTTGCCGGAGATGGCGAGTGAGATCATCGGCTCTCTTCTTAGTTTCCGTGAAAATGATAGTCTAAGACGGAAGAATCTGCTTATTATAGTTGTTTTAAGAATAGAAACACTGTTTACCTTGTGCTCTCGTTCCCGAATGATTTCATGCATCAGTTGTTCCAGTTTGCTTTCCTTGTCATGTTCACGCACGACCGCTACAATCTGAGTGATGTTTTGGTTAGCCGACAAATTCAGAGATCCGATAGTGCAGTGAATGTAGTCTTTCAGAAACTCTTCAGCCAACGTTCTCACTTCCTTCGGCCAAGTGGCACTCCACATCAACACTTGGCGATCAGGCTATAAATTAATCAAACGATTAAGAGCTCCCCAAGACACAGCCCTTAATTAGTGACTCAAAAAGCAAGCTGACAAACGTACCCGAATTTGTTCCATGATTTTGCGAATCTGCGGCTCGAAACCCATGTCCAACATTCGGTCAGCTTCGTCCAAAACCAAGTACGTACAACGAGCCAAATTCGTCCTTCCGCTTTCCAGAAAATCCAACAAACGGCCAGGAGTGGCAATGCAAATTTCCACACCATTCTGCAGCTCGCGAGATTGCTGCATGCGCGGTGCTCCACCATAAACGCAGCAGCTGCGCACGTGCGCGTGGCGGCCGAATTGGACAGAGACTTCCTGTACCTGCTGCGCCAGCTCGCGAGTAGGACAAAGAACCAGCACCTAAACACAACACCTGTTCAACCTGTTTGCCTACCGAAAGATACCGGAATCGAAAACTTACGATGGGACCATCTCCACGACGCAGCGGTGGCTGCGCTTTCAAATGGACCAAAGCGGGCAGCAAAAACTGTATAACATTGTTATAGCGTCAGTAAGGCTGTCCATGCAAGAAGCAGCAAAGTGAAGCACCTACCGAAATAGTTTTGCCCGAGCCAGTTTGAGCGATTCCAACCATGTTATTCCCCTTAAGAGCAATGGGCCATCCGATCGACTGAATCGGCGTTGGAGCGACGTAACCGCTGTCCCGAATACTGTGCATGATGAAATCGGGAAACCCAGCCTCTTCAAATCCAAATACTGCAACGATTTAAATGTTTTTCAATAGTAGAAAGATAGGAACCAACGAATAGCAAGTGTCAGAACCTAAAAAAGCGGCACTGGCTAAAAATAAATATCAGTGACATATTCACAAACCTGGTTTCGGGCAATCCGCACCGCGAACGGTGATCTGGTTCTTCGCGTAAAATTCGGATACATCTCTCTGAAAGAAAAACTAGTACTGGCGCCAGCGATATTTCTATTATGGCGGTGAATTCTAACCATAGATCTCTGGGCCACGGTAGGAGATTCCGTATAAAAATCCTTCTGGAATGGCACCATGGTTCGCGGATCGAAAGTAGGCTTCTTAAGATTTTGACCACTGAAGTCATTCCTCCCTCCGCCTCCACTTCCACCACGATTGAATGAATCGTTTCGTCGGAAAGAACTAGTCGAATAGGAAGAATTTCCGTTTGACCAGGAATCATTGCTACCGTAGGAGTTCCCCCAACTGCAAGAGCAACTACTGAGTGATAGCGCAATAGCCTGTCAGTACTTACTATAAGAATGTATCAATGATAGTAATCACTTGGATTTCTTCGCCACAGCTGCCAAGGATACGGGTACAATTGCTCGTGTAATCCCTGCCGTTAGGTTGGATCGATAACGGGGGAAGGTGAAAAAGGATTTGGGAATCAAACTAACGACCTTTCTAAATGCTGATGCGGCCTGCATGGTTCGCAGAGGTTTGTGTGAGCGTATGCTTCTGATATAGACTACACTACTACTTGGAACTCAGAGTAAAACGAATTCCGTTAATAAAGAACTAATCAAAAACGTAAGAGTTACCAGTCTTCAAAGGTTAACAACGAAAACTTTCAGAATTAAAAAGTAGAAAGATTTACAGTTAAAATGCATTCAAACCTCCGGTCTGACAGACTAGACTCTCTGGCACTGACAGCCATCGATCGCGCACACGCATTCCCTGTAGCACGAAGGCGCACGTCTGTCAAGCACAAGTTTCCTCGAATGCTTACCAGCCTATGTTGCCTACCAAAGTAACAACCCCGAACTCGATTAATCCCTTACCCTCCTGATCCTTGTGAACGGTACGACATCGTCATTCTTTATTAAAAATGGGAAGCAAAATATCAGTTGAACAACACCACTATTTCCTTCGAAATTAGTAAGGTTGAGAGAACTCAGATCTCTATTTTAAATCCACAACCAGAAAACCTTCAACCAATCTGTGTGAGAATACAGTACGACTTTCTATGGTACGACGATGGCGTAGTATCCACAATCAGCGCGACATGCGTTTGTTGCACGTTAGCAGCAGACAATTATTTTGTGTATTGTGATTGGTCAGCGGGTTAAAACAAGCCAACCAACAACAGAACGGCATCCGAAAGCGGCTGACACTGAATTTTTTGTCCTTGGATGCGCGGGCCCCCTTACACAAGAAAACCCTAAACTATAAAAATTTTATGGAAAACATCATTGATAATACCTGTCACCGGACAATAAAGATTTTGGCGATTAATAAATTATGAGTGGTTATTTATGACGATCGTAGTAAGTACTCACCAGTCAGTGACTCACTGCCTAAGTAATCTACCTGCTGTAAGTTATGCAATCCGACAAATACGTATGATACGAAATCATTAATTACGTATTCTAATTTAGTACTGTGTAATTATTCATTGTAATCTTCATCAGTCTATGTACGAGTACATTTGTCGCATTACATTAACCATACGCATTGAATTTCTGTGTCCTTGCTTTGTTCTCATTTCTAATCTATACTGGTCGGCTGTTTGACCCATATAACTGCAACAATTAGAGTGAAGGTCATGCGGGAGCGAGGACATGCGGCCGGCACAAATCTTCTAATAAGTATTGTAAGTTAGAATTATTAGATTTATCATGTATTATTTAAAACTCTGTTAATATCATTTATCCATAAGTTAATAAATTCAAGGTAACTAGCTTACTCATTCTCCGTAGTGTCGCCTTTGCTTTCCGACGATTCCATTTTTATGCTACCCCATCCGCTTGATCCACTCTTCTGTTCGGAAGACTCGTCACCCCACGACATCTCAGAATTTGATGATTTTTTTTGTAAACAGCGAAAGCGGTTAGGCACAGGCGTATCGTTACGGTTATTATCAAAATAAAAAGCTCAAGGACTCAATAAGGCATTCGGGCTCTCTGCTGTCATCAAGCACATCGACATACAGGCGCAGTTTACAAATCCAGATATTATGACAAAACTAAAAGTCACCGAAGGACAAACGATTCGGTTTCACGCTTCCACAAAATACATAAACTGTAGTAGCGAAATCAAATAGCCAAGTTTTCCCAATTCTGAACAAGTAACGTCAGTAAACCGCCGTAATTAATATAGGCTAAAAGTTCCCTATCTCAATATTCGCTGTATACATAATATTATACAGTCAATTGCATGAATACGTAAAAAGTGCAAAGCGCAAACCAGGATTTTCACGCGTTGCAGAAACATCCGCATATCAGCTCGCTTTATGATTTTATCTACTTCAGATCGCCCAAGGAAGGTAAAAAACAAGGATGTACGGTACGTACTTACTGTACTGCACTAGCTGTGCAACTACAGTACGTGTACAGAGGTCCTTTTTAGCTTCGCGGAGCTGCCCGATCGGTCGAGATAGCCAGTGGTCAATTATAATAACTAGCGTCATCACCACAACCACATTAAAAACGTAATCACTGGTCAGTCGACTATAGTTTATCGAATGACGGCAACATTACGGAGATGGAGTTTGTTTCCCAGTTGACCCACACGTTAACTAATAATGTTTCAGATCATTTCGAATCATATCTTTGGCAGCAGAGTAGTAGTAAGTAACTACGTAACTTGTAAGTCATAAAATCATAAAAATGTCCTACTCGGTAGTCATAGACTCATAGGTAAATTTTTGATGTACAAATTGTTGATAAATCATCGTGTAGCGCTGCGGTTGATTACTGTACTAACCATAAATGAAATAAGTATAATATCTATATAAAATAAAGGATTTCGTGAAACGCCCATGCTCCAACGGTTAGTGAATCGAATTGCGTAAAGAATAGCAGAAAATACTTTCGTACTTCATGCGCCTTTCTAATTTTAAAGCCATTGCGCGCTATTGTTCATGAATCGTCCTCTGCACCCTGGCTGTCGTAAATACTCGTATTAAGTTTTCATTTCCAAACGCGCGGGAAGAGCTCCAGATCGGGAATGCATGAATGTGTCGATCGAAGCGCACTTGACAGAATAGATGGTGTTTGTGGCCATTTGATTCATGACCCGGTATTTGTGTGAATTTGGTCAGTGGTCTCCAGCTGACCAGGAGAGGCTGGAGAGCTCGGCTAACGTGGTTGTTGCCATGTGTACTTGTTTGTACAGTCATGTGATAGCGTCATTGTCATTCTCATTCGTACACGTCTGCTAATAAAACAGCAGAGAAGCAATAAAGGGTGTAACATTTTCCCGCCCGCTGGTTATCGAAACGCTGCACGGGACCAAGGGCCCGGAAGCGCCTCTGATGTGACAGCAGAGTTTGGGAAGAAGATGCCGCATAACATCTTTCAGAAGCGAACCACGAAATATTTCCGACAGCGAATCAATCCAGTATTTGGGACCACTGTGAATGTGGACATTATAAACGCAGCATCCGTCTAGATCTTGGGGACAGAATGCCGGCATGCAGCGAATTTTTAAGAGATTTTTTCTGGCATTCGGCCGCTCAAGATTGCTGCTGCTGGGTGGTTAAAACTTAAAGGATGATGATGTGCTCTGACGCATTGATAGATTCTCTGAGAATCCTGTGGGATAGAGCAAAAGAATTAAAATATTGCTCATAATAATGTGTGATAAATGTAGCTGTGAAGCATAAAATAAAATATCAAAAATAATAATGGAGTAGTATAAATTATACATATATAATTAGTAGTCACTAATTTACTGCATTTATATAATACTACTGTACTCGTATAATTACTGTACTTATTAATTTTATATCTATACGATTAGGTATATTATTATTATTATTATTATTATTATTTATTTTATTTAGGTACTGTACTTATTTATTTTATTTTTATTTTTTTACTCGTATAATTACTGTACTTATTAATTTTATATCTATACGATTAGGTATATTATTATTATTATTATTATTATTATTATTATTATTTATTTTATTTAGGTACTGTACATAAATATTATATCTGACTTTTGCTGTAAGCGCCTCCCTCAGAAAGGAAGCCATTTACGCCGAGGTCCTTCAGAGTTCTGATTTTTGCTTGCACGTTGCGCAATCTCCTGATGCTCCCGTGCTCTTGATGCTTAAATTACGTACTTTTTTTCCATATTATTTTGTAGAAGCTACTGTATGTATAATGTAGTTACTGGAAACACATTCTTCTAACTATGAACTTTTAAGTCCCTTTTTTTAGTGTTTGCTGTTGTTTCAGATCTATAACGTTTTGTTTCAATTTGATCGATTACTGTCATTATGTCACCGCTTCCCGACTGCTGAATTAGTGGCTACGAAAGTGACGAATTTTGTTACTTTGTAATTTATTTTTAAGCAAATATTATTAGCTCCTAGTCCCTAGTGTTCTGATCATCAGTTTTGACCGATACAAAGAGGATGTTTTCAAAACGTATGGGACAATTTGACCGTAGCTCCTCACGGAGACCGCCGGGAAAAATTACGCCTGGAAGGTTCGCAAAGCCTGGTTTTGGGAAACGTCACCGGCGCAAAGATGGTACGATCTCCGATTGGTGCCTTGGAAGCACGAGCCAGATTGTTTTTTTGACATTTCAGTGTCCGACTTTAAACTGATGAAATTTGTATGGTTTTTTTAGCAATAAATTGTATTACCGATACGTTTATATAATTTTGACATTCCATATGACTGATATCAGACAATGAAATTATGAAAATTACGTGATTCTTTGCAGTTTTCAGTTTGGCCTTTGAACCTTCTTTTTCCGGAATTAATAATTTATTGTAAGCAGGTGTAACTAATCAGCGGGATCGAAATCGGGCAGCCCATTGGGATGGCGGGAAGGATTACGCGCAGAAGGATTACGACAACGCTTATACTTCGGAGGCATTGCCTTCGCCTATCAAAACAGAAAAAAGCTCTGCGGGTAACTTACTTACATCGCATGATATTTTCGAGATTTTAAAAGAATGATAACTGGTTTCCACCAATACGTTTGCGTAGTCCTGCGGCCTGGTGTAAGTAGTGAAGTAATTGCTTTTTCTTCTTTACAATTTTTTCGGACAGTTTAAATTAGTTCAATTTTTTATCAGTTTTGCTGTAACCTGATTTACGAGTTTGATATTTACCAGGATTCAACAATGATTCGTTCCAAACGAAACAGTTCGAAAGGAAGCCTTCCAAAATGGGGCGAATAATTGTACGGAATTTGCACTTTTCGGTAAGCAAAAGATACTTGTCGCTTGATTCTCGTAATGTTTAACTTTACATAATCACCACTTCCTTGCGTTATGTCTACTGTTTTGTCACATTGCATTCCGCTGATTCCAGGCTACGGAGGACGATTTGCGTAATCTGATGGGGAAGTGTGGCAAGATTACGGAAGTGAAGATCCCCACAAAAGATGGTACTAAACGTGTAAAAAATACAAATGGATAAGTATTTCACCTGTCAGTTTAGCTGTCTGCTTTTGTTAACTTCAAGAAACTCTAGTTAAAACATGCACAATAAATGCAAATGGGCAAGTCTTCCTTTACAGACGGAAAAGCACGAGGATTTGCGTTTGTCCAGTTTCAGTCCATAAATTCTGCTGAAACTGCCATTCGGATGTTTAACTCATTCAAATTAAAAGGTATTTCACTGCAACTCTGTGTTGTTATGTAGTTGTAAAAGCACTTAAAACATTACAGTAAAAATGTCGCAGCTACTGATGTTGTTGTTTTTTTCGTTTGTTTATACATAGTTGTTTTGAATCTCATTAAATTTTATAATGCTCTGGTAGTATTGATTTTGAAAATCGATTCTGTAATTTTTCTGTTTGTGCAGTGTACAACATCGTTTCGTGGCGGAGTGTGATGTTATTGTGTAATAAGGTATCTTGAATTATTTGCAATATTATTAGATCGGCCTATTGCCGTGGACTGGGCCGTAGCAAAGTCCTGGTTCGATAAAGCAAAAAGTGAGCAACAAGCTAATGGTGAGTTCCATACTGACTTCCCCATTTTCCCGTCGTTGCCTGTAGCTACAAGGGATATACCGTACATACACCGTTGCTGCTGGAATTGCATTCCTGCAGGTTACTGGAAAGCTTATTTAGTTCGTAGCTGTCTGCTGTTTTAGTTATTTTTGTAGATTTCGAGGGGGTTCGACGTGTACTGGCTTTTGTTAATGAGATTGCGAAATGTATAACGTTTTGTAATTTTTTGAATTCATAGAGTTCGTACAGATGTCAGTTGTCGAAGAAGATGGAAATGGTGAAATGACTGATGAGAAGAGTGATCTGATTGACGAAAAAGAGTCTGATCAATCGGAACACAGCGATGCGGAAACGAGTGGTTCAGAGAAGAGCTCATCCGACGATGAATCTAGCGACAAAAGTACGAAAAAATCACTTGTACCAAGATTAGACCGATTCGAATGAATGCCCTTGATTTAATTTTCAGACATACATGACAAGAAGAAAAAGAAACCCCGAAAACCGAAGAAGCCAAGCGACGTCGACGAAGGCCGGACTGTTTTTGTTCGGTATGTTCTTTCTTCAAGTTTTGTACTGAATTGTGTGCTTCGATAATACATTGTGTTTTGTCTCAGAAATCTTCCGTTTGATCTTACGGACAATGGCTTACGAGATGTGTTTAAGCATTTTGGTCGAGTGCAGTTAGCCTTGCACTGCGTTCATAAAGATTCTGGATATCCCAGAGGAAGTGGATTTGTGCAGTTTTATAAGAAAGAGCATGCTGATTTATGTTTATCGGAAGCAAATGCCGGAGACGGTGTCTTGGCGGGCGACAGGAAACTGGAAATTTGCTTGGCTGAAACGCCAAAAGCAAGACGCAAAGCGGAGAGACTGCGCAGCGAAAAACCCAAAAAAGATAATCGAAATCTTTATTTGTTAAAACTCGGAAGTAAGTTTGCTGAATTTGCTCTGTAATTGTTTTTACTTTTTTCAAGCTGGTTGATGTGCGATTGCAGAGTTGGACGATGAAAGCGAAGAATCGCAACCGATGTCGCAGAACGATGCCAGGAAACGATCAGCGGTACGGATCTATGTTTATAGTTGCTGATAGCCTGACAATATTGCACGTGTATTCTGCTTTTAAATTAGTTAGCGCACGGGGTTTTTAATTTTGTAAAATTTTGTTGACAGCTGGACAATAAGAAGCAGGATACTCTAAAAAATTTAAATATGTTTGTCTCTCCAACGCGACTTTCCGTACACAACATACCCAAAAACGTGAGCGACAAGCAGCTAAAACGCCTCTTCACAAAAGCCGCCAATCTTCCTTTCCGATCGATTAAAAAAGTAGCTGATGCACCTAATTTAGCCAGTTATCATACAAAAAAGAAAAATGGGTGTGGAATATTTCTGTAGTGCCGTATAATGCGTGACATGCAGAATCTCGACGGAGAAGGGAATGGAAAATCACGAGGATTTGGCTTTGTGGAATTCGGAGCGCCTGAAGATGCGTTGAAAGCTCTGCAGGCTGTCAATAATAATCCCGATATATTTTCAAATGAAAAGGTATGTATAAATTTCACAGAAATTACTCAGCTTGAAAAATAGGAAATGAAATGGAAGAAACCAGAAATTTCTATTTCCATGTCTTTAGAGACCCATCGTGGAATTTTCCATTGAAAATAAAGCTGCTCTGCTCAAGCAAGAAAAGCGCTTGGAACGTAGTAAGGTAAGGAGTTTGTGAGAAGTTTTTTGGAAGGAGAACAACTTAGTTTTGACTCGGTGTTGGTGAACAGTTGTAAAACTAGACTACTTTTCAAATCATGATTTTGTGTCGTTGTGTGTCTAATGCAGGCTTTTTTGCAGGCAAAATTGCAGTTACTGCAAAATAGTGAACAGGATTCAGCTCGAAATCCTTCGCAAAAAAGCCGTGATTCAGTTAAAAAGCCCAAGTCTCTCAGTCAGCGATTATCTCAAGGAGCGAGGCATGATATGACTCGAAATATTCTGGTTTCACATCAGGAGAAAACACAGAAAAAACTGGTATTAGTAAAACCGGCAGTGCCGAAGCCAGAAAAGTTAGCCAATGAGAGGGTTCCAAATGAGCCAAAGAAGGTGAGATAATAAGTTGTGTGTATTTAAATGAAGATTCGGAGTAAATATTTTGCGACTGTTAGGTGAAACGAAAACGAAAAGCCATGGACTCGGAAGACAACACCGATGATTTTAGCAGGATAGTGGAAAGATACAAAAATAAATTGATGGAATCAGCAGAGAGGGGAGGAAAGAAACGCGCTCGTTGGTTTAATGAATAGTACGACCGAAATAAGACAACAAGCGGCGCGCTTTTGGTTTTTTGGATAGTTGTTTTGGCTGTTGTCGCATCGTTGTTGGATAAACCTGTGAATTAATAGTTCTTACCGTAAGCCTCGGACTGAAGAGTTATCGTGCATTTTGGGATACTACAGTTTGCTAAACAATTCGTGTATTTTACTGTGGGTCTGTGATAAATCTGCAAAAGGCGAACAGTAATATGAGTACTACCGTAAAATCGTAAACTACAAAGTATTCGTACTATCATCCTGAAGTCCACCGTTATTTTAAGTCCACCGTTATTTTTCAGCATAAAAGTTGCGAATTCATATAACAGGATAAGAAAAACGTAAAACTAAAATCCTAAGGGTTTATTACCAGCCAGTTAATTTCTACCGATGTAGCTAATATGGAATAGTGGAATAGTATCTGTGGGAAAGTAGAAGTCTCTGTATTGCCCAGTTAAAGTGACCCTAGAATTTTATAATCTTCGCTGAAAGTGACACCGTGCATTAACCAATATAGATATGAAAATTTTTTTAAACACAGTTATTTCTGAAGATTGAAACTTCCGAAAGGTTTTGTCTAGCGGCACCTTGTTAATATCGTCGGGTTAATAAATATCTTTCCACAGTCCCAATAGAAGTACGAGTACTGAACATCAGAGTACCTAAACACTTATACTTTGCATTTAAATGCTATAAACAATTATTTATATGGTCAGTTTGAACTGTCAGCCGCCATAGAACGCTTATGGTCAGAATTCATTATACTTGTAGATTACACTGATTGCTACATTAAGACTGATTGTGGCTACTGTATGTACTTGTACAGATATGTACGTATGCATATACAGCAGACTTATTTTTTTTGGGAATTAGTGTTACGCTGTTAACAGGCACCGTAGTACTGTATAAATCAGTTAACATAAGTCATAATATTACTAAACTAGTAATATTAGTTTAGTAATATTATGCATAAGTACATTTTAGTGCATATATATCTTTGTACTTTGAAGTACAGTTAGTTTACGATTAGTGTTACCATACTCGTTACTCGTAGGCATTAACAGCGTCTACCTGGCGTAGTGGTCTAGTTGTTATGGTCTACATCTGGAGATGATTGCTTACATCCTGCCCGAGCTTTTTTCACACTTTTATAGTTTTACTGTTTTACAACAATATCTGCAACTTGTCCATTTTATCAGTTGTTGGTATCACGAATTTTTCAGCTTCTTTTTTGACGATGTCGTCTTATGGATAGTTTTTTATCAGCTGACACGAATGCCGCTTTCTTTATTCAGGTGTGGTTAATTATGTAGTTGATTTGGAAGGCACGAAGCGAGGCACTGCAATAGTAATACGCCTCGATTTTTACTAAAGTTTTCGACTGCACGGAGAGGTTGTGGTCTGCACTCTGAATCCAGTGCTGCCAGCTTGAATAATCTTTTCTAAAAATTTTTTTAATGGGTCATGGATTTTAATAAAATGCGTCGGACATCTCTGGGTTCACTGCAAACAGCCCGTCTCCTGGATGATTTTGGCGAAGGTGACAGTGTTGATTCTGATGCAAAAAGAAGTGCGTCCCTGGCTAAAGAGCGACAAAAGCAAAAAGCCACTGCTCGACAAGTTCCCGTTGTTCCACCAGTTCTGTCGTTTCCTGCAGATGGCAACAGATCTGCTCTTGTGGAGATTGCGGATGACGATGCTTTCTTGTCGTCGAAAGAGTAAGTAAGGAAAATAATTCTAACACAACTGACTTTCTTGGAATCATCGATGATTTCTTCGCACATTGACTTTTGAGCTTTTATTGCTAGAGATACCACGTTTGCAGGTTTTTCATATAATATTAATAATATTGATAATAATAACTAATTTGCAGTTTATGTGCTAAAATGTCATTTAGTGGCTCCGGAGATGGCACAGGGGATTTTTCGGATAAAAATCAGAAACCCATCCTCTTGGCCAGAGAGCAGACGGAAAGTGTCCTGAAGGAACAACTGCGATTATTGCAAGAAGAACTGAAACTGAAGGACAGCGAGTGCGCCAAAATGCAAGCGTATCGGGACCGTGTCAGTGCGGAACTGGAAGATTTAACAGCAACATTGTTCGAGGCACGATTAGCAAATTTACCAGTGAATCCTTCCCTTTTTTCTTGTAGTTTAGACTGCTTTTTAGGAATCTGTTTTTTTATTTGCGTGTTTCAGGAGGCAAATAAGATGGTCAGAGACGAAAAAGTTCGGAGACATCAAGCGGAGAAGTTGTACAAGGAGACGTATATGAAAGTAAGCAGGTAATTATTGTGGTTGTGCGAGGAGCGATATATATGATTTCATCAGGCATTCAGTGGTAATGCATTCTACAGTAGTTGCATAGATGGCTACGCTTTAATATTTTACCGCTGAGGTGTTTTAAAAATATATTTAGACTGATTGCGAGCGCAGAGTTGACTTTTCTTCGATTTTATGAACCTTTTGCTAACTAAAAGCTTCACTTTTGAGCAGCTTGAAGCATTGGACACGGAAATGGCCTGGCGTCGCGAACAAATGGCCACCATTCCTGAGAAAACATCATCGCTCCCGACACGTTCCGCCAGTTTGCACACACTCAACACAAACTCTTCTGCAAACGATGCGTTGACATTGTCGGGTGTAATTGACTGGTTTCGCGGAGCCAAACCATTAGCGAATGGCGCACAAAGTCAGATGCCTTCGGTAACCGTGGACGCGATTGCTGATGAAAATGCTGTGATCCGAAAAGAAGTATGTGTTCGAATTAGATGTGGATGTAAAACCATGACAGCATTAAATTAATCTTGTCCGCAGATTGATCCCGTTGTACATGCCGAATTTGTGTCGTGGCGGCAGAAACCATCTCTCAGCCGAGAACATCCTTTGATTAATCGCATTTACAACCAGGATATTGAGCCAAATTTCGAATTTACGAATCTGGAAGTAAGTTGGTTTTTTTTATTTTTGTTACGACTGTGAAACAGAGTTTTATGTAGTTGGCGAAGCGGGCGCTGAAAGCAGTGGAACAGAACACCATCTTCATCGAGGAAAGCTGTAAATACAAGCCATTTGCAAAGTAATGGTAATTTTGGTTTAGCCGAATATGGAAACTGTTTTGGGGTAAGTAATATGAATTATTATTATTTCTTGTCTATTACGTTTGTTTAGAGTATGCTCGCTGTCTTTATCTCCGCGGTCCTGTGTGTATCGGATGCGGCTAGGAGACGATAATACCTGGTACGCAATTTCGGCATTTGCGAGAAATCGGGTAAGCACCCATTCCAGTTGGAGACACAAGGCATTGGTTGAGTCATGGCTTTTTGCATGTTATGCAGATTATTTCGGTATGCGACTTTTTCACGTTCATTCGCTATATTCAACTTGGTCTGGTGCGACGAGGTCAGTAGCATCCGTCTGCGGTTAACCATGGCAGCTTTCTGTGTCAGCTTTTCCGCTTCGTGGTACAGTATTGATGTGTTATGAGATATCACTATCGATACACAGTCGATTTGAGTGTTAAAGCAAAAACGGCGGGTTCGAACCTGTAAATGACAAAAAAACACTAGGGTTTGGCATGACAGCGCAATATTAAATTAGTCATAATTAGCCCGCTTTGTGTTCAGAACGTTGTGCAAATGTGGATATCCAATTTACCCCATCAATTCATGTTTGCACTTGCAGGAGTTCATGATACGTGGTGGGAAATTGTTTCTCATCGTGAACGCATGTCCAAAGCACGGCTTGGGGTGTTATAATTGCTTGGACATCACCCACATTACTAATGCAGAAATATGGTTTGCTGTACGTGATGTACGAATAACCGGTGCAAGTGTTCGCCAAAGACAGTCTTGTATTATTCTTGTAGTGTGACCTTTGTCATTCCGGTGTTTGATGTTGTCCTGTTTTTAAGCAAAGTTTTATTAAGTACTGTGTTCATGCCCTTCGCAAAAACAATAGCAACAAGAGGAAATTTGCAGCGCAACGGCAGCCAACCAAATTGGTCCACGAATACTCTGCGAAGGTTGCAGCTTTGGCAGACAGAGGGAAACAAAAATAAAACCGTTTTGAGAAAAATAACAACCTCGCACTCCTGACCAGGACGAAACAACCAATAAAACTAAAAACAAATCGACGAAACCAAGAACTGACAGACAGAAAAGTGCGACTGGCCAAACTGACAGCGAGCTGCAGGTTATGCTTCCGTTTTGGTCGATGTGTTAAGGCTAATTCGTGCTAAGGCGGAGGACGGAGAGAGATCACGCTGGTCGTCACAACATTTGAACCTGTTTCCTGCTGCTAAATCTATATTTAACCGAGGAGTCTGTGTAGCAGCGGAACCTAACAACCGCTGACGTTTACAGGATTGATCCGATATGCCATTGCCCACCGCCGAATGCTTCTTAGAGGAGTCATGAAGAAGTTCTTTTTTCAATGAGCTGCTAAGGTCAGAGCCGGGATGCTGCTTCTTCAGAGTTCGGTCAAACTCCAGCAACTGACCAAGGAAATTAAAGTTGGGTGAGATCGAGGGGCGCTTTTCTTTAACATACCTATAACATGCCGAATATTAAAAAAAAAGCACTCGTACGGTCGCAACCAGTCACATCCGTAAAAATCCCAAATCATAACTGCAAGTTTGCTACTCAAGCAGCGACAAACACACCTGTATGCTTCGTCATATGTCATCTTCTGTGAGTACATAACATATGCGATGGCTAATGTCGGAGATCGGGAAACACCTGCCATGCAGTGGACTAACACTCGCCCATTGGAATTCTTCACTCTATCTGCAATGAAATACGATGGTCAGTCTGTGGTCTGGTGGATGACTCACTCAGACGGCAGATGGCCGGCCACACAGTGGCACACACCACTCCTTTTCCGCATGGGACGAAACTTCAAACAATAATTATCACATTTCATAAGTTTCAGCTAACGTGCACGTCTAAACCTTCAACAATCCTTTGTTAAATGAACACCATAGAACAGCTAATATTATTAATAAATAATAACTGATGATACTGACGATCAATTTATCGCAAGGGGACGAAAATACGTATCTTACGACTGTACTTTGCTTTAACAAAGCGTGTTTCTTTAGGTATAACCAAGGTGGATAAGGGATAAACCATCCACCTTGGTATAACGTAGACGAATGAAACCAATTACGAAGCTCACGAGCAGTCATAAACACAAAGCTCACCTAGAAATTCGAATGCTTGGACGAAGTAACCTAGGAGTTTCTCGGAGAAGGTGTCGTTTACCGGTATCCTCATAAAATTGGATTCCTTGATAAAATCGGCTTTCCCGCAAGTCATACTCACATTCAGGACATAGGTGATTTCTTTGGACTACGAGAAACATGAAATCACTTTCCAGTCAGCGGTGAGACACAAACTATCTTGATATCCGAATAACCGGAACAGCTCGGTCATAAACGTTTCCTTATCAGCCGATAACTCACTGTTATAACATCGCGAGATAATGCATCTCGTTCAGATCCTAGGAATAAATATGGAAATATCTTTGTCGGTCCATCCTCAGATAAAAGCGCCATTGAGGGCTGAGAGATCGATGGGACGGGCTCGGGCATCTCTTTTCTACAGAGGCTGGGATGCAGAGAACTGAAACTGGTATAGCCACCTGCAACAACCATCATAATTTTAAATACAACAATATTTATAATAGTTTACTAACGTAAAGTATTTTTTTAGTAATGAAACAGTTCATTTCTATGCCCTCGGATTTCGGAAATATTTTGACACTCGTAATTAGGCACAGAGACAAAAGATGATAATCAGTACTTATGGAATCAGTAATAAGATATGAACTGTTACCCCACCAGAAATTCTATTTAGTGAACGTTAAAACACCGGCGGCTGTTACTCTACGGATCATTCATTCACCTCGCAGCACTGACACAGCACGGAATACTTTATCGAGCTTTTGCACGACGTGAGCGAGGAAATTATCCCGCATCAACTCTTCCACATCCGCACTCGCCGCATCATACACGATGACCTGGTCAATGCGTGACTCAAGCCCATCTGGTAGCCGCAAATATTCACATATCGGAATCTATTAAATCACACTGTGTACATCAATGAGTCACTGGTCATTTCGTCAGCCGTAACAATGCAACTTCAAAATGAAGTCATCCTTATTCGAATACGTGATATCATTCATACCACTGACCACGAAAAACGACCTCTTTGCGTCCATTTGCATTGAATCGACAGTTACGTAAGAATGATATCATGCCCTGGTTAATGGATTCGTCCTGCCTACAGGTTTTTTGGACATGGTGATATCTCAATTACCTTATTCTGTTCCAGTCGCCGACGCATTAATAAGGCATTTGGTAGATGATGCGCATTTCTGATATGGGCTATTTTGTGATCCAAAAGATTGCGCCCGTCCACGATGATAATCTGAAGAAAAAGTCGATCATCAGCTGACTACGCTATGAGATGAACGATTTAATTTTCATCTAACTGTAAAACTTAATGCTGTGTTCGAAACAATAATTATACATATAGTTAGGTATACATACGAGTATTGTATGGTTATAGTCTGTACAAGTAATAATACACATATAACATATGGCCGAGTTATTCACAATCTAAATTTAGCGACACTAAAATTTAAATTTTAACTGCTACCAGCAGTTACCGGTCAGCCTACCGAAGGCCAATATTGTAAAAAACATTAAAAACAATAATCAATTTCGCTAAAAAATATTATATTCAGAGATAGTACAGGATAAAACGTAAACAGTAAACCTGTCTTACACTGTCAGAATACTTGGCGTCCTCCAACAAGCGAGCCAGATGATTTGGCGCAATGGCTACGACACGGGATGGTAGAGATACAGCTTCCATAGTGTCCAGTTCCAAAACTCAAATTTCTGTTGTCCCTTCACTTGTGAACGGATAGCCGATAGTATCTCAAAATTAGAGATTAATGGTACAAGGAAGTTCCAATACTTTAGTAAGTTTCCATCCAACAATTGCCGTACACTCGAATCATCTACTGAATAACACAGGCTGAGCCATCATAATCATCAGTACGCAGGTCCCATTACGAACATGATGGCATCTATAAGGAAACGTCGGATTTGTAACAGAGCTTTTGACAATTAACACATCTAACGACTATCATATAAAACGTTCTAATCATTTCAGACATTTACTTGCTTGAAATTACTCGAAATTATTACGTACCCTCGTCGTTCTGTTCCAAACCTTTCAGCGTCTATCGACTACGTAGCCTGTTGTATGGCCTATCACTATGATATCATCGCAACGTTTAAGCGAAGCAAACAAGTTTAAAGTTGAAGTGGCTTGAAGACTAGAAACCTATCGATCAAGTTTGCTGTCACATGGGCGTACAAACGGTGCAACTGCGCAACCCTTGTGCAGTTTCAAATAAAAGTGTGACCTCACGCCGGCCTATTCGTGGGTAAGTAACTGCCGGCGCACCAGGGCCGGTTGCGCTTACATAAGTAGCAAACTTCCGCACCCAACGAACACACGATACGATGATTTTGCTGAACCATTAATCAACTAATTAATTATTACAATAATTTATGTATTAACAGGTGTAATATTAACCATGTGACCCTCAAAAGAACGCCCCGATCCTATCCAGAAATGTGGGCGACGATCACAGGCTGGGGCTGCTATCTTCGAACCGGTTAAGACTTAAGAGTGACCTCTTTTCATGTTGCAAGTACGTAGTGTACTCGTATATTATAAAAAAGATAATACGATACTTTCTGGACCCTGGTTCTGTGATCCAGAATGTACCATACGTCCCATCAACAAAACCTGTCTATAACATAATAATGCTTTGTGGTCCAAAAAGTATTGCATGTAGGTAATCTATTCATCATCATAAGCAATTGTACAATACGATGCATCTGCCGGTGCAATAGAGGCTTTGGGCAAAAGTCATCATAGATACATAGTGACCATACCCATAAGTGCACTGTGTGTTTAACTATGCAGAATCGCCGATAAACTGTTAGAATTTTCAGATTTCATAAATCTTAATAGATTTGAGAAAAGTATCGTACTAGTATTTCCAAAAATATGACATCCATATATAGTATGTACGAGCGTTAGTTTGCAATAAAAAAAAGTCGTTCGACTTAAAGAATGCAGTTTACCTACGAATCGGAATTCTCCAAACGGCAACTTAAGGACTCAGGAAGCATGGAAGGAGATTTAGCGAACTGACGGCAGAGAAGATTCATAATATTTATAATACATGTCATAATACATGTCGTAACGTAGATATACGTATGTTGTAGCATGATCTGGCTGTACTTATTACAGGACTGCTTTGCTTAAGCTTTAACACTTACTAGAAAAATTCAATGAAACAACTGAATTCTGTTAAAATAACGATAATAAATTATCGGATAGCAAGGGAAATAAAAAGATAGATTACAGATGGATAATTAATATACAAGAACATCGATATTCTGTTAACCTTGGTTGCGGGCGAAATTATTCACAATGGTCGCAAATTCTAATGTGAAGGGACTGAAGGTGGCGTGCAGAGTGAGAAATATTCAATGCTCGCGAAACTACTGCCAGAACCAAAGCTGCCCAGCGTCCACTTCGCTCACGCTCATGAGAAATATATTGTCAGCCTGCCGGGGATAGGCACATAGGAAATCCCTCATGTGCGCTTCGCCCAATGCCATGATTTCACATTCCCCGAAACTAGCGTACCATCCGCGCACCTTATCAAATTGTATGCGTTTCTTTCGCTTACCTACTTATCACCTACTTTACTTACTACTTTACTTCGCTTACCTACTTTACTTACTTATCACCACAGCTATTTCTGTAATGCTTTAATGTTTTTCTGTACTTTCTGTGATGTCCACAAAGTTCCGTCAACACTTGATTCGAGAAGATACAACAGAAGTAGCACGAATAAAGATTTTGTAAACAATTTAACGGCTTACTGTTCTTATTATAAGCTACATATCACAAATATAAATACTGCAACAGAAAGGACCGACTCTGCATAAGAAAAAGGATTTTTTTATCCAAATACGATTAATTTACGTCCCGAAATATCGTACGAAAATAGGACAGTTTCCGTTGTGACGCCCGCAGGTCATAATGATATTACTGCAAATTCAAATAAACAGATTTTTAATACAACTTTTGCGCAGTAAAACGTACTTTACAGAAAAAGAAAACCACTACACAGAATTTAAATGTTTTAGTTAGCCGCTTGCTTTTGTTATCACAAAAACCAAAAATTGTTTATTATTATACTTTAAATACAGGAACATGGCCAACAGTAGTCTTGGGCTTGTCATCGCTTTGATTCTCCTCGATTTTCATTTTATCCATCATTTGTTCGGCATAATGGTCGGCCATTTTTCGTAGTTGTCGATCTAGCTCTATCTCCTTTCGCGTACGCGGAATTCGCCATTCCAGAAAACAGCACACAACGGTCACTAAAGTAAGTAATTAAAAGTGATGTTTCCTGTAACGACCTCAGTCACATAATAAGGCACTCATTTAAAAACAGAAGCTGCAACGAAGCGTAACATTTTTTCTATTATGTTCACGAATAAAATTATTGTACAGTGAACGTCGCAAACCACATTCGTCTTAATTTTACCAGCACTCTGTACGCAACAAGCGGCGTAAGTTCATCAATCTCACGATAGCGAAGCTACCTGAACTTAATAATCATGGGTTTATGACTAACAAAATTAACCATAAGTAACTGATTTAATGTATCCGACTGTATGAGCAGTGAGGAACAAGGAAAAGAATCAGAACTAAAATTTTATGAGATTCAAGAGGATGAAAGCGTACCGGCCGGCACAATTACATTCATATTCATTGTCACTGAATTACGTAACAATCTATAGGTGCCGTAATTGCCAAAGTAAGTGACATGTGCACGTGAGAATCGATCAAACTTTAATAAAATACATCACAGGAACGTGCCACTTTTACGGATAAAGTATTGTATTACTGTGACTACGTAATGCCATCATTTCATACTATACAGGCTCAGTGCATTATGAAGTATTATCTTAAAACAGCCAATAATTTTCACACGCAAAAATTAACACAGAATAAAAACAACTACATAGACACAAGTATTAGTTCACTACGAACAATTTCGGTTTGTTATGAATGGGTTGTGCCACCCAATTTTTGTAGTACAATTTTTGTAGTACAATTTTTGTATAATCAAATGTACCGTACCAAACATTTTACGGTACTTAAATATCGGACGAATGGAAGCACTAAAAACGCTGTTCCAAATTTTTTGTTAAGTCTAATTGTAAACCAGAATACCGAAGCAGCGAAGCTTAAGCAACCAATAAAACGCTTCTTACTTAATTCGGATCTGAACTTATCAGCAAGAACCGGCCTGAGGAAAAGCAATTTTCACTTACAGAGTATACATATTCCAAAAATTATTATGGCTACTAAATGCCAAAGCTGAATGCCAAGAACATTGGAGTTAGTCTGCAAGCCCTGGAAATACAAAATCACATAGTTCACGACTTCGAGGCTACACGTTTTGTTTTGCTAGTCAAATCATTGGCAAGAAAAGATTTTCAAATTAATTTTAACTTCCTGTGGAATGTTCCGCTTTGTGTATCAACAGCTGCGGTCATTATCGTGAAATTTAAGCCTACAGTATATAGTTACTGTACCTGAAATTCCTCAGACAATGTTGACGGTTTGGGCTGCGACATTTTTATACGTAATAGAAATAGGTATCAAGATGCTGAGTTTACTGTAACGGCAAATGGCAATGCATTCAAGACAGCCAAATTGTATTTAAAAACCCAAATACTTCATTACGAACAAAACTGCATCATTACAAAGCAGCAAGAAATAATTGTTGTACATCTTGGGCGTCACTTACTGTAAATACCCCATATACAGTAGATTCATTATTTGTCTAGCTTTGTTTGCTCGTTAAGAAATCCACACGCAACAGAATGTTTGTTTGAATCGAATCATTTTACACGGGACCGGTAGCAGGCAGCTGCCCCAGCAATCGATTAGACATATTACGTATGTTAACGCTACTGCTTCGGTGACCTTTTTATTGCACAGTCAAACTGAATGACTGCAACATCATGTAATTTTTAAGCTGCCATCCCGGTCAATACTCGCAGACCCGCATTCGGCGCATTGCATTGGAAAGGAGGGGGGGCGGCGATTTAAAGTATGATGCTCCCTTCTGTTCCTCCAAGTTTTTGGCCGCCACGCAGGCGGTTTTTGGGCTCCGCGCCGCCTCCAGGAGGCCTTCCGCTCTCCCCTTCCAAAAAACGCTAGTTTTGCAGTGCACTCTAATAAGCGCACGAAATCCAAAAGTTATTATGCAAAAGTACGTAGCGTTGCCGTGCCGGCATTCGCTTGCATCTTTTGTTCCTGGTTATTGCTTATTCAGCAGTGAAAGGTTTTATTATCATGTAGTACATGTATTAAACACTGACATTGTGGTTTCTGATCAGGAACAATGTCAGTACGAGACTGTTTCAATATGTAGCACTCACATAGACAAACATATTTGCAGATCTACTGGTGCCGTTCTTCTTACGTTTCATAACTCAAAACGTTGACAAATTCTTTCGACGTGAAGAAATGCAAAGTTTCTGACTGGAACTTCCATTTATACGGGAAATGAGAAACTCTTCATCCTTCCAACAATCGGACGACAATACTGCGCCGCTAACACCATCTAAAATTTAAGAGAATAATATATTATATGGTATTATGTGCATCTTTATACGATATGTATGTAATTATTTATTTCATTTCAAAAATATGCATGCATAGGCTCAGGGGCTACTCTGTATGTAGAACAACTCCCATGAGCTCGCGACATCGGTAAAAATTTCTGCTGCAAAGATCATTAAATCACAAATGCATCAATTTAGCGGCATTACGGCCACTTTGCTGTCACAGATTTCACAATCATATGACTTATATGCCATTTTTTAGGCTGGTCCGCTTAAGTAGATAAAGGAGTTTTTATACGTAATGATTATACACAAGCATCCTCACGATAATCACGTACACACCGACACGGTAGCTGGCTCTCATTTAAAACTTTTAAACGAGAGCCAGCTACCGTGTCTTTACCAATTAATGACCCAGCGTTAATATATTTTATATTTTCATAAGGGGTTCTGAAGCAGTTTCTATTTCGAGGGGAAAAACAGGAAATTTTAAACGGGGAAGGGGGACATTGCAAAAACGACTCTCTGGTGGGTTTTCATTTCGAGGTGGGCTTCCAAAGCGGGGAGGGTCATTGATTGATAAAATAGGAAGCTAGGATATCTGAAGCTCTCTGTGCATCTCGGGTAAAAATGTTTCGCAATGCTCTCTTTTCCATGTTTATTAATCAAGTGCAATCTCGACTGTAAAATTGCTGCCTATGGAGGCATGACCCGTGGACAAACAATGTCAAACGTAATTAAAAAATCTCTATACTGGGCTCCCATGCAAAAACGTGGTTGTCCAATGTCTGGAGAAGGTACAACAGTACTAACAATAACTATCTGAGACTAATGTCCGACGATAGCAGTCTTTCCAAACCAAACGCGCATAACTGTGTTACGGTCTCCACAGTCGCTTCTCAAATCAGCAGTGTTACTACAAGTTGTACGTATCTTACAGTGCTTTACAATCAGGGCCTCATCAGAGATCACTTGATCGTATCAAAAGCGGTGAATTATTAGTGAACTTTTAATGGAATTAAGTACTCAATTTTTTCATATTCATCAACAAAGTTTTGGAGCATACCAGAAAGTCGCCATTTGTGAACTTTGAACCGGTCAAAATCTTGTTCGTATTCAGGATCTTCTGACATGGAGAACATAATGCGTAAGGTATGGTTTCTACAAAATAAAGCACCAAGAATGCATTAAGAGCAAAATTCTGGCGAAAATGGGATAGCAGAGACACTATAGTAACAAACAAAACAACGCCACAATAATATTGTTGTGATGTGCAAAATCAGTTTTTTATATCATCAAAAAATAATTATTTTTTACATGTCGCAGAAATCACAACACTTTGGTCGCTCTCTGTCGACGCAGCCATTAAAAAAAGCACTGGCTTCGAGTAATGCAGGAAGTTCAGTCAAAAATTCTGTCATTTTTCCTTGCATTTTAACCAGAGCTCGTACCATACAGTCATACCCATTGCGTGATGAGAACTGCACGGCCTCGGCGAGATGACTCAAGATCATCGCCATAGATGCCTGCTTCGAATAATCCTGTCGACAACAAAAAAGACCTATTCATTCTGCAATACCTGCTAGTAAACAATTAACCGAACAAGATTACATTCCTCAGTAATGATTTACCATGAAATTCCCAGTCATCACGTCCTGACAGAAGGCGGGAAGGTTTTCGATGAAAATGATAATCGGTGTTGGGCTGTCGCTGTTGGATTCCCATGCGATGACACGTAGCAAATCTCGTGCCGATTTTCCATACAAAAACTTGATTCTTCGTAAAGAAGTGATATCCGTGACCGGTATGTTCGTGAACTCCAAAGGGAAATCGGGCTTTCGTTCTTCTCGAATCTGGATGGGATACGCATAACTGGTTTGTGCCTCGATCAGTTTTGGCCGGCAAACGCATTTACCAAACAGCAAAGCGCAGACTATGAGCTGAGCATGGTGTAAGAATTTATTGTTTTTTCTATTCAAAAAGAAAAAATTCTTGTATTAAAAGCCGCGTTCTTGGTCAAATTGGGGTAAATTGACCAATCTCAATTTGTCTTCGCGATTAACCGCAGAATTCACAATTTCCGTCGTCTGACTTCACTAATGTAAAAGATCACAAATTTAAATTACTCACCACAATTCCTCGACCAGCAAATTCTCCGGCGCTGACGCAACCGCGAAATCCAAGAGCTGTACAAATCTCCAGGCTAGATTTGTCCTTGCAGCAGATTCCAATGAGAGAATGATGCCCATCCGAATAAAAGTCCTGTAGCAACTCGCTATCCGGATAATCCGACTGGTCAATCCAACGCTGCCAATAGCGTGGCATAAACAAAGCGGGCAGGAGCCAGTCTGTTATCGCCAAACGCTCCCACGGTACATCCATTTGACGATAGGGCTACAACTGTCAAATTCGATAAAGAGTAACGTGCGTACTACTGGATAAGGCTGACATCGTACTCAAAAACCAAGTGGATACGACGCTCAGAGAAAAAATACAAAACTGAAAGAACACACGTAGTCGAAGAGGGCGACAACAATTGAACATCTAGAGGTGCAACTGCAGTAACTGTAAGTCTACCAACAAAACAAGACATTTACGGTGATTTACCACTAAATATTTTACTTAGGTCTCTGTCCACGTACCGATGGAAACCTGGAATTTTGAGAACTTATGTACAAAGTAAAATCTCAACAGTTATTAAGCGAGATAACAATAACTGATATGTATAGTCAGTATAGATACAATAACATATAAAGAAATTAGTCTATTTTTTCATGGTCGAAATGTTACAAGAGCAAACCACACATGAAAACAATGCCCGTCCGTAAACAAAGGTGCCCTCCTGGGACGGCAGCGTGGCGTCACCGTCCTGAGCGTGGAGCGAGTGGCACTTCGTATTTTGTTTTTTGTTGTCGTTCTTAGACGTTCTACAGTATTTTGCAGTTTTGTGAGGTACCTATAACTTAATTGTAGTTCACTGATGGGTTGAACGCAAGTTACGCAACTGATTGTCTAGGGTAATCTTTATGGCGTACCAAATACCTCACCCCCGTAAACCTTAGAACTTTAAACTCAGAACACTAAAACGTAAAGCACTAAAACGTAAAACGTATGTAAAACACTAAAACAACAAAACGTAAAACACAAACGTAAAACGTATGTAAAACACTAAAATAACAAAACGTAAAACACAAACGTAAAACGTAAAACACTAAAACGTAAGACCGTAAAACGTAGAACTCAATACCGTAAAACTCAGAACTCAGAATCGTAAACCTCAGAACTCAGAATCATAGAACTTGAAACTGTAAACCCTGAAACATGAAATCGTGGTTTTCGTGGACTTAGACAATTTTTCACTTTTCAGAGTTCCAATTCCACAATGCCAATTCCAATAATATTCATGGAATTCTACTTTATTATTGGAGTTAGGCGGTGATTTCGGAATTGGATTGGCGTTGGTGGAACTACCGTTTATTTTTGCTTAAAATTGTCTAAGTCCACGAAAACATGTTTCAGGGTTTACACTTTACAGTTTCAAGAGTTCTGAGTTCGATTCTGAGTTCTGAGTTTTACGGTATCGTGTTTTACGTTTTACGGTTTTAGTGTTCTACGTTTTACGGTTTTAGTGTTTTACGTGTTTTTTACGTTTTAGTGTTTTACTGTTTTAGTGTTTTACATTGTTTTACGTTTTAGTGTTTTACGTTCTAGTGTTCTGAGTTTTAAGTTTTAAGGTTTACGGGGGGTGAGGTATTTGGTACGCCATAAATCTTGTTGAAAAATTGACTCAGATTAAAATTTTAACTTTTGATTTTAGCATAAGCGAACAATGGCGAACCTTGCAAATCCTTCTGCACGCGAAGCGTACTGTGAGAAATGGAAAACGCTGTTCCGCGCCATGGGACAAGAACTTCGTAATATGACCGATGTTTTGCTGAAATGGGTGAGTTCCTTGCTATATCTGTAACTCCTTGAAAACGTAAAATTAACTCATCGTCATGCATTTATTCAGATGGCGTACGATCAGGGAATCCCAGCGAACACTGGATCCAAATGGACTGAGGGTACGAAAAATTGCTAGCACGAATTGTGGAATTACCGTAGCTTTTTCGAATGTCTTTTATCCCACACTGATTATGAAAAAGTCATAGCTAACCGCTAACGCTCATGGCCTGATTACCTGATAAATTTATCTGCGATTTAGTTCCCAGAGCGTAAGATTCATTAACAAGATAATTATGTCAATGTTTTTTTTTTAATTTTCATGTTTTTGGCAGAGGAACAAGAGCTGCTGAGACAAGCACTGTTGACACATGGAGATGATATGGATAAAATTTGCGAAATACTCAGTTCGCGTTCCGAACAGGCAATCCGGGCAGCCATAAAACGGAAAATGGATCCGGAAATGTTACAGCAAATTGGTCCTATTAAGAAGCGAAAGCATGGATGCATAGTGTCGGATTCGATTCATGATTCCCCTTTGGCGTGTTATTTCTCATCTGAGAAAGACGACCAACCCGAGCACAATGTCGGCGAAAGCAACCAGACTGGATTGGAAACTTCTCAAAAGAGTTCCGATACCGCAAATGGTAGCTTTGGGCATGAATTTCGTTATTTCATAGTACAGTGGCAGTATAAATAGAGTTGACTGGGATATATTTTTGCAGTAGATTCAGCTGCTGGTCCGACTGCTCCGTTGTCCAAGGTACGTGTTTTTATTCATGATGCGCATGATTCTCTTTTCATGTTGCGAAACGTAACGGCTAGCTGCTGCAGAAATATGTAGCCCAATCCATGTTTATTTTTGTACGCCAGGATCACACTATCAAGCAGACCGCATTGACCGTCAAACAACCGGCTGCGACCGTTGGGAAGTCGCCGATTGGTCAAATCAAGCCCGGCACTTCAGCTTCCACAATCGCCCCAACTTCCCTTAAAGCGCTGCAGAGTGGTTCACTGCCGACCAGTTCTGAAGTGGAAGGCTGGGCTTACGGAGGTAGAAACCAGTGTTCTGGCGATTAGACCGGCGTTTAATTTTCGTGGGGACTAAGATATTAAAATGCGCTTTGCAGACTCGGGAGTAGAATTGACGGATTACGACTTCCTTGCCATCCTAGAGGACGATCCGGCTGTGCTGGCCGACGCTCTCGTAATAGCCGGCATTCCTACCGTAGATCTCCGAGTCCGGGCTGATGTTTTAAAAGCCGATGAAGTTCTGCGCGAAGAAAGCAGCGAAGCGCCGGATATTATTTTCTGGAACAACTTCAAAGCACCGCTGCGGGAGGTTGCGCTGGAGTTGGGAGTGTATGCTGAACGTAACGGGATGGACGACGAAGATCTGCCGAGGGAAAGCGAACAGGTGGTTGTTGATGGACCTGTACCCGAGCCGGAAGAACCGCATGACATGGTTAATGGAGTGACTGTTCAAGAACACTTGGCTAATAGTAATTACGATACCGGCCTCACTGGCAGCGAAATCGAAGAATATCTCATGGAAACGGATGCGGCGGTGGAAGCTCTGCAGAGTGCAGAATTTTTGTAAGATAGACGAGTGCGTGGTTATGACTGGCTGGCAGGTAATGTTTCCAGGAAAGACTTGTTTCTTGACGATAGTACTACTTTGTGTATCACATTGATTGTTTTTCCAGTTGTGCAGCGTATACTGGCGGGACGGCGATGGTAGAGGCGCGATAAAAATCGAATATTTAGATTTTCAGTCTAGGAAACTGCAGTATGAGTTCACACAGTTCTGTTTGTCATTGTGCCAGGAAACCAGAGCCGATATTGCCTTCATACAGTTTGAGGAAACTTCGAAAAACCTGTATTGATGTTCCCACTTGAGTCATTTTTACTATAAGACATGTACATACGAAATAGAAAACCAAGCATGCACGATAATTAAATAAAACCAGGGTGATGCTGCATTCGCAATTTTGCATGCAGCACCGCCATGTTCCAACCGAAATCCAAAAACTGACCGCCGTTAACAAATACGAAAGATACTGATCAGGAAAAAACAAAAACACCAGTCCCAAATACGGTCGCCTTACAATCCAAACTTACAACAAAAAAACCCAAACACTGAATTAACAGCGGTGTGTGCGAAAACTCGTGCCTCTCCTTAACACAGTTCGTAATAACACAAAGTTTGAAATTATCAGAAAAATGCGGAAAACGGGGACTCGTCACATACAGGAAAAATTAAGACGAAGACATTGCCACGAGAAAACTGGCGTTGGAGTCTGCCGAGGTCATGGGCGCAATCTCCGCTAAATCAAACAAATTCGCCCCAAAAGGGGTCGGTTCGAACAGTTGTTCCGCCATCTGCGTCACAGAGCCATCAAACGCAAAACTGCTGAGACTCAGGCCCAGATTCGAGTGAGAGGTGGCACTAGCTGCTGCCCATACGAAATTACTATTCGAAGATGTAGAACGAGACACCGGCTTATACACATCTGCCGAATTTCGAACAGATTTACTGGAAGTCGCAGGTTTCAGCTTGGGCAAGTCATCCATAGCACTGGCTGATCCACTGCCAAACCTGCTAGAGGAGTGGTATAGCTTCGGTATTTGAGAATCTTCCTTTTTGACTAAGAAAGCGTTTAGGGATGGCAAGAGAAAGGGTTGCTGGGCAGGAGAAGCATGAGGTCCGTTCTTGCTGAGGTCTAGTGTTTCACAAGGTCCGTCCGAAGAATCTACAGGCATAGTGGCACACCGTAAAGACACAAATTTTACGTGTGTATCGCATATGCAGCTATCGTACTTATCGTTAATTAATTAAAGTAACTACGAACGGACGTCGGACACACACATACCATATTCGTGGCCATCCATCTTCTTTTTCAGAAAACGTAGAGCTACAGGAATATTGACAGAATGGGCTTGCGTCGGCTACAGCGAACATGAAAAATGTCAATTACCAACAGACAACATTTGCACGAAAAATGAATACCGAGTGCTCGAGGGAATCGTCCACCGTCCCATTCATCTCGCCTGCATTTGAACAACTGCCGATGTACTGCAATAACCGGCGGTGGCGTTTCGTGTGGTTTTTCAGACTATACTGGGTACTGAAACACTTCATACATTCCTTTTCGGAACAAACATAAGGCTTTTCACCTGCAAGTTGCAAATAAAAAATCCTCAAACGCTCAAAGGAAACACAGGGTTCACATTCACGCATTTCACAAGTCAAAGCAAACGCTCGTCGAAAATGAAAACATACCCGTGTGTGTTCGCAGATGCGTTTTTAGATGATGACTAGCTGAAAACCTTTTCCCACAACCCTCCCGTTGACACCTACAGATACGGTCTTGTAATTAGTCCTCTAACCCAAAACACTTTGCAACAACAAGTAGTTAGCAAAAAATTCTTACACGAAAGGCTTTTCTCCAGTGTGGGTCCGAGCGTGCTTCCGCAGATCGCTTAATGTTGTAAAGCACTTCCCACAATGGCCGCATTTAAAAGTGTCGCCATTGTGTATCCGCTGGTGAGCGCGCAGCCTAAAAACAGTACTAATGAAATTTAAGAAAACCAACTGTTGCCAAAAGCATTCATACCGGTACAGCGTATTGAACGCCTTCATACAGTTATTAATACCGCAAATGTAGGGCTTTTCTTTGGTGTGAACTCGAACATGGATTTTCAAACTATACGAAGTCAGAAACTGCTTGTTACATCCTTCTTCGCTGCACACAAACGTATATTCCCCTGAAAAAAAATCATTTCACAAGAGCATTCAATAAATGATGGAATGGCTTCAGCGCATGCAATATTGTACACCACCAACCTCGGTGAGTTTTTTGGTGTGTTTTCAGATTTCCTGCGGTACTATAAGTACGGTTACATCCGTTGAAATCACAGCGATAGCGTTTCGGACCGATGGCGTCAGCAGGAAGAATGGAATACGACGGAGCTCCGTCTTGCATCTGCATGAACTGTAGATCATCGTTGTTTCCGTCCGGATCCTGTTCATCGAATCTAATACGAAAGTACAATGCGTATTAAAAGAACGGCGATAAATACAACACCTTCTGGCTTACATTTCGGTTTCGATCTGGCCGAGATCTGGTTTGACATCCTGGGAAGCGCCTCCTTTGTACTCCATGCACAAACCATCTTGCTCGCCATCATCCAGATCCTGCTCGTCGGTCGATCCGAAATTGTCTTCAGCATCCAGATTAAAATCCTCGATAAACGGCGATAATTCCTCGTGGTATTCGATCGGTTCACTATCCAAATGCTGCCACAGATGGCCCGGCGAGTCGTGGCGATCTTCGATTTTTATGCCTAAAGTCTCTTGGTTGGAGTCCGAGCTTTCATCTTCTTTAATATAAAGCCAAATAGTTAGCAACAAAGTTACAAAAACTATGAAAAACATACGCAATGAAACTGGTCAGTTTGATCAGCTTTCTGGAAAATACTGCTACTGATAACTTGTCAATTCTTCCAGAATAACGGCTATAAAAACTAAAAGCACACTAATATTTACCGCTTAATGAGCTTATTATTGTCTTTTTTTCAGTTGCAATTTGTGGGGTAAAACCGCAAAAATCGTTAATTTACCGAATTGCGCCAAAATTCTTCGCTGCTCGCTTTCCGTCATTCGTGAAAGAGATCCGTGGCATCCCTTCGTTTTCCGAAGACGCTTGTGAGAAGAGTTACCCTGTTCCATTCCACCCTGGTTCCAAACATGTAATCAATCGAGACAAAACTGGTCTTCGGAAACTCGAAGAATGCGCGAAGACAGAGTGATAGACTGCAAACAGCGAAGTACCATTTACCAACATCCAATTCGAATGCGTTGACTAGGTCTAAGGCTTCCGAATCCAATACAGGTTAAGAATGGAGGAGGTACAAAAAACGTTTTTTATGGTTATTAAATATTAAACTCACCAAAAAAACAAAGGAAAATAATATTTACAAACAAACTCCCGATAATATCAGTGCGATTACGGATAACGGCTAATTCTCCTCACGATTTCTAATTAGAAACCAGTTGACAGTATCTGTCTATCTGAGTATTCAGTCACGATTCCGGATTCCATTGCGTACAGCAGTTCGCCATTTTTAAACAAACCAAATGATGTCGGATAGCTACTGCTAAAACAAGATCAATTTTTTTGCGTATACCGCAAAACGCTTATCAAAAAACGTAAATAAACTTAACAATACAGCGTATTTATCAAAATCCACACTTCGGTTTTTGGAAGCAGTATGAGATTTCAAAATCATTGCGTACAGAACTGTTCCATTCCAGCGCGCAGTTACTACTGTTTTGAGGGTTCCAAAATCCAAATCCATGTGACATCTATCTGACCTCTTTCTCTCTCTGTATCGGCCGCTTGCGGGTAGCGGGTACAGCAGTAGTAAAGAAACCAGACCGGCCCCGTTATCGCTTAGCGGCTAGAAAATAAGACAACAGGGACGAAATACACTGGTATACCAGCCTGTACTACATACAAAAAATTTTTCGCACTCCTTCCCTTATATGGCCAACACAATCAACAACGTCCTTTGCAATTTGCTTGCAGCCTTTTAATTTCTGCCTGTTTTTCTTTCAGTATCCAGAATTGCGTGATTTTGTTGCTGCACACTGCAACTAAATTTAATTGTTTATTTTCTCTGAAAAATAAGGATGCCTCGCCAAACATACCACCCAGGTACAGAATAGAGTTTCAGGGAATGCAATTATTTCTGGCTCATGTTGATTGCTTAATGCACCTAGATTGGCTGTCAATGGCCATAACATGATAGAACGGAAGTGTTCCGTAACTGGTGTTGTGAAGAATCTAGTTCGTAGTGAAGTGGTTGAAACTCTTCTTGCTTTTAATTACAGTGATTAATCTGGAACAAGAAGGGCGTTATGCAATTGACTCCCCAGGAAGCCCTCCAAACTTACTAGAAGGTAATCCGCGCGAAAATCGATGTTTTCAAATTAATTACGGTACTGGTAAGTATTCCGTTCATCAGTGTTCGTAATTTGCCCCGCACTCTAGAATTATTTCCCATGGACTTAGAAGTACGCCTTCTAAATCCATGTGTATTCGTATGGGCCTCTAGGGCTAACACCTTTCGTACTTAATTTGGTGACAGCTGCTTACTCAAAGCTTGTTTTGGAGAATTGATCTAGAGTAAAATTTCCAAATGGTTATTTATTCGGTGTTATTGTGTTAGGCATTTCCAGACTGTTTTGCAGGAAATTTTCTTGCTCTAACAGCTATCGAAAAAATGGTAGTTCTGTTTTATTTGGTTTGTATGTATGTTTGCTGTTGCAGGTTTATCTTCCCAAGATACGCAGCTAGGTAGGCTGGCGATTTGGCAGTGCGGAATTTGCTTCTAAAACTGCTAAATTTACATTAACCGGCTTCATTAGAATGACGAGACACTTAAATGACTTAATTTTATCGAATTAGTGGTCTTACGGCGATTGCTCATGATTTCTACAGATGAAGGTGAGGAAAGGTTTATGGTTGATCCTGCATCACGGGAAGATCCAAAAGTGCGAGAACTGATACAGGTGCGGTTTTTCATTTGTTATGTACACCTGACCACTGACCAGCAAGTAATTATTTTATCCAGTACTATAAAAAATATAACTGAAAGTTATTGTGATTTGGCGCTGTTGTATCCAGGTTCCTTGGTAGTTTCGGCATTTGGCTTCTGCCTGTATTTCGTAATCTGGTCCGCTATCTCATACATCGGCTTCTACGATTTTTTGCACTTTCTGTCCGCTGTACCGGAATTTGTTTACAATTTTTTAATACCGTTCTAATTTTCTGGGTGCACGTGGTGTGCCGCGTGTGTGTTAATTAAGTGATGATGATCTTTAAACTTGTAGGTTCTGATTGACTGGGTTAACGACGAACTGGCTTCGCACAGAATTATTGTCAAACAGCCTTTGGAAGAGGATTTATTCGATGGTCAGGTTTTGCAGAAACTGATAGGTGCGTTTACACAACCCTTTCAGCGTTGATGCACAGGAAACAAGAAAATTATTCTTATTATAGAAAAACTGGAAAACGTGAAGGTGGAAATTCCTGAAGTTACTCAGACTGAAGAAGGACAGAAGCAGAAACTGAAAGTGGTTTTGGACGAAGCTAATCGCATTTTGCTTGGAGACCAGGGTTGGCAGCAACCGAAATGGAGTGTGGAAAGTGAGTGATATTTATATTAATTAAGTATTTTTTATCAGGATATTGACTGGTGCAGCAATTCGGGTAATATTGTGCAGCAATTCAGGCAATTTCAGGGTGGTTAAAATTTATCGGTTCATGTAATGATGATGTTTGATGTTGTAGAATCCTGCTTACATTAGGAACGTTTTTTGCTTGAGTTGACATTTGTATTGAAACTTCCGTTCTTGACCGGAAATGGTTTTTTTCTAGTGATTCACTCAAAATATTTGGTAGCCATGCTGCACCTGTTGGTTGCACTGGCTCGCCATTACCGGGCGCCTATTCGAATTCCCGAAAGTGTGACGGTTCGTGTGTCCGCCGTCCAGGTATTGGATTAACACTAGCAACTCCATATTTCTGACTACCAACGGTATTTTCGAAGTATTTATCCCGTATTAATTGAATAATTAGTAACCGGATAATTTTTGGTTAAATTCTTTTGCAGAGATACTGCCTGTGAGGTTAATAACGTTGTATACCTATATCAGTGCGCATAAGGAGAAATGTTAACTGAATAATATCAGATTTTTAGTAGCCTTTGTTTCAGAAACGGGATGGACTGTTGCACCATAGGCAGATGATCGAAGAAATTACGGCAACATACGAGTAAGACAGAGAACTGAAAGTGTTGTTACAATTGTTGTTTTTGTGTTTGTTACTTTAAGATTAACTGTTCTGTTTTAGTGAATGGGGATTAAAACAAGGTAATGGTGGTTTCTATAAGACCATGGTGGACAATTTCCCACATGACTGTTTCTTCCAGAACGCGATGCATTCGATACCCTTTTCGATCATGCACCGGATAAACTAAATGTAGTCAAGAAGGTAGAAAAAGAACTTATGATTTCTCATACTATATACTTACAAAATGAAAATTCTGTGTTGTAGCGGCTGATGCTGTTCGTTAATCAATACTTGAATCGATTGAATCTGGAGGTTACCGATTTGGAGGTCCAGGTATTGTTCATCCTTTTGCCAGCCGTCGTTTGTGAAATACTGTCACTGATTGTGAGGTTGTGTTCAGTTTCAGGACGGCGTATACTTTATTTTGTTGTGCGGATTACTGGAAGGATATTTTGTCCCATTCTACGACTATTTTTCTGCTCCAACTACGATGGACCAAAAGGTATTCGTTTTTCTTCTGGAACTTGTATTTGTGGTTGTGTGCATGTTCACTTATTTCTTTAATTGAGATTTATGGCGTGATTATTAATTAAAAGCGTTTAATGCTGTACTTTCGATGGATACGAGTATTGTACATGTGCTGTTATTAGATGGTGGTGGTTTGTGATTGATCGGATATACTGTTTGTCTGTTGCAGTTGCATAATGTAAATTTGGCATTCGAATTGATGATGGATGCAGGTTTACCGCGACCAAAAGCTAGAGCTGAAGGTAAGTGGAATGGCTGACAAATCGCCGAGAACCACCTAACTTGCTCCTATATTTACCCGTATTCAAGAAATGATAAATGAAAATCCCGAAATTGCAAGAATTTGCGCACTACATGACCAACTAACGGCACTTGTTCAATTAATTAGGATATGCATGGGTTGACCGGTTTATGCACCTTTTTTTCAGACATCGTTAATCTGGATTTGAAGTCCACTTTGCGAATACTCTACAGCCTTTTCTCAAAGTACAAGGAATCTTCCCAGTAGTGTATTTGTATGATGTTCGAATTCTATGTTCCTGTGGACACTTGTGCATAAAGACTGGGCTTCACAGTTTGGATGTTAAAAATATTCTGAACGTCTTAGATCAGTAACTGTTATCTTTTTTACTGTTAACGTTCTTGATTGTTAGTACCAATCAAGTACCTAATCGTAGTAGCTTGAAAGTAATTTCTATTACAGTTTATGTTGTGTCAGCCTCTGTAGCATTTTCTTCTGTGATCGTGGAAATCCGAGTGGTGCACTTGTATCTGTTTGTTTCTTTTAAAATTCGAAATTTTCGGGAAATGTATATAAATATGTTTTGTAAACAATGGTTAATTTTATCTGATGCGAGTACGACTTTTATTAATAAAAAAATAAGAGATAATAAAAAAGCCACCGTTAGCCTATGTGAATTAATTGTTTGCCCTTTATTGCAAAATGTTTTTGAACTGACCACGCGACATGGAATCTGTAATGACGCACTATTACTGACTTGCGATATCATTATTATTTTTACAATAATTCTTAGGTTTAACCACAACAAAGTGCGAGAAGTATTGCACTTACTGCATGAGTATTATTATATAAATATTATAAATAATGTTGTAGCCTTTACAGTGACAAATTCTTACGCCGGGCTGGCGGCGGCATTACATATTAATATCGTACGATCAATTATTGTACTTATGTTTTCGCAAAAGCAGTGTTCCTGCAGTTTGTGCGGTGCTTTGCCAATTTGCCATCAAAATCGGAACGGTAGAGTTGGCTGCACTTTTAATACGTACTGGCATAGTGGCATATGCAATCGTGAAGTAAAGTTTGAGCAGAAGACTCCGCCCAGTTTTCTTTCAGTCCAAACGTTTGACAGTTTTGTACCCTTTGTTCTCTTTGCGATAACCGAAAGAGCAATAGCGATAACCTTCGCATGCGAGTGTAGTCAGCAATAGGCTGCCAATAGCATATTCAAGTCACTATAATAACGTGGTAATAACCATCTTCGGCTGCAGCGGATAAGTAAACGGACTGTATAGTGTGGGCCAGTGCCAGCATTTTAAGCGGCTCGATCGTGTTGGTAACTTGGTGTACAGTAGAGTATTAATTTTGTGAAGATATGATTTGTTGCAAGCCTTTCCAAAATTACTCCAGCCGAGTATAGTACTCCCAGTGATCGACTAGGAGAATTACGTAGCACAAAATCAGGAATATGTGCTGCCAATTGTGACGACGTATTACGAAACTTATATGGGAACTTCGTAATTCTATTATTTAATGATATGTGAAGGAGCCTGTGAGAGTCGCAGATTGGGATTTGACTTAAATATCTCGCTGGACTCGATATTTTGGAATTCTTGTGCTGTGGATTAATAGCCGCATGGGCATCTGGAATATGACGTTGTCTGGCCCCTGACGGGAGGGTGGAGAGTTCGCTTATGATTTTGCCACTTGGGCATTCGTGCTAATGCAGTCATTTTATAAAAACAAATATTTGTTTAAACCGAGGTAAGCGAAGCGTGGACTTGCTGTTACTGGAAAATTGTCATGAAAAGTCAGTTTATATTTTAGGTGCAAGTTGATTTAGAATTTAGATGTTGGTAATTATTTATTCCACTATCGAATGCAATCTCCGTTTGGCACTGCGTGTTACGCTCGTTTTACAGTTACAATTTACATACATACTTCTACTCATATTGGTCACGCTTTGATTTGAGGAAGTTTATTAGTTTCAGAATTGTTTAAATCAAATAAGTAACTGATAGTTTTCATTTTTCATATGTTGGGCTTTTGCAATTTCGCATCATAAACGGTACGGTCGTAGTCATAAATACTAATAAATACCCTATGCAGTACGTGTCTTGCCATTTCAACTTGTTGCTTCAGAACGTGGAAAGAAGTGGAACAGTTTTAAGTGCACATACTTACAAACTTCGAAGTTACTTTCTGAATTGTTAGTTATAATAAATTGAAAATGGATTGTTCTATTTTGTTGATTGCTGTTTGACCGAAATTATCGCTATTTGGTAAATTAATAAGGGTTGTCATTACTGTTGGATTGAAGTTGATTGTGAAAATTTTTTTTATTTCTATGAGTATATTTTCTGCAGCTGGGATAACAGAATTTTTCGAATGATTGGATGGTACCGGTGACGATGGCGTATGCTATAATTTATAAACGATAACATCGCAGACTCACAAATCACAACCAAATAAGGCCATAATGTATTATCTAGTGAAAATGTAGGAGCAGTTTTTTTCTATGAGTAGTTCTTGTCCAGATATTTTGTTCCATTAGGGATCAAGCACTAGCTATGATCCATAAATCATCGTTCTGGAATGAAACGAGTGAAAACGGGAAATTTTGTATTTGCTGAAAACTTAGGAGCTCACCAGTCAGATACGTTCCTTTTGAGTTTTGCTTGTGGATTCTGAGACCCATGACCAGCCGAATGGTGCCAAGTTGTCAACTGTGCCATGCTTATGCTTGGTGTTTTAGTTGTTCGCTCCAAATTACTTAAAGATTCCTATAAGAGAAAGAAGATTCTCTTTCCTTCTTTTCTAGATTTCTTTTCTTTCTTCTATTTCTTTCTCTTTTAAGTCAGAAGTGTACTGGACTAACTGGAACTGAAATCTGACTAACTGAATAATAAGATGTCTGCATGTGCTTTTTAAGTTTTTGAAAATTTCTTGCTTTTTATGTGCCACTAACAATAAGAAAAGACAACACGAGGAACAGCCTGCTGGTGTTTAATGGAAATATGTGCGTGTATTGTGCTATGGGAAGTAATACAGCATTATTACCATAGTGTAAGATTTTATGTTCAAAGTGGTAGAGAAACTATTAACAGCGTGCTTAGACCAACTACGTCAGCTATTAATACCGAATGCCGACACGGCTCTGAACTGTTTGGTGTGTTTACGAAATTACGGTGACGTTTTCTAGTTGTGTTACGGTCTGCTTGGTTGTAAATCGAAGCATGTTCTGTTTCTGGACGATGTGGTAAATTGGAGATAGCGTATTGGAATTTGGGGGACGTATAACACATTCATTACTTAACTGTTTTTGTGGAAAGACTTTTCATGACGCTACATTGATAATTTTCTTATTTAGACTTTGTGTATTACAATAACTGCATAGGTTTATTCGTAGTTTATATGCACTACATACGTCTTATTTGAGGCTCGTAGAGACATAAAAGCGTTAATACAGGAAAAGATTTCTTTTCCAGGTAATTCGCTGTTGTTCAGTTTGATGTTTGGAGAAGAAATTTGTACGGTGTGGACAGAGCGAAAGTGAAAAAGCAGCAGTTAACAAGACGCCTTGGGCGGAGCAAGTAGACCCGGTGCGTGCGATTGCGGCAATTTCAACGGTAGGTCGCCACTCGCCAGCAGTTCTCCTTCTTCCATCTTCAGGCATAATAATCGTGTTGAAATTTGCGCTGTGTTGATCAGGAAATGGTATTGTTTACATACAGTTGTATATTGAGTTGACACTCGTCGCTAGTATAAGCACAAAATGAAGAATAATATGTTACCATAAGTCCATAATTATAATATTAGCTATTATTTATTACCAACGTTTGATGATTCCATATCTTAAAAAGTTTTGCTCCGTACCGGACACTGAAATAAACGAGTACGCTAATATCGACAAAGTAAACGTGTGCGAAGTTATTTATTTTTCTACTGCTGGGTATGCGTTATTTAGTCAGCATTACGTTAGCATTTTCGTTTTGACTTTTACTTTTCACTAAGTGATAGAGTAAGCTTATTAATAAAAGACTTGGTATAAAACTGTAAAGATGTTATCCCGATAGGAGTTATTATTCCATCAGTCGTAAATCTTGTCCTTTCTTCAGCCTTCTTATTGTTGATTTTGGGCTGCTCATGCTAGCGGATGCGGTGCATGGAACGTACAGTATTTACTAGGGTATATGTTGTAGATTTTTAGAGTTTGCTCTAGAAATCTGTGTTCTCTCCTGAGATAAACTTTTGTCATATTGGTCTGTGGTCTTCATATAAATTTTCACCGCCGAAGGTTTTTTTTTTATTTGCGATGAACAAGGGGATGGGTGTCAGTGACTCTTGTGGGACTAGTACTGCCAGGAATGCAAACGAAACTGAACGTGGTTGCGCTTTGCAGTAGCGCACATGATTTTGTGCATATATTAAAAGCATTTTTCAGCGCAACAGATTTCGAAAGTAATGCAGTTAATAATTATGAATGGTGTCGAATTGTTGTTAGGCTCACTCAGGCTACAAAACCGAAGTGAAGCGGTAATGCTTCCGCACAATTTTTTCAGCCGTAGACTCGTGATAAGAGGGGCCTTAAATGAATAATGCGAAGAAGCTTGGATGGTGCCATGATGCCATCACAAACATTTTCGTAATATTTTTGTATAAATATCTCAAATCAGGACGCAGGTGTAAATGAGGCGTGAAAAGTTTATGAACAGTCGTTAAAAATACTCGATAATTTGTGTCAATCCTTGAATAAATAAAAAAAGAAAAGTATTACTTTTTACGTGCACCCTGCTGCCCTAATGCAATCAAACTGAAATTATTAAAATTTTACGTAATTTCGTTCTGAAGCCTAGAAATGTGAAAGAAATTGTAAATTTACAGTTTGTAAGGTGCCGCATTGATAATAAACCACGTATTAAGAGTGAGTGTGATAATGTTATGTATATTCACTGTGATGATTGGAACAAGTGGAGTGACCACGGTATTACTTACAATTAATCTAATACTTGAGGTTTGCGGCGACGTTAAGTTGTTGCTGGATTGGGCCTAACAGTTAAATCAAGGTCTGTTTTGCTATCTACTCATTACAGTGCTAAGTTTAGACTGAAATATTTTAATTGGATGCGATTATGACAGGGCTAAAAGTTGTGAGCGGCCTCGAATTCTGTTAGGCGCCTCACTCAGCCTGGGTGTTTTCTTTTTCTTGAGAATTTCTGCTTCCTCTTGAAGTTACTGCTCACTGCTGCCGGGACAATCTTTCAGTTTCACTGTTCCGCTGTCGCCTGCTAACTGATAAAAGCACAATATGATTACAATTTTTCATCCAGTTGAGTCGGCATTTTGTAGTCTGCATCAGCACGAACGAAAGTGAACAACAGCGCGCAGGATTTCTGCTTCACTTACAGGATTGTCGATGCACTACTAAATACCGAATTTGTTGTCAATAATACGTCATTATCTGCCTTTTATTTTAAGCGGTAAAGAGAAGCTACTTTATTTTTAGGCAGCACATTTTGCAGATGTGAGCATGGAAAAATAATTCTGGAGGCTCGCATTTCACTACATCAACTATTGCAGCTGTGGCAACCAGTTATATTACGTAGTTAGGGTTAACCTTGTTAACACTTCTCCGTTAATTTGTCATTTTTTGAAGATACCCATTGTCACCGCGACGAAAGCGTTATGGTATTTTTAATCTACATACCGTATTGTATTTTACCAAAAAGTGACCCGGGGTCGCTATTTTATCGTATGGGTGTGGGATGGGGTGGGGAAAACTTGAAAAAAACAACAACCCTTCAGTGGGATCTACATTTCGAGACCGGCTTTCAAATCGGAAAGGGTCACTGTTTCATAAAATACGGTAATTACCCTACTAAGAACCTCTGAAACTTTTAACTTTGTTTCATACACGGATACACCTATGAAGGATCAGTTTGTTGTATGCATGGTTAATTGCTGTTGTTTATTTGTTAGTGATGGATGATGTGGGGAGCCCGCGAAGCGAAGATGACAACACCGAGAGTGAATTGGGCAACAGTGATGCCGAAGGCGTTTGGTCGCCTGATATCGAACAGAGCTTCCAGGAAGCGCTGCAGATTTATCCTCCATGCGGACGTCGAAAGATAATCTTATCCGACGAGGGCAAGATGTATGGTGAGTGTTATTGAAACCTGCTTTACCATTTGCTGATATGATATTGTCAGATTATCAAGTGGTTTTTATTGTGATTGTATAATTATGCGAATTAGTTTGTATTACCATTTTCCTAGGCCGGAACGAGCTTATCGCCCGCTATATCAAAGTGCGAACGGGAAAAACTCGCACCCGCAAGCAGGTGTCCAGTCACATTCAGGTGTTGGCTCGAAAAAAGTCTAGAGAAATCCAGTCGAAATTGAAGGTATGCTGCTACTGATATAATCGCTGGTGAAGGTAATAACTAGCTGATGAATTTGAATTTAGGATCATAGTGCCAAAGAGAAAGCCATGCAGGTTATGTCAACTATGTCTTCGGCACAGATTGTCTCTGCCACAATGTTTCCAAATAAGAATGCAGGAGCTGGACTTCCGCTTCCAACCTTGGGACTGGCCGGGGCCAATGCGGCTTACGGACCGGCCACAGTGAGTGCCCGTTTAACTTTTTTCTTTGGTTGCTTCGTCATTGTGATTTTGTATTTCAGTTCTGGCCAAACAGTGGATCCCATGGACCAGAGTAAGCTGTTGGATGATGTTTATAATTTAAATAACGTTTGTGCTTTCCATGATTTCGATATGTCTGTCTAGTATCAAGCCATGCCTGAACAGTGCCGGCTTTCCTTCGTCTGTTCTTTCGGGAACAAGCCTTATGCAAAATAATGGCAATAATATCACATACGACGGCAGGTCCATTGCGTCGCACAAGTTGCGGTTACTGGATTTTCAGGCTTTTGTGGAAAGCCACCGTGACCCTGATTCGGTAAATACATCCTATGTTTTTTCTTTCCGCGTTTCATGTACATTTCTAGTCCTACTGATTGCTAGTTGCAAACGTCAGATACATACATACATACTAGATTTTTGAAACTGGAGTGGTATCGTTAAAATTCTTGACCGGAAGCGAAAATTAGTGGTTTAAGATCTGTCTTGTAAACCTTCCAGAAACACGTCTTTGTGAACATTGGTCCTTCAACGGGAGTGGAACCGGCACTAGAGGTGAATGATGTTATTTTATTTTTAGAAATTTGATCAACAGCGGAACCAAGTTTTTTTTTCAGACCATTGACTTTCGACAAATCTATGACAAATTTCCCGAGAAAAGAGGCGGTTTGAAGGAACTGTATGAAAAAGGGCCCACGAATGCATTCTTTCTGGTGAAATTCTGGGTAAATCTAAAAATGCTGATTTCGTGCACTATGCAACACCTTTTGAGAGTAGTGGTTACGTGATAATTATGAAGTGGTTTGTGTGTCACGATAGGCGGATATCAACTGTTCCGATATTGATTCCAGTGCTTTCTACGGTGTCTCAAGCACGTAAGTGTGGACGTTGGTGAAATTGTATGCTACTGTGGGGTGATCGTCTTGCGCGTGCTCTGTGAATCAGTATTAATTTTTTGTTTTTGCAGTTTTGAAAGTGCCGAAAGCATGACCATTCAGTGCTCAACGAGGGTGTGTTCATTTGGCAAGCAAGTGGTGGAAAAAGTGGAGGTATGAGCATTCCTGTCATATCTTTCCTGCTCAACCGATATGTGTGTGACATATTTTGCGCTGACGTCGAAGGCAACGAACACCGAGTTTATGAATAGAAGTAGCCCCACATTTATGTTGTTTATGTTTGTAGAAAGATGTTGCTCGCTTTGAGGGAGGCCGTTACATGTATCGGTACGCTCTTTATTTGTATTATTCTTGTTAGTCAGATTACAAAGGACGTTTACTCATCGAACATAATCAAATATGTGCCTATTAATAAAAAAGAGTCTATTTACCTTGCCTTTGTGTCTTACAGGATCAGTCGATCACAGATGTGCGAATACATGATCAACTTTGTTCTTAAACTAAAGGATCTTCCACAAAAGGATATGATGAACAGTGTGCTCGAAAACTTCACGATATTACAGGTAGGTAATGGATGATTATAACTGGACCTGTTTTCTTAATTTCTTATGATCTGTGAAAAGGTTATATCTAGTAAACCTCTAGTTAAAGTAGAGTTCTAGAATGAACGCTTTCGTTTTTCTGCCTTGATTTTATTAATAATACTGAAGCGAAACTGTGACATTACGAATAGTGTAAAATCTGCTTTCTGTAGGTGATTACAAATGACGACACCAAAGAAATTCTCATTTGCCTGGCCTTCGTTTTTGAAGTCTCAACCAGCGATCACGGCACGCAGCATCACGTTTACCGATTAGTCAAAGATTAAATGCATCAAAACAAAGGAAAGTTATCGTTATTTCCGGATTTTGGCCTAGCCTACGATTCAGTATTTTCGCTGTGGACAGCTCATTTCCACGACAGCTATCTGTCAAGCAACTGGCTTTCTTGCCACTCAAGTCAATCCCGTTCCAGCACGTGTGCCTTAAATATATGTTGTTAAATTTGTTAGTTTTCTTTTCTATTCTTAAAGTCTCCTAGATTTGCAGCTGGTTTGTTGTTGCGCTACGAATTATTTCTGGTTTGATACTGTATTTAATGTTTACTGCATTCGTTGAACAATTGGGTGTGAAACCGTTTTAGTTCTGTGCAGTTAACTTTTGGTAGGTTTTCTGGGTATTGTGAGATGGTTTTCACTTCAGACGGTTCATTGTTTGATTTTACCCGTGCAACAGAACTGACAGTTTATATGGGTATCCTTTTATATTCTGCCGTCAAGAATTTACGATCTGTAAAAAGCACAATCACTCAGTCGTCCCCAGTAAAGCTTTAGATATAATTGTCCTTGTATGTTATCAGCTGTTGATATCAAGGGACATGATATTGTCAAGGGATATTGTCAATTATTCATGAATGCAGATCTTTGAGAACTTACAAGCTTACTGTAGACGAAAAGCGGGGAAGCATGCTTACTTCCGGTACTCTTTCGTTGTTATAATTATTTTGATTAGTAACTTCACTAAGTTGGTGTTTAATTGCACCATGACATTAATATGGGTGGTCGTGATTTTGGTTATTTCAGGAAGATCTGAAGCACTTTACAATGCCATGGGACCGGGTGGGTAATTAATTGTTTTGACATCTGTTATGCGCTGGTTCAGCTCCGCGAGTGTACGTAGCAATACATATTGATAAATCATCATAAATGTTTCCGTAAAGGCTTAAACGATTCATGAACCATCCTCTCGCTCCCTTCGTAGTACGTAAAAGAACAAAAAATGTAACGATTTAGGATATAGGTGGAAAACTACTTATGTAATATTAGATGCGGCAAAAACTGACCCAGAAGTGTTGTCAACTTCTCTCTGTTGTCCGAAGATTTCCGCTTCTGTACAAGTTTTGCTCCGATAGAGACCGGAAGACATGATTGCATGTTTGTAACTGCAAGTTTGTTCTATCTGATTTGTGAGAATCAACATAGGTATCCACAAAAACTTCTGGGTCTCCAACAACTAGTTTGTTGTTGGAGATAGGTACATAGGTATCTATTTAAAAATTATAAATTACTGTTACCACACGGGACAGTCGCATTAGTCAAGTGAACGTTTCCTGTCACATAACGGTACCGTACATACCGTACAGAGTGAAGTCAGCGGCGCAAAGCTATCCCGCAATCACAGCTGCAAAATTTGTGCTACGCTACATCAGCTGAAATAATTTATACTTTGTAATACGAGTACTAGGAATAATTTTCAATTTTATACCAAAAAGTAGCAAATTCTGCTTATTATTTGTTGGGAAAAATTGTGGCTGCTCACAACCTCAGAGTAAGAAGTCATAAAATATCCTCAAATTCTGGAACGTGAGTGAAAGTGATAATTAATAACTGCAAATTTTTATCGTAATCAGTAGTTATTCAATAATCATCTCCTGCCAATTTAGCTTCCATTGCTGCATGCTATGTTGCTTGTCAGCATAAACATTTTAGGAGAAGGAAACATATAGTTTTATTGCTGTATTATGATGACAGGTATTAAACTATTAATATTAGCTTTGTTTTCAAGTCCTCGGAGAAAAACAAACCCCTCAACATCTCAGGACCTTTGTGCCTGCAGATTTAAATAAGAGCTACATGGACGCTTTGGCTTTCTTCAACAAACCAAATGATGCTTCGGAAATAACATGGGCGCATGCGGTGAATTCTCGGAGACGTTTGGAAAATGCATTGGATGGTAAGTACATAATAACTGTGGTACTAACTATGTAAAAAACAGTGCACGGTTTATAAATTATGGAGATCGTACTATTGCTTAATTTGCGAGTGTCGTATGCAACTTCAGAATTATATAATATTTCTGTATATTGTATCGCTTATACTGTGTTATGTGTTATACATTACAAGCGGAGTGGACAACTGGCTTTTCTTACGAAACATCGATATTCGGTTCTTCCTGCTTAAAACTGGAATACCAGTTTTGCCTTTTTTTAATTTGTGTTGAATTTTCAGACGTTAGCGTACAAATGCTGGAAGCGGACGTGAGTTTGCAAAGAGAATCAGGTGAATATCACCGTAATGACCAAACATAATTTTTGAATTATCAATTTTGATCTTACGAACTAAATTCATGTAAAGAATGTTAAAAAACAAGGTCGTGACTGCAGTAATTCTGCCGATTTTTCGTCATATGGCGTGCGTTTGGTGTTTTCAACCGAAACGTTTGCTTCCGTCTTATTGTGTTAACACTTGGCATGTTGCGACGTTTTACGGGACATAGTTATCAGCATGAGCAAAAACAAATCACTAGTCAGTATTTTGACAGATTTGGTTATACATTTCTTTCTGCTTTCTGTAGATGGCGAGTTGGTTCCCTTTATGGCACATTCGTCGGACGATCCCAGGTTAAACAATTCGTGCGGCTCATTCTTTCGGAAGCTAATATTTGTATGAAGTCAATTAAAACATCGGTGACATTTGCCACTTTTCAGTGACATCACTTTGGGAGAATGGATTTCGCTGGTCATCGAAAACGGTAGGAAAGGGATAAAGCTGGATTTCAAGTCAATTGATGTGGTCCCGCCTTCCGTCGCCATTCTCCAACGGCATTCCCATAACGCAAGTACACGTAGTAGTAGTACCACATGCTCTTACGGAGAAGCGGAGAGAATTTGCTAATATTAATTAGCTCTGAACGTTACTTTTGGTTAAGTTAAAAACATCGCTGCGAAAATGAATATGAGGGGCTGTTTGTTCGTAGACAAATCTTCAATCACACACCATAAAACCAGCGTGATTTAGGCTGCATTAATATTAGAAAATGACTGTTGCCATCCTCTTTCAAAAATGAAGAATGGTTATTTTTTATCACGCTATCCGCCCATATTTTCTTGACCTTAGGACATTTTTCAGATTTTGCAAGACCGGCTTTGAAATATTTTCACACTTTGTTAAGACAATCAGAAAAGTGAAGCCCGCCCTGTCCAAAACGTGCCGGACATGGCTATAAGCCTATAGTATCATCGACTGTGTGGAAAAAAATTCCTGAAAAGGTGTCCGAAATTTTGTCAAAAATATGGTTGCGTATATCAAAAACAGCGCGTCGAAAAACAATTGCGTTGTAACGGATGCCTATAGTCCACGAAAACACGGTGCAAGCACAGATAGATTTTACGATTGCAGCTTTTTGTTTAAAGAAACGTAACATATATACGAACTGTAAGACTTCGAAGTATTATTTTAAGTGAGTATATTTATGAATAACGTAACATATGTTTTTCTAATAACGTACGGCTGAAAACGTATGGTTATTTATTTATTAATAACGTACGGTTTTAAGTATATCTATTACAGTAATAGCGGTATATACACGTTGAGTGTTTTTCATGATTTTTATTATACAATCCAGAACATAAACTCTATCGTTCACCGCTTCATTTCTGTATTTGCATGTTGGATTAGAATTTTAAACTTCTTCGGTTTGCGTAAGAAGAATCCAAGCTGTACTTTGTGAACTTTTTTTCTAACTGCTTTTTTATTTTTCTGTTGTAGCTCAGCGTGCCGTTGTGGCTAAATGCTGGTAAAGTGACCTGTACCATGTACGTATCTGTGTTTTGCTAACGTCCAGAAGCGATTTTATTGGTATTATCGGGAGTTCCTTATAGATGTGGTCTTAAATTATAACGATAAAATAACGTGGGAGTTGGTCGGTTACTGCCTGTATCTGCAGATATTATTGGCGCTGGTCCTGTGAATGCTCCTGGGATCGGAGTTAATGCACAGCAGTTTCTTGTTGCTGCATACAAATTTGCTCAAAGGCAAGTGACCTTTGCTTTGTAATCCACCGCATTTTCACCATTTTATTGATGGACAGTCTGTATTCTGTATCATGGAAATTGCTGTTGCCGCATTTTTATTCGTTCCGGCTAACATTGGTTCTGTTGATTAGTGTTCTTAGTATTGGTTGGGTCACAAACTGTCCAACTCAAAGCTGTGATGTTGGCAAATACTCGTGGAAACATGTTAAGCAGATGCTGGATGTCATCAGACAACAGCCTGACTCGACACAGCCCGTAACATTCCCAATTCGCGCCGTTTTCGCTTTAAATTCAGTACGTCAGTTGCGGTGGTTGGCGGATTTGATTCCCGGCCGGAAACCGACGTTCACGTTATGGACCAACATAGGTCAGCCAGTCCAGTATATCAGCGTTGTGCACGGCTTCAGATGACATTTTAATGACTTTATGCATACTTACAACATACATACGTGGAGGGGCAATCGGTCCTTGCAAAGCTGTATTGGCAGTATTTAACGCCACTGATTGTAGCCGACGTTGAGTACACCAGAGTGAGCGACTTGTTGCTGTTCCGGACTCAATTTCCGGCTGACAAGGTGTACTATGATTTATTTGACTGGATGATGGCGGAATTTCATGACCGAAAAAAGGATTTTCTGCCGAATAGCGCAGTTGAGCGGCCTTTGTTGCACGACATTTTGACACAGTTTTATATGACCGCTTTGCCGCAATATTCTTATATGGGAACCAATAGTGTCCTTTTGCTGAATGGCCATGGACTACTTGTGAACAGTCAGAAATCGCTGATTATTAATGATAAATCCGAGGTACAGTATAACAGCTGAACCCTTCAACATCAGCTGTTTACCAGTTAGCAGTTTCTGCTTTTTTTTCTGATTATTATTTTTGAGGTTATATTTGAGTTTAAGTACTGTTTTGCTCGTTACGTTTTTTGAGCGTCAGAGGCTTATTATATATGCACCAGCGCGCTGGAACAGTACATCTTTTACAAAAGGAAAACGAATGCCGGAAGTGTTTATTGCTCATAAACATTGATAATAATGGTTTACTCTAGGGTTGGTTTACTTTAGATATTGAAGTACATAACATTTCTGACACAGTACTTTTACAGGTGACTTTCAGGTTTGCATTCGGTGATAACCTGTCGTCAAACAACCGACTCACTACGGTTCTTCCCAATTGGCCACCGGGAGTGAAAAATGCACTGCGCTTGGTGGTAGCGGTGGATGGTTCGGTCTCCCTTCAATCCGGAACATTTGCTATAAACTGGGACGATTCAGATGCAAACTTGAAGCAACTCGCAAGATTAGAATGGACTGGGAACCAGATTACTTCCTACACTGTACCGCCTCTACAATCCTCCGACATCTTAACTGTGACTGCTGTGGATGACATCCGTTCTTGCGCGCGTTAGTACAAAAATCTATTCCCACAGTGTCAGCAACTGTCTACAACGTATTGTATGTAGATTACTGACAGATATTTGTGCGTTTCCATTGCGACCTGTAGGAACATAGCCATAAGTTTGCAGTAACAGTTTTGACGATTGTATGAAATTTTCAGGAACTTTCAGACTGCAGATTAATGACGGCGTTGCAAGCAGTTTATCGAATACACCCTTAAATTGCTGCGTTGAACAGGTGAACACAGAATAGGTTGTAAACGTTCCGATAAATCTACGAATGCACTTGACCACTGCTCGCTTCAATCCAGGTTTCCGCCACATCTGCGAACAATTATGGCGGTCTTGCTATACATTTCGACGGAGTCGCCGGAAGCTTTGCTGCGATTGAGAATATACTACAAATGTGAACAACCGAAAAAGTTGTTATTTGTACTGCTTTGGTATTCTGTTACACGAATACTTAATTTAATCTTTTATTATACACACAGGAAACATGCTTAATGTTCTTTTTTAGTTAAAGAACGGATCTTGGTTCATTGGTTTAACAGCACTCAGGTTTATTTTTATTGTAAAGGCAGGCAGGTAACCCATTAAGGGTTATGATCGAAATCTAGCATGGGAATTTAAACCTGGATAAATAAAACGTATAATGATGAAAGCCACTAGCAAAAGCCACTAATAAAAGAGAAGGCTATCAAGTTAATTACAACGCGCTTCAGTGCATAACGAAAAACAGCAAGTGTGAATCAGTAAGATATGTGAGCTTTTTAATTTCATAAATTTTGATCTACTTAAGTTATGAAAACGAATTGTTGATTATGTCGGGTTTTGTCTAGTGCAGCTTTAATGCACCGAAAAAATAAACTACAGTACTAGTCCGAGTGTGAGTATGGGTGCTACAAAAATTTTAACGTAAATAGAGTACATACAGTGCATGTACTGCACTTGTCGGCATAATTTATTATGGTATGGAAGTGTTATTACGCAATCACAAGATATTGTACCTCGGGCACAGTTACGTTTCCGTCGGCATTTTGCGTTTGCTTATCAACAACGCATTTGTTTTCCAAATATCAGCACAAATTGCCGCTCATTACACCTACAATTTTACCAGAACACAGCTGGGTAGGCAAACAGGACCAACACAACTCTCTGGAATGCCACAGTATAACTATACAACTGAATTATTGCTTATCTTCTTGCTTTGATAGCAATATCAGGAACAATTAATAACGCATAGTGCGTTTTCAAATGTACAGCCACGACCTGGATATCAGTAGCCGTAGCTATGTTGTTTGACGAAGCCTGCGCTGGGCCGCCTTGGGCTAATGATCTCCTGCTAATGATCTCCTGAACTCCTTAAGTACTGGTCGCGAATATGGATTTCGACGATATTTTGGATGTGATTGGTCCGTTCGGGAAATATCAAAAACTCACTGTTTTCCTGGTGGTTCAAGCGGCCTTGTTTCCGTGTGGATTTTTGACGTATAATGCCGTATTTTTTGCTGCTGTTCCCGGTGATTACTGGTGTAAGATTCCCGCTCTGGAAAATGCCACAGTAAACGTTACCACCAAACACTTTTGGCCGCCGGATGAGCACAACGGGACCCTGCAAGGTCACAGCCGCTGCTTCATGTACGACCTCAACTATAGTGCATTGTCGCTATCAGACATAAGCGAACTGACTAATGGCAGTTTGTCTTCTCATAAAACTGTTCCATGTCAGTTCGGATGGGAGTTTGATCGTTCCGTTTTCCAAGATACCATCGTTACGGAGTATTTATTAATATGTGATCGAAGCCTTCTGCAAGCTCTTTCCTTAGCCCTGGTAACAATGGGTGGTGTGTTCGGTCCATTGGTCTTTGGGTTTCTAGCGGATCATTTTGGACGCAAGAAAGGCTATTTCATTATGATCGCCTTCCAGTCAGTATTTTCCGTTTTAACTTCCTTCTCTCACACCTTCGAACTGTATTGCGTATGCCGATTTATGGTGGGTTCGACGTTGTCTTTTTCCTATACGCTTCCGTTGATGCAGAGCATCGAGATTACCGGACGGGATACGCGGGTGCTGATATCCACAGTTTGTTCGTTCGGTTACACGATGAGCGTGGTGATTGTTATTGGTATCGCCTATTTTATTCGAACGTGGCGTTTGCTGGCGCTCGTCACGGCATGTCCCATGTTGTTGATTTTTGGACTTTGGTTTTTCTATCCGGAATCGCCCAGATGGTTATTGGCCAAAGGTCGTTACGACGAACTGGAGGCATTGCTGAGGCACATCGCCCGCGTCAATGGCGTACAACTCACCCCGGAATTCGATGTCGCGTTGCCGAAATTGCTGCGGGACATCGAATCCGAGGAGCAATCTCAAAAATATTCGGCGGCGGATTTGTTCCGGTCGCCCAACCTCAGGAAGAAGACGCTCATTTTAATTTTAATTAATTTTTGTAATTTGGGAGTTTTCCTGGGACTGAATTATTATGCGCCAGTATTTGGCGATGATCCCCATTTAAATTCCTTCCTTACCGCTGTAATTGAGCTACCCCCATATATTTTTGCCACGTTCGTTTGTAATAAATTTGGACGGCGCCTCTGCTTAGTGATCGGAATGGGACTCGCGGCAGCTTCTTCTATTTCCGCCGTGGGCGTGCCTGGTGACGTCACTGCGGCCATTATGGCACTATCATTATCTACCAAATTTTTTATTACGCTGACATTCCTGATCGGCGAATTACTGGAAGATGGTAATACGTAACGTGGCACTTTTATTTGGGTGCATATTCGAATAATCGCGGAAAATGCTTTACAGAAATCTTCCCGACGGTAGTTCGCGCCGAAGGTCATTCCGTCACCAGCTTACTTGCTTCCATTGCAGTACGTGCTTTAAGAGCTTGTATCATCTACTGAAACTTACAAGTTTCGAGCACATAAAATATAAATTAGCAATATTAAAGCATGCACTACACTGCATCATGTGACGTTTTGCAGTTCACAACAATGCAATGCTGTGCTCTGCCTGTTTGAATTACCTGTGTTTATTTCAGGGATGCTTGGCGCCTTTTATCGTGCATTTGGGATACAGTTACGTCATTCTCCCTCTGGCCGTATTCGGTGGTCTGTGTGTAGTTGCCGGATTCTTTGCACTTTTCTTGCCGGAAACGGCTTCGACAGATTTACCACAAACATTAAAAGATGGAGAACGCATAGGGAAAAACATGTCGTGGGGTGATGTGTTCAGTTTTCGATTACCGACCACAAAGTATTCCATTCCGGCTGCAAGTATGCATGATCCAGTCCAGCTGCACAACGCCAAAATTAGAAAGAGGCGAGGACAGAAAGAAAGACGAGGTTTACTTCCAACTACAGCTACTTCTGTATAAAGATACACTCAAATTTTATTGTTAAAGTAATTTTTTACTTTTCGTTGAAACGGTAAATACTTTGCTGGATGTATTAATTCTTTACGTACAAGATCTTTCTCCAGCCGAAAACACGAGCGGTGTCGATATTGTAACTGTGGTACAATAATACAGTATTATTCATTGTACATACTTATGTCGGCTGTTGTAATAAGCGCAATTTCTGTTGTATTTATCCGAGTTTATCCAAATTGGCAGTATCATAGTGCCAGTACAGTATGTATGTACCGTGCACAAAATTTCAAAAATGTGGTGATTTATATGCACCGCACTACCCACGTATTGTCCGAGCTGGCTGGGGTGTATGTGGATAAGGCTACATATTTCGAATGTTCACTGCGCGAAGGCTTTATCCAGTGGAAATGTTTTTTGTACCCCAACTATAGGAGCAAGGATACGAGTAGCCCGAATGTAGAAAATATAGAATATTTTTACTACAAAGTTGTAAGTGAAATTGTCGTCGCAAATGGACTATAGCTGGGCGGGACCCGCTTTGCTCAAAGTGGCCCAGATACGGGTATTAACCGGTGTATAAAAGCTATCTTCATATATAATTTCTATTACAAATTACAACACGAGCACTTTTAACAAAAGCTTCGGAAACTATCACTCATCAAGCATCAATCGACAGCGGCGGCCTAATCACAGAGAAAATTTGGTCTAAATTCGCTCCCATCGGCGCCGTCCCCATGATCGATGCAGCATTTCCTCGCTGTATTTCGATACTGATCCGTTGGCGAAGATATTCCGTGGCTCGTTTTTCGCCGGTTTCCTGACGTATTTTCTGTCCGAATTCCGTTATTGTTCGGACAGCTTCCGGTCCGGGTGGTCCGAGCGTCTCAAAGCCCAGAGCACGGAATAGGTAGTCCTGGCCGATATCGCGATATTTCTCGATCTTGCCCTGCTCGGCCTGTGCTGCTGCTGCTCCCGCTCGTGCGGATGTCGCGACGATGTGCGATATGGCCATTGTATTGACGCACGTTGCGTCCCATGCCAACATCCGTCCTCTCTCCCATGGTGTCAAGGTAACGCCGTCTGGGCGCTTGCTGTCTGTAGGGAAGATACCTTGTGGCTCTAGTTCGCTTTCAAAGCCGGCCGATGCGAGGCTGCGCTTCACAATGGCGTTCAGGCATTTATGCGTAGGGATTCGTCCGCGGCTTTTCTTGCAGCTTAAGCCGTGGTAACCGCGGGCATCCGCCCACTCACCGCATACACAGCGGTGTGGGGTGATGATCGGTGCTCCAAGCCGTAAACCAGCGGCGATTCGTACTGCTGAGTCTGTAAGGAGGTTGCCAAGGGAGGCAGCCGGAAGCGCACCAACCATGCGCCGTTTTCTTTCGTGCTAACACCGTTCAATCTTGCCTGTTCGGAGATGTCGTTCCCAGCTGCCGTTCGTAATCGTTCAACGGTGTTTTGGACAATAGGATTGTCCCATACCTTCTGGACCGGTCGCGCGTCATGGTGTGGGAGGTCTTGTTGGGTTACTTCTTGCCATTCTGCAGCAGCATCACGACAGTAGATCTGTGGTTGGAACTCGATAATTTCCGATGTTAATGGAGCCACCGAATAAGCAGAGGCCAGAAAGGCCGGAAGGGCAAGCTTTTCGACGCTTCGAATTCCGAGACCACCTTCTATTATCGGGAGAGATGCCTGCATCCATATGTCTTCAGTAATGTTGACATTGGTAATGCTAGTCAAGCTTTGCCGAATGATATCGTCAAATGCTTTTAACAGGGCTTTCTGCTGGTAGCATCGGCTGGCGCGCAGTTTATAGATCAGCTTTACTGTGCCCATGCTGCATCTTAACAAGTACAGAGCCTGGTGGGCCGGTATAAGATTTAGCCGCTCCGTCATTCGGGCGATTACCTCCGTAGCACTGACGAGTGCGCCTGCAACCGCATCATCGTGGAGTGGCGCACCGAGGTAATGCAGATCCTTCAGCTGGGGACAAAGCAGGTCTGGGTACGCATGAAGAAACGCGTCGTACACGGTTTGGCGTTCTTCCTCGGAGCCTCCGATAACCATCAGCTCGCATTTTGCTATATTAAGCGCTAGCCCGCGCACTCGTAGCGCCTCCTGCAGTGAGCAGAGATCGTCAAAGACATCTTCAGGGTCTCCGCCGAGCGCATCATCGTCAAGAAAACACTCTTTCAGCTTCGACTTCAGGCGTTTGTGGGGTCCAATAGTTGCAAGGCAGTACAGTAGCGGGCCTAGAGGGTCTCCTTGCTGGATGCCCGCCTGTGAAGATACACTGTACATGCCGTGTAACAGTATTGATGGTTCAGCGTAGCACTGCCACACAAACTTATAGTACTCCGGCATGAACTCTTCGGCAGATTTAAGTATGTAGTTTCGGTCAAGCGAATTGAAGGCGTTCTTGACATCTAGTTTAAGGAAAACCTGTGGCTTGTTCAGAATTGCAGCGTCTTCGATAAAACTGCGTGCGGCATGGACAGCGGCCTCCACGCCCCCTTTCGTTGCGAAACCCAGCTGAATTGGCTGCAACTCTTTATTCAAATGTCGTAACCTGAAAGTCACAATGCGGCAAAACACACGCCGCAGGCTTGTTCCCACTGCAATGGGGCGAATCCCATTATCTTTCTTCTTGAATGCAAACAAGTTTGCACCATACAGCATCGGGGTAATGTCCTGGGGTACCGCCCCCTTCAACATTATGTTCGCAACGGCAGCCAGTGATTCACATAACTTTTTACCCAGTTCATGGTGTTTCAGACTGATCAGCTCCTTCAGATACTGCGGTCGTAATCCATCAGGGCCTGCTGCCGATCCATTTGGGAAGGCACGAACTGCTTCTGCAATTTCTGCAGCAGTAATATCGAGGGCTATCGGGGTTGCGGGTCCCGGAGGCGGGTGACGTATCGGAGGGTTTGAAGGGTGCTTCTCCTTCAACGCAGCGAAGGTCTCTGGCGTCGCGGGCAGAACCGTTTCTTCGGTGGTTAGCTGCCGTACAGCACCGCTGACATTGCCGTCCTGAAGCTTGCGGCTGACTCGCTTGCGGAGCTGTACAGGAGCGTCTGGTTCAGCTGCACGAGGAGCGCGGTCCGTCGAAGGACCCTGTATTGATTCGGGAGGACCATGGTTTTGGATGTTCTGACGGATGATATTGGGGTATGACAGGCGTGGTCTTTGGCTTGGCGCTGCTTTTGGTTGCCCAAGGGTTGCGTAACTGAAGACAAGGAGATCAGTCCAAGCTTCAGTGGAGTTATTGTCCGTAACTTTCTCCAGCGTTTGCAGTAACGCTTCGGCCACTATAATGCGGGTGCTCTTCGGGATGTGATCGGGAAGATGGACTGTTTCGCGTAATCCCGCCAGGCGGGATGGGAGATCAGTTGGTACGGTGCGCTGCTGATTATTAGTCGAGGCGCTTGGTGGGGGCGCTTGAGAACGCAGCTGACGTTGTTCTGCTTTGGCGCATTCTTTCGGTTGGGTCTCAAGGTGTTTCGACAGATACAATGCACTGGAAAGGACTTTCAGGCACTTTGGGCATTGAAGAGGGTTCGTCATTGTCGTCCCTTTAATAAAGCGTTCGACGGAGAAAGAGATCTGAATTCAGGAGATCAGAAAAGAGTACTTATGGCTTGAGTATTCACAAACCATAAGACGACTCTGCCGAGTCTGCCCTCACACACACGCTTCAAGTCTACGACTAATGGTAAAATACGAATAAAGTATTGCACCTGTCGGCTGCTTGTCTGTCTGTGTTTAACATAGCAAGATCGCGACAGACTAATCACCATTCACCAGTACCTGCACTGTCCTGCATGCTGAAGCAAGAACACTGATTGTGAGTTCCAAGTTCGAGTTGATTCTGTTGGTGCCAACTGCGAAGTACCAATATTATTTTTTGCGTGTATCGTTATGATTTTGTAATTATCGCTGTTCCTGTGTGCTCCAAGCAAACCTGAATTTTTACCTTTACGCCTTTGTATTTCAAATCTGTCTGGATAATCGTATTTTATCAGAGTAGTTTAATGGCATAACCAGGATTCAGGATAGTTTGCCGTGGTGGTGGATTTAACTTCCATTTTCCTGACGGTTGTTACATCCTTATGATGCTGTGCACGAACAATATGTGAGGTAACTAGATTGAATTCATAAGAATAAACTCATTAATAAGCCATAACCCTAATAAAGTAAACGCAGTTTTGCCCAGCTTGCAGCATTTTATTGTTTATCTCTGTCTGTTTGTGTTTATAATTCCCAATGAAATTTTGTTGAGTCGGTGACCATCTCGACGTGCCAGTTTACTTATCTTATCTTGATGGTTTTGTTCTGACACTGGCAGTGGTCTTATCGGTCGTACTGGAACATAAGTGGCTCTGGTTGGACGCAATGTGGTAGCGACAAATTAACAAATTATAAACGTCTTTTTGTTCACGCTTGACATTGTGTTTTAATAATTTTTATTGTTCACTGTTGCCTGGTATACATGCAGTACTTATTTTTCTTTAAACATTTTGTGTAGTACGTCTGTACCCCTTGTTTATCTTGAAGCGCAGATGAGGCTTTCTAACCATGAGGCTGCTTTCTTCCGAAACGAGTGACTAGCACTGACTACTTCTTTTGCTTTAATATATAAATATAGATATACTAATATTGCGTTTTGTCCGACGATTGAAAAAATGTTAGTAGTAGCTGGCTACGTAATTTGCTGGCCCGGTAAATTTTGTATACCAGAATATATAGATCAGAATAGTTCTTTAGATGTTAGACTGATAAGCTGCCAACGGTAGACGTTATCTACACAGACGTGAGTTTTTTCCCAACTGTGTATAAAGTATAAACACAGTACCGTACATGTACCGGACTGTTACACAGTAGCTCAGATGAATTTGCTGACAGCACCATTCAAGCGGCTCCTTCGTTTCCGGTTATCCTTGCGTTTATCAGCAGATGTTGTTTAATCATAAATGTCGCTTAAGTATGTAGTAATAAATATTTATTTTGGCTAGGGACCTATGTTTTGTGTCGTTGGCGACTCGTCGCGGACTCGCTGTCATCGGTGTCATGTAATAAGGCTGTTATCGAATTGATAGCGTTTCCGGTCATACATGGGAACATCGCCGTACTCGTCTGTGATTTGGTGGGCCCATTCCTGCCAAATAGTTCTATAATCTATACGTATCGTATACAATCCCATGTAGTACGATTTATTAAGTCGATTGACATTAATATACATAAGAATGTGTTTATATATCAATATCTGGATGTGTAACACTGTAACTGTAGGGTGTGCCACTGTGCGTAGAGAGCTTTGCCTTAAAATGTTACTTATAATATGTATGCGAATGTGCATACAATTTTAAGGGTAACACGATAGCGGCATGCTATTAATATTAAACTGTTCTGTTCTTATTTTTGCTTGATTTATTTAATCCTGTTACGACCACATAGAACCTTTTATTATGATGCAGCTTAAAACTGGACTTATTTTTGGACGACAGAAATGCATCAGCGGATCGTTTCGTTTTTACAAATAATGGCCTTATTTTACAACAACCTTTACAGTTATTTGGAGCATCTGGAGTGTTTGGAATGACATTGTTGCAAGGTTTTTAAAACGATTGATTAGAATTTACTGTCAGTGTTAGCTGCAGAATGCGTTCGCTGTGGAGCGCATTGCCAGTACCGTTGGTAATTTCATTGAAACAAATTCCACACGGTTATCCATCGTACCGCGATATAATCAGTGCGATGTCCTAGTGAGGCCATGCATATGGCCCAACCAGATTACTTACGCGTAAGCAGTAATGCACATTTTCTGCTGCGTAGTTGTGTTTTTCGTTTTGACAAACGTGACTGTGCGTGCATGTTGGTATAATCACGAAATTTTTGGGCGGGTGGAAAAGTAGTAATTTCGGTCACTGTATTTCACTTGCAGTGTATGCTAAGTAATATTCAGTTTTTCATTATCTTAAGCGTATATGCTGTTATAGGTTGATGTGTTTTCGGCGTAACTTCGGATTTATTTATTGTCATGGGCACTGACCCTTGCAGGCCTGGGTCATGGCTTTAACGCAGTGCGCGGTGTGGAGAAATGTGTTGCGTTCTTGTTCGGCGTCAGCGTTATTCTTGCTTTGGACACTTGCCAGTTTCTTTCAAGTAAGTACAATCGAAATTTTTGAAATTAAGCAAATATGACGTACTACAAAATATGCTGAAGCTAAGTAACATACAGCCGTCTTGAATCCGGTGTTATGCATAATTGGTCTACTTTGTATCTGTATTTTGCTCTCGAATACCGTGAAATTTCGGCCTTTACGGAGAAGTAACTTAAATATATAGAAATATTTATGCACATGGAAAAGACAGACACGTAGTCAAATAATAATATTATAAACGAAAGTAGTTGGTTGCGGAATATTGCGTAAAAGGTATAGGTCTCGTGATCCTTTAGATTTTTAACATTATTTTTTGAAGAAGCTTTGTAACTCTGGGCATGGTAAGCGAAATATCTGTTTTCTTTTATAATATACTAGTAAAATTTGGTTGTGGGGAGCGGTTAGCAGGGAATTTGTATCAAAACTATGAATCAGCCTTGTTCTTTTGACTAACTGCGATGCCAATCGTTTTCAGATTTCACATGGTGCCACTCTTGCCATTGAATTCCGAGATGATGAGCTACCTCGTCCAAGCCCCAGCGACTTTTATGTCTTTACTTTCTCGCCTCCACTTGGAAATCAACGAAAGCATATCGTCTTGGTAGCTCAGAATTATACTAGTCCGTTGATTTTGCCGAACGTAGCACCCACAACGGCCTACAATGTCACCGTCTTCATTAACGAGCTGCCCATGCCAACGCAGACCTTTGTGTCCGGTATGTGTTGTAGTGTCCTAGTTTCCGCTCAGACGGTAGTGCACAAGAATATTTTCAGAAGCTTTTAAAGTGTGACAAAAGCATTATGCTACCTATGCATTCTGTACAAGCGCGTATGGGTGCTCGTTCACCCGCCGGATGTGGATATCTGCCGAAACATGTGTGCACTAGACATGCATTTGGCGGAATGTAGCGTTTAATTGTTTGCACGAGGGGTATGCGATCTTGCAGTAAAGCGCTTTATTATGATTTGTTAGCTGTTTTGCGAAACTTTAGCTGCAAAATACAAAAGATAAGAAATGGTTAATTTTTAGACTATGTTTGAAATCAAGTCATTTCATAAACTATTCGATCGGAGTATATTGTAGCCCTAATATTGCGTTTCTTAGTATTAAATATTAATTTCTATCGTGTGCAGGCCCCGATCCACCGGTTAAACTGGAAGCGAAGAGCACAGGTCCAAATGAAACTATAGTGTATTGGAAGCCACCTCTGGCTGGCACTGTCGATAAATATCGTATTCAACTGTTTTCCCGGGATCAGTCGGGGAACATAACAGAGGGTCAACCACTGGACTGGGATGCCCCCAAAATCACTATTGCGCCATTGTATCCTGGTGGAGAATATTCCGTCGAAGTTCGCAGTCTCGTTTCGTCATATGATCGAGGCATCGCTTTATCGGAACCAGTTCGAACTAGTTTTGTACAACGTAAGTCGTTTTATTTGATTTTGCTCTTCTTGAGCGAAAGAATAGTTTCTATTTGACATGATGTATCACAGCTCCAGCCACGCCCACAAAATTTCGCCGAATTCCTTCGGCCATAAGTGAAACTTCCGTCAGCGTGCAGTGGGATGCAGCAGAAGGTGTCGTGGACGCCTACTTCGTGTCCATTCAAGCATCTATCCAGCCAAATGATTCTTTTGTCAATCCCAAGGATCCTCTCAAAGCAACATTCAGTAAATTAAGCCCGGGAACGGTTTATACGCTGGCAGTCGTATCAGTTCACGGCAATGCTTCCAGTAGTCCGTCATTCCTAAATGTCACTACAAGTATGTAAAGGTGAAAACGTTCCGGGACTGGATAGTACAATTTTGAAATCTTTTAAAAACCGTAGCCTGTTTCGTCGGTTTCGATTAGCTATGCACTTGTTAGAATTTACAGAAATAGTGGGTGACTAGGTTTTTATTGGTTTGTAGGACCGCTTTCCCCGACAAAGTTGCGTGACATCTCGGCTTCTCCTGAACCGCGATCTCTGCACATCGGATGGGATCCCCCTGTGGCGCCGAAAACCGGCGTGTTCTATCGAGTGACAGTAAACGGCACAGAACTGAATCTGGATAATCCCGTGGACAGTCGAGCAACTGTGGATAATCTCCTTCCTGACGAAACGTACATGATTGTCGTGGAGAGTTTCATAAAGAACACAGATGATTTACCACTGTACAGTAAAGGAGTGCAGGGGATTTTTCATACCGGTAATCGGCCAGTAATTATTACCGAAAAGTTTTCAAGCTTGAAATAAAGCTTTTCTTGTGATACCACTATAGTATCGGATGCATCTGTATCCGTAACGGCAGTGATTGATCGACCGGAAATAGTGATGGAGACAGCGGATGGGTCAGTCAAATTTTTAGAGGCCAAGTAAGTTGAATATTTCATTTTCGGATTTGACGTTTAATATCGTTTTCAAAAATTATTGAGTTTTTTCTTGTGTTACCAGTAGTCTTGAGCTGTCGTTGAAATAATAACGGAAAAAACTTGGCTTTGTCTTTTTTGGCAGCTGTGTTATGTGTATTATTATGAACTTTAGTACAGCGGATTCTTAAGGCTTGTTATTGTTAACACAGTATTTTGCTGAATACGTTGTAGTGCAACTTCTGAGGATAATTCGGTTGTGAACGGAGATGTTTCAACTGGTCAACACGTTAACTTCCGAGATTTGGTTGGAGGTGCGTGGAACGTGGTCGTTTGTTGATTGTAAACAATCATTACGGTAATATTTGTGTATTGCAGGTACGCATTATTTAATCTACGCGAGGCTGTTACAGAATGGTTTGAATGTTGTGCGCTCCTTTGAAAAATTGACTTGTAAGTTTGTTTACTCTCGCACTATAATTAACCTTGAAGATGGTCAGCCTGACAAATAGATCAGTTTCTCATAACCCAAATGACTATTTTGACAGATCCTTTTCCTCCAATTGATATTTCTACCAACAAGAGCTTGACGACCACGGACAGCATCATGTTGGAATGGTCCAAGCCGTTTAATACTCGCTTTCAAGGCTACCAGATTTTGTACCAACGCGACGATGCCGGAGCCATCACGCCTCCACCGGATCCGAAAATTATAACCGTTGCTAACGCGAGCATTACGAGCTTCAACGTGACAGGATTAGAGACAGGCACAAAATATTCGTTCCGATTGAAGAGTTTTGTGGAAGATGTTTTCAGTGTGGAAACTCCCGCTGCGCTGTATTGCACTCGTAAGAAAATGCGCTTTGTTCCCCATACATGTTTACTGCACGTTTAAGAGCATCTGAACTGAATGACCATTAAGTAATAATTATCTCTTTCCGAAGTTGTTGGTTGTTATAGGTAATGACTTTGCTCAACAACAGTAGGTACTCTAGTACTTGATACTTATCTGTACAGTAAATGGTTGTACTGATAAATTTGATCGCGTAACACAGATAAGCATGTCATTTACGGGTATTATTGCAGGTCCACTCAAACCCAGCTCGATCGTGCAACCTCTGCCGGTCAAGCTGATGTTGCAACTTCAACGGCCGTCTAATACCACAAAATACTACCGGGTGAAACTGTTGAACCTTGATGTGAAAGATATGCCAGTGCGTGAAATCACTATTCGCAATGACTCGATGGTTGTCAACTACTCCATTGCCATTGACTATTTGGGAGCGACGTACGAAGTCCGTGTGGCAGCTGTTTCTTGTGACCTGCTCAGCGAAGAAGTGTCGCACATTGTCAATTCGTGTAAGTTAATAGGCTAATGCCTCCCTGTTGTATCGTGACAACAGTAGCCCTTGTAAGGGCTTGTCATTTGATGTCGCTGTGACGTGGTCTTTGCTCTGACGCATAGGACATGGAGTACCTGAGGCTAAACCTGAATAGCTGAATAAGATCGAAGCGCTTTCTGTGCTGTTCCATGATATACTGTAAAAAATTATTTCAGTATTAACCACATCTACACGCATATGTAAAATCTCGTCTTGAAGTAAGGCATTCTTATAACATACGGACAATTCCACTTTTTTAACGATTTCCAGCTGACCTTTCGTTAGTACGGACTATGGAAATTATGTAGTACTTCATAGTGCCTCTTATTTTTTAATTTCTCTATTTTGTGCAGTGCCACCGACTGTAATTTTTACGCGACCTCCTACCGAGGTTACCCAAACCTCCATCAAATTTTTGTTCCAAGCCGGTTGGAAATTAAAACGTAGCATCTTCACAAGATTCGTTATCGCTACGGATGGAATTCCACCTAAATATGTTTTGCCGAACGATGAAGACATGCATGTTGTGGAATTTACCGGTCTCATTCCTGGGACAAATTATAAAATTCTCGGATGGTCAGAGCGTGGGGAAGTGCAGAGTGATAAGCGGTATCTGATGGTGCAGCTCAAGCCTAACAATGTCACCGTTCTCAATGCTACAAAGATTTCCAGCCGTAGTATTGATTTTACTTGGGAAACCCCCGTTGGGGTCATCGGGAACTACGAGATCGGCTACAACAATACTGCGCCAGTTTCTACTAACGAAACGTCCTGGAGCTTCACAGGCTTGTTGCCCTTTACGGTATACTCAATATACGTGGTGGCCCGTAGTGGCACCGAACGCAGTGGATCTTTGACAAGATTTTTCACTACACTGGAAGACAGTAAGAACAAGGATCATGTTACGCTAAATTTCATGTGAATATTCGGATGCTTTGTAGAACCGGGTCCTGTGAAGTCGTTCCAGCTTACTCCACAACGGTCAAGTGTTCTTACTTTAAAATGGAGTAAGCGTAGAAGGAAAAATACAGAATACGACTGTTAACATGGAAAACAGTTAAACTGTGTAGCATTTATCCGAATATATTTTCAATTTCTCGTTTTCGTAGGTGCGCCAGAATCTCCCAACGGTATCATTACGGGTTACGTGTTAGAATATAAGGAAAACAGCACAGGAGAACAATGGATACGATTAGACCTTGCACCGAGCAAAGATTTGTCGCATTCTTTGTCACTAAATGCCGGGAAAACCTATCTTTTCCGAATTGCACCAGTCAACTCGGCTGGCATCGGGCCAGCTCAGGATGGCTCCATGACCATGCCTATCGCTGGTATGATTTTGTTGCCGTGTGCTTTTACGATGATCTCGTATTTATTTTCGGCATTAAGTGAGGGAATTGGTGAATAATTCGTGTTTCTGTAGCTCCCATCGCGCGCCGATCTTCGCGTCCAGTGAAAACCGATGTTTCGAAAGATACAATAACGCTGGATTTCAGCAAAGAATTTTTTATGGATACAAACGGGGAAGTTGTCAAGTACGCTGTGATCGTAGCTGAAGATCGCTTACAGAACTCAAATCGTACGCTTGCGTGGCGCGATGTACAAAATATGGCGATCTGGCCGCCATATGAGGTACGAAAGATCTTGTTTATGTGCTGTTTATCGTGCTGAATTTGCTTGTTGATGGTTTTTTAAACCGTTCCTTGGTATCACTGGTTTGCAGTTATGTTATTTATGCATTTTACAGGCGACTCCTTTGTTTAATCCTTTTAATGACCTGAATGATTCGTATGCGGTGGTGATTAATCCAGAAAATGGCCAGGCAAGAGTTACAATCGGTACTGAGAGGGATTGTTCGAATTCGCCCGAAGTATACTGCAATGGACCTTTGAAAGAAAACACCAAATACTATGTTAAACTGCGAGCCTTCACCAGCCTTGCTGAAAATAATTTGTTATATGCGGATACTGAATATTCCGAACCCATCATGACAGAAGGTTGGTGCCGTTTTTCTTTCATCTTTGTGATTTCCGGATAGTTTCAATTTTTTAAAATTTGGGTGCAGCTTCCCGCTCCAGTGCGTTGGCGATTGCGATTGGTGTTTGTGTTCCTGTAATTGTCCTGGTGTTTTTTGCGGCTTTGCTGGTCCTTATGCGAAAATATAATCTCGGACCCTTTGTGAAACGAGCACGAAAAGCCGTGGTTAAAACAGCGGATGACAAAATCTCCATAACTGAAAGTCTGCCTGAAAAGTCGTAAGTATGGGACATAAGAAGATCAATTTCTGATAACTGACGCTCTTCGTTGTAGACGGCCGGTAAAACTTAGAGAGTTTGCGGAGCACGTTCGAATGATGTCTGCCGATTCAGACTTTAGATTTTCCGAGGAATACGAGGTACCATTTGAATTCAGGCAGTTAAGAAGTGACTCTTACTAATTTACTTATTTTATGATTGTGTTCGGTGTATATTGAAAACGTGTAGTAATGAGACGGGTTAGCATTAAAATGGTGTAGCGCCAGAATTTACCGTGAAAACGAAGATGGATGAAGAATTAGTCGTAATGATGACGGTGAACGAGTTTGTTGTTATTCAGGATCTGAAACATGTGGGAAGAGATCAGTCGTGTGCAGCGGCCGATTTACCGGTTAATCGAGCCAAGAATCGTTTTACGAATATCCTTCCATACGATCACTCCCGAGTGAAACTGCTGGAAACAGACGATGAAGAAGGCACGGATTATATTAACGCCAATTATATGCCAGTACGTGATCGGAGAATTTCCCATGGTGTTGATGAAATTGAAGTAAATATCGACGCTGTTTTACAGGGTTATAATTCTCCACGAGAGTTCATCGTTACGCAAGGTATCTATAAAATGATTAAAATTGATTAGAGCCTCTTCCTAACCTTAAATGTTGTCAGGGCCACTTCCGGGTACGCGTGATGATTTCTGGCGGATGGTATGGGAACAAAACTGCCGTGCCATCGTCATGCTAACACGTTGCGTCGAAAAGGGCCGAGTATGCACCACCTTATGAGTTATGAATAATTTGTTATTTCATGGATTCAGTGCTTGATATTTGTTGCAGGAAAAATGTGATCATTATTGGCCGTATGATACTGATCCTATCATTTACGGGGATGTGGAAGTAACAATAATGAACGAATCGCAGACTCCCGACTGGACCATGAGGGAATTTCGTGTTGCGAAGAATGTGAGATGTTACTTTTGGAAGTGCTACATTTTACGCAGTATAATTTGTACTCGAGCTGTCTAGCGTGCTTCATCACAGGCTCCACAGCTGATCGTTCCACTTTAACATTCCGAAATCACTACAAAACAAAGTGGTTTTAGAGTCTTGTGTTGCGGTGTTGTAGATCGTTTGATTGACCTTTCGCTGGTCTGTTTACAAATAATGTGTTGTGAAATATAATTAGAATGCTGATTGTGTACGAATGTCCTCCTTCCTGTTTAAGAAACTATGGATACATTTTCGTGCACTTCAGTTAACCGATGGTGTCGCTGTTGTAGAACGAGCCGGCGCGTAGTGTCCGACATATCCATTTTACTGCCTGGCCTGATTTCGGAGTGCCTGAGCGGCCACAAACTTTAATCAAGTTTGTCCGTGCCTTTCGGGAACGCGTTCCCACGGATTCACGGCCTGTGATTGCGCACTGCAGGTATGCGCGACCGTTGTTACTTATTGTTAATTGGGAAGGTGCTTTTTCGCTTGTGACGCATTATCTTCGATAGTGCCGGAGTGGGTCGGTCAGGAACGTTCATAGCGTTGGATCGGTTGCTGCAGCAGATTCGGACCCAAGATGTCGTTGATATTTTTGGAATGGTTGTTGAAATGCGTAAAGAACGTGTATGGATGGTTCAAACCGAGGTTTGTTACAGGAGGTCAATGATTTACTACATAGTTATGCTCAATGCGTTTTTGTAAACTATGCTGAGCTTTGGTTGTTTTTGTTTAGCAACAGTATATCTGTATTCACCACTGTTTATTGTGTGTCCTGGAGCATCGGGAAGATGACGCGAGCACTGTGAGTTCCGCCATGCACGAGAATCCTTGTTACGACGGTAAGTTAATTGTTTGTATACCTTTTTTATTACCGGTAGTGCTGCATGGTGTTTGGGCGAACCGTTTCCTGTGCGTTTTGCCAGCCTTTATTTGCATCGCATCCTCAACAAAATCTGAGAAAAAGCATGGCTTTCTTACTGGAAATAAGCAATAAATTGTCGGTGCGTGTAGCATCTGAACGTGCCCAATATTCTTCTGATGGTCGTAGTACTTTTATTGCTTTTTGTCGTGAAGTAATAAGGATATGCGAAGTTGAGACTACTCTAGTGGTGCTAGCTTGGGTTAGTATACGTATTAAGTGGTTTTGAGATGTCGATGTAATGTAAGTATTTGATTTTCTAAAATAACGTGTCTAAAATTTTCATGAATTTTGGTTTAATTTAGATAATGGATGCGTGGGTACTTCTGAATTTTCAATTAGCTAAATTTTTTGTTTGTTCATTTATGTTTTCATAATCATGATATCCTGCTGTTTGTTGTATTGTATTGTGCCACCGCGTCTGCATGGGTTGCGCTTGCAAGCTAACCTTTGTTTGGTCTTGTCTGTGAATTTTAGTATCCGACGATGAAGGTATTGTTGAGTCCGGTCCATTTTAGAAGCAGCGGAAATACATCTGTGATACACATGACACCGTCCGATTACTGGATGGATCCAGTGTCCTTTTCGGTTTTCTAGAATCTCCTCGAGTGCGTCCGGAAAACTGGCCACGTTGACAGAATGCTCAAATTTCCGTGCTAAGAGAAATAAGTAATATAGCTATTTCAGAGAGATGCTGATTGATTCCGTCTAAGTTAGCTGCAAGAGCTGTTACAATTTTGGTACGTTTACTTTTTTCTGATTATTTGTAATGTGTGCCTGTTGTGTGGATCCGTGTATCTAATGTTGTTGTTAATTTTATCTTAATGAGCGCGAATGTGAGTTTGATTTCCATAATTATTATTCAATGGATGCTAAATATGCTGTGATAACTGTTGACTTTTTGTACTGAGCGTTCGCACGATACCAAATCTAGTGTTGCCGACTGCATCTGAAATGGTATTGTTCTACGAAATAAAAAGAGCAACTATGGTCAAGTCAGTGCTAAAATATGTATGTAATTTAGCTGCGGTACTGTATGGACGTGCTGGGAGTACTGCAAAGAAGGGTAATATTCTGATTGGACTGTTGCAATGCTGTAATGGCAATGTTATTGTGAAAGATTAGCGGCTCTGATCCTGCAAGCGTGCAGTGACATTAGACGTCATGCGGTTTTGATTATTGTTTTTTTGGATTATGAGCATTAAACATAACAAAAAAACGAGCTCGGCAACTGGATAATGGTTCTACATAAGCGATTTATGCACGGGCTTTACGTAATATTGTCGATGAGGTTCAGATCCGAGGCGTAGGCATTGATCGTTAGTACTTATTAAAGCTCAATATGTCCAATTTCGACAGAGAGAAGCTAGCGCTAATTACTTGCATGAAAAAGATAATTATTTACATGAAGCATAGTAAGCAAGTAAACACGAAAGGTGCACGTCCGTTTAATTGGATTCGTATTTCATAAAAACTGGCTATGACGATGCTTGCGCGCGAATTTGCGTGGTGCCTCGATGTGCGCAATGTATGCACCTTCTTCCTGTTAGGGTTACGCACACAACCGTAGAAAGGCAACGACTGATTTGCGACAAAGGTTAGTATCGGTAAATATAAGAAACAAAAAATTTGTTTAATATCCTGACTATCACCTAATGGACGTCAAAGCTGGCAGCCCCCATTGTTAACAGAATCGAACTTAAATTTTAAAAGCAGTTGTATGGGTATACCATAGTAGGCGGATACAATTTTGTACGAACCCAATGGAACTCTTAATTAGCTGAATATATTAAGCGCAAGGTGATTACTAACAAATTACAAACTTGTAAAATACGTGTACGTGATAAGTCGTTGAAATATTTTTAACGGTATAGAAAAATAAGTATAAAATAAACAAATTACAGTATAAAATAAATAAATTACTCTAGCCGCTTAGTAGTCTGAATCAATTTTATTTTAAATTTAAAACAAATACTTACTACGGGCTTACAGCGCTAGTCACCACAGAAATAAGGCAAGGTACGGTAGATAGTAAGCGTTTATTTGGTCATATCGCGCAGTAAATGGTACGTGCATTGTTCATTTTTGTAATAATCTTACATCTATATGCGTAAAAAACGTTTTATTCATTAATCGACCGGAGCGTAGCGAAGGTCCTCAACAATACTACAATGCGTAAGCGCAATTATTGAAGGTATAACGATGTTAATCAGCCTTGCACTGTTTTCTGGTCAGTTTACGTTTTAGAAGGTTTCTTTCGCTTCGTATATCTGCGTTCTTATCATTCGTTGCCCCGCTCCAATATGGAAACCATAAATTTCAATCATCCGCAGAGTGCAGATTCTCCTGTTCTCTAGAAACGCCGAACTTTGTTCGTTATGCCAACCTAAAGACTGGACACGCAGGCAGAATTTAGTCGGTGAATCGTTTTGACTTAAACTATAATTCAGGCCATACAGCGGAGAATGGAAAAGGCCGAATTTTGACTCTGTTCTCGCACTATTATTACGTTGACCGGGATATACGAGTTCACTGATGACGTGGATCATGGGAAAAAGTGGTGCTGTCTCAAACTTTCGTGCAGGAAGCGTAACAGGGCAACAAATTTTGCCGGAAGTAAGGCGCATGGGTGGATACAAATTTGATGACAATCTCAACAGGCAGATTCTCCAGTATAATCAAACAGATTACCGTCAATGAGTTAAAACTTCCGCTCGTGAAACGCTTCCGTACGGAACCAGGATCCTTCAGGTAACAGTCGTAGACACTATGTTGATTGTTTTGTACCGCCTAACAGAGCGTATCATATAGAAGTATATAACGCTGTGTGGCAGATACTAGTTCACATCTACCCAGGCGGCTGCGTTACCGTTCCAGCGGTAGTCCCCATTTATATTTCTTGTATGCAAAATAGTAATTTTTATCATTGCACATTATTTAAACTGCTAGCAAAGTGTGATTTTTTCCGAGAGGGCAATAATCCGAATGTAAACTTCATTGATCTTATTAATATTCTGAATGTGATAGCGTGGGATTATGGGGCAGAACCATCAAACGTTGGTGTAGTATATGGGAAGTATGTGTTTGCTTCATGCAGGAAGATCCGCGTTATGGAATAGGTCATCGTTTGAACTGTGGTACACGATATAGTGTACACCGAATTGTGAGACGTAAACTATGCCGTTTTTTGCTGTTGTCTCGGTCTTTATATTATTTAGAAGTGACCCTGTGGGTGCCATATTAAAGTTTAACCTAATTGTTTTCACAGGTATATGAATAACCGCTGTCTGGGCCACTTACTGGTTTTTCGGGTATGCGGAATGTTTTAATTTTTTTGTAATTCCATCTTGGAGAGCGGAACCGACCAGTTAAGTTCTTACTTCGATATTTCTCAACAACCAGTCACTTTCACTATTCACATTAAGCAAGCGATCACTAGCTGTGTTCCTGATGAACTTGTTATCAGTGTTAGATTAAAATTAGTAATTGGCACACTTCTACAAATCTGCATATATCTTTGCAAGTCCGAAGGAAACTGGTGTCTGTACAAAATTGTTATTTCTTTAGTTTTTGCACTTTTGTTGTGATTGTTAATACGTGGGTGGCGAGTGTAAAATACAGTAAAAGTGACTGGTTAATGTTGTGGAATGCCTTTGTGCTTGTATTGATTGCCTCTGTGATTATTATGCATTTGTAGTATTTGTTGATGTACGTTTTTTACGAGCACCAACAATTATTAATAACAATGGCGTCACTAAATTAGCATTCTTGAATAAGCAAAGTATTTTTGCAGGGCTACGCCATGCATTGCCTCCACACAACAGCATTGAGGATATCTTTTTTAGTATTAATACTGTATGGACTTGCTCATCCAGTTGTTGCGGAGGATTCTCGACTCTGGAGCCGGCTATCGCATCGGCAAAGATGGATTGTGGCCAAAAGGGCACCGCCAACAGCCGGCGCAAAGAAAGTCTGTGGGAAGCAACTCCGAAGCCTGTTTTCTCTGATATGCCAAAACCGTTATCAAACCAAACATGCAGCCAGTATAGGTAGGTCGACAAGTAATACAGCTCAGCTCTGATACTTTAAAATAATGTAAAATGTATACAGTATTTGCAGTTTCGCACTCAGAAAATCATTATGTATCAAGTTATATCATAAGAGGACTTGTCCATGGTTCAGTTCGGGTGGATAATTACTTGTGCAATTAATTATGCCATATCGCTATTCAAATTTGTATACGTATACAGATTTGAACAAAAGAAAGGAAGTAGGCAAAGAAAGTACTTGCTACAAATTACATTATGCTGTATATAAATTATTCCGATATTCCCTTTCGCATTTTAAACAAGTCTATAACGTGTTGCAATATGCGCTCGTGAGAAGGAAATTAAAATTTTTATTGCTTGTGATGGAGCTCGAATCGGTAATAACTAATAACCAAAACGCGGGCACGCATCGACGCCGGCTTCAAACCGATATGAATCGCGGTTAAACTTAGAGAAAAAATCGACATGTGCCAGTCTCTCCCAGTTTCCCATCTAATTATGCCACGCTAAAATCAAATACCTGCCGTGCCGAAGTCCCACTACGATGTCCTTTTGTGGTTTAGGGTGCGGTGTTTAACTTGCAGATTACGTCAACACTGGATATAGTAACCCCTAATCTGCAATGTACTATTACGTGGATCTTGACGCTCATTGCCAATAATGATGAAAACGCTTTGCCGTGGAACGGCATTATTGTGACAGTAAACAAAACTATCATGCTATGTATGTACAGTATATGCGGCATAAATCATTGATTTAAAACTAACAATTAAGCGCAAGTAAAACCATGAGCCGCAAAGCAGAAGAAAGTGGTAAATTATATCTAGTGTAATGTGCACATTTAATAACCCAAATTGTATTCAAAAGTCCAGGGAAACTAAACTCGAATAGCTGTTGATAACTTGACGTTAAAAGCAACGATTTCGTCAAGAAAAAGCATTAATTACTGTAAAGTAACATGAGCGAACTCCCAACTTTACTAAGATAAGTTTACTTTTTACTACTGCGTAGAGCTGATCTAGCTTTTATAATTGATTACATTTCAAATCACGCAGTGTATTGTACAACTTTCTCGACTTTTTAATCAAAAACAGAATCTGCAGATACTCGTATACTTAGTAGGTTTAATTTGCAGTACTATATGGCTAATGGATTCAAAACAACGTTTTTGTTAACAGAAATGGCTCGTCGGGCGCAGCTACCGGCCGTGATGAAAAGAAATCCGGAATATGCAACAGATGACCATATTCTGCCGCACGACGAAGATCCCGCTTTGGATCCCGATTCAGTATTTCTGGATGAACAGACCGCGTCTATATTTTTGCACCGACGAGCTGATGAAAAGGGTGCTTATTCCGAGTGCTGCTTGAAAGCGTGCACAATCTCTGAAATTGTTGGGTATTGTCATCCTGATATACAGAAAGGCGTCTACGGAATAGCCAATCCAAAGATTCAGTGATCTCATTTTTTTGCACATTGTTACCTGTTGAAGTTCGCAATCTTGCTCTTTTCAAATCTCGCATACGTGTAATGCTGATTACGTAAAATATAAAATCGCATGCGGTGCAGTGTTATTTTCCGTCCACGATTCAGTGAGTAAATTTTAACTATACGGTCAAGACTAGCAAAAAATTTGTAGCGTCTTGTGTTTAAACCCAAGACATTGATAAAATTTTATCAATGATTTTATTTTATTACAAATTTGAAGAAATTACTACATGTTCGAGTGTCTGTCCCTTATTCCATTGTACGTACCTAGATTGCTATGCTTACTACTCTAGTTTTCTACACACGTTGGATGGCATCAGTCACGCACCGTGACGCACGTCAGTCGACAAAACAAATATCCAGTACGGTCGGTTAGAGATACCTACAACAACCATCTACCTGAATTCAGTAACAAGTTTTCGAAGGAACTAGCCGAATAAAGCAATCGCAAAGTACGGCTCTCCTTTTTGCTGCACAAGTCATGATCAATTTATTCATGAATGCGACCATCCGAATGTTCGTGCTTGTATCCAAAAAGGTCATGACAATCGAATTGTACGGTTTGCCCCTCATCAAGAGCCTTATTCGTGTTTTGGATAACGGTCACAAAGCATTGTACGAAATTTTTTATACATTGTGGCAATTATATACAAGGAAGTTAAATGGTAGTTCCGGCACCATGCAGGATAACATGATTCGCATCTGTACACTTCTACCGTGGTATACCTTTGATAAGTATCGTTATACAAGTACAAACTTAGTACCAAAACAAAACGGCATTTACAATAAAAAAACTTCCTCTATGCACTTCTTGGACATCGGCAATTCTGCAAAGCACCCATCGGAATGCAGAATTATGCTAAGCTATCTGAATCATGATTTTTATTGGACATAAGCTGTGCAGGTGTTGCAAAGCAGAGCAGGACTGCTTGATTTCGAAACGCAACGTTTGGGCAATTTTTATTAATTAGACCTTCTAAAATTGTTTATTCAATTTAATTATGCTAAGCCAGTTTAAACTAAGCTAAGCCAATTATGCTAAGCCAGTTTGGGCAATTGTGTTTATCTGCATTTCTTTCGGCGTTATTGTCAGTGCTGAAAGAAAATTCATACTCGTGCTTAATTTATTAATATAGGAACCCAACAGAAAGCCAAAGTCAGCTAGAATGGATAAACGCCAACAACTGTCCTGTACAAGAAAACAAAACTGAGACTGGCAGGCGTATGATAAGTAATGCGAGCACATGTGTAAGAATGAAACTGGCTAACCATAAGGAATAACCACAAAGGATGTTGTTAATAACTTCACCTGCATACACAACCATACACAACAAAAGAATTTACATGTACCATTCATTCCTTAGATAAAAGTGTGCTACTTCTACTTTCGGGACTTGTAGTGATTTGATTTCCCGCAAACTCAGTAATCTACAATTGTGCTTTCGACGCGGCTTAGGCCTTTAATGCACAGGATCCAGTGGTCGATTGAAGCCTCCCCGCCGATTCATGTACTGGCGATATTTGCGCTTGACTGCCACCGCCGCCATTCCCGTGTCGTTTCCCTCCACTTTTTTCCCCTTCGTCGAGTCAAAGGAAGTGAAGCCCATCATAGCCACCATGGCTTCTTCGTCATCATCCATGGCGATTCCCGACGTTCCGGAAAATACCAGCTTTTCCTCGCTAGCGTGACGATTTACCTAAAAGCGCATTCACAATGCATAACCATACGAAAGTCCTTCATTTAAATGAACCATTTTCAGTCGAAGTTTAAATATCCATAATTCATAATTAATGTGTTAAATATCCATAATATGTCAAATATCCATAATTAATGTGTTAAATGAAATTTTCCAACCTACTATAGAAGTTTCTAAAACAAACAAATATTTACTTGCAGCAAAGCAACTGTACGAGTATGCACCAGTACTTATTTGAATGAACCAAAACGATGGCAGCAAAGCTAAAAGCCTAAACCACAGAAAAATGTGCGTTCGAGTATTTCCACATTAGGCATAACAGTAAGTATTATTTTCTTGGACACTAATGCAGAGGAATATTTATAGTGCACTAAAATATCCTTTTTTCCATGCGAAACGGAATAATTGACGGCTATTTATGGAAAAAATGCACCAGCAAATTTTCTTATTGCTGGATTACAGTTGACTTACTGGTTTTTCCGGGGGAGGACCTCTGTCTTTTCCGCGATCGCTGTCTCGCTCCCGTTCCCGCTCCCTCCTGTCGCGTGGTGAGCGGGAACGCTCATCGCGCGTTCTCCTGTAATCCGCGCGGTCTCTGATTGGAGAACGCGAACGACTTCGGCGGCGTTTTCGGTCGGGCGATCTGCTTCGACTGCGACGCAACGGTCTTTTCCTGTCGCGATCACGACGATCTAGTTCTTCTTCGTTAAACCGACGACGTGAGCTATCGGCTGCAACAATGCAATCCGTCATTAATCCAAGTCTTGAAGTGCTCTAAGCTAGTCGTAAATTGCTTGTGAGCGTATTTTCATGGGTCTGATAACTCTGACTGAAATACGCTGTACTGTTTTACCTGGCATGATGGAAGTGGCTCCAAATCAAATGCGAAAGAATCCACCGTCCACGGATACAGCGCCACAACTTCCGAATCCACAAAAATAACTGACTCCTATCTTGAAATACCAGCGAAATCAATGCAGTACTTCGAATGTCAAAAAATGCTGCATGTCCGAATAGATACTTCAGGCATCGTATATTCTCGCCAGAATAACTAGTAACCGTTGATTGCAACTGCCAGAAAGATTACGAATTCAAATTATGCTAACCTGCAGAACCAAATTTTTCTTCACCAAACAGGTAAGAACCAAACACTTATCTTGGACTTGAACTTACAACATTTTTTGTCACTTCTTCGCTTTGTAAGTTTACGCTTTAATAATAATATTTATAAATTGTCATTATGTGCACAACCTAAACATCACGGCTGATCTAATCCTCCTGGAGGGATTGGATGGGCGCTATTCACGCAATTCGGTTCAATTTATGGACTTAAGCGTCGTGCTCAGTGGCAGCGTTTACACATCCAATCTGCCACAAAATCCATTGGAAGTTGTTGCTTTTCAGTGCCTAAGCGCAAGCCCAAACACGAAAATAATTAATACTACTGTATTTGAAATTAGAAATTTTAGTTTTTATCAAAAGGAGGGCTTAAAAGCAAAGCGCAGAGCGTATCGACCCTGATAACAGGTACCCGATTTTCTGTTATTATGGTTAAGATTTTATTATTGTTAGAATCTGACTAGCGTGTGAAACATTTTGTGAATTGTAAAAGGTACCACATATCGACATATGCCTCGTTTAAGAAGAAGAATTGAAGATGAATTTCTCTCGCTCGTACTAACTTTTATTTTGACCAAATAACAAATGAACCTTTTTTCAGATACCTTTCCATATGTTACACTTTCAGACCAGCAATGGAAGCATTACAAAACTGTTTTTGTTTAAAATGAAAAGTCAAGGACCGTTTTGTCCTACCGAAACATGCTTACAAAGAATTCTAAAATATCAATAAATTATCTCTTCCACTTAAGGAAAGCCTTTCGACAACACTAACATGAGCACTCGGGTTAAGACTATGGTTAAAACTAAGATCAACAATCAGGTTTTCACTTTGATCAGAACTAACGTTAGCACTCGGGTTATGGCTCCGGTCAAATTAAGGAAGTGGGCCGGTACAAGGTACCAAATTCGTGTACATGCACGAAAAGTTAACTTTTGCGCACTCCCAAACACATTTTTGGTTTTATTTTATGACATTCTGTAGCCAGATGACTTGTATACACGGGCGTGAAAACCGTTTGCGCGCGCAACATCCGGTTCGGGAGCACCTGGCTATGAATATCGTTTTTTACACCGATCCACTGATCTAGCATGTTTTTCGAATTTTAAAATGACTTTCAAAAATTCTAAAATTCATTTTAAGATTTTAAGCAAATCATGAAAGTCTAGATCGCTGTAAACACGAAAGACCGTGTGCATTTATGTGCAAAATTTGAAGTAGATCGGTCCATAATGAGACTTTTGGTACACCGGAATGCAGGTAAACTTTTTGGAATTTTCAAACAGCCATAACGTGTATACAAATCATCTGGCAACAGAATGTCATAAAATAAAACTAAAAATGTGTTTGGGAGTGCGCAAAGTTAACTTTTCGTGCATGTACACGAATTTGGTACCTTGTACCGGCCCACTTCCTTAATTTGACCGGAGCCATAACCCGAGTGCTAACGTTAGTTCTGATCAAAGTGAAAACCTGATTGTTGATCTTAGTTTTAACCATAGTCTTAACCCGAGTGCTCATGTTAGTGTTGTCGAAAGGCTTTCCTTAAGTGGAAGAGATAATTTATTGATATTTTAGAATTCTTTGTAAGCATGTTTCGGTAGGACAAAAACGGTCCTTGACTTTTCATTTTAAACAAAAAACAGTTTTGTAATGCTTCCATTGCTGGTCTGAAAGTGTAACATATGGAAAGGTATCTGAAAAAAGGTTCATTTGTTATTTGGTCAAAATAAAAGTTAGTACGAGCGAGAGAAATTCATCTTCAATTCTTCTTCTTAAACGAGGCATATGTCGATATGTGGTACCTTTTACAATTCACAAAATGTTTCACACGCTAGTCAGATTCTAACAATAATAAAATCTTAACCATAATAACAGAAAATCGGGTACCTGTTATCAGGGTCGATACGCTCTGCGCTTTGCTTTTAAGCCCTCCTTTTGATAAAAACTAAAATTTCTAATTTCAAATACAGTAATATTAATTATTTTTGTGCTTGGGCTTGCGCTTAGGCACTGAAAAGCAACAACTTCCAATGGATTTTGTGGCAGATTGGATGTGTAAATGCTGCCACTGAGCACGACGCTAAAGTCCATAAAATGAACCGAATTGCGTGAATAGCGCCCATCCAATCCCTCCAGGAGGATTAGATCAGCCGTGATGTTTAGGTATTGGCACAACGAAATGACGACGCAAACCTGCAGCGTTTTGACACTCGTTCCACTAGGGTCCGAGAACGGGCTGGGGTCTGTGCGCTTTAATGAAAACCTCAGCACGCCACAATCTGAACAGCTGATCGCTCAATTTTATTTCGTTAATGGTTAATCGGTAAATTTTTGAAGTTTAATACTAGTTTAATTACAAGATTTTCCAAGTTTTTTTGCCTGTCATATCGTTGTCATTTTTATTTATCGGTATTTTTTCTGTCTCTCCTCTCTTTATAGATAATTTCGAGTGAAATAATCTCGTGATGGATACATTTCATACAAAAGTGGCGCTTATCACGGGTTCGACATCGTAAGCAGGAGATCGTTCTCCATGTTTCTGGGTCTTCGTCTCTTCCCGTTTTTATTTGATTTTTAAGTACAGTATCAGTATTGCAGTATTAAATGTTGCGATTGTATTACCAATAATAGCAATCAGTTTGAGTTGTTTAATATTTTTTGGGGCCGTAAATTGATGAAAAGAGTTTTTTAAACTATTGTGTTGTTGCGCGCTTTTGTTCTTTTTTTTCGAGAGCATAACGATAACTGCATAAGTAAACAATTTCGTACTATGACTATGGCTGTCCAAAAAAACGTTTTTCGTTGGGTAACACGTAATTTCCACATACATGTAGTTATGGTGCATTGTACACTTCAACTGAAATTTCGTGTGTGATTATTATTGTAGTGGCATTGGTCTTGGGATCGTCGACAAGTTAGCCCGTGATTCTCGACCTATGCACATCTGTCTTACTGGTCGTAACCCCAAGAAACTGCAGACGGTGCTGGGCGATTTCAAGCGGAAGTATCCCGAAACAGAGTTCTCGTCGTTGGTTTTAGACGTTTCCGACTCGAAGTCTGTCTTATTTGCTGTTGAAGAGATACGAAAAAGGTGATTGAAATGCATCATCATTTTTATGTACGTTTCAAGTGTGTATTTGGTATTAATCGTAAGAAATTGATGTATTTTTTGTATGCCACACCATACATATTCAAGCAACAGTAAGATCGGGGTGTTTTTGGTGTTTCATATTAGCCTGTTGAGTGGTGGGTTTTAACGTGCCGGGGTTTACTTGTAATTTTGTTCTTACTAATATTCAGTTGAAATTTCTCTTTCTTGTACAGATACAATCGTTTGGATTTTGTCTTTCTGAACGCCGGAATGATGCCGCAAGCCCGTGTGAATTGGACGAACTGTATAAAAGGTTTTTTTTCGGGGTGTGCCTATTCTGTTAGAAGATTCACACAAGAATATTTCTCACTGCAGTGCATTTTTTGCGTATTTTAGAAACATTGTGCACATGTTCCTCACCGGAGACGGAATGTTGGACGCTGTGACCGACGGCAAAACCCGCGACGGATTATCGGAGACGTTTGCGACCAATGTTTTTGGACATTTTCTGATGGTACATGAGCCAGCAATTGTATGACGTTTAACTGTCAGAGTGAACATAAATTGGCTGACTTCTCCCCGGAACATGATAAATGGTGGTTCGTGAAAAATGGTTGCTTTATAATCACACATCATGATGCGTTTGGCTAGTGAGTGAGTGAATGAGGCTAAGCGTGTGCGCTAGGTGACAGAACTGCAGGATATCATGGGCGGACACGGCGACGACGATCGCACACAGCTAATATGGACATCATCCAGCAGTGCTTTGACGCAGCTGTTTGACCCGGATGATGTTATGTGCGCAAAAGGGTAAAACCGGGCGTTGCGGATGACGTTTTGTTGGCGATTTACGGATCACATAAAACGTTTTACGTTGAGTGGTCATAAATAACGCGCTGTTTCCAAAGGAAAAATTCCTACGCCTCATCCAAGTACTGCATGGATGCACTGAGTGTTGCCCTGAATGAACTGTGGAATTCCCAAGGGATCTACTCACACGTGGTGTGTCCGGGAGTGGTAGTGACAAGCTTGACCAATGCCCTTTTAGCACAATGGTTGTGGTATCTTCTTCTTCCCATTTTTTACTTGGTGAGCACAAGCTATATCATTGAGTGCTATAGCTGGAACATGTCGTGTGCCTTCGTTGTGCATAGAATTGTCCATTTTCTACAGCACGTATATTTTGTCTGCTTTCAGCTGCGTGTTTTTATCCACAATCTGACGTTAACCGTTAATGCTGGAACTACTGGTCTGGTGAGCAACAATTTCGCTACTTTCTGTACAATTTACACGTCCTATTTTGTGAATGGCCCAAGTTTATACTGACTGCAAAGAATTTTGTACATAAATTGTGTCGTTGTAGATGTGGTTAACGAAACAAAAACCGGAGGGGCTGGATTACAGAACCAAAATATTTACCAGAGCAAATTGGTTTGGCCCCTATCTGGAATTTCAGATGGTACACAGTTTGAATTTTCTGGCTGATAAATTGATTGAAGCCTGTTAGGACTTTGTTTTTTGAATAAGTATTTGACCAGGTGGATGTCTCGGATAATGTCAAAGATGTGGTGATGAACCAGCTAGCGCTGATGCGCAAGCGCATTCTGCAACAAATCCAGGGCTACTCCTGAACACTTTCCCATTCCAAAGTGAAAAACCTTGCATATGTAATCGCTGTCAAATTGTTCGCGATGCAGTTGGTTTTATTAACAATTTGTTTACATATTTTTGCAATTTTGTTAATGGTGAGTCTTCGAAATTTTATGTTCCTGCTGTTTTTGGACGTGTAAAAGATCCGCTCTACAAGCAACTTCCTAGATGCAGTGTTTACAGTATTTTGCTCCTTTAATGTAGTGGTTTTTTCATTTGTTCAGGAAAGCTTCCGCTGAAAAGTCGTTGCTCACTGAAGAGATTCTCAATAAATCTGGGTTGGCTTTGTACTTGTCCCAAGATTTGTGCAGCGCAATAGATAAGCACTGGCGAGTGGATGTTGCGCCGCTGGTGCTGGCTGTAGCGTAATCATAAGCGGCCAGCAGATAATCGGCTTGCGCCGACACTTAACGATTGCGCAAGCACAAGTTGAAACCCGGCTGATGAAGGATTAAAGCAAATAATTGGCCATTTCGTATCTGGGCTATGTGTCTGGGAACAAATTTTGATTGATGAGGTAATTGACGAATTTTTACCACACAGTGACATGTAACAGAGAACCATCGAATTGGCATCATTTATCGCCGTAGGAGAATTTATTGATATACGAGTAGCCGGTCGAGGGTTGAATCGCAGCCGCTCTTTTTCTTCTGTTGGAGAAAATCGGCATGTACACACCATCATGGATGCGGCAGCGTACAAGGCGCGAGTGTTGGGTTTCCGGGCGACAGATGTGTGTTACTACTAAACTAAATCTTGTAGCAGCACTCGAATGATGACACGGACATGAGGCCGCACATCTTCCTCTCGTTCGGGGGAACAACTTATTACACCGTCTTACACGGCCGGTGTATATATCTGTACATGGTACATGCGGCTATCGCGTATGTAGGAAGCAGAAACCCAGTGACTGGAAATTCACTTATACGCCACGACACTGCACTAAGTATTCAAACCAGATTGGTAAACATTTAGCAGAATATAAAATGGAATAGTTAACGAAGAGTTGTAAGAACGAGAGAGAGGGACAGTGCAGAGACAGTGCGGGAAAAAAAACAGTTAGTAGATCAGTGGAGTACAGGTTATCATTAGGGATTGTATACTATATGAAGTCGAGTTAATGCCATTAGCAAAATAGCAGTACGCTATGTAGTAGCCAGCAGCATTCTCCTACGGAAGCGTAATTTAACGTCGGATTCCGTACATGTGCGTAATCACCAAGATGGCGCGCGGCGGTGCGGACGTTGCCGGCGCGTGTCCCCACTGATTTGCACCCATAATATATCTGTCAAGTCTTATCGGATTCATTGGCAGCCGCCACCTATTGGGACGAGGGATTCCCTTTAGCATCCTTGGCGGTGGAAATAGTTAATTGTGATGTCCTGCTGCTTGCCGCTGCCGGAGCGCTGTGCTCAGTTGGGAATGCTTGTTAACTGTAGCTCATTTAAGTTTGTGATGGCAATTTTCTATCCAAAGCAGAAAATTAAGCGCCAGCGCACTATCGTTCCCGCATGTACCCTTAGCTGTGATCAGTTTAATGTCACCTCTTGAATTAATTCGCCACAAACCAACACAAACGATTATCCGCTTCCCAACGCCAAAGACTGGGATTTTGATAAAAAAAGGGCTGTAAATGGATTCCTTGCAGACTGATGGCGACGCGAACATCTCATCTGAATTTAATATGACGGAGTACATTGAGCGGCTGTTGGGCGAAAAACAGCTGTCGATGTCGATGGTCATTCCCATAACTGTCATCTATACGGTGTTGTTTATCGGTGGCATCGTGGGCAATATTCTAACCTGCATGGTCATTGTGCGCAATCCCTACATGCACACCACGACCAACTACTATCTCTTCTCCTTGGCCGTCTCCGATGTGCTCATGCTGCTATTCGGTATGTCTTGCATAATCTGGTTTGTGCTCATTACAGTGTTAAAGAAAATCAAATCCCGGAGGAAACTTTAGCAAATCTGTTGGGTCGCGTAGCAAACAGCCTCGGCCATAAAAAGTAAATAGTTCGGACTTGTGCACTGCATATAGCAGATAGATATGTATAACTGCAGACAGCTTCATTCACAGTGATTGCTGCGGTAAACAAGCATCTTATGGATTTATTCATTCATATTTGTCTAGTTTTTCTGCATTGCCGAACAGATGTTGACTGTAACACAAACGCAAATTTAGCTCGGGTACTTTAAAGCCACACAGGGACACCAAGCGGGGTGCACGCACTTCAACCGCTCTTTTCCATTTTTAATACTAATGTAAACATTGCAGTTTTCTGGCTTAATATGCATGGAAACTACCAAATTTATAAAGCTAAACAATCCGATTGCCATCAACATTTCGGTAATACTGTGAAAAAAAATATTGATTTCAAAGTTAGAAATTATATGCAAATGGACTGGATCGAGGTCTGTAGCAGGTTTCCATGACTTACGATTTAAATCTTATATACAATATTTTGCTCGCTCTTTATACTCATTATTTTAGTTTATGAGCTACGAGTGTCTATGAGTTCATGAGCAATTTCGCTGAACCGGTTAAATGCGCTTTGCCTGAAAAACTGAACACGATTTCATATGACATAAGCTCGAAGATATCGGAGATTAAAATGAGCAGACCGGCATGTCATACACGTAAATTTGAATAGTTTTGCGCGCGTGCTTATGGCGCATGGATAGGTAATAACATTAATTTTTATTAGGTGTATGGAATGTCTCGAAACATCTAAAATTGCACGAATAATCTTTAATCGGAAAAAAAATTTTCCAGAGCGATATTTAGTGAAATGCGTGATTACCAGCTGAACAGTCATGACAGAAAAAACCATAACAGGGAAGCACGAAAACGATTGGGATTGCTGCCATAATAAGAAGTTACCTTTAACTGTTTATAAGATCAAAGCGCTCATTTATTCCGGAGAAGCTATACAATTTGTTATACTAAGGATCATAGATTTAGAGACAGACAACAAAATAATACTTCGAGTGTGTTGGACTAAATCTACTAATGACCATCAATTTTGATAAGATCCTGAATTACTACTTCCTATAGCCTTTGTTATCATCATATTGTTTATTTCTGCTTCTTATTTTCTTATTTATTACGCCCACTTTTAGTTTGGAGAAATGGATGTTGTACGCAGCAAGTTTCAATAACTAGAAAAGTTTTCTGCGATAAAAGTCAAGTTCTGGCAGTATTTTTCGTAAGTTTATAAGTACTCTTAATTGGCACTGGCACTGCAGTGGATCGAGAATGATTCTGGTTACATCAACTTACATGTTGTCAATGACGTCCGTAGTCAGCAAGACCGCAATGCAGTGCCCAATTTTGTTGCCCTTGGGGGAAGATTGGAGAATTTGCGCCCTTATTACGCCTGATAAGTTGCAAAATAGGAAACTGATTTCTTGTTTACAAGTAATTTAATTTTAACTTTTGCTGGCGTTGTTCTTCGTGCTAAAGAAAGGAATCTAGGGACCTCATTTAACGTTCACAAATTACAGTAATGTTGCAGTACATTTAACAGGGAACACTTTTGTTACAGTTGTGTGCACAAATACAGACTGACAAAAGGTGAATTCATAGCTTGCCTGAGCGAACAAACTTAAGAGATAATTAAAAGTAAGTAATTGCAAGGAACTTAATGCATATATGATTCACTAACACAGGAGCCTGCGATAAAAGAATATTGTACGTAACACGTAGTTACGTATGGTTTTTTATAATTTGACACTTGGGTGCTTTATTGTGTCAAATTATAAAAAAAGAATATATATCTTGCACTGTATATCTAGTGTATCGTATGCGGTACACCCAACACGCTGGAATCAGCTTGGTACAGTATATCTATATGTATGTTGCACGGTATATAATATATATGTAATTATGTATATATGTTGGACAGAAATATTTTTTTTCGAATTCGTTTGACTATGTAAGACTTCAAATAAAGTTATCAAGAACAAATTCAGCTTTTGGCAGGGAAAGTGTGGGGGAATTACTGCAGTTGCCGTCTATATTTATCAAAATAGTTATGCTATTCGGTCTGAATTCTCATGACATCAGACCGATTGCCTTATGGGGAATAATTTGAGATAATGGTATTAATGGATTCATTGTCTACTATCTACCTAAAATAGTTTGGTTGAGAACTGTTGCCCTTCAACTGCAGAGAACGAACCAACCTACCAACCTTGTCTTTATTCTACATTTCGTTTTTACTCTAGGCTTGCCGCTGGAGATTTATTCTTTTTGGGTGCAGTATCCGGTAGGCTTGTCATCATGTCACAGAGAACTATCTCACTGCTAAAAGCCTGCACCGTACCTGTACCGCTAAAATTATTTGTGTTTCAGTATGCATTCCCATCATTCGTTTGCTCCGGAAGAGCGATGATTTCCGAAATGACAAGTATGGCGAATGTACATCACTTGACAGTTATCAACTGCGACACCAAATCATGAAGTAAAATTAAACATAAAATGCTGTTTTGTTGTTTTTAGCCAATGCATCTATAATGACAATAAGCGCTTTTACCGTTGAAAGATACTTAGCAAGTAAGTCGAAAATCTGTTTCCGTGTGATACTCGTATTGCAAGTTATGTTGGAAACTTGGAAGTCTGTAAATGCATCCATTAAACTCGCCGGATCCGTTAGGACACCTTGTAATTTATGCTCTTCATTAACACGATTATTTTAACTGATTTTGCGGGAAGTATCCCTAATAAGCAAATTTTTTAACTTTACAGAATCTGCATTCCATACGCCTAAAAGACATGACATTTTTAATTAAATTTTTATAAAAACAATAGGGCAGCATCGTGAATCACACGGACGTTGTAGTTCATGGCTCTTGTAGCAAACTCCCAGTTTTGTACTATTACATTACGTGCCACTGTCCTTTCTCTAATTATCAATATAATATTATCTGTATCTATAGAATATGACTATTGCATTGTAGTTTGCCATCCTATAGATGACTATTGCATTGTAGTTTGCCATCCTATCAGTACCCAGACAATGACCAGCTTGTCGCGAGCGAAGATGATGATTGGAATAATTTGGCTGGCCTCTCTGATGAGCGCAATACCTTACGCATTTTTTGTAAAGGTGAATCACCTCGTATATCCCGGGACTTCGGACGAGATACCTGAATCAGCTTGGTGCAGTATCAACCAGAATGCTCGGGAAGAGACTGCGGCACTATTCATTGTCTATACCACCGTTTTCTTTGTGGTACCTATCGTCCTTCTAACGATTTTGTAAGTACTACCGACGACTGTGTAAGTACACTGGTGTTTTGGTGTTGACCACTGTCCACTGAAGTTACCGTAGATTCCGTGTTTGAACCGTTATGTGTGTATACCATGTACTGTATAGTACTGTACGGTACGACTTCCAAGAAGTGTTAAATTCAGTGGATATATGACATCGCTTTCAAACAGCAACATTTTCCACATTATACAGTAGGTGTATTATGTGCACTTTACATGTGCCTAGATTTTTGAGCTTTTATACAGGTATATATTAATTGCGCGCGCGTTAAACAAGTCCGAACGGCATCCACTCGCTGGTGTACGTACGGAATCGTCAACCAGCGACACTTCCAGAAATCGGATCCAATCCCGAAAATCCATAATCAGGATGCTCGGTAAACAATTACAGTACCGTTTACTTGTACATTTTCATAAAGACTGCTTTATCTGAATGCTTTGGTGATGTTTTCGGGGTGCTTAAGAATGGAGGACCAGATAGATTGAAAAGCAAGTCTTCCTGTCGGCGAGGTTTCTGTACAGAATAGCTTTTTGAAACTTAACCTTTGTAAACATTTTTGCATGAAATAACCGGTAGCGAATAACAAAACATAGAGTTGTCGTGTGAAACAACAACGCACAACAACAACAACAGACACAAATTGTGTCTGACGTTACTGTTATGACGTCAAGTGCAAAACTACATCTCAAGACTTTCAACATGTATTCAATAATAATATTGTATTCCTTAATTTTCTTAATCCTTCCTATCGGCTCATGGATTGTGTTGATGTAATAAAATTAAATTTCGAAAGGTTTAACGTAATAACTAATAAGTATTTTAAAATCGTGCGTATAATTTCATCAGTGTGTCACAAATTTTATGACATCCCTTCCAGAAACTCGTTTTTGCTACGTGCGCTCTATTTACACATACTTTCTAACACAAAATTAAATAAGATACAATAAAAATTAAACAAAAACGAGTTCAGAGAGCCACGATAATTTTCTCATTTTTATGTATTAATTTGTGACCAACCGCATATAAAAAAATTTGTACGCGGAGTCACTAATTTATCGCTAAAAAAACTTTTTACATAACTCTGTCGATTGCTGCTCTGGTACCTCAACCTAAAAAAGTAAAAAAGTTATGTAAATGTAAAAATGTGAGTTATGTAAAAAAGATTAATTATTCAGGTACTGATATTTGTTATGAAATTTTATATGAATTTTGGAAATGTCAGTAAGGAACACGAGCTTCTTTGGCACCAGCACAGTAACGAAGATGCAATGATGAGGTCAGGAATCTTCTGCTACAGTGATCAATTGATCATTATACGCTGATACAATATTTCTATACGATAACGGCGCTGACTTATCTTAAAGATTTCTGGCATTAACGTCTATTATAACCAGCTAAATTTGTCATAAGTCCCATAACAATAATGCAAGAGCCATGAATACGTATATAACGGATTACGCAAATCTTTGAAGACCGTATGGTAAGCGATTTATTCGGTGTTTTTCAGCTGCGGTCTGTGTTGCGTTCGTCATATGCTGGGCTCCATTCCACACCCAGCGTCTTTTATGGTCTTTTGTCAATGAATGGAATCTCCTTTCGAAATCCATCAACGGATTTCTCTACGTAATTGCAGGCGAGTTCGGCTTGCGATACCCAGTGTTATTGGCAATCAGATACATGCGCATTATTCCCAATTGTACCGTTACTTGTTTATTTAGGCTGCTGCTATTATACAAACTGCGTAATCAACGTGATTATCTACAATCTAATGAGCCATCGTTTTCGTGAGGCATTTCGCGAGGAAACACTGTGTGTGTGCCGTGCACAACGGCGACGGAGATCCAGCCGAGCCGGAAGTGTGGCGCACGATAACGCCCTGGCTAATAGTTTAGTTGGACATTTGTCCTATATGAAGCCCGCCTCCACGCGCATTGTATACCATAATCCGCCCTATCGTCGCCAGTCTTCCTTGTTATCCCGGCTAGATGCACGACGGCGATCCAGCTTTAGTCCGGTACGCGGTGCAGCTGATATGGCGACGGAGGGCAACAGCGTTGTGGAGTTGTACGTGGTTAGCCCGGAAGGAAGACTGCTGGAGGAAGGCAGTATGCGGCATGGATCGGATGGTACAGTGGATCCCTTCCTTGGTTCCCAGTATTTGGCATCATCCAGAAAGTCGTCAGCGTCAACCGATGCGGCAGCAACGGTCGACAACGTAGTTTGATTAGGCTTATATTATACTTTCTCGCCCAGGCTTAATCACTGCTCATCGACGTCACTGAACGTATTTATACTTTCAAATAAATCTGGCTAACGGAAACCGAGTTAGTAACTTGATCCTTCTGCTTCTCGGTGTCTTAAGTTAACAAACCAAGACTAACAAATTGTAAGTTAAAACTGACATTGTTAAGACTGGTATTCACACTCGTAGTTCACGTTAGAGTCCGAATAATATTTCAATTCTGATTTTCGAAAATACTGTATTAATCGTGCACTTATTCAAAATCTGATAATTCGCACACGAAATAAGCAGCATGCTCGGGTACTTAATTCGGATTTCGAAAACTTTACTGTACATATCTGAATTTGAGCAAAGTCAGTTAAGTAAAACAATTTATACATATATACGCAGCAAAAATAAACTTTTGAAACTTATATCGGCCAGTTAGCAATAAGCCAATAACCGATTTGAGTTTACTGTTTACTGTTGAGGTTTTTCGGATAAACTCAACCTACATAACAAAGTGCATATTACAATATAGGCATAGGGTACTCCTACACTATAATAATTCTAGGGTTACTTGTATCTTCTAATCATATACTGCTGGCCTTCAGAGGAAAATTGCAAACTTTTCACCAACAAAACCAGAAACACTTTTATTATAGCAATCATGATGCGGAAGTGTGGCACGCCTGCTGCTGCTGCTACATTAGATAACTGATAATTCGCTATATAAAGAAAAGGACGTAAACAAAAGCAAAAATAAAAGGAAAGAAATCTAGTTAAAATAGCAAAATATAGCCCTTCGTGCAAGTGAACGAGTGTCTTTCAGTGCTTTCGTAGCCCGCAACACATGTTCAGCGGAAGACACTTCGCAAACAGATTCTGGAAACTAGCTGGGTGACGTAGGACAGTTGACAATTTTGCCGTTGTTGTGCAAATTAAGGGTGCCGTTCCTTGTGACCCACACACCAGAACAAAATGTGTGGCAGCTGTTACAGTCGTATTGTATGGAAGTGTTAGCAGTATACAAATAAGATGGACTTGTCTTTTATGTGGCGAGAAGAAGCTTTGCAGTGTTGTACTAGGTGATGGAATTAGCGAAAATGTCACGTAGAACTTGTTTTCATCAAATATTCATCGTGCTAATCCCATGAGGCTATCCCCAAGTTGCAAAAAGGCCGGGCCGGGAACATTTCTGAGACAAGAAAAATCGCATTCACTCAATGTTACACTTCCAGTACAAAGTGCATATGTACGCGAGTAAGTTGTACGGGACTGGCGTAATTCCCTTTATACAATATTATATGTTTATCTGACAGTTTAGTAAATGCACTTACGCAGTTTTGTCCTGTTGGAGCGCAGCAGAAAAAGATTCAATACAGATTATATCTGATTTCTCACCGTCGTTAACAGCAGGAAATGCATTTAGGTAATCACAAGACCAATACGGGAAAAGGGGTAGTGCATTTACTTACCCCATATGTTACATTTACAGGCACCGTTGCCACAGCATTCATTCTACAAATACAGGAAACATACATGCCGTCATCATCTGTCATTCTCAATATTTGCTCAATGTCAAAAAACCTTGTCACCACAGACAGGCTGAATAGTTCTTTACCTCTCCCCAATAATTGCAGCGCTGACCTCGACGCTTACAGTTCCGCCTGTAATTGCACAATATACGGGTAGATTGAAAATGTTGACCTTACCATTTTATACTACTTTTTGTAGCTACTGGTTACTTTCGTTGAAGTTTCTTTATAAAAAACAGTTGATATTATTGTATACCTATACAGCCTACATTCAGAAGTGGCCGTTTTGACTCGTTGATTAAACTTGAGATGACCCTTTGTAGTAAGACCGACATTAAGCAATCAGTCCTTCATTAACACCGTATTGGGAGTAAAATAGCATATAACAGTTGTAAATGTTTGGGCAGAAACTAAATAACTTCATAATTATATGGAACCTTGTATAAATATAATAAATCATGCGTGAATAAATCTTACTAAATTTTTCATCAGCTACTGGTTATTTAGTCTGATTGAATTTGTTACTGTTGCTTACTTTTGGGGAACAAAATATCGTTCCATGGCAGCACTGTCATCGTAATTTTCTATGGGCGCGTTGTATGATTCGGGATCTGCAATTAGAGCAAGGAACAGGTTGATCACTTATCACCGGATGTCGGGATACACAAAGTGTTCGTTTGTGATCTTTTGATACACAAATCGATACACATACATATTGCGCTTGTTCAATAGCAAATGTCGCTATGGGCACAGAATACCTTTCGCGTAAACGGCTAATTGCTGCCCACACCTGTTCGGGTATCGTACGCGTATTCTGGGATTAACGAAGTCAATACCGCCAAATAGCAACCTAATTTTTTGTAACGGAACCTAATTCCGTGCTATACAAGCGCATATAAATGGATTCCTTGCACTCACGGAGGCGGTGCTGCTCGCTCCGTTTTATTACTGGAACATCCGGTAAATTCACACGCACTTTGAAATATTGCCCAGGCAGACAACATCGCAAAATTCCAACAGGTGTGCGCGATTAATATGGATTTAATTTTTCCGATCCATGCGTTTGTCTACTGCAATCAGTTACCCTACGTACAGATTGTAGCCAATAAACTTTTTCAGCTGCTCAACAATTAATCATGGGGCACGGCAAGCATAAAATTCTGGTAGACTTCTATAACGCTTTGGTAGATCGTGTTTGTAAGTGTGTTTCCGGTTGTTAGCAACAATCCCTTAAATTTCAGTGGAGTTATTTCTAAAGTCTTAATCTGTTCCAATTGTGAAGCTTTTAGCAGCTTTTCTGCGTGATAAGCCGCAATGCGACGTTATTTACTATAATATTTAACAACAAAAAAATAAGCTACTCCCAAATTTACAAATTTAAATGACACAGTTGGTATAACATGTTCATTCAAAGCCGCATCTGCGGCGCAGAAGGTTTATAAGTAGACGAATGACAGAGTCGTATGATAATTATGTTTTAGAACTGAAGTAGAGACGCTGTTAGTAACAATGCTTTTAAAATTATCCTTCAAGTTGCTGAACACGCATGAAATGCGTAAACGGAATTGATCAAAATTCAAAAAGCATTCAACCATGGCTTCAGTACTGGAAAATATGTTGACTTAATTCACAATCATCCTACCGATATTATTTTTCTTGCATTCAAAACCAGATAATCCACAAACGAATCCTCAAACTGACCGTAGGGGTCTAATAACAGGATACAATTTATAAGTCACCACCAATCAGATGCAAAAATTATACGTTCTGTCACTAATGGCGTAAAAATGACGGGTGTTGGCGGCAGTTGGGAAGCAGTGCGTAATGGCACACAAAAGCAGTTGCGCATCCCGCGCGTCCAGGCTGGCTGCACTTGGGCAGAATTCTGCGGATAGTGGGTGACAACTGACAAGGGCAACGCAGACTACAGGCGCAGAGCGCTGCAACTTGCTGCAACCGGAAGAGCAACAGATTGTAGCCAACGAACTCGGACTGTACGGTGCTTTGTAAAGAAATTACAGTATTCTCGCCAACGCGCCTCGTCGTCCAATAACAATGTTGGGATGAGAAGTGGTTTAATCTTTCGGTTGGACGTCGACAGAGGAAGATGAGATCATGATCAGCATAAGAGAGCGGTGCCGGGCTCAGTTAGCCGCAACGTACGCAAACCACAGTGACGACGACTGCTCTCCCCGATCGGCACAATCCAGACTCGACCTCAATTGCCGGATACGCTGAACGAATTGTAAACGATAGCTGCACTCGATCGAAGCCGAAAGGAAAACAGATGTCGATGCAGAGGGTTTGTTCCAAAATCACAACAAGATATAATTCCTTGCACAGGACGAATGTCACAATGGCAGTCGCATTTATAGGTGTTCGTATCACTTATATTTATATGCACTGTATTAAGTAATATATAACAGCCGGTATCACGCAAAAGCTTCACGTGATGCCTCCATACTACACAACTTGTCCCTTGAAAAAAAAACGATCTAGTAAAGGCTACGCCAAAGCATTACTAATTTCTTATATTTGTATAATAATAACGTTTGATCTGAACAGTAATTAAATGCGCTTGTTGTTTTAATTTGGATCAGATCATAGCTAGACTACATCAAACTAATCATCGTGCTCAACACAAAGTACCTGCCTAGGACCAGAAGATACTATTCGTTAAAAAGATTTAATGCCATTTTAATTCAGCGTTTTTGTGACATATAACACAAATTCAGTTACAGTTACATAGCGTAACCAAATGGCCTGTCTCAAAACATGCGAAGGAACGAACTTTTCTCTTGAAAATACGTAAGTTTAAATACAGTAAGCAAATTTAATTTAACGTAATATTATAGCCAACTGACGATCACAGCTGATTGAGTTGTAACGGTTCTTACGTCAAGTTTAATGATATTGTAGTTAGTTGTAACCATAGGCAGTTGTAGTGAAGTCTTCAGTGACAGTAAAAAAATCAACAAAAGGTTCTTTAAGGTTCCGACAAACAGACTCTGAATTAAACAGGGTTTACGATACGACACCCATTGTAACCTTAAAATTGTAACCCTTTGTAACCTTTAAGCCAGAAACGTTCCTGACAGAAAGGCGCTAGCCGAAACAGACCGCTTATGTGTCCCCCGTATAATTAACGCATATCTTTCTGTTAACTGCTGTGCTCGTATTAGGCCTACAACATAATTTTAATTTTTGCGTTGATCTCGTCTTATCGGAAACCGTAAACCGTAACCGTAAACCGTAATAATAACCGTAACAATAAGGAGGCGATAATATTCATATACAATAAGTAAATCACTTGATTCAAGTTTATTGTGCTTTGGCTATATTGACATGCAAAATTAAACAAATAACTTGAGCTGTTAACTGAACCCGTGTAATGTTTTTTCTTATAATGTACCTCACGGATCCACTTAACATCTGCAATAATTAACTACAAGCTGGATCATTGCGATCCATGCGTCACTCAAATCGGACCGTGCTCTATTGACTTCATTTGGATCCAATATCAGCATTCAGGACCACTTTACACGCAAACTGTTCGACCAAGATTAGGGCGTGCACACTTGCGCAGAAAACTGATAACTTTTTGGGCTGATCTGACGGTGAGTTCGAATGCTGAATATCGCGCGCTTAAAAAAAGGTCAAACAAATTTTCTGACACAATTATGGCTAACCTATCGCTAAAGATTTAAGGTTGGAAAAAGATCGATAATGCTCGTTTCAGACGATCTATACATGCAAAAACGATTTATTGATATTCAGTAATTTTTACTTACAGCCGTTACAAAAGAATTAGTTGAAGTTGGTTTTTCGTAGCGTAATTACGCTACGAAAAACCGCTACGTAAGTACGTTTTTTTACGGGAATTCGGGAAGGGATTCGGTCGACAAGTCGATCTTGTATACTCTGTTAAGTGAAACACGCTAACAACTACCCGGTAGACGTAAAATCGACAGTTTAGATTGTCGATTGATTCCTAGTAAGTATAAAGTATCGGTGCTAGATGTTAAGAGCCGAGCTGCGCACTAAACACTGACAAGTATAAGAAAAAATAGTTCAAGATCATATCGAACTACGTACACAATCTTGAAATATTAGATGGGGCGGTTTTGAGGTGTGCATAAAATTAATTTCTAGCGACGGTAATTATTATGCCCAGTACAGTGTACTCGTACCTGTAGTATGTCCATTCATCCCGACATCACTACCAATGTTTTTTAGAACCTACCCGACCCTACGGTCCCTACCCAAATTCTACGCATACTTCAATTATTGTTCCTGTCGTGCACAGCTGCAATATTAATTTATCTTTAACTATAGAAAACAAAAGCTGTTACCTGTACATGTGCATGTCCAGCCGGAGTGCGCCGACTCACTTCTTACGGTATGCAAGTACTCTAGCACTTATCTGGACAGCAAATTAAAGTTTTGCGTGGCGCACCGCTATCAGTTCGTGAGCAAACATGGATTCTTAACACCTTATATAATATATTCCTTTAGGACACATGTTTATTGTTATTATTATTAGGAAACCGCGAATCAAAATGTGACGGTAAATAATAAAAACCAGTGAACGAGACATTCTAAGAAGCTTGATCTAGTCATGTTGAAAGCAGACTAGAAGTATATATACACATTATACAGCCCTGCCGCGCCAAGTTTGGACAGCTGTGTAAAATAAATTCAAATAAATTCCCATACGGCATTTTATCTTTATATTTGTACTTTTCTAGCATAACTTTTTATTGCGAATCCAGTAGTGTTGACGCTGTTGTCGTTCGACACGACAGTAATGAACCAGGGGGCGATTAAAGGGGCGGGGCGGGGGTCATTTTTTGGCCGCTTATAACTGCAGCTATAACAAATGCACCAATTCATATTTCTGCGTTTAAGTTTTCCAGAACTATTGCGTGACCCAAGGGGTGTCTTTTGTAGGTTAGCAGAAAATTCTGTCGCGATAGGTGCTCGAAGTCATCTCGCAAGAAGGTGCCTCTTCCATAGACTTGTATGGTAAAGAGCGCCTACAGAGAAATGCTGTTGCCTGGAGCGCGCATCGCATTAGGCAAAATGTTTGTACTTAGATGAAATGTAGGAAGGGCCTGTTAGAAAACCACGCTATTAGTTGATAGTTCCTAACCTCCTCCAATTTTAGAATTATTTTCGAATGAGTTTGATTATTTCTCAGTAAGCAGTGCGATTTTTGTACTAAAAATTAAATTAAACAGCTAGCTGCCGTTCCCTGTACTTCAGCTTTTGGCATCGAAATAAAATATTGGAAGATGCTGCAAATCAAGAGCTATTATGCAACAGATAAGTAAAAATTTTAGACTTCACTGGTGAAAGTAGAGGAATTTTTATGACTGTCCAAACTTGGCGCGGCAGGGCTGTAATTGCGAGCGATAACCAAGCATCCGGAAAAGGAATAAGGGCCAAGAGGAAGATTTAAGAGTACATAACTATATACGCCCGATCCGGCAGTGTACAAGTAATTTTACAGTAATGTAATTAATTTACTTTGTTAATTTTGTAATTAAAAGTTAACATGCGACTGATGCGAGTATGTTCTACCTACAGGACATAGTACCGTACTGTGCTTACCTACCGTAGTGGCTGAATAAAATGGCCGTCTGATAATGATTATCAAGGTGCGCTGAATCTGTCTATTGTCTGATTGACAGTATGTCAGTTACTTTCGAAAGAGCAATCTGTAGAACGTGCACACTTTATGTTAAAATGACTTTTTGCCAAGGTCTGACTTTATAGTAAATTGTTTTGGAAAACTAGGTGGAGTTCGAGGATGTCCCGGGAACCGAAATTCGAATTTCCTTGTTTCTAAAATAGAAACTGCCGGTATTCAGCTGAGTATATCTGTATTGCTGTGTGTCACATTTACAGTTTTTGGTAGAGCGGTTGTTTCTTGTTATTTTACTGTCAAGAGCTGTCAAGAGCTGACTTTCTTATGACCGTGTTCGGCCAGGAAAGGAGAGAGCTCAGGTCACGCACACGAAATTCTCGTAAAAAGGGCAGGTAGAGATTTGAAAACCAGTTCCTTATTAACGCTCGAAGTACCGATCTAGATCAAACTCTTTGGTGCAAGGGCATTGTTTTAGCTGGCTAAACCAACATTTCATGTTGCGCTTGTCGTGCAGCAGAAAATTATAACGAAGATATCACTAAAAAAATCAGATACAAACCTGCAATTTTTTCGAAAAGTGCCAAATTGCGCTAGCTGTGTAGCTCGTCCGGCGCAAGTACCGTTATAACAAATTTTTGTTAAATGAAAACAAAGGCATTCTCTAAGTAAAACGGTTGGAAAAATTTAAAGAGCTCGAACGGGAAGGAAATGCCGCAAGATTCTGAATCGTGCGAGCTGGGACACGATAAATTTCTACACGATTTCATTTGGCCTCCTTGTTAACGAGCCCGTCTCGATTTTCAAAACCAAGTTTTGTTGGTTTTTGTGGTCAGTAAAATTCTCTATCGAATGAGTCTAAACAGTTTACGGTGCGGCAAATGGTTCGCGAAACGCTAGAAACAAACAAAAAGCGGAGACGGCCATTATTTTGTTCAGCCACCGGTACTGTACTGTGCGTACCGTACAAGTATAAATATCTAAATATTATTGAAGTGTTTATACACGTATATATCTATGCAAAAAACAAACAGTGGAAATCAGCGTGTCCCAGTGGAAATCAAACAAACAAACAGTGGAAATCAGCCCCCACCGGGGCAACGTTTCTTTCTCGGCCTTTCTCCGTCTCGCATTCATGTTGTTTTGCAGACAGGCTGAGACAGCGCACGCACAGATTTTCTGTGAGAGTCATCCAACGACCGACACTCCGACAGAGCCAGAAGAGATTCATCCCACTACTAGAGTAGTTGAACTTGACTAGGGCCTCGTCCCGAATTCAAAGCGAATCTCGTTGCGATACAGCAACTCCACCTCGCGAGGTGGCTTCGCGTACCGTATCTGTAGGCGTGGCCACTGCATACAGCCACCTCGTGCGGTTGAGCAACCGTACCATAACGAGATTCGCTTTGAATTCGGGACAAGGCCTACCACGTACGCAGTTTCGCGTTTTTTTCGCGGCCTCCCAACCTGGGAGTTTTATTTCATCTGTTACGTAAAACGGTTTATTGGTATTTTTTAGTATGGATCACTCTCAAAATTTAATCAGTACTGATAATGCCTCCGGCGCCAAGAAGAAGATCAATTCACCTTTTGAAATAGTACGGGAGTACAGGAACTCACAGTATGCACGAACTACACGTTCAATCTCTGTTCCGGCAGAATCAGAAGAGCGCACTAGAAAGATTGTGATAACTATGTATGGAACTATCCTTACAACGTTTATCTCGATATTACTTGAAAGTGTTGCGGTTTTTACTGATGGATGGGGCAATTATCGTACACAGACTGACAACGGTAAGACTTAAAATGTGGCCGTACCAGCGTATGACAGAAATTATGTATGAAATATCGATTGGTGTTTGTATGGGTTTTGCCATTCTGATTATTTGTGGTTAGACTACTTTTTAAGTTTGAGAATGTAAATTAATAAGACTTACTAAATTGTGCATACAGTAATACAGCATAAAACTCAAGTACTGTTTTAGTGACCAATTCCTAATTTTGTTTTCCCTTGGAGTAGTGTAATAATTTTACTGTTTTAACTTTGCGGTTAGACAGTTTACCGTTAGTACGATATTGTGTAACAAAATTAATATAAAATAAAAATTCAAATTATCATAGACTTAATTATTTGCCCTTAATTTATGTAGGATTTACCGTGGAATCTGGGCGATTTGGTTTGTGGCGAGTCTGCGTGGAAGTGGTGCGAAACGAATGGGTCGAAAAAGACAACTGTGGTGGCACCCAATCTGCACAGTTTACTCTGCCGTGTGAGTAACTTATACGCTGCGGTACTTTGGCTGACTATTTTAGGCATTTTGTTTACCGCAACTGTTTTAATGGGATTATTTTTTGCAGCTTGGTGCATATTTGCTGGGATTTGTGGTGTATTTTGTCTGCTCTTTCTCATTACGTGCTTCGTTGTGGCTGTGATTCAGCTTTACCATCTATATCGTCGGGATCCTCCTGTTTGCTACAATCGGCGCTTGCTTAGTCAGAAGATCATTCCGATTACGCTGTCTGTGGTTTGCATTTCCATATCTCTGATTTTCGCAGCATTGGCTGTGAAACGAGTTCGAGGCGCCAAGGTGACTTACGGCAGCAGCTTCTACATACAGGTTTGTTGGCTGTCGCCTTCCTTGAGCATATCTGTAGTTTTACTGTAAATTCATAGCTACAAATTACAACCACTGAACCGTACAACTTTATCGACACTTTACTGTCTTTACCTTCGAAAACGAGTTTGGTGCAGCTGAACTCTGGTTTAGAAGTTTGAACTATTGTAATAACTTGTATCCTGGGAAAACTTTTCCGTTTGCCATAATTGTAAGTTTAATTCAGTCGCGTGCGGCTATTTTTACGGAATTGGGTTTTCTCCTAAACATTTTCTTCGACTTTATAGATTTTTGTTTAACCATAAAGACAGCGAAATTACGCCGCTTCGCTTTGCGTATTTTCGTGGCATTTATGATTTAACCGGTTTTTACAGTTCCATATTAGTCGTAATAATTTTTTAACTTTATTTTCAGTATACGAGTGTATGGGGACGAACGTCGTTCACAAAAATATATTAAAATAAAAAATAAAGTCGTAATAAGGCTTTTCGCAAAAGACACCATAACCATACCATAGAGGCTTAGACACCATAAGACACCATAGAGGCTTTTCGCAAAAGACACCATAACCATACCTTAACCATACCTTATCGTGTAGCTAGACACCGCCATCGGAGTGACAGTGTACAGGATACCTTAAAACCAGCGCAGTTGTTTTCTAGAGGTCTTCGTATTTATTTTTTTTCTCGTGCTACACGGTATAGCATCCTTTGGAACATCAAAATTCAAGTTCTCCGATGTTTTCTGTGCTAGAAAAGCTTAGCTCTAACGAAGTTAAAGTGTATGGGAACTAAGAGGAGCCTTTGGAAGTCAGCTACCATACAACAAATTTGTATGGTATCCGCACTTACCATACGCTCGCACTTAACCATAGCGTATGGTTAAGTGTAGTGCTATGGTTAAGTGGAGCAGTTGCGAAAAATGTGGAGCAGTTGCGAAGCGAAATAACTTTAGTTTTAAAGTTTTCCTAACATTTCTATATGCCCTAACAATTTACTCTAAATAATAATGTATAAATAAATGTAGTAGTCTAAATAAATGTAGTATTGATTAACCCATTTGATGAATTTGTTGTCGTTTCATAATTTAAATGATGGCGGTACGCAAAGGGGCTCCCAAAGTTAACAGCTTAGTCTTACAAGATAAGCTGCTGTTTATTGGAAGCCTCCGTATGACTCAACTTAGGCTGTGACGTGAAAAAAAGTGCTTATCTTCGTTTGCGTATTTATATTTGTGTCCCATAAATATAACCAGTAATCACAAACTCTTTTATTTCAGATTGTTACCATATTTTTTGTTGTGGCGGCGCTTATCTGTATAGCATGGGAAAGTTTATGGAGACCGTACCCATCCAATCGTCCCACTAATAGTGCTATGTCAGAGATTGATTCTAGCGGCAGTACCCGAATGAAATCGCTACCGAAGCGTAGCTTTTATTATAAGGCTGCCAAAGACACCGAAAATGATCACATCCAGCCAAAGATTGGCGATCCCAGTGTTTTCATAAAAATTCCTCCGAGATCTTCAAGTGTTACGTACCGTAGAAGCCTTTCTGAAGGTGCCACTGGCAAACTTCACTTCTGATGGATTTCAGTGGACTATCCTGTATCTCCTCCATTTCTGCACATATTTTAACTACGAATGTGTTCTGTGATATTACGTAGTGTCTACTTTTGTACACTACCTATCATTTTTATTGGTTTTAAGTTATGCGCCTCTAATTGACCTTTTATATTGGGATCTCTGGTGGTATGTTTATCTTTGAAATACAGATATACATTATGTTTTGCCATGATATCACAGAATTTTTTGTTTCAATCTCTTTCAGATTTGAGTAAGCAGCTAATTTGCTCGTGTGAATGACGCGCAAAATTATGGTTTGTTGTGCTGTTCTGTTATTTCTACCTGGGTTAAGACACGTGAAATCAAAAGTAATATGTTTTTTTTGCGATCACTGCAATAGGTTTTTTATAAGTTTTTATAAATATTATGCTTACTGGAAAGTGCAAACATTGCTTATGAAATCAAAGTTTTAATAATGAGAGCAGGAAACGAGTAACGACTAACGAGTATGTGTTTTATTTCACCTGTGGTACAACGTAATTTTATAATAAGCGAAAACATCGACATTTTCTTATAACATCAAAATTTCATTAAACTGTTCTGCTCCTTCCATCGTTCCCATAACCGATGCCGCGTTGCCTCGCTGTATCTCCAGTGACAATCTTTGGCGTAAAAATTCATGGGAACGGGCTTCGCCTGTGTGTTGCTCGAGTCGTTTACCCACTGCTTTCATAATTGCGATAGCGGACGGTCCCCAAGGGCCCATGGTTTGGAAAGCTATCGGTGCGAAGATGTATCTGCCACTTAGATACAAATAAAGCCGGGACTTCTTCTCTTCCGCTTCCAATGCCGCTGCACCTGCGTTAGCTGCCGTGGACCTGACGTGGGATGGCGCAACCGTGTCCACACAAGTGACGTCCCATGCCAAGCACATGCCTCTCTGCCAGGCGAATGTTGTGCAGCCATCAGGACGTCGTTCGGACGTATGCGACGTGCCACGTGGTTCCAATTTCCCCGGAATCCCAGCTGACACAAGAGATTGGCATATGATGCTGTTCAGTCCTCCGTGTCGTGGGTGTCTACCGGCAGAGAATGCACAAGACAGACCGTGGTGCCCGAATTTATCGACATGTTTTTGGCACTTCATACAATCGTGAGGCTCGCATACTGCAACTCCCAATCTGAGGCCTACGGATTTGAAGGGTATCGTCGTCCAGAAGGTTGCCAATGTGAGCGGAGGGTAACGCATTTAACCAGATGCCAGCCTCTGGTCTTGACTGAGCAAGAAGGCGGGCTTTAACTTCGTCGTTGCGGTAAACGTCCAGCAGCGTAGACAGAGACACGTTGCATAATGGTATATACTATATACCAAGTTTTTTGTTGCTTACGGAAATTAGGTTCCGGCAGTTCGGGTAGGCAGGCGTTCTTTTTCCACAAATCAAGAACGTCAGCAAATTAGCAGATGTTCAGTACAATAAATTAAAAAGTTCAACAAGTAGCTGCCGCTCCAAGCGGTTTCGAACTGTGTCCGTCTGTCCCCTCCCCTGGAAGTCTCTTATTTACTCGGATCGGAGTCTGATCGAAAGAATTTTCAGACTGGTATCAGACCTGACAGTGAACTGCTTACTGCTTACAGCTTACCTTTTACCAAATTGCCTGACAGCTCATTTGAAATATTAGAAAAGGTGGCATGAGCTGATGAGCAGTGTCTTATCAGTCTCGGAAATTTTGTCATTGTATGGGACTTCCGATTACTGACAAATCCAGATGAATTACTAATGTAATTCGTGTTCCTCGAGCTGAAGCTGCATATTTTTATAACGCGGTGGCCGAGCTTCTTCAAGTCGTCTGTTTCTGGAAGTTTGTGCTGTGAACGAAAGCGAAATGGCCAGCAGTCAGAATCCGTTCGGGGATCCGGAGTCTGTGAATCCTTTCGGGGTGAGTCTCAAAGACCATTCGGCTTACTTTTAAAACGTACGTTTATTATTACTGACTAGGTCACTAGCTTCAAGAAGTGAGCGAGCTTGTGCCTTTTGTGTGAGTTTCCTTGGCCTCAAAGAGCATGTTAACAGTGACGAAAGCATCATATGTACCCTTACATAGAATATTTGGGGGAATTGCTAAATGTTGCGGTTCAAAGCAAACTCTAAACGAGGATTTATTGGTGATTGTAGGAAGTTCTCCCTCGTTCTCCCATGCCAGCAGACAGTTTTACTCCTACGTTTCTGCCACCTCCGACTGTAAATGCACCTGCCAGATCACCGCAGCCACCGAACCAGCCATCCAGTCGTCTGGCTTTTTACGAAGACAGTTCAGTCAGCAAGCAGCCAGTAAGCGGTTTGTGAAGTTTGAAGTGAAGTTACTGAAGTACATTGTCATTTTCTCCCTGTTGTTACGGTGTACGACTTACAGTCTGCTTGTATGATGCGGAATTGTAGCCATTTGTCTGGAATGCTATAGCATGAATAGAAGATTGAAAATCAACCTTGCGAATTTTTCAGGCTTATGGGACAATGACGTCCCAGCCGGGCGGATCGCCGCCTGCCTACATGGACACTGCTCGCGCATCGACAGATGAACTCCGACGAAGGCAGGAGGTGCTGTTAATTGCCATTGTAATTGAATGTCATGTGGATTTGTTAGGTGAACGATGATTAATTTAGGAGTTGGAGAGAAGGGCTGCTGAACTCGATCGCCGAGAAGCTGAACTGAGAAATTCTCCCCAGGATGGTGGTAAAGAAATATTCACCGCTTGAATTTTTTAACCCATTTTTTATGGTTTTGCTTTCCTGTACAGTGAAAAGAAATAATTTCCCTCCTCTTCCCAAATTTTGCTGCTTCCGTCCCTGCTTTTATCAGGATTTTGAACTGGACATACCGATGGGATATCGCACAATTGTCAGACTCGTATTTTACTGTTGGATGGGTACGGTTTTTCTACACTGTACTTTTCATTGCTAGGGTTTGCAGTGTACTGCTTAAATTGGATATATATTTAATGGCAATTAATGCTATAAACTTTTTTTGTAGTTTACTCCCTCATGATTTTGATAAATCTGGTTGCCAGCATTGCGTATCTCTGTCTGGAAGGCAATACAGCTGCAACGACATTTGGATTATCCATCCTTTGGGTTGTGCTGTTTCCCGTCATTTCTTTTCTGTTTTGGTACAGACCCGCATACAAAGCCTTCAGGTACAGTATGGACGCAGAGGCAGTTCTATTGGTCTCTTTAGATTGCATTTATTTTTTTTACTTATAGAAGCGACAGCTCTTTGAACTTTTTTGTATTCTTCTGCGTATTCGCCACTCAGATCTGCGTGAACATTGTTCAGGCCTTGGGGATTAATCCATGTGGAACTTGGTAATGAGCTCCAGATACGACTTTAATCAGTGACTTATCATGTGACCTATCATATTCGTAATTTCACTGCTTATCGTTAATATTCGTGTGATATCATTTCTAGTGGTATTATCAATGGTTTGAGTATGATCACTAAGGGAGGAGCTTCCAACGTCGGAGTAGGAGCGTTCATGCTTTGTGTTGGTATCGTCTTCGGTATATTAGCTGGCTGCTCGTTTTTGCTTTTTGTGCGGGTAAGTTGCAGGAAGCTAGAAACTTTTAAAAAAAATTTCGAAGTACGTACATATACTCTGAAGTGACTACAACTTTCTTTTAGATTCACCGTATCTACCGCACAACTGGAGCGAGTTTCAGCAAGGCCCAGCAAGAATTTGCATCTAGAGCCGTCCAAAATGAGCATGTTCAAAATGCTGCCATCGGTGTGGCTCGTGCTTCCGTCGAGGAAGCTGCTCGCTCTGGACGGTTTTGATAACGTAGCATCGCTCCCGCGACCCACAATCTGAAAAAGTTCTGAAAGTTTTCGCTTTTTTATGACGGTGATTTTAATGAGCTGGCTTTTTAATATACGAGTATTGCAAATGTCGATCTAAGGCAGATTGTCGGTTTTCCATGTCCTCGTAATCATGATATTAATGACCGTTTTATTTTTTTATAGATGCTTCAGCAGGTTCCGCAACAGTTGTTTCGTTTTTTACTTTCTTTTCTAATTTAGTGTGACACTTATAATGCGTGTAAGTGACTTTTGTCCCTTTGTTTACGTGCTGTTTGGAGACGTGGCAGCTTTCTCTTGCAAAATTAAGAATTCGCACGGAGCTGACCCGTGGTCACATACTGCATAGTGTTTCACTGCATAGTACATAACTTGTGACAACGGAGACAAGACTTTTCTTCTTGCAGGTGGAAACAGTTCCGTAATATACGCAATTCACGAATTACTTCCAGTCTCTGAAGCTTCTTCAGTCCTTCCCTAAAAATTAAACATGGGCAACACCACGTAATCACTTAAATCCTGGCTCCTTTTTGGGCTTTAAAAACCTTATGATTTTTATGTCGAGTGTCAATCTATAATTTTTTGGAGCAGAACGGTCCGTGTCTAGATGTTCGGCTGATGTCGTGCCGAGCTCGGTATTCTACGGGTAGTCTGGCAATTGCAACCTATGTAATTAGTAGTTGGCCGGTAGTCGTGCCGCTCTGATCCAGACGCAGTCTGCACTGTGCAAATAGCGTAGATCCTCTTCCGTTGTTTGAATGGGATTCTGGATACGCGTTCTCATGGCTGTTTCATAGGAGCTGCTGGATAATTAAGGCAAAAAAACTGAAAGATTTTCGACTTAAGCGAAATCCTGATCTACGTTCATGATAAAGGTGAATTGAGCAATAGGTTATAAAATGATACGTGTCCAAGAATCAACTTTCTATGCTATCTAAATTCGTTCCGAACGCCGCTCATCGGAAGTCTTCTACAAAACGATTCGTCTGCGGAAGTGCAAGGTCATGCTTTTCTACTGTCAGTGCCATATTCACTTTTTGACTGGTGTTCTGTGGACTGGTAGATCCGCATTACATACCACGATCTGTCAGTTGTCAGCGGGAAAAAGGCTGGCACGGTCGGCAGCGATGCTGACCGGAAGAATCGTTTCGCCGGTGAGAACGGTGGGAGATGCACAACCATCCCATGGCGGTTAAGCAACGTAATGCAAGGTCCTCGCAAGAGTTAATAGCAACTACACGGAGCAAGGTTTAACGAGCGAAGCACGCTGATGAGCAAGAAGCGAGGAAGGGCGCGGGCAGGACAACAGGAGCGAGAATTCATTGGCAAGTTCAGAACAAGCTGCAGCAAGACCAATTTCAAGGTGTTTCTGACCGCGAGATGCGGTCGCTAAAATATAGGAAAGTAAGGATTCTGATCTTCATTAACAGAACAACCAATAAACAGTAGAGAAAGGCAATTACTGGCGGTACGATTGAAATCATCATCATTGTCTGTCAGGGCAGGTTTTATTGCGTAACGGGCTTTTGCCAATAAATCATAACATACCATTATTCAGCGTGGGTACGTTTGAGTCGGTAATTAATAATTGGCCATGGCGTAGAATAAAAAAAATCAAATATGAAAACGATCCCAATTCGCGCAGCGCGTAAGGAAACAGCCAAAAGGAGTTGCGTATTACCTCGCCAAATTTCTAAACTTTAACGCTGGTACAAAATGGAAGATCATCGCGATTCTTATATCCTTTCGCTACTGTCCAGCCCAGATTCGCAGACTAATAAGAAGACTCATTCAAGACTGTCCACTGTCCAGTTATTCCAGTGTATCTGATCGTGAAGTTGTTCTGCTACCGCCAAGGGGGTTGCAGTCACTTGAGAAAACTTTTGTCACGGATACAAGTATAAGGAGCCATGAGAGACTACGCAATCAGGGGAACAATTCTACCTATTTCGATTTCGCATTTTTACTAATTAAAGAAACTCAATATTCAAGTTTAATGGTTACCGTTACCGTTATCACCAACTTTTTTAACTGCAGTTTGGAAGTTGGCCGTCATTGTGGTTGGCGTTTGCATGTGGAACGGACTTCAGAGTTCAGAGGGTCACTGGTGCGCAGGTCTGATTGTGAACGTTCTCGGGTTGGCAGAACCCTGGGTAATGGCAGTAACGGGTTTCGAAGAGGTAGGCCGCGCATTGTTACTTGATTAAGATCATAGACAGTTCTCCAGGTTACCTGCACAATAAGCCGTACGAACATACAGTTTAGGAATGGATATTTTGAGTTTTACAAAATGCTTACAAGTTGCAGAAACCACATATTTTGGACATCGATTGCATGTCGAGGTACCTCGCGCGCTCCGGCCGCCTCCAGAGCCCATGTAGACTGTAGTCATACAATGCAGTACTGCCGGAAAGCTCTACTACACCGTACAATGCTTTTCATCTTATGGCTCAAGTTAACACCTGCCTCGCTTACCGTAAGCACCTTTAATGTTTTTTTCCCACTCTATTTTTGTTCCTCTTTTGTACTACAATTTTAGTCTGTCGCTAGATAATTCGCGGCACATAGAGTGTTTACGGTCGTGCTGCTCTCATTTAAACATTTTGGAAATCTGCAAACGCTTGCAGCATGTAACTGCGGTTCATTTTTTTAGTGTAAATTAAAAGCGTTATAAAATTCTTTATTTATTTCTTTTGATAATCTTTTGTGGTAGATAGTTTGTGATTGGTATATTGTATAATGTTTTAACCTTTTTGGCGGTGTTGAATTTTTGGCAATGGTCACACCATCGGTGAATGCTATTGATTAGTCTCGAAATGTGTTAAATTGAGCTGCATGCCGTTTTTTCTTTTTGTTTGCTACTCTGTGTTTGTATGGGTCCCTTGGGCTGAATTTCTGGAATATTTTATGGCGCACAAAGAAGTAAAGTGGTTAATTCGGCATGCACTGTGCCCAGTCGCCGACAACGAGCTAATCAGGCTTCTTTCATTAGAGGCCAAAGTGCAGAGCCATATTTTCCATTCAGATTACTACTATTGCAGCCCGGTTATGCCGTTATGGGCACGTATTCGTACGCGCCGGAAGATTTTGGTCTGCGTGTGCAGTCTTATCGCATTTCCCGTCAGCTTGTTTGTAGGCTTTGATAGCAAAAGACGATAAGAATTGCGTGCTAAATTTTGGACGCTCAATTCGCTAAAATTTTGTAAGTGTCGTTACAGTTGGATGAGACGCGTTCGTTTCACACGTTATTCTGTTAACTAAGCCGTTCTCATAGTGCGAATCCCTGATGGATAGAATACTTTAGCGTCCATGCGGCTTTTGCAGCTTGGTGTCGCGGTGCAGTGTTCCAGTAAGTTATTTTTAAGAAATGGGATTAACTTGATAAAACTAAAATTTTGCTTGTGATTTGTGTTGTAGTACATATACATAGTTACAAGGTACTCCCAGCAAGACCGGGCTTATTGTCTTGTTGTTCAAACTGAATTTTGTAATTAAAAAGTGTAGTTATTGTACTTGACTTCGCATTGCTGTGGATTATGTTTACCATTAGTACTGTAATGTTTTCTTGATGTCCTATCGAATGTACGTAAGTAAGCTTTTCGAGGTAGCGTTTGTGCCGAGTTTTGTTGAACTTTTGTTTGTCGTGATTCTCTCTCCATTGTGATCTTCTCTTACATAGTAAGCTACTATGCAGCAAATCTTAATTTTGTACTAATGGTATTCAGCAGCATTTTAGCCGATAAATGAATTTTGTTGCCCCTCGTTCCTTATAATAAGAGTACTATCCTTAAATCTTATCCTCTCGATTATTTTCAGGTGTTTTCTATGGAAAAATTTACATTAACATTCGTTTTCGGTGCTGCACTTGTCACTTATTAGTACTTATGTTTTTTATTGATCGCATCGGCAGTTTTTGTGAACATCTCGTTTGTGTGCCGGTATAACGAAAACGAAAATGAATGTAGAAATATACTTTGAAAAACGTTGGTTACCTAATATAGATTCGCGCAACAGCATAATCACCAAAACGCATGTGGTCTCCTAAATAATCTTTCATAAAAGTTGGGTAGTGGCCAGTGGGTGATGATAACGGACTTCTGAACGAATCTTTCTTTTGAGGCACTGATCTTGTGTATTCATGTCATTAACTACTCACAGCTGTGCTGTTAGTTGTATAATAGTACGTATAATATAATTGTGCAAAATGTTTATTTGAAGTAAACTGCCGACAGGAGATATAACAACAACAAAACATTTATCAACATGATTAATAAGACTCTCCTTTTATTTCAGTTTCTTCCAAATTTTTCATCAAACTTAAATTGTTATTCAAATATATTGTATCATATGAGCACATACCTAATTGCATCATGCAATGCTAATAAGCTTTTGAGGATGAGCACGCATTGTGAATTATTGTGGCATCAAGGAATTTTCCAGTATTAAAATTAATGCAGTGCATTTTCTTATCTGCATGCTGCATATGTGCCGATATCAACTGGGTCGAAGAGCTGGTAGTAGCAGAATTAGCTGCCATCTTTGCCATCGATAATCTGCGGCCATGCTTAGAATTTTGTTTTCTACCGTTAACACTGTTATAGGTCAAGAAAAAACGTGTAAAAATTGATTACATTCTATGTAAATATTGACTTCCGGTTAAGGATGAGCAGTTGCAGGCTGATATCGAATAAATAATCTGTGAGCGTCTTTTGTGGTAGTGCAGTAGTTCTTTAGAAGTACAGTATTCACTTTTCCCAAGTATATATATTTCATTTTCCTAATTATAGACTTTGCATTGGTTGGCTTGATGTAAATTTGGGTGCGTAATGCTTCACGCATGCGTGAACCAAACCGCAAAAGCTTGTGTTGATTGCACGTCAACCCACATCGCCTAGTATTAGAAGTGCAAATGCATTCCAGCTGTACAGCGAAGTCAGTTTTGATTTCCTGCGATGTGCTTAACAGCCTGTGGGAGATTAACAATTACGTAGAGATCACAACGTGTAAGCGCCGATATGTTTGCATGAGTCCAACTGGGAAGATGGATAGGGTTACCTGGGATCATGAGCGCGCTCGGCACTGTGGAAGCGCAGTGGTAGCATGTACACTGAGCAAATCAACCCCTGTGAGAGGCATGCAGTTCGTTGGTATAAAACACAGTACGAAGAAATTAATAAGTATAATGAGTCTGCGCTGCACCAGCTCACCATCAGGATCAATTTACTATTCGCTGTTGGTGAAAAACGGTTACACTGGTTCGGGACAGGCACGGATGAACGAATCCAGCTGATTTCCAGTCGACTAGGGCCAACTGTGTACGAGAGCCTGTGTGGTTTTGGTGTATGTAAGTACATGGGTGCCGGTCGGGTGATAAAACTTATCATCGAAGTCAAAGGGTGTGTGTATATATATCCAGTTAGCATAAAGAGGAAGGGTCTGGTTGCGCTATGTTGGGAAATAGCGCTCCGCTGAATGATCGGCACGGGTTCAAGCTGTTGTTCCAGTGCGTTTTCTCACGTCTCTTCGTATAATGTACTGCGCCGACGTGATTATCACCTTATTGCACAACTCCTTGGTTTTCCTCTAATTAATTTATTAGGCTGGTTTTTAGGCTGATTAGAAGAGTCATCTGAGTTCCTTTCTGTACTCGTACTTGTCTTATTGATGGGTATTGTCGCCGTTAATGTCGAATTTCGATGTTTGCCGGCTAGACCGGAAATGCATTTACATGTTTTCAATTCCGACAACGCACTGTGTTGGACATCTGGTGCGTAAATTACTTGTTGTCAATTATTAGGAATCAGTGTATCTGTATATCTGATGTTGTGATTGGGTAATAATTAGTTCTACGTGTGGTAGATTCTGTACTGCAAAAATGTGATAAGTGCAACATTACGATTTGGACTTTTTCAAGAGTAATGTCGGCTGGGTGGATAGGCGGATTTGCATCAGAACTGTATTAAGTACTTGATCATACTAATCTTCTGTAATTTATTTCTCAGGGATTTTTACGGCACATTCCGCTGTAATGTCGTACCCCCTGTAAAATGCGTACGTTAATGCAAAATTTTGGGTGTGCCGCCACTGTGAGAGGGATGAGAGATTATCTATCTGTAAGAAATTTGAAATTTTCACGCCGTAGTTTAGAGAGTTACTTATTATTTCGTGACCAGAAGTGTTACTTAGTTCTATCCATATGGCTTATTCACTTGTTGCAAATGGTTGTTTGGAAAAGCGCATGATCTAAACACTTAACTCGATTTATATTTTGTATGTGTGACCATCCCTTTCGTATCTGTTGTCCTAACACGCCGATGACATTTAAGGGCGATCGATTCCTCGTTGGTTTTCCGCTGTGAAATGGCTGCATTTACGCCGAAATAGAGAGATTAATGAAAAACATGTAATTTTAATGCTGATTACTGATTAGTTTTATTGTTATGGTTCAGTTGCGGTTTTCGTGGTTTGTAAGACGCATTGGTAATTCGTCGATTCACGGCATTTTGTTCGGCGAAGTGTGGTGTTATTTACCTGTTCATTTATACATGTCCTGTCGTTGCAGATATTTCGTCCATGCTTTTGAGTCGCCAACGAAAAATTCTTCTGGAAGTTCCAAAAGCACTACGCTCTCCTGCTACTACTTTAGATATTGTTTGGATCAGGTGTTTCTCTATTAAGAAAGCCATATGACTTCGGAAACATGATCATGAACGGGAATAATGTTCATATCAACGGTATTATGGATGGCGGGATAATTGATGGCGATGGAGGCAGAATGCCTGACCCGGATCATATCAAAATGTTTGTGGGTCAGCTGCCGCGATCTTTTACGGAAGACGACGTGCGAAAATTATTTCAAGAATTTGGAGCGATTTATCAAATTAACATGCTCCGAGACAAGTCTACCGGCCAAAGCAAAGGTAATATATATTATGGTAGTAGTAACTAGCAAGTACAAGTAGTACGTAGGAAATTGCTGCCCACTACTATCATAAAGCTTTTTAATTTTCTTAAATTTTTAAATTGCTGACTGGCCCATCTTTTGTAACTTAGAAATACACACGAAAGAACATGAAGAATTTATTACCAAATGAAAGCGTCAGAAAGTGTACCTTAATTACTATGTTTTGTTGTACACGAAATTTTGCAAATCTCCTAAAAAATCACGTGCACGGTTGTATAATTTTGTATTCAGTTTTGAATTTGCTGTAGAATTACCTGCAGCGCAAAGTTTTTGCATAGGGGATTAGTTTATGACCGCAACAACCGGATTTTCCTTTTCCGGTGGAGCTGAAATAGAGGCTTGATCACTAGACAGAATAATCCGTTTTGTAATGGGACTGCCACAGTAAGCTGATGGAAGAGTATTTTGCATAATCAGATCGGCAGTTCGAAGCCGTGCACCGGCATCTTGGCTTGTCAGTGGATATCATGCTCAGACCAAGCTCAAACTAATCAGTAGAATTTTAATTGCACTTGCTTCTTTAATAGCAATTATGCGCCAGCTGCTTAAAATTGGTGTGGTGCTAATTACTCTTACCCGAAACCCTATGAAGCAGCCTTGATCCGAGCATTTTTTTAATGGAAAGACGTAATGATTCTAGCAACATGACACTAATTCACAGTAATATCCATTGATGCACATTCTCGGCAAAATTACAGCTTTTCAGTTAGCATTTGGACAGTTTAGTGAGTTTACAGTTATCTGAATGCTTATTGACCGGGTGCGTTTGGATGCAAAAATTTTAGTGGATGTCACCCTGCCACATGCTGACGACGCTTCCAAAATACCATTTCAGTTTTGCGGTTTAATAATGTTAGGTATATTAGCCATGGTAAGCTATAGTGTACATATACAGTATATGCAAGATCGTACATACAGTAGTGAAATTGTTGAATATGGAAAGAAATGAATATAGACCGAGCGCATTAATAGGAGATTCAAGGAAATAATATAAAAGTTCTAAAAGGAAGTTATAAAAGACGATATCGTGGGAATAAACTCACAGTTGCTCTGTATAGAAATTTAGTATAATGTTGTTAAGCTTTTTTCGGCGTTTCATTTATATGTATTTACGTATGGGTATTATCTGCTGAATGAATTTTAACGCTGGTATGTTTGGAATAAGTAAGGATCCGGTGGATTCAGAGTTTAATAATTATTACTGTCGGGTGTTCAATGTAAATGCAGTGACAAAGGCTGCAAGCTGTTGGTGAGTATGTAATTTGGAGGATGGATTATGAATTGAAGGTGATTTGGTAGGGTGTGAGTAGTTGGTGATATGTTTGATGATTGGGGAATAAGTGTCATAGAGGATACTGTTTTAGGATGCTGTTTCATCACTTTTTATCAACGGAAATCAGCACTAGACGCCCAGAACGCTCTGCACAACATTCGCACGCTACCCGGGGTAAGCTTAGCTCTGACAGATGGAGAGGGCCTAGTGTGGATGAATTCATTTCCGCACAACATTTTTCTTCCCACTGCTGCCCATTTGTAGATGCATAATCCCATTCAGATGAAGCCGGCTGATACGGAAAATCGTAGCGGTAAGTCAGTGTGCCATGGATGTGCAGTAATGATTTGCAAGTTGAAGTCGTGTAATGAACTTCAGAGGTTTTTCTTCCTGCAAGATTGATATAAAATTGTTGTTACCCTTGATGTGAGTCGCTTCGGTTTCTGTAGTTGAACGTTTTGCTTGAACATGCAGATCGCTAATGAAACAGTATTCCTTTGTTTAAGAGATACTTGTTAAATGGCAAATATGAAAAAGAAATTATGACAGAGAATGATTCTACGGTATTCAGCTGCTCTAGCAGGGAATGAATGAATGATCGGTACATTATCGCCGTCTACCTTTCCCCCCATTTTTTATCGTCCTTGAGTTACTGTACTTAAAATGCAACAAATTTTTAATAATAAATCTGAAAAGTAACGCGCGTTTTTGTGTACTCATATCTAAGAATTTCGCTAATACATCGTGTTAACTTTTCTTTATTGCTTTTTTGTATGCATTACAATATGGATAAATCATGTAGTACTTCTACAGCTTTGCGGGTGTGATGGATTTGACGAACTTGAGCACTGATGTCGTCTATAGAGAGCTTATTTTTAGAACGAAAACTGTTTGTTGGAATGATCTCGAAAAAGTCTTCAGAAGAGGACATAAGGAAACTGTTCGCACCGTTCGGTGTGATTGAAGAATGTACCATTTTACGAGACGGAAATGGATTGAGCCGAGGTACTTGGTTTCAGGCTTACAAAGCGGCCTATTGTCGCCAGTTGGCTCGGGTGGTAGAAAAGAGCATGTTTTTGCTGTGTAAAAGTCGCGATACAATTTCGTTTTGGGTGTACGTAACGTTTTCTCTGTGGCATCGAGAATGGGTGTATTGTTTGAATTGTTGTTCATACTGATTTGTCCCCTATCTCGCGTTCCTATGTTGAAAATTTCCATGCTCTTTTCTAACACATAGCCAGCGCCATTACTTGCTGTTTGTTTACACCCAATGGATGGTTGTCTATCTCTAAGTGTGTGGTTTGTTGTTTTGTCGTCAACAGGCTGTGCCTTCGTCACGTTTGCTTCTCGTCAAAATGCTCTTAATGCAATCCGGGTTCTGCACCATTCCATGACTGCGGAAGTTAGTATTTAATGTGTACTTGTATATCGGTTTTAGTTTTTCACTGTCCTGGTTATATTTAAATTATTCCTTTGCTCAGGTTATTTGTTTATCTTTGCTGACCCTAACCTATCTACTTTGATATGTCTGGCTTTTGGGTTTGCTAGCCTGACAAAATCTGTGCCAATAACTGTTTACCAAGCATTTTTTTCGTGTTATTAAGTTCTCTACGTTTCACTCTGCACTTTATGTAAATTTGCCATTAATAGGTCTCTAGTTATTACGTAAATTTCACATGCTCGCATTCGGTCCATAATTCAACTTCTTATCCGCTTCTTTTTCGCACTATATCTGGAGCGCATCCGGAGGCGCTTCCTGCATCGGTCTTATGTTTCAACTGAAATTTCAATTATCACCTGCATATGCAAAGAATGAGAAATAATTATTGCAAAAGCGAAGAAAATTTTGGTTTATGCTACTTGTTACCGGCATCTTTACCGTCGTTTTGACCTAGAGCGGGTCTGGTTTAGAATTGACTACATACCGACAACGACAATTTGAGGATGCTGTTGCTTATAAGTGCAGCACTTATTGTTTTTACAGGGTTGCACTTCTCCTATTGTTGTCAAGATGGCTGACTCTACAAAGGATAAGGATACAAAACGGCATCCGGTTACAACATTAAATGGCTGGGTGGGCGGAAATCCCGCTTTGATTCCTCTAGGGCAACATTATCTAAACGTAAGGTCAATCCATGCGTTTTTTGCGTGTTGACGTTGTGAAAACTTGTTGTTTCAATATTTTTCTTTTTGTAGCTGATGCAACCGGCAGCGAGTCTCGGTTTAACTAATATTTTCAGTGGATCAACGCAAGGTATTAAAACCTAGTTTTCTGTTTCGTACGATAAAATTCTATAATGTCCATACCAGTATCGATTAATCGTAAGATACATGTCTGCTATTGCATTATCAATGCTGCATGATCCACGGTTCGATCCACGGCATTTCTTTAACAGAGTTGCAGATGCATTTTTTCATAATATGACGGAAATTGAAAACTTTTTTAACTTTGATAGCCTAATTAGCCCCAATTACTGTTAACATTCTTTTCTACTTACCATCTACCGATACAAATTTTTGCAGGGTTGTCAGGCATGCACGTCTCCTTACCGCAGTTCAGTCCACTTAGTGCGTCGGCGGCCATTAACTCGGGATTGCTGAGCAATTTAGGTGGCAGCGGGATAAATATGAGCGCGGCTAATGGTATGTGAGCATAGTGCGAACTAACCAAAATTGACACCGTTAAGACCCCTCTTCCTATGCTGGAATTAATTCATCGCTTCCCTTGCTGCCTTTCGTGCGCGGATCAGTCTTACCCACGCACTGTACTGTCTAAGAATAAACTGTGATGCAGTTTTGATTACTACATTTAACAGTTCCCATGCTGACAGTTGTGTACGGTATTCTTTCAGCGCGCGCACACATACTGTACGCTCCCCGGTATTCCCGAATTGATGAGCGATGTGTATGTGTTTGTTGTTTATGTAGAGCTTTGTAATCCCACATCGGCTCTGTCCAGCCTGACAGCGCTGACGAATGGCGCCTTATATGGCACGAACGCCGCTGGTATGGGCACGTATGGGGCCAGCAGCAATGTCGGGACGACTGCTGCGCTGCAGAATCACTTGTCCAATCTGAATGTGCTCGTCAATGGTGACAGCTCGCCGTCGGCCGTTGCCAGCAAGAACTCATCACTGGTTAATTCTCTGGCAGCAAAGGGTAAAAGCCCGTCAGTGTTTGCTCGTTTTCTTTTGCGTTTGGTCGTAATTTTTGTATATGTGTATATGTGTGGTGTTGATGCGCGGGAACATCTGGTGTCATGGCGGTGTGTCCGGGTCGTATCATTCGTAACATGAATGCATCGCCTATTTCGTGTTTCGTTATCCCTTGTGTAACCCCTTTAGTGTTTGTTTTGAATATGTGTAGGTTTATATGGTTATAGCCGTTCCCGCACCATGCGTCGTGTGGCCAACGGTATGTTGAATGATCGGTCCTGTATTTTGTGCAGGTCATATCGGAAAAATTTGTTGTTAGTCTAATTTTATTAACATAGTGTCGTGATCCAACTTTGTTTTAGCATGTTGGTCGACTGTTAATTACGAAGCTTTCCTTCTTTTGCATGACTTCTGGTTTGATTGGTGTCTGACAATTTACTGAAGAGTGTATTTTTCGTGAAAATTTGCCTTAGTGTTGGGTGCATGCTTCGTAAACAAAGTTGAAAATATCGCTCCACTTACAGTTAATTGGCTTGTAGGATGCTGTTGCTCTCGCTTTTTGTGTGAATCTGTACATAATGTTCCTTTGTAGTATTACGATGCACGGTTGAATTCGTAATCGCCTTTGAATCAATAGAAGTATAGTGTGTATCACGTGAGGAAGAGTCCAGTTTCTTATGAAGTTGGGGCTTTGCAGTTGTGACTAAGAGCCGTTTATTTTGATAAAGCTGAATGGTATACTGTATGTAAGCGTGTTTTGCATAAATATTGTTGTATAGGATCTAGTGCAGCTGTTGGTTCTCCACTGACGTCGCTGGCGGGATATGGCAGCGGATTATCATCCTTGGGGGCATCATACAACGGCGGCCTGAGTAGCAGTCCCTATGACACGATGGCGAGTGCCTATTCACAACTGGGCCTGGCAAAAGGTCAGAGCTATTCAGCGCTCGTTATTAACATTAACATAACGTTCTGTGTTGGGACAAGTTGTTGGCCAATTAAAATTCACGAATGTCTGTTTTTTATTATGCTACAGTATTGACTTCGACAGCTTTTCCCAGCGTAACTAAGCAAACCGAAGGCCCAGAAGGATGTAATTTATTCATTTATCATCTTCCACCAGAATTCGGTGATCAGGATTTAATTGGATTATTTAGCACATTTGGCAACGTCATTTCCGCTAAAGTTTTTGTCGATAAGCAGACCTCGCTTAGTAAATGTTTCGGTAAGTCTAATCGCAAATCACGTCGCATTTTGCTTAACCCACGGTCTAAAAATTGTTTTCGTTGGCATTGTGTTAAAAACGTTTAGAGTAAAAAAATAAGCAAACTAGCGACTGTTTCAGGGTTCGTCAGTTTTGATAACCAGGTATCTGCTCAAGCGGCGATTTCCTCGATGAACGGTTTCCAGATTGGCATGAAACGTCTGAAAGTCCAGCTTAAACGCTCAAAAGATGGCGCCAAGCCGTATTGAATGGATGATCCTTGATAGTATTTTTCTGCATGCTGGTTAAAAGTTTTGGGTGCAAATCATGTTACGAGTAGCATGGCATCAATGGCGATCGATATTCCAAACGGCATCGCCAACCCTGATTAACACTTCTGTTAACGAATGACTAGCGTTGCTCCATTGGAGCGACCGTCCCAGTGTGAAGAACTATTCTCCTGCTCAATTGTTCCTTTTTTCTATGAAAACGCCCAGAGATGGGCGCTATATAAATTTTCGACAACTTTTGTGCAAATATTTTGTTTATTTTAATATCTCGATTTTTGTATGTTGTCAAGAGTCGCTCATTTTATTTGGACGAAAAAGAATTCGAGATAGTCAGATTTAAATAATAAAAAAAGAACAACATCGGTGTTTGTCATTGACCAGTAATGCAGCGGTAAAACCCGCAGCAGCGGTAAATCCCTCAAGCCGCAACTGACTAAAACCATATAGAAACCATCGAAATCGCTCAAAAATCATACAAAAACCTATCGTGCCAAATTATCGAACTTATTCCGATAACCAACAATGACTAGTTCCAAAGGAAAAACAACACTTTGCGTACTTTTGCACAAGATCGATTATTCGATTCCAACAACTTTAGAATTCATGCTATTTATAAATATTAACAAAAGTGGACACAGCAGCAATTTTTGCATCAAGTGTGCTCTCCATCCTGCAATAAGTAAGTGTCAGTAACATGCATGAACATGTAGTTCAAGTACGGCACACAAGCTTTGGACCAATACTGCACAACTACTGCACTGCACTACATTAAGTACTGCACAACTAATCCAGAATCCCCAAAAAATTGTATCACAATAATAACAACAGCGTCCTTCGAAAAATGATACTAAATGCGTCTGTTTTCACTTCAGTTCACAATTTGTTTGCAATGAGCTGGAAGAAAATTCCGCTTGACTTACAGCAGAGTAGTCCTGAGGTCTTTGAGGCGAGCGTCAACTGACTTGTCATTATCGCTGACATGAGTAGGAGGTGGCAAACCAGCAACAGCTCTGTCGAGCCAATTTGATAAATTCTATAAAAACCGACATTTTCCGATAAATTCTAACGCCGACAAACAAAAACAAGCGATCGACACATTCCTGAACTAATAGCTACATCTCTTACACAACACACTTTAAAATGTCTGCTACATGAATATGGCTGCTTCGACATATGGTAATTGAATGAAATCGACAAATGCCGTGCCTTTTCGATGCACCTACCGAGCCACTGGGATCATAGGGATACAAATCCTCAAAGAGCTGTGCCACGTCGGTCACGGTATGGTTAAACGCATCTCGAAACATGCACTGGAAGGCTCTAGAGATGAATTCCGGGGCATACCGGCATATCAACACATTGACTTGAGGATAAAGATTGCGCGCCTGAATAACACCAAAGCACACAAGGATCATCGAGAATTGAATGTATATCTGAAATGTGTTATCTCAAAATAAGTCAATCATATATCGGTCTTATCACCTAACATACCGTAATCCGTACAAACCAAATAAAAGCACAAATCAACGTACTGCTTGACGCTTTCACATACTCGTAAAATATTATCCTTACCTTGTATCCATTTGACAGGAAAGCACTCCAAGCGGAAAACACTGAATGACTAGCCTGCTGGTTCGACGATGCGCAGCATATTAAACTGCATTTCATAATCTCATCAATCTGCCGGTGAAGCACGAACGTCGCTATCGATCTTTCGCACGTTCTGTAAGATGTCCGCCAAGGACAAGCATGTTCAAATGTACACGGAGGCATTTGAAAACCAATTATGCAAATGGGAGAACCAACCGCCGACACAAGCGAAAAAAGTCATCCACAAGATCCGGATGTTGGCGCACGCTCCCCTCCGATGTTAATATGGTGAATGTCGGTGAACACAGAGCCTAAAGGTGGCCAAAAAACCAAATGTACAACACATATTAAAACAGAATAGAACATTCTGGCTTCCATTCCTTACATCGATCATAGACGCAAATCCTTCCTGCGTTTGAGGAATATCGCCAAATTCATCAACCAATACGCTGGCCAAATAAAGGATGCATGCATGATGGGCTTCGCTGTACAAATCGGTGAACTGAAAGGGTCAGTAACTCAGAAACGTACGGCAAACCGAGATCAGTTAACGCTGCTCAGTCAACGATAAAAACCATCTAATATGTGATTAAAAAATCTTCTGTCATACCTGACAGGCTGATACCAAGCCTAATAAACCAACCTTAGCAAAAACTGGTAGAAGAGTAGCACCGGATGCCTTCCCCAGAAATCGCACCATGTAACGCAAGCATCGGACTACCTTTTCCATAATATCATCGTTTTTCATAAATATCACAGCGATGTCAGCCAAAATCGGGAACACCTACATAACAACCCTCCCCACTAAATTTCCTAATCAGCTTGGTAAAGAAGTCGCAGTAAAATGGTTCACGAACCCCATTTATCACTTCTGCAACCGGGTTATTTTCTCTAGGAAACCTATCCGTTGATAGATGCCTGCAAAATCCACCATTATCATTCAGTGATCGTGTTGAATTCGATCAAGCGCTCTTTTACTTAAAAACGGATGCCAAGTGGTTGAGCCATATCATAATGCTCCTCTGACGATCTCGATCCAGACTGCGCGGCGGAGTACTCCGGGCTTCTGCTATGACCTATAAGAAAGGACTCACAACAACAACCAACAACTGGAACAGCAATAACTCCGTACGCGTTCCAGTGGGGCTCGCACTATATCACACAGCTGACGGAGACATGCTAATTGTGTGTGGTCTGGCATATCGTTGAGGACGTTAACGGTAGCTATAAACCAAAATTTCTAGTCGGAATTCATCCGCATTAAAAAGGTACGATATCAAAAAACAGTTACGATACCTCGAGATACGGCTTCCATTTCTTCTTCACGTAGCCCCATTCCATCCAAACGCGATAAGAGATCCATCAATTGCCGGAAATACTTGGTCAAATGGGAACGGCAACAATGGGAGATTTCTTGTAATGTTCGGCTGGCTGGATCAGCTAATTTTTTATTGCAGAGGCCTCGTTCGATATGGGAAAGCACATGATCTGTAAAAGTCCACAGAACAATAACATAACGACATTTTTGACCGTACACATGTCCATCACAGTGATGTTAACCCTTAAATAACGTTACTATAACCAGTGGATTATGAAGAATATACATTGCAACACATAAGAAAAGAATGTACGTTTTTGAAGGACACTAACTAGAAGCAACACTGTTAAAATTTCGCCTGTGCGCTTGTTCACTACATTTCCAGTGTCGACTTACGAATAAACCTAGTTTGTACCTGCATATTCGGGATGATTTCCAAACCAATAGCCCAAATGACTGAACAGGTTCAACACAGTGAACTCGAAACACAGCTTAGTAGTCGCAGGCATTGATATGAGAGCTGCTATGACCGGTTGAATCAATGGTAAGCCTTCTTTCCTAAAATTTAGAAAGATAATTTGCCTACTATTTTTAGCGTGCTTAAAATAACAAATAACCAAAAAACTGGTAAGTGGACAATACTTATAAAGCTTAGATGCCAGAGCACTCATCAAAAATAAAGCGGATTCTACTGCATCCCATTCCGAGCGGTGTTCCGACAGCAGATGCATCAACTGCAAACATTATATGATATTATAAAAAGGAAATACAGAACTATGTTAAACAATACCCGTATATTCGTAGAGAGTTATAAGAAGCGAAAAAAACAGAAGTCGAATATGTACAAATACAAGTGCAGAATTTAAAAAAAATAAGAATAAAAAATATTCAGCTTACATGTTGCCATGAAGTTGGATAATCGATCACATCCGTCATATCATTCAGGCATTCCCAGACATGATTGCGGTAACTTTCGAATTCTTCATCTTCATCCAGCAGCCAATCCTAAAAAATAAAGTGTGCAAAAAAATGGCATACTTCAGCATGGCATCGTTTACTACCCCATCTGGATCGTATCGGCAGCTTTTCCATAACGAACTCAGCAGTCGCGCGAAGCAAGTTTTAAATATTTGGACATCATTCTGGCTGTTACTCGAAGCGATTTCCGTTAGCATCTGCCAGAAATCTAGCCCAATTTCGATAACCTATAACAAAAACATCAAAGAACGCAAATTAGCCATAAGTTAAAAATAACCGGAAGGCGAAAAAAGATGCAACTCAAATTAAAAATCCTATCATAGATACAAACAGAGAAAATTACTTCATAATCCGGGTGATCACAGCAAGTGAGTAGAATCTCCAACAGCTTTGGATACGAAAAAATATTTAGCTGTTCCTTCTCGCACGATAAAATAGTCTCCCCCAGTGAAACAAATATTCGAACATAATTCTTACACCTGCAAAAAGCAGTTCGGTAGGTACGCGGCGTATCAAATCCATAAAGGACACATTGTTGAATGTCCGTACTCCGTAGCGCTTGAGCAGTCGACACAATTGAATAAGCCATTCTTACCTATCTACATCTTCATTCCGTACAGAATGCACAAACAAATGCTCATATTTCACAACGGACTCAACCAGCTCGTCAATTTTCCGCTTCGAAGCGGTGGCTTCGTGCTATAATATTAAAAAAAAACAATACGGATCCTCCTGAGTCAAAGAGCTCATACAAATCACGAATATTTTCGCAAAAGCACGCACCACGATATCGGGTAGCGTGCAGACCAAACAATTCGCACAGGCTTCGTGGATTTCCAGTGATGTATCGAGTGAACTCTGCAAATACATGGTGCGCAATAAAAAATAAAAAAAATAATATTTAAATTATAATATTATTTAAATAATAATAATATAATAATAATAATATAATATGCATCATCAAACTTCTGTTTTCTAGTACTTAGTTTGTACTTTCACGTGATACTTATTAAAGGTCAGTAACACGGGAAAATATAATAATAGTAATATTATTATTATTTAAATAATAATAATATTTATATAATAATAATATTTAATAAGATTTTAATAAAAAATCTTCGTCAAGTTTATGGGACACCAGCATAAACTTTCTTTCACATACCAGATATAAGAATAAATTATGAAAGAGGTCGGTATTGAGCAGCTCATCAGTCCGCAACGCACTTATGCTACACCAGCTTCCTAAGCAATTATACACTTTGGCAATGCAGTCATCAGATCGATTACTAGTCCTGCGTACGCAATCACTCTGGAAAAAAAATTTGTTTGTTTAAAATTTCATATTTCCTCCTCAAAAATTATTTACCAAAAGGGAAATCACTTTGGGTCCAACGCGCGCCAGTTCCTCGTTCAACTGGTTTCGCCGGGCATTGGGTAGACGTAATTTATTGTTAGTTATCTACAGCAGCGAAATATAATAATTACGCAATTCATAGATGCCCACATTTTGGTGTTACTGTTACGGTAAGCACCTCTTCAGGGTAAAGCGTCAATATTTCCAGCAAAGCGGGAAGGAGAAACGTATTATCACCAAATCTGAAACAAAAACGTAATAATTATGAGAAAGCGCATGCGAAAAGTTTAAACAGCCAAAGTTTTTTAAACAAACCATTTAACCACATTTTTTAACCCAGATTGTCACAATACAATATTAAAAGGTTTATCTATAACTCTCAAACTATATCGCGAAACCCATTAAATTTATTTTAGCAATAACGCAGAAGCGATAACAAAAACACTTAAAAAAATAAAACTAAGTTACTATCCTTTGAAATAAAAAAGCATATTACATAATACCTTGCTATCACATCACTGACGGAGTCCGGCCAGCCAGACATCTGCAACGCCAAATCCACCAGCGCTACGGACAACTGTTGAAAGAAAAACGACGCCATTCTCAGTTATCGCAAGCAACAGACCGGCAGCCAACAATACGACGAGACATACAGCAACCATAACCGGACGGTCCTCCTTGTTCGTAATGTTCTCCAAATGGCTCAGCAGCATATCACGCACTCTGAAGCGTAGATCAATGCTGATCTTGTGCACATTGTGCATTATCTGCGAATTCCAACCATCTTCGTGGACATTTTATCTAAGAGATCGAAGCAGCAGCAAAATACCTTGGCTTTGAAGCAGCGAGCTGCGAAATGGCGGTGTTTAAGGTCCGTCGCTTTCACCAGCAGCAGATGGCAGATCTCCCATGCGTAATCCTGTTGAATAAGGCACGGAATATTTTTTCTACATTCTATCTCATGCAAAGAAAAAAGTGTTCTCCTCACGGTTTCTTCGAATTCCTCCAGAAATGACTCCGCTTGTCGGCGCTGCTGGATGTCGCCTGTGTTATGGAACACGTCCAGCGCGTGCTCAATTAACCGAACGGCATCCTCCGTGTTATCAGGCATAATAAAGGTCGGACTGCGCTGCATCCAAACTAATAGCGGGTGAAAAAACAACGAAAACGATCTGCCAACGAGCGAGATACCGTCCCAGGACTATGTTGATTCTGCTGATGTCTCTTGAAAATACTGATCAATGGAGCAACACCCTGGCACCCACAACAAAATAATTGGTTCTCAGTTACTGCAGAATTGGTTCAGCTGGAAAATCCCTTCGCAAGGTGATTACAACAATTCACACCTGGTATACCTATTAGGAAATTAGTACAACTGGGAAACCCAAATTATCTAGAGTAGAAATGATTTGGTAGAAGTTGAAAATTTACGCATGTCCGCACACAACATCCAACAGGTCTAGGAAGAAACACACTGAAGGATGCAGAAATCTGGATATTCTTTCGAGTGGGTATCCAACCATACACTGGCATACAGCTACGGCTGCAGCCTGCAGAGTTAATATATACACGTAACTGCAACCCCAGAAGAATGTGAAGATTGCGGGTGGCTCAATCAGGCCCCACCACCACAAGCGGGAGAACAATATATATTTTCATTATATTACAGTACTGTAAGTACTTATTTAAAAACTCCTACTGGAGTATTTTTGAATACAGTGATTTGGTTTACTCAACAATAAAATAAATTCATAATTTGATTGTCTCAAGAAATATTATTTACATAATCGTAATTGTTTTACTTTAAAGACAATATTGACGGCTTGCTGCCTGATTTGAACTCGGATAATCTGTAATCATGTACTTACTTTTAATTGTACTTTCCAAATCTGGCATGCTTTTGATCTTTTGGAACTGTTGAAGTTTTATCGAATTATGTAACGGGATAATATGGGCGACACAATTCTGACTAGTTATTGATTATCGATCTGCGAAATCGTCACTCGGCGTACGAATTCACTTATCAAAGAACTTGCGAAGCCAGTGCCTGGTGTGTTATTTCTTATTTGCTGCGGCACATTTTATCCTTTTGCAAGTACCAAACCACTTGGACGAGGTTTCCGAGTCGACGAAGCTGTGAAAAATCAAGGACTGCCAAGTGCGGATTGAAGTACTAGAACAGCAGCCATTTTGTAAGCTTTTTTTATTATTTGGTAAGCTGGATTCAGCAGCTGAATCATAGAACGTGGGAGCAACTGTTTTGTGGTTGTTCTGTATTCTGTGCTACAGTATGACATAAATCTTAATACTTCGTTTTGTTATTCGATTTTGTGGTTGTTTTATACAGTTCTATCAGGACATCAGAATTAGCCACGGCGTTTTCTAAACACTACCCTGGTAGAAATTCGTAACTCCACACGAATCTATCATCTTTCGGACTGCTTCTTATCGTTGGAAATGGAATTTCACTCTGAAAAAATTGACTTTGGAAAGAGTCGTTATCCGTTCTGCATCGTCTGGGTAACGCAAAGCTCCCAACTTATCTGTGTACAGTATTAGTGATATAACATTTTTTGTAATGTTTCGAAATGTTTTTGTAGACTCCTATTCCTGTGCTAACGTGAGTTAATGCGTCAAGCAGAGTGCACGTACATTTTCATGTTCGACAGCGCTTTTGCTGAGGCTCACATAAAATTCTATTTGACTTTTCCTGTTTTGCGAACTGTTTGGATCACAGGTGGCTGTTTCCATTCATCGGACACATGGGAATTGCCACATCGACTGGAGTTATTCGGGATTTCGCTGGACCCTACTTTGTTTCGGTATGGTAGTGCGTTTCCGCTTGCTCGCAAATGCTTTTCATTCACTGTCACTGCAACAGATAAACCATGAAACGAAACCATGAAATTATATGAAATATGCTGATGATTCGAATTTTCTTTCCTTGGCTGCAGGAGGATGATATGGCTTTCGGGCGACCGACGCGGTATAAAGCCAACTTATAATGATTACTTTTGCCTGTGACACATTTTGTTCTGTTGATGTTGTCCCAGCATTATTGATCATTTTGTTTTCGAGCTTCAAGCTAACCATAGTACCGCATCAATAATAAATGTAAAGTAAATTATAAAAGTAGAAGTAAAGTTTAAAGTTAGAATCCCTGTGATTATTTGGTGTGTCGTGTTGGTTTTATCTGCGGTACATTTACGTTTGTTGCGGTATATGGTGTGTTTCTGTTCCTTAAATATTGGTTGTATTATCTAAGAGATTTTCCGCTTTTATAATTCCCGGAAATAGGCGTTACGACATGTGCATTACATGCTGTTAGTGGAATAGTTACGTATTTGGAATATTTTGGATTACATTCTATCTGCAGTTGGATGAAAATGTTTTGTGATTTGTTGCATACTTTAGTGGTGGCGTATGTAAACAGCAGAATTATTCTGCCGTTTTTTTAGCTCTGCGTCCGATTTGTTTTAGTTTTTTATTAGCATCCTTTTGTGGCATGCGCTCGATATTTATTCGTTTCCGTAGGTACTGGCGCCTCGATCCATTTAAAGCCGTCAATGGTGTATCTGGCTGGGATCATGCCATCGCTGAAGCATCAACGGAATACAATGGCCGCATTGTAAGTACTTACTAACGTTGTATTGGGTTTATCATTCTGGACATTGAATGTCCGTTTTGGCTAATTAATTAATTAACTATGTTATTATAGCACAACCTTTGTTGCGACAACTGTCACTCCCATGTGGCACATGCATTGAACCTTATGATTTATAATGGTTCTGCGTCGTGGAACATGGTGAAATTATGCTTTCTTATGCTGATTCGAGGTCGTTTTGTGAGGTATTGTGATCGAAATTGCCGTATTAGCTTTCATTTTTCCAAAACCATATGTATGTAGACGATTCACATTTTACAAAAATTCACGCAGCACACTTCACTACTGTTATTCTGACAGGTGGTTTGCTTGTAGTTTTCTGATGTTGAAACCATGGCGATAATTCCAGTTCTTAAGCACATCCAGTGATCCACCCGGTTTTTTTTTGCTACGGTATTCCCGTGTTTGATTTGTTGTTCTTTATCTGTATAGACTTTCGTACCGTATTTTAAAGTTTATATTCGATTTGTTGTGCGGAACGTTTAAACTGGGCATTTTTTAGTTGGTGCTCATTGATCGATCTCAATATCAGAATTAGAGCTGTTGTTAAAAAACTCTTAAGATGGCGTAAAATTTTACTTGCGGCTTGCAGCATCTGAAAATGAGTTTTTACTATTCATAATTTCGTGTTTGTCCCGTTATCAGTTTGTTATTCATCAAAAACGTTGGAAATTGGAATAATTGTTGGCGCATACACCGACCGCTTTCGTGAATAAAAGATGGCTTAGATTTCGAAGAATTTTTCGCATTCATTGACAGTCACTTGGAATAACTGCGGTACTTCGCATGTTATTTTTGCCTTAACTTCGTACAACAGTCGTGCGTTTTCTCCAAGAATTATTCTCGTAATATGAATGCAAGTGGCATACCGCGATAATCTATCGCAAATAGAAAACAAAACAATAAAAAAATATTTGGCATAGGCATCCTTGGATTGGGACAGCGCGGCAGTGGCTTAGGAAGAGTGTATCGGGTCATCGGAAGTTCCGAACAGTTCTATATCTGGTTTGGCGTTTATCGAAACAAATCATGAGCAGGCTTTTAGTCCATTAGAAGAGTTTGAAAACAACGAAAGCTGTTGATTTTCGATGTAAAAATGTTCAAGACATCCTTCGAATCCGTGGTGGTATGATGCGGGGATTTCTTGGTGTAGATCCGTGGATCCCCCTGCAACCGGAAACGGTTTAGTTCAGGTCACAAATAGTATACCAAGCGTTTGTGCGATGAATAAACGAATTGTGCTGTACATACAATTAAATTTTGCTTTATCGTTATCAGTGTACGATAAAAGAGTGCGCAGTAATAGCCGTTGTGGTTAAGAGTTGTTGTTATATGATTAAAATACGATATTGAACGAGGTACAGTACAGCTTACCAATGTAGATGTTTCCGTTCGTATTTAGCGCAGTTGCTCCCGGACTGGAAGTTTTTGTCCGTGCAGTTTCGTCGTCGACTTGAAGGCTGCCCCATCTTTTGATTCTGAAAGGGGTGTTTACTATGTTTTTTGTGAACTAACGCAAAAGTCAGATTTTATTTTTACAGGGTTCCGGGCATCATATGCGAAGCTTTCTTAGCTGAAGGCAAATGTTATTTTGGAGTTGTTGCAAGATTTATTCTAGTTATATTTTTAAGTTTATTCTAGTTATCCTTCTGGATTATCTTATATTTTTTATGATCTTATATTTGTTATACTCGTATTTTCAAGCAAAGCAGAAATGTTACAGTTAACTGTCACGATGCACTATTGCTCGGTGTATACGTACCTTTCAGCCGCAACAGTATGCCATTTTCCATCATTTACAAGTATCACAGACGTAATTGCAAAAAACTCCTGTTCTTTTCCCAAATCGTAACTGAACTGAACATATCCTTTCACAATTGCAATGGCAATAAAATCACCCCGGATGCTTTTTCCTTTGCTTTGCCAAACAATTAGTCCATTTGGTGAAGTTGTTTTCACACGGAACTTGAAAGAATTTCGTTCCTGATTGTCCAAGCTGTAATGCAGCGTGCTTAACGTTTTCGAATTACAAAATTAAGTTATTCTAGCATGACAATCATTCTACTGTAGTATATTTGTTTTGATTAAATTGGATCAGTAGAATATTTCTCGGTGCTTCTTGTGGCATTTTACCTTTTTGTGACTAAATTTGGATATTCCAAAAACGTATGTCCGTCAAACCGAACGGCCTTTTGCAATAAAGTTTTGGAAAAATCCGCAGCCAGAGCTGAAATTTAAAAACTGAGCTGTGATGTTCTTTGAAGTTTGGATGCAACGTTCAAACGCACAATAGTATACACATTAAGTAGTATCCTCACAAGCCAGTTTCCTGACAAATATATCAGTAACTTCAGTGAAAGATACGCATTCTGACCCACCTTTCTCGCACCGCTCACCCCCAAACATTGGCTGGCACTTGCATTTGAATGTGGACAATCTCGGAATACACAATCCACCATTTAGACATTTTTCTTCTTTTTCGTGACATGGCGGACCGCTGAATGGTTTGACATTGTTCATTTCCGCTGCTTCCTGCGAAAGGTCATCCCACTGGCGTCCATTAATATTGACCATCTGCACCGCTCCATCGAAGTAAGAATCCAACTTGGCAGAACGCGCAGTTTGGAAAAAGTTTTTCACTCCGCCGATAAAGGTTCCCATTTCAAGGTTTAATTCCGCAAGAGAGCCCTGCACGGAAAGTTAACCAATAATGTACGGCAATTAAGCATAACTACTAATAATCCGTGAAACATTCTTACATTGAAACATTTGGTTGAAACATTTTTACCTGAGATTCGGCACTGACTATTGCTCCATTGTCCAGCTGAAGGGAAGCACGTTTTCCGTGACGAAAAATTTTGGTCGTGTGCCATTCGTTCAAAATGACAATTTCCGGGTATCTAAATGTTTAAAAAATAAAGGTAAAATATTGCAGACTAGTGGATAGTCCACCCGCAAGAACCGTACGTTATGTTTACGATCCCATCGCCCAGATCGAAGAGGAATTCCAGCCTGGTCTGGCGCAGATTGACCGCAACGAAATCGCCATCACCAGTGAGCAGCCTTGCGGCGTACATGAGCAAACCACTTTCTGAGCGCGTATTAAACCAGATTTCGATGTTTAAAAAAGGATTAGCATCAGTGATTCGAGGCAACTGAATGTACGAGGGTCCATAAAAATCGGCAACAAAAGGCGCTCGGGATGATTCTGGAATAGGTCACCAGTCAAGAACACGCTCAGTAAATTTTACATAAGAACTATTTGGCGAATGTCGACAGTTTTCTTACTCGGGTCACAATTCAGAGCGTGAGATCCATCTGCAAAACAGTTAAGTCAGAACCCATTAGATAACTCTGTCAGTGACAGTAGCCATTATGTACATAAATATGGAGTACAAGCGAGTACAATACCGAAAACAAATGTTCACGACTAAAAAATTGTGTACTCGTAGAGCAGGGTTAATCGGTCTTATCTAAATTTCTGTAGGATCATAAATGATCTGGAAAAAAATATGTATTTAATGCTCATATGCGTTATTACCGATGGTAGAGCTATTATTAGAATTTTATTTTTCTGCAGTGTTTATTTCTCGATTTTCAGAGATTACATACAACCATACGCTACTGCTTGAAAATTAGATTTGATTTAGTATTTCATATTTTGTTTTCGCTGTATATATTACGCGATAAAATGTGTGGATTGTTTTACCTGGACAAACATGTACAATTTTTTCACTGTCCATTAGTGCAAGGGCTGCGCTGGTTTGGCAGTTTTTGCATTCTTGGTCTGTCGCTGTTACCGAAGCCGCTTTTTCGCATTGGTCTCCTAGTCAACAATAAATATTCGCCTCTACTATTGTGTGCCACGATTAGAGAGTTGGTTTTGAAAGAGAGGCATACACAAGGTGCTACACAAAAATGAACAAATTCAGCAAACCTGTAAAATTATGAGGACAGATGCAAGTGTACTGATGACCTTTGGATATTGCCTCACATGTGCCCCCGTTTTTACCTATTTAATTAGAACAGTTTCGTATTTTACTAGGTATCGGCATAAGATAATCAAGAAACGGTTTACTACGTACATGGAGAACTGACACAAGCGCTAACGCCGCATTCCCCTGCAACTCGAAGCAGTTATACTTGTGCAAGTTAACATCTGGGTTAGACGAGCTCGAACCGACCTATTTCAAAAGCAGCAATCGTATCCTGAAATCCTGGATCTGTTAATCCCAGGAATTTCTTGCCAGTTCGAACGGAATAGATGCAACCAACAAAACCACTTTTCGTTCCGATTTTGTCAAAAACTCTGCAAAGAATGTCAATGAGTATACTGTTTGAGCCGTAACGTAATTTTTGCCAGTTGTTACTCGGGAATATTGCAGTCAAAAAATTAGTAGAAAACGCATAAACAAAAGATAATACTACAGCATTATCATATCGCGTAAGCTAATACGCATCAAAATAGTTTTCCAGTTACTGTATGTTAAATCTTTCAATTTTTTTTCCAAATTTTTCATCTTTTTTATTTTTAGCTATTGTACGTCGGTGTATGTATAGGTCGATGCTGGCATATCACTCGTACAACAACTATTACAACGGGAGCGCTGCCTTACGTTGGATTACTGTAAGGAATGTATCCTATAAAGAGACTCTCATCCAAATCCAGAAACTTCCTACTCCCAGGACATTTGCCCAAAACCTCGGGATTATCGTCTAAGCGTAGCATTCCGTCTTGATTAAACCTCTTAGCTGTTATTCGATGGCGCTTATCGATGACGACTTGGGATGTGCTGCGTATTAGCGCCGGGCCATCTCCAAGGTCGTATCTGCATCCATGCAAACATAAAGATGCATGTAGCTCAGTGATGTTGCCACAAGCACACATGTGGGTAAATATGCAAACGAAAGGTCGCAAGAGAATTATATTTGCCAACAGTATTAAATTAAGTGTGGGAATCACTTTACCGGAACTCCACGAAGCCATTATTGAGTGACAGGGAAACAAAATCACCACCACCATCCGACTTCTGACCGTTGTACAGGATAATGCCATCTAATGCATGTGCTTGAAAATCCAGTTCAATATTTAGCTGCGTGTATCCACTCATCGGCCTTAAAGAAAAAGTATAACTGCACAATGAAAATAACAAAAACAGGAATATGCGGCGCACCTCAGTTCAAAAAATGACTTCCCGCCAAAAGATGGGATTGTTGTTAATGTCGCTGTAAATAAAAATGCGTTATTGGTAATCAAGTATGTTCATAAAATATAGCATAACAAGGTTTCTTGCACACCGCTTTGTACATTTATATCGAAAACGGCAGCTTTTTTATAGGTTTTTTTTAAACTAAAATTTAGCTAGCATTTTTTTTGTTAACTTTTATGGAAAAACAGTATTTATGTTTATACATTTTATGTTACAAACAGCGAATTTAAACTAACTACAAGCTGCAACGGTATCATCAACTTCCGTAATCTGTTTCACACCTTCTTCGCAAAATTTTCCCTGAAATCCCGGTGCGCAAGCACAACTTGCTTGGCCAGTTTTTGCACTCTTTACACATGTCCCTGCGTTTTCACAAGGTTTTTTCCCACACGCCGCGTCTTTGGGAAAAGCGGACTTCTTTAACTCTACACAAATCAGAACAACAAACTTTGACTGGTGTATTTTTCCAGCCTGATCAATAATTCAGATTAGCGTACTTTGACATTGCTGCTGGTCCATAAGCGGCTCAAATCCATCGATGCAAGTGCATTTGCCTCTCGGACAGGCGCTGTGCTTTACAGTGCAATCTGAGTCCCGGTCGCAGGAGTGCCCAAGATAACCTAGTGCGTAAAAATGGAATTATGACTACATGCTACTTCGGCTGAGACGATAAAACGATTTTTTTCGTGGGGATTTCGTAAGCGGATTAATGGAAATTGATACAGTCAACATGCTGCGAACGAGAAAATCACAGTATCGCAGTACTTATATAGGGAAGTAATTTTTCCCTTTCCAGAATACTGGCCCCGCCGAATATAATTTATCGCTTCATCGATCTGTATGAATTCTTACCGAAGGTTGTCAATTTTTGAAATGATTGCGCTTTGCTGTCCGTATCATGGAACAAGTCATTGCTCTTGTAAATATCCTTAATATCGTGATCCGCCTGGAGTGTGACGGCCAGCGGTGTTAAGGTCACAAAGTGGGATGACGCGGTGGCCACTGCAGCAGCTGGTCCCGCAGCTACAAAATGCACAGCATCACAGTACTTACAAGATGGGCTACTCAGTACACGGTCACCAATGTTAGACAGGGAATTTGCAAAACTAATTGGGAAATAAATAGGTCAGTTGCATGCTGGGGAAAAATTATTTGGCAAGAACGTGTTTGTGACGAGGAAATCAAATATCGTACATTTCATGCGTAATGGAATAAATTGAATTCTGAAATGAGAAGTTGCAGGATCACAGATCAAGTTGCACGTTCCCACTGTGCACGATTGACTGCGTATGCAAGACAACCGTGGTAATCAAATTGCTGTTATTACGGCCGAGTGAGCTTTTACTGAAAAAACTATCAAAGATTTTAATTTGGCGCACAAAAAGCGGACTACTTAAAGGTTAACCATGCTAAACATTTCCAAAACAGTTTTTTGTTCTTAGTGCATTCCAGTCACTCCAGGGACTTCTATTTAATGTAAACACAATTTCAAAAAAGCAGATGTTGTTAACAAAAAACTGGAATATTTACGCCTGGCAAGAATGTATATTTACAAAGCGCATGTATACTAAAGTTATTTCGAGACTCGCAGTTTAATGGCAGTACAGGAAACTGGAGTTTAAATCGTTGCAATAGCGGGCAGTTGACCTTAAGGAGAAAGTTCAAGATCTGCATTTATTACGTGTCAGATCCAGATGGGAGATGCATTACTTGCCTTCTCCACAAGAACCCCAGGAAACGATGGTAACATCTTTCTGGAGTTGACAAGCATGGATCCGTAACTGACACACACTGGAATACGTCCTTCCGTCCGATCCACAAACGGACGGCGATACATCATTTTCCTTGCAAGTCATATTACAGACGCCTGCAAAGCGCGACTGACTACTGCATTATATGTCCTACTTATAACCATTTATCAAAAGTTGCTATGAACTATGTAGTGTGCACTTTGCGTACATTCAACGTGGCCATTTCTCTGGACACAAATTGCGCCCAAATGACAAAGCAGCTCGCCGCAGGACGACGGTTGTACCGGGTAGGAATCGGCTGAAAATAATATGCACAATTGCCGTATGCTGTGCTTACGACGAGGCAGTCCCATCGATCAGTCTCACTTACCGGAAACACACCCTGCTGGCTGTAGAATCTGCATACAGAAAATGAATAATTAGTTGCACTATAGCCCATTCAGAATAGACTTCCTGTAAAAATTACGTTAAAATCAGAGAAACTTGACACATTTTGTGAGCTGGAAACAGATCGCTTTCATGCTTTGAATGGAAAAGGTCAGTGTGTGCAGTGAACAGCCTAATTACTTGTGATCGACATTAATGGACTGCCGGAAGGAAACCTAGTTTCACTGGGCCGCCCAGAGTTTCCATGTCCAAATTTAAACTCAGGATGCAATACTTTCATGGACAGTTTTCATTAATCCCACGATGTACATTCTACATATGCGTATGTTGCAGCCACTGCGACTAACAGCTAAGAAAAGAATGAGTCGTTACAAGTTCAACTTATTAACCGAATTCCTTATTAAAAAATGCCCATTAAAAGCGAGCTGCAACTGGAACAGAAGCTGGTAAAAAATTAATCAACCTAGGTAACATATTTTTCAGCTCCTTTCTGTACAATTTTTGGAACAATTTTCTGTTTTGCGCTAAGTCTTTTGCAGCGGTTGCCCTCTAGAGGGTTAAGCTATTACATCCGTGCGATCATAAAATGGTGATAAAAATTACAAAATACTTCGGTTTACTGGAAGACTGGACTGGCCTGCGTGGAAGATGAATATTGCCCTCACGTCCTTTTATTAGTTTTTTTGGCTGATGTTAAGAAAACACTACCATGTTGTCCGGACATCTGTCGCATTTGATCCCGAGAACACCTGGCTTACACAGACAGCGTCCGGTCATTTGTTCGCAATCGGGCCGGACCGATCCGAAATTGGAGCAAGCGCACGCTGCAAGATGAGATGCGTATTGCATAACGCCAACTCATGCCGATAAAAGCTTCTTGAGAAACGCCAGATGAAGCGGTCGTCACTTACGCATGCAGCCTTTGGAAACGGAAACAGCTCGGTGCAGTCCCCAGAATCCCCTCTGACAGCTATAGAAAATCAAAGGAAGAAGATTGAAGATTGCCATTTTCTCTCCATGAAAATTTAATGCAATTGCAGCAGCAACGTGCAGCACCCATATACCGGTCACATCGGGCACCGCCCACTCCCAGTTTACACTTGCACTGCTTCGTCTCATCATCGCACTGCGCCGACACGGCTCCCAACTTATTGCATCGACAGGCTTCTGTAATTACCATCTCCAGTTAACGCCCTCAATTGTTTATATACTGTTGATTGGTGAGAAAACGCATACCGTTCGTCACAGATGCTGATGGAGCCGTTTGACAGCCTTGATTGTGACGACCTTTTGCCGGTGTAAAGCCATCGGGACAGCACCCGTATTGGGTTTGAGCGCAGGCACTTTTCCGGGATTTCTCTGCAATATCGCGGGAAAATCGACACACAGAGATACTGGGCAACTTAAAGTCATTAAGCTAACTGGATTAGCTGTCGGTTATTGGATTTGACAGCACATCTAATAATAATCGAACAAACCTTCCGGACAGCATTGGGCAAATCCTCCCGATATGGACTGATGACAGTAACTGCCAACTGGGCATTTTCTGTTCACAAGAATAAAAATTGTGTTTACAGGAAATAACAAACAGTGATGACATTCTGCTCATGTATTGCGCATGGCTTATATGTAACTATACCATTATTTAAAGCGATAAAAAATTCCCATTAAAATTACCATAAGTCATTCAGTTGCGATTATTGATTGGCCCTGTCGATTCAATTCACGGGCGCGATTCACAAAGTCATTTGGAGTCGTGTTTGCATAGGTTTATGATACGCAATATGTTATACTACTGCAAATATTGTCGTGCACGTTCTTTACTATAGAAGTATTCAATTTCAACTATTTCCGTAATTCCGTAATAATTACATAATTTGGTTGCCCACAAAAATTTTTATCGGTTAATGCACGTGCAAACTATTGTTGCAAATAAGTACTAGCAAGCAGCAAAAATATGTATGCGTCGTGTACACAAAAATTAGACCAAACTAAATATTTTGAAGAAACGTGTTTCGAGCATCATAACTGATCCTGTGACGATAATTAAATGCCCACTAAAGATAAAACCGGTATTAAGTGCTAATTATAACTGCCTATAACTCGCAATAGCTACTTATGTTCGCTTAGGGTAAACATATAAACCAACTGACTTCCGTTTTTTTTATATTTTTGCTTTTCTGCTGGGCTGGAAAAGGGCACATTAACATGCTCTCAATTGAGTGTGAAGAAACGAAAGTTTGCAATTTTTTCCGTTCCAGAAAGAGCGCACATGTCAAAGTGGGAATGAATACTTACTCGTCATTTTTGGTCCTCTCACCGCAGTGGAGGACTTGGTGCGTGATATTATTCCGCAGCGGTTCTGCTCCGTAGCACGGCAATATATCAACATCTGTAATCGAGGGATTGCGGACAGTCAGACAGCTATTCAAGCATCGCCTATTACGTGACCAGACAATTATCCCAAGAGTTAACCTTCGCATTCAGCTGCCGGACGGGAAGAAATCTGCTGTCCCTGTTGACAAGCATGCTCTTTGAGAAGGCACTCATTTGTGAATAATCTCTTGCTGCTGTGCGGTTCATGACTGTTTATCCCGCAAACGGCTCGTCCCGTCGTCAATGAGCAATTAAATTGGCACACACAATGCATGCCATCATCATTGGCGGGTAAACAGTGTCCGCCCAGTGGCAAACATATCTTTTCCTCGCACGCCACTCTGACCACCGCGGCATCTGTTGATCCTTGGCCGGAACCGGCGTCTTCCCAATCGTCGCCACCGTCGGGCTCATAATCAGTTGAGGCGGATATGGCGTTTGTCGGTAGCGATTCTGCGAAAACCGACAGCGTTGGCTGATAAGTATCAACAAGGACGCAGCTTAAAAACTATTAGCCTGTGTGTCAGGATCATTACCATCATCACTTGATCTGATCCCGGACTATTTGACACATTTAGCCTAAACTTTTTAGCAAGCTATCACTTATCAGTTATGAAATGTACAATTACGCACGGTATGCTTGCCTTGTTATTAATATTGATAATCAGCTGTGCTGGAATCGTGCATGGTTAAGAAAAAAGTTTAGTAAATAATTTTACAGAATTTTCAACCTCAGAGGCACAAATTTTCCTGTATACGGTAAACCTAATCACCTTTTTCTACTGTTACTGTTTTTCTGACGAAGACGTACGAACGTGACCTTATTGACGATGATGTAGCATTGTTTTTCAGTTTTATTGTTAGCTTCAGGCGGGGCGACAATTAAGACGACCCTTCAAGTGTACATACCGCACGGATGAGGAGCGGCAACAACAATGAATCTGCGGTGTTCACATGCTGTCCTGCGAAGTTCGCACTAAAAACGAGAGGAAGAAAAAATCAAAACGTCAATCAATCAATGTTGCAGACACATTATCGCTTGCACGGCACTTTAAACAAATACAGCAGCTGTTCACGAAGTGGATAAAAATGCTCGCACTTGACATAATGATCAATCGAAGCATGTCCTGAGTAGCTTCATAAAATAATCACAACTGTGCCGTTGCAGCACCATTGATCTATCGTGCCAATTTCGCCATTTTATCCCAAAAAAATGGAAATTCATGCCAATAAGAGAGAGTAGCAAATAGGGTTGCCGTCATACGAGGCCATCTAATGATGCGATATGTTGCGCAGCGCGCACAACTCACCTCGTTTTGATATGTTATCCCGTCGACGCCACACACTGGTTTATGCACCTATAATATGCCCGGACGACGTCATAACGACACATTCATTGCCGCATTTTAGGAATGTGCATAAAGGTTTATGCAGATATGAACTTAACATTATATTTTAAAGTTAAATTATTTATTACTCATTCTAAACGGTGATTATTGTAGGTTAGGAAAACAAGAAAGTGTTAGACATCGTTCCAAGAATTTGCATGCCGGTAATTCAATAAGCGATCATTTTTCTTTGTATCTTACTGGTGAGCAGGTGTATGGGCAAACACATTTAGCCATCCCCTTTTCATCCAGTTCGCATGTGGAATAAAAATCGCACTGTTTTCTTTGGCATCCACCTAAAATACGGGCAAATTACGCTATTGTGCCCAAGTGTGTAACAACATCAATCGATAACCCGGTCTTCATAAAACATTATTGTATTCTTTCCTTACAGAGCAGTCAGGTCAGTGTAACAAAATTGAATTACATACATAATCAACAGGGTGCGTTGTTACCAATGACATTCTGTGAAAATGTTATGAAAAATTACTGCAAACTGTTTGCGCGCTAATTTGATTTCCCCCTTTTTTTATCGAGTCGTACATGCGTGCTGAAAGACGAACAGTCCCGTTTGTGGGGGGATGTCCAATTTAATCAAATACATTACATTAACGTGAGCCTGCATTTCGAGTTTTCAACAAGCCAAATGGTTTCAGGCCACCTGAACTCCATATAACTGAAAGTTACGATAAAATTTTGTATGGCTTTAGAACAACCAAACGTTTTAAGCAGACCGCAGTTTAGGCGTATTTTTTAAGATGTAACCTATTCTGAAATTTCGATAAAGATTTTGGTGGTTAAAATTGCTGTAGTTGACAGACGCGCAAAACAATACGTTGTTTGTGAGAAATTGTACTAAACCATGCATTTGCAGTCATTGTCGACAGCACATGCACTGGAAATCTATGCGTCAATTTTCTGTCCTTTAGCTCGTTACTCATCAAGATTTTGTGTTAATGTGCTTTCCCAGGAGTATAAGACGCTAGAGTCATGTAGGGTGTTTCCTGTTTCCTTAAAAGCTCCTGATCCATCATCTTTATCGGTCTCTTGACACAACTTTTCTGAAGTCTGACCAGATTTCATTAGGATATGAAAGATGTACGGGAGACTTGCGAATATTTTACAGTTCGTCTTACATCCAGCAAACCGCCTTATACCGCGCATGGACCCCGCATATACAACTAAAAAAGTGTACCGTTGAAAACGGTACGGTAGAAATGGTGGAAACTTTTTCTCGTAAATCATTTCCTTCAGTTCCTTGTACCAAAAAGCTCTTCCGTGGAAATATGCATAACAAGTTATTTTTTACCTTAGTAAATTAGCAAGCTACTCGTAATTTCTTTCCGTTGGTAATCCATGTTTTTGTCCATCTTTGTCGAATGTAAGTACATACGTACTGTATATGTGCGAACAACCGTAGTACATATAACTATATCTCTGTGCCACTCACAAATATATAAAAATCAAACCGGAAGTTCTAATATAATTATTCCTAAAATTCGATCATGTTAAATTAATTCAGTGTAGAAATAAATTGATTATGGTATCTATGGTTTGTTGCGTTTGTTGACTTACCACAAACACCATTCGATTCCACTGTTATTGCTTTCTGCACTTTACAACTGGCCAATCGAAGTTTACAATGGTTTTCGTAAGTGACATTGTCGGATCCACAAACGTACGTATGCCGCATGTCGATGTTGGGAAAGGCATCACACGTTGGCGGGCATAAACATTGGCTTTGTCCGGTTAGATAGTTGCCTGCACAGATAGCTCCATAGTGACAGGTGCGGTTCAGACAGGGATCTTGCAGTTCTGTGTCAAACGACAAAAACGGAGTAGCGACCATGCAGTGACCATCCTTGCGAACCGGACAGGTAAATGCTAAAAGTATCTCACAGATAACCGTGAACATCTCCGATGCATCACTTGGTGTACTAAATACCACCGATAAAATACTAAATACCACCGATAAAACATTCAGACAAAGTTTCAGAATTGGAGGACGACGTGGTCATAATTATGGTAATTTAGTATTGCGCGGTTTGGGGAAGTGTGTAAACGTGCTTCAAGATCGGCCAATGCGATCAAACCGGCTTTCCGCAGTCCAGCTGGCAAGTGTCGCTAAGATTATCGAACATTTCGAATGTAGCCAGAGAGAAAAATGATTCAACAGGAGAATCTAATTGATCAGATGATACAACAAGAGATGTACACTTCATTAAAGTGCACTCCATCCGCGGCAGTACAAATAAACCCGGAAAAAATCACAGGCAATGCCACCGAAATCGCCAGTTAATTCAAGCGTATCGTGTTGCTTTGGAATTCCAATGGTAATGTTCTCAAAACGCAACCTGGTTGTTAACCGGAAGTTTCATTACACAACCGGATACAATTTCTGCAGCTGCTGACGGCGTCGTATGTATACACATACGTACGGAACACTGGATATTGTGATACTATTCACATATTCCCTTCTGGATGCCGCTGTGCACAGCCTCCACACATCATTTGTTTAGTCCTGATCATTGTTTAAATTCATGCATTTTTATGTATAGTACACTGAAAAATTGGGTCAGAAACTGGAAAAGTTGCAATGCTATACCGTAGCTAATTCGAAGGCGCATATTGTACGAAGGGGAAAAGTTGCATACAGCTGCATGCTTATTATATTGCATGCCCCGCGTTACAGAGATTCTGCGGGCTACTACCGGCTTCTTTGACCCGCCCTGCCCTATTCCTATTGGATATCACCCACTGACATATCCAGAAATCCCAGGGGGACCTGTCCAGTTTTGTCTGGAAGCAGTATGTTACTTCCTGTCATGCAGCAGAAGAAAGTTCGTACAGGCTATCGACCTTGTCAATCGATTTTCCTTTGTCGATAAAGAGCGTTAAAAATTTATGACAGTGGATGCTGCTCAGCTCGTGAATTGCATTGTTACCCGATAGTTATCTTGCAGGTCACCAATGGACAGGTATCCCTATTTCACTGTATGAGAGGATATTTAGGAGACAGAAGGAGATAGTTTGATGTGTAGCATAATTTGTAAACTCAGATTACCCAAATTAAGAAGTGTGCCCAAAAGCCAAACTATTGAGTGTCTTTTTGAAAAAAGCTGAATGATAAATACCTCAAATGCTATACATTCTCAAATACATTAAATGCTAATACATTCTCAAATACTTAACTTTTGCAACATGGAACGAGTAACTAGCAGTAAAACACTGCGTACCGATATATTTGCACTACCCGTAGGAACTATTATTTAGCGTGCTTAAAACGCTGCATGCTTACTAGTTTAACTATGAAACACTCGTATAAACCGTAAAACGTAACATAGATCTTCTTACCTGTACATATCGCTTTGGAATTGGACTTGTCACCTTTGCAAATCGAACGTGGTCCACAGTAGTGCTTTTCACATGGCGCTACCAAAGGCAAAGATTAGATCAATCAGTTTCACACTGTGCAATTCCTGTATTTTTATAAAAACCATTTATCTGTAAAGTAACTGCCAGAAGATAAAGTATAATATGTATTCCGCAAATGAAATTACCCTAATCAGATCTCTGAGTTGCAATAATTAAACCAACCGGAATTTAAACTGTTACAAGCTAGCTATGAGAAAATAGTAGCTATTCTAAAATTTACTTTTTAAAAGATTTTAAAGAAAAGGGAACTCTACTTTCAGAATATAGTTTATATTGTTAACATATGTACTGTACGTTCCAGCTAGTTGCATACGAAGTACACGTATTTCGGTGTGCCAGATTTCTTAGGACGTGGGCTTACCTTCTGCTACAGGAGCTCGAGTACTGAAAGAATACCCTGAAAAGTGCAAAACATCGTTTTGATCAACCTGTGGAGACAACAATGATGAAAACTGAATAATCGGAAATTTTGCCTGATGATGATATATTGCAAAGGATCTTACAAAGCTGGATTTTGCAAAGGGATCCTTTTTTGGTTTTCTAAAGATTATAAATCAAATTGCGACTTCGTTTGCTTCGAGTTTGTTCTCGCGTGTTATACATAAAACAACAAACTGTACTTTGCTCGTGTAAACTGTGTAAACTATCAACGTTTTCTTGGCGTTGATTTATACGTGTATTCTTTTACGGAAAATTTCTCGAGCCTGCTGAACCCGTTCTGCCGACATCTTTCAGACAAAATGGGAAAGAAAAAACCATGAAAGGTTTTAAGGCGATGTCAAAACAAAGCAAAAAATGCCTGCCGTTGAATCTTTTTTTGCCTAAAATTCAGTTTAAATTGTATTACGTAGTTATTACCCTTTTTTAGAACCTTTTTTATTTTATAGAATTTGCAGAACCGTAATTTTAGTATGCAGTACACGGCTGCAGATAGATTACAAGTATACGAAGAACCATGCCCTTCTGTCTTTCTATTTTCGAGCGGGAAAGAAACAAAAAGGCAAGAAAGTGGCACAAACGCTACTTGCCAAAGCGGTGTTTGTTACGCGTTCCGTGTATCTACTCGTAACGGATAATGTTCACCGTGTTTACGATTAAAACAATGCACTCCAAGTACCAGCCAGCATGATTGTTTAACTCTACAGGTAGGCGACTTGCCGACCAATGGTTCCATTAGCCGAGGAGCCGCCCATGGCCATTCCAGTTTTCATAATCGTTTGACGCTGTGGTACCGATAGTACGTGAAAATCTTACGTGTTATACGTGTGAAAAAGTGTGACATTTACTTGTCAGAAAAACCGCGAAAAATTAGAAACCACAGACGCAAGAAAAAGTGTAAAAGTTTCGATCACTTTTGTCGTTTCCCTCGTGTATAAATCATATGGAAAACATTACGACACACGACTGCTGACATTTGTCGGTGTTATATTCGGATCCTGGCTAGTTGTTAAAATGTTGCTGACAACATTACTCGAGCAAGTATAGTTTCTTACCCCGAACAAATAGCCGAAAACTACGCGTCTATACCGTGTGAAAATTATGGACCATGAAACGATCATCTGCATTTTTGCGCGCCGATGTCTGTTATAGTTTTGCAAGAAAAATCTTCGATTAGGACAGGTAAAACAGATTATATGCTTCTACTGTTTTCTCTGTGAACTGCACAATAGTTGTGCTAGCGTTTCCATACTGCAAACCATCAAGCATGTATCTTCATTACTTTATTAAACAAAGTAATGAAGATGTGCAAGACATGAAGCTCTGGCATATACGAAAAACACACAATAGGAACTTCGTCCTTAACTTTTGGAACAGGTCATTAACCATAATCGGTAGAATAATGCAGTCCATAACTCATAAGTAGTCTGGAATTAATTAGAAGAACCGTTTAGAAGAAACTGTGCACAACACACATTATCAAGAGATAAACCAGATATTATCCTAAAAGTTATATTATTAAAATAATTGTAAATGTAATAGCATCGAAAAAATGTTAAAATGGCCGGTAATAATATTTACGTTATCATACAAAAAAAATCGCGTATATAGCTCATAATTTGTTAACAAACCTCTACATCTTAATTGACATCGCTGCAACTTTTGGCTCAAATAAATTAACGAGTATTTTGCTAACTCCGGCAGTAGATTTTGATTTTTAGTGATATCCGTATCACATAAAACATTTCTGATACCCATTGTCATCTCGGGATACGGCAAGTAGTGTCCGGTTTAATTTATGGTGACTGCTATGCGCCCCGATGTCCGGGCGCAGAAATATCGGCGATTTGCTGTTTTTCCGAAGGTTTCTGATGTTTAATTTGGCTTTAACCACTCAATTTTCCTGTGGTATTGTCAAAAACAGAACAGCTTACATATACCTCACCCTGTAAATTTATTTGCTTTAACACAGACTACGGCAACAACAGCGACGACGCGTAATTATTAAGCTTTATTTGAGGATTTGATGAAGACACTAGCACCGGAACACCGGCGCAATCGACCCCGTCGTCCTTGCTAAATCAACCCCTCGTCTCCTCGCAAAAGAGGGTGGGTGGGGGGAAGAACGACTTGTTACCTTTAAAGCAACTTCACTGATACTGAAGTTGATTTACTGCAGTGGACACAACAGCAACTAAAATGTACTAAACACAAATGTGCAATCGCTGTGCTTCATCTGTGCGCCCGAGCACACGGGGCGCACAGCTAAAATTCTATGCGCCCGGTTTGTCGGGGCGCACAGCCATTTCGTTAATTTATTCCTGATTGTCAACAGCATAAACCTGTCCTTGTTGTTATTATGGTGTGAAATGCGCATATTTAGATATTTGATACTCTAAATTTTGCGGCCTAGACATCAGTTTTTACAAATCCTGAAATCCAAGATGTTTGGATTTTAATACGCTGAAACTTATATAAAGCATATCGCTTCCCAGGGTTAAAGTACGTAATATGCATTACGGGCGCAAGCACCACAATTCGACAATTTGTTCTGCAAAGTGTCTGACCATCGTGATAATTCAGCATTACGCAATTAAATCTTCCCATTATTTCCATATGATTTACCTTTTATTTATAACAGCGAAATAAATTTAAGCATTTAAGCATTTTTATCAAAAATAAAAAATAATGCAGTTTACCCTAGCAATAAGTTCAATTATTTTTCTGATTGATTGTGAGAAGTTAGAACATCCATGAATTAAAATTTACTTATTCAGCCATTATCATTGTTTTCGGCCTAGTAAAATATGAACTTTTGAAGCCGACTGTTGAAAAGTTTAACGACAGAATCGATAATTAAACGTTACAGTACTACTGCTTATGCCACGTTCCGAATTCCAGGTATACAACTGTCAATTAATTACCTCTAATTAGGGCGGAAAACTTATCCAAATTGTGCAGCGTTAATCGAATAACACTAGAATTCAGACGAAAATTGCCGGTTTCCGTGTTTGCTGTCAAAAGAAAGATCTTCGTATCCTTCTTAGACACATGCGCCTGGCATATAGACGTGTCTCCAAAGTTCTCAATTAGGATTAAGCTCATGGGCCGGAGCACCGCAGCGTGACCTTTGATGACCCTTTTCACTGCCACTTGTGCCTTGTAAAGACGACCAACTTTCCCTGGAGCATATTGTATAAGGTCCAGCACTGTTCCTGTCAGTATGAAGTCCGCACTGCCTTCCCGGATTTTGAGAGATGGCTCTGATAAACATGCTCCAATATGTAGCTGCGCGGCGCGGACAAACATGAACTGCAGAAAAATTATTATAGTCGCTTTCGAACAAAACACCAGCAACTCCATCTCCATTCATCAGGAGTTTAGCAAGAGACAAGCGATCAAAAACTAAACTTGTTTTTGTCACATTGTGAGATTATATCCAACACAAATGCCGACAGTAACAATATTAACCGTTGTTCTTGTTTAGATTAGTAACCGAGCATTGGCACTGCATCAACACAAAATGACCATCACTCGCCTCGGACAAGACGCTTTTATTATTAGGAGAGGAAGTTTGCTTTTCTTTGACATTCACACTCTTCTCCCTCTCTTACCGCACAGCGGGGTGTTAACTAAAATAAACGAAGTCACTTAATAGAGAATTCACAGACATGTAAAATCTGAGACATAGTGCCATTGGAATGGCACTCAATGTACAGAATCGCAGATACGTATTGTAGAATTTACACAGTGGTTCCAGCATAATTCGATGTACACGATATGAGACTACGAGTAGATTAACATTTCCAAGCATATGTCTTCACAACAGCAGGTTACAACGATCACTTTGGTGTGGGCACGATATCCATATTTTAATCACGGTACACAATAAAGGGTGGAGCAAAAATGGCTTCGAAAATGTATCAATTTGTTGCTCTTACTTTCTTCACCCAGATAACCCCATACTTTTGGCTCTAGATAAGAAATTTTTCTCGGTTACGAGTCTTTCGATATAAACAGCTATTGCGTTAATTAGTAATTATTATTGTCGGATTGCATTCAAAGCGTAGCCATTTTACAGTTCTGATTCTGGACGATGATATTGTATCGATCCTCTAAACAAAATACGCGTATGTGAATGCTAGCTAATTTGTTTATAACATTTTATAACACTGCAAGCTACAAGCATCAGCGTGTTAAGTACGTATACAATAGATTATCCACAACCGACCAGAAGTAAAGTTTTCGGCTTGTAAATTGGGATAAATTGATCCTTGCAAATCTGGTCATTGCAGAGATGCATAATCACCATTTTTTATCATATTCTATGTGCAGTGGTGCAAGATGGTTTGCAGTTAGAGGCAGCATTAACTGCGTTTTCAAGCGCTGTAAGAGTGTAAGTAACACCCAAAATAAGCAGAACAGTCTGAACGTTTGATTTTTTTATTGATTTAAAAACAAAATTCAGTGTATGAACCAACGATTGTGTACAGAAAAGTTTTCATGCACCAATAATTGTTCGTATTAACTATGGTTTTGTTCACAAACCCGTGGATTTGAGTATTCAAGCATGAATTAAATATTTAAGTATGAATTATGGAATGCACATATACTTTCTATTTGTGCACCGGTTAGTCATTGTCATATTTCGACTAATTAGGCGTATTTGGGGAACATGGTATCTGAGGGAGTGAGTGAAACATTTCCTGCTTGTCTCCTGTGCAAACCGCGTCATAACATGCTCTGAAACCGGTAAGTTTGGGCTCGATGAATATGCCGATTGATCGACTGACCTGTACAGTCGATTCACCGTGTTACAGTTGTGGTCCCGCTTGCTTGCCCCAAGTAGAGGTAAGCAATTGCGGGATAGCAGTGGATCTCAGGATGTCAGAACCATAAGTACACGTCTCGTAAATTATTGTGCATACCATGGCGATACTGCTTATATTATATTGACAGTTTGGCACTACATTTTCGTATTCCGGGCGGCTGCCTAACCTTGAACACGCCTCATGCTCCAGTTATTCATTGTCAGCGTCCTGATCTATTAGACTGTATGGCAGATGTGCGACACAATCTCCAACTTTGGAATAAGTATGTAAGAATAGGAATAAAATCCCGTTTTGAGTCTCCGACCTTGTACCGACCTTGTACGTTAAACGTTGTATGGTTGTCGAATGCCATGATGATTTATTTTTTTTCATCAATGTGACAGCAATATTATATCTCTATTAGTAGTAATTTTATGAAATAATAATTGGTTGAATTATTTTGGAATCAATTTCTGGCATCATTTCCGTATCCTCAGTTGGATCATATCGAAAGGAAGAAGGGTAAGCCATTTGGGAATACTGTTGTTAACATCTGAGTTACATCTCTGAAGAAACTGAATCCTAGAGTACTATACATGTAAGTACGTTTGCAAAAGCCGAACTTTGCGGAAAGGTAAGATTAGAGGGTAAGGTAAGATTAGTTAAGCTCGAAATATATAATGTGCAAAACGCTCTAAACTACGAACTTTGTTTTATGAATTTGCATACAGAAAGTTAAATTGTTCTCTCTCGGATTAAAAATCTTATGAGATTGAATGAGTATGGTGGTTGCGTTTACAATTAGATCAACTTCCGGTCCAACAGTAGCCGTAAACCGGCATTTTTACAGCCGGTTAGTAGCAGACGGCGGTGCGTTATGATCCAAAGGCTTCTTACGTAATAGCAGTGTGGTGTTTAGTCACAAGTGGTATCGAACACGTCTGCAGCGAACCTTCGTTGATGACTTACGAATATTTGTACAGTACGCCTGAGTACGGTGCGAAGTTTTATTTGTCTACCAACTTTCCCCTGAAGACACAAAAACGTTCTTTCGTATCTGTATTTAAGCCTAAAAACTTTCCTTGTAGTTCTCTTGTAACCGTAATTCTGCTGTAGCGTTCTCGTTTCTTGTGCGTTGTAAGGCGGTGGCGGTATCCGTACAAATGTGCCGTGAAGTTATTAACATTTAAGACGCGATTTCGGTATTCTGTTCCCAATGAACAATCAATTGATGGAACGCGACCGACCTTGGCTGATGCCAGCTGTTCGCGCTACTGTTCCTTCGCCCTTCTTTATCTGTCAACAGCTTTATCGCTTTTTTACCCACGGCTATTGTACAGATTTATACCCCAGTCACAATGTCTTTCCAAAGGTATCCTATCAGAGCTCCATATCCGGTTCAGAAGAAGATTCGGAATCGATTGAGTCCGTGGCGGATTCCGATAACGAGTCGATATCGGATCTGGAGGAATCTCCCACGATCACCCACATTTCCATACCTTCCAATCCTTATCTGAAAATATCGGAAGCGTTTGCCGAATCCTCTGCGGCGCGTTCATCTTCATACACAGAGAAAACATCCTCTGTCGAAGTTTTCGAAGAGAGATCATCCTTTCGAAGCGAAGGCAGTGTATTGTTTGCAAAGGAAGCTTCCGCTTCCCTTTCTTTCAGTTCCTTTCGGTCTGGTGTTTCCGGACAGCAGCGCTGTGATATACATGGAGATTATCATAGAATATCGTCTGCCAGCAGCGAAGTAAAAAGTGTGCAGAGTGGCAGTCAGTACGTGGACAGTTCGGTGGGGCCGTGTCCCTGCTTCGTCAGTTACAGTGATCCGAATGGTCTTCGGAAATTTCGGCCACCAAATGTGGATGCCTACAACGTCAATACAGCAGAAAGCAGCGATGTCCGAAGACTTTACAGCGATTACGGACTATTGACGGTGTGTACTTTCCAAGTTAAAAATCATGTTTCGCTTGTTCATGTTGATCGTAAATTGTAATATATAGTTCCGGTTGTTTGCTTTTCGAAATTAAAAGGCCGGTTTGGCAGTCAAAGTGCAGTTGAACGTGCAGGATCAGAGCCGTGTGCTGAATTATCTTGTGTATAATACGTATGTAATCGTAAATCGTAATATATTTCTACAAATAATGGTTATTAGTATCTTTTGTTTTGATTGTGGTATTTGATTGTGAATTGAATTTGCTGCAACTGGTACCGGTTGAAATTTTGTGGAAAATTGAGGTTCAGTTAGGTTACAGATAGATTTTGTGAAGTTTTCGTGTAACTTAATTGTTAATTTATTTATGGTTATTAACGTTGTTATTTTATGGTTTTCAACCGTAGTTAGGAAGAAAGACTTTCTTAAAATTTACTTCCCCAAAGTCAGTGTTTTTATGAACTTTGACCCTTGAGCGTGTGCCATTCCAATCGCTTATCTCACCGTTGTATTGGCTTTGTTTCCTTTTCGGCAAACACGATATCGATTCACAAATTTTTTTTCGAAACTTTTGTATTAATTCTCGTAAATATAATCACTAATTTCGCTTTTGTGAGTGATGTGTTGTTGTACAGTAACGTGTTAACTATGCAAGTGTTAAAATTATGGATACCGCTATTTGTATCCGAAATACCAGCCAGGTCTTATTTTTGTCTTGTGTTTGTAGAAGCAAAATACATCCCTGCGTGACGAAGTGGATCGATTGGAAGCATCCTTAAGCGTCATGGAGGAATCTCGATCGGTATCCCGTAATTCGTCGAAAGAAATTCGAGTTGTGCTGTACGGCGATATGGTATGTGTCTACACTTCGAATATTATATACGGTCGCTTTTATCATGCTTGGCTGGGCATAATTGTCATGTTTTCCCAGGGATCGGCACTGGCTGACCAGCTGCCCACAGACAATTTATCCGAAGGCTTATACACCATGAACGTTAATCTGTTGAAAAAACTGGAAACAGAGAAGAAAAAAGTGGAAAAGCGTAATGAGGAAGTTTTTGCAATGTCGACTCACTTGCAAAGCCTGATTACCACGGTAAGTGTCACACATGGTCTTACTAAACACAGCTTTGGGCCGGCTTTTCGTACGATTAAACTATGAAAGAAATCACATTAGCAATATTTTGACAGATCAGAATACCGTATTTTGCCTAAGGCCTTATAGCTGCGTTATAGCTGCTCGAACGCATAATAATTTCGATAGTTGTATCGATACTTGTAGTTGAAATACTACAATGACCAATAAGCTAAAGCAGCCATTGGGTCTTAATTCACACAAACTCCTGTTAGGAAATGGAAGCTTAACTCAAAAAACAAAATTTTGGGAAATGTTGCTGTAGAATAGCAATTGATAAATGTGCTAACAAGTAAGGAACAGTTTCGACGATAGTGGTAGCTGATAGGACTCTGCTCGCTGTCGTATTGAATTTTCTGTAACGTTGTTGGGTTTAGAACATTTTTGAGAAATTAGCATTTTTTTATTACTTAGGCAAAAATAAAATTGTTTGATTTAATAACAGGTCGACTCGTTTCAATCCCGATTCGAAGAGCATTTATCGGAAGTGCGAAGTGGTCTGGCGAATAAGACTTACTTATCCTTATCGGGAACCAGCGATCGTTCCGGTAGAACCGAAAGCGGGTTTGGCGATGGTGTCAGTGTTGATCCGTATTTGCCGGATGAGAGCGGTATTTCCCACGAAGAATCATCGGTCACAGGAAGAGCAAATATGTCAGCCCTTCTCGCAAACTTTAGTCGGACTTTGCGAATTTTTGTTACATTTGCTCGGATATTGTTGTAGACATTCCATCTCAACGCCCGATCGGCAGTATGCTGCATCCACAGAGTGGAAATTGGCAAGTGAACTGAAGAACATTGTTACGGATTTACACAAAGTTGTCGGTGACATATCGGTTCATGAAAGCAGGTGGAGTGACGAGCAGAAGGTATGCCAATTTGCCAACTGTGTGTGCTTGCTGCTTGGGTGCTTTGCTGCTTGCTGGTGTTTGCTATATTTTTGGAAAAGTAAAAGTATGTGACAGTGCAAATAGTGTGAGTTTCTTTCGGGAATAGTCTTGGGTGCTGTTTTCCGGCGATTTGTCTTGTCGATTGTCTGCATTGCTGAAGTTGGTCTCTGAGCTTAATTCTTCCTATACGTCGCATCGTTCCAACTGGCAGGAAGGCTTTGCGCAGTTAAAGGGAGACATTGCCGATTCGCTAGAGCGCTTGCGGGGTCTGACGGGTTTGTTATTGAAAAGTCGTGAGGTACTGCTTCGCTTGTGCTACAGTATTTTGATTTAGTGGTTCATGGTGACGCAAGAAAAAACGGTTCTTTTGGTTTAGTCGGTTTCTGAAAGAGAACATCTAGATCCCATTAACACCCGGAAACGCCATATGGACTTTGGTATCCAGACTGCTTTTGAAGAATCTGAAAATCGGTAAGCAAAGCGTGTGGAAGACAGTCTTTACTTTTTTCTTTCCATGCTAACATTTTATAGAATAAAATTATTTTCAAGATTGTTTGACATGGCCAATTTGCTTTTATTTCGTCTGTGACTGTACTTGAACCTTTTCCATACGAAGAAAGTGATTTTCCTTTGATTTTAGTGTTATCCCGAAGAAAGAAAACGATGTTTTCACCAAACAGGCTAGCCAGTACCAAGCGGAGGTGAGTTGTCGATCGACTAGTCCATTTGCTCGGAATTGGTTGGGATTTCTTGTCGTTGCGATGATGCGGGCATCCAAGTATTACGTGAAAATTATCCGTATAATGTTGGGTGTGTTGGCTGCTTTATTCCTGTTGCTTCTGTTTTTCTTTTTCCTTTTGCGACTTACGAACATATTGAGCATGGTGATCTCTTCCTGGTGGTATTATGAACCGTGCCCAACGTACAAAGTGGTCGGGAAAAAGATAATAATGTATTAAACATTTGTTTGTGTCTTTATACCCAAGTGTTGTTTTCGGATGCATCCGATTAACGTACGTTTTCTGATCGGTATGTCTTCTGTGCTTATGTGCTCTCTCTCTCTTGGACCACTTGTTACCGCGTGCCATTTTTCGTCTGGAACTAATTCACGTTATTGTTTGTGGTTTCTTGTACTTTGAAATGTGAGCTCGTGCCGTATATAGCGTGTTTTCTCAATCGGTATTGTTGTTGGCACATGCTGTCCTAATACCGACGATGTTAGAAATCTTTCCGGTGACAGGAAAGGTCATTTCCTGTGATTATCCTGGTGGTTGTGAACTACATTATCGTTGCCTAATGCGTGTTTGGATGCTGTTTTACAGATTTTTCGAGCTTGGTTACGATTCATTCTTACTGAAAAATTTACGCGTAATTTGTTTACATTATCATTTATCCTGCTTTCTGAATGATACGGTGGTGTCTGCGATCTACAAACGTATGCATTGCAGGATGCAAATAACGATGAATTTTTGGAACAGCGCTATCAGTCGGCAGTTAAACGGTTACATAATAGCGGTCAGGAAAAATTCCTGCTTGAATCAACCATAGAGAAACTGAAGGATGAATTGGAATTAGGGTAGGAAAATCGTTATTTGATCAATGCCAGCGTGCAGTACTTTAATGTTTATCCAAGCACATCGTTCTCATCCGCAGACAAATCGAAAGGGAATCACTGCTGAAGAAGAACGAGGTGAGTACTTAGTTGGATGGGATATTTTTATCGTCAACCGTTATTTAATTTACGGTTTTTAGCGCACTTTGATGTCGCTTAATGCCGTTCTTTCGGAGAAAAACGCTGTGGAAACGGCACTAAATACAGTTTCCGCCGATTTGGAAGCCACAGCGAATATCCGGTGGACTTTAGAAAGTACTAGCGCTTTGTTAAAACAGACTGTATCAGGACTGGAGAAAGAAAAGGATGCTTTAATGGTTAGCATTGCTCGATTTGCCGACGAGAAGGTCTTGCTGTAAGTGGATGTTGCATTTCATGACCTTTCGTCGTTTCGTGAGCCGTTGGTCATCTGGCATTTTTCATGGTTTGCAGTCAAAAAACCATCGACGATCAGAGTGATAGGATTAATATCCTGACGAAAGAATTCAGTAATCTGAAATCGGACAGCGAGCTGCTAAGTCAGGAGTTGCGCTCCATGACAGGCCAAGCAGACAAGTTGGTGTTAGTTAAAGAAGAGCTGGTGCAGATTACTGCGCAGATGGAAGAATTGCAAAACCAGATCAGTCGTTTAACGGTGGAAAGAGAAAATCTTTTATCTCTTGTGCCTGATCTGGAAGCAGCTAACACGCATAGTTTGGCATTGCAAAAGTCTTTGGAAGAAAAGGATGTCTTGCTGGAAAAACTGGGTAAGTGTAGTTCAAGCGTGAATCATTGCCCAGCATTGTCAACATCCCGTATTTTTGTGAGAACATTGTGCATTTTGACCTTAGCCAAGTTGATTCGTATTATTTTCTAATTTTTCTTGACCGATTCACAGTAGTAATTTTATCTGCTGTGAGGCACTACTGTAAAATGCGAATTCTCACTTGATCATTTATTCTTTAATTTGCCAAAAGTCGAGTTTTTATTTGAAGAACTGAACTTCCACCTTTTGTTGACGTTGCTGGTGGTGCCATTTTTAAGAAAACACAAATTATGGTAAACGAGAGAATGTTCAGTTGTTCATACGAGTTACTTTTTTTGTTTTTTCCCCTTCTTTGATTTTGTCACATTAAAATGCGGAAGTGTATATAAGACCGCCTGTAAGCGAAAACAGTTGTAAGGTTCCGATATCGCAATCCGCATGCTCTACGCTGCGAGCCGGCTGAGCTCAAGGTGCTGGCAAAAGGCGGTCTTCAGATGGTTTATTTTTGTTCGCTGTAGTTTAAAAGGTGGCATTGCAATTGTACGAGTATTTTATTCGTCACAGGCTGAGAAGTATAGTATGATAACAAAATATGTTTCTAACAGGAAATGCCTTGGCCGATGAGCAGCAAACAACCGTGCTACTCCGGGAGAAGCTGCAAGCAGCGGAAGTTTCACTCACTAGCCAAGCCGACCAAATTACAGATCTGGAGAAATCGATAAGCCTCTTGCAGTGCACAGTACGCGAGCTGGAGAAGGAACAGAGTGCCGTGACAGCCGAACGAGACCAGGGCACGGAGCGTTGCGCCCAGCTGGATCAACAGATTGCGCTCCTGCGGGACGAACTGTCAGGCAAATCGGATCAGATGTCCTTGCTGTAAGGGTATTATTTTCCACCTGATCAATTAATATATACCTGACAGGTCTAATTTTTCCACCAGCCAATCCAATGCGCACGAGCAGAGTGATTACATCACGACATTGCACGGTAAAGTGCAATCGATGGAGACACTGCTGCAGGAGCTCACTCAGGCTAATGATGCCATTCAGCAGCTGAAATCCGATTTGGGTATAAAGAGGCTATTTTTTCTTTATGGAGAAAATATGAAAGTAAACGGGGTGTGCGTTGCAGAGGAATCATTACGGCTTAATGGTCTTACGCTGGATGAAAAGAGCGCCCGCATTGAGCAGTTGGAGCGTGAAGTAGAGGAAAAAATTGCCTGGATAAGGGAAAATCAGCGTGAAATCGATTTGCTGGGTTCGGATTTGGCAAATAGTACCGCGGAAAGTGACCAGGTGAGTTGGTAGGACGAGAAATGTGTAGCTATAATTCCGTGGTGCCGGCTGTGTTATTTACATTTCGCAAGAGGGGAATGTGATTATACAGCGTTGCATGTTTACAGTTGCGAGAGGACCTGCGCCGGCAGGCCGAACAATTACGCGATACAATTGGCCGGATTGATGGACTGAAGGTGGAACTTGTCGCTGCCGAGGAAGCTAGCCAAAATGCCCGTCAGTTGCAGGAAGACTATGGAGTGCTCTCTCAGCGCTTTAGCGAGCTGAAAAAGCAGAATCAGGCACTGGAAGCTGAAATAGATCGGCTCAATGCGGATGTTCTGGATGGCTCGAACAAATTGACTAAAGTATGTCAGCGTATCAAATTTACCTGGTCTCCACGCATGTTGATTCATATTAATATAGGATGAGGCGGAATTGGCGCGTCTTCATTCCGAGGTGGCACATCTCCATTCATTGATGACTCTTAATGACCAGCGTTACAATGACTTGCATCACGCACATGAATTGCTGAAGGACGACTCGGAGAAAACATTACGCGATAAAGTTGGTTTGGAAAGTGATTTGGGAATCTATTCCGACATTGTGCGGTTGCTGGTTGGTTCTTCGTCGCCGTTCCAAGTGATATTCGGTGGGGGAACGTTGTGGAATCCGGATGCGATGGGTGATCATACGAGATTAAGCATCCCGATCTTCACGCCGGATGGGGTTATTTATGGCCCTGATGAAGAGCAAGCTGTGGATGACGAGCGTTTTCGGAGGGTCAATGGGTCGCCCTTAGATGAAAATGATTCGGGATTTGTCGGAAGTGGGAGCCAGGCATCGGTAAGTGCTGTAATTATCACCGTCTCAATAAATGATCGGTGACGCAGTTCTCCTGGATTGCTTTCACGGGCAATCATAATTATTTCGTTCTCCGAGCCTTAGAGAAGGAAGGAGCTGCATCTCTGAATAGCTGTTTGCTGTACGCGTGCTCATTTGACCAATTGAACGAGTGGAGTTAAGGTGGACTTTTTCCGTGCTTTCAAAACCTTTCAAAATTGTGTGGATTTATTTTTGCTGCCTAAATGAATTTAAGATACGTATGGATTATTTATCGATTGCTCTGAGACCTGAGTTCGCCCCTGGTAAGATGTCATTGGTGGAAGTGTCTGGTAGCCGATCGGAGATCAAACACCTGTCTACATATCTGTATAGCTAGCTTTATGAGCAACCAAAAATTTTGTTTTTATCCGTTTGCCTGTAACATCCGAAACTTGCGCTGTTTTTAAAATTAGAAGTCATAAAATGATGTTCCAAACTTCTAATTGCATCCGTTGTCCATTGAACAGTTATGCGATTTAGCCTGAGCAGGATGCGGTAGTGTGTCAGTTATTTATCCTACTCTCTAGCCTTCCTCGGTCATAGGGTTAAGAATTATTAACTCTGAGCTTCATACTTTCGATTGTATTTTCTACATAGTTTTCACAAAAGTGATGCCCTTTTGGTAGTCTCTGTCTGCAAATCTCGCTGATCAGGTTCCTTTTTACGCAGGGGGACGTACATTCCGTGGACGAGAAAGCGTCTGACCTTGCACACACAGTTACTGAATTAAATGACCTTCTACTTCGAATCGAAAGGTATGTACAAATAACAAGCACATAAAATTATTGTTGCTAAGATTTCTTTTCGGCCATCCTGACGGTTTTGGTAAATGTGTGAAGTTTTTCGAATTGAAAACTATACCTGCTCACGGCGGGAAAATATGCGTTGCGTTAATAAAATTGAATGGCGCTTAGTGATGGTTTATTGATGACGGTAGACATGACGATCCATCAGTACTTCGCACTCACACAGCCTCCTTGATCAAAGATATTCACAATGTGGAATCATTTGTAAAAGATTTGGAACACAGTCGAGTTGCTGGTACGATAGCTTTATGTTGACGCGTTTGTAGTATTTTGTGAGTTAAAATAACACTGTGATTTTGCAGCTGCCGCTCTGCAGCGCACAATAACCCATCTTTCGCGCGATCTGGCGTCCCATCGCCTTACACGCGACCGGCTCACGGACGAGCGTGACGGTTTGCGTGATCAAGTGGATAATTTCATCTCAGAAGTGAGAAGTTTAAAGAAATGTCTGGACTTTTTGGAAAAAGACAAGCAGACCTACCAGGATGATTTGGCCAGCAAGGAAACCACCACTGTAGAATTGAAGACCTTACTGCAGAAAGCTGAAGAAGAGATCGACATACTTAAGCGCAGTTATGCTACCGCATCTAGCACCATTCGTCAGCTAAACAACAGTAACAGTTCGGTGCTGAGCGACAAGGAGAACGAAATAGCCACAGTGCGGAATGAGTTGACCGCTAGTCAGATGGCCGCGGAAGAATTACGGAAGCAGAACTCACGGAACGAAGAGCGGATTAAAGATGTTCTAACGAAATTAACGGAGACGGATGGCATTGTCGCTGAGTTATCGTCACAATTGCGCGAGGCCGAAAATAAACTGGGTCAGGCGGACCATCTAGAACTGAAGGCCGAAGCTTTGCAGAAGTTGGAAGACGCCTTGGACGCCCGGATTATACAGATACAGGAAAGGGAAGAGGCGGTGCGACGGCTGGAACAACAGGTGGCCTGCTTCGTCACCGACCAGTTGGCTTTGACGAATCGCGAAGCGGAAGTTAATGACAAGGCATACATGCTGGCAATGAAGGAAGCTTCGCTTAAAGACAAAGAGACCGAATTGCAGCAGCAGTGTAACAGTGTCCGGCAAATAGAAGATCGCTTTGCTCAGCGAGAATCGGAGATTCTCTGCCAGGCGTCGGAACGGGAACGCCTGGCGGTAGATAGATTCAGTACGGAACGGCGTTTGGTGACGGACGATATGGAGGGTCGGATACATCGATATCAGTGTCAGTTGGATGATCTAACGAAAACTTACAACGATGTGAACGATCAAGCAAGCCGCTTTAAATCGGATGCCGAATCCTTGCGGTGTGAAAATCGTGAATTAAAGGATAGGGTAAGGGAAGCTCATCGTTTAGGTTGTTTGCTTTTAACAAAGTATCTGTAGCGTTTGCACTTAATGGCTAGCTCGAAGGTGATGAGTAGTTAAACAAGCGAAATTATTGTAAACAAAAATAAAAAATAATATTTTTATGCTCCACAGATTACTCGTACGTCAAACCAGACGGTTCCTCGAGATATCCATGAATGTGAAGTGAAAGAGCTCCGTGATTCTTTAACAGACAAAGCTGCGCGCCTGTCTGCCGTTTGCACTGACAACGAGCGATTACAGCTTGCTGTTCGCGATTCAGAAACGAAGTTGCGCAATATGAAGAAAACCTGTGATGATTTGGAAGGTCGTTTGCAGAATAAAGCGCAAGGTCAAGGGAGCGCAGAGGATCGCTTTGCTAAGCTCAATACCATGTATACGGACATTTTATCCAAGTACCGCACTCTGTCGGAAGCCTACGATGAACGCGAAATTCAGATTGTGCGAAATAAGGACGAATACAGAGGTAATTCAGGGATAGAAAGCTACCGCAGAATCATCTTTTCCTCATAACTTGTAATCGTAGATGCGAAACGGGAACTGGATAATCTGTTGTTTATGGTTCGTCGGCACTTGGGTGACAGTGCCTGTGCTGTGCCTTCTCGAGCAGCCAAAGAGACTTTGGATGAAAAAGTGTTTCCAGCTGTTACCAAAGATATGTTATGCGAATTGCGAGTCAACGTAGAACAGTTGCTGGAGGTATATACTATTGTTCTCATTGGGGTTCCGGTTTTTAGTGCGCCAGTAACAGGTTGACAACGTGTCAAGGTGTTTCATTTGATTTGCAGGATCGTAACCGACAATCCCGCCAGTTGGACTCTATCAGTTGCAGTCAGAACGGTCCGAGCATCTCCGGCAACCAGCTACTGTCTCCAAGCTCGGAGAGGAAGTCCAGATATTCGCGTTCTTCGCCGCGAAGCAATGATGCGGATATTGTAATGGTTTACAAGGTTTTGCCCATAGTTCTGGTGTGAGTGAACGTATTCTTATTACAGAATGCCTTCCGGGAACAGGTCATATCGCGGTTATACGAAGATACAAGCCGGCGGAGTATTACACTGGAAGAAATGATGATGGATGGCAAAACGTGAGAATTACTATTATCGATTAAGTGCTTTCCTTTTTCGATGTTTGAGGGCGCTTTTATAGCTCCTTATGGTTTTAGAAGATCTCCAACTGTTGGCCTCCCTGATGGCGAGAGAAAGAGTTCCGCTAGTGGCAAGAAGAAAAGGTCAGCTGACCCCCTGCGTCGACAAGCACTGAACTGAATCTAGCAAGATCTTTGTAATAAGTTATTGTGTATTGCTACTAGCATTTTGTGCCTTTTGGGTTTGAATCTCGTTTTCCGTATGATATTGGTTGTGTCTTAGCCTGGGTCAGTTTTGTTTTACGTTCCCTTCTGAGATTAAGGTAATACGGATTTTCTTTTATTTTAAATGTTGCTTCTTGGATGTCCGAAGATAGCTGTGATGATGTGCTAGTGCAATTTTTATCTTTTTTTGGGGCCAAGTATTGGTGAACATGAAAGCCGCATATATATAGAGGCTTTTGAATAATAATAATAAACCGTTTTCTCCAGCTAAATACTTACTCGTACTTTTTACGTGCACATTAGTATTTGCTGAACACTGTTACGCTGGTTAATCACTTATTCGTTCGTGAGCAGACCAATGATTGGTCTCCAATCCCCTTAGAAAAGATAAGAAAAAAAGGAACTCGTGAAACCAAAACTAAAATAAAAATATAAATATATTGTACGCGGCATCAAGTTATTTAATTCGCTTGGTTATATAACCAGTGACGGTGCTGGCCTAAGAAAAAGTGTTGGAGAACACCGCGTCTACAATCGGCTGGACGATGGTCATTCTAGCCTTTAATAAATATTTTTAAATATCGTTGTGCCACCAAGTGCCACCGTGTGGTTTGCTTGAGGCAAGTTGGGATTTTCTGTACGCAGAAACAGTATATAAAATCCAATGAACATGAATAATTATCACGATTACTCACTGCAGTGGTGGAAAAACTTCGCCATTCGGTAGACTGTAGAGTGTAGACTCTAGTTCTACAGTGAAAAGCAACTATATTCTGGTTTCGCCGCGAGATATAAAACGGAAAGCGGAAAGCGTACCTAAAACTGACGCAGTATCACACAACATACAACATAAAGTAGTTCCAGTCGCGCTGCAATACATCGTGTGATTCTACGGAAAGATAACACCTTACCATTATGATTAGTGATAGTGTGACGCTTAGTAGCTTACGCATATGTATTTACACTTGACATCTTGCAGGGCGGGTGCGCAGGTCCCAAACCAACGATAGAACATCCAGGAATCTATGTATATACCGTAGTCAAACCAGAGTCGCATTCTTCTTTATTATTGTGCATATCAGCATATGCAGCAGAGCGACAACGGGGTTTAATATGGATACTGGAGGAGGTTGGTAATTTCCGAAGAGACAGTCTGCAGGGTTCCTGGCTATCAGCCAGTCTTGTTATCTAGGTACAGTAAAATCCCTCTACTACATACACCCTCCGTTCTCAGCTCTCCGTATGTTGTAAAGAGGTGTATGTTACACAGGGGCAGTGCCCCTGGGGGCGCTCTTTAACTTACCCCCCGGGGGCTGGTCATACATTGGTCAGTTGCAATTAAGCACGGTGCCGCTGGTGTTTCTGTTTATAAATTCATGCTATTCCTCAGAAATGTGGCTCTGAAACGCTTCTTTCATGCATTCCTTTTCGAAAAGCTACCGTAACACTGGCATTTTATGCTTCAGAATGAACCGGTAACCAATAATTTTCAATGCCTTTTTGCTGTTTTTACTGTCAGACCTTGTACTTGACAGATCTGAAACAGAAACCGGAACTTTCTTTGAAACTTTTTCGCGCTTATTCGGCCAGCTGTATGTAACGCAGGGGTTGACTGTATGTTAAATACTGTCAGAGGTTCCACGAAAGGTGTATGTTATAGCTGTAAAGGGGTGAATGTTATATAGAGAACTGCCCCTATGTTATAATCCACCGAACAGTCCGGTTCTCAGCCGCACGTATATAATAAAGGGGTGAATGTTGTATAAGGGTGTATGTAACGAGGGGTTTTACTGTAGACAATTAAGTAGATTCTGTTTTTTTATTTTAGCCGACTTATTAATCACATTATATTTAAGTAAATGTTGTAGAAGCCACAGTACTTACAGATAGAACCGCTGTCATCATTCGTAAAACCTTGCCAGTTTCCGGTCAGTGGCGCTGGGGCGTTGCCGATCCATCGACGACGACCTTTAAACCCAGCCAACAGATACAGTACTGTAGTAGAAGTATTTCGTAGTGATAAGGCGATCTGAACCACCTCAATGGATAGTTATACTGTAACAGCAAATCAGTTACACCCTTATTATATTATCTAAATTTTTTTAACTCATTGTGCATCTGAGTGAACCATTTTTATAGCATTTTTTGGCTGTCTTAATTATTTGACACAATCATAATGTAATAAAACGTGAGTTTGTTACTGTCTGCTGTTGTTTGCGTGCGAGCTGCAGTGTGCAGCGTTAACAGCTGACAAAGTGGCGTTATCAGAAGTTTTACCCATTGGTCGTCACTTTACTGTACTATTCAGCATTTTCATTGTGCTATGTGAACGATTCCGCACATACACAAGTGGCATGCTCGGTGTACTTACTTTCAAATCAGGCGCTTGCGTTTTGCGCGTTAGAGCATTTGCGGCCGCCTTGCAGTTGCAGCCGATAACATTTTGCCTCCCTTCTGCAGCTCTTCCGTATAGCATCTTTCGGGAGGAATCCATGCCTTCGTTTAGCATGGAGTTTCCGGGAATAAAGCGTCAGGACAGTGTCACTCCCAGCTGGATTGGATTGGTAATGATGGCTTCGTATGTCTACCGTGGCTCGACTGCGAATTACCATAATATTATGATAACTTGACTGCTTATTTCAGCGACGAACGTTTTCTGATGTGAGTCGTCTGGAATGGGGCTTCCTGATCATCGGCACTACTAGCTTACTGGCCTGCATTGGACTGACAATAGAAGTATGGTATATCTATAAACGCTGTGTAAAGACGAACCTGCTGTTTTTTACTCATTCTGGTTGTTATCCGTATATTTCGTTTTCAAGTATGGACATTGGACAACGGTGTAATGGACATTATCAAAATATTTTTATTGCGACTTTAGTTTTAAAAAATACGTGTTTCTTCAAGTGCGACGTTGGAAATTTTATGTTTTTGATAAAAACACGTACTCATTTATTTTTTCGCTAATGCTTAAACGAAAAGTTTTGGTACAACTTTCTTAAAATAATTAAAACGCATAGTATTAAGCTCACTTGCAAGTATTATTGTTATCGAAGGAGGAGTACTCGTAAGTGACACTGTAACAAGATGATCCATGTTGCCGTTTTAGAATTTTAAACAGTGTTCTAATAGTGCAATATGCTAAAGTAAAACGCTGATCTTTTGGCATCGCTATGGTTGCCCGAAACTGGCTCAAAACGGTGCTATCAGAAGTTTCCATGCTTTTTTGCGTCAGTGTTTCGAATATTTATTTGCAGAGACTGGATTATCTGTCTCCTGGAAAATGTCCACACAATCTGAGTATACTAACGGAGGAACAATACAGGAATGAGGATAAGAAGTGTGGAGCCGAATTTACATTTGCGTTGCTGATTTTAATCAACTGCATCTTCTGTTTGTTTCACGTCTGGCATGGAATTGTATGGTGGGTATGAAACGCATGCCGGTTAAAAACTCATTTATTGCAATTGCATTCATTGGCATGTTCTGATCTTTTAAATACCACACCGGTATTATTAACATTATATATGCCGGCATTATTGCCGATTACTATCGCAAGCGGACGCGCAGATTGTACGTAATGACGCATTTCCAGTGTGTCAAAGCTCTTATCATCTCACAGGGAACGGCCTTATGAACTGCACATTTTTGCCGGAAGTATCCTGCTTGTGACAATCTACTGCATCGTCGATTTTGCTGTAAATGTGCAACAAGGCATGGACAGCGGCTTTAATTTCAGTATCAAATTGGTAAGTGCAATGTGCTTGTAGGGGTAGGAAGGGTTTCTAACACAAGAAGTTGATTTTTCTGTGCAACTGCAGTCTGGATCTCTGAATGAATATCCTTAGATGTGAATTTTATCGGCTTAACCAGTGTGATTTTTGTGCATGAAAGCTTCACAAACGGAGATAGTATAATCCATTTTACTACTAATTACTGTGGCCATTTTTACTAGCCATGGTAAGTTCATAACTCCTGAGTTTGTAATGTGTGTCATAACTGTCATTCAGTCAACAGGTGTGGCTTTTGGCTGCGTCGTTGCATATGATTTGCGCCATCACGCTTTCGCTCTTGTTTTGTCTGGCGTCATAACCAAGAACCTATAATTATGATCTCTATCGTATTCGGACGATACGAGTACAAGTGGATCATATTTTTATTTTCATTGGATTATCGGTCCAGTTTTAGCGATAACCAGCACGCCTTTGTTGGCATTGTGATGAGCACTTATTTTGCCAACAAATCAGATATTTGTGGTACAGGGCAGCCTGATAAATTTTGTGTTAGCATATCGACAGAAGCGGCCTTATCGCAGTTATACTACGAGCCTCCGAGCATAATCTACAATACAAAGTGTAGACTGTGGTTAAAAACTTCCAATCAAAATTTCCGATGAGATTGTGAGATGGGATTGCAGTATATAGATAACTAAGATTAGTAATATGAGATACATAATTTTGAGCATATTGTTAATTAAGGCTAAAAAATTTATTTTGACGCTTATTTAAGAGCCAGTTTCTCGTTTTGTAGGCACGGTTGGTGATACTTTTAGTTTTGGGTGGATTGGATGTGGCTCTGGGCTGCTGGATTGCCGCAAAATTTCTTCGTGAAGGAAGATTTGCCTGTCGCGTAGTCAAAACGTACGACGAGGTACAAAGCCCAATCCCGAACCGGCATTTTGATATACTAGTACCGATTGATGTTTTTTTGTGAAATTATAAGCAATAAGCATGGTTTCTACTACTTGATCCGATCTTTTCTTTCGATTCAATCGTCAAAACCGAAATAACATGCGGTATCGTTCAATACCGAATTTCGTATTGTACAGGTGATCCAGAAAAAATGCAAGTTGCATTTCTTTACGCAATCGCTCCTCACGTTCGACCTCGAATTCCAAGTAAGGATCCTATGTCAGGCTTATCATATCTGACCTTTGCAACGGTAATCATGATACCGTGAAAATGAACGTACTGATTCATTTTTTCTTGAACAGATTACGATGGTAGTATTGATCCTTCGAAATGGTTTCGAATTTCATCTGAGCGACCGTGAGCTTGGAATTTTGATAACCGGACTGGTGATTGCGGTGATGTGGCTTGCTGCAGTTCTAATCAGTGTAAGATAATACATTCGCGAGACACTCAGTGTCTTTTGATTTTGCGATTCGCATACGATAATATCAATTCCACTTCTAGCTGCGATATGAAATCAAGCCTCTTTCATGGATCGTTATGGGCACATCCGTTCTGGAACCAGCTTACATAATTTACAAGATTTATGATTCCGCTGACATTCTCAAAACAGATTACGACTACACCAGTCGATCGCTGCAGTACTGTGTATTCATTGGAGGCTCCATTGGGATTATCATCAGGATACTCCTGACGATCTCCTTCGTCTTGACGTATCGAACATTTGGCGAAGGGCTCAATGAGAGAAGTACAGGAAACACACTGGTGAGATAGCGCACAATGGTAGTATTTTCAGTAGTGCTTCATTGCAGTTTACGGAATTACGACACATTCAGAGAGATTGCCGCCACGAAAGAATACTATCGAGCCCAATGAATCCATCAACTAATCAAGCTTTCCACGGTCTCCGCCGATTTTTGTACAAGCACAACTTTTTCACAGAAATATTCCTGTTAGTTTTTGTACCGCTTGATATAAATCTTTTATGGTTATATCAATTTCCTCCTTGGTTGTGGTCCTTCCGATGCTCAATCGAATTGTGTTTTTGGCAGCTTCTTTTGATAGACCGCTGTGGAGCAAAACAATGGAAACAGTTGTCCTGTAAAAATGAATCAAAAGTTTCAAATCCAAATGCCTTCGCTGTGAGCAGTAACATACAGTACTCTAGGTGTTAACACTACTTACTTTCCGCTGTGGCATGCCGCTCCAGTGCTCGCTTGCAAGTATTCAGCCTGGTTCAAGACCTTAAAACCTTCCCGTTCTTTACCAACAAAGTGAACACTGAATGTGTTTGGTAATAAAAATTCGCTCAATACAGGAAAATTAAAATCGAGATTCTTTCCAAACGTTTCCTGTGAAAACATTTTAAGCTAATGAGGCGTGATTCAAACAAACAGCGACATAGGTACTGGTAAATCAACTAAACGGCCTCGACAATCCCAATAAATCTAATATGAACTCACAATCAGTGAATCTTTTAAATAGGAGCCGGTTTTGTAGAAATGTGAAGCCCAATCAGAGAGATTTCGTTGTACAACTTCACAAGCCTGTCCAGATTTTGCAGTGCAGGTTGATTGTAACCATTCGCGAACACACCGATAATGTCAAGCCCTTACCTGTCCCAGTCCGACTATGTCGACGGTATTCTCCGTGCTGCAAATCATGATAAATTAAAGCTCTGCAGCATCGCTTTTGACGCTTAAAATATACCTTGGTCGATATCCACGCTCTTGGCCTCCACCCCACAAAAATGGATGCTTCTTCAAAATGGACATGTATTCCGAACGGCAATACACGGCACCAATCCGTGGCCCATAAAACTGTAAAGGCCAAAGAAACTGTACAACCTACAAATGGCTTGAATGTCACAGCGGTGAGACCTAGAACAGGAGCGCTCACTTTATGTCCAACAATCGTCAAAAAATCCACGTTCAGTTTGGTGACATCGCACGCTATTTTCCCGACAGCTTGGGCGGCATCCTGTTTGAAAGCCACAGTGTCTCACAGACTATCTGCGCGGATCCGACTAATCCAACTGTCTCGAATCGTACCGTATGGAATAAAATCGGTTTCAAACCCTTTTCAGTTCGTTCGATATTAATCCTGATTAATTCTTGTCCGATTTCTGCCACAGGCTAAGAAGAGCGTACTTTTATAACAGATGGCAAACAGGAATGGAAGTACACTGCTGACCTTCTAACCTGTATCACACCCGTCTGCAAAACAGAGGACATGAGAATCAACATCTGGTAAGTGGTTCCACGGTGGCTAGAATGACAGTTAGAAGCGCCAAGCTTTCGCTTGCCTCGTTGTTGGCCAACATTATGGAAATCAAGCAGGTATTTTCACTACAGTTGTCCACAACGTCTCTGACATTGACTCGCCCTCCTTGCGCTCCGGATACCATTTTAACATCTAAAGCCACACATGCTATGGTTAGGGAGACAAATCTAATTCCGATGTCCGGACAGAATCAGTTCACACCACATAATCCTTTCGCCTGGAGAGCCAGCACCTTTTTACTAACGGCATCGTGTTCGATGTCCGAAGTGACGATGCAGGGTTTCCCTTCTGCAAGGCCTAAACCAAAATCCGCTAATTCTCCTGTTAGTAGAAATTTTCATGCAAACGAATTTACGCTTTTACCGCGAAGTTCCGATGCCCAACTGACAATCGCCTCCAGTATCCAGTTATTCGCTTCGGTCCCAGAAGAAGTAAAAATAATTTCTGCAAAAACGTATCCAGATGTAAATACCGGACACCATATTCAGACAGATGCCGATTTAATACCGAGCGATAGTGCATGTCATAGTTTAACCGTTAACATTTGTCCGAGAGAAAAAGCTTACACGCGATTTTCTAACTTGGAAAGCGGCGATATTAAACAACTTTTACCATCCGCGTACCTTCAGGTTTGGCTCCGATGACATCAGATGTCTGTGCTCGTGCTTTGCTTATTGCATCACGCACACGTTCCGCTGCAAACCAACCATAAGATTGCTGATTATCCGATCATTATCGCACCATCTTCTGTGTAAGACCTGGCGCCTGGCGGACTCACAGTACGTGCTGCTGGGATTCCGCCACAGCTTGCGCATAGCGCTCGCCATCGTGTCGATAACTTCGGGATGAAGAGGAGTTGTTGCATTGTAATCCAAGTACACTCTGCCGGCCAGAATAACTGTGGTAGAACCAGGTAGATGCACTTGTTCTTGCATAGCGAACGATTAATCATCGAACACCTACCCGTTCTTATATTCTTCAGGAACTGTGTACGGGAGACTATCGTTAAACAAGGTGGAGTTGTCTCCCGAAGCCATCTGAAGCCACTGCTTTCTGCCAGACAAGCGTTGCAAGATAGCTTTAAAAGTTTGGATTTCAATTAAATAGCATCCAACCTGGCAAAAATATATTTTCAAGCGGCTTTTTAGCTTTTACCATGTTGGGCTCTTATGAATGTACCGCTGGCAACTTTTATGAATGCAAGAGTGCGAGTACAATGAACAGACACGCGATGCGTGGAATCCTCAAGTCAACTCAGTGACGTCACTCCGTACGGTAATCTCATACGAGTCACGACTTACGTTCATTGACGGCAAAATTAATGCTTCATTATTTTGGTTGTGATCGTTAACCCGTTCCCGTCCATTCCTGTCAAATGGCAGGGTGGGGGACTCTTTTTCTGCAAGAGCCCGTAACGCACATAGCTCATATTCTTTAGTTATATTTCACAGTAGAGATATTAGGTGTCGTTTTTAAAAATCGGACTGTCCAACACAGTGTGGTCTGGGCATGCACCAAGTGACCAAAGGTGCCCAAAATCTGGAATTTTGGGTTCGCGAAGGTCTTCGTTGCCCTTGCAGCCTCCCAGCATGAGATAATTCCAAAATAAATAATTCAAGCCAATCTAGCGGCCCTTATTGCAAAATCATTAGAATACAAGAAAAATAATTGGACAGCGGACAAGCACGGTCATTCTAAAATTTCCTGCCACGTTTGACAGGGATGGGCGTGGATCTACTTTATCAATAAAACTATAAATTCGATATAAAATCTCAAAGGCTTTGTAGAAAGCGACACATGCAATCAAAAATTCGAGCAAAAAAAGTGTTACAAAGGTTGGTATTTTGGTGGTCATCGAAATGACCGGTGGTCAGTAAGCTCGAAAATTTTCAAAAAACGCTTTTTTTGGGCGGAGAATTTAAAAAACAATTTACGAATAAAATGCAAACAACATTAACTAACGCGAATTATGGACCTAAAAAGTGTTTCCGTTTGAAAATTCAGATTTATGGTATATTCGAGAAACAAATATGCTACGCAGTACGCACTATGCCTAGAGTAGTCCAGGATTAGAAGAAATGATAAGATTTGAACTGATGTAAACGTGATTCATGGAAGGTATTTCACCCAGCCATTTTTAAATTGTACAGCACTTTGTGCAAATTGTCCATTACGAATAGGCGTCATTGAGTTACCAAGCTATAGCGGATAATAGCGGAAATGACCATGCGGGAATAGTTTTTCATTGCCGGTGCGGCATACGCCGTATACTCTACCCTAGGATGTAGGTGATGCGGTGCGGGTAGTGTCGCTGTGGTTACTGCCTTATGAACCGCTTAGTGATGGTTGAGACCGTTTGTAGAGTACCCTCTACAACCTCTATTCACTAAAAAGGTACCAAACGTCGGCTGAAAACAGTAAGCGGCAATAACGAAGATTGGTTACCATTCAATAACGCGAACATCAGCGGCAAACACCGCATATGTACTGCCAGTACTGTACTGGCATGAGTGGCAAGAATGCAGTGGTAAGAATGTTGTTTTATCTAACTGAAAATCGTTTTCTATCGTTTTTTATTGAAAAACGTGGACACTGTATCTGTTGTAACGCGTGGCGGCCGAAAAGTGCAGTTTTTTAACAAGTTTTGTTAATACTGACCACTGGTCAACTCGATGACCACAACACTGTCTGGGAATTGAAGAGCTTTTTGAGGCCTTTCGTTAAAGCGTTCGCCCGCCCCAGTGCTACCCTCCCATTACTATTTATACATTTCGGCGTGCTACCTGCCAAATGGCAGGATGCCCATCCCTGTCAGTTTGGCAGGCTATCGCCCTGCTTGACCTATGGTCACAAAAATTCTCAAAAAATCAGTTTTTCTTGATTGAATTATTTGGTTCTGGAGTGCCAATTTTCAAGTTAATATTCGCACTCCTTCTGGTAGCTGACTTTGGTGGGTTAAATACGACCAGAGATAAACCATTTGCTTTACTTATCAGCAGCTGTTGCAACTTATGTTTGTTGTTTTACATTATTTTTAATTGTTACGACTTCATTTTCAGAGGAGTTACAATAAACAGTTTCGAGTGAAAAAATGCTCTTTAAAATGGATTTTTTTGAAAGTCGAAGATCCAAATAAAAGCATAACTGTTAAAGATCAAAAGGACCGTGGGTCTAAACGAAAGACGTTCGGCTAACTGCCAATCCGCACGCGGGCTGCGTGTCTGCGTTGCCTGCTACCGCGCGCAGACTGCGATTTGATGAACGCCAGCCTGCAGGTAAACGGTATGTGAAAGCAGGGACCATTTTCGAAAACAAAACCCATATTTACTAAATTAAAGTTTGACAGTTCTACGCGCCTTATAATCCATTGCCACAATGGAATTGGTTGTTCTGGTACCGTTAAGACAAAATTATTTTACATATTTTTTTGGTTTTGAATTATTCGAATTCAACGATCAGTGGTTTTCCGTATATCTTACTGCTTTTACACAAGTCCAATATGTAAAAAAATTATACGTTATATTTAGAAACACAAACTTGAAGGCCCCATTGTGCTTCAGCGCAGTTTTGCACATACAACATAAATTCTATATCCCGTTTGCACTTTTAGGCTTCATTTTAAACTTATATGTTAAAAGTTAAGGTTTCTAATGAATCTTTGCACTGACAGACCAACCAAAGGCGCACAACAAATTCTCAAAGTTGTCGCATGCTGCAAACAATTACATCCGTTAAAGGATTAATTACATGCATTTTACATTACATAAATACGACTTTTGTTTGACTGGGCCGTCTAAATCCGATGTCGGTTGAAGCTGTGCATTCAATAAAGAATTTCATAAAAAAGGTTGATGCGATGCCATAATAATGGTATAAGCTGTTATGAATAATTTTCCGTCGCACGATTATTAGTTCAAGGTGGAGTACAGCTACGGTGTAACATAAAGCTAGTTCCAGTTCCACAGCTGTCTGCAAATGTTTTGTGCCGATAATCGTAAGCAATGCAAATGTGCTGAACGCCGTTAAACGGTTTGTGAAATAATTGAAGTACTTAAGTACTGCACATTACTGTCGTCAACATTGCTTTTTTTACTCGTAATTGAACAGCTGCTGTCAAGTTCAAAAGTGCATCGCTGCAACAACATATCCTATCTGTAGTCTTTACACCACACACTTTTATAAATTTAATTCAAATCATAATAAAACAATGACTATGATTCTGCACTTATCGGTGACAGAGAGTGGATCCACTTAATACAAAGACAAAGAAGCGTGAATCTCAATCGACAAAGGCACCAAACCAACCGGACACCTCCTGTCTTGCCAGAAAATTAATTGTCAAACTAAACAACTCAATCTTCTCTTCGTGTCATGGGATGCCATTTTGCATCGGGATCGGTTTCGATGCCCCAGTCGTCGTTGGGATGAGCTTTGTGACCCTCCGCTTTGTGAGCCGTTGGAGGAGGGGGAGGATCGGGCTCTGACGTTCCGGGAAAAGGGATGGCAGACCGCACTGTGTCTTTCTCACCGTCCGGCTTGCTACCGGACACCTGAAAGCGCAAATCAAGCATGCTAACCATCACTCATCAGGACCTCATACAACAAAGTCGGACACTTTCAGTGTAAACATTCTCAGTCACTCAGCGTATCTTTTCAACAGATCCCAATCCAGCTCAACCTTTCCGTCGTCTAACGTCTACAGGAGCTTTTTCCACCGTACAGCAGCAGGACATACCTTCGTATCCGGATTTTTGTCCATGATAAGGGCTGATGCTTGTCGTGAATCTAATAAGTTTCTAAATCCAAACTGCGCAAACCGTCAGATTCCACCGAAACGCTCACCAACCTTTATTAAAAAGATATGAATCAGAAGCGGACATTTGGAATAAAATTATCAAGACTGTCTCGCACAAGAGCACAAAAAAATAATCCAAGATTTTATACTTCACCTGGGGGTTTCCGGAGACAATCAAACCAAAGTAGAAAAACGTAAACAAATGTCGAAATCTGACGAAAACTGAAAAACAGCTGGAGCTGCAAGGGTTAACTTGATAACTGAAACGTGTAATGCTATAAACAGTTGCCCCGACAAGGCGGTTGCTTGTATCGACGATCCGATCAGCAGAAAGTGGCAGCGTACCGCGGCTACGTGTGACAAGGAAAACAACAGTTACCATGTGCAACTTCTTAACTACAGTAGAAATTTCCGCAAGCCGTATTCCTCTCCCCAGTAAAACAACTTGCAAAAAAAACGTTAGTTAAGCGTTAGGAGACGGCTAAAATTGACACACATCCGTTCACCTAACGGTAGTTACACGTTAAACTAACGTTTTTATTACAAGCTGTTTTACTCGGGTCTCACTTCCTGTCAGCCTATTCTGGTAGCAAAAAAGTATAAAAAAAAGTATTTTTGCTACAAAGAAAGTCTAACATCTGAACTAAATTTGCCCCTATCGGTGTTGTTATCAGGACAGATTCGTTGAATTTCGATGTCGATCGGCTGCGCAGATGTTCTGCCGCCCGTTTTTCGCCGGTTTCCTGCTGAATCTTCAGCCCACCACTCTTTTCATGTGGGTTGCGTCCAGTCCGGGTAATCTCAAAGCGCAATTCGGCTTTTAAAAATTTCATCATCTCGTTGCTGTTGTGATTAACTTAAATCAATAAAACCCACACCTAAAAAACGCCAAAAACTGAGTCAGCTTGTTAACTTGTCGCGTTAGAAAACGTCGCGGAAATTACATATTCGCATCCAGAATGAGGGGATGTTCGATGCCAGGGTGAAAGGCTGGTATACCACGACTGATTTTCACTTTCGGTAGAAATCCAATTTGCAGGACATCACGAGGCGTGATCACGTGGATTCGCATAAGCTGAGCAATAAACTGCCGATTTTCCTTAGCATCTCTGTAAATTTGTGATCATCACTTTTCTGGTGCCAAGACAATGCAGTTTCTGAAAAATACCGATTGATTAACAATAGACGGCTACTAACTTGCAATGGCAACGCATAAAAAGCGGAGCTCCATTTCGAAGAATGTTCTCCGCCAAATTCTAGAAAATATGCAAACAGATTGCAATGGTAAGTCTCAAGTAACTCGACGATGACACCTAAACTCTACCCTAGCGATGCTACATAAACCAGAGGTACGAAACTATCACTACATCTGAACTGCAATTCCAAAGGTATATTAGTTGAAGACCTGTGCAACATCCGTTTTGCCTTCGGCATAAAGGTCGAAAATTTCTCTGCTTTTGTACATAAAGCGATGTCCTTTTGGGCACTCAAAATCCAGGCCAAAATAAATTTTTGAATGCCAGGTGGTCGCCGGCTCCACTAAAAATAATCGCAAAATAAACTTTTTCGTAGAAAATAAAAATGCGTTTATTTACTACAATGCTCAACAAAATCATACCAATCTGAGTATGTGTTGGACGGTTTGGTAAATGTCTTATAAATTTGTGACGATGGTCAAGAAGGATCTCTGTGTCAACGGCAATTAAATGATGATGAAGATTGAGAAAATCCGCTTGTAAATGATGTTCCAAACCTTATAAACAAAAACAGTCTTATGGTAACAATTTTAAGGTTGGCAATCCCTGGATCAGTTCAACATACATTTCCGATGTTTCAATTCAAGTAAATCAATTTTCAACTTCAACCGAACGAAAACGTTTTACTTACCATGTGCATGCCGGTAGCGACTAGCACTGCCCAAGCCATATAGCACCCATGACGATATTCGTGGTGTTAAATCATAGCTCATGCCCAGCTGGAACATGTATGGGCGGATGGTTGCTGGAAAAAAAATGAAGGAGTTTCGTTTACGTCAGAATACGCAAGGGAATGGAAGGTTACCAAGAGGTCACACGTCTTACCTCTGTTGGTAGTCGATTCAGGTTCAGCCGGCACCACGACACTGACAAAGGGCTGGCTGATTTCCTTTTCATTAAACTGAGCCGCGGTCGAGAGATCCGGAAAGGAATCGAAGCGTTTAATTGTCATGACTTCCGGTTTTTTATCTTCTTTAGCCTTTCGGTCTTTCCGGTTTAATGAGGAAGATGGAAAATCAATACGCCTATCCAGCAACGAGCAGCACTTATAGGCCATCGTTTCGTAAAACAACTCATTGGCTTCCTACAAAACACTGCACCATTGTTGCGTCCATTCTGCTAATTTCCCAACATAAAGATCCAACCTTACATCAGCTTTAATGAAAGTAAAACACGGCCAAAGACAATTACCCGAACATTGAATGGTTCTGGACGCTGCTGGGCTGTCCGACCGCAGCTACAGAAACTCATTAAGGATACGCGTGACTGATGATACACAACGGGCAATCTTTGCTTCCGAGGATCTTTTCCGAGGCGTGCAGACTGTTGGGGAGTCAAGTGAACCTGAGAAGATTGAAATGTTCAGTTAAAATTTAATGTTTTTTCTAAAGCATTCCTCTTCGAGTTATCTTCATTTCAACAGAAAATGATGCAGCAGACAACCCACCGTCAAACTGCAACGAGAGCCAAATAAACTTCGCACGGGGCATTGTCGGCGGTTCCGTGAGCCGGCGGTAAGGTAGGAAGTCAATGCTCCACCGAATCCTTTGGCAGCCGGACCTCTTGCAAACTGCATGTATGAGTGCAAGCAATTTCGAATCTGAAAACATAGTGAATACGAGGGTGAAGAAAATAAACCGATATCGAAATACACAGATCATAGGCGGTGGCCGTTTATGGTAAAATGAAAATGCGGCAGATAAATTATAACTTTGCAGGGTCAGTTACCAATCGATGCACTCCAGACTGTACCAAAGCATTATGCAACTATAGTTAGGCAGAAAAATCAAACGAAATTACGGATGAAAGCACATAAAGGGATTATATACCTGGCGAATGCTGGAATCCATCAAGCGTAAGGAGAAACTGTTAACCGAAAAGACAGCAACAGATTTCGAGTATTTGCGGCTGATGGACATTGTGCAGCCTAGTCGGCTGTCCAGCAAAGTACGAAATTCTTCGCTGTGAAACAGCAGACTGTGGAATTGAAGGGCAGCAGCGAACCATTCTGACAATGACGGCTTCTACAACAGAACTGCATATTGATTATCAGTGCTACCGAGCAGAAGGTTCATGCAACGCACATAAAAATGGGAAGGCCAAGCAAATCCAGACGGGCGCGATGTAGCAGAAACAACAGATGCTTGCGTAATGTCGGAAATGCATGTTTGTAACATGCCGTCAAATGAGCTGGCAAAGGATTGTGTGCCCAACCGCAGTGGAACGTTAGGCTGGTCTTTGTCCTTAACGTTGTTTACCGGAGGAATAAAAAACTCTGTTGAATCGTCCGCTGCAAATTATAATGCACACGCTAAAGTCCACTGCAATGTACAAATGCGATGAACACTAATGAAAAAAATAATATAAACCTTCTGAATTTTTAGACCCAAAATCTTTGACATTCGGAAGAACATTCAAGAACTGAGATGGAGTAGCGCGTTCCCGGACGAAAACGACTGTTTCTTTTTTCGCGGAAAGAAAACATAGGCCTGATGACCTGGAAAAGTTTTTAACAAGTGCACAAAAAAGCTATAAAAACAATCACGACGACTACCGTGGAATTGAAATCAGTCGGCATTTTTTCAGGACCGTATACAGCCGTACCGACGCGTCTTGCTCCGCTTTAAGCTCCAGATAGTTCTGTAACAACATAGAAAAGTGGTGGGTATGCGCAATCAACAAATAAAACGAAATGAGTACAGTACCTTCTCGTGTGGCAAGCTGTTTGGGTCTAAGAAAGAAGGTGATCCGCTGAAAATAAATATCAATCGCGGACAGCAAAGGCAGCCCTCCCGCACCCAGTCTTTATTTTCAGTAATCTGTGCCAGCATCTTGCTGACCAGTGGCAACCCTTTAAGCCTAAAAAAGAAAAAAAAACTGAATACTTCCAACAGCTGCCGTTAACATTTTGTACATGCAATGAAGCAAAATTATGCAGCATGGACACACCTTGCGAGATCGACAATTTTCAGAAGCCGCAGGTCATAATTTGAGAACACAATATCACTATGGAACCACTAAAATATAAGTAATGAGTCAGAAAAGTGTCACACGAGAAATAAAATTAACAAGGTAAGTACGGAGGCTTACAAGAACAATGTGCGACATCGTAAATATTAGCAATAAGAGGCGCGAATATTCAGAATCCGATTCGGCCAAATCCAGCTCAATCTCCTGAAACAACAACACCAGTTACATACATTATTATGTTGTTATCAATATTCCTCTAGAAACAAGCGTATTTATAACCAAAAAGGCTCGCCGGCGCTTACATCAGGTGGATCCTCGTCAGTGGAAAAATCACGCCGCTCGGGATTTTGCAGTACATTCACATTGCGACCACTTATGCGAACATAAAAAACATCCGTTCCCAACCGGTTGTAAACCGAAGCAACGCACTGCAAAACGGCACGAAGGGCTACAAGGGTAAACTGCGGAAACAACTAGAAAAATATTAAGAACACCACATTTAACAAGAAACAAATACAAAAACAACCGCGAACCCTCGAAATGGCTTTGGGAGATATAAAACAAAATGCGACTATGCATTCCACAAAATGAAGACAAAATGTACGTTGAAAATGTTGTCATTAGTGCTCTTAGCCACGTACTGACGGTATGTAATCGATGTCCGCGGACCGTCGGTTCAGCACATAACACTGGAAAACAAGATTCGGCGCAAATGATTTACACGTTATAACTAAATCAAATGAAAATAAAAAATATCCCGAAAGTGTTACCGGTTGAACTTAATAATTTATTAGACTGTGTTTAACATTTGATTTGCTCACCGGAAGAGTGTTGTTCAGAATGGCTTCGATATCAGGTCGCTCCTCCAGAGTAACACTGTCACTCAGAGAACCGATAAGAGCAATAAAAGCAGGACGGACCGACGAATACTTTGCAACAAACTTCATCAACAAATCCAAACTATAATAAGAAACGATGCAGCAGTGCTTCGGAGAAATTCGTGTCAGCTACAGCATCCAAGATAAAAAATCACCTATCAACATCCTGATTGCCAATATCTATCCTTATCCATTCCAAAGAGGAATCCGACGCGTCCATTTTTTATTCCACTCCAAAAGATTTTGCTACCTATAGTGTTAACATTTCAAAAACCATACAGTCCACAATTCTACGTAAAGTAATATCTTCCGAAGGCAAAGTAAACAGCACTTTTAAAATTTACAAGCTCCAATAAAGTACCGAACTAAAAGAGCTCCAACACAGTTCACACGAAATACGAAAGCAACGGCGAACACGATAAAAAATGCTGCCAAGATATGAGGTGCTTGCAGCTTGCTACCGTATTTGAAATAAATTGGTAGTGACGTAGTCTTTCAAGTTTGAATAAAACGAATTGGTAAAAATGCAAAGTGTAAACTAACAGTAGAAGCTTTTTACTAACATTAGTTAATATTTTGTTAGAAATTTTGTTGACGTTTGCTACGGTTTGACTGCTTTGACATACGTTCTGCCAGAACCGGCGAGCCGAACTTAAGCAGCAGCGGAACGAGCTCCCGTTTGGCGGGGGCTGAGATAAACTTTGTAGACGCCTTACCCGTTCCGATAGCTAATAAGCGCAGGAAACACTGGACGAATGGAACCGATAAACATTCGGCTGGAAGCCTAGAACAACAGGCTAGAATCGGAGCCGGCACCGCACTTAAAAGTTTATTGTGGCAAAAACTTCGCTCTTAAAAAAACAAAGAATTCATGGATGTTATGTGCCAATCTATCAAAACTTAACTTTCAGCATAAATACCGTATATTTTTTAATTTAAATTTTAGTATAGATACCGTAGTGTGCTGTATCTGTACCTACAGGCTACAATGACGGCACTATGTTTCTTCAGCTAATATGTACTGTAATAGTCCAATACTGCCATAAATGGACATAATATTTGATACGAGTACTTATCTATTATGGTATTTATATTTAGCTATAGCCTATACGTATAACTATATGCATACTGACCTACCGTAGCATCGAGTAAGTTTTTGCTACCTCAGGCTACCTCGAGCAAGTTTTTTTTTATCATAGGTTTGTCCTCTACAGCTAATGACAACTACGTCGTTTTTTTAACACAACAAAAAATTAATTCAAAGGTTGCGAGTAATTTAATTTAACCTTCCGAAATTAGTTTCCTTAGGATAGTTTTTTGTGTTAGCTTTCAGATTTTATGCTTTTATTGACACTTCACTGACACTGCTCGAGCTGTTGGGGGTTGCTCTTCGCATATAATGATCAGAAAATTAAGTTTAGCTAGCAGCAGACATTAGCACAGCACATTCATACTGCCGAAATGTGTGCGGGACGGGGCAGTTATGCCGGACCTTTTCAATGTCCACTCCGTGACCGATATGTATCGGATTATATTGGAGCAAACGCTTTACCAAGCAAAACGCAAACAAACCAGGATAATACCGTAAGGAAACCAAAAAGTAAAATAATGCGGATATTATAACAGCGCTATCCTCAACCCTTTTTATCTTTGCTATCGCCCAAAACCTTGGTTTTATCAGGCGGTAGAATGGAAAACGAACAAGTTAAGCTTTCATCCACTATCATCACAGCACCGGCATTATCCTAAAAAAGCATGAATTAGCCGAATTTCTCAAGGTCACAATTCACAAATACATTTCTTTGCCGTTGCGACTTACGAATTCCCCACAATAATTTGGCGCGGAGAAGAGTGTAACCAACTACAATATGATGCGGTTAACGCTGTTATGTACAGATTTTCATAACATGGCGATGTATTGTACACAAACACTGTAGTTAATGACTTTCAAGCAAATCCTAATAAGCGATCTTAATTATTCAGTCCACCGACTGCATGCGGTCAAGTTTATATATGTTTAGTGATTCCTTACTGCAAAACTCTTCCGAAGAACGTACTGCTTACCTTCCGTTTCTGGAAAAACTGGTAGCCGTCCTCAACAACTGAAAATCAATAGGATGACTGTTGACACATGCATAAGCATTAATGGGAACTGTATTGTATTAAAGACCACCACGTATGCGCATAATACTGGATCAAATGTAGACGTGCATACGCAGACCCATTAGAGTTTTTTTCCCTTCTATCGCTGCCCAATTGATCCGTACCTTGATGAGCCCGAACTATGCAGCTACAATCAAGCTTTTTCAAATATTGACGGACTATATCGCCTCCAAATGTGTATGATACGCCTCTGTCGTTTTCACCCCATCCGGTTATGTCTTCGTCCTGTCGGAGCAACCACAGACAGTCAGGCACATCCGCCATTGATGGGAATTACTTGCAGTGTCATACTGCGAAGAACCATTTGATCGAGCCTACTTACCGGGTCACTCCATAATAGATCACAAACCAATCCACCTAAAAATTACATTCTCAGTTCGATCTGGTATTTAGCCAGATAGTTCTGTCTGGATTTAGTCATCCGCTTTTAGCGACTCTAGCAGTTAATCTATTCCTACGTATTATAGCCATTTTTATGGAACGAAAAAAAGGTAAATAACAATGCAATAAATACTCACTATCAGGAACGTCCAACGGCCGGGCAATTTTCCTTATCTACAATATTTGTAATTTTTATAATATGATCGCATTTGTGGACAGAGATTTAAACTAGGCTTTTCAGCTACTATTTCACAACTGCAATACAGAATGTGCACGGTACCTGATCCAAATCTTCAAGGTCAGGACTTAGGCCGCCATGCATGCATCTAGTTAATAAAAATATTACTTAGATTTTAGTTAGAGCAGAATAACCTCTGAACGCAATAATTTTTATGATTGCGCAACAGTTTTTAGTTTGAATCTTCTAAGACTTAATCAGCGAAAGATTTTGAACTTGCTTTATAAATGTATCCAGATAACAGTTAGAATTGCCGGTGAGTGTTTTTGCGAAAGAAACGATATAAATACATAAATACATGTATAAATACTCTTGCAATCATTAAAATGTCTCATTTCAGAATGACCGCAAAAAAATTCTCACACAAATAAATCATATGAGCCATTTCAGTCAATAGTTTTGCGTGTAGATGGAATTCACAGATACGTAGAAGATGCGCCATATACACACTACACAGAGCGCCGAATCAAAAACTTTGACCGTACTTTTCAAAAAGTGTTTTTACAATAATTAAATTGGTATTATACCCTTGACAGTTTCCGTTACTCACAGGATGCTTCCTTCCACTAATGCCGCAATTGGCAAGCAGTTAAAACCTATACAATCAGAATGCGCTGTCACATACACGTCATATCACAGCTTATTAAAAATTGACGTGGTCAATTGAACTAGCACTTACAGTCTGTAAATGTTTTCCATAATTTTATATTGTAACGTCTTTTGCCTAAAACATGACGATGTATTGTTAACGATGCACTTAATCTGATGCATAAAGCTAAATTGGAGATAAAATACTGTACAAGCACACACCTAAAATTACACAGTCCGCATGTGATCGATAATTATTATGACCTCTTATAAAAAACTCAATTTTCAGTGTGGATTATTAGTTGTATTCTGTGTATATACGCACATTCATCATAGAATCCATAAATCCTATTGATGCTGGCACACTCATGATTTCCTCGCAGCAAGAAGAAATTCTCAGGATATTTGATTTTATATGCCAGAACGAGACAAATCGTCTCCAGAGATCTTTTTCCCCTAGAGTAACAGATGCAAAAGAGTACCGCGCCGCTGAGAAAGCGAGACAGGGCCATGACGCAAAAAACGTTAAGCAGCTAGGCTTGGCATTACTAATGATGCCCGCCGGTAATAACGGCAACTACTTGTTACAGCGTTAAGTATTTTTAAGAATAAATACCGATCAACATAGTCTCCCATGAAAAGGTAATTTCGTTGTCCAGGATAGCCCACTCGATCAAAATGCCGCAGGAGGTCTTCGAACTGACCTATAGCAGAACGAGAAAGCATTGTTGCAACGCGAACTGACACGCTGAAAATTTTATTTATAAATGTGTTGTGAAAAGAAAGCTCAAATGATGCAGAAAAAGCAAATACTGTCGGAAGTTTCAGTCTCAGGGAGATCTCAGCAGGAACAACAATAGCATGTATAATTTGCGTGATCTCCGTGATTATTTATATGACCATAAATCATTCTGTCAGTCGCTGCTGGCACCGTGTGAAACTGCTACTTATTTAACTACAATAGATTTATTGCCCACGCATATTATATTAAAAGGAAAGAAATTATTTCGTTTACGTATAAGATTGGTAATCCGGCACAGTGCTTTAATAACACTTTCTAATGCTAAGCGGCAGCTCTGACAACAAGAATGCAGAATGGAGAAACCATTAAAAAAGGCAAAAAAACTCTCAGACTCTACAACCACCGATTGATAAACCTTTGCCGACATTCCGAAAGCAAAAAACAAGAACATAATTTGGGCTATTATCAGGTTCAAATGTCGAAAAACTTTTTAGTCAACATCATAGTAGTAATCACAATGTCTGACTCGATATTTTTGCATATATTATTTTGTTAATTAATTAAATATATCCGTTTGTTTGCTTTTTGATAATTTTATTTAAAAAATCGGTGTTATTTTTATGGTTTTGTTATTCAGGGAGCAAAGTTTCAACCACAAGGACAAAACTGCAGGAATGAAAAATTACAACTTTTTAAAGAAAATTACTGCTGATGTTTACCCTTACCGTGAATATCGCCAGCAATAACAACGGGTGACGCTAATTCTACTAGCATCGGCTGCTCCAGGAAGATTGTACGGGAAAGTTGGCAGAGAACACGAATGGTGTTTTCCGGGAGTTGAACCTGTCAAATTTTGTACGAGTGCATGTTATCGGTAAAAAGCGAAATGTTGGTATTACAATCCAAATGAAAATAAATTCATTCATGACATAAGTTGTTACATTCATTTGAAATAAAACTACTTTTTTTATAAAAGAATTCGAAAGAACTTCTGACCGTTATCCAATCAAAACTGATATATAAGCAAAAACAGCCGGCAAAAGTATCAGCAGTTTAAAATTTCATAAAATTTAAAAATTAATAGAAAGAAATAGAAATTAATTAAGCTCACAATAACAAATATTGTAACTCTCCGACGTTTTTATTATCACCTGTTAAATGCTTGAATTTCGTTGTAAACTAAAGTATAGTGATCGGTTTGAACACGATCAAATTTTACCAACCTGTTTTCCCGGACTATCACGGACTGACACCAACTGTTCGATTACAGAATCAATGTTAAGTTCCCTTTCGTACGTTCCTGTCATATTCCCGGCAGTATTTTTTCACCGCACTCAACGCTCCACAAAAGTGAAATAGTAGGAGATCAAAAGGGCGTGAAACACGTATATTAAGCTGTGCTATTGCGAAAACCAGATTTTCTGCACTAAACCATTTAAGAAACGGCAGGATCATCAGAACACAAACCCATTAATGACTTCCGTCAAAATATTATAATAGCCATGCTATTACGCCTTTAATAGCGCATCGATATATGATTACCCAGCCAGACAATCGTTGAATAAAGTGCCCATCACAGCATGCGAATTTCAAGCAAAAAGGAAGTATCAGGAGGCAGACAAAATCTTCACTTGTCTGTGGTTCCTGTTCTTCGAACTTTCTTTATTAATACGAAACACTGACATTACAAACCAAAGTCGCAGTTTTCGGAATATGGAAAAATCCTGTTAGTCGCAAATGCAATGCGCAACCTCTTAATAGATACATTTTTCCAGTTCCAGAGCAGCTGAAGCAGGCATCGACGAAAACCGAGAAATCACTCCCTGCTTATATTACATAAACATCAAATGCAACAACGACCAATTCGTTAAAAATCAATATAATATTAGATGCACGTATAGTTATTAACGTTTTGAATAAACAGCATCGGTACACTTGTAATTAAATAAGTCCACAGCTAGACAGCATCAGCCGGTAACGGTTTTCCACGCTAAGCCGCTGGTGCCACAATAGGTTTGATCATAAGCTGTAATTACACTGCCTCGTGTTATATGCTGAATGCCACGGCTGCAATGCAACGCTGCTACCGACGTCCAGCATGCATCATCATGCTTGACTAGCTGATTACGGCTGGGTTCTCGCAGGCCGTGTTGTGTTCTCTGGATCAATTTTCCTCCCGGTTTCGTACGTATTTCCCTCCTAATCATAATCGATACCAATTGTACATGCCGCTTGGCCAACGTAGTGCAGCGCTGTGCCACCAGTGCGATGTGTGCGTTCTTACGTTGAGCACGGCATTGAAGCAACTTCTCACCATAAAGCCTGCTAACCTGACGCCCTTTACAAGATCATACCGGCTTATTTCCTATTCCCCACACAACAATCAGATGACTACGAGGACACACTAAGTATACGTGATAGACCAAAAAACCAGCGAGAATAAATGATAACCAATCACGTGTTGTGCAGCACACCCAGCCACCAAGGGTTGGCGGTCCAAGTACTGCGTAGTAAACAGCTCGTCTTCATAGACGCGTATGCTGACTTCCAGCTCTCATTCCTTGTGTGCTATGGAACGAAGCAATTTGACCAATGTAGCAAAAGATGCAGAAAAAAACTACAAGATTTTTGATACCCAACAAGTTGCAGTTTATAGCGATTAAGACAAGAGATAGCGTTTTGAGTTTCTCGTAGACATAGCATAGGATTCTGTGTGGGGAACCCTTGACCGTGGATTCTATGCTCAGTCTACGAGAAAATGAAAATAGCTGTAATCTGTTTGAATCAGCGTATCTTCTCACCTCTTTGGTATCAAAAAATCGTGTTATTTTTTTCTGCGTCTTCTGTTATATTGGTTGAATAGTCACGTTCCAGAGTGCACGAGAAATCAGCGTTGAAAGTTTGCATAATTTTCAGTCAGTCATTTTTTATGTGCTTACAAGCAACTGCAAACCTGGGTGGTTGCCCGCGTTGCATGAGCCGGGCATGGTTATCACTTATTCTCGCTTAATTTTTTGTCTATCACGTATACTTAGTGTGTCCTCGTACTTCAATACACACACACCCCGCACAGTCCGATACCAAAAGCAGTCGCCTCTTCCCGCGGCGGCTTCTTTCCGCACAGACTGTAGCAATTGCATAATCGATATCCGATGCGTTCGATACTGTCTTCCACCAAGGTGTACTTTCACAGTAACAATCCGAAATTCAGCAGGGTAATTCGTTCTTTCATGCGAATACACTAGCTTTCTCAGCAACTGGACGAGCTTTCTGTATCCGCGAGTTTACTGCGTCAGATGGTCATATCATTTTATACGTATGTAGAGCTGGATTAAATACGAGTATATTCACTTGATTACACTACAATATTACAACTGCGTATGGTAATTATAACAATTATTGCAATAATGGTCAGCTTTTAACGAAGAAAAATTTATTAAAACAAAATTGTGACACCACCAGGATTAATGATAGTAAAACCAACACTCAAACAATACAATTGTCAAATTACGCACGTTGTTTTGTACGACGGTAATTTAAAAGTAGCTTAACCATGTTGCCAATTACCCGCCCGATAACATTACGCACAATGTATTATTACCGTGCCTCATGACCTTTACAAGTAAGTATATATTCAGACAGTACTACAGCACATACTGCACCGGTACCATGTCGTACATACCCTTTTGGGTAAATAACTGCACCAAAAAATGGGATAATACTACTTATTATGATAATACTACTTATTATAGTAGTTATAATTATTAGGGAAAACACTATAGCCACCCTTTTCACCCTCGCTTTTTATACGTCAGTTCGCTCCGTGTATTTGATGGTCATCCTTTACTGTTAATTAAATGGAAACACCCGGTTATGCGTATATGGATTTTTTTGACACCCATTTGATTTTACATTTGCCGATTGTACAGTATAAACACGAAATCATTTTTGTATGCTAAAAATCATTGCTTATGCAGTTCAAAATTACTTATTTCTTAAGCTTTCCAGCCAACAATAATGGATCTCTTCGGTTGGTCAAATAACGAAATTCTCGGATCGTCGGATAACTAATATCTGACAAACGTGTTTGGTATCTTTTGAAAGCCTTTCGAAAGTTGCAAAACTCTAAATTCATCATGATCAGTGGATTCTGCTGATTTTACTCATGGTCAGTAGGTAAGATATCATCAGTACAGACTGTAGTACCTGTAAGAACAAATAAAAGCTAAAGAAGGTCACTCTAATGATCAGCGTACTACGGGTGGAGAAGGTTATCCCCAACTCAGCATTAAAGGTTTTAGTGTCAACCTTTTATTATAACAGTAGCTTAATTCTTTCTGACGGCAAATGTTGAGCTTTGTACCGTTACCTGTAAGCCTGCCAGTACTGAACTCAGCATCATCATGTATTCGTTTTACTGCGTCGGAAACAATTCGAAAAACTTGATTAATTCCTATTTTGGACTACGGTCTAAATACTTCTATTCTGCATCAGGTGATAAAATTTTGACAGAACCGGTACAAAATATCGCTTTTATATACGTTTCTGGGTGCAACAGCGAACAGCAAAACAGGTGCGCAACTCTCATCGTTACACCTATAAAATTACTCCGTTCCATCGAAAAGTATTATACAAACTGGCGAGAGCTTGTCGCACGCAGCATGAAAATACAAAAATAATCTGGGAGTGAAGAACGTATCATCAAGTGCAAAAATGTCTTGGAAACTAGAGCAGAAACCGCAACAGGCCGGAGCAATTTCACAGCACCTACAACAACAAAGCAAGGGTATCTGATCCACGCTGCAAGAGAAAATGCTTTTGCTCGGTAGAAACGTAGAATAACGGAAAGCACTGATTCAGTTCACTTGCCTTATCTGCTGAAATATCATTTAAAGACAACGGTACCATCTGCGTGCAAAGAGATCCCATATCTGTTCCCACTGCAATCTGCCTGTTTGCTGCCAGATTCCCCTTGCGCACCTCGGCTTCAACAGTCCGTATCGCTTCCAGTGTGAGACTGCCACCGGAAACCGCTAACAAAATTCTCCGCTGTACGACTTCTACCAATCGGCGAGCTAATAAATGGAGACTAAGCTGCAAAAATTCGCAACAGTAAACAATGTCATCACGATGCCGAAATTAGGCAAGTCAGTGTCACACGAACATTATTGTAGCATGTTTTTCGAGATATTAGCTTTGTACGAGTATAAGAGGTAAAGCCTGAGTAAGAGGGCATAAATTTACGAACACAAATCCTTCGAAAAACGTTTACGATTTCTATCACCGAACATAAAAATCATATTCACCACTATCTTACTGCACAGTCTGCACGTATGAAATTTCCAGAGGCATCGATTAAGCGGTTCAAGGCTACAGTCACAGATTTCTTACTTACCTCATCGCGTCCAAAAACTACTGTGGTGGAATACGTAGTCGGGTTTCCCAAATCGACAATATCATCAGGCGCGGCTTCTATCTAAAAATTAAAAAGAATGGAAATAAAACAGCATTTTAATCTAAGCAAGGAAGCGCGTTTTAATCTTAGGAAGCAAGGAAGCGCTACGCAAGCAAGCGCACTTCAATCCCGTAGCGGTGTGACGAAACGCTGACTTGTGCATGAGATGATGAGACTGTGATTAATCTATTCAAAGAAAACACGGCTGCAGTGTGGAAAAATTCTATATATTTGTGAATACACGGTCACAGTGCTGTTACGATTTATGGGGAAATACTGAAGACCTTGCAACATCCGAATTTCTATAGAACAAGTTGAAAACTGAAATAAAAACAATCCGAGATTCGCGAATTTATGGCGAGGCCATTTTACACCCAGGTAACATAATTCGACTTTGCAGAGCCAGCCAGAATGCTAAATGTAAACTTATGTCCACTTTTGTAAACTCCATACAGGTTTAATAATATAACCTTTTTTGAAATTTAAGAATCTGAAATATTTTTCGTTTACGGATACTACCTTTTAACGATTGTTTCAACATAAAGTAGCTCCAATACCAAAACCGACAATAATCATACTACGAAGCACTATACAAACATAAACATACGAACCAGCGTCCCTATTTTTGGCTCCGAAGTGGCGAAGACCATGAAATAGTTCGCAAACTCCAAACAGACCACATCAAACGCTCCATTGTCGCTGTCTGCACTTGAAAGAGTCTGCAAAAGAGGGAAAAAATTATTAGCAATTCGAACCATAGCAATTATCAGACGCAGCAACGGCAATTGATGAACTGCATAAGTGATAAGTAATGCAAAAATCATGAGCTATCGTTTATTTTTTTACCTGCACGACCCGAAACCCCTTAGGGTGAGCTCCTTCTGTGCTGGCGTTTGCACTCATGTCGAGACGTTAAACAGTTTCCCGTTCCCCTAAATGAGAAAGGTCCCCTAAATGGGTGCTTGCGAAAATTCGCAGCCTCGAACTTCGACAGGTCCCTTTCAAGTTTCAAGAATGCACAAATGTGCACAAAATATTCTCACGCCAGCTAATAGTGGACAATGATATTGAACAAGGAACACTAACAATGCAGAGCACGGACTTGTAAAACGAATGCACAAACGAAACCAAAAAGAAGTGTCAAAATCCCGAAATCAGCTCCAGTGCTCCACAGTTCAAAACAACTCAAATCTTCAGAGTTCAGCGTCTAGGACAGTAGGACTGCAGGGAAGTGTTCTTCAAAAAATTTCGCAGTAACAAATATCAAGGAAACTGATGTACTGCCACCCGGGTGGCGGGAACTTAAGTGAGTGCAAGCCATTTTTTAAGGAAAAAGTTGTATACCGTTTTTGGTCCACATAAAACAAAACGATTTTTAGCTCGTAATGGGAGCAATATCATTTTACATTTCGAAGTATGCATGCAAAAGGAGGGAACAATATTAAGAAAACAGAAAGTGTTGCATATTCTCGCCAACGAACGCCAACCGACAACAGTCGGCAATACTGACCTTAAATCATAAACGTTAATGGTGATCATAATTATCATATCAATTTGACTTTTCCCCCTCGCAGTATAAGTATTTGTTAATTGATTCGTAACCAAGAAACATAGAGCACTGCTTGAAAAAACTTTCTTTGTTAACGTTATTGGCAACGCTCTTCGTCAATGGGAAGTGTTGCGGCTACTCGAACGAACCGGCCACCACCGTACTCTGTTTAGTACGACAGATGTCATGATTGCATACAGTACTTTGTACAATATATAGATACAGTAATATTGTATACCATATAATTATACTGTACCGAACATTTACGGCTTTATATAGAATTCAACGATCAGTGAACGAAAATTAATACGTGCACTTTTGTTCGACTTAAAAACTTTAACAAAAAACAAGCAGTTACGGTATTTTGTCAATTAGGAAACTTTCAAAACCCACCCCGCAATAAATAACCCCACTAAAGGGTCGTTTTTGCAGTCATCCCATCTTTAAACAATTTTTTCCCTGATAAAGACCCCATTCAAAATCCTTACGCTCATCACTAATTCTGGATGGTGACGCCCACAAGTTTTTTTGGGGTAAGGATTAGGTTGGGTATTTAAATAGCTTGTTGTAATTTCTGTGTCATCCGACTGAACAGAAAATTTGTTCTGGCGATACTTTTTGCACTTAAAGCGTGTACAGTTATACTGTACCTTTATTATAGAAATTATCTCACTATCTGTAGTTAACAACTCTTTGTGTGAACTACTAAAGTATGTTGTCCAGTGCATGTTCATATTAAGTGCACACTTAGGCGCTTAAAAATTATAAGTTCCTGAGTAATTATAAGTTATAATTACTATTCAGGTAGCTTGTATTACAAAATATGGCAGACATTAGCTAATTTAATAATTGCATATTACACAAAATACATTTTAAAGGCTGCGTTCAATGTCTACTTTCCGGTTTCAAACTATGTAATTTTAACCATAAGTTTAAGTTGCAAGCTTTAGTTTCGTTTTTGTAACCCTTTAATGCAACTGTAGGAAAAAGTACTTTATGTTGCCGTTACCATACGCATGTGCAGCAGGGTGTTTTGGACGAGGAACAGCTAGGATCGCATAAGTACTGCAATCTGCTATCAAGCTACGGTCTGGCGAATGATCGCCGTTGACTTCCACCAATGGAGTTTCCGGGCGGTTTCTATTCATCGTGACCCACCGTTCCGTATGAATACCAGTAGCAACAATACAATACTTTCGCTACTGCACAGTAAAAGTCTATTAATTTCAGCATTTCTGCTGGGTTTGCCTGGAAATCTCCAGTCCCGTTGCCCGGTTTGCTTTGTTTCGTATTATCACATAATTTCGAACCAGGGCACTCTACAAAAGTTTTTACAACAATATAATATGGTTTCAAGCCCAAAGGAATTGGTTAGCTAACTGACAACGTTGGCAATATTACTGGAGAAATCTGGTGGCCACAAGTGCAAGCGGGTCTACGGACAATGTAACCGGTATTATATGGTCATTAATATCACTGACGTCGTTATTCACTCCTTCTGCAAGCCTGGCTGACTATCCAACCTGAAAATGTTCCGCAGTGTAGTTGTTTTCCTGATTTCTCTAAGCCCGATGGGTAAGTGATGTGTACCTAAAATTTAATTTAAGCATTTAATGCAAGTGGGTGGACAGGTTGCTACCGCTTATTACCGATTACGAACATAAGTAATGCACAGTAAAAATGCATTCCCAACATCCGATTACATTATTTAAATGTGCTGTCAATTTTTTAAAACGTTCGGTTAGCTTTTCTGAATTGCTAGAATACTGGAATGAACGTATGTGTACTTGTAAATTATGGCAGTCAGTTGTTCCGCTTGTTTGAAGCCAATGGTCAATTTCTGAAAGCACTGGGCACATTTAATTATGTATGGAATAATGTGGTTCTGCCAGTGAGTTTTTACGTCGGGAATATCCACCACTGGCCAAAGGCATTTATTTATTAGCAATGCAAAGAGTAATCCGAGTAGATGGGTAAAAATTATGGCCGGATGTGGTGCGTCTTGCAATTGTGTGAACAAAGAAATCTCAGCGGGATTGCGCTTCCGCATGGTGCGAGACGTGTCAAAATTCCCATGTTGCTGTTTGGGTTATGTTCAATCAAGTAGCTTGACGTTTTATACTTGGCGCACAGCAATCAGCCAGTTGCTTTCTTTTTAGCTCAGTTAATTAATCGATTGCTACGCTTGCCAGGGTATTGATCGGCTGCATATCCAGCTTTCTTGGCCAAGCAAAGGCATTGTTGACAGTACGGCTCACTTGGTTAATGGTTGAGTTTGAGAATTTATTTCTATTTACCAAACGATATCCACGATAAGCCAATATTCCATCTTTTTCCAGTTTACACAAGCCGCCAAATAATAGGGTTAATTTCCTGTCAAACGTACCGATGAAACTTATCGCGTTGGTCTATATTTTTTTGCAACAATCTTTTGTAGGCAGACTGTCAGCCAGTGACTGGGATGACTGGTGGGGCTACCATGGAATTTCTGGTGAGTTTACTGCCGTTTCGGCGGTTCATGCACTATGCAACTGTTTGCCACCTCGAGGGCAAACGAAAATATGTGGGTTAGCAGATGGTCCGAGTTTGACCTTTCCTCCTTTATAACATTTCGCGGGCTAACTTATACATAAATAAACCATTATCTCATTAGATACCTAGATGGGATTATTAGTTTTGTAAACGGAATGTGTAGCTGTTAATCGTGTCAGCGGGATTTTAAATTGGAAAAATTAATGTTTTGCTGCAAAAAGGTAAAGTACCGAAAGTAGCCCCACATAATTATGAAAAATACAATGGCCAAACATTTAAGCAAATGTGCGTTAATGTTAATGCAGGTTATAAATCCCCGCTCAATCTGGTTCCGTTATAATTATTGAAATGAAGAGGTGCTACTGTCGCTGGTCATGTATGTTGATGGTTTCCGTAATCTTTCCAGTTCATCAAGCATCGGGTTCCGGTCACGCATGTATGGTTTACTGGTTGGTGTACGCATTGCATTATTGATTATCTTCTGCATAAAATGTGGCACGACTCGAAATTAAGAAACATGCTAAGAGGATTACTTGATCAAAACCGATTCGTCATGCATTACTTCTTGTCAGATCCATAAATTAATAAAAACCACTGGAGACAGAATTTAGCATTCAGTCAGCAGCTAAGCGGACTATGTCTACTTACAGAATATCTGCAATTTATTTTGTTGTTTCGTTAATGCATCGGGACAGTACTGCAAGGATTTCGCGGTTTACGCAAGGTTTCTAGTTGAAAACGGTTTCCCAAACACGGTTTCTAGTTGAAATAATCAGCGGCGAAAAAGTGCAGAAATTGAACGAAATTAAGAAAAACATGGGCTACGGCGGAAAAGTAAGGCCAAGCCAACGCCGCGTCAGTAGCAGATGGACTACCATTCCTTTTCTCACATTCATAATTTGTTTACTACTACAGAGGGCAATTTTCGTTTAGCACGCAGTATGTTTTTTTGCCCGAAATAATTGAGTTAAACATTTTTGTCACGCGTGGCCAATTCCAGGTTCTATGACATCATAAGCGAACTGCAATAAAATAATTATGGAGTAGTATTAATCTGGTACATTGAGCTGGATATGTGAAAAGGCTGTTAAAACATCGTTCACAACAGTGATTCTGACTTTCTGTGTATGTAACACACATGAAAGACGATTTGGCGTAGAGTCGAGCAATCCAGAAGCAATTACGCGCAATTTGTAACCTTATCCCCTAGCTGCAAATAACGTGTTTAAAAGGCAGTTGTATACGGCACACACCCGCGATTATCGGGACCGCGGGATAATCCGCGGGTGGCTGCTCAAATAGCGCATCATTTACTGGAATAGTCAATGCCCGCGTAGTAAATGTTTGGTTGATAATTAAATATAGATAATTGAATGTACAAAGCCTAAAGAGGGGGTATGTGCATTTTTAACCAGCTCAGCGGATGTGAAGAGGGCAGAAGGATGCACAAAGGTGCCTTGTCGAAACGGGCGCGTACACACACTTTTGTACACTGTCCGGCCTTTCATTCCAGTCGGGGATACGCACACTGAGCCGAACACGGTCCAGTAATGTGGAAATGGTAATGTGCTTTTAGCGGCTGAAGAGGGTCGCGTGCCTGTTGTGAGTTTATGCTCCACTAAGAATAATAGATTAATTGTGAAGTATCGGGGCAATAAGAGTAAATAGGCGAATCTTGGAATATGTGCTTTAGTGCATGTGTGTCGCCAGTTTGACCGAACTACTGATGTGGAGAAGCCTGACCGACTGGGGAGTTCTTCGTATATGTGTTGCCGTTGCTCCCGCATCGTATCCAGATAGGGCACGATATCCCCAGGGCATTGAAATTCATAATCACTGATTTTATTATCAAGCATTAAAGTAGTGGTTTGCGCATATTTTAGCTGTGCGACCTTACTTCGCAGGAACCTTTTGATCTGTAGCTTTATGAGTATTTAGAACTGTACTGTATGTATGTAATTTAGAACTGTATGTATCCAGATACGATCATGATCAGACGATGAAATTGATAATGGTTCACCCTACTGAACAATCGTACATTTCATATAAAGAAAAGAAATATAGCCTTGAACTTTCCAGTGTTACAACAATCAACGTTTAATTTATCTTTGGAGATGCAAAACGTATTTAAGAGGATAATATTGGACAAGTTATTTTGTGACTTTGCAATAAATATTAACTAACCATGGTAAGTTGATGGTTTCTATACTTATTGAAACACGATACGCCTTGCATCTGAAAATAAAACTAGCTTGCAACATATAAGTTTTATTCCTGGTATGCTTAGTACATTATTCTTGGTTAATTTAATGTAATTACTAATGTGTGTGTAATTAATTTGGAGCAATCAAACAGACGCTACTTTTCAGGATTGAACGAAAATGTGCGCAAAACTTTCCGCGGCGCTCATTGTATAGAAATCGGCTATGTTCTGCTCTATTTCAGTTCCCATAACCAGACGTACGTTTACTTGTCATGATCAAATCCAGTTTTGGTTGTGTTCCTCTAATCTATCCAAAGTGTCATCTTTGCGTCCAGGCTTACTGTTTGCCAAGCGGCCTAATGATAAGTCTCACTAGCGGAAAGTATAACCAGTTATAACATCCTCTGCAAAGGTCGCCTGACTGGCAGTTTTATTGATTTTCGATGCCAGTGAATACGCTTTAAAGCTGCCATCAACAGTGGGCAAGCAGCTAATTAAGACAGCACTTATTAAAGCCATCCCGGTTGTATATTATGGCGTCGCACTGCGCGTCTGGACCCTTGTGATTTTGATGGCCACTAAAAAACCGCATTCAGTTGAGTGTAACAGTTTTCAAATTAAGTACTGCATACGACTGCCGATAATTCAGTTACTTGAAAAACGGTAGGTGTATACATTAGTCTGTGAAAGTATACAAAGTCGGTACTCGGCATTGTCTGTACTCGAAGAAAGACGGTGTAAAATACTACTAAATAATAAATGTGCAGTTTAGGGAGATAGGGTCATAGAACTACCGTATATTCTTTGCGCTGTGCCCGTTGATGGGAATGCATGGAGCGTTCCAAAGGATTATTTTACCTAGCTGCTAAAGCGAACGAAACCAAGTGAAGTCTTTGTGTCCTTTGACATATTTTTCTTTTGAAAATGGCTTTCTTATACTACAGCGGCTTTCTAAATCGCTTTAGGCAAACCCATCCAGGAAGTACAGTAATAAGGATAATTTTAGATACAGTATGTTAACCCATCCATTTACCTACCAGATAGTCGCTCTGAATATTCGTTGATTTGAAAGAGCAATGGAATATAAACAAAAATCTTCAAATTTATTAATTTACTGTTTCTAAATGTAATCAACTACAGTACATTGTAACACAACCAAATGAACGCGAGCTCATGAGCAGCAAAACACACAGTCTGCGAGCGTGAAACATTTTTTGGAAAGCCATGTAAAAAACCGAAATTATCATTGTTCTCCTTGCGAAATTAAGATTTATCGTCAGGAACGCAAGTCCAAGTTAACCTTAGGCCACATAACTAGCTACAGTAGTTGCAATAGCAACTGAATACCTTAAGTTATTGTTAGAAGTCGCACCTTATGTACATATAATAGTTGCGTTTCTTAAAAGTTAAACTAGCTACTAAATAAATAGTGAGCATTAAATGTGCGAACCTATAAGTCTGTCCTTTTATCTACATAGGCTCGGAATTTTGGGGATTATACAACCCTGAATGGGAAATTTGCAGCAAAGGCAGGTATCAGTCACCTGTGGATATCGATCCAAAAAAGTTGCTCTATGATCCCAATTTACCGCTGCTCCATATTGACAAACACCGGGTAAAATGAACTTTACTGTATTATGAGTTCTTGAGTACATTTTAGGCTATTGAAGCTGGAAGCGTTTTACCGTAGTTATTTGGGACATAAATGCATTTCATCTCATTTTGCCTCTATTGTTGAAAAAAGTGTCCTCTTTGTCAGGTGATAAATTATTTCCACTTATAGATTTCTGGAAATTTTGCAAATAATGGCCACGGGATTATCTTTTCGGCTGCCAACACAACGGATGTCCCGGTCAATATAACGTTCATCGATTCCCATAACCCAGGTTACGTATACCGCTTTGAAGAAATCCATCTGCATTGGGGAAGCAGTGAAAAACAGGGATCGGAGCATTTTGTCCGTGGACAGTCATTTCCTGGCGAAGTAAAGTTTATGTATTAATTTTGAATCCAGTGCGAATTATACAGTACACCATTGCGGTACGATACTATTACTTAACAGTATAGTACTGCCTTGAATATGACTTATATTTATACATAAAGACATAACAGCGGTATCTGTGACTTAATTACGTATTCGAGCAGTATAAATAATTAATAATAGTTTCGCTTTTCCAAAGTATAACAAACACGTTTTTCGAATTGGCTTTTTATTTTTTAATTTTACTCCCAACTGATTCCGCCAGATATAATAACTGTTAATTCGTAATAGCTTTTCAGTAATACTTAGTTTTCCTAGTGCCGACATACATATGAACTGTTTAAGCACACAAAATTTCTAATCAAATTACAATATTATCAATGTTGCAATAGGCGGCAATTAGCGCGCTTTTTTAACAGAATGTGGTATACTGGCGTACACAACTCATCCTGTTCATAAATCAACTGAACAGGTCCAAATCTTAACAGGTCCAAATCTTTGCTTACAACAGTCTGTTGTACCGGAACTTTTCCCAAGCTGCATCCGCTCCTTATGGACTACTTGCTATTTCGATCCTATGGCAGATCGGCGATAATCCCAATTCCGAACTTTCCCATCTTTTGTCCAAAGTCGAGCACATTCGATATAAAGGTTAGACACTCCTGAAGTATGCGTGACAATTCTCACGTGCATGCTTTCCGTTAAATGTACCCAGGCTCCTGGCAAAATGTCCAACAATTATCCATAAGGGAACTGTTGCCTGACACAGACGCATATGTAACCTACGCTGGATCGCTCACACAGCCCGGCTGTCACGAAACTGTCCAATGGATTGTTCTGAACAAGCCAATATACATCAGCAAACAACAGGTACGGTAATTGTTTTTGGAACATAAAGGAAATCACAGCTTTATTGATAGATTGATAAAATAGCTGATCGAGTTGCATTAGCGAAATGCATGATATTCCAGCAACAATTTCCAGTTGCAACCCGGCAATTTCTTTAGGCGATTATTACTTATTGGGCTAATAGTCGCTATGCCACTTCTGATCATGGTACAATATCACACCAACGTGCACCACCCAAAAATTCAGCAGAAAAAAAGTGTAGGCGCGTATTTTTATTTTTTTTAGTTGTATGCCCTACGGAAAATTCGAAGAGGAGAAAAGGAATTCCCGGGCACGCTTATGGAGAACAATTATCGGGCACTCAAACCATTTGGATCACATAGAATTTTCCGAACCAATATTGATTTCTCTTACGTAACGAAGGTAACGTTCCCGAGCACATATGCGTACAAGGAAAAAGTTATTGTCATATGTTTAAAGCAGATTCCCGATAGCATGAGTGACAATAATAAGCTATGGACTGGCATTGATGATATCTGACTGCTGATTTCTTGTTTTTTTTTCGGACGAAGTCTTGTTTCGTTAGCATATGTACTCGTATTATTGGTTTCAGAGCGAAAGGGCATGTCCTTCAATGTATAAGGAATTTGTTTATCAAGGTAAAATCACGTTCTGGTTGCAAATACGTTCAACACTGCGTAGAATCAGAGACGCACTCCGTATGATTACTGTGAGTAACCAAAATCGGCACGTTTGCAGCAAAGGAATGGAGCGTTTAATTTGTGATCCGCGAGGTATGGCTCTGTGACGGACTAAGAGTTCCTCTACGGATTCACAGCACCGCGAAAGACCAATAAATTTGCAAAATTTTATAATCAACATTTCCCAGTTGTGATAAAAGAACTTGATTGCTGTATTTCGCCTCTGACTTCAGTAAAGTTACGTGTTTTTTACGTTGGTTTTTTATTGTTGTGCTTCTGTGCTGTAGCATATGCTTAAAATAAAACAGGTGTAATGAGACTAATGACTAGTCTGAACAGATCGAAAAGAAGAAAAATAAAATTATCTTGTAAGAGCTCGACCATCTTGATACAGCATATTGAGCATAAGATATTAGTGCCGCTGGTCGCTTTCGGTACAGTATTGTCCTATTTGTAAGCCGGGTAGAGCGATTTCCGGTGACCTTTAGCTGATGGATTCTCTGCCCGAGTGCCTGTGAGCAATGCGCAGCGTTGTAAATTTACAGAAATTAATTTACATACAGATATACAATCCTGACCAGAAAATTATGTTTAATTACAACATCTAAACCACTAAAGGGGCGAATACAGGCAGCCTCTGAGCGTTACACACATATAAAGACAAAAAACAATAAAACTCCAAGGACATACACAGACAATTGAGGTACAGTCAAAAATCATGTACAATGGGGATCAGTAAGTAACATTCAATCGGTATACGTACTCAAAGTAGTCAACAGAACATAAGAAACCTTTGGAGACTGACCAACTAACGTATCTATATTTGTACACAGACCAACAAAACAACAGTATCAAAAAATTAACAACACGCTTCTTGATTGATAGAGTAGCAATAACTTAGTGACATAATACAGTTTCAACTTTCAGCTATGTCGAAGCCCTGAGTTGCGAAATTCCCTGAGAACGTTTACGAATGCCGGCCAAACGCAGAGTCACCGGAATGAAACGGTGTACGGGGTGAATTGCTATTCTTTGGAGTAGCATTCGGTCGGGATACAAAACTGGACCCGACGCCATTAAAAGCGCCTACGAAAAACATGTTGCATAATAATTGTGATGAAAAATATGAATTCTTACAAAAATCATCCATTAAAACAATTACAAAACGTAGTCACAAAATAAGACTAGTACGAACTACGAAGATTGATCGAAATTAATAAACTTGAATCATGGTGCAAAACAGATTACTGTAAAAGCAGACCACGAGATTAGTCCCACCACATGCTAACGTATGTCTTAATTTATACCGACAAACCTAGACTATGTAAAAAATAACTTAACCAACTGAATCGAAGGGTAACGAGGTTACAATTACGCCTGTTCGTTAACACCATACTATGCTTTTCTGAGAGTTAAAGTATTGGTTCGATTAGCCAAATCGTGACACTCTAGTGCATTTACCGACAAAAACACTCGAAAAATAATACTAGATGTTGTACTAGAAAGTACTTACTGCCAGCTCCCGGAATAAGACCCATCGGCGGTTGGAACGATTCGGGAAAGACGGTCCCGTACTGTGCGCCCCACCCCAGCATGTTCTCCGGTGAGAAGCCCACCATCAGCGGTATCGAGGTAAATGCTGAATACGGTGAGGCAATGGACCCAACGGGAAAAGTGGTAGAGTTGTAGGCTGACGAAGCACCAGCATTAGTTTTCTCGCGAGATGTTTTATTATGTCTGGAGGAAACTTTTACAATTGTGCCATGCTTTTTGCTTTCTTCGCGAGGAGCCAGAATAGCATCGGTGGAGTGTGGCAGATTTCTAGGATCTGAGCCCGAACTCGACGATCGCGCACTTTTGGCAGTCGTAGCAGATTGCCCAGCTTCCTCATGTTTTTTCACAGCCCCTCCGCTAGTACCAGAACTAACCCTAATTGTGCTTTTCCCTCCAGAGTCCAAGCTCTTCATTTCGGAAGTATGTTTCTTTGATGAACGTGGTTCCTGGTAAATCTTAGCAATTTTTGACGGTTGAACAAATTGCTTAGCCGAAGATGCAGTGGCGTCAGCACTGCCTTTGGACGGTGGGCGGGCACTAGAAGTCGATGGCGTGGAGGAGCGGCTCAGATTTTGAGCTTGGTTTGGTGTGTTCCGATCAGACTGGCTCTTTTCATTTTCGCGCCTTCGCTCGGAATCCTCTCGGGAACGCGGCCGAGGTAATGGTGTAAAAGGAGCAGGCGCATCGTTGGCACGAAGCCGATCTGGTATAAGTGAGGTAAACGAGCTTGTGTGCGCAGCGGAGGGAACTTCCTTGGAATGTCCCATTGTCTTTCTTTCATCGGATTCCTCTTTACTGTAGTGCAACTTCGGTATCGTTGTACGGTGAGAAACTGAACTAGGACGGTCGGACAATAGCGGCTTGCTATCTGGAGGCGATGCCTGTGTGGGGCGTCGAACACTTGCAGTTTTATCCGAACTTCCTATTGGTATTTCTTTCTCTTCGCTAAGAGTCTTCAGTCGATTAGATTTCGGCCTACAACATCCCAAATTACGAAATATGTTCGGCAGATTTAATCGCGAAAGGCATTTTCACCTACCGTGGCCGCAAAGCTTCCGAAAGACCGATAAAAGCTTGTGCGTAAACGCTCTGCTTTTCGACTGCTCGATCTTTCCACAGCGGTAATAATTCGATGTCAACAAAATTGCGAACATAATCCTCGTACGTCGGAAATCGCACTTTGTGCAGATCATAAACCATCGCTTTTATAATGACAGCATCCACAATCAGTTTCCTAAAAACAAAATCTGCATGAACTGAATGCGATTATATCTGATTAGCGTTTTACAAGCGAACTAACAGACGACAAACTTTTCCCATAACCACGGAAAAGATGAATCATGATTTTCTTACTTGAGATTTTTCGAGAGCGACATGTTTCCTTCCACCGCTGGTTCATCATGCACAGCTGACAAAAGAAATCAGCGTTCTGATAAACGAGTGTGCTTAAAACAATGCTTAAAATAATCAAATTCACCTCGTTCAATTCTTTTCAGGACTTCTTTTAATCTGCCTTCGACATCGTCCTGACGTAACTTTCGCGCACGCTTTGTAAGTGTTTCTTTCGTACAAGGCAGGTGCCCTGCAAGATGGGAGAACACCGCAGATCGCAAGCCACATCGGAGCTGACGACATTCATATTCCAACCTAACAATGTTTTAAAACCGATGAATTTGTAATAAATTTGGACAAAGATGGCAAAATGGATCAAGCTTACTCTAAGAGCACACTATTAATCGTTGGGTTATGCTCTGGAGTGAAGAAGTTGCATTTTCCACCTTCCCACGTTGATGCAGCCCGTTTGAGTTGAGTAATAATATCTTTCAGAGAGCCATCCACTTCGTCCGGAAGCGGCACCATAACATTGTCCGGCTCTGAACGAAAATCCCGCTCCATCTTGGCAAGCACCGCCTTTCGCATGCCAGTATCAGGATCGCGCGGTTTCAACGCAGCCGATGACGGTTCTTTCGGTTTTCGCAGATCACTTGGTTGATCAGCGGATGTTGCTGAAGAAACGATCTTAGCGGGGCGTTCTCCAATCTCTGCCTTTTCGGCTAGTATAGAAGCCACTGTACGTGAGTTGCTTTTCTTCTGAGCTCCTTCCCCCAGTGGAACGGATTTCTTCGAGACATCCATGGAAGGTCGTTTCACACGGCGGGCTATTGCTTTTCCGGTTTCTTCCTCGCTGTCGTACTCACTGGAGGATTCCTCCCGAACCTTGCGCTTAAGTGAAAGTGCATTTAACGACTTGCACGCGGACAGACATTCTTCCGTACTGATCGATTTAAACACGTGTGTATCGGCTTCAGCGGGTTTGAGCTGGCGGATGTAGAGTGGACCGGTGCTGATATAGTAACCACCATGTTGCGTGGTCCAACCCGATGGTATCATCGCTTCTGCCTAAAGACGGCCAAAAGCAGAATGAGTTACAGTTAAGAAAAAATTCCACGAAGCAGCTGTACTAAGCGTATCACGCATCATCAGCTCTCCACAATGCAGAAATCAATACGTTTACTTTTGCAATCCTATAGCAATTTAAAAGAAGAATGATCACAACAATATAATATCTCCACTGTGCGGTGCAATACATTTTACCGCTATTTTCAACGTAGTGCACGAATTGTTACAAAAGGTGCTTTAGTGAACCCAAGGTAATGAATGTGGAAATTGCCAATGTAGTTTGCGACAGCAAAACAACTCTGCCAAGAAACCCATTACAAAGATGCATGTAACATCCAATTGTAAATACAATCGCCTAAAACTCTGAGTGCACTAAAAGTACATAAGTGAGAAGAAACAAAAAATCAAAATCTGGATATCGGAAGTTCTTACACTTTCTGAATCGTCGACGAAAGGATCATTCTGATCGTAACCAGCTCCAAGCTCTCGAAGATCTCGCGGGCCAGATGGACCCTAAGCAGCATAAGCATTTACAGACATCCGATAAAACCTAATTTCTTCGTGCAATCCAACTCACATATTTTTCTTCAAAATGCTTGGCTAATTTCGCGAGCTTAGCTTCCTCCTGCTGGTCACCAAACGGATCGTCCGACGAATTGTCCTTGGTATCCTGTACAACAAACATGCACTGATTGTCGAGACGTAATGTCGCTTACTCCCAAAAAAATTCACTGAATTCCTAAACCAAACATCCGTCGATGTCATTAGCCCAGCCTCTGACACTCTGTTGCTTACCTCTGCCGCTTTACCAGCTTCAAGGAGTTTCGCGAAATCATAGAACGGGCACAGTTCTTCAGTTGGTTCTTCAACATCAATGAAAACGCACTTGAATGTAGTATCCTTTTCCGCGGCTTCGTGTTTGCTAGCTTCGCGATTCGGTGGTTTCTTATCGGAGTTCAGAGCAGTTGAAATCAACGACACACGCCGCGGTTCTGCCATTTGTATCAAGATCGACCAGCAACAGAAGAAATGACAGGCAGGATACTAGATAAAATGAGATGGGCCTGAACGGATGGCCCTGAAGGCTAAACAGTGAACATAGTGCTGCAAGTTGCAACTTAAGTGAAACTGCAGCTCCAGATGTCGATAACTTTCAGTCAAGTGTAGTTCAGCGGCGGACATGGCAGTCCCTTTGTGCAGTCGTAAAGGAATGGTCATTTAAGGATGATCCACATTTAACCATAACAATAAAACCATACTTCGCAGGCATAACCATTTCTAAAGATGTTGACGAGCATTCAGATGCGTGTGTCAAACTATCCAGTTTCGATCCGGAGATCCGCCATGCACTTCACTCTTCAAATTGTATTCCACACAAAGAATTCTTTAAATTTGCCATGCGGTTGTTGGCGTATGCATTTACACTTCTAAATTATTATTAAATTACACTTTTCTCGTGCTAAACTTTGCAAGAAAAATTAAACACAAAAAGTGTGGCCACTGGCTCAACTTTAAACTTTAAAGGAGGTGCTGCGCCGAAGTCATTCAAAATGGTAACCGCCTCCTTAGAGGTCGAGACTGAGCGTACCGCGAACGTACCGAAAGTACTCGTACCCAAATAGTGAAACAAAAACGAATCGATCGATTTATATTTCCGAAACCGTTGTTTCAAACCTTGAGAATATTCTGGAATTTTCGTGTTTATTGATTTTACCGGTTTTAATTCGCATTGTGAAAACCGCTGCAGTTTCGTCTGATCTGTTAATATTTTTTGCATATCGCCATCCGCTATTGTGTGCCGTCTTGGAACATTCCTTGCGTGTGGCGCGATGAACGGTCAAATTCTCATCAATCCATCCCTCCAGCCTTATGGATACGGCTGCAGTAGTCTTCAGGTCGACGGATTGGCGGAGAAAACCGAACCAGCCGACCTGTTCAAAGAGTTCAACCCTATTGCTCCGGTTCTCGAAGTCAAAATATTTCGCGCTCCACCTGTAGCCTTCACAATTTCACAGCGTTATGCGCTTGTTACGTTTGCGTGTCCCGCCGACGTCCAAAAAGTGCTCGCCGTGTTCGCATTCCGGCCATTGTACTTGCATGGGCGGCATTTAAAAGTTCGGCAGATTCTAAAAACTCCATTGTCCCACATCAATCAATCCACGCGACCTACACTGTCCTTGCCTTATTATGTGCAGCCACTGCATACCATGCTCCACCCTTTTTCGGGAAATGTTGCAGCAGCGGGGATTGTGCCTCTATGCGCTGGTGTGCCTGGATTACCATATGGACAACTGGTGAATGGACGGGTGCAGCCAGCAGCCGCTCCGGCTAAGCCAGTTCAATTCCTTCGGGCCTACTCAGAAATGGACAACTACCGCGCTAAAATTTACAACGCGCTGGTCAACGGAGTGTTGTTACACGGTTCTCTGACAAGCCTGGAAGCCGAGCAGCAGTTTTTTAACGATTACGATCCCTTAATGCTCAATGAAGCCCTGGAGAAGGCTGGCTACGGGACTCTGACCGACTTCGTGCAAGCCCATCCCAATGATCTCGTTTTCAAGAAAACCTCCTTCGGCATTGTGCTGCTACCTGGTCCGTCTCCATCCGAATTGGCCGTGCAGAATGTGGAGCGCATTCGGGCTGCCCAGCAGCATGCCAAGCCGGATCCGTTTAATTCTGACAACGGAATAATGTCGCGATCTGTCCAGCAGCGACTGCAGCAGAATGGGCATTGTGTTTCCAGTGGCACGGTTGGGCAAAAATGTTCGAATAGTGCAAATGGTAGTCCGATGAAAAACAATACATCGCCGGTGCGGAAATGCCAAACAGATACTGCCGAAACGGCGACCGGGACAGCGGAACAGATTACGATTCCCCACGGGCCACACTCATCACCGAAGGATTTGGAAGTAATCAGTGAATTCCGGAAAAAGATGAACGCGCTGCTCGAACCTTTGTCGTGCAATGTGCCGACTGATACACGATCTGCCAGCCCCCTCGCGGAAAATTTGATTGATTGGGGCTATGGTGATGAGGACGCAAGGGATGATTTTTTTGCTAATGTCCAGCATGATCCAGATGTCCAAAATGAGAACGATATTGCTTCGGAAGAGAGTGAAAAATACACGGACATTTCTCGCAGCTTTTGCGTTAATGGTTCAGAAAACGATTTAACCTCGCTCGAAGATAAAGAGAAATTTTCACTGGATGTCTCGTTAGCGTATTCCGCCATCAGGTATGCACATACATAGTAGTGATTCTAATGACCGATGTATGTATGCAGTAAACAGGAACAAAAAACCGGACATTAAATATTATCAGTAAAATGCTGAAACAAGGATTTCATGATAGATAATAAATGTTGTAGCTCGGTCTTCTCTGATCAGTTGGAAGGCGACGGTATGGATGGCAAAGCTTGCGACGACCCCGTGCTGACCATCCTGGGGATACTGAAAATAATCTGATTCAAAGCCAACCATGCTCCAACTTCGAACTGCTGTCAGGATTATCCTTAGAAAACGGCGGATATTTTAGCGATCAGTGTGAACCACTCGAACCGGTTTCAAAATGGTCAGAAGAACATTTAGTCTCTAAAGATTCCATTGACTTGGAGCTGACAGAGGCTTCGGACATCGATAAAGAGAATGTCGTCATTCAAGAAAAGAGCAGCGAAAACGATATTGGGAATTGTAATCGAACAGGAAACGTTTGGCGAGATCGATTTTGCCATTATTATAATCGACGAGGTCTTGTGGAGTCGCGTAACAGGAACTTTCTCATCATCACATCTCTTTTTAAGGGAAATTTTGTAAATTAGTTTTTTGTATTTCCCTCCGTTAATCTTTCCGTTACTTTAGGTGGGTACAGTAACTTGCTTTTCATCCTGTCTGCCACCGCTTTTATGAGGGGAGGTTAGTCTCAAGTTACATGACATAGAGATCGTTGTAAAAAATCATTATTCATTTGTAAAGTAACTTCGAACATCTTTCTGGATTTTCCTGACTTTGTTTTTTTCAGGCAACTGTTTGGGATTAAAAGCCTATAAACGTTTTGACTGGAATTTTTACTAATGCAAAGAAACTAAAAAGTAACCAGTGTGTTGGTTATTTTCAGTGCTTGAAGTTTTGTTTCTTGTTCGGCAACTTCGGTAGCTAAAATGCACTCATCTGAAAACTTTATACCCCAATACTATCCAAGCAAGTTAAAACAAAGTTTTAACACCATATCTTTCAGAAAGCAATAGCAGACATCCATCAGTTAGCCTTCGTGACACCCAAAGAATAAAGAAAACGGAGGTGTAAATAAATACAGCGAAAAAACTCTAAAAAGGCCTCATATTTCTGAGAAGGCACATATTTTGAAATCACGGAAATTTGGGAAGCCCAGAAGGGTAAGCAAAATGCAATACGAAAAACCGAATGAGCTGGAGAAGCTACCTCTAGTGACTACAAGTACGCCATCACAGAACACCGGGGAAACTTAATTATTCGAAACGGAAACAAATACATAAAAGATTCTTGCATTGCTGCGCTGAGTGAGGAAAAGCACATCCAAGGAGCAGCCGGCTTAATGATCAATCTTCTTGTGATGCACAGAGAGGGACAAATTGGAGAAAACCTTCTTGATGGCGGTCGAACGTTTAGGAGCTCTGGTTTCCTGATCGCTTTCTGTTGCTCGCCCATTATCGTTCTCCCAAGAGGCGGAAAACAAAACATCGCTACTAACATCTGGAAGTTTACGAAGCGATCCCTGCCTCATTTCTTCATTGAGACGCGGCACTCGAGCTTTGGAGGCGACAGATGCTTCGCTGTAAGTATCGGCTCCCACATCGTTCCCGCGACTAAACTCTTTAATACCGTACACAGGAGCAACGGGACCAATGTGCGTTTTCCGGACACTCTCAGCATAAACTGAACCAACATCTTGGGAGTAAACGGATGCATCGTCTGAATTGTGCTCATCAGAAAGCTGCCGACTGTTATGTGCAACAGGATGACGCTGAAATGCTCGTGACATCACCGGACTTCCACTCCGTTCACTGCGGACTGACCCACGTGCAAAGGTATTGCGGTCTTCTGCGTCAAACGAATCGCGCCTCGCAAAGCTCTTTTCGCGTTCACGCTTATGGGCATCTGCACCGGTAGATACAATGTGGAAACCAGTGAGCGCTTCAATGCGACCCCAACGTGACTGGCGATCTTGAATATCGGAAGCCAGATCACCCAAGGCAGTTCTGCAGAAACACTCCATAAAATGAGGCACCATCAGTGTATCATTTTAACTTAACAAAACCACGTACTTTGCTGCGACCAACTGGTCATCCACATTATTCAACTGTGACCCATGCGTGACTCGGAACGCTCCCAAGACGCTCTGCTGCTTCTTGTGGAGCTTCTCGCACTGTAATAAATTCGTCGATTAATTCAACAATACACAGCACGGAGTTTTAGACTTATCACACCTCTTCTTTCGCAGCCAAAAGTTGTCGTTCGGCAGCAGCTCGTTTTCCTTTGAAATACTGTAGCTCAACCGAATAAGTTTTCTGCAGGACAAGCTCCAGATCTACCGGCGCATACCACTGCGTAGCTTGAACACGATGCTCCGCTCTTTCCAAAGCTTCTCGCAAAAGGGTGTTTTCCTGTTCTAGTTCATGTAGTCGTTCCCGTTCAGCCGGGGCAAGGGATAAGGCATCGTCTTCGTTGGATCCCAAAGCCGAGCCTTCGGTGCTAAAACACACCCCCAATAAAAGCTGATAAACCTGTTAAACTGGCTAGACTGAGTTCATGTGTTAAGACTTAATAAATTTTAACTTACCGTAATTTGATTTATGACATGACACAACTGAGCAGTTAACTATAACAACGAAATGAATTCCAGTACGTTAGTTATCATCTTTGTAATATGCGTTAGTGCTATAAGGATTTTTAACAAGTTTCTTTCAAAATGCGTTGATTATACAGATTCATGAGAACTAATGGCATGATCAAACTAGCGCGCAAAATGAAAAAGGCGCAGTTATTACTTTAATGAGCGCATTTCGCTATAGAGTACATACTAACCCCCTATAGAGAAATTACTGTCTTAAAAAGAAATTATTTATGAAGCGTGCCAGGATAAGTGACAGGAACCTGCATTAAGCCCTTGTAAACAATTCGATGCAAGAATCGTAAACCGGTTTGTTAGATAACATTTCCCCCCAAACTCACCTTTGCATTTCCGCAAGGTCTTTCTCTAAGGCCTTAATGCGCTCCAGATCAGCAGCCATGTGACGCATCTGAGCTTCGTACTTTTTCCGCTGGGAATAAGCAACCCATATCCCGCAAGATGCGATTATTAGGGACGAAAAAAATATCCATTCTTTGTATGCACTTAAAGGATCCCGGGCTAAAAAGACAGAAATACACACCTCTGTAAAAAATTAATGAGCTGGGTTTGCAAAATCATTCATACCTCTGGGAGATCCAAAAAGAACGGCATCTGTTGCTTTAAGAGATACTTTTCGTTTGTGGATTGGATCACGAACACCCAGGGTAGACGTCAAATATTCCGGCTGGTTAGAAGCAAGTCTGAATTCCCAAACAAAGCCATTAGCTGATAAGCTAATGTAAATGTCGACCGTATTCCGCAATTTACGGCACTTTTAAAGGCACCGAAAGTAAATAAAACTTAGAACAGTTACTGTAGGCACTCCGATAAGACTATATTAAACATTATGATACGCTAAAGCGTGTACACGTTATCTTTTATTTGCATAATACTACTTCGGCCTTCCGTCTACACTCTAAACCGAAAACGGAAAGGAAATGGGCCCGGCACCGCCAAAGTTAGAATATGCCATCATATACCAGCAGTCACGTAAAATTCACTTTAAACTCGAAATGAAAAAGTAAGGCAAACAACCGACGTATTTCACGAACGAATTCGAGCGAAATAACAGTTTACTGTAGATTTTAACAACAAAAGCTAATAAAATTTTGTATAAATCATTAAATACATCATACATGTGATTGATGTGAATTAAACAAAACGAGTGATTGCTAGTAAGTAGTAGCAATTTCTGATAGGTACAGATACGTACACGAATACTGTATCACTGCATACAGCAACAACTACTACCCTAGTAGCATCTCAAGATCGTACCGAGGGAGCAAAGTGCCATTGACATTTTGACGACGAAAATGATCTGAATACTGTGGCAGTTCTACGTGGTTTACTAGCCACAAAACGACTTCGTCAACAGTCCAGTTGTGCACTTCCGACATACTCCATGACTTCCACAACTCATCAACAGTAATCTGAGGATCATCTTTATGTAAGGCGGATACGCGATCGCTAGTTTTCCCTTTGATATTCAGCTCATCGTTCAGGAACTGTTTAAACACACAAATGTACATTAAGTTTTATTAAAGGATTGCGTATTAATGTTGAGTCGGATGTTCACCGACCACCGATGTGAAATCGCTTGACATCTCATAACAGGTAAGCAACAAGTTATCAATGCACCGTATCGTTAGCAATCAATCTTTATTCATGGTTACTAATGGTAAGTTATAAATTATCAGTTCAGTAAGTACTGCCAGGGACGTACAAGTATCTATATGACCCTGTTACTGCCGTCCAGATCCCTGATTTTAGTGACAAAGCATCTTGCAAGTTGCAACCAGCAACCAAGACGATTTTCTGTACATGTATATGGAGACTTGGACCCGCGTACCTCATCTGATTCTTTAACATCAATATAGCCGCTGAGATCTTCGTCAAGCAACTGGTGCAGATAAGCAATGGACTCGTATTCGCTTCGCTTCTCTGTGTCTGGCGCAGGAGTTCCATTAGCGCCGTCGTTAGGTTTTGCATCAGATCCTGTTGAAAAAAACTGATTCTTCCTCATCGATTCAAAACTCGCGGTGAAGTGAATTACAGAGCCAACATTTTACCCGAAACAATATAAAGCATCAGGAATAGTAGAACCGGATAAAATATCTTCCTAAAACATGACGTGGCGGCCATTGATAATATTCAAAGCTCGCCTTCCGGCGCTCACATCGATCCAAGAGCTAACGAAAGCCACAATTATCACATGATCATAGGCGCGTATTTACAATTTGCTTCTTTACAACAGATTATAACTAGGACTGGGGTAAATTCTTGAGGTGGATTCGGGAATAAAAAGTACAGTGTACCTATCTCCTGACAATTTAAAAATAATAAAATCGAGAAGTACTAGTGACGCTTCGCGGAGGCTATGGCATAGCCATAGTCGAGAAGAAAATACTGATCATTCGCTGGTGAAGCCGCAGGCCTTGAGACAAGCCCGTGGTGCAACACAGCCCTCACAGGTTTGCGACAGCTGACAGGAAAGTTTAATAATCATTAATTATTGTTATCATTGATTGTTCGTTAAAAATTTATAAAAAATATCCTTTTTCAATGATATTTGTTTAGTTAATTACATAAAGGACTTTTTTTATTTTCCTGCATATTTTATTACATAAAGAAAGCTATAAATTTGAACTTTTTCAGTCCGTAGACGTGCACTATTTCTGAACTGCTCTTACTTCCGCCTTTTCAATGTATTGTACTCTGTACTGACTGTACAGTACCTATATTCTTAAAGCGTTTTACTTCGTCATTTACAATGTTTCTTTAGTAGGCATCCAAACCTATGATTAATCCCGAAAGCTTTAACAACTAAGATTCAACTCATACAAAGAATAAAAATTATACAGAAAATATCAAAGTTGAGTTCTGTTCTTCAAAGTGATCGACACCAGGAATGACTCTCTTAATAAAATTTCAAGACACGAAACGAGCAATTATTCCACCGAAAAATCAATTTCCCAGATTCCAAATATGTAACATAAACGCATGCGTGCGATGTCGGAAGCCATCTGCAGCCAGCTAAACACCGGAATGAGTTTCGAGCCTGTACATACGACGCAATAATTAAAATTATCCGGTAAAGTTCGAGGGGAAACTACAAGTACTTGAACAACAAATAACAAACCTTCCATTTCCCTCCAGTTGACAGCAACTTCGTTTACTTTTATGCCAAATCTTTCAGCAATGTATAGCAGTTCGACATCGAAAGCCCTTAAACATCGAAACATACAATCATATTAAGCTTCTTAAACATGTTTCGGTGTTACAGCTTTTTAAGTTGAGGAAGAATCCGAAGAAAGAAGTACGGTATTCTGCTCACCATCGGTCAACATGAAGATTCTGAAAGCATTTCGAAGCCGCACCGCGTGTGAATAATTTGAATCCGCACTGGGTATCTTTTAATCCCTTCACTCCCGCAACGTACACAAATGCCTTAAATCCCCACATAAGAAGATTCCGGAAAAATGATCTCTGAGGGACAAACACGTTATTTTAAATTTCTGTTAACCGAAGCCTGTTTCCATAACAGTAAAACGGCTATCACGCAAAATTTCCTAATAGAGTTTACTTCCGCGACAGCTCGCTGCTCCAAATGCGCCCTAGATCCTATCGCTATCACGTCTCCAGAATGGGCTTTCATAGATTTCTTCAAATGGTCGAGATCGGAGAATTTCGTAGCGCCATCGGCATCCGCCATCAAAATGTGCCGTCCACGTGCCGATAAAACTCCCTGCACAATCATCACAACTTGCAGCAATTCCAAATTTAAATTCACCGAACTCACAAGCCGCAAAATTATTATTACCATTTAACTGATGATAACTCAGAACCCAACATCGTTAACAAAGCTTTTTAAAAGTACCAGTTTAATGGCGCCACCTTTTCCGCGATTTTTTTCCAATGTGAGCACGCGCACTTTGTCCGTAGAAAATTTTTCCGCGTACTCCAGAGCCACCTAAAACCGAACAATTTTGATTACTGATTAGTATAGACAAAAATTGAAAACAGCTTGTTATAGCCGTATTAGCATGATAAGATTACAACGACGTTTAATATGGACGTGGCTAAATTATGGTTTCCTTTCGCTTTGTGCAATTATGTCCAAACGCTTAGGCACGGCTATACAAGAAAAACTTGCAATCGTATCGCTTTGCTCACCTTGGACGTTTCATCGCCGCTGCCGTCATCTACCACAATAATTTCATAGGTAAACTGCGCGTCCGTCCTGCGGTGTTCCAGGAATTCCAAACATTCATCCAGCATACTGGGTACTACAATTCAAATGCAGTTGTAGCTTGTGAATCGCATCACTGCAGTGACAAATTCACACTGCACGGATCTATCCAGCTGTGCGCTGCTTCGACTTGCATCGGCTGGTTTCTTTATACGCTGGTATCACGACCGTCAACTGCACCGATGGCGGATCCAGCAAAGAAGGGAATTCCAAGTTTCGCTTCGTTGTCGGGTCGAAGTAGAAGCACTCAGACTGATATCGCTCAGTGTAGGCTTTAGCGGACGGTGTCCGTTTTTTGAAATAAAACAGAAGTCCCTGCAAAGGACAGAACCAATTTTCCCTGACTGCCATTGCACTACTAAACTCCGGCACGGCACTGCTGTCAACTCAGTGTCAAGTGTCAACTTGCAGGATGAACATAAGTTGTGCTTTGTTTTCCCTAGGGACAGCATTTTTTGCAACCACTCAATCTTACTGCAAACGCCATGATGCCCAGAAAAATCGTCCATGCAACAAGTTCCAAGAAAGAATGTGGATACAGCGAGGACACCATTGTGTTGTACTGTTGCTCGTTTGGTCAACAACCTGTAAACTTAATCAGAGGATTTAATTCAGCAAAAACGATGAAAACCAGCGCAGTTGCAACTGCTGCTTCTGGATATGTGGGATTTTTTCACGATAAATGACAGGTGCAGCAAACGTTAAACAACATTAACCTCTAATGGTAAGTACTTAGAACCTAAGGTTAAAAACAACATTTCTTACAAGCAACATGCAACAAAGTTACAAATGCGAGCAGCGCAATCGAAGTTGCGAATGACGACGTGGAATTGTCGCATCGATTTTGCTATGTTGTCTGTGTTGTGGAGTATTCGCAAGGTGGGTATTCGTTTTGTGCTGTTAAAGGCGGTACTTGCTATGTAGACTATAATGTAGTATGTACCGTGTACGGTACGTACTACGGAGTAGTAAAACGCTATTAAAGTTGATGTTTTACTTTTTATACTTATGATTTTAAAATCTTATTTCTGATAAAAATCGAAGTTGTGCGATCCTCACTCCACAACATTCTATTTAATACATAACACACTGGTCATGGTCACCGGCCACTGCCCAGTTCAAGTCAGTAGATTAAAGACTATCGTGGCCAGGACCGTTGTGGCTTATGTCTTCCTTTTGCAGGAATGGAAACTCAACCGATCTCAAGTGCAAAAAACAATTCCAATTAGAATAACGGAATTTTTCAAGATTGATCCAATACACAGAAAAAACAATTGAATCGGTTTTATAAAATTTAATCGAATAATCCGTGACCATCGCCCAGATTCGCCCTCATTATCGTTTAGTAGTAACATCATAACTTTACGATGCCTTTATCAGAACTGGTACGAGTTTTTCTGTAGCGTGTAATGAACTAACCTAAGAAACGTTAGACCAACCCAAAATGGATCCATCACCTGCCCCGCTGCCATAACCATAACACAAATAACATTTTCCAATTTTAAAGCAACATCATTAATACAGTGAAGATAAGTCAATAACCCATTTTGCAAATCGCCACAAACCACACATTCCTGAACAGTCTACAGCCTAGCACAAGCATTCGTAACGCTAAACACAAACTACATGGGCAAATGCGACATTAATAATTTAAACAACTATTCTCAAAAGAAATAAAACTGCCCAACATACCATATAATTATAGCAACGGGTTTAACCGTGCTCTATGAATTAAGCACAGTATGTTGCAGGATATTTCAAGGGTTTTATCCTTTTGAAGGGTACAATACAATTAAATCTTTTCCGCATCAATCAGCGGTGGATGAGGCGGCATCTGCAATGCAGCCGCTGGTGTGACACCGTCACCAGCCATATTATCAGAAAACGGAGTGTGGCTGTTAGTGCTGTTATCCGGACGATGATCGGAAGGTGCTTGCGCGATCGGTGGGTTCAAGTCCAGAGGGGGATCATCTTCCGTCGAGGCCGTCTGCTCAGCCGCGGTCCCTTGTAGCGTATTTTCAGGGGGATGGGGAGATGTCGGGCTGCCTTCACTGACAGCCGTCTGCTGCTTTGCCCGGAAGAGACTCATAATTGTCGAAGTGGCCGCTCGTCCTGGCTCCTGTCGTAATTCTTCTGAGGGGCGCAACTCTTTCCACGTTCTTTCGATTACATTGCGCCTGAAAAACATGTCTATAATTTCACTGTTGGGCTTCTTCACTTTCTTGCAACTAAAATAGGGAGGACTTACTTGGCACTAATACATGTCCCCGGAGGAAATGTCACGCCGTTCTTTTCCAGGACCTGATGGACCATGTGCGTTAGGGTAGTCACGTCAAGCTCTGGATGTTGACCTGGTGTTTGTTGGTCCTTCTGCAGAATATCTATTCAAAAAAGACGAATGCAATTGCACTGAGTTCGATATCCGATGAAAAACAGCCGACTTACCTTTAACAGCTGATTCAATAGATCGCTCAATTGATTCCTCATTCTGGCGGGCCTCTTCGGAGAGACGTGGAGCACCAGGAAGCACAATAAGAATAACGCTGATATTATCCCGAGATCCCTAAAATTAAAAGAATACCATAATGACAGGAAGCTAGCTCTTAAACAATCAATAACGCAAACAAAGCCAGTAAACGACAAATTTAACATACCTTATTTAAGCAGTTGTCCACAAGACCCTCACAAATCTTTTCAAGATCATCCGTAACAGTTAGCTGATAACGCACAAACTGACTAACTTCCTCGTTATTCATTACGTCCCACACCCCATCACAGGCCAAGAGGACAAACTCATCCTGAGGACCCCGACCCCAATCCGAGATTTCCGGTTCGGGACTGATTAACTGTTCAAAGGGTCCAAGACCCGGTACGCGTTTATATTCAAAATCGCCAAGGGCTCGCGATACCGCCAGCGATCCATTGACACGCTGAATCATTACCGAACCTCCGGCATTGTGAATGCGCTCCTTCTCCACAGGATTGACAGGTTTATGATCGTATGTCGCGAGGGTTACGGTTTCCTTGGACACTATGATGCCTCGACTATCTCCGCAGTTAGCCAAATAGATGACGTCAGGAGTGACCAAGCAACAGATCGCTGTGGATCCGGAACGATCTTCTCCAGCCAACACTTCCGGGAGCTTTCGCATGACCTCATCGAGCTACACGAACGCAGGCACCAAATTATATAAACAAATTATATAAACTTCTCTGGACACCTTAAACCAACAGCATATTGCTCACGCACGTTTAGAAATCCACGGACTAGCCCGCGCTTAATGAAATCGCGCTTCTTCTCAGGAGAGAGATTCTCATCCTTAAGCTGATTGAATTCCTCGGTGTCCGTTACGTAACGCACCAAGTGCTCCGAGCAGTACTTGCTGACTTTTCCTCCAGCATGTCCATCAAACACACCAAAAAAAGACCAAGAATCAAAAGGCGGACCCAGCGCCGTCAAAGCGGTATGGGCATCCTCCATGTCAATTCGCCATCCTTGCATAGAACACAGTGCAAAACGAACGCCGTTCCCGCTTCCGGATTCATAGTGCTTGTCAGTTTTTGGTTTGTCCAAAAAGGCGCCCATTTCGATCCACTATCTCAGAATCTAGAAAAATAATGCCAATGAATAGCCTTGTGACTGCCTGTTCATAAAATACAAATACCACCAAGAGCTTCTGCAGCAGCGAAAAGAAAATATAAGATTTTACAATTAACAAGTCAAAAAGCTGTGCACAAACTTCCAGTGGCGGTAAAATGTCTTTACGGTGCTTGTGAACGCACGGCAAAACAGCATCATTCGTAAACCCTAATCAGCGAACCCGTTAGCTTCGAAAATAATTACGAATGATCCCAAATTTCCAAACAACTAACACCAATTAGAGCCGACAAAACAAACTCCATAGAAGTATTCGTATGTAGCACATTCACCAATTTGACTCGGAGAAGTCAGCAAGCATGAAACACTATTCACAATTCATACTCACAATAATACGCTTTACTGTGTTTACTTAGTAGAATGACACTGTAAACACTAACGGAAGACTGGAGGCCTCTCAAAGAGTCAAGACCCAAAAACATGCAACGGGAAATATGCAGCGTTCCAATTTCTTCGCATCATTACGGACATTACCATTCGAATGCGAACCAAGCGATTCCCAGATCTTACTTTTTATACAGGATAAGCCTTCGAAGTAGAAGCCCTTCAGCAACGCACCTGCGAAAGAAAATAATGCCGTTAATTGATTATAAATCTCACACGCTTTCACCCTTCCAGCTGCCAATGGTATCCATGGCACAATAAGTTTTCATGGAAGACAGAAAGCCCTGACAGTCCAGTCCGCATACTGTGAGATTTGGGCACACAACCGTGCTCTTATTACGCATGCACGGCGTCCAGCACCGCCAGCTAATAAGTAGAAATTTTAATCGTAATATTATGTAAAATTAATAAGACGGTGCTTACAGCTGATATTATAACTTGTAATAATATAGTTATTATTATAGTATATCAACACAATGTCATTTCGAAAAATCCAACAGCAAGTTTCGAAGCATCTTCATGTCTACAGTACGCTATGCAACCAACAATTCATGTCAAGTAACTACTGGAACAAAAATTTCAGTGAAATATCAATTGCTGTCCAGAGCACCCAGCTGATCCCATATAGGACACTCACGACGTACCTTAATTTGATAACAGCAGTTCGTGCACCGGCGCACACCATATAATCCCCGTAGTTCCCGTTAATTCACCGAGGCCATCAACTGATTCTAATGCACCACAAGCGAATTTTGCGATTATTGCTACTCCCACAGACGGAAACAATTTACTGTTTACGCTCCTGTTTTCTCGATACGTGCTAAGGCTCAGGCCATAAATTAAGTACTCAAAATATGACGAGATTGATCCTAAAACTTCAGAGAAACGCTGAAGTACTGTATAGTCACATAGTGGTAAAGGCTAACCGACAATTCGCGAACAACCAGTTGCAGGCTTCTGGTTTTAGGGACATGAAGTTACTGCTACTGTCGAAGGCTCGCAGCGAAGATTTCAGAAATCGAAAAAGGTAAAGTATGGTAATTAATCTAACAAGATTACAAGAAGTAACTGGAGTACTGATCGTAGCACACGAGCATGGAACGGAAAACAAGCACAGTGGTGGTGAATAACGCCAGTAGTCAGTCAGTACTCGGGCTGTTATAACCTCATGTGCTGATATTGAAGTCGAAAAGAAAGTTCAATACTGTACAGTACATAATTCGCATCGAATCCAAGAGGATTCTTGGTAATAAATGTCATATACTATGTAGTCGAATTAATTTAATTATCATATATCAAATTATTTATCAGTGAACTAACATGAAATATTAATTAATCGTAAACAGATACGAAATAACCGAGAATCATAAACTACGGTAAAATTAATAAAATGATAAATTACAGTAAAATAATGTGTTTTGATGTTTTCTGTTTGTTTCATTTTTCACGGTACTGACATTACAGGCGCTCGCGTAAGCCCTTGACACAGGAAAGCAGCAACCTCCCGCTGTACGCAAGGAAAGTAAATGTAAATCAGTACTTACGAAAAACCGCTGGTCTCCTAGCCCGTTCCGACTTGAAATTTATGAATTTCAAAAAGAAATAATTTTCAGTTTGATAAAATTATTTTAATATAATATAGACGTTATTTTTATTTTCAGTATTACAAATCTTGTTGTTACAATTTTTTATCACATTTACTCTGATATTTTATCCAAGTTTCCCAAATTACACTTCGTACCTTTGCTGCAGTTGACTACCTTGGGCTCCTACCGCCGCTCCGGTGACACTGTAGAAAAAGGCACTTCAATCTTAATGCGGATCTGGTTGTTCTACTTATTAATTATTATGATTTATAACTGGTAACTTACCATTTAATAGTCACCGTCGCACCGATGATTAGTGATTAGTGACAGTCTTACTATAACTCGGGGTACTCGGGATCCTTCGGGTAATTGTGCTTTTCTATTTACCCCGCTATAACTAACGAGTACTTAACTAGGCTGCTGGCGCCCTTAGCTAATTGAACTTCCGACGGGGTTTGTTAATTTTTTATGGCATTCCTTGACGATCAAGTTTGGCTGTTATCCTTCATACGCAACCAGTTCATCATAAGCGATGATACTAGTATGTGCGAGAATCTTTTGGGCCCGGAATACGGCGGAGATGGCCCGGAACTCGGATCGTTTAGCTTTTTTAGCCCTCCCCAAAGTACCACCCGTGAAGATGGAGACGTATTCCCTTCGCGACCGCGTGGAGCATCGTCGCCGGATATTGCCATGAACATGGATACACGGATGACGAGAAGGCGATCAAACACCACTGTACGTTTGGAAAAGATTCGCAAAGAGCGTGAAGAAAAAAGCCGTATAAAGATCACGCACTGGAAATCAACGCGAAGTTTGAGGGGCCCTTCGTCCCTCTCGGAGCAGAATTTAAGTGATATTTTCTCTGAAGCGGATATTGTGCCCAGGCCAGCTCAGAAATTCCATTCGGCTTTAAGCTTGGAATTGGATAAATCAGACGGAAAAATAGTTCAGGTGATTGCTGGTAATTTGTCAGTAGTTTTCAATTTTTTGTATAATTAATCTTACCTGGTACAATTGTGGTTTTATTTGTTTCGAAATTTTTTTTACACTAGTGTTTCAGATAAAAATAACGAAAGCTATTACGTAATACTTTAATTCTTTGCTAATCCTAAGAAAATAAACATGAATTTTGCGCCTTATTTGTTTCAGGAAGCATACGAGTAGTAATTTAAAAACGGCTGATTTGCGTTTGATGCATATTTCTAACGTGAGGTCTACTTTAGAACAGGGCTTGCTTGCGTTTACTTAAGTTTATCTTTTGCAAGGACTTTAGAATAATTGCTATTACCAGGATGATTGTAATCGTCAGTTTTTGTGTGCAGAATCCTTTCTTGGAATATGCCAGATTTGATGGACGAATGCAACGCGGCACGGCGGCAAAAACCTTCAAGATATTTTTTTATTTAGCCGGTAGCGATGCAGCGGCTGCTGCACCTGTGGTGGCTCCCATGAATGTCACGGTTCTGCTGACGGCCAGGCATTTGGATCTGATGGGTCTTATTTGCTGGCAGTACCGAGAAGAAAATCGACAGCCTCCTATGATGAAATCGCTTGACTTTTACCAGCTGTACTGGGCGGAAGACAATGGCATGATTGACCGTGACTTTACGGCCATTGACGTAACAGATCCTGTTTCCCGGTCGCATGATAATAAAATCGGTTTTGTGGAATGCTCGGAGCCGATTCAGCGGGAAAACGCGACAGTGGTAGTGAAAGTCAATCTGGTAGAAGGCGGCTTTTCAAAAATAGAAGTCGGTGGTACGGATATCACTCTGCGCACGATTTTGGAAAAGGTGTTGAAAAAGCGAAAAATGAAGCCGGTTGTGCGCGGGTTGGAATATACCTTAGAAAAAGAAGATAACCCAGGCGTTCCATTAAATTTGGATCATACAATCGATAACGTAAAGACCACTGACTTTTGGCTGGTACGCTTGAACAGGTAAGTCGGTAACGGTATTTTCATTTCCTACCACGGTTGGAACGCCGTCTGATACTATTGTTTATCGTTTCTTGTTTCCCATTGTTAGCAAGAATCCGGCATCGTCCGTGCGCAGATCAAGCTATTGAATCCATTTTTGACGTTGTGATAACTGGATTTCCATTCAGCTCCTTGATATTTGCATGGCAGGCTTGTACGTGAACATTTCTTTGACAAATGTATGGTGCTATTGTCCGGTAGATTTATTGTTTTTGGTCTTTCATGTTCTTGTTAATTGTGATTTTAATTTAAACCAAGTGAATGCTGTAGTAATAAACCCATAAAGAATTTTTTAACTTATCACTCACCTAGCGTTTCTGTTCAATATGAGTTGTTTGGCTTTTATCTGCCTTTTAACAGTTCAACTTCTGGTTATGAATTAAAGTTAACATTTCGCGATGAGCCAAACGAAAATGGTTGGTTGGCTTTATCTGCTTAAAGACTGCTTTTGTCATTTGTAAACACATTTTGCAGGCTTTGCGTCGTAGTACTCGTACATTTTTAATGTGAACTCGAAGCAGTAGGGTAGTGCCGTGCTTGTCGCTCAGTCGCTGTAGCCATTACAAAATAAAAATCGACATAAATTTACGAGATCGGGATGCCAATTAAATCATTGTAGTGCTTCTTTTGCTATTACAAATCTCTAAGTTTTACAACATCGTCACGCGGGAAGTTTGGGTTTTGAAAAGCAATATCAACAGGATAAATTGTCCTTATTACATTACATTAACTACGTCTATTCCAGTAGCAAAGTGCTGAAATTTTATTTCACTTGGCGGATTCATTTGAAAAATTGAAAAAGACCGGTTTAACTAGGTAAGCAGAATTTTTGATGATTAGTCGTTCTGCCAAGTGCCAACCCCCCTGACCGGGCTTTATACTGAGCGTGAGCTCTGTGGAGAAGTGGCCAGGGGCTTCTTACGATTTAGTTCTTATATTTATTGTGATTTGTGACTCATTTGTCATTTATTAATCTTACCGCTTACGTTTCTGGATTATGGTATCTTAGCCCTTAAGCTGAATCTTGGAACAACAGTTGTTGTTTTGTATTTACGAAAGTACAGTTGTTAAATTACTGCTCCACTTTTTTGGCGGGATGTTATGGAGTATCGTGCAAAGCGCGAACGAGCAAATCAGCATTGATATTAACAAGGTAAATCACTGTAAATGACGAATCCCGATAGGAAGTGGTTGTGCGTGCGTGGAAACTGAGCGGGATTCAATATTGAACGAGTTGTTTTACAATTTACACCGATCATCTTGTTGCCTTTGAATTAGAATCTTCATTTTTTTAGTGATTTCCGTTTGAAATGGATCTGAAGCCAGAGTGGAGGGCATTGCTCAACGTAAGGAGGGTTTTATGTTTTTTTGCAGCACTGGCGTCTGTATGTGCGAGCAGTGGCTCGGAGGTTTGGATAAAATTATCAGCGCATGCGGACAAGATGCGGTGTATCATAATCTTTGAGAATTGAGAATTAAGAAAGAGCAATTCCGATTAACTTGCAGGAAGACCTTAAATCCTGTCCGGCTCCTTCTCTACCGCTCCCGGGGGCTCTGTCTAATGACGACAAGGTAGCTTTTGCTCGTTTGACGTAACACGAGATTGAATTTCAAGTTTTTATCTGTATGTAATACAGATCACTGGGCAGTTTTTTCTGCAAATCGAAGACATCAACAATGTTCTGGCGTCTTCCCTGAAACAGTTCTCCGAAACTACCCGACGGATGCTGAAAATTCGACTGACGGATGGAAAGCAGTCCATTACAGTCGTTGAAAATGAGAAAATTCCTCAGCTGAGGTAGCTTGACTATGATCTGAAATTTTTAGTCAGCTGTACAACTTAAATAAATTGGGGGTATAATTTGGAAAATTACTACAAAATTACTACGACAAACCTGAAGATATACTATAGTGTTTGATATAGTGTTTCCTTGCCACCTGGGACTAAAGTGCTTATTTCTGGAAGCGATATCAGAATTTCCTGTGGGTTTTGTTTACTGAAGTCTCACCATATTAAGGTTTACGGAGGAACTGTCAACCATATGCTTAAAGCGTGGGAAATACATCGTGTAAGTCATTCTCGAAAACTCTTTTTTGCTTTTATTTTATTTCTTCCTGATGTTTTGGCATGGCTGGATGTGATTTAAAAAATCATACCCGGAACCTATCTTTGTGTGAACAAAATATTTTCTGCCTCGGTGCATGAAGCTTCCAGTTCCGTATAAAGCGATAGGTACTAGGTGCCTTACATTTAACAGTAACGTTTATAAGAACTGAGGACTGCGGGTGTGGTCTTATCTGTAGAGTGCAGGAAATAAATAATGCAGGCACCGGATAAATTGGAATGGTAATAAGTATTATTGCGAGGCATGTGTATTGCGAAACTCTACTGGCATAATTATACATCTTGCAGGTTGCATAATTTATACAGTCAAAGTTGTAAACACTGGCTGATTGTGTATGTAGGATATTGTTATCCATGGTAAGCGTCTGGGGCGAGTGGACGATCGAGTTCCATGGATTCCATTTGGACAGCCACTGAAATTCAATCTAGCTACGCTAAATTTTCGTGCAATGGAGATTATCGACCGGAATGCCGATAGGGACGAGGATGAGAGCGAGGAGGAGAATGAGAAGGAACGCGAATTTGCACTTCACCGGCAACAAGTTCTGCAGGAAGCCAAAACCGGCACTGCTACCGGCCAGAGTGATCTCACTGTTATCGGGCCTGTGGATCGAAGGAAACCACAGTTCTTACAGATCACGGCCAACTTTATGTCGGCCGAAGAAAAACCGGCCTTCAAGCCGGATCGGCCGGTGCAAAGGGATGCCAGGGATTTGATCGATACCTCCGATCCGGGCGTTGAGCCGACGTTTAGAAGCAGGGGACGAGGAAGAGGCCGAGGACGGGGCAGGCGCGGCAGAAGGCGTGGTGGAATGGATGAGTATAGTGAAGGCGCTCGGCCCCGAACGGCCAACTTGATGGATTTTATTACTCATCAACTGGATAATTTGTGAAGTACGTGCATGTATCGCTATGTTTATCGTAAATTCAAGTTACCCGTTAATATAAATTCTTCGTTTGGTGTTTGTGTTGACCATCGTTTTGTAGTGTCTGTGGTTAATCAGATAGTACATTTTTAACAAAAAAGGTCATTATATTGGACAAGAAATAAATGCAGGCTACACTGGGCGACAGTATCACAAAGTTGGTCGAAGTACTTACGGAATTATTACTCTTGTTAGTGCAGATAAAAAAGAATCTTGCCGTAGCAGGAAAAATAAATATAACAGGCACAAAATGTTTACAAAAATTGGGCAGTTGACCGTGAGTTGGCTGGCCGTATTGCCGGTCCTTTTGGAGAGCGATCCCCATTTGGGCATGGAGATCCGGTAGAGATGGCCGTTAGGCTCGGCAGTCTGATCGTTGGATACTGTCAACATGTACAGTATCCGATCGGAAACCTGATGCAAATTAAGCACCGTTTGATGCGTTAAGGGTCGATGAGCAGGCGCACACGTTTCGTTGTCCACCACTTCGACGGGACCGCGCATCCAAACGGAACCTGAGCCTGTCGGCTTCAAGTAATGAAGCGACCTATTAGAGAGCAGAGCGATATACGATCTATTATTGCTACTGTTGCGTGACGATTGGAGCAGTGGCGGAAATGACACTTCCGTGGTTTGATTGCGGGCAGCGGAAGTTTAAGCGCTCACCCTCGCATGTAATCCGCAAATAAATAAGAATTCCAAGGATTGTAGAAGACGCCTCCCACGGCGACACCTGGATAGCGGCAGATGGGCAGGCGAAACTCCGACTTCAGCTCTGGAAAGAGGACAGAGGCAAATATGTCAATTGCCAAATTGTCCAACACAACGAGCGTCGTTTAGAGTCATTCATCATAATAGAACTGACTTGTTGTATTTCGACAGTTATCCAAGTCATGACAAGGACTAAAAGCTTCGTCCATAAACCCGTACATACCTAGAAGAGGAGGAGAACAACTCGGTGATTAATTGGCGGGCATTTTTCAATAACTTCAACAAGACATTAAGAAGTGTACTGGACACACATCGTTAGATTTCTTACGTACCGCCTTTCTGGATGATGTTGAAGTCGGAAAACTTGGGGCCTACGTCGATGCAAATAATGCGGATTTGAGCGGTGCCTGCGCAAGAGGATATGCCTGTTTAATTGGATTTGTCAGACGAGCGTTCGATCATATCTGGACAAGGATATTTACTTTTATTCTCAAATGGGAATGCCAAGAGAGGACACTTTACATTTTGATTGCGTTTCGCATTACACACCAGTGCACGCCAGCCAGCTAATCCATAAGTGACCCTGCCACGTACTGTGAATTATGAATCCACATAATCTGTTTTATTTGACGAACCAAACCAGCCCGGAGAGAATGGCCAACAAAATCGATGTATTGGCGGCTTGTTATGCATCTGAATACACCATCCAATTTGTGCACTGTGTGTGTGCCGGCGTTTTATCATAAACTTTATTTTTCCCTACTCTGCCCTTTTCGCTTTTGTTTGCAGTGCGGGCGCCGATTGCCGCCAATCGTCAGAGATTGCGGCTTTACACGGCCTAATGTGTGTAGCGTGCATTTCGGTCGGCAAGAAGTTAAATCGGGGGGAAAACGTCGGATGGGATCGGAACTGCAGGACTAATATTAAAGAAACATTCGTGTAATTACGGAAACGGACAAGTCAAACATTGATCTAGTTGATTGTGTTCATGCAGGAAGCAGTGCTTTTTGCTCTTCCATTTAATGGAAAAATATTCGCACCCACTGCGCGCGCGCACGATCGATTGTAATAGATCGTCGTACAGGCTGCAGCAATGGATGTGTTATATATATTCACGGCGAATATATATGCAGTGCACATGCGGTGTGTGTGCGGCGCGTGCAAATCTCCGGCATTCTCCGTTTTCTAGTCGAGGTCAAGTATCTTAAGGTACATTTGCCAGGCGCCTCGTACCTCTTTTCATCTCGCGGCGTTCTTCCGAACATCTCCATGGGTTTTGTAGTCCATAGGCAAACACTTCTGTTAAACACAGGAAGATGCAAATTTCGGTTGATTGCCACATTGCCAGACGAGCAAATGACGTGCCATTAAGCAGCATCTTCGACGTCAATTGAACAACGGGATCGATATGCCTCCATAACGCTTTCAACAAGTATCGATAAAAAAGCTAACTCCAACTTAATTTGTCAGGAAATGCTAAAGCTGTTGGCTCACGGTAGTTTTTTATCTTCTCAGAGTGTTTGCATAAATATTGTCTGCTGCATTTACTGTACCTGCGTGCGCAAATTAAGTCATGCTTATCCTTTCCTAATTTAGCAAAACCGACGAAAATTCAACCTTTATGACATTTTTGCCGTTTATTAAATAATCTACAAAAATTTGATTCATTATAAAAATTCAGTTTAATAATGGATAATTTATGCTTATGTAATGCAACCAAGAATACGAGCAGTCAGCTAAAAATACAGTTGAAATTGTGCCCTGTCATTTTTTTAGTCATCGCGAATCCTGGTCAGTTTTGTGCATTTTGCGTAGATGTACCTGGAAGCAGTGTTGAAGGTTGGTGAGCAAACGGATTGTCATCTGGTATCTTATAAGGAACATTTCCATCTCTTGAGAGATCCACGTCGACATTGATCCGCAGAATTTTTCCGCTATGCATTCCACGATCAAACCGACTACGTCGCGAACGACTGCCATCTCCCACCTAATTATGCAGTTTGACATTTTAGCCTTTACTGCGCAAACTTTTTCTGATTTTATAAAAATTACCGCGTGTGGTTTACTAACAAATGTACTGATAATTGATACGAACATTAAGCAGCAACGTTAACATACCGCAATGTGTAGAAGGTGGTCATCGGAGCCAAACCATATCTGCCCTCCTGTACAAATTATGAACATTTAATTTGCTAAGCAGTTACCCAAATAAGTAGATAAAATTTTAACAACAGTAACCTGTAGGTGCCGATTGGTAGATTTCCAGGAGAACTGTTTCACTAAATTTGTCGATCTGTAAAAAGGAGCTGCTGTAGCACAAAAGCTATAGAAAAAACCCTAGCGGGGCGTCCCCCGTGGGGACTGTTCCGAAGGACGGGTTTTATTACATAATAACTGCAAAAAACTTCTGTTGTGGAGTTGTTTACTGGGAAGATTGCCTGAGTGCAAGCTGGACGGCTATTTTAGCGAAATAGTCTGCGGCAAGTGCAACCACCTCGCGTACGCGCATACGTGTACAGTATTAGTCTCGACTTTGGGTACCTGATTCCGACTGCCACTATCTCCAAAACTTGCAGCATCAGTTTTCGTTGTCACTTTAACGAACCTTCCCAGTTAATGTTTCAGAATAGAGAATAAAATTTTAGAATTTTTGATATTTTGAAAGTAGGTTTTATGGAGAACCAAGAAAGTTAATTTTGGTTTCTCAGACTTAGCATAGGTCCGTCCGTTGGAGGCGTTGCTTGCACCCTATGCTATATCTACGAGAAACCAAAACAAGCATAACTTTCTTGGTTCCCCACAAAAAAACACTTATCAGAGATCAAAAAGCGTCAAATTTTTCTTTCTATCTTCTGAGATGTTGGTTAGAAGTTTTATGGAAAGGTAAACGAAAAACTAGTGCTTGAAACTTTGGATCAACTGACGATGACATTCAGTGCGTTCTTTCACTGTTCACATACATGCTCCACCTCTGCCTCTGCATCTCTGCCCATCCTGAGTTACAGCATTTCTGTCTCTTGAGTTTACAGTAAATTTCTCTATTGTCAGTAAACGTTCTGTCTGTCCTCAGTTACAAGCTCAGTTTTCCCTATCCTGTGTTACAAACTTACAAGTTACAATAGGATTCGACATGGATCCATACCTACAGGTATATATATACATACATATATATATATACCCGTGGACGTATGCAGCGCTACGTCCTTCGGAAAATGCAATTACTCCATGGTGTTTAAGGATAACAATTGAGTTAGGCTGTTGGTGTTAGGCGTGGTACTATTCAAGCGGCGTTTTCTTGATCACTGGATACCAGATCATAGCGCCTATTTACGGATGGTGCAGATGCACACATTACACGGTAATTGGATACGGCGTTTGGCGATGTCTCGCTAGGAAACAAAAGCACTGTTAATCCTTTTTAAAGTTACGCTGTGAGAAATTGATGTGCGGCCTCTGATTTGCATCTTGTTACGTTTCTCAACCACGAACACACAGATCGGAAATTCCCGAGGGACATTGCATGGGAGAGCAGTCCCCATAAAAGAAAAGCCAAATGCAGACAATTCTCCAACGGGGCATAAAGATAAAGGTCCCACACTTGAATAGTCGGGAAAATGGGACTCGGTAACGGGTGTGTTCTTTTGTCTGGTCTGACATTCCCGGTTATCTTAACTTTTTTTGAAACACATATACCGTGTGTGTACGTTGAATTACAATAAATCCCGCGATAATTCTTGCCACGAAAAGGAAATCACATAATAACGCCAGAAACGTTTCTTTCAGTTTGTGAACAGCCTCGTGTACTTCTGCTTATATAGTATAAGTAAAGCAGTGCATATTGAGAGTCAGGCATCGAATACCGATGTACTGTGTGTTACACGTATATAATTTCATCGATTGCCGCACTGGTTTGGCTTTCTTTCAAAACACTAATCTCGGTCTACAATATCGTAATGTGGGATACATATTGTGATAATCTGTCGATTAATCATACATTTTCCGGATTAAAATGTCTCAGCAATTCTAAATGGTTTAAAAACTTTTCGGTTGTCAGGAACCGCTATTTTTCATTTTCTTGTGTACAACTGCAGATAGTTTACAGTACTGGAAATTCGAATTGATTTTTCTTCCCAGTGGACTGATGTTGACCCTTAACAAAGTTTGCATTTTAATACCGAGTTAGGTGAATAATCAAGGCGGAAAAATGCCTTACGGCAAAATTGTTACCAAAAGGAAATAACAGATTTTCCTCCTCCGTAAAAGATAATCAGTACTAAATCAAGGAAGCTGCACGTATTTTCTTCCGGGCTAAACAGGCGCGCCTTTTGGATCCGGATTTAAATTATTTTAATTGACCTATATTAGCTCAATCAAAATTTAGCACAAATAACACTACCATATTATATCGCCTATTAAAATTTGATATAGCTCGCCAAAAAATTCCTAATATCGATAAAAACTCCTAATATACATTGTCGTATCTTCAGCGGTTTTGTGTGGTATATGTTCTTTTACTTAAACCAGTGTTCGTTCAGTTTTTTTTGTGCCTTTGAAAAATGTTTTCTTTTCTATTTTTCCGGTTTGTTTTGCGTTTGTTTTTCAAAAATAAATCATTAAATCACAAATCTCACCGCACGTACGTGCTGCACTTTGCATTCTGACCCAGTCTGTTTGGCTTTGTGAAAATATGACAGCCAACACACACCGAAATCTGATCCCCGGTCGTACGCAAACGACAGAAAAGGGACATGACCAGCCGGAAACGTTTTACTGAGAGCAATTGCCGATAATGTATCCGCTGCATCCCTATCAAACTGCATTGGCATTCACGTTGGCTGCCCTGACCATCGAAAACGACGGCTTTAACCATAATTTAAAACAAGTGCAATACAGAGGTTTTATTAGCTGCATTTTGGTGTGGACTTGTCGAGAACTACATTCACTGCATCGACTGGACTCAACGACATAACAGCATAATTGATCCGAACAAATAGAGTGCAAGGAGAGCGAAATTCCATATCTTGCTAGAATTTGCCTGTTTGTCCGATTCATTAGCAACGTTAGAACTGGGTCAGCTTTCTGTTCCTATTCTTTGTAGACTTTTGTGCTGTACGTTATGCCCTCTGTGGATCGCTTGCCATTTGCTAGCACCGTTAAAAAGTCTGGAAAAACTCGACTATGCACTACATGCAACAATGCAACGCTGTTGTAATAAAAATAACAATTTTATGGGAGGGCATCATTATTGTAGCCACAGAAATTGGCGAAAATTTATACGTCAGGCGTAACTACACAAAAAATTACTGTAAATCAGATTATCACATTATGACGTATGTGCAGCACGTCATTTAGAAGAGCAAGGGAGAGCGATCCAGTCCTGGGTTGTCAAAAATTTCAAAACCTTTTGGATCTAGCTCCTTATTAAGTACTCATTTTGTTATTAAAAACTGAAAAACTCCACAATCAAAAATCGAACGAGTTTTCTCAAAAAGTTTATAAACAAAAGTATAACAGTTAATTTCAGTAACTGATACGCATGCTACACCGGTTTTGAGGCACTGACATTTTTTGCAACTCTAGCTAGATATGTTACCATAAAATCAACATACAAAAACATTAAAAGATATGCTCATTATGCAGTATGTTACTTACTTTCGATGATATGTACGATGATGCCCATTTAATACTATACTATTACTACGTATATTAGTAGCAGACTTTTGAATGTCATACGTTATCATTGTCAGTTCTACCAGCTATATATGGATTTTTTATGCACCTGCACTTTTACTGGCATATCATATCTCGGCAATAAATCACAGTGAAATTGATCAACTTACTTCACTTCCGTTCGTGGATAATAATGCAAAACGGCTGATCCGCTGCCGATGATGAAATTCCCTATCATCAGTTTCCGCACTAAAAAATGTATCAATCGATTATTTTGAAGAGATTATTCCGACAAGGCAAATTGCTCAGTTGCCAATCAGCAAGCACACAAAGCTACTTTTTCACTTGAGGAGTAGACTGTTTTACAAACTTCTATAGCACTACTATAAAGAAATGTTATCTTATGTTACGTCAGTTGATTCGAAGGGTGGACCGTTGATTTGCAAATAAACAAGCCGGTTCTATTCAAAAACAATTTACCGCGGCACAAAGCTTCTCTGTAGCAGATGGTGTTAAATCTAATCAGTATATTTACTCACCTGTACATAATGAAAACAAATCCGTTGAGCTTAAACCTCGGATGAACCGCAATTCCTGAAGGAAACATATATTACCATATTACCATAGAAATATTGTTGATCGTACACAAACTGTGGTAAAAATTTACAAACACTTTACCTAGAACGCCCATATGATCTCCCTTTGCAAGAACTTTATCAGAAATATCCAAAATTAATTCGGGAGAAAGAGCAAATGACTTGGCGTCGTGCACATCGATCAGTTGAATTTTTCCGTCTCGTTCGGCTATTAACAGTTTGCCTGTGTGCAGTATCTCCGTGATATCCACTGGATTGTGCAAAAGGTCATTGACTAAATTCAAACAAATATGTCGCGACGGCAAAGTGGGCCAGGTAGATTTTACACAATTCGCCAAAGTCATGAAGCAGCAGGAAGCCATAAAGGCTGCCCATGCGATGGATGCCAACCTGCTGACCATACACCGGAAACGATCAGGGATCAGCTGTCTAGCCACAAACTGGATTAACCGGCACAACATGATAGCAGCTGCATGATATCACAGGATTAATTTTGGCAGTGACACACTGTGCTATCATGGGATGCGGTGTTCAGCGCCATAGGAGTTTGAAGGACGAAACATCGGCAAAGCGGATTTCGCAATTATGCAAGGGCATAATGTGATCCCGTGCTTGCCGAATCTTGGCTGTTGACGTTTTCGGATCCAGCATTGACCAATTTTTGTTTGGCTAAGGTAATTACAGAAAAAATCAAAAACTTAGTTTCTGCCTCTAAACTCCATAAAAAAACGAGAAGATTCGCACGGTGGTCACTGCGACATGGTTAAATCTCGAAGTCATCGGATACGGCCGAAACCGTTGCGCACTAGCGCTTTCTGTGACATGGCTATAGTTGTGCATAAAAGAAGTACAGTACATTTGGAGACTCAGGATCCATGTATATGTGCCTTTAACTGTCGCAACTTTGAATCGGCAGGCGATACCGCGGAGGCACAAGGAACCGTCAACAGGGAAACAGGAAACAATCACAGCTATGCAACTGTTCAGAGTACAGGAATAAGGATCTTCCACAACCGGATGTACGGCACTTGTACTTTAAACGCGTTAGAAAGCGAGTGGATTACAACTTTAAGCTGTCGCGACTGGTCGGCGGTTTTTACTGCGATATAGGAGGAATGATCCGAAGATGTTACCGCATACAATTACATACGGTGCACTTGTACAATACGGTATACCGTACTTGTACATTCACCATGCCGCTATCGTATTTCCTGCTTTAGCTATATATACTATCTGTAGGAATGCACCCGGTCACCACTGCAAAAGCATAAATTATGTTTAATAAAAGCTTTGTTGAAACCATCTTGGAATGGTATACGGTATCGTAGTGGCAAAATAGTAATAGCAAAGGTATAGTAACAGTAAGTTGTAGCTTTGCTGAACGGAATGCCTATCGAAGCATCATCCTGTAAAAATGTACAGTAAGAATCATTAATTTTAATATTCGAATAATAACGCGAGCGATATGTTAACTAATGTTCTTATGGGGAAAGAAATTGTGGGAGTTGGTATTATGAAGTGTAACAGGCTGTTATTAGTGTTTTGTTACCATTAGCAAGGCAGTTGAAATGCATATTAAGTGGGGATGCTTCCACAATTTCTCGTTGTTACCTTCCTTAAGTACTGGTATTTCGCAAATCAGTTAACATACTTATAAAACCACAGGAAAGTAAAAATTTAATATCGATTTCAGTGTCTGTCACGTCGTCGGCCACGCATAGTTGGCATTATTAGCTGCATCTGCAACGAATAAGTCGTATCGCGAGTCAGTATGCACGGTACCGTACACGCGTTCAGTACTAACAATAAGTTGAAGCCGAAGGTACATTAATTATAAAATATAGATATATGCATATAGTAAATTATAAAATATATGCGTACCTTGAATTGGTTCGACTGACATGGTTTTCCCCTCTATATATGCATATGCTTCTATAGACTATATGACGCAAATCCGCAAAACAAAATCTTCAGATTTTGTAAAGAGCGCCTAAATGGTAAGCGTAAAGTAAAGTTTTTAACAAGTTTTATTTAGTTTTTCTTGCGACTGATAAAAAAAGTATGTGGAGCCTAAAATTAAGTTGTACCGTTCTGTTGTTTACAGCTTTACAGTTTGAAGTAATTCAATAATGACCATTGACCATTACGTACTGGAAAACGACCGCCTTGAAGGTGTACAATATACATTTTATTTTGTACACATTTTATTTTTGTGAGCACGCTTATTGTCAGAAGAAAAAAGAAACCCGCTGTCACAGTTATACAGCAGAAAAGATTTCTATGGGCAAACGACGCAGCCCGCTTTTTGCATCGATATCCGTTAAAGCATTAGCATTTAAAACATTTTATTAATATACGAGGTATATGATTCGAAAAAACCTTAAGTACAGCAATGACCCCCTTAAATTCAAAATATACTAAATTAAACTGTTATTTTTGATTCGCACAGTTATTTTATTTGACTGTAGCTCAGAATTTTTTTCGAAGAAGATTGCGAATATTAATAGTTAATAATTTGATTAGGTATTACAATTTATATGATAGACTCACGATTGGACTGTACAGGCAAAGCTCTCATGCATCTGGTAATACTGCATGACAATTTTTATTAAGCTAAGTACAGCGGCGGTTTGCATTTGCTGTAGCTGTCGGATTTTACGATATTAATGCAGTAGTCCATAGTGTACTAACTTAAAACTCGCTCGTACTTTTACCTAGCACACTTCCAGACTGTCCACTTTCAAACTGAACGATCACAAACAATATCCCTAGGGTAGTATGTTCGTTTACAGCTTTGCAAAAGAGAAACTACTCCTACATGTGTGTATTCGACAACGCGACTTACGTTTTAGAGCAACACAACTTTGCTTCCACTGCATTTATAGATGAAATTCAAAACATCCGAACACTGTGGAAAATTCAAAATCAAAATGGATCAAATCCATCCATATCTACAAGCCTACCTACCTACAACTGCACTGTACATACATCAAATAAAAACCAAAGCGAAACAATGGCGCAAAGAAAAGAGTATACTACGATTACAATGAGACTTAAAAGAAAGACTTATAACACAGGGTTCGGTAATAACATGTCAACGTCGGCGATTCCGTTCCAATTCGCACATCCCTAACCAACCTGGACGTTCTGCTCAGACAAAAGCCTAATACACAAAATAAAGAGAATCAAAAGCGTTATTCATACACTTCCGACAAGAGAACACGTGTGACTGACACAGTCGGTCCGAAAAACTCTCAAAATAAAATTTCCGTGTTGATTCCACAAACAACACCCACACTCTTTCCGCCACATCAATGATTCATCCTGATTCAAACATAGCACCAGTGGTGGAGAAAATGCTCAGTCACGATTAGGTGCCACCGAACTCTTCCCAGCTGCTGACTCCGTTCGGCTAACCGAGCCTTTCTTGTGGTGCGTCTGCGTGGAAGTGCCCTGCATATCCACATCATCATTATCCGAATCGGGATACTCATAGTTATCCTCATCCTGATCGGAATCATCACTATAGTAGAAATCAGAAGTATCCATCAGCATTTCGGGCGCAGGAGTCTTATGCTCCACAAACACGGTCTTCACACAGTAATCTTCCACCGTCGTAGGCACTTTTACTCCATCGCGCTCCGCTTCGGCTCGCGTCTGCATCACCTGATTCTTGACTATTTGCTCATACTCGTTGTCCCGACCTTGGGAATCTCGATAACGCCGGAACATCACTGAGGCATCCACATTGGCAGGACTGCTAGTATTTGGTTCGTTCAGCAGGGAAATAACACTCATCAAAATGGTCCGAACATTCTGCGTCGGATTCCAGCGCTCCGAAGGCAGCTCGCCACTGTGCGGATCATCACCGGGCGGATGCAAAATGCTAATGCACAAATCACCTAAGCAACAGAAAGTCGTTAAAGTTCTGCTGACGCTGAGCATTTATTTTTAACCACGATTGATAGCATTAACAGCAAATTTAATCACATTCAGCAATAACAGATGAAAGGAAGCAGTCCTCTTTCAGAATACCAATAAAGATTAATTTAATTGCGAGATCACGGTCAATCTCACAAATGAGTGTTCGTAATAACGGGAGAACTTATTCAACGTACCAGGGATCACGCACTGTAACACATTAATAGATTTCGTTTTCCTTGTTGTGCAATACAGCACAGTCGACATGCACTAATAACCTATTCAACCAGGAATATATTTCAAGAAGTCCTTATATTCATCACGTGCCGTATTATTATCGCCTCGTTCGTCGTACTAGAAATTTAGCCATCACATGAATTACCGGCATCGTGCCAAATGTTTTTAATACTCTGCCTACGTCATCGTGGCTTTTGCCGCAGATAGTAATTAAAGTAAGCGTTCAATGCAATCGATCGTCGAAGGAAGGAAACACGCTATATGCATTACAGATACACTCAAAATTGTTCATGGAACAAAGGTAAAAATTGTTGATAAAAGGAAAGCATGACTCATACATGCGGAATACCGAAATACGCGGAAAAAAGACTTGCTATAACTATGGAAAGACGTGCATTTTACACGACTAGTATACTAAAGGCAGTACGCACGGCATAAGCAAAATTTCCTGATTGAATAACGTTTTGTTATGCGCATTCTTACCGTTTTCGTACACGTTTGGGTGCCTGTAAAAAATTTTGAAGAATCGTTAGAAACGAAATTCTGATGCATAATAACAAGAACTGCTTACCATATTTTGGAAAGAAACCTAATCGAAGGAGGGGAATAAGGATAATCTTGCGGAAACTTCATATGAGCTTTGAAGTATCCTCCTTCATAAAGTGTTCCAGGCGGTCCAAAAATGGCCACTTCCCAGTCAAACAAATTATCTTCTCGTAGTAGTTTAACCTAAACATCAATACATTTACATAGACATCGCTGGACAATACGCTCTTTTACAACGCATGTTTATCACCAATCGACACTGCAGCCTGGCCACTGTTTTTTGATAACGGTCAATGAACGGACGAACGATCGGTTTTTCTACGGTGGACTCATATTAAAAGACGGCATACTAATCGCAAAACGCACATACCGAAAGCACAATTGTACTTCAGTGTACGTGCAAGCCGTTCTACAAAAATTGTTCCTACTCGTAGCGAAAAAAAAGCTTGAATGCAAACTTCCAAACCGTGCTTCAGTGTCAATTTTAAACATTTATAGTTATTAAAACTTTTTGCAGTATATCCTAATCATCGCACCTGTTGAGATACTAACGTCAAAAAACTAAAACTCGATACTTTTGATAAAGGTAAACTGTACTTTCGATTCGTAAAAATGATACGTTCCCATATATACAAGTCGGCTAAAAAAATCTAAAACTTGATCAAACTAAACAGAATTCCCAGCTAAAACAACTTATAAAATTTCGAAACAACAAAAAGACAAGTGGAAAAATTTTATATGACCATACAAGTAAATAATTAGCATGACCATAGTGATCATTCATACTTTGAAGCCTTCCACGGGTTCTTTCTGGATGCTCTGAAACTCTTGCATCAATGCTCGCACAGCGCGGCCGGAGGCACTCGTACTGGCTGAATGGTGCGACATGATCGATATTTTTTCTTCCTGCTTTCTGTCCTCTCTGTCCCAGCTTCCGCTAAGCGCCCAGCTCTTTAAATATTCCTCGTATTGGCGCTCTTCGAGCTAATACGCACACAGCCTCCGCTAATACCCAGCTGCACAGCACAAAATCATCCACGTGACGAACCTCCTAGGAAACTGGCTGGCAATGAAAGAAATTGCCGTTTTGCCTGACAAGCTGACTCACAAATTCAGATCTGCAAGCACAACACACATAAAGTAGGTTTTAGTATACTGATTTACGTAATGCTGCGCTGCTGCCGAGAAAACATTTCCTTCATGCACCGTGGGCTACTGCGCAAAAATAACTGAACCATCTGCCAAACCAGTTTGCCAAACATAAAGAAAATGCCTGACATAGCGATTTCCATGGCCAACGCGTACATGCGACTAATTATACAGAAACAGCTTATACATAAAAAGGAGCTGACACAGTATCCGTGGAGGTTACCTCACCAGTTTTTACAGGAAGTACCGGTTACGAGTTTATACGGTATTGATTACTCTTTTCATGCGGCAAACAGCACAGCTTAACTAGCAGATGTCGGCAATATATCATAAACGGAGTTATGTAATTAACAGCAAACAATTTTAAGCTCGTGACACAGAAAAATTATTGCTCTTGTAATACAAAATTTTCCGGCTTTCCCGGCGTTAATTGTCCAAGGAAACTGCTTATCATAGTGGCTTATTAATTAGCATTTATGGCAGAGATAACCCGATATCATAACCGCTATAACAATTTCACGATCATTAATGATACAGCACACGTGACGAAATCCCGTCCGCTGCTTTACCGAATTCGGAATTGTTTTTGCGGTTAAATTGTACATTCACGAAATTTTCGCGCACTCAAACCTTTTTTTCTTGTTTTATGCGTAGTCAATGATTTGTATATATAGGTGAAAACGTGCGGCTATGCGTTTATGCTGTTATTAAGTTAAAGTAGGTGTGCTAATATGGACCGACTTTCAGATTTTATAATGATAACATGAAGAACGTTTTTACACCGATCCACTGTTCTAGCATGTTTTTCAAATTTTAAAATGAATTAAAATTCGAAAAAAATCGTGGAAATTTGGATCGGTGTAAAAACGATCTTCATGGCCATGTGCATTTACATGCAAAATTTGAAGGAGATCGGTCCATAATGAGACTTTTGGTGCACCTGAAAGAATTTAAACTTTTGGGAATTTTCTTACAGCCATAACTCCCGACCCGGATGTTGCGCGCACAAACGGTTTTCACACCAGTGTATACAAATCATCTGGCTACAGAATGCCATAAAACGAAACAAAGAATGATATGTTTGGGAGTGCGCGAGAATGAAAGTTTCCGTGCACGTACACGAATTCAGTACCATGTACCGGGCCACTTCCCTTAAGTATCAAGCCTTGAATCTGTATTACTTAAAATTTTTCAAATTACAGGCTTAACTTTTAAAAATTTACTGCTCAGATATTTTGCTGTAGCGTAACATAAATTAAGAGTAACAACAGAATACAGTTACGATAAACAGGACAAAAGATATTCTGGAAATAACCAAGTACAGTACAGTAAGCAGGACTGCAATTACTTGACTAAAATTTTATAATAGTACCTGTTCGGTCGCACTAGGAATAACTGAGAACTCTCGTGTCTCGTATCGAAGAATCCAACGGGACTCGATTCTTCCTAGTCTTCAAACCTCCAGCACCGGTTTTTGGGGAAAAAATTCCGCTCTAGAATAAGTGATCACTTTCAATTAAATACAGTAATATTACGTAAACAGCTTCGGAAACACTTTCGACCTCCAAACATTAATGAATTGCTTACTGAAGAAATGTGGGCTCTGACAAACTGAACCTGCGTACCGCCGTACCTCTACGAAAACTGAAAGCGATCGATCTAGCTCGTACGAACGAAAACGTACTAGTAACTGTACTTACTTTATGGCAAAACGGTCAGTGACGGAGTCACGGAGCCAATCCGGTCTCTTCCACATTACAAAACTGCTAAAACTCCGCCCATGTATAAACACACACGCTATGTTCGCCGCACTTTTGAACAAAATCAGGCTTTCAACAATTTTAACTTCGTTCTACCGAAGAATATTATTTTATTTTGAAACCTAATTTTTTCCAGATTGAGCTGACGAGATCAAAGTAATATTAATGCGACAAAAATTAGGTTTAAACTCAGGTTATCTTTTTAGCATCTAGCTATCGATCGCGTACCACCAGTTTTCCGTGGACCATGTCGTCCCATCATCGTTCCGGTATCTGGGTGCAGAAAAACAAGAACCACAAGCATGGCCAACATAAAAGCAAAGGAACCCTTCATAATCAACAAAAGGGTGAGTAAGTTTTAAAAGACGTTTGATACATCCTTGCCCGGAACCTGGCTTTTTTTACAGGCCGTGTTGTGAAGCCAGGTGTTGGGAAACGCCGCAAGGATCAAGCAATTAACAAAATCGTTCGCAAAAATCAAGTGAGGCTTAGGACTCCAATGTGATTTCTTAGTTCACAACTTCACATACTCGTACTTAATTTAGTGCGGAACGCCTGGTACACAACGCAGATTTGTCACTCCCTTCCTGCATTTACAGAAAGCACAGAAGAAAGCGCTTCGAGATTTCAAGAGTTTCCAGGAGAAGCAGAAAGTAGATTCGGTTCCTCTGGATATCTTGATAATTCCTCTCTGCGAACAAATTTCACCTGAAAAATTTTTGGATCTTTTGCGAACCACTCAAAATGAAGAAGACGTGGAAATGACTGAAAAATCCGTCAACTGCGTCCGTCTGAAGTTCGTTGCCATGTTGCAGTTTGGACATCATGCTTTCATGAAACTAGTTGGATGAACTTGCAGGTTTCCCCGTTTCAAAATGGATTCAGTTTTTCGGGTCGCCAACCTGGGCGATTTGTTCGGAACCCTGGATCTGGCGAAAGTGCGTTCGTGGCACCCCCAACAATCGTTTTCTCACAATGAAATTGAGCCGGCCTGAAATATTTGCAGGCTTCGGATGTACTGCTGTTTCTGCACGATCCATTTGAAGAAATGTCAGCGGAGATCGGAAGCGTGTTGTCATCAGTTTTGGGCCAAGGACTCCCGGCGGCGGTTGCCCACTGTGTCTTCATCGAAGTTGAACGAGATGTAGGCAACTACAGTATCTGATTAAGTACAGTGCCTGTCGGCTACTTCTGGTGGTGAATAAAAAATATTGCATTGTAGCAAAATGTGCAAGTCTTCCTTAAAGAAAAAAGCGAAGTGAAAAAATCAGTTGCCAAAAGAATTGAACCATGGTAATAAAATGTTTGATTTCGCATTCGTAAGTGTGATGCCGCACAAGTTTTAAAATCATGTTTTAGGTTTCCTGATGCGTCGTTGGAGTTCGTGTGTGGATCACCGGATATTTCCACATTTCTCTTCCGTATTAGTAATATGCGTCCACAAATGACAGAATATCGTGAAATGCGGCCCTTTCTTATCGCTACCGACACCGTCTTCATAACGGAAAATAACCAGGTGAGTAGATAAAGAATACGTTTGATCAACTTTGATGCTTTATAAGGGTACCATATAGGCTGTGAGGCACCCCTTCCCACCCCCGTATATTCTAGGCATCCATTTTCGGACCCTATTTCTTATAGTCACCCCTTATTAATTTATGTTTACAGAAAAGGTTTGTGGAAATAGTTTATTCGGAGAATGATTTAAGGCACATCAGCATCCTGCTTGGCGCATTTATACTGTAAATGGCGCGATGTCGCCGAAGCCTGCAGAACTGATAAGTTGTCTTTAATATGTTTTTTGACGCTTACATATGAAAAGATACCGGCACGAAAGCGACACTACTCAGTTTTCACCAGACCGGCTAAAATGGTTTTCAGTTTTACCTGTTCCGTTGCTGTCCCTAGTGCGGACCGGTACCAACCGGAAACGAATGCAGGATGATTTTACTTGTAGTTGTCCTTAAGCGTGACTATAGTCACTTCTATAACGGATAACTTTTTAGCAAGGTTGAGGGGTGTTGGGGCGTTTTTTAACACCGGCGCTAGCACGAGACCTTTAGTCTGTTTCATTTAGCTTATTGTGGGAAGGAAGCATATTACGCTCCTGCCCTTGGCTTCGGCTCCAACTGTCTTCCGTTCTATCTTTCCGGCTTTGTGACGTTTTTTTGGTTTTTTATCATAAGTCATGGCGATACTAAAGAGTACTGCTATTTAGTACTGCCATGCATAAGTGCATGACAACTATGAAATTAAACGAAGTTGACAAGAAAAATGTGTAAATGAAACACTCACATAGTACGTAATCGTGTTAGTAAAATGGGTGTCTGTAATAAACCGGGTGCGAAAAAGGATGCCTCTGATAAACGGGGGTAGGAGGGGTTGCCTGTAAGGCTATAACGATTTACGGTTGCCACTAAATGAAAACCGTTCAGGCGGTAACTGATTTGTGTGGTTTTCATTTTTGGGCGCCATGGGTCTTGCATCATTTCGTGTTTGTTTCGAGGCTTTTCAGTTTGAGTTTTAGCGGTCTGTTTGGTATGTAGTCGGAAGAGGGATTTGTGGAAATCAGTGGTATTCTGAAGGGTGGTGTCCTGGATGTTAATCATCCCATCCATATTCCTGGTTTTGGGAACTATTTCCTGGAAGAAGTCAGGGTTCAACCACCTGGATCGCAATCGGTATTAATACACCGAGCACTCTCTTTTGTTATTGGCTGATTGCAAGAGAAAACTGAACATTTGCTTTAGAAGAAGGAGCGAGACAGAAAAGTTGGAACCGTTCCTCCTGCTTCTTGCATCAAAGCCAACCCTAACGAGCAGCATTCGGAAAGCGAAGATGTGGAATTTGATGAAAATCCCTCCGAAGATTTAATTGATCCCTCCACAGGTTGCCAAAGCATTTTGTTTGCTATTTTTATTTACCATTTTACTACTTTAGGCGATTGGCTTATACCTGTAAAATGAATGTGTAGTAAAGTTTTGTTGTAGTGGTGTCGCAAAAGAAACGGACTGTTAAATTGGTCCCCAAAGGGACCTCTCAGTATCAGGCTGCATGGATAGTTGATGATAACGATGATAACGAAGCGGGAGATGAATCCGAAGGTGCCGAGGATGATGCCATGGATGTGGAAGGCGGTGATAATCTGGATCAGGAATGTGAAAAAATGTCTGTTGGCAGTGTACCGGAAGGCGCTGACGATGAATTGGTAAATCCTTTGCGCCCTAGTACTAGTCTTTTTTTTCAAAAATCCTTCCTTTTAATGTTTTTGCAATGAGCTTCTGTCAAAATTCGTTTACTATTGGTGATGTTACAAATGATTTAGAAGTTCGTTACAAATGCTTGAGAATGCTTTGTAATACATTTGGGCTAAGTTCCATTCTTCTTGCTTCATTTGTAGGTTGAGGAACAGACAGATAAGGAAGATGGCTACGACGGCCGTTTTGACGAAGAGAATGAACGTGAAGCGTAAGCCGGTTTTTTTATCAAATATTTATGGTAAACCAGTTTATCGCTAGGTAGCCAAGTTTCATAATGTTGCCCTTGTTTATCCTTAGGTACTCTAAGGCACAGGCTCAACGTATGGATGAGCAGTTTCCGGATGAATTAGATACACCGCTCGATGTCCCAGCACGAGTTAGATTTTTCAAGTTCGTCTACCGTGGCTCTTCGTTGTTGCCGAACGTCTAAATCTTCGATGTTTTTGTTAGGTACCGCGGTTTAGATGATTATCGCAGTACTCAGTGGGATGTGAACGAGAATCTGCCCCCAGATTATGCTAGAATCTGCAAATTTTCAAACATGCGTTCGTTCAAGAAGGCGGCTTTGGATTTTTCGAATCGCACTACAGTCGTAAGTTCTGCTCTCGGTGTTGGGCAAGCATGGACCCGGTGCATGTTAGAGTGCATCGGGGACTTATGAATAATTGCAGTTCCGATTTCACATAATGAGTATTGTACTAACTATGCTAAATCTTAGGAACCTTACAACTATGTTACTCTGAAACTGAAAAATGCGCCGCGAAAATTGGTCGACTCGTCGAGCCCTCTCACCGTGTTTGGTTTATTGATGCATGAAGCAAAGATGACCGTTGCCAATCTATCGCTAAATAGAGTCGTTGGTTTTGATGAGCCTCTTAAAAGCAACGAAGAATTCGTTTTCCAATTGGGCTTTCGGCGTTTCCGGTGTACAGCGCTATTATCCGAGTTGAGTCCAGGAAGGCTGCACAAGGTTGTACCAGTGTTCAGTTGAATCTCGGAATACCGATTCTTGGGTTTGATTGTTGTGATAATCTTTTCAGTTTTTACGGTTTCTTCCAAATGCCGGGCACTTTGTCGCTTCCATCTATGCTCCTATTATATATCCGCCAACTCCGGTTCTGATGTACAAAGAAACATCAGGTAAAAGGCTTGGAAATGTGATGTTTCTGTTGGCTTTGGTGGTTAACGTTGGTTATTTAGTGCGCATGGGTTAACGATTATTACTTTAAAGGATTATCGCCGCAGTGAGGTGAAATCAGTGCATCTGTATTTGATGACTGAAGCATTTGTTAATTTTTACAGATGGGGCTTTGACTCTTCTGGCAAGTGGAAGCTTGCTTAGTCTTGATCCCGATCGTGTCGTTTTAAAGCGGGTTGTACTCAGCGGACACCCTTTCAAAATCAATGTTCGCAGTGCGGTGATCCGGTTTATGTTCTTTAATAAAGGTACTGGGTACTGGTAACTATAGGTATGGTGTTTGAATGACGAAATGCAGTTTAAAAATTTCTTTTTTGTAGACGATATTAATTGGTTCAAGAAAGTCAGACTGACAACCAAGCATGGTCGGACTGGAGAAATTAAAGAGCCGCTGGGAACACACGGCCACATGAAATGCCGCTTTGACGGACAGCTGCAGTCGTCTGACACAGTTTTATTAAAATTATATAAGCGAGTGTTCCCCAAATGGACATACGCACCGATGCTGACAATTGCCTGAGAGTTTTATATTTGACAGATAGTAATGCCGAAACCGAAATAAATAAATGATAAATCTGTCTGTTCGGAATTTTCGCGACTAGTGGACTTCACGTTACACTATAAGCAGTGCAATATACGACTTGCTATAATTAACTGAGACTCTAAACAAAATCTAAACAAACTCTCAATGTGCAAATTCCACACGCCTCGACAATTAAAATGAAAGTATCTATTTTTGCCTTTTGAAGATCTTTTGGAAAAATGCAAGGAATATCGACTGGGGCAGATCTCCACACAGTTGTTCAATTAGCTCTGTTATGCGAAATGCTGATTCTTCTTCATACTGGAGAAATACTTCGCGCATTCCTAGATCTTCGTAAACCTGCTTGATGCGCGAAATACATTCCGGTTTATCGATTCCATAGTTTGTCTGAAAAATATAAAACTACACTGTTATATGTATATGTAAAAATATGGAAACTTTGCAGTGTTAGAGCAAACACTCACCTCTAAAATCTTTCTATGTTCGGGAGTGCCGCGTTCTAAAGCCTGGACAATTAGCCAACTGCATTTTTTATCTTGAATATCCGTTCCTATTTTCCCTATAACTTCCGGTGCACCGTAACAGTCTAAGTAATCGTCCTAGAAAGTTCAGACGTTAAAATAAACCACACCATTAAATGAACATGCTTGTAGGTTCCCCACCTGAACTTGAAAAAAATGTCCCATCTCTAAAAGAATTGCTTTTGCCCTTTGATGTGAATCAGTTTCATATATCCCGGCCTACGGAGCAACATAATAGTCATCATCCCAACTACTGTACATAAAACTAAAACTTTTGCTTTGAGAATTACAAAGTTTTTTTCTGTTAATCAGAGATTTTTCATAAATACTGTACACATAAACGCACCAAGTACATCGCAAGGGCAACCGGAAGGTAAAAGGAATAATACGCTGTTTTGAACTTGACAATGGCATCATAGTTTTCTCGCGTGTATTTCGTAAAGTCTACCGGTTCATCTGGTCGAGAAAACACCATGTCCAAGCACTGGCCAGTTATCGTTTGTAATGTAACCTGTGTAGGAATACAACAGTCAACCATAAATTATAATGAATAACTTTCGCACTTTTTGCTCCTAAATTCGTAAGCAAATTCTGTCCCAACAATCTCTCACATAACCGACAGATTTTCAAATACCAAATCCGAACCGACGATACGTTATTGTGCTTACTTCATGAAATAATTCCAGGATTTTCACATAACAAGGAAGCCCATCAAAATGGGCTTTTATCAAGGCGTAAATGGCGTTTTCCAGATAAAAAGCGTCATTAATTGCCATCAACCCAACTCCTTTCTGCAACAACCAATTCACATCATCCAGCGGATCGCGTGTGGTTCTCAGTGCACACCGTTCCAAATACAAACTTTGTACAATTTTGTACAGAGTAGAGCAAGAAAGCAAACTTTGCTTAATTAAGCGTCAATTATAAACATGTAAATTTTATCAGCCAAAATTAGCACAGACAACTAAGCGGCCAAAAGTTAATGGGAAAAAAATGCGCAGACTAATTATAAATTACTGGATAAAATGAACTTCAGGTTAATACAACCCACAAATTCTGTCAAACTAAATAAAAGCAGTTTTAAATAAAGGGAACACTCCAAGACTTTCGCAAAAGCACATCACCTACGACTACTATGGAACGATAATCTGTCAAGAATAGGTTTTTACCTACATTTCTAAACCAGCAAGGCTTTCCGCGTCTCGTGTGCGACTGGTCCATAATATCATCCGCAACAAGGAAAAATGCTTGCAACTACAAACGAAGAGTCCATGTTCCACCACACTCTATGCATGCATTCTCGAAACTTCCAACTAACTAACCATGCATTAAGCTCCTTTTAAAATAGGCGAAACAGAATTTCGTACCATTTCTACACACCATCCTAGGATAACAGCCTGCAGATCGTTTTCTTCGGGAATGTGCGGATGTTTCATGAGCAGTTTATATGTTTCCGCCACGGACAGTCCGCGATTCTTTTTTCCATGAGGCACATTTTCCTCCAGCACCTGCACATATAACTTTACCCGATGGAAACACACGCCAATCATGTGGACATGAACATACGGATCGAAAGTGATTCAACGCTTCCGTCGTTCCTGGATCCGCCGTTCGCGAAGTCAGTTCGCTTAAAATGTGCTGAAAAGTGGAATCAAACTTTTCCTGTAGAGATTCTTTGTGATTCGACTGGGCCATTGTAACACGATGCAAAAACTAAAGCACAGCCACATACAGAGTATTTGTTTACAAAAGATCTTCTATTAATGACATACGGAAGACACAGAACTCAATAATTATAGTAGCCAGCTGCTACTGTTAGCAAGAGATAATGGGATTATTGGAAAAATTAAAAAAACTCAGATCACTACCAGACGACGGACAATATCGTACGATTTAGAGCAAATCAGATTTCAATAATATCATATGCCTTGTGGAAGATCAGAACAGAAAACACGTTTCCATTCGAATGTGAATAAGGGGAACGATGCCGCTTTACAAACTCACAATCAGCTGACAATGATTTGAAAACTAAACTCAAGCATAGACCTCCTTGTTCTTATGAAGCAATTAGCGATAACCATCGTCCTGTTAAAAATCAAAACGAAGAAGCATCGAATGATTTCTGAGGGCCGTCGTACGATACCAAAGTGCACGCCGCTGATACAGTATCTGTACAATGTCATAATGATTTTTATGTGCGATCGTACTGTACAATACATCTATGAAAGAACACACAAATTACTAATATGTACATACAGTACTTCCCAACCTAATAATTATTATTATAATTTATGTTTGTCACCTACTGGCTGCTTCCATTTACTCACTACAATGTTTTCAACAAAATGTAAATTATTTGGAGATTCTTTTTCCCGAAATAATGCATAAATTATGCGCATATTAAATTATGTACAGACTGTACGAGTAGTAATACGTGAACATTTGTGGATGGATCTTACATTAATTTAGCGGTTTTTATTAATTAAACACTCTTCAAACATGATTTGTCAAAATTGTTTAAGTCAGTTTCTTTAACGCTTTTCATTTTTGCTGGATTTTTTTAATTTGCTGTAACGTCCTGTTTGAGAAAAATCCGTTGAGTTCATGCGTGATGACCTGTCTGATCTGCCTATCTTGCTTAAGCTTAATTCTAAAAGTTTCCGACAGTAAACAGTAATTTTTTTATTTTAGTAATTAAAACGACATTTAATATTGCAAGTATGTGAGTGATAATTTTACATAGCAAACCTGAAATACATCAATTTCGGTAAGTAATCCAAGTGTGCTACCTGTGAAAACTCTAAAAGCACTGTACTGACGCAGCGGCGCTAACAACTTATTAATTTTTAAAATCAATAATTTATCCAAATAATTTATCCGCTATCTTTATACGCTACGAGTAGCTATACTGTGCAGTACGCATACATACGCTGTCCGAGTACGACTTTTACTACAGATGCATCATCACTGCGCTGGAATAAAATACATAATTTTGTATATACTGCTCCACAGTTTGTCAATTTGTTAGATTCCGTGAAATAACTGTAATAATAAGAGAGTACCATTACAAACTTCCTCCTAATATAGATGTATTTCTGCCCTATGGACAGCTCTCCTGATACAATTCCTAAGCTCATTTTTATCATCAACGCGCCGTGCCTTTGTACAGTATGCAAGAAATCAATTATTACAGTTCCGCTAGGCGCATGTCTTTTGTGGAACTCAGACTGCAGATTTGTATACACACTTAATGCAGGCTTTATGCAACAAAGCCAAACTGTTATTTCCTTCATCAGTTCGAGGGTAAATCACTAGCAATAACAATATCGCTGCAGCAATCAATATATGGCGATAAACTTATGTATGCCGCTAAGTCGGCGGCACCAATATAACTTGCAACTGTACATTTACTACTCCACTGAGAGCCTTTGTCCTTTTGCTTGATTGGATTCCCTCACAGAGTTAGTGTCGGAAACCAGCGCAAAATGTAAATGAGTGTAAAGTTGTGCTCGAAACGGCGAACCAAGTGGCAGCAGATTGCTAAACAACGATAGCCGCCAACAAGGTCTATGACACTCTGCTTGCAGTATCGTACTTTAAGCCGAAAGATGCTTTTTGAATTTTCTTGTGCATTGCACTAGAGCTGTTCCTAAAATATTATAACGTAAGGATATGTTCTCAATTTTCAGTGCGCTTAATGCGCTCCCTTCATATTTTCCTTTCGTCGTGAATTGTAGCCAATTTTTACCTTTATTTACGTATACTGGTATACGCAAGAAAACCTTGATTTAAGATTTTCTGGTATTGAATGGGTTTTGGTAGATACCTTCTCAAAAGTACATTTGACGATGCGCGTGTACTTCTTCCTGCTGATTACTACAATTTTAACTGGAGGACGAGCAGCGTAGATGCTGTGCGTACTTCCTGCTTTTATTTGTTTTCACCAGACGATTAGTTAAATTAAAAGAATTGTGTTGACGAGAACAACGGAGAGATTATACCTCCCTACTGCTGCGGATACCTGAAACGTCACGTTCATGGAGAGTATTTCCGTGTCTCCAGCGGACATTGATTACCTATACGTCGTGGATCGTACGTGCACTGAGGACGCGAGCACAACTGATGGTAATCAGGAAACAGCTGAATATTCCCCGACGTGCTCAACAGCTGCGTTGTCCCTTTGTCTTGGGAAGAACTTGAAACTGCAAGTAGTGAAGCACAAAAGGAGATTGTACGCTTTGAATTCTGCCCATTTGTCGATGATCAAACGGTCGTACAGCCTCGGAAGCTGCGCTGTTGTGCCGGTAACAGTCATTCCTTCTTCGCTTGTACCTGAAGCCGTAATACGGCTCTTGGACGGCATTAACAGTCATCACGACGCCATTATTAATAAACATACAGATGAGGAAACTGCATCGAAAGGCATCCGCCAATCAAGCAAACCTTCTCCGCGTGCTACTACCACCCAACGGAAAACGGACGGTGAGCAATTCTTTTTAGGCCCGCAATGGTACAAATACCAAACCAACGTAACAGAGAATAACTCACAAAATGAAAAAATTTACAATTATAGTACGATTGTTTCTATGCTTTTCATTGCAAATTGATCTACCGCAGTATTGCATCAGATAATGTAGGAGTGCGCAGGTATGCCGTAGATGTAGGTGTCAGGCAAATGCATTTCAATAGTGATGTGATCCCAGATATTTATATGAAATATGGCTATTGTGGGAGCATTGGGCAATGTCCAATGGGCATACACAAAAACTATCAGAGCACACAAACTGCCTATAGCGCGTTTACTCTGCTTCGGTTTTGACAACAAATTACAGTATCGTAAGCTTTGCATATATCGATAACAGCCACTTAAAGGTCATATTACTTAATAACTTTATTTCTTGTAAGCCTAAAATGGAACTCTCAGCTCGACAGAAAAGTTCTCCTGGTTTCTTTATCCCGTCGAGCGTGTCCACATCGCGTTTGCAAGATACCCGCATGACGGATGCTAATTTTTTTTATTTTGAACAGGTCACTGTATAGTTCCTTACAGTTGAACGACGTACTCTAGACGAGTAAGTTGACGCCACTAGAAAAGCGACGATAACTCATACTACTAGTTTGCGGACGTAAATTTGCGGCGTTCATTTTGTAAGCGGTGTATCGTTAGAGAATGAAAGTTTGAATAAGTATTCTTCTTTTTTGTTCTTGACCTTTAAGAATAGATTGACAACTAGTTTACCATAAATTTAGGTTTCACGACGAAACATATTGTTTGGGCTGGTGGTTTTAATGCAGTAATGTGTAATGTTTTGTAATAGTTTTAACTGCAAGTATCTTCATAACTATTGAGGAAATCCGGCTTCTGCTATTCCAACCGTTGTCAGTTACCAGTTCACTTCCGTCTGAAGTGCAAATATGGATTTACCGTAGGCATCACACTCAAATCCGGTAAATGTGTTTTATAAAACATGTATTGTTCCGGTAATAATTTGATAAATCACTCACGTACAACATAACGAACAGAATTACATTTATAGCGTTTAAATTCATATAGAACTGCACTAGCTTAATTATACAATACTGATGGTGAGTACGTTCTTCTGTGCGATTATGTCGGCGAACTTATAGGAATTATAATTAATGTCAGGTGTCCTGTGTATTTCATAATGCATATGTGGGAATTCAGAAAAGTTCCAACCGAAATTACCCAATTTGTTAAAAAGTGGCCTGCTGCTTTTTTTACGGTCGTACCGTATGTATTGTAACAAGATGAATTATTATACCGTAGTGTGTACCATACAGTTTGTGTCGGGAATCGACACTCTTGATTATAATCATGCCGCTTCCGCTTGCCGCATTGAATGCCGCTTCAGAGATGGTACATGTTGATGGATGACGTTTGATCCGCACGTCTCCGACAACAAGGAAATAGGTTTGTGTTGATGCGAACGTGGAACTAATTCCACTCATGCATGACGTAGATTAAGAAGCTTCGGCATTTACGGGGAAGCTCATTTGCACGGCATTTAAAAAGCCGGTCCGGGACCTGCCGCCAAACGAAGACAAATGAAAGTGGTCATAATTCCCACTGAAATTGGGAATCAATCAATGGTATTTTCAAGCGCTCTGGAGTCCCTATTCCAAGATTCTCTAGAGTGTTTTTATCGCTAAATCACCGGCTTTAACTAATCCGCGATCCTGCCAAACATCTGTAAGCTCTCCAGTTACACAGTGCACAATGGGACTCCTGATAGACAACTACACAGCAGTTTATTCATGCCACACTGAGCAGCAGTGCTGCAGCACCAGTATTGCGCTGTCGACAAACGATCTTTCCGCGTTGTAGCCTGTTGTTCTTCCCGGCGTTCCCGCATATATACTCCATAAAATTTATGTTGTTTTCTGTGTAAGATGATGATTAGCGTTTATCGATGCAGTGTCACTGGATGACTATTGTACATTCGCTCGCAGCATGCAATCGCTTAGCACTAATGGGGAATTTGTGATGTGCATTCATGTTAGTTGATAGCGACAGCCTTTTTGGCTTTTACTGACTGTATGTATTATTATTTAAACAAAAGCCAAGAAATTCTTTTGGAAGGGACACGTACAATACGGCATTCGACAACTTATGATGCCGTAGGAAGTTAACTGTTTGCTGTAATTGATGGGAATAATGGTTCTGGATCCAAACAACTTACGCCCAAAGTTCACTCTAATTGACCCAACTGCATGCATTTGCGCCGATGTTATGCGCGGTTACATGCCTGCCACTGCGATATATATATAGGTGTTGCGGTTATAATATTTGCATTTTGCATTTGTCAGAAAAGTTTTAATTCTTATGCTCCGCGAGGTGCCGGCGATTATGTTCTGCTAGAATCACATCTGGATCCCTGCTACCGAAGCGCATATTAATTGAGAATAATAATTATGCTGCTGAGTATTTTATCATTATCATGAGGCAGCATTCTTATCAAAAAGTAGCAAAACCTTCAAAACGACGCCTACAAAAGCGTTGTGGTTTTGGGAGTCCAACGATATTACTGTCATATGCTGCGAGATTCTTGCGATGCTTTATCCATAAAGCGACTAGTTCAATTTACCGTAAGGAAAAATTTGATTTAATTTAACTGCAAACATTGTACCTTTAACAAACCTATTTACTTCCGAGAGGATTATGGTGACAACACAGAAAGTTAAAGATGTTCCTTGCAGCTGTGCTATCACAATTTAGCGACCATAGTTTATAAATCAAATGAATCATAAGACTTAGTAACATCCGCAAATACAGAAAATTAGTGCAGGATTTGAAAATGATTATTTAATGTGATGAACGCCGAGTCATGTGCGTACGCTGTATATAATTACTAAGCTAGTTGCATTTAGATATAAAGTTTTATTAAGTAATGACTGCATCTACAAAGAGTGGACAAATTTTATTTCCTAACAATCTATCGCCCCCATGTTGCTGTCTGCGCGGACTATACGCGTGCTACTGTGCCAATAATTACTGACCTTAAATATTCAAAACTTACAATTAGGACTAACAAAATTCAGCAATTTTTTGCAGCTGCGCACTGTTGATGAATAACTTAACGCTTATTCTGAGCAATAAGCCGAATACTGCAGAATAATGCTGTCTGGAGTTTGCAGCGAAATTAACGACTGGTTTATTTGGCATTGATATATCGCAGAATATAATGATATATCGCAGAATATAATTAACGGCTGTGCGAATTTTTGTAATTTTGCGGAGGAATCAAACGCTCATTCTAAAATGAATAATTAGACGCAGTGCAAAGCGAAGGGGTGATGTAACAGTACATATCGCACTTGCAGGACCAAATGCGAAAGTAACGCTTTACGATGAGCTGGAAGAGGATGTGCTGGATGCTGAGGAAAGCGCACAGGTGTACGAATGGGAGCCAAATGACATTGAAGACGAAGAGGAATCCATAGAAAGCAATGGAGGTACTGTACAACAGCGTGTGCAATTCATAAATAAATTTTAGGTGACTGCTGTAACACGTAATTTAGAAATATAATGTATGTTTTATAGATGAAGACACCATTCTGTGTGCCGTCTGCGAACGTAAGTTTATACTCATCAGCCATCAGCACATCGATGTCATGCGAATACGTACCGTAATGTTGTGCTATAAGGGCCGTGAGAGATCATAATTTCCCAGGACGTAATTGTGGACATCTCTCGGGACTTAAAATTAAATTGTAGCGGATGTGTATTTAAGCAACTCATATAAATTTGCAAAATTTCGGTTTCTCTGCTCAGTGTCGATGTTGGCTATTGCATAACAATAAAACCCAGGGTTGATCTGACTGGCGTAAGCCCGCCGCCGTGATAGACTTTATGAACTCAGATATGAAAAGTCAAATCGATCGCTTTACATTTAAACAGTTGTTTGCTTGAATTTGTTTGCAGAAGTATTCGAAACTAAACAGGACCTAAACAATCACCGGGCAAAAAAGCGGCACTACTTTTGCAGCTTGTGCGAAGACATTTTCTTCAAGTAAGATATCTGTTTTCTCATTGTATGGCCGTTGGAATTTTAAATTCATACTTCTATTAATTATCACAAATTCTCTTGTCTTACAGTAAGACTGTACAAGCAACTAAAGAATTTATAAATTTAAATTTATGTGCAATTACCAAGCTATATTTCTAATTAGGATTTATCTAATAAAATGTGTCGGTACGTCATCGGTACCATGGTATCATGTTATTTCGTTGCTTTTCAAACTAATTGGTTTTATGTCGATGGTGTGATAGTCCAGCGCAACTGCAGCTCCACAAAACAAAGACAGAGCACTTTTCGGACGACGAAGGAGACGATGTGGATGACAACCATGCATATGGAACAGAATACCAGCTCCGAACATCAAATAAGAACCAGATGATTGCGGTAGAGAGCGAAATCGAAAGCCTTCTATGACGCTAAAGCGGGATGCTTCTTCTTCAGTACCGGTGATTTTATAACATAAATATACCTGCGAAAGAATTGGGGGAGTACTTAGTTCTGTTTTTCTGTTCAGATAGTTAACCGTAAAACCAAACGGGTATTGTTTTGTGTTCCGGAAGCTGATCCATCTTTCATGGTCTTTTCATTTTAAAGTTAGAATGAATGCTTATTTAAAGGCATGAGTAGTTTCTTGCTTTTTTATGCATAATTGACAGGATTATTTTGTTACAGAAGCAGAATGTCGGTTGCGGTAATTTTTGTACATTGACTATCAATCGTAAAGAAAAAACGACGAATGCACCATGTGCAGGCGGTACGTACCCCTGTTCTCAACCGGTGGAGACTGGCGAGTCACAATGGAAACCATAACTAGTGCTTATTAGTGCTGACTGCTGATAACATTTTTAAGGAAAGGCTTTAACACCTTGCAAGCAGAATTATACCGTTTACATACAACTGTCAAATGCTGATGAAAATGGACACATGCATATGTCTTGTCGATCATAAATCGATGGTTGCAGACCTCGTCGCCATAGGTCGGTTCCCGTGTGGCATAATTCCTACGTACTAATAACTAACACATTTTTAGTGTTGTAATAAAAACCAAGTTTAACGAGAAGCACATGCCTTCAGTAATATTCCGGGATTTCCCAATAAATATCATCAGTTCGATAATAAATTAAAATTTAATGATTTGTTGTATTAGTATTTGTACAGATATATGACTAGTGCCCTTTGACAGATCTGGATTCGCTAAGCCGTTAAGGCAACCGCCCTGGTAAAACAAGTGAGGTGTATTGGCAGTAGGGGGCGCCAGTAAGCGTTCCACACAGAGCGTGTACAGTCGACGGGTTTCGTCAAACACAAAGGCTGAACCACGCTGCCCGCGCTCTTCAGTTCAGAGGACCAAAAATTCCCGAGCCATGATGTTGGCAGACACTACTACTACATCGCGTTTTCCTGGAGATTGACTGATTTGCGCTGCTTATTCGATCACGTTTTCCGAAGTTAGCTACATTTATGGATATGCCGTCTGGAGAGATGTGTTCGTCGTCGGTGGTGGTGGACCTTACCAGAAGTCCTTCGGTAGAAAGAATGGCGCAACCAGCCACTCCGACGAGCGCAGTTGTGTACTGGCCTGTTGGTGAAGCGGAAAACCCGCGCATGCCATCTTATGTCATGGCACTGGACGCTGCGAACCTCTCGATGATAGAAGCAGGTGGTTCTCTCGTGGAAAAGGGTTCGTGTCGCGCCAAAATCCGAGGGAAAGAGTACGAACCATGCATTTTGCTGCTGCTGTCAAGAGGTATGTCAACAATGCAAAACTTCGCTAGTACGGCTGTACGCATACGGCATACCAGTCTTCAGGATTCGAAAGGAATTTCATCGAGATACCGTTTATTTATTTACTTGTGTGCAGGGGTGATTCACAGTGAGTGTGACGGTAATGTGTAACAGGAAAATTGTAAAAGGTGTTGCCCTGTGTTAGGTGAATCGGTCAAATCGTTAAAATTGAAACTGGTAAAGGAGGAAAAGAAATACCTCGACATGGGTCGCAGATACTGGAGAGAAGCGAAGACCGAGCAGGTACTTTGAAAATTTTGGAAATGATTCATTAATCCAGTGATAAGTGGCCTGAAAGGCTTGAAAAACAACGATGAACACTTCTTTAGTCTTTATATTTGGTGTACCGAATTTGACTGATAATTTCAGTCTGAAGTAATGGAAATTTGTATGGTCTTCGATGTTCATAGAAAAACGATGAAAAGAAGCAGAAGGAAGAAGAAAAGAAAATGAAAGAAGAGGAGAGGAAGCAAAAAGAAGCAGAACGCGAAGAGCAAAAAAAACAAAAGGAAGAAGAAAGAAAAAAACGCGAGGAACAGAAGAAAGAAAAGGAAGAGGAGCGAAAGAAGCGAGAGGACGAGAAGAACGAGCAGCGCCGCAAGCGTGAAGAAGAGCGCAAGTTAAAACTGGAGCAGGAAGAAGCCGCCGCCAAGGCCAAAGTAAGTTGATTCTTTTTGCGCAGAAATTAAAATCAAGTTGTAGGGAATTTAAAAGATGCAGCTTAAACAAAAATTGTGCAAAACTGTTGCAGGAAAAAAAGAACCGAACGGAAGCCAAGCAGCGCAGTATGATGGAAAGTTTTGTGATTCACAAAGAGAAAGCCAAACCAGTCCACCTGGTAAGTGACGCGGAACGGCATACATACATGTAAGAGTGCCTGAGATAGTTCGTTTGTTATGCTGGAATTGGGAATGCGGAACTTTTTTCTGTGTTGTTCATTGTTGTTTTGCTAACAATTTCTGATGATGGGACTTTGGTAGGAAGGATCGGGCGGTATTGCAGTGTTTCAGCCTTTCGAAGTGCAAAAGGGTGTCTTTTTTCCTCCATATTATCCTCCTGGTAAACTGTTTTTGTCGGAATCAGCTGCGGAAAATCTGCTTCGAGCGCTACAGAGTGGCGGGGTATGGCAGTTGTGATTTACGAAATTTACTGAGCAGGCTTACCTACCTGGAAAGTTCACCCTGTGGGCGGTGTTTTTAGACGTCTTGGGAAGGGTTGTATCTGGCGCAGTTGAAGCGGCATCAGCATGTTCCACAACAGTTTCCCGCAACTTGCCCACGCAGACCTTTGGAGAAGAGTAAAGAAGTTATCTTGGACGGAGAGGACGAAATCGAGTGCTCATTTGCAAAGTCATCAGCCAAATATAATGTGAAATTGCTGCAGTTTTCGGATAACGCCCGGCCGCCGTATTATGGAACTATGCGCAAAACTAGCAGCAAAATTCACGCTAGAAATCCGTTTAACAAAGATGCCGTAAGTGGATTAACACAGATAACGATTCAGCAGTGTTGAACTTATACCCGTATGGAATGTGGGAGTACGGTCCTTGAATGGTTTAAAAAAGCAAGGTTTTTGTGATTGGGTCGTCCGGTTTTGCTAAACCGTGGCAGTTGATACTGGCGGTCATAATTATTTTCCTTCGTCCAGTGTTTTAGTTTTATAGCATTCAGTTTTTTTTTTGTTTTTCGAGTTCATTGTAAATTAACTAAATTTGTAACGCTTATTGAGCAGGACATCGAATATGATGTGGACAGCGACGAAGAGTGGGAAGAAGAGCAGATTGCCGCAAAAGACGCTGAAGAGCTGAGCGTGAATGACAATGATGACGAAGAAGAAATGAGCGAGGTTGGCAACTAAAATCTGAATTATATGCATTGTTTTGTGAACACATAAGTTAGATAACATTTATTAGTATTTTGTGAGTAGAGAGCATTTATACACGAATGATTTAATCATTAATGTAATGGTGTAGTTCTCGTTCATCTTGTTAAACCTTTTGTAGGAGGAAGAGGATGATGACGACGGGTTTTTTGTGAAGGATGATGAAGAGTTTGAAAACTCAAACGATGCGGTAATGTGTTTGGCTGCTTGTACTACAGTAATTTATCAGTTAAAATAAGGAGGAAGAACAATTTTCTCAGGAAGCTAACAGGCAGAATATGGCCGCTGGTACGATTGGACGATGGCTTTCCAAAAGACCATTTAAGAAGCCCCCTAATCGCTACATTATTGGACCATTCTGGGCGCATCAGGAAGCAAAATGCCCTGAGGCTTTAAAAAAGCTAACTGTAATTCCCCTTGCTCAAGATTTTGAAGAAATAATCGAAAAGGCGGTTGCTCACGAGGACATGGGCGATTCTGTCAGCAAGATACCGGCTATAAGTACGTGTAAAGAGATAGAGATTTTCGTAATTGTTGTACAACTCGAAGTAATGTTTTTGTTGACTTGCTTTCTGTAAAATTGCAGTGATGCCGTTCTTAATTAAGTTAACACATGGCAGTGGTGCTCGCAAGCCAGCGATAGCCAAGGCGTTTCTGAATTTATGGGAAGTAAAAGAAAATCGCCAGGAATTGGCTGAATACGGAGATTTGGGCAGTAATGTCGTGAGCATCGTGCAGACTGTTGAACGGCCACGTGAACTGACCAAGGGTTTAATTTGTACCGTCATTGGGAGCATATCGACGTGGAGCCGTCCGCCCGCAACAGAAAAACATCGTCGACACTGCCATTATGTATCCGAAAAGGTGCGAGTGCTCTACAAAACGTTGGAAGGGCCATGTCTACCGAACCTGGCAAGTTGTAAAACCGAGGCTGAAAAGAAGCGAAAAGTCGAGGAAATCGCCCCAACATCACCGGAAATACCATTTAAACAGGCCAAAGTGGAGACGCCCAATAAAGAGGGCGCCAAACCTGCGCAGATTGCAGCCCGACGAGTGGCGTTCTGGAACGTGGATTCGAAGCCGGTTGAAAAAGAAACAATGGAGGTAGTCGAGTAAGCTACGTACCTATCTGGTGTTGTTTAAGAACAGTGTACTGTGCGGATAAAGAGCGCGTTTGGCGGCACGCTTATCCTCTCATAATTCAATATCACGGCTTTCTGACTTGTCGGCTTTCTGACTTGTTTAGCATACTGCTTATCAGAATCGAGTCGCTTTTTGTGTGTGTGTTATTTTGGGATAGGATTTGTTACTTGTTTAGTCGGCTTCCGACACTAAAATGAAATATAGATCCACTAGTGGGATGCAGTTCCGTTCTTTCTTCCGTTATGCTTTTCGAAGCCGTTATCAGTAGTTCTTTTATATATTCCTTTCGGTGCTTTTGATAGTACTCAAGTCTTAGAAGTCACTCCACTGCATGCAATAATGGGTAGCTTTATAGCTCTGAAAAGTTCTCTTGCTTTTGGCAGGAGTTTACCGACGATGCTGCCACATCGTATGGTTTACACTGAAACTCAGAGCGACAAAGAAATTAAAACTATCGATTTTAGCCGAACTGTTGACAGCGCCGCCTTGGATCTGTTGAATTGGCTGCAGTGGGATCGCCCAGCAGGCTGAGCAATGGAGCGCGTTGTATTAGTGGCGGGATGATAAATTCTGCCGTCGGCAATTGATGCGCATGTGCTTGACTTAAGTAGGGATCTCGTAACTTAAAGAGCAAGCTAAATGTACTGAACCTGAAAAAATCGTCGGGATATATATGAAACGGCGCGTATTGCCTGTCTTAGCCCGCTAAAGACGCGACTGGCGTAGACGAGTGAGACCGTTTTAAAAAGCGCATTAATTCAGCCAAGGGAAGATCGCGGGACCGACTTTCCCGAAATACCCAGGCCATGCAATGCTCTAGACAGCGGCGCAATGGTCTGCAGTACTTGATGATGCCGTGATAAGCGACGCGCTGTCAAACGCATCTTATGTTTGTGAGAGAGTGCATGCATGTGTTTTCAAAACAATCATTTCATGAGATAATTAAAGCTGGCAGCCGCCTGGAATTTCACTTCCGGTTGCTGTGGAATTTCCATGCAGTCAACTGGAAGAGTGCCCGTTACTAGTTACGATGACGCTGAAATTTCAATTCATCAGCCATATCGTTATCGAAGAAACCTGAATTTTCGCACCATAATTACATGGTTTTGTGCTAAATACGAATACATGATCAAATTACACCATTCTGACTATCTGATCTGCATTACCAGTTTACCACAATACAGCAATACCTTTCATGTGTCAGCTATAAACATGCACAAGTGTTCTAATTTGCCGTAGGCTTAATAAGTCGCAGGTCTACGAACGTATCACGGATCTGGTTGCAGCCGCGAGCGCCAGTTTTGTTTAGCTCTTGTCAGGATTTCGATTGCCGCAATTAATCCGATGGAAACTATAGTTTGTTTTTATGGCTTGTGAAAATTAAACAATTTAATTTTTCGCGCCGACGGTTAGCTGACTTGTAGCTGACTGAACTTCGCCGAAATTGATTAAACATTTCACTCCGCACATTTACAGTAGCTTTCAATTGTACGTAATACACTTTGGTCTCGGAACGGTCACGGAATCACGCGTACGAAAGCATATATTATTTTAGTGAGTGTGAGAATTTTCTTGAATGATGACGATCGTGCAGTGCAATTAATGCGTTTTACTGATTTGTTTTCCTTCCCACAGTTTTATGGGCGATATCCGATTCTCGAAGCACGATTTCCGCCAATAGAAGTGACCGCCAGCGATAGGTTTCCTGTCACTGTTTAAATTTCATTTGCTCAAGAACGGAGATTGCACAGCGTAAACTTCCTATCCTGTCCACTTCGAGGGGTGGTTGGATAACTCATTTTTGATAAATAAATTTAAAAGCAATAACGGTCATTTGAGCAATAAGGCTACAAAAGTGCAGTGCATGTACATATATGATGTACACATGATTGCGCTAAATATCAATGAAATATGCAGTTTGTTCCGGAATTAACTTACACTGCCGATTTCTTTTCGAGTTTCTTTTATGGTATCTCCAAAGATATTTATTATATCTGCAAAATTTATTACATTTTTGACAAAGGTATGGTGTCAATTAGGACAACATTAGCATTTTGACATTAGGACAGCATTCAAAACGTTAGCATTCCCCGTGCACCGGCGTTGCCGGTGCTCGTACTGTACTATTTCATTAATGAATTATAAAGGTGGTCAAACTACCGAGCTATTATACCAACTACGGAGCTGTTCTTATGTCGATCCGGACGCGGGTCCGGCCGTTTTGCATGCGCACAAAGCATACTGTAGTTGGCCTAGTGCATTTAATCGTTGATGGGCGACCAGTGCTATCCTGCGCCTCTGGAACTTTGTTGCGGCAATATCCCCGCACAGTACACTGCGTGTGGCACAGTAAGCCTGTCTGAACGGGACTTCTGAAACGAGGATCCAGTAGACATACGCCGAAAAAAGTGAACGAGCGGCGGTCCAAAGTTGGGATGAACATGTATATGTGTACGTTGGGTCGTGTGTATGCCGGCAGTAAAGATAGCGCATCTGCATATTTTTAGTCCTCATTGACTGTCAATGCTAAATTGCCGCGATATTGCTGAAGTATGCAGCTGTTCTGTACATTGCCAGCTGACTGTCCGGAAAGGCTGCAGCAAAAAAAAGCATACTTGTACGCGCCGCTGACATGCTTCCTAATCGCAAACTTTCATCCAGCCATAACGTATGGCGTAGCGTATATGCACAGTGTTCTGCGTCGTGGCATTTGTACTATTCTTCTTTGATCCGCGTAGCTGCAGCTGTGTTAGCGCATGGTCGATAGTGATTCCCTGTCTGTCCCGTTGCAGCCTTGATCGAAATGTTTGTTTTAGGGAAAAAATTCAGCAGAAGTTTATTTTGCTAGCGCTGCACCATCCACAAACTGACAACATTTCGATAGCTTTCGCTCAAAACACACGCCTCATGTAATACCTTCGCAGTTTCAAGTTGGATATATATGCGATTATCGCGGAGTTTCGTAGTAGTGAGATGCATGCGTGCGATTGACAGTTTATGGCAAAAACGGCAAAATTGCTGCACTGTGCCGGTGTGCGGCTTTTATTCTTCTAATTGGCTCTTATTGTTGGATGGTGTATTGCTTTATTCGCATTTGGTTTGCTGTGGACGCAGCTTGGGAATCTGTTGTCAATTAGAACGGATTAAAAACTTGAATGCATGGTACAAATGCCGCTGTATTACGCATTGTGGAACAACGTGACGGTATCTTGCGTGGAGGGCGTACATCATGGATCAGGCGTCCGATAAACTAATTAATGGTGAGAACTGCACCCGAAAATAATTTGCTGTTAATAGAATAAACAAACCCACGTGAAGTTGCTTTGTCTGGTATACGCAATATGGGCATTATTTTTATATGCGCTCTTATCTGCAGCATCGCTGTAACAGTTTAAACGCTTAGTCTTTTTGACTCTTTTATATTATTGCTATTCTGGTGATGGTTCGTCTGGGTGTAGTATAGTAGTAAGACAATCAAATTATTCATTCACGGTTTATAGCATTTACATTTCAGACGGACATCGTGTCGGCGATTTCGTCGATGACACTTCCGCTAACAGGAAGCCGACTAATGTTGTTGCTCTTCAAGAAGAGATAAACCACCAAACTTCTCAAAAAGATAGGCGGGACAATCACTTTCCACCGGAGCGAAGTGAATCGCGGGAAAGTGGAATAACACGCCGTAGCAGCATTATGAAGGACAATCGGCCGCGGAATCGTGTTAAGAAGACGGTTTCCTTCACGAGTATGCCCAGTGAGAAAAAAATTACGAGCGGTGAGAACTAAGAAATGTCTTCATGTGCTTTTCACTTGCGCGATATTTCTCATGTTTGGGAAAGGTATTTATAACTTAAAAATATGCGTAGCTTCTGCGCAATTAAGTTTCTGGTCACAAAATAAAAGCTAAAAAATTGTGTAAAATGTGTAGTTTCATAGTGGGTTAAAAGTATAATATAGTATATACAGATATCGTTTTACTTAGGTTAATATTTAATTTTTGCCAAGTTTCAGTTATAAGTAATATTAAATTATTTCGCTCGTGTTTGCGTTCATTGTACTCCACTGTTTGGAAAGGTTTACGTTACGTACATGTCCTGCTTGACGCGAACAATACTTTTGAGAAAGTTATTCAACTGACTTGCTATGCGATATTGCACATCTTTTGTAGATGTATCACGCTTCAGATATCGTATGGCAATCGAAAGGAAGTTACAAGTTTTATAAAACTGCAGTTTGACTGTAATTGCGGTTCTACTGCGTGAATCACCGTTTCCCGTGTACCACTTTTATTACTTTTTTCTTATCGATTGGCTTCCAAGGCAGTAATAAAAGTTAACAATTCATTGAGGACGGAAGCAAAGGGTGACTTCTTTATACCGCAAAATAGTGTATACTGCCGACAACCAACTGTGTGACTTATCTATGGCTCTAGCTTTTTTACGGTCGAATTATTGATTGCAGAGTCACTTGAGCGATAGTTGAATATTCGAAATTTGGTAAAAGTATGCAATTCTGTTAGTGCCGTTCAAGCGGACCGAATTCGCCACTGATGCAATAATTATTGCAGCCGGCTGTATGATATCGGGAAAAGTAACGATTATTTTTTTTACTAAAAATACCCCGGCGACTTTAGTGGGTGGTCGGTCGGTCGGCAGGTTTTCGCGTAATTTGGTGATTATTTTCCCGCCTTGAACTACTAACAGTTGTTAGTTGCAAGCTTCAAATTTCGCTTAAGTTCACCGGGCTAAATCAGGTTACCGCTTTCTGTTAGCAGAGGCTGTTAGAAAAGTTGTAAATTGTAATCAAATAATTATTAATTTATCGCAGTTTATAAATGGCTAAAATATATTTAACCGGGGAGTGTAGCCTGCTTGGTCGAAAAGTGTATCCATTGTAGAGTCAGCCTGTTTGAAATAACCCGTATAAACTGTTATTACATCTTAGCTAACTGATTCTAAATCATCAGTGAACTTCTCACTCAAAACGGATTATCCTCTTTTTAAACCGATTCTCCATCACCCGATGACGGATTACACAACCGGTAATCAAAACGAATGAGATGTCTGCCTAGATTACAACTGAAACATCCAGGAGTGCCACCACATAAGCGCAGAAAATTGCCTCGCACTTCGAAATGGATTTTTACTGTTATTATTCGCATACCCCTAAATGCGTACGTAAAATGTGAATACAATCCAGGCAACCATCTTTGCAACATACATGTTGTTATTAATTATAAGTTGAGTGGAACCTACTTTAAAACTTTCGAATCAACAGTTACAGAAGCTACTCACAAGCAGTAACAGTTATTCACAAAGTAAAGTGCAAGATAATATTCTTAGCTGGTGTAAATATGGTACTGCACGCCTTTACTTGTGATTGAAAAGTATTTTACTGCTTCAAGAGACTTCAACTTAAAGATGTTCCTAGTATTTAAAATTTAGTGTCTTTTGTACATTTTGTAAATTGTTGGATTCGTAATTACATTCATTAAATATTAAGAATTTTCCTTCCATATTTGCTTTTACTGGATGTTCGTTAACGTATTAATCGGTTTGCGTAAAGTGCAGCAGTAGCCTTGAAACATGCCATACCAATAGTCGTTATGCCGCTAGCTAAAGTTTCTTACGTATAAAAACTTAATAGTATGTGGAATGTACTGTACATCAAACGAAGCGAATGCTCTTAGAGTCTGCAATTAATTGATCTAGTTTTTCACTTTTATTTACGATTTATTTTAACCATAAAATTTTTATCTGATGGCAACAAAGTTTGACCATTATGTAACACTAAATTCAATGGCAAATCGAAATTGACATCGGTATAATACATAACGTTTGGCCTTCGGTATTCGACGGGAGATGTCGTCCATGATTCCCATGGTTCTTTTCTATGCTCAACTGTATAAAAACGAGCAGTGAATTATTTCAGTATTAATTCTCTTGTAATTCAGTATTTCATACAAAATACTGAAACCTGTATTAAATGATGATAATTTTTATTTGCACAAAGTCAACTGGTTCTGTTTTTGTTTCGGCTATCTGCACCGTTCTCCAGCGCAACGTTTTCCCCTTAATTTTATTTAATTCGTGTTACTGGTTTTACAGATACGCAGAAGGTTTTAAAATCTGAATAGTGACACTAGTGAGTACAAAATAGTGTCCGTATTACGCACATGTAGATGCTTGGCACAACTTGCTCGAGTACGTGGTACGATAACAATGCGCGTAGCCAGCTGCTTCAGCGCAGTGCTTACTGGGATAAATCAAGGGAAGTGCACTTTCCCATGCATGCTTAAATTACTCATGCCCGCTCTGCTTCCTGCAGGAACGGCAGTGTTTGAGTGGAAATTTATTAAACTTCTTCCAGACAATAATATTAATGGTTGAAGCCGGGTAAATGAATGTGTGATTACTGTCACATACTACGTAATCATCCTGCCAGTTTAACGGTACAGTCGATCGTGAAAACAGGCGCTGTCAAGATCGGATGACATATTCCGACTGCGCCAGCTTTATGTGCAATTCCAAACTTTCGGTGGGGAATACGGTGCACACTGCGCCTAATCAAACACCGCTACGATCCGTAAACATTTACGCGAATTGTGATGAAGTGCAGCAACAAAAATTTGCTGAACCTGGAACAATGATCACGTGGGGAGGGGGGTTGCAAGAATGAATTTTGTTAGACTGCTATTATTAAATTATGTACTTGCAAATAGCACCAGTAAGATTCTGTGGAGATGTTAAGGACTGGATAATTGCAGTTTCTTTGAAAAAAAATCAGTGCGCAATAAATATGGTTTGTCCAGGCTTTGCGGTAATACACCAGCAATTACAAGTATAGGTGCCATATTATAGATACCGTTTATAGTAGATAGATTACTATTTAAATTGTAATTTATTATAATGATTATTAGTACTTATTGTTGAAACATTGCTTTTATAGTTGCTGACTGCTTGGCATTCATGACACGCGGAACGAAACTGATAAAAGTTCGGTCGAATTCAAGACAGTATTGGAGAACGTTTACTCTCGATACGGACAGATCGGCCATTCGGTGGACTCCCACATCTAAAAAGCCGGACTTGGCTAAAGGTTCATTAAGCACGATAGCAGCTCGCAATAAGCAGTTAACAAAGGGAATGTTTTCGTGCAGTCTCCATAGCTTCAATGAAGGAGATCCTTATTGGCAAGCGCACGGAAGTCTTTCGCAACCGTGACGCGGCGGATTGCGCCGGAGAGTGTGCATTTTCCGTGGTGTACGGTGATGATTATGAATCGCTGGATTTATTGGCCAGCAGTCCGGACGAAGCCAACATTTGGGTGACTGGATTAATGGCCTTAATGGTGTCGCTCAATGGTGAATTGTCGGCGTCGTTAGCCCAGTGTGTTTTATACAGTAACTGATGCGGTTTTTTCCCCGGCAGGATCGTCTGTGCATAATCTCAATTCCAACCACTTGGGCTACGACGAGCGCGACGCGTGGCTGTCGGAATGCTTCCAGTCGGTGGCCGATGTCTTTGACACCGACAAAACTTTGTCGGAAGATCAAGTTGCCGCATTAATCGCTGATTTATGCCCCACTCTGCCACTTAGTAAAATTAAACAGCGGATAAAAGTACGTAACGCACTTGAGAACTCAGTTGTGTCGGAGAAGTATGGACACTTAGAATATAATCATCAAGACCGGGCTTCTTTACTCTTACATCTTCACTCCGCTCCTTTTGAATAATTTTTTTATTTACGATGTGGTAACCTTTACGTGTAAAAAATTAAAGACCTTTGCCACTATAAAATCAGATAATATAAGGCTTACTCGCATGCATCGAATACAGTACTGTAATGCGCGATCAATTAATTATACTGGCTACAATTACAGGAATTTCAAAGTACAAAAGTGGACGAAGGGTTAACATCCATCGATATGAACGCGTTCATCGAGATCTACAAGGAGCTGGCCACCCGACCGGAAATCTACCATCTGCTCATTAGGTGCGACTAATGCGGTTATTTTCATTACGGTTGGCGTCGGGCCTTCCCTTTCACTGCAGCAGTCTAACGTCAAGTGTAAACGTTTTTCTATCTAAATAGGTATGCAAATAAGGAATACATGACCGTGGATGATCTAACGACGTTCCTGGAGTCAGAGCAAGGCGTAAGCACAATGGTCGATCGCCCGTTAGCCGTTAGCTTAAAGTGCCATGAAAACCCCGGTTGACCGCTTAATGCAATTTATGGTACTCATGTCTAGATTACTAACGCTTCGCGAGAGTATGCAGTTGATGTGATAGAGCGTTTCGAGCCATCTGCTGCGTCAAGGTCCAATTCCCATCTTCACATTGAGGGTAACTGCTGCGTTGCTCGCTCGTGTTTTTGTCGGCTGGCTGTCCCGGTATTAGCCAGCGCACTTTGGATTGATTCTGTACGTTAACCTTGACCTTGCAGGGTTAACGCGGTTTCTCCTGTCGGACGAGTGCGACATATTTGACCCGGTGCACCGCGTTGTTTGTCAGGATATGACACAGCCGCTTCCGCATTATTTTATTGCTTCCTCCCACAACACGTAGGTCACAGAACAGCAAAGCTCTTTAATGGACATTCGTAATTGTTTCTGCAATATTGCGGTCGTACATAATCACACACATGTTATCACAGAAGTTAAATCGCACACACGGCATTGTGGTTTATCATTTAATCCTTCTTCTTAAAACTTTTTAACAGAATGCTTTATAACACTGCTATGAAAATTAAAGCAGGTATTAATTGGCCCTGTGCAGATCATATCTGTGCGACGATAAGCGAATTACAATGT